AGCAGCGAGCTTCGATCCGTCTCCGAGGAGTATCGGCATTGTCGATTGCACTTGCGCCGAATGGAACGCGCGCGCGTGCTGGCTCGGGTCGAGCGGGCGAATCGGCCTGCAAACAGAGACACGGAGAGAGAGAGAGAGAGAGAGAGAGAGAGAGAGAGAGAGAGAGAAAATGAAAGGCGAGAACGAAAATGATTTTCGCACAACCGGTTTTTCCCGCGGGCGGCCGCGTGCGCGAGTGGGAACGAGCGACATTAGCCTCGGGCTGTGTGTTTACGAGCAACCGCGCAATCGGCTCCGCGACGCCGACCGACTGTCAGATGCGATACACGCGGAAGGACACGACAAACTTTGCGAAATAGCACTCATTCATCGTCGTCGCGCTGTCCTCGGCCACAGCTCGGCCGTAGCTCGCTGAACGTTCAATCTCTGGCTTCTTCTCGCGGCGCTGTAAACGTTCACGGCCTCCCTGTACCTTATCGACCATTCCCGCGTGCTACTATTATTGGTTAATTGATTGGCTAATTAATCAACTGATTATCATAATCCTTATCATTTGCACAAGACAACTTGTCAGCTTCAAATACAGTTATCTTGTTGGATCGATAAATTATAGAAAGGCCTTTGCTGCACGCGACGTAATGGTTTTCCCCTTCGGCAAATCCATTTTCATGCATTATTAGGTAGCAGGTTAACTGAATGGAGCCCTCGTTTGATCGAGCTCGATGAAACGAGGGGGAGAAGATGATCTGCCCTTTGTATACTCGCGGAAATAAGTAATCGGCTTGAAGAATTCCATCCGTTCGGAATAGAATGAATTGTGCTTCAGGGCTTTATTCCACGGACCTGTCGTGTAGACGTACGTACGTACCTGACCGCATAACTTTAACGGATACGCACGGTCATTAAGTTGAGTTGGCGCGAGCGGCGCTAATGAAAAATGGAGCTCAAATCGTTAAGAAGTTTGCGAAAGGAATAATTGTATTCATATCCACTGGAAGTGTGCGACGGTAAAACGTTTGCAACGAGCGATTAAAATGTCTCAACTGATCTAAGAAACACGTCGTACGTTGCCACGGCTCTCGGGTATGAATATTCGGTGAAACTTCCGAACGACTCGATCTCGACCGTCTGTTGGCGTCGCACGCGAGCTTGTCGCGAATTGAGCGATCACCTCAAGCGCCACATCGATTTAAAGCTCGACGCAATTAAAATTCATTCGATTCGCTCGAGCTCAGGCCTGTTGCGTATATATGGATATGTGCAGCTGGCAATTCCTACCGATTATGGATATAGTTTATAAATATTGCATTGCTTGGCTGCGGCGTAACCGCGCGGGAGGGGAGGAAAGAGAAACAAATCCTTCCTGCTCGGGCGAGCAAAAAATTGCGATTTCATCAGCGTAATTAGCACGTAAATCTCTGGCTCGTATCCCCGCTATCCCGCCGAAATCGTAATAGCTTTCTCGACGCTGCGGTCGGCATTTCGATCTGCCGCGCCTAATGTCGTCCAATTCCAAGTCGCGGAAGTGAGCGACGCCCGCGCGCGATAGCATTGAAAAATCGATCGAACGTCGGCGGGACTGGTACACCGAGGAAAATCAGCGAGGGCCCTGGGTTGCGCAACGCACTCGGCCGACGTCCAAGCTTGGCTTTGCCAATGCGTCCGCTCGCGCTCGTCGACGCTGCGCCGCGAGGTATTCGCGCGCGCAGTGCACCGCCGCGGTCACGGGCGCCGAGGTGCGCGCGCGCTTGCAAGTCGCACTTGACGGCAGCGTCAGCCTTTTGCAAGCGCGCACTTGTTCCGAGATCTCTTTAACGAGCAGGCCTATCTTTCGCACTAGTAAATCGATCAAAGTCTGCCGGTCGAAATTGCCAATTAACTCGCGCCGATCTTATCGGCGACAGAGCCCCGGCCCTTTCAGCCGCTGTCAAACAGCGCGCAGCGAGTTCTTTCGGCACGCGTACAGCGCTTGAAAAGAGTCTTTCAGAGCCGCAGCACCAAATGAGCATGATACTTTTTTTCTTTTTACGATAGAGCTTGTGCGTCGCTCGTTATGCGCGCAGTAGGAGAAGGGCCATCTGTGCACGCGCAGAGCTTTTACATTCCGAGTGACTTTCTATTGTTCCTCGACTGCGGATACTCGTTTCAAGTTGTTCAGGCCAGAGAGATTTAAAGAAAGAAAGCATCGTCGAAACTACAATCGAGGAAGTACTACGTTAACGTTCGAACCGAAACAAAAGCGAGAAGAGGAATAATATTTGCACTGGCTCGATCAAATTAATGGAGAAACCGTATGAAAGGAAAGGTGCGCGCAGAGGTGAGTGGTTCACGTGGGTCCTTGAACCTTGCAAGGGCTGCAGATTATGAGAGCCAGAGAAAGAGAGAGAGAGAGAGAGAGAGAGAGAGAGACAGGCGAGGGTAGAGATTCTGGAACAAGAAGCACATGGAGCCACGGAAGAGACGCAACGAAGGGATGGCCGTGTCGGCTGCTGACTCTCATCTGGCTGGTCACGAAGGAAGAAGATCCGTATCACAATGTGACACAATTGTACGACTCGTTCGTGTACTGAACGTATATGCTACGCTCCACATTGTTGACAATTCTGTACTTCGTGCAAATATCGGACGGGAAAAGGGCAGACCACGGCGGAGCGTGAACGCATATAATCACGCACATGCGCGGCTGCAATGGCACGTAATAGATTGATTCGAGTAGCTAGCCAAACGACAATTATTAAACCACACTGGAGTCGCTGGCATTTGAAAAGGTGCAACGGTATGAAAGTACGACGCAGTGTCACGCGAGTACGTTGCGAATGGATTAGGATTCAGGCCGGTCTGAAAAATACATAGCCTGGGCGTAAGGCAGTCTCGATTAACGAAAATACGTATTATTAGTTGGTAGTCTATGCGCGCGTTCGACTCGCGCAGCCGTGTCTGGGTTAACAAAGCGAGCCGTACACTTGAACTTCGCCAACGGACTCGCGCGATTTCGCAATCGTTTGTGACAACCGACTGGACTGTCGACGACGTCTCCCGAGTGAGCCAAAATGCCAATGAACGGCATTTAATCGGGGCTCTTGGAAAACGGCCGAGCGTTCGACAACGATCGAGGCTTTGCACAAGAGTGCACGCGCGAACAAGTAAGAGAACGCGCGCCCGTTCTGTTCCATATAACTCGCACCTCGTTTCGTTATTAAATAATAGCAGCTGCGCGCCGCAGCGCTCGCGCTCGAAGGTTTCGGCGCCGGAGCCAGCGAATTGATAGCGCTTCAAAGAGCCAAAGTCCTTGCAATGATATTGCATTTCGCAATAACCAATTGATCGGTGAGGCGAGGCTTTTGAATATTCGGCGATGCTTGGCCGGCGTGGTCGAGAGGCGGCTGCAACTGCGCGGGATTGGCTCGAGTAAAAGTAAATTGGCGTGGCAGAGCAAGCGCAATTAGAGGAAAAATCGGATTTCGGTGGAGCAGACATTGCCCAACCGCGGGGTCTTGCTGTTGTCCGCCGTCACGTGCACGTATGGGAAAGAAGCCGACGTGCCTCGTCGAGTAAGATGCCAGCAGGCGAAAGTCGCTCGGGCAATTTTCCGTTTGTTAGGTAGCGGCGCGCCCGAGTGATCAACCGACGAGCGGGCGTAGTCTAGCTGCTACGACGACGAGGAAGAGCGTAAGGGAGAAAACGAGCTACCCGCCGAGATTCTCGCTGGCGCTTCGCACGCGGCCGCGTAGAATGACTCCGAGTCCTGGTCCCGGTCGCCGAGGGCCATTCTTCAACGAGGGAATTTCACGGAAGCCAGCGCACACTGATGCTTTTTGTCGTTTTCACGTAAAACTAGAAAGTCTTGAAGCGTTGAAAGCTATAATAGACGAGCAGTGCATGTATATAATATAGGCCTTTATTTCCGTTCGTATACCGCACGCCAGCACTTGGATATTATCATTTCAGAACAGCGCGAGATATGTGCGCCTTTTGCGCGAGCGCGTGCATACGTGTGCCGCGCGTGTGCGTGCGCGTGTGTTTAGAGTCGTTCTAAACCTCGTGACTTTCTCGGCTCGCGCAAACAACAAATATAACCGCGAGCGTATTCGCGCCACTTGGATCGATCGCTCGCGCGCGCGCGCGCCTTACAACTTACACGCGCAATCTATATCGCGCGCAAAAAGTGCCTTGACAGCGGGCGCCGTCCACTTGCAACCACTTCGGTTTGCCTCCTCGCGCGCTAGCACCTTCCGTTCGCGCGTCGCGATCCCGCGAAATCGACGCTTCTCTTCGTTTGCATATTCCGACAAGCCAATGCCACGAACTAGCGCTGCTATCTGTCGACTATTTCACTTGACAGCTTTGCCGCAGTTTGCGGTACCCGAGCGAGTCTCGAGTCGATATTTAGACGTCCCGTGCGAAAGCTTGCTCGTTGGGTTCTCTGGATTTTCCGCAGCGGATTCGTACTCCGGCGGGTGGCTGACGAGCAGTGCAAAATTGACGCGAGATTCGGAAAGGCGGCGAAGCCGCGAGCCACCGAAAGAAGAGGATAAAGAAGGAGAAGCGCGGACGAGAGCTACGTCGGCCAGAGCAAAGGCAAGTTCGTCTCGGCTGCGCAGCGAGGCAGATAAGCCAGCTCGCGCTGCGGACGCGCGCAGGAAGTTGCGAAACGCGCGAATCTATGAATATGGATTGGTAGATCGCTGGCGCAGGAGGAAAAACCCGCGGCGGCATGCGAGTCGTCGCAGGAGTGCGCGAAAAAGCGCGACGGCAAAGGGGGAGGGGGGCCGCGGTCGGTCCGCGGTCGGTCCGCGGCAGGATGCGCGCACGAGAGCCAGAGTGGAAGAGCAGTGGGAAAAAAGGGAAAGGGGAGAGTTGGCCGCGCTCCGTGTGGTCGTAGGCGGGCGGGAAGGAGGGTGGCTGCGCCGGGGGGCAGGAGGAGGGAGGCGGACAATCGGCGCCTAATGTATATATAGAGAGAGCGAGGCGCGATCGCAAGCTTAGCAAGCGCCGTTTTCCGTCGCGTGGCTCAGCATGGCTCGAGTGTCGCTGGGACTGTTGTCGTTGTTGATCGCGATCGAGCTCGGCCAAGGAGCCCTCGGCCCTCGAGCAGCTTACGGAGGAGGAGCCAGATTCGGCAGGGCGCCGCTCCTCGAGAGGTTCGCCTGGAGAATCTTGGACTGGAATTACCCGAGCGAGATCAGCAGGCAGCAGGCGATCGCCAATGGCGATTTCGTTCCCGAAAATGCACTGCCCGTGGGCATCGAGGTCTGGAGGGACAAGCTTTTCGTCTCCGTGCCGAGATGGAAAAACGGTCAGTGTTTGCACATTTTTTCTGCCCCTCGCTCACAGCCACCAGCTCACTCGCAGCACCCCTGCCTCGACCGGCGCGACGTCCAGTGCCTCTTCGCCCAAGTTCAGTTACAGACTAACGTTAGCGCGTCTTGTCGACCTAGTCTTTTCTTCGATTCGAATCATGCGTCGTCCCGTCGGCAGCAGCTTCACTCGCGTCTTGTCAATGACAAAAAGAGTAGTAAGCCCCTTCGATTTACCGTATGATCAATGGCCCACAGCTAAACAACCTGCACGTGGGGGGTCGTTGCTACGATTACGATGTCAAAGCCCAATAATATATAACAATTGGCCCGAGTCGCTGGCAACTCGTGGCTCGACAGAGTCTAACTGCTGCTAAGGGCACGAAAGCATAATGTGGGGAGATCGAAAGAGGTAGGTGGCTTTGAATCGCTCGTGCTTCCTAACGTTCTTCCAAGTAGTTCGAGCATTTTAATCGCACTTTGCTGCTTTTTTATTCTTCCGAACTTGCACGTCAGAGCTGCATTGTAGGTGAAATCGGCTTTGAAAAATCGAATGGTCGAACGATGGTAAAACCGAAATCGAACGTAGTGCGCGTGACCGCGCGGGGCATAAAGGTGTGCACAGAACGTTGAAGCGAGGCGGCATCGCTGAATAGTATATTATTATATCACCGGGTTTCTCAAGATCCAGTTTGATTCCTCGACATTGACATAATGGCAGTGCCGTAACTGCATTGAAAGAGATATGTCAATAGAAGTCTAATTGCTTGCACGAATCATAACACACGATTGGCTTCCGTGTATATATGTCGTTATAAAGTGTTGTTGGGAAGACTGTTTGTTAGTTTTGTTGTTGTTGCTTGTCTTTTTTAGTCGGTCGATACGAGCTAGCGATTGCAAGCAAAAGTTTAACCTCGCTGTACCCGATTAAATGAACGATTGTTCTTATCCTTTCTTAATGAGTATTTGTGTATTTTATTGTGTGTACGAGTGTGTTACGATACGTATATAGGTTGTGTAGTGCTTTGCGCAACTGGAATTGTTTGTCGCTAGACGAGCGCTCGCCATTCGATAGGTCTGTTTTCAGGCGCGCGTGAGAAAGCGTCGCACACTAATCAGCACAATTATCATCTGCGCGCGCGTAAGCGACGGAGGGAGGATTCCGCGAGAGCGAGAGAGGCAAAATGACGCAAGGCCGTGCGCTCGCTTTAATTGCAGAAGCAGACGGACAGCTGGCACTAGATATGCCCACTAGTCAAAGCACACTTTCATCGGCCTCGCTCGGAGTAGCTACTTGCACCATTTTCGACAAGTTCACGGATTAACCGATCCAATTCCACGGTGACGCACACGATGTGTCCGGGGAATAGCATTCGAGCGAGCCGCCTTATAGCCTGCCCCCCCCCCCCCCTCGATCTGTGCTCGGCTCAGTGCCATCGACTATGCCGTCAGCTGCCGCCCAGGCGTCACCCGTGGTCGCGAAGTTACCGATGACGATTCGGGCGACGATCGTGCCGCCGTTATATCAGCAGCTTCGGGTGAAGAGAGCGCTAAAACGTATCGCGGTGAGCCGCTTAATTAGAAAATGATAGCGAGCAGCGGTAGCGAAATGAAAGTGCTAATGGCACTTTCGTGCGCGCGCGCGTGGGACTTGGAAAAATTAAATGCCACCTGCGTGGCGCGCGCCGACACACATATACATAATACGCGCGCTCGCATAAATGCGTGAGCTGCTTGCGTGCCGTTTTCGCAGCCAATGCGAAAAACTTGGCGTTGTTGATTTACGGCTTCAACCTTTACATAATCCACGTCCTAATGGCTTCCGCCACTCTTACCTATCAAATTTTTCTATGACTTTTCTGGTTATTTCGTAAACAAACAACATTCACATTATGCAGCTATTCGAAAGTCCATGGCGGCGATCTTAATTACACGCGGGCCGCTATCAAACGATTATGTCCGCGTATCTCGAGCGTTGAGCCGCTTCGTATTGCGCGTAAGCGATGCAATAATGATACGCGACGAACAATAGCCGCGAGACATCGAGAAATGAATGGCGATGCGAGACGTCAAAAGTACATAATGAAAGGGCAAAACAATGAGAAAACAAGTCCACTCAATCGCGTCCGCGGCCCGCGTGTGCTCTGACTTCACTTATGCCGGGGGCGCATGAAAAGCGAAGGAAGAGGGCCGTGCCGTGCCCGGGCCCAGGCCTCTGAATGGCCATTGTGCGGCACAATAGGAACCGGAAGCCGTTGCGCGCGCGCGCGACGCCCCCGCAAAGTGGGCCTGGGCGAACGTGGCCCGCTAAGCGATTTTAACGCTCGGCGAGGCTCGCCGGCGTCCGCGGGCACGCCGTCGCGGCGAGGCGCGCGCTCGTCGATCGGAAAAGCGGGCGGATACCTCGGGCAGCCCCTTTTTGGCGGAATCGCGTAGCGAAGGTCTATTGGTCCGGCGCCGCGTTCCCGAATCCGTGCAGCTGCAGGGCAGCGACGCCCGCTTCCTCCTCGATTACGCCGTTGCCGCGCGACACCGGCACTTTTTTCCAACGCGAACGGTCCATCGCGTGGCGCGGGGGCTTGCGCGCGTCGCAAGCGCGATCGCCCGGACGGCCGTGGATCGTGCACTCGCTCGACGATTAGCGGCGGTCAACAGCGTATCTGCTCGGCAATCGCGACAATGGACGCGTACGTCGGCGGCCCGCGCTATCTGCCTTCCCGCGATCTGGCGGTCGACCCGGTCGCCAAGTTTTTCTTCGGCGCTGATTGTCCGCGCTCGGGCTCGCGCTCGGGCTCGCGCTCTGTCGGCAATAATTCGCCGAGCGCGCCTTTCACCCGTCTGTCCTAATTGTCCTAAATTGCAAATAGAGCGAGCGGATCGAGGCTGGCCTACCTACTAGAATGTCCATGTTCCGTCGTCTGGCTGATTGCCAATTGAATGGCCAGTGGCGTACAATAGATGGAAGCGGAAAGCCTGCTAGAATGTCCATGTTCCGTCGCGCGGATGATTGCCAATTGAATTGCCACGCTCGTGTGTGTACCTCGGGTAGGCGGGTAGACTCCCGTCCGCGCTCCTGACAGCCGCAGTCTGCCTTCCCTTTTCCGTGCGCGCCAATCCTCGATTCGCTGAATGGGGTCTGGCATCTCAAGGCCGCGACGAAGCTGCGCGTGCCCAAGCCTCCGCGCCGTAGACTTCGCGCCTCCGTGCGGCCGAGGGCAAGGGCTGCGCTAACGCGGCGTTTGTTCAGCTTTTTCTTCTTTTTTTTTTTGTTGGCGAGCGGAACGTGATCTGCGCGCGCTCTGACTTCAGCGAGCGAGCCGCATTGAAGAGACACGGCCGTGCTGGTCACCTTCACTGCCCCCTTTCGTCTTCTCGGTTCGCCAACTGAAGCACGCGGATCAAACGGCTATTATGGTCTTCTCCGCGGCCCCTTGAATAATCTCCTCTAGCTATCGCTTCTCTCTCTCTCTCTCTCTCTCTCTCTTACACACCTTTTGTAGGGCTACAACTTTCAACGCACTTCGCCCGCGGCTACACTTCCTCTTGAAGTTACACGCGCGCGAGCGGTGTGCTCGCTTCCACTCGACGACCAATACCGGCCGTTCCATCTGCCATACGCCTGCCTTGTTGGCTAGCTGAATGTTAATTGTTCCAAATGTTGCCGAAGCGAGCGATTGTCCGGTAGGTGCCGCGTTCGCCAAGCTAAAGCTTTTGTCACTTGTGAAGGAACGTTGATCCGCTCGAGTGACTCGATTCCTCGAGTCGTCGCTGAAAGAGCGATCCTTTTGTAACGAGGCGAATCGGCTTGGTTTAAAAGAATTTGCCACTTGATATAGCCGTAACGCGATCGTATTTATTGGGACGAAAGACTGTATTCTTGGCAAAGAAGTCGATTGGAGAGTTAAGCTATCAATCTTTAGAGGAAATAAAACCATCTTTTTTTGTCGACTATGCTCTTACCAAGCTTTTCATTGACATAAAACATACATGATTATTACATGTACAATAAATAAATGGATACGGACAACAAGAATATATTGGTGGAGATAAATGCGGTACAAAATAATGAATTGTTGATATGAAAGAGGTTCTTTTCGTGTATCGTTCTATTATTTAATTTTCTATTTTATTTTGTTTGGAAATCCGTCTTGCGTGCAGGTATCTACGTGTACGTCTGCAAGTTTGCTGAATACCAAACTGTAATTGGTTAAGTAATTTAAAAAATGTACATTCAGCAAATAGCGTGTGTAGAGAATGTAAAATAAATCATGAAATTTTGAATGCGTTCGAATCGAGAAACTGCTTATGCTATAAGCAGCGCTGTCAGTATGATGGAGAACTATCGAATGGGCTGACGGCTGGTTAGTAACCGTATGAGCATTAGCTTGGCCAAAACTAAGTCGGCCGCGCGGGTAAATTAAAAAAAAAACCTTTATAAATGACGCCAAGTGCTTTGGGCACCGTCTCAAAAGCTCCGTTCAAAGTTGCCGGAGAAGGTAAGCAGAAGGCTCGAGCGTAAGTCGCTGCGCTTCTGATTGAAGGGGTCCCAGCCACCTTGAATTACATCCCCCTGGACACGGTGCGAGGCGGCGCACCCAAGCTGAACCCCTACCCGAACTGGGCCCAGAACGTGGCGGGGGCGTGCGGCAGCGGACTGACCACCGTGTACAGGTAAGCAAGCGCTCTCGGCGAGGCGCTTTAGTCGACTAAGCGGCGCACTCGACTGAGCGGCTGAGCGCCTGCGCAGAATGCACGCGGACGCGTGCGACCGGCTGTGGATCCTGGACGTGGGCACCATCGGCATCGGCAACACCACCGTGCAGGCCTGCCCCTACACCCTGAACGTGTTCGACCTGACCACGGACAAGCTGCTCAGGCAGTACAAGCTGCGGCCCGAGGACGTGAATCAGGTGAGCGCGAGCGCGGCGACGGCCGCCGCCTGCCCGGCCCGGTCTGAGCGCCCCGGCTCGGTCCGCAGGACACCTTCGTGGCCAACATCGCCGTGGACCTCGGCAAGGCCGGCTGCGAGGACGCCTTCGCCTACATGCCGGACGAGCTGGGCTACGGGCTGATCGTCTACTCGTGGCAGCAGAACCGCTCCTGGCGGCTCGCCCACAGCTTCTTCATGCCCGACCCGCTGGCCGGCGACTACAACATCGGCGGCCTCAACTTCCAGTGGGGCGAGGAGGGCATCTTCGGCGTGAGCCTGTCGCCGATCGCCCTCGACGGCTACCGCACGCTCTTCTTCCACCCGCTCAGCAGCAACCGCGAGTTCGCCGTGTCCACCAGGGTGCTGCGGGACGAGCGGCTGTCCGCCGACAGCTACCACGAGTTCCAGGTGCTGCCCGAGCGCGGCCCGCTGGGCCACTCCACCGCCGAGATCATGGACGACGCGGGCCTGCAGTTCTTCACGCTGGTCGACCAGAACGCCGTGGGCTGCTGGAACTCGCTGCTGCCCTACGCCCCGCAGAACCAGGCGGTGGTCGCGCGCCACGACGAGGCCATGATCTTTCCGGCCGACGTGAAGGTCGGCCCGCCGCGGTCCGCCGCTGCCGCGCGCCTCGCTCACGGTCCGCTCTGCCTTGCAGGAGCGGCGCGGCCTGCTCTGGATCATGACGGACCGCATGCCGCAGTTCCTCGAGTCGGAGGCGGGCCTCAACTACACCGACGTCAACTTCCGGATACTCACGGTGCCGGTGCGCGACGCCATCGCCGGCACGGTCTGCGACAACGTCCCGTACGCCTACTCGGGCAACCAAGTCTGGTGGGACCGATGATGGGCTCCCGGCGGCTCCGGGACCTGGCGCGGACGCTCTCTCACTTTGCTGCTGCTGCGCTCGACGCCGCTGGGCGCTGGCGCACCTCTGCGCTCGGTCGCGATTTCACTGGCGCGCTCGTGAGGATCCTCCTCCTTCCCGTTGCTCGCTCCCGCTCTAGCAGCTTTTCCTCGACCTTTGCAAATATCGTTAAACAGTTAATCGGTTCCTCTGGCATTTGCACTTCCTTCAACTTCTTATCGTTCACCGTTTGCACCCCCGTTTCAGTAAAATCCTAGCGGCCGATAGATTTCACGCAGTCTCATCAAATCTGAAACAGCATTCTTCGTGGAAATTTAGATAATTAGACAGATGTTATTATAATTATGTAGTTTGTCGTTGATGTTGTGACCATGAGGTCGTAACAGCATGGTTGTAAATGATTGTAGTGTGTAAGACAAGAATCGTCTGTAATATATTTTTAAAAAATCAGTCGAATCAAAGAAACTGTGAAAATCACGTAAAACATACTCGACGTTTGTCTCCGATACATCTCGATAAATATAATAGCCAAATCAATAAACAAAAAACAACAACAACAACAACAAATGCCGCATAACGGCGTGTCGGCGTTCCAAAGCATATTCGCAGTCTTCCAGGCGGGCGTGACGTATCGCTGCACCTTCACAGCTGCCGACTACGAAACGTTACAAGCTACACTATTCCTATGCGCCAGATGCAATCAGGTGGAAGGCTGCGTTGTCAAATCGATCGTGCATATAAAATCAAGTTGGAGTTCTCTCGAACCAAGTTTAACGGAGTGCAATCTGAAAAAGAAAAAAAATCCCACACTGTGATGTTAATATCAAAGGGAAAGTATAACGAAACAAAAAAGAAAAGGCCGAGGGAAGGGTACTCGTGCTCGTTGAAGAGATGAGATAAGAGGATGTCGGTGAAAAAAATTGGGAGGACCAATATGTGCAGCTACGTCTAATGACATCCGCTTTACGATTTCACGTCTCTGCGCTCGAAATTTGGAGATTTCCTTCGCCGCCGCTCGCAACGTGGAAATCTCGTTGCCTATATATATTGAAGAGCGCGCGCGGAAGTGAATCGGTGCTTTCCGATCGTCATTTCTAACGCCAGCTTGACGTCAGGATGCTCGGACCGTTGTCTTAATTATCACAAGACGTAATAGATGTGAAAGCAGTGGCCTATCGTAGAGTAGACCACGAAAGTACCGCGCAAGAGGAACCGAGGGCGCGTGCACAATTCGACTGCGGCGCAAGTACGCGGGGCTTTTTTTCTCTCTTGCTTGTGTGCATTGTCAAAATGAAAAGGCTCCATTGAATCCGATCGGCTGTACGGCGAGGCGCGCAGTCCAGCCACGCCGGCGCAGAGTAGGCCAAATCGAGGTTCCTTATATTCGCGCGAGCAGGAAGTCGGCCAGACGTCTCAATGTAAATATGCACGCGTACACGTGCGCACTGTACGTTTGCAGCCCATAAGAGGGAAACGTGATTGCGGAATTTTTGGCTGCATTCTTTCGCAGCTGTCCCCATTGTACAGTCCTATATAGGTGCGCGTCGATCCCCTGGTCGAGCGAGCTCTGTACTCCCTCTCTTAGCCATCAGCGATCTGCGGCTGATATGGTACGCGAATCTTCTCCGGTCTCGCTTATCGGCGCCTAGGCTCCGAAGGAGACTTTCGCTCGATGCCGATCGGAACACGTACTCGATCCCGTCTGCCCCCTCCCCCAGTATCAACTGTTGAACAAATCGAGTTTGTTATTACGACTAGACTGATCTGTCGTCCGCCCTGCCGACAGTTATTGCGCACTTTTCGTGTACGTCGGCATCTCCGCATCAAAGTGCTCATCGGTATACACACGTATATACCAGTAAGGGGGATCTGGACCCCTGCTTGTTCCACTCGCCAACCCCTCGGAAGAAGAACAATAGTAGGAATAAAAGGAATAAATAGCATTTAATAGTCATTCAAGATCGCAACCAACATAATGTGATGCGTCTCTGATGTTTAACGTTGAAGATGGCGGATATTCGTCTCCATTCTTAAAAAAAATTAAAAACCAAAAAGTCGCCCAGATAAAAAGTGCTCTGCTGCCCTTTACATTTCTTTCCTTTACAGTTCCACCCGTAAGATTATTTTCTTCTTTGGTGCGGCCGAATGATCGGTGGTTCGAGCGTTAGCCTATATATGGAGTCAGAATTGATTTACGTGCCATCATCACGCGAACAAGTCTGCGCTGTTCTGCTCGGTGAAAAGGACAAAGCGATCCGTGCCCGCGGCAACGCCTTGAAAAATACGCGGCAGCCCGCTCAACGGAGCAAAGGGGTGCGCGTCGAAATCGATTTTCCGCGTCCCGGTCGGTAACACCGTCGGCGCGATCGATCGTCGATGCGAGCACCGCGCACTCGGGTCACGCGTGCCGTACGTAAGCACAATAGAGCGCACCGCGCCGCACAAAGGTATCGAAACGATCAGCAGGTATATTCGAGAAGTGATCCGCGCGGCGACAGCGCACGGCCGTCAAATTAACGTTAAGGGCCAGCCCCGATCGCGATCCGTTGCTCGAGTCGGGCGGCCTTCCGCGACACCTGCGCGCCGTCCACGCTCGCTGTCCCCGACGCAGCGCACAATTCGATCGTCGAGCAATGACGCATTGCCGACGAGTTGTCTAAAACAACCGTCGGTCGGTATAACCCAGAAGGAGAGCAATGGGCGCTGACGGATGCTTTGGCTGGAACTCAACGGACCCACCGCAGTTATCTTTCTGCCGAGTACTCTTTTCATGCACAGTCAGGTGGCCATTGTCATTCTAACCAAGGCATAAAATAAGTTGGACAGCTGCTTTTATTTTGTGGCCTTGGTCATATTTTTTTAATATCAGAAATTTGGCCGTAGCTGGTTATTGCTATTTTATATCATGCATCATAATCTTTATCACACTTTCATATTCAACAGTTCGTAGTCAGAATGATTTAGAGTAGCGCGTCTCATTACTGATCGACTAGAGAATCCCAAGAGCTTGAGTATTGAGAAAATAACTATATGCACCCCTTACATAATATGCATGAATTGAATTAACAATTAATCTTAATAAATCCTCTTATTGCAAGTGTGTTACATGAGAAGAATTTAGCCAAATGAAATTCTCGGTATGCAGGAGGCCAATTGTTTCCGTGTAGAGGTGCAATTGTACTGCAGAATTGGTCTCCCTATAACAAGAGCGCAGTCATTCTGAACAATGCTTCTCGTTATCCAAAGAAATCGTCTTGCAAGAATAAGCACGTTTAAGGCTATTATGAGAGAGAAGTCCTCTGGTGATAAAAGCGCCTTGTTTTCAGCGTATTGGAACGAAAGTCGACGTGAGACGGGCAGTCGGGATGATGAGAAAGGGAGGCCTGCGTAAATATGAATCTGGACGTGGGCACAAAGGCCAATGGAAAGGGAAGTAACAGTGGATCCCGGCGATAAAGCGGGCAGAGATTCAAACAAGCCACCACTCTTTATCTCACCTCCGATTTTTGGAAGGCATAAAGTACAGGCCCCGGGGCCGCTCACGGCAGCAGTCAGGCCAGCGCGGATAAAGAGGTCACGCACGCTCAGATGCGTCTAGCTGATCGTAAATCTACCAGCGCGACGAATTAACGCGCCGCAGTAAGGGGGCTCGTTAAAGTAATAATGTGCCGCCTGGACGTATGGGCCGCGCGGGCAGGAGGGGGCGGGGAGGCGGGGGCGATTTTTCAAAGAAAACAAGCGGCGAACACCCGGTCAGATTGTTGGGCGTGCGCCGGCCTTGTTAGACGCGTCTCGCGTACAGTCCCGATCAAAAGTTTCTCGATCGATTCGAGATCAATCAAGCCAACAGCTTTTCAAGTTTCAAAACTATAGCCGGACATTTCGTTCGCACTTCTCTCTTTGTTTCGATTTGCTTTGCCGAATAATCAACGTTTGAACGAAAGCCGCCAACCAAAAGCTCATTTTTCTATGCATAAAGATGTCACCGATAATAGCCTGATTTATATTTGTTTATATAAATACGTAACAATTTTTACTATATAGTCCGGTACAGTGAATGCGTATTGACTTTGCTGACTGCTTGTGTGAGCACCTTTTCGGTTATCGAGGCATTTCGTCTGATTTTGCTGGACAAGTAAACTACAAATTAGACGAAGAAATCAAAAGACCATTATTTATTTTCTTGGAATAAATCAAATAATACGATAACGGTTGGTTAAGGTATCTATTATCTGTAATGCCTTGAAACTTTGTGAAGTTATAATAGATATACGCACACGTAACTGCAGAGTTTCGAAATACTTTGTTAGTCCGCTTTTGAGATATTTATAATTTAAGTTGCCAAACTTAACGTAAGAATGAAAGACGCGAACATGTAAGGTTCAATGCTATAACTTATTCGGAAAACTGTGTCGTTTAAAAACGCGATTAGATCGTCGAAAATCGACCGCGTTCTTTGTACGTAAATGTTATTATTGTTGTTGCTTATTCGTATAATTTTTCAAATTTTATCGTGAATTCCAGTATAGATGCCCTTCCGACGTTCCGACACCCTATAATAATCTTTTTCGACTTTATTTCTTCGCTATCACTGAACTGTATGATTATTTCTATCTTATAAGAAACAATCCGTTAAAAATACTTAAACAGTCCAACGCCTCACTTTCAATCAAAGCTGTACCACGAACAAGAACAAAAGCGCTTCTTACACCCCCCTTTTTGGATAATTTTTAGGGCCTCGATCGAGGCGGCTGTTCGTGCTGTTGTCCGACTCTTTGGCCGCGAGATATACGATCGCAGCTAAGATACGCCGGAAATTATCCGTTTCACGTCCGCGTGTGCGTATGGTAGTGCGTAACGGGCCCTCGCGCTTCTTGCATAGAAGGCAGACAGGGGTTATTAGAATGTGCACGCTTGTGCTGTGCTGTCAAGCAAAATGACGTGCAAGCCTACTATTCTTTCTTCGTTGTACGATAGATTTTTGTTCCATTAGTTCCAATGACCAGACGTAAAGCCAAAAACATGATCGGACAGATTCAATAGATCTATGATGTTTCGGAGAAAGGGCGCAATTCGCTTGGAAATGTTTTTCGAATAGTGCCGTTCGGATCTGCACTGTATACATTTTTATACTTGATATTACCTTACCATCGGATACAACTTCAATCTCAAGTTTGCAGTGGTTATTTGTCATGCGGAACGGAACTGCAAGTCAACAGCTACGTAGAGATGTTCGAATTTTATATTTTTATCAACTTTTATCTAATTCAAAGAAATAGTGCTAAATTATTGGATTCCTTAAAAATTGAATATTCAAAATGCACAGTAATATCACTAGCCATTGTGAATTGCACAGTAATGCTCAAACCGTATTGAAAACTTGTTTATAATATAAAGTTCATTCAAGAGTGATTATTGTAAGTCGTTCTTTCTGGAGCGAAGGAAAGCTTGGAAGGCTGTTCGTAAAAAAAACGTTGCACAATCAGCTGATTACACGTAAGACATTACTAATGGCAACAAGCAGAAGAAATTTATTAGCTAAGAAAAATTCGTTTGTTGCCATTAACTACGCGTAGTAGTAATGAAGCTTTCTAAATTTTTACCTTGCCGTTTTTTTATGACAAACGTTTAATAATTTTCTCATGATCATTGGATAGAAATGATGCTATATATTAATTTTCAGAGGGGTGTTCGTTCATTACCTGGTAATTAAAAATGATTCGAGACTGTTTCGGATGTATTTTTTGAGCTCACCAGAATCGAAAAAGAAGAGAAACGGATTTGCCATTAAAGCAAAAAGTTTCCTGAAATATTTTAAATTTAGTCGGACCTTAGATCACAAGTCCACTTTTTAATTAAATAGACGTCATGATTATTTATTATTCTAGTTCAATATATATAATAAATTAAAAAATTAAATGTTTATTAAAAACTCCAATATTCTAGACGTCTAGTGCAAATTAATATTTCTCATCGTATCCTTGTTAGTGTGGTGCTATTTTCATTTCTAATAATTGAAACTAATGATATTTATTTGAATTCAATAAGCTATAAACTCCTAAGAATTGAGTCTATTTAATTGTATAATAATGCAATGAAAAACAAAAAAATTTGTACAGAAAACATGTATTTTATTCAAGAGTCATTTATGATTTCTTTAAAAAGACAAGACTATAATAATTTCAATAACTGACATAATATTGATTAATTGATAATAATTATAAATCGGAAAAATTACTGTTGTTTTTGAGTAAAATAAAAGTGCCTACATAATTAAATGTATATATGTACACACACGCGCGCGTGCACTAATACACAGCATACATACATTATACACACACATACATACATACACACACATACGTGCCTTTTTTGCCACGGGAACTAGCCATTCAAGTTAAGAATCCTGTGTTACCATTTAGTTTACATGGAAAAGTATGTAAGTGACTCGAATTGATATTTCGTCGATTTTACCTGCATTCTCATGTCAAGCGAATGATAATATGAGAGGTCCTATGGCTAGTTTTCTCAGAAACACACGGCATATAAATCACATATTGAAGTACTAATCTATGCTATGGAAAAAGTCTTGCAAAAACACATTAATGAATTTTATTGTGTATGATACTAAACGAAATTGTCGGGTTTACAAAGTAATAAACTTGGTATAAATGAATGTGCTTATATCAGACTTTTTCTCGGAATAGATCCGTAGTTTTTTTTTTCATTTTTCTCTTTTTCATTTTATATAATCCCACAATACAAAAAAGCTTCGTGTGAGTAATCGTCTCTCTTAGCAACGTAGGTTTGACTAAAATCACGCGGCAAAAGCTACGTACAAGCTCATTCCAGCCATTGGCTCCGGTAAGTGTCTTGTGGATGTGTCAATGCACCGAACGCTTGATCATTTTTTAACTTGCAGGGCGTTTGACAGCCAGTCCATGGCCTGATCTAAGCCCTCACCCTTTTTTGCCGATGTTTTGAAAATTTGGAACGTTCGGTTTTTTAAAGCATCTAAACCCAATGCTTGATGCACTTCGGCGACGCTCAAACAACCTGGTAAATCTTGTTTGTTGGCTAACACAACAAGAACTGCATTTTGTAATTCTTCTTCCTATAAAAATTCGTAAGTAACTGTTACTTTTATTCATTATCAGTTATTAGAAAAATGTCTATTTTTTATTTCATGTTAACGTATGATGCAAACATTCAACGAACACTTCATTGCTTTATTAAATTCAAATAAACAGGTTCATCTTGATTCACGGAAAGAAGTAAAAGTGCCAGATTTTTACTTGTCCTAGCATTCACTGCATGTAACAATCAGAGTGTCGAATTTTCACGTAAATCTCAAAGACGGCTCCACGTGGCAAAAGTAATCAACTCGCTCGCAACCAAACATTTGTTGATGAATTAAAGCGGATCAAATTGAAGTAATTTTTATAAAGTCTGGATTCTTATAATCTTTTCCAAACCCGATATGAATTTCGATTCGTTAAGGGAATATAAATTCAGAAGATTATTTTTATATTATGTTTTTTACCAATTTATTAATAGATCCCTCTGAGTACCTCTGCAGATTTTGTATATGACTTATACAGTGGCTTATACAAGTCATAAAATGCTTGTCTAATTTATTTCAATGAATATTAAAATCTAAACATTGGTATAAACACTCTCGAAACCTTAACAAATAATGTAAGTCTTAAAAAATTGGAATATATCAAATTTAGACAGACTATAAAAAACTAAATACTATAAGTAATAAATAAAATGAAAGTTTTCCTGTTTAAATTCATCGATAAATTCTTATTTTTGCAAGACAATTAAATATGACAGGCATAATTTAGTCACGTAAAAGTTTTAGCACAAATATGAGTGATGGGACGTAATGTGGGTGTCAAGTATTAAGTGCTCACTTTTTCCCATTTTATATAGATATAGTAAGTAAACCAACAGCGAAAGGCTAATAAGGATTCATTGAAAGTTATACATATAATTAAAACATTTTGTAGAACCGTTTGGCCAGGGTAATTAATAAATAATAAAGATTTTCCATAATATGAGAAAGATTGCATTTAATATTATTTTACTTACCCTTAACATGTATATTAGTTCATCTTTGGATATGCCTATTCTATCTCTATCAGCTGAATCAACAACATAAATTATAGCATCTGTATTTGAATAATAACACCTCCAGTATGGCCTAAAATATAATAAAATTGTTTTATTAAAATTTTATTTTTATTTTCATACATCATCAGTTAAGTAATCAAGGTCTTCACCTTATACTTGTTTGACCACCCAAATCCCATACTTGAAACTTTAAATTTTTATAAGTAACTTGTTCAACATTAAAACCAATGGTAGGAATCGTTGTAACTACTTCTCCAACTTGTAATCTGAGAAAGAAAAATGGAATCATCCATACCCAGTAAACATTATATTGGTAAAGATGAATGCCAACAAATTGTATTTGGTTATATCTCAAAATTATACCTGTATAAAATTGTTGTTTTTCCTGCTCCATCCAAGCCAAGAATTAGAATTCTCATTTCTCTGCTTCCAAGCAAGTTTCGAAAGTAACTGATCAATCCACCTAAGATGATCATTAATAATGAAAGTAATTTAATTTAAATAATGAACACAGACACTTGAATATGAATCTTGAAAGTTACAAAAAGATTTTGCGTGACAGTTAAGTTTTAATGGAAAGGTCGATCAATCTGTTGATTGATCAACAAGAAAGTTATATCTACTCACCCATTGCGATGATTTTCCTTCTATTTTACAGCATAAATATACTATACTTTTTCAAAGGCTAAATGACAATTTATAGGTTAGCAATTACTTTGTCGTCAAACCTCTACAACTGTTGATAGAATGTTGCAAATAAGTGTGCCAACGATTTTCTATTCCTTTCTCGGGTAACGAGAAACACTTTTTAATTGCAATCAACGCTCAATAGCTGTTATAAGTGCGGACGGATTTATGCAGGACGTTTGTGCCACGTATCACGGGCACCTGGAATGATTCAATGTTACTATTTTTCATTCGATAGTTACTTGATGAACTATGTAAAATTATTCGATACAATAGGATTAAGTATAAAGATAAATTCAGAACTGGTCACAAATACACAAATACATATCGCACACACATGTAGAAGTCGGCGGCAATTGCAAGTAACCTATATAGTATGGAGAAGATCCCATGATAAGATCCGTCACGCTCGCTCTCTCTCTCTCTCCCTCTCTCTCGATTTTCATAACATAGGCAGTTATATAGTATAGACTATATAGCTATAGCTATAACAGGCTGCAACTACAATTACTAGAAATATTTTGTGACGATATGCGGACTAAACTAACAGTTAATGAAAAAGACGTAGATCTCTTAAATAAAAATGCTTGCAAGATAACAGAATGTCTAGATCCAAGTTTGAAAATTCCATATATTGATTTTCATCAATATGTTAATGAAGTTTGTAATAATGATTTCTTTCAATTTTAAAATAATTTTCGCGCTAATATAGGTCATTATTATTTCTTTCAATTTTATAAGAAAACACAATACCCTTGTTCAACAATTGTAATTTTCAAAGAAATTATATTGTCACCAATAATTGTCTCAGATCTAATTATTATTCTCTCGCTTTTAATATATGTACAACAAAAACATTATTAAATTTAGTAAATGCTCTCATTGTCCATTTGAAGATCAAGATATCGGTCATATTTTATGGAAATATCCTAAATTTACCAATCAAAGAAAAGTTTTATATAAATGTCTTGAAAAAGTTAAAATCACTCAATCTTATTCCATTCAGTGTTGGGTTCGAGGAATTTCGCTAAGTTCAGTAGTCAGGAAAAATGAGTCAATCAGAGAGTAGCGCCAACCAATTCACGTCGTTCCATTCCACAAGCGTTGATCGACCCTATTCCATTCGTTTCTTTTCAAATAAATTTTCAGAGAATGATTTTTAATTTTAGCAACTAAATACATTGATGTAACTATTGTATGAAATAAAGAATATTTTTTTAATGTATTTTATATCACATTTTCTAAATATGCTAATTATCTATAAATCTTCAAATGGAAATCCAATCAAGTTAGTCGATCATTTTTGAGGTGAGTTCTTAATCTGTATATGATCTGAATCATTTAGCATATTTTTTCGGAAAATGTAATTATTGCCAATTTACCTATCGCTACTTTGTGCCTCTTACTTCTAAAATGTTTTCTATTTATTTGTGAGTTATCATTGAGTGTTCATTGTTTTTCGAAAAAATTGGTGCAAGCTGGATTCCACTTTATTTGGCACTTCAATAACCAATTTATGTACTTTTTTCGTTTGCTTATTTAAGAATCTACAAGCCTATCAATTTCTTGTTGCATATGTTGCATTGATTTCATATTATCTAAAACCTTGACGTAATTTACATCTTATCATTCACATTCTTATTTTCAACTAGTTTAACGGAATTTTGACGATTATTGGAGTTTGTTGGCTGCAAATTTTCATCGGTAGACGAACATTCGAGTCGAGCTTTTTGAGTTTCTAGTATGGTGCTTTCATCACAAACAAAATTTTCAAAAGCTTTGCCTTCCATTTCGTGCTGTTCTCATCCGAATATTTCTGCTTCATTACTTTTTTTAAATGTTTTAATTATAATTATCTTTATACTTTCATTTGATCGTTTATTATTCAAAGAAGACGAGCTTTTAACAGTAATTGAAAAACAATCTTCGAAACTGGTCATTAATTGCTCTTTCAAATTCATTAAACGGATTTGTTTTTTTTTAATCGGTGGTTATTTTCTTTGAAAACCTATTACTTTCATTGCTAAAATATTCTTTTAAATTATTGACGAATTGATTTCTCGAATTTTCTGGCACGACTTTTGAAATTTTACTCAATGCTGCATTGTCTTCAACTTTCCAAATTGTAGTCTAATATACGCTGTGACCTAATGTCGGCAAGTACACGCCTATCTACGCAATAAGGTGTTGCCGTAAATTCTCTGTCACAATCTGTTCTATTTCCTTATATTTATTCTTCCTTATCCTTATTCTATCCTTTTCTCCATTTCTCTATTTTTTCTATTTTTTCCTTTTATTTTTCTTTCTTTTCTATCCTTTCAAGAGTATTTTGGTGAGGAAAAAAGGTGGAAGAAAAGTTTTATTCCATTAAGTTATTCATTTTTGCCGTCATCCAAAATTATTGTTATGGCTTAAGTCAAGCTGTAACGTGACAGCAGATAAATTTGGCCGGGTATAGAGTGTGGCCTCACTCGCAGGCGCCGAGGATGGTGGAGAAAGAGAGAGAAAGAACAACTTTGCGAATTCAATATTAAGTGCACTTTACTAATGACAAGGAAAAGAGAGAACAAGATTGAGAGAGAGAGAGAGAGAGAGAGAGACCCGACCACTAGATCGATTGCTGATGCGTCGCTGACCCCAGCGCAAGAAGAGCTATTTTTGCTTAAAAAAGCGGTGGCCGAAACACAGCAACTACGTGCAGCTCTACATTATCCTCCTTTCTGGATTCGTTGCGAGGCCTGTTGTTTTTATACTTTGTTGCTGAAAGTGTTGCCCCTCTCACTGCATAGACGCAGGCCACTTGATCCATTTGGTTTTAGGTGGTTTAGAGGAATTCAGTAGCGGATTAATCCTGTTCTCCACCTCCGTTATTCGAAGCGTATAGGCGCTCGATCACTTTTGCTCATGCTCAGGTGATAGTGGCACAGATTGTGTCTCAATCGCCATACATTCAAATAGAAGAATGATTACATTACGATACAAGTGCGGAAAACTCGCTTTGCTCGAGCGTAAACGCCATACGATACAAGAATTTACTTTGCCGCACTTGTATCGTAATGTACACGTTTTCTGCCAAGCGTGCAGGAAAGACGCACTTTGCGCACGGAGTATCGAAAAATACGGTACGGCACATGTTCGGCAGAGTTTCTCATCTCGTGTACCTTTCCACCCTCGCTTCGCTTGGGCGTAAATGTCACACCAGACAAAAATCTACTTTCCCGCACTTGTATCGTAATGTATTAAAATTAAAGAAGTGGTAAAAATAAAAAAAAGTACATGACTTTTAATTTAAATAACTATATAGAAATATTCTAAGTGAAAGCCATCTTATATAAGTATGCCTTTTAACAATTCAAAAATAACGATAGAGATGTATGTGTGTGCGCCATAGCATATAAAAGAATAGTACTGATGCCAGGTTATGGAATTGTCCGCGAGAATGAGAAAGATAGTAACAAATAGTAGGAAGTTTCTGTCTCTTTCTAGTCGACTCTTATTGGCCTTATTGGCTATCGCTACTCAAATAAGTGTTGACTAGAAAAAGACAGAAGCTTCCTACTATTCGTTGCTATCTCTTTCACTCTTCCATAACCTGGCCTCAGCAGTCTATCCTTTGCCTGTGTGTGGTGCACACATGCGTACCATATAGATACTATACGCTACAGTACGCTATTCGTGCACAACCTTTATTATAGCTCTCACGCTTTTGGTGGAATACCACGAGTACAAGTATAACGACGTTGGATTTTTGCTTCAATATATTTTACTTCAAATACAGAAACAATGCAGGGTCCCGCAGTTTTTATGGATGGTACCACTGAAGATCAGGTAAATATGATAATTTAAAGAAAAATTCAATGTTCAAATTAGTATTCGCATTATTCGTCAGTTCTTTCTACAATAATTTTTAGGTTATATGTACCAGATACTGACTGTTAATAATGTTATACACTTGTTAAAGAAACAGGCATGTGGATAATTATGTACGGTTTTATTATACACACAAATTGTTGGGCACAGAAAGGTAGTGTAAGAATTGATATACGCTAATTCATACCACGTTGCTATGTACAGTAATTATGTGTATAATAAAATCATGCATAATGGGCTGCAAGCCAAAAACAAAGATTAAAAAATACTTAAATAAGTTTATCTATGCGTTCCTCAGTTTGATATTGACTCTATTCAACTTTTATTAATTATGCAAATGTTAGGCTCAAGAATTAAGAATCTACTTCAAAAGTCTTGGTGCAGAAATTAGTGAAGAAAAATCACCCAAAGGAATAGAAGATGATTTACACAAAATTATTGGCGTCTGCGATGCTTGCTTCAAAGAAGGAAATGAAGCTGAAATTGAAACAATTTTAAATGATATTGTCTCAATTATGATTCTGGTACCAACTGAGCGGGCAGAAAATATAGTATTGGCTTTTTGTGAGAAACTAACAAAAGCTCCTGGCTATAAACTTGGACTTGTTTGTTTGAAAGCGTAAATGGGTTTTTAAACAATGGTTATTGTAAAATGTTTATAATAAGTATCCAATATAGCAAATTTCATTTTCAGGCTGTGGCTCCTTTTCCAATCACTGCCAGAAGATTCATCAATGAGATATCATGTCTACTATCATTTAGTCCAAATAGCAAGAAACGTAGACCAAGTCAAAGCAGTTTATAACGGAGTTGATCAATTGAAACAGCAATTTGTAACATGCCCTCCAGCAAATGATCAGATGCAGAAGCTTCTACGTTTACTGCACGAGGTTTTATTAAGTTGCAAACAAGGGTATGTATGATTATATTTATACTTTCAAATTGTTATAGAAAATATAACTTTATAAATTGTTTTTTTGTATATAGTGAACAGGCAGCAGCAGTTATGGTGGAACTTTTGGGTACATATACAGCTGAAAATGCATCTGCTGCAAGGGAAGATGCTCAACGCTGTATTTTATCAGCTCTTGCAGATCCAAATACATTTCTGCTGGATCCACTGTTGGCTTTAAAACCTGTACAATTCTTGGAAGGGGAAGTCATTCATGATTTACTTCTTATTTTTGTTCAGGAGAAACTTCCAGCTTATTTGAAATTTCACAAAGATCACAAGGAGTTTGTGGAAAGTCATTTAGGTTTGAATCATGAACAAAATATGAAAAAAATGAGACTGCTGACATTCATGCAACTTGCTGAAACGAACCCAGAAATGTCCTTCCAAACTATTCAGGATGAACTTCAGATTCCTGAAGATCAAGTTGAAAGTTTTATCATTGATGGTAAATTCATTTTTTATATAAAAGTTATACTTCACCCTAATCTTTATTTACTTATTACTGATTGATAAGTAAATTAACATTGTACAAAATAGGGTAAATTAAATGGATTAGTACTGGCTCAACAAAACTTGTTTTTTTTGAGTTATCGTAACATTCAACAATCTCAAATATATTCTCACTGTGTGTACATAGTGCAAATTTCGTCCTACTAATATCCATTTTTCAGTTCTCAAGACGAAACTCGTGCGAGCACGCATGGATCAAGCAGGTCGAAAAGTTCTCGTTTCGAGTACGATGCATCGAACTTTTGGCAGACCACAATGGTTGCAGTTACGCGACCTCCTAGCAGCATGGAAAGCTAATCTGGGAAATGTCCAAGATGGCATGAAAAGTGTGGCTGCAGCGCAAATAGAGCTTGCTGCTAAAATGAAAGCGCCTGTAGTTCACTGACACATAAGAAAATTCCACTGAGTTATTTTGATTTAGGTAAATTATATTTTACAAGGGAATTTATGAAAATGGAGGTTTTCTCTTTATAATATTAGGATTATTATCAATATTCTCACTGAATACATACATTTACTTACATTACTTTCAATTTTACATTTTTCTATTGGGAATAAAAAGAACTTTTGTATTTTCTACATTATTCACACAATAATATTAAAAAGAAATAATATTGACTGTCACAATGTTAATAAAAGTATTTCCAATAATTGGTCGATGTTCATAAGTGATTAATTAATAAAAATATTGATAAAATACAAAAAAACTGTTATTTCATTATTCCAATTACTTTATTTCCAGCCTCTTGGCAAATGTCTCGCTAGTATTCACGATATGCAATCATTTTAAGCTGCTTAGTTTTTTACATTTTCAATTCATTCACGCTTGATATTTTCTGGCCGGCACAAGGTTGCCAGCTCGTTGTTTAGTCATTAACAGTAATTTATTCTGTATACTTGCACTCGTATATTATTTGCAGAGTATTCGGAGATCAGTCGAGCGTAGTTTATGGAAGTATAAACGTGTACACTTATTTAGAATTAAATGATATTTTTGACATAATTTTTTAAAAGCTTTTCCTGTACTATTTTTCGTATTGTTTGTTTCGTATTATTCCAACTTTATAACAGAAACTTTCTATTCATTTTTATCTAAGTTCACATTTTTAATGTACCATTTTTTAATTCAATTGAAATATCTGATAATATAAAATTTACTATAAGACAACAAGAACATTGTGGATAATACACAATAGTAAATTTACTTTTTTCAATAATAAAATAGAAAATTATTTAAGTATTTAATTTCATTGTTAGAAAATAAGCTCATTAATAGTTTCATCTGTATTAGTTTTCACAAATTGTCAAAAATAAGTTTTTGATCTATATTTACAAGAATATTGTACTATAGTAAAACAAATATTTCAATTCCAAACTTTTTACATTTCATTTCATACAAGATTTGAAGCACGTTTTTTGTAGATTTTCAAAAACAATGACAAGATTAAAATTACATTTCAACTATATAGTTCATACAAAAATTCAATTTGATTTTTTTTCCAAAGAAAAGGTTAAAATGTTTTCTGTACAACGTGGCCATCACTATTTTTAGAAACTTACTAGCACAAAAACATTAGGTTCTGTTATTTAAGATATGCATACGCACGCCATGTTTACATGAATGTAACAAAAATAGTCATTCATTGTCAATATAGCAAAAATGATGCCTGCTATCAGTATAAATTGCTGATCTTTTTCTTTTAACCATCGAAATGTCTACCTTTTTCTTGTAATCTACTAATTCTCTTTACAATCTGATCAGTTTTCAAAATAATAGCTAAGATTAAAACTTTTCTTAATAATAATGCAGTAATTGTAACTTTTGTAAACCAACTTCGTACACAGCAGTGGCAATTTGTAGATATAAAAAAATAAAAATAATGATTGACGTACATATGTCATAATAATAAAAAGAAATAGCATCACATATTTATTCTCAAATTCTCGAAAGCATTCTGGCGATTCTTGCCAGCAAATCGAGTCACATTTTAGTCGAAAATCGAGGACGAGGTAGATCACCAAAAACTGTATCACCATGTACACTTTTAGCTAAGGCTTTTATAGAAGCTTGTATGTTGTGGGGATCCATAGGATCTCTGGAAATCTGCAAGCAAATATTAAAGATCAAGTACTCATTGATGTTTCAAACTATTAGGAAGTTGCAAAAATTTTCGAGAAAAAGTCTCAATTACCTGTTCATCATCGTCGTCTTGTATTGCTAAACGCTGACTAAAGGAATGAAAAGTAGGTACCGTGACAGGCAAAGATTTTGCTAATGTTGGATGCCCACTTCTATGATTACGAGGTACGTGAATTACTTCATTGCCAGAATCTTATAAGTAGAAAAAATAAATTCCTTAATTATCATAAACAATCATAATTATAAGATAAATCATTTGTATGAAGCTGTCTGCTAACTATATATACCGTCAGTATCAGATTCCTGATCAGAAACTTGTATGTGGTGCCTATTCATTAAAGGTGGACTGTCATCCATTCCCTCAAGTAAAAATAAAGGCTCTCCATCATAGCTACTTGCATCTCTAATTTGTGAGTCACTATTCTGGCTATTACCATTCTGATAAAACAAATGCTTAGTCAGAAGAAAGGTGAAATTAGTCTTACTTTTGTCGAATAATGTACTTACAATGTGACCAATATTATATGACTTGTGGGGTGAATGCAGACTAACTGTAGAATTTCTTGAAATTAGATTTGCTGTCGTATCTGTAGCATCATTCACTGAGGTAGTTTTATTTGGCTGAATAGAGTGCACAGCTGCAGGTAAAGTTTCTGTATAATTTGTACCATTTATGGTATTTTGTTCACTACAAATCAATCTAGAAATAAAAAATTTATTAATTGCACTTCTCAGATCTACTGGTACATTAAATCATGTAATACCTTGTTAGAAAAGAATGTTCAGAATGAGCACGCTCTTTGAATTTATCCAATATCTCATACTGCTGTCTAGTGAATTCACGAATTTTTGAATCGATTAAATGAGCTTGTTGCTGAATCGCTTGTTCAAGCTGCTGTTCTAATATGGCAAGAGCCAATCTTGAATTACTAGGTAAATGAGACACTGAAAAAGGATTTATTTCATTTGAAAAAATACTTTGATTTATTTCATAGTTTCCAAGTTACAGAATTTAAAAATTTTACCTGAAAATTTAATTTGTGGCTCAAGTGATTCCATCTCTTGCATTTTATTGGAATCAATAATTATTCTAAAAACTGGACTATAGCTATTACTAGTCTTCAAATTATTTATTTCTTTTTCAGATGTCTAGATATATTAACAATTAATCTTTGATCTATGTCTAAATAATTCATACTCTATTCTATATCAATATTTCTTAACTCACAATAATATTGGCGTTGACCAGAACCAAAGTGGCTCCATAATCCTGATGCATTGCATGAGTGTATGTCATACAATTATAACAGCGGTAAACAGCCCATCCATCTACATTTTTAACTTCTACCAGAGCAGGATGTTCTTTCTTTATAGTATCCAAATCTTTCACCATAGCAATATTCTTAAAAGAAATTAAGAAAAATATCAAAAATTCATTTATATCAACATTAATTATTTCAAATTGCTAACAAAAATACATTGTATGCTTACATTATCAAAATAAATCTCAGCTTGTTCTTTTATGTTCAGTTCTGCATCATTAATATTGACATCGTTTAACTCACTCCCCTTAGTTTTAATGGATACATTCAAACATTTGCATCCAAAATACATTTTACAATTTGAAAATTAAAATACTCTTTATCTGATATACAAAGACAAATTTATATCTGTTTATAAGCGTTTCTTTATTCCTTTTTTATTTCAAGTCAGGCATATTATTTTAATATATTGCAAAAGTTGTAAACAATTTATTTTATGATCTGAAACAAAACAGAAATTAAAAATAAATTAACAACATATACCAAAAATTTCAATGAATTCATCTATACTTATTAATAAAAAGCACTATCAATTTTGTAATTTATTTTCAATTATACGAAAATTAATAACATTTAAGTAATGACCAAATCTTTCTATTGTTTTATACGTTATATAAACTTAATAAAAATGAAATTTGACTAATGTAGAAACAATAACTACTTACATTATTCACAGACAGATACTTAATAAATAACCAATGTGAATCACAGAATATGAAAGAATATTGCAAATAGATGTGACAAAATGGTCACACAAGCAAATACATAAATTAAGATTAAATATCTAAATGTTAAAACTATTAGTTGGTGATTCAAAGATTTTATTGCTTTTTTTTAATCTTACAAACACTATTATATCTATATTTCTGCTGCTAAAAGAGATCAATGAAAAATAAATTTTAAAAAATAAGCTGCTACAATATCTACTCTTTGTAGAGGTCAACAAGCCATTGTTCAAACAAAAAAAGCTGCAGCTGTGTCCATTAGTGCCTTTTGATTGTTATTATTTATTCAGGGGGAAAACAAGTGTTTGCGCGCGCAAGAGTAGCAAAATGGTCCAGTATTTGACGCAAATTTTAAGGTTGTATTGGCTGTACCGTCTGTAGCAAAAGTTAATAAAATGAAAATTCTTTCTGATACCGTCATGAAAAGTATAATTAATTGATAATGATAAATTATTAACAAAAACAGAAAAATAAAATAAAACAAGTATACGTATCAAGTAAAATAATATTGGAGAAGTATAAAGGGCTTTATCTTGATTTTGGTCATACATTTTTCAATGTATAGTCAATGGATTTTGAATGGCATACTATATGTTAAAAACGTGTAATTGTCAATTTGTATTAGTTTAATCACGTCGTTACACCAATTACAACATACTTATAACATTAGAGATCTAACATTCCATCACTGTTATACCTATGAATTTTATAAATTATGCGTCGATCTCCATAAGGCTACTGTTAGTTTTCAAATTTGAAATTGTAATAATTTTGAATAGTAGCTGTTAACGAAATTGAAATTTATTGAAATTTAGCGTATCATTTTATTATAATAGTAACTACTATACGGATTTTTAAATAGTTGGCATTATTTTTTATTAAGAGTCAATACAACATTATCAATTCAAACTAAGAAAGATCGAGAAATTGAATTACTATCGAAAAAAAGAAAAAGCAGTTCTGACGACTTGCGTAAAAACTGAAAAATTCTAATAACGATGATGCAAAAAGACAAAATAAAGAAAAACACGAGTTTTGGTGAAATTCAGAACTATATATTCAATTTTTACGTGGGCATAGAAAAACTTGGTATTGAAAGGGAAAAAATATTCCATGGAGCCGGGTCGCGGCGAGTAAGTATCTTTTCTCTTTCTCTTTCTCATTTACTATACCACTACTCGGCATCGATAAAGGAGACAGTTGTACGTATATATACATACCCCTACACACATACAAATACTTACGCCGACAAATAAATATTGGTTGCAGTTTGACCTGAAGGGCTCTTTCGTAGAAATAATGTACACACGCACAATAGAAAAAAGCGATGCCGGTAAATATGTATATGAAACAATATAATTAACAAGCAAGAAGAAAGAATTGCGTATGCATACACACAAGAGAGAATACAAGCGGCGCACACAGGCACACATGCGATTACATATGATCTCACATTTATACGAAAACCCACAAAGAAACACTCACACTGCTCTGTGATGTTATTGTTGCATCTTCTTTTTTCAGGTGTAATTGCAGGATAGTATGACGACAATAGTACTCGTTAAAGAGGTGGCGCGATCCAGTGCTCGATATAAAATAATATCTCAGCCGAATATGTATCTATATTACTAAAAATAAAGCGTCGGCACTTGCTCTTCTCGCACGCACAAAGAACCATCCGCGTACTACCTATATATCAATCGTATAATGTAGTCGGCCGCTCACGCGCACACGCTACACCAAAATGAGAGAGGCAGTGAGGCACTAGCACTATATGTCCCCCCTCCCCTCTTTCTCTCACTCACTGTCTCTCTCTCCTTCTCACCGCAAGCATATACGTACATGTACGCGTATATAAGGTGTATTTGTCCGCATTTTTACATTTCTATCTTATATTCTTATTATTATACTCTTTGGTCCCCCCACACAATCCATTTAGTTGTTAGTGCCTGGACCAATTTAGCCGATATCAATATGTAATTCATACACTTGCATATACGTTTTTCAGTCATTTCATAAATTTAACATTTCTATGAAAAATTGACGACTATAATACAGACTGAAATCAATCGCTCCCAATGATAAATAGTTAACTTGTGGAGACGATGCATAGTAATTATATACACGTACATATTGCATGCATATGCGGTCGGGTGCATAATCGACATACACGCTATGGCATGCATGTAATCGTGTCGTATGCGAAAAAGAGCTGTAAATTTTGGATATGTCTCATCATGCGATATTTAATATGATACTTCATATAAATCATCTATATTTCTTTGATAAAAGCGAATATGATCCGTACACACGCCGTAGAGATTTATAATTTTAATCATATTATTTGCAATAATTATGAAAGTTGATGTTTTTAAAGCGCTGCATTCAAATAGTATGAGCAAGCAAACATTCAAGAACTTTTTAAATAATTGTATCTGCGTAAATAAGAATATAACTTGAGTGATATAATTATTACTTTTTCAGTCATTTTTTTATTTTGACATCCCATTTGTAAACTGTTCTGCTTTATCAAATGTGACAATCATAAAAATATGTAATTTTAAATACCATAATAAAATTATACGAAAGATTTCAATTCGTGTGATTATTTCATCGCACTAGATTATAATAATAATTTCATATAAGATAATTCGCTAATTGAACGACATTAATTATTTATTTCAGTACGTATTATATAATATTAACTAGTATTTCTATAATAATACAATATATCGATATCATTCTATGTATATAACTATATTTTTTATCACTATAACACTTTGACTTTACAAGAAAAATGAAATCAGACATAGAAAAGTGTTGTGTGAAAGTTAATAAAAGTAAGCAAAATGTAGCACCTAGAAAAAAATATATTCACCTCATAGAACATACCAACCTGTTATGTATAATATGTGTGTATGTGTGTGTGTGTGTGTGTGTGTGCAAGCAAGCATGCGCTTGCGTATGTGTTCGCAAAAATTCAATTCATTTGAACTGTAAGGTGTAGTACATGCATGCATATACTATAGACATTCACTAGCAGCTGGGCAGCTATAGCGAAGCGAGCCGACGCGCGCGCGGCGTACGTACGCGACGTATGTTGATAACTTAACCTTAAAAGTTAGGCAAAGTTTATTGGCGCAACATTGCTACGGTCAACAGTCGCTAGCACGGACCGGCTTCGCCTCATCAACTTGTCACCAACAGTACATATACTATACCCTGCAAGTGTTTAATAAAAAGCAGTCGTACTGCAGCAGTTAACGACGGAAAGCCGGCCAAGTCGGCCGGTAGTAAGCAGCATCAGTAGGCGCAAGAAGATGAAGAGCACGCCACATTCCAGCAAGAAGAGTAAGAAGGGTAAACGCAACAACCGGAGCAAGCTTGCTGCAGCTTCCGTTGATGTGCAAAGCCACATTGGTGGTGGTTCTTCCATTTATGCTGGCATTGATTCTGCTCCAGTTCAACAGGAATCTAACAAGTACTCACTGGTGAGTACCTACGCTGCTAGTGAGATTTATAAACAATAAGTCTCTAGCTTTGCATATGATTGGCAGCAAATATTTTCTCTGCAGTTTGATAATATAGATGTTGAGTTACACATATGAGTTAAAAGCCTTAAAACTATTTGCAATTATTTTGCCTGTAGATTCATGACACCAACCATTCATAAGTGAATACAATTTTTGTATTAACTTTAGAAATTTGGAAAAAGAGTTATTCGATTATTGCTATAAATAAAATAAAATTCAGTTTGTATAATTGTTTTGATGTTGATTGATATTTTTGAAATTACTACAATAATTTCCTACACTTCACTTTATCATCTAATTTGGAAGGATCGTAGTTGCAATGTAACGGTGACTATGCATAGTTCATGTTTAATTTTCATCTGGTATTACAGTTTTGCTTTTACAATTACAAAAATCATTAGATCATTTGTTAACTTTTTTTCTTATGTATTACTTATATTAGTTATTGTACATAAATAATGTTTATTTTTTATATAATTTACTAAATTAATATTTGTTTTTTATATCAAATATTGCTATATCTTATTACTATTGTATATTATATGCTATCAAACCTAAAATTTACTAATAAATAATACAATGAGCCAATTACAAAAGTTGTAGTAGGTAAATAAGATAAGATATCCAATTTCAGGTGAAACCACTGCTGCCAGGAGATGGAAACAAACCATACAAAGTTGTCTTTGCAGATGGTTTGCCTATAGTCTCACAAGATGAGCATAATGGAGATGATAAAAATTTATCAAATAAGAATAGTGGAACAGTCACTCAGGATCGAGAAAAAGAAGACAAGGCAATTTTAAGCAACTTACCTGTAGCAGTAGCTAAAGAATTAGAAGGTTATGAAAATCAAATTGGTGAAGCTGAGCCACTTCCAAATTCTTATGTTAGGTTTATGGAACGTAGTGGAGAGGAATTGGACGGTAAAACACTGCTGTATTATTTCCTTTGCATTGAATGTTGATTGCTCTAGCCATTCAATGTCCAATGATATAGATTCATTCGTTTCTGCAATTAGATTATTAATCATTAATGGTGGTGTAAACATAATTCAGGTGAGATTGAGTACGATCTCGACGAAGAAGACTCAGCATGGCTATCTATTGTAAATGAACGAAGAGCCGCCTCGGGACTCGTCCCGAATCTGGAGCCAGACACTTTTGAACTGCTGATGGATCGTCTGGAGAAAGAATCCTACTTTCAGCAGCAGGTCAATGGTGGTAGTGCAGCGGGCGTGGTAACGGCTGCTGACGAGGATGCAGTTTGCTGCATCTGCATGGATGGAGAGTGCCAGAATAGCAACGCGATTCTGTTTTGCGATATGTGTAATCTGGCAGTACATCAAGACTGTTACGGAGTTCCTTACATTCCCGAGGGACAGTGGTTATGCAGGAGGTGTCTTCAGAGTCCGTCTCGAGCGGTGGATTGTGCTCTTTGTCCCAATCGAGGTCTGTTACGCGAGAAGTCCACGTGACGTGGTTGTTCGCAGATTACAGCAACGTTACATATGGCTCGCTGACTTTTTACATAGGTGGTGCATTCAAAGAAACCGATCGGCCGGCAACGTGGGCGCACGTGGTCTGTGCGTTGTGGATCCCAGAGGTGCGTTTCGCTAACACGGTTTTTCTAGAGCCGATCGACAGCATCGAGAGCATACCTGCTGCGCGCTGGCGGCTGACGTGCTGCGTGTGTAAACGCCGCGGCGTCGGCGCCTGCATCCAATGTCACAAGAGCAATTGTTATGCGGCTTTTCACGTGACGTGCGCTCAGCAGGCCGGGCTATGTATGCGCATGCGGACCGTCCAGCCAGCTAACGGCGAGCCGATGCTCGTCCAGAAAACAGCCTATTGTGAGACCCACGCACCGGCCGATTATCAGCCGAGCACCAATCCAGCAGATGCTCGAAGAAGAGCCATCGCTAACAAGAAGAGCTCCAGCGCTCCAGTAATCTCCATACCCACCATTCCACCGGAGCGCATTCGCGAGATCGCCAAGTACGCTCATCTAATTATGTGTTCTCTGCCTTCCTCTATCTTTAGAATGAGCGAATTCTATTTTGTTTGATTCTATCTGTTTGGTAGTCTAGCGGACGGCTTGCCAAAGAAAAATCAGCTGATACAACGGCTGATAGCGTATTGGACGCTGAAGCGCCAGTATCGCAACGGAGTGCCACTGTTGAGGCGCTTGCAGAGTTCGCATCCTCATCCTAGAGCTCCCCCGTCGCTAACCGATTCCTCTTGCTCGCCAACGCCCGATGGCGAGGTACGCGACGAGATGTACAAACAGCTTAAATACTGGCAGTGTCTCAGGCAGGACCTCGAGAGGGCTAGGTTGCTATGCGAGCTGGTCAGAAAGCGCGAGAAATTAAAGAAGCAACTGTTTAGAGTGTACGTTCAAAGAGCAATCAAGCTTCGTCCCACTGCCCCCCACTCTATCTCTCTCTAAGACTGGCGCTCCTTTTTGATTTTGCAGAAAAGAAAAGTGCATGTGGTTCGAGCTGAGGCCGCTCGAAAGTGTGCTAAGAATATTGCTAGAATCGCTCAAGATGCGAGATCCAAACGATATTTTCGGGCAACCGGTGAATATTGAAGAAGTACCAGATTATTTGGACATTGTTACGCACCCGATGGATCTCTCGACTATGGAGGTATGATGTGATGTTTGAATTTTCAACTTTACAAACAGGACACTTTCTACTGTCATCTGACGAATCTCTATTCTTTTGAAGGCAAAAATCGACAGACAGCAGTACAACACAATAGTTGAGTTTGAAGCTGACTTCAATCTCATGGTTAACAATTGCTTGGCATATAATCGCAAAGACACCATGTTTTATCGCGCTGGTCTAAAGATGCGCGAGCAAGGCGGTTGTGTTATAGAACAAGTGCGCAAAGATTATCCCGATCTCACATTGGCCTATACCCTCGAAGATATTAGCGAGCCGATTGAGGCGCATACTCGGGAACAGCAACAGCAGCAACCACAACCACAGCAACAGCAGCAGCAGCAGCAACAGCAGCAACAACAGCAGCAGCAGCAACAACAACAACAACAACAACAACAACAACAACAACAACAACAACAACAACACCAACAACAACAACAACAACAACAACAACAACAACAACTAGTAGTTGGTGGAGCTTCGAAAGGTAGAAAACGCGATCGTAGTTCGAGAGTGCGGAATGACTCGGAATCGCGACCCAGGTAAGTAAGGAGGCTGAGGAGACTTGTATGCTCATAAGGCATAACAAATCTACGATTTTGCATCTAACTTTTACAGCGGTGACAAAGATATATCCTCGACCAGCATGCAAAGTGGCAGTCCAGGTGACAATAGTACTGCAAATACCAGCGGCGGGAGTACAGGTACTGGTACTGCAGTTGGTGGTGGCGTGAATCGCAGAACGGCCGTGCTATTTACGCGCAAAGCCAAAGCTCGCGCGAGTCGCGGTCAGGTACATCGATCAAGTCCCGAGAATGAGCAAAAAAAAGAAAGCGACAGTTTTAGAGTATACAGGTACTTTGTTTGAATCATACTCGTAATCGTCGCTGTCAAGTAAGTGAACAATTGTTAATTATAAAGTATCCCTTATAGAACCGGAGGTACGGACAGCGATGTTGGTGAACGTGAGAGTCAATCGTCCAGCTGTAGTAGTTGTTCGACCAGCCGATCGACAAGCCCCGAGCGCGATGACGGTGCAGCGAACGAGTCACAAGACTTATCCGCGCACCGACCAAAAGTCATTAAAAACAGCGATGGCAGCAACTATGACGCTGTAGTTGCTGCTGGAGAGATGAGCGATAAGATGGAAATCGATAATGATGGAGGATTATCGGCACTGCAGCTCGTCTGGGCCAAATGCAGAGGCTACCCGTGGTACCCGGCTCTCATCATAGATCCAAATACACCGAAAGGCACCGTTTACAAAGGTGTACCAATACCATCTCCGCCCGAAGACGTGCTCGCTTTGAGAAATAATCACAAGGAACGGGTTTACCTTGTATTGTTCTTCGATACTAAAAGGACCTGGTGAGTTGATACATCGAATTTCGATTGCGACGAATTTACATTTGAATAGTTAGCAATACGCATATTGTCATTCTAGGCAATGGTTACCAGGAGAAAAGCTCGAATCTCTTGGCGTATCTCAAGAGCTGGACGATGGCAAATTGATTGAGTCTCGAAAACCCACGGACAGAAAAGCGGTAAAGAAAGCATATCAAGACGCATTGCTCTACCAAAAACAAACGCGCAACTCGTCGTCGTCACTCGACGCATCACCGACGAGCGATTGATGGTGAAGTTGACAATTTTATCAGCTAGCAATAATTTGCTTGTACAAAAAATTAGATTCATTACTTTGTAGGCTCATTAATTTATTATTAAGTCCACATTGCATAAAAGAATATGCGTTTATTTGAGGAGGAAAAGAACACTTTCTGACTTGGAGTTTTTAGTTATTTTATAAAATACATCTTTTTATAAAGCAATATTGGCAGAGTTGCATCATTCATTTCCCTTTCAAATGATTTGCGGCTTGAATTGAGGCTGGGAAGCTTCGTTGAGCTTTTTACCATACATTTCTAATCTTTGCGTCATCTGAAAAGATAAGATGCATTTGTATGGGCTACACTGTATTGACATTAAATGCAGTTGGAGGAGGTGATTTAATACTTACTCGAAATCCCCAAAGATCTTTGACCTGCCTGCACAAATTCAAATCTAACTGGGCAATGAGTAATCCGTCCTTGTGCCTATTCAAGCCGCGAGTCCTTGCGCCATCAGGCGAAGCAATGTAACTAGAGCCGTAAAAGTGTCCGAAGTCGTGGTGGGCTGGTTTCCCATCAGCTGATGTGAATTCATGGGGAAACCTTTCGATGCCCACTCGATTGACAGCGCAAGTGTAGTAGCTGTTGGCAATGGCAGCGTTCCTTGCTTCGATTGGCCACATGGGTTCCGACAAATTGCCCACCGTTGCCGATGGATTGAATACGATCTGAAAATCCAACGAACTATTTCGGTCGCGAACGATGCAGATGCGAGCCGAATTGGATGACAAATGTGTACGCATACCTCGGCTCCGTTCAATCCAAACATTAACCAATTTAGCGGATGATGCCTGCCGTAACAAATGTTTACGGCGATTTTGCCGTAAGGCGTCTCAAAGACCGGATGCCCGGTGTCACCTTCCATATAATAGGTAGACTCATTGAAGTCGCCGATTCTGGGTATGTGGTTTTTTCTGTGTTTGCCCATCACTTTACCGTCGGTGCCGATCACCACGGCGGTATTCCAAATGGTATCACCGTTGACGCTGTCGCGCTCGAGAATCGGCGAAATGATGACCATTTTGTATTTTTTCGCCAGTCCGGACAGCAGCTCGGTGGAGGGCCCACTGAGGGCGTCCTCAGCGAACTCGCACCAAGGATATTTTTCTCGCGTGCAGAAGGCGAACGGCATGGCTGATCGGGACAGAGAACGCGCGCATTGAAAAATTGCGCGCGAGCGTTAAGGCTACGCCGTTCCGCTGGAATACTTACTCCAAGCCTCCTGCAAGCAAACAATATTGACCTGACACTTGGCAGCGTGCTCGATGTAGTCGGCGATCTTCTTGTGAATGGCAGCGCGCTGGTCGACGACGGGCGCATCCGTCGGCAGAACGATCGAGTTTTGAATGATGCCCACACGTATGACCCTTGGCGGCCGAAGCTCCTCGAACCTGGCGCCGTCCAAACGCCAGGCAGCTACCTCGCATTTCTCCTCGTCGAGTTGGGGCACGTTGAGTTTACTGCAAATTGGTCGCTCGTTATCGTTTCGCCATCTTAATATCATCAAAATATCACGTGCAGTCAATATCTGACAAATAAAGAGAGAGAGAGAGAGAGAGAGTTCTATCTCCTGATGCTGCGATAAGAGGCTGCTTGTCTCGGAGCGATCTGCGGATGGAATTGCGCCGTATGCATGGAATACTTGCGCGCATTCGACGACTGTTGCATTTGAACGCGATGAACTTTTCTTTTCACGTGCCGTCGCGCAATATTGCCGCATACGTTCGCTTGAATTGCGAGTACACTCTGTGCCGTATCGCATCGAAATTCCGTGTTCATAAAGGTACAGGTAGTTCAGCAACTTACTCCAATTCGCGGCCATAGAGCAGCCTATTCACGAACGAACTGTTGGCCTTGCTCACTTCTTCGTCCAGTACCGCTTCCAAGGACAATTGATCCAATTTCAGATCCATTCTTGCTGCGACGCCTTGGCCGAACTCTGCTCTGGAGCGTGGTAATTTTTCTGTCGACGCGTATGCAACGATTCTTGTGCGGCTGTCTTTGGATTTCTCTTTTGAAATAGCGTAAACTACAGCTGCTATTGTTCACTGCAATAGAGTAATATGAGTAATATTCGGCAAGTACGACTAACTTTCTTTTAATCTCGTCCGCGCGCGTGGCATTGACGTATAGAGCCGATTGGCAGCTGCGAGAAAATGCGCTGCACGACAATCTGCACTTGATTGCACATTACCGTCGATGTGCTCTTGAGCAAATGAAAAAATATCGCGAGGCAAACGCCGGCGAACGATACCGTGGAGCAACTTGCATATGTACATTCGACTTTTGATAAGCGATGTCGAGCGCGCTAACGCCTTTAATTATTATATACGTTTTCATACCAAGACTGTCGATCGGCCAAGAAATTGGCAGAGTAAGTGGCGATGATGCCGGTGCGGTCCGCCCTGTTGTACGGAAAATAACGACGCCGAACGTCAGAAGCGAATCAGCTGACATTTACGGCTGCGCCGATCACACTTGATGTAGAAATCTATATAGTGCGGATACAGGCGAGCGCTGGCGAAGAGGGGAGACTCGAGTCGGCCAATAGCGCATCCCCATCGCGCTGAATCCATCTACACCGAAGTCCATCGGGCTGCAACTCGAACAGCCGGTGTACTCGAGCGTCGGCCGAGCTCATTACCCAGCGACCACCTCGAATCGATATTAATCGGCTGTGCGCGCCGTCCTTTTTACTTTTCTCTCGAGTCGTTGTTCCGTTCTGCAGCCGCTCGACCGGTTCGAACGGCACGGGCTGGCGCGAGCTTTCCGAGCTCGTAACAGCTGTGGCTTCGTTGGCGTCGTCGACACCGCGGTCTCGCGACTATTATCAGGTGCCACGCGCACGCAGCCGATATGACGCGCTATGATAGCCGCGGTCAAACGGACATGCACACACGCATGAATAACAAACAATATTTGCGGTGCTGGATAATCATCGGCCTCTCTCGAAACCGGCACTGCGCTCGCTCCGTTCCACCAGTCGACTCGAACGAAACTCGAGCGAACGTCCACTATATACAAAGAATTATTCCGAGGCCGAGACGCCGCGCGGACCATCGTTTCCGAATGAGCAGAGCAATATTTCGACATATTCGAACGTCGTTATTCATGGCGGACGCCACGTGTCCACGTACAATCTTGGCGTTTAGCAAAGTAAACGACGTGTACTTTTTCTCGCTGTTTCATGATTGTCACTTGGAACGTTAGCTAAAATTCCTTTAGAGCAATCGATGTCGTCAGCGCAACCTGTTTGTAACAGTTTTCCGACGCTACGCCTTTTCGTATCGTTTGAAACGCTACAGCTCGTTCGTTTCATCCGCAAGGACCAAATGAACAAAGGTTCAAGAAATAACAGCGACATTGTTTAAACTTTGTTGAATGTATGTACCTGTATATTTGCAGTTAGTGTAATGGAAGAAGTAATATAAATTTAAAAAAATAAACGCTAGGTAGAAAGAAAGTTAGAGCCGAGACAACGAAGTAGAGAGCGTCCAGCGTGTAGTGCTTGTGTATACAGTAATATGCGACGACGGCTGCGATCGCACCTGGACGTGCAGCTGCAATGTTAGACGAGCAGAGCAGGAAGCGCAGCAGGCTGACCGGCGATCCGACTACTTTCCGACGATCTGAGGCTGGAAATCCGGACTGGCAGCTTCGGCCAGTCTGGGCGCGTACAGATCCAGCCTGCGCGTCATCTGCGGAGAGAACGCGAGCGCATTGAAATTGCAATAGAACTGCAGGGGAGACGACGGCGAGCGTGAACGCGAGGTGCGTGTACCGACCGGGAAGTTCCAGAGGTCGCGCATCTGCCTGCAGAGGTTGAGGTCGATCTCGGCAACGAGGATGCCGTCGGTAGTACGGCCGAGGCAGGGGGTGCGGGTGCCGTCGGGGGCGGTGATGTAGCTGGAGCCGAAGAACTGGCCGAGCTCCTTATGGGCCGGCTTGCCGTCGCCGGAGGTGAACTCGCGCGGGTAGACCTCGGTGCCCACTCGGTTGATGGCGCACGTGTAGTAGCTGTTGGAGATGGCCGCGCAGCGAGCCTCGATCTCCCACAGCGTCTCGAACTTGTCGGCGATGATGGCCGACGGGTTGAAGACGATCTGCGGCCGAGCGCGCGCTCAGTCCCGACGGCTCGGCGCAACGGCCTCGTCGCTGTACTTACCTCGGCCCCGTTCAGGCCGTACACGAGCCAGTTGAGCGGGTGGTGGCGCCCGTAGCAGGTGACCACGCCGATTTTGCCGAAGGTCGTGTCGAAGACCGGATGGCCGAGGTTGCCCTCCATGTAGTAGGTGGACTCGTTGAAGTCGCCGTTGCGGGGTATGTGGTTCTTGCGCTGCTTGCCGAGCACGCGCCCGTCCGAGTTGATCACCACGGTGGTGTTCCAGACGACGTCGCTGTTGGCGGAGTCGCGCTCGAGGATCGCCGACACGATGACGATGTTGTACTTCTGCGCGAGCTTGACGAGCAGCGTGGTCGTCGGGCCGGTGAGCGCGTCCTCCGCGAACTCGTTCCACGGGTACTTCTCGCGCGTGCAGAACGACATGGGCATCGCTGCCGAGCAGAGAACGAGCGAGAGCGGGTGAGCGAGGTCGCGCGACCGGCTACGGCGTCGGCCGCGCGCCCTTACTCCAGAGCTCCTGCATGCAGACCACGTTGGCGCCGCACTTGGCCGCCGCGTGCTCGATGTAGCCGACGACCTTGCGGTGGATCTCGTCGCGCTGCGCCCGCACCGGCTCGCTCGTCGCCACGGCCAGGCTGTGCTGGATGACGGCCACGCGCACGAGCCGCGGCGCGCGCTGCTGCTCCTCCACGGCGCCGCCCATCCGGTAGCCCTTGAGCTCGCACGCCGCGGGCGCCTCCAGGGCCGGCAGCTCGAGCGCCCTGCGCACAACGGGTCGCGCTCGCGTCAGGCCGCTCGTGGCTCGCCGCGCCCCGTATACTCACTGCAGCTCCCGGCCGTAGACGATGCGCTTGACCGTCTGCAGCTGCGGCTCGGGCACGTGGTCCTCGAGGATCTGCTGCACCGTCAGCGACGACTGGTCCATCCTTGCGCGCTGTCCGACTGTGGCTGGGCGAGCTGCGGTCGGCCCGAGCTCCGGCGACAGATTGTTGTCCAGCGGCCGCGACCGGCTCCCGTATATATGCGAGGCGGGGCCCCGCTGGAAGGCGCGCCGCGGCCCCGCCGCCCCGCCGCCGTCCGGCCGACTTGGCGTTACGGAGTTACGCGCGCGTTTCTCTCGCGGTGGAGAGCCTACCCGGCTGCCGGCACCGCGGCTATAAATAAAGCCGCCTGACGTTCTCAGAAGCGAGGGATTATCGTAGCGGAGCGCGATAAATAATTGCGATGCCGTCGCGGCGCCGCAGCTGAAGAACCGTCTCGAACCACCGCGTCGGGCGTGTTTGCCTGCGCGAGCTTAACGCCTCGGCCGCGTGCGCCGCGGCGCTGTTTATTTGCGTCGACTCGAGGCCCCCGCGCGCCACTTGGCGTCGCTTCCAAATTCCGATTTTATATCACCGCCGCCTCGTTTCGCTCGCGAGCTGCGCGCACCGCGACCGCTGGCTTATACCAACTGGCTCCATTCTCGCTCAACGTCTCGGAATATCAGATCGACTATTGCGAACGCACCATACCAGCCCAGCTTTCGCCTTCTTTCACGCTTCTTGGAAAGCCCCTCCACCGCTCGCGAACATTTCCCATTGCAGTCGAAACGGCCTTCTCCGCGCAAAATCCTCGTCGAAGCATCATCTCATAAATATCACTCGGTTAACGCAAAAGGCTTCATCCCATGAACGACTTTGAATTTGGTGGATAATACGTTCCGTGAAATCTGTACCGGGTAGCGAGAGTGGAGCGCTTTTTCAATAAACTAATTTTGTCCTGGTTAGCTGGGCGAGAGGGAGGGGCTATATCGTGATTTTATTCGCTTTCATGGAATTTATATAAAAGATTAATGCTGGTAGATTGTAATTCCCTGTAATTGCTGCACCGATACTAACGACCAACAAATCAAAAATTAAAATCGTATACATGGCGTCTCACGCGGAAAATCACGTCTCTCGCCATGGCAATGACTTGCACATTCACGCGCGGATAAGTGGGAACGCGTTTTTATAGATTTAATTAAAGAGGAAAAAAGAAGCAAGCGGGCATCTAGAAAATGTCGCATTTGTAGCGCGAAACAATAATTAAAAAAACACGCTGCATTGCTGAAGAGCTGCCTTTGACGGCGACGAGAATTTAATTACAATTTTTTTTTTTCGCAAAGTATAACGAGCTCGTATAGATTCGCTAAGCAATACTCAGATCTACGCAAGCTTGTTTATTTCACGATGCAAATGCATTTTTTCGCCTCGTACGTGAGAATAAAAGTTACTAGTTCTTGTATAATCGCAAATCCCGCAATTGCGAATAAATTAGATTAAAAATCATGTGCGTATGGCACGGGACCCTAGAGAGGTGTATATTATTTTGGGATCTACTCGTACAGATATATCGCGTACGATGGACAGAAACGACTATTATTTTAACGTCAACCGCTGGCACGAAACGATTTTTCTTTTTCACATATGTTATATGTATAACTGTTATAGCTGAACTACATGTCTACGAGTCGCTGCGACGGATTATTTCTGGACAAGGAAAATAGCTTGCGCGGCATTAAATGAAAAAGAATACCTCCGATTCGAAGCTATTGGTGAGAGGTTTTTAATAAAATCGAAGAAATAGTTTATGTTCGATGTATTTTATTGGTATAAAAAGATTATGAGATAAAATGAGAGGGAGCAAGAAAGGGGAGGATTTGGGGCGTCGAAGAAAGTGTACACGCCGTAGGGCAGGAAGAACACGATTAGACGAAGCACAGCTGTCAATTAGCCGAGGAAGGCTTGACGATTTGCGGCTTAAAGTCGTGCTGAACGGCTTCGTTGAGTTCTTTGGCGTACAATTCCAGCCTCTGCGTCATCTGCAACAGCGGGGAGGGTGGCGAGGACGATTGCGATCCCTGAAAAAGTTGGGGAGGCGCCAAGTGGGCCTGCCAAGTGAACTCACCCTGAATCCCCACAGATCTCTGATCTGGCGGCAGAGGTTGAGGTCGATCTCGGCGACGAGCATGCCGTCGTGGCTGCGGCTTAGGCCCGGCGTGCGCGTGCCGTCCGGCGCCGCGACGTAGCTCGAGCCGTAGAAGTGCCCGAAGTCGCGGTGGGCTGGCTTGCCGTCGCCGGAAGTGAAGGCGTTGGGAAACAGCTCGGTGCCCACTCGATTGATCGCGCAGGTGTAGTAGCTGTTGGCGATGGCGTGGCAGCGGGCCTCGATCGGCCACATCGGCTCCGAGAGCGTCTTGGTGGTGGCCGATGGGTTGAACACGATCTGCAATCGAGGACCGATCGCGGCTGAGCGGGCTGGCCTCGGAGGTGCGCGCGCGCGCGCGGTCATCAATTACCTCGGCGCCGTTCAGGCCGTACATGAGCCAGTTGAGCGGATGATGGCGACCGTAGCAAATGTTGACGGCGATCTTGCCGTAGGGCGTCTCGAAAACCGGGTGGCCGAGGGTGCTCTCCATGTAGTAGGTGGACTCGTTGAAGTCGTTCTTGCGGGGAACGTGGTTCTTGCGCTCCTTGCCAATGAGGCGGCCGTCGGGTCCGATGATCACGGCGGCGTTCCACAGCACGTCGCCCCTGACGTGGTCGCGCTCCAGGATGGGCGAGACGATGACCATGTTGTGCTTGCTCGCCAGACCGGACAGCAGCTCGGTGGAGGGCCCTAGGTAGGCGTCCTCGGCCATCTCGCACCACGGGTACTTCTCGCGGGTGCAGAAGGCGAACGGCATGTCTGCAACGGAGGCGGGACAGGGCCGTGAGCTGCGCGCTCTCTCGCACGCTCGGTTCCCCTTCGCCGACTTTACACGGCTGATACGCGCCGAGCAACGCGCTTTCGACACGGTTCCGCAGCGATGAAGCTGCTATCGCCACCCGTCCCCCCGCCCTCGGCCGAAACGGCGATAGTCGCGCTGGCGAGCTCGAGCCGCGACGATAGCCGGTTACTCACGCCATCCCTCCTGCAGGCAGACGATGTTGGCGCCGCACTTGGCCGCGTGCTCCACGTAGCCGCCGACCTTCTTGAAGATGGCGTCGCGCTGCTCCCACAGCGGCGCGCTCGTGGGCAGCACGATCGCGTGCTGGATCAGGGCCACGCGCACGAGCCGCGGCGCGCGCAGCTGCTCCTCCATCGCGCCGTCCATCCTGTAGCCCTGCAGATCGAAGCTCTGCTCGCCTTCCAATTTCGGCAGGTCCAACTTTCTGCAAATTGCACCGACGCGTCAGCTCGGACCTCTCGTGTCGCAAGGGCAAACGCCCTTGTCGGGGTATGAAGCTCCCGTGACATGTATGTACATGCGCGCCCGGTTCAGCGCTTCGCTGGGCTTGAAATTTCGAGCATACGATTTTTATTCGACGAATCCGAGCCCTAGCTTAGGTTGGCCTTGTCTTTCTTGGCTGTTCATTGAAAACGCAAGGAAGCCGTCGCGGGAAAGCAGAGTTCGGCCCAACGTGTATCACGAATCTTTTGACATTCCGCGTTTCGATCGAATATTTGCGGAATGCCTCTTGTCCTAGCTGGTGCAATGAGCAAACTTTTCGGAACATGATTGTTCTCGGCGAGCGGCACAAACGATATTAATTACCATTCAATTTCGCCCGACTGACATTATCGCTTGACGAACAATTTGAAAGACACTCGATAGCTGCAATCGCCAGCCGCGAATAATAACACGCTGCGATGAACTTTGTTGAGATAATGTGCGCGCTCAAGTGAAACCAATGATTTTTACGCTATAGTTTTACACGAAGTATGTCGTTAGTTTCGCGAAGTTACCGTAGCAAAATGCTGACAACAGTCATGTACAGAAAAAATAACTTTCAATATAGGTATACATAATGTATTGCTCTCACTCGATTTCACGCCCATAGAGGATCCTCTTGACCTCCGCGAGGATAGGCTCGGGCAGATTGTCCTCGAGCATCCGCTCGAGGCTGAGATGCTCCAGTCCGGTGGTTTTCGTGTCCCCAAAGATGTCCATGACGCGTTAGTGCGGAGACCGTACGCGCGAGACGGAGTTTGCGGAAGAAGAGCGGAGGATTCAGCGACGGACGGCTCGGGTCGATGCCCAAATCAATGATCCGTAGAATGCAGCCGGTCAATTTATACATTGGAGAAAAGCCGCGAGAACGCTAGGGATTGGTTGGCGACAAGCGGATCCCGCCGCGCGCGCGCCCCTACAATGGTCCATTATCGCGCGAGCCGGGGCCCAAGCAGTCGTAGGTCACTCGCAGGACGGCTTGCCGAGATAACGTTGGACGATATCGTTGAACCATCGCGCGTAGCTCTTCGCTCTCGAAGAAGAAGACGGGGCGCGTCACGAGATATATCCAGTGAATAAACCCCGATCCGACGACTTTTGTCTGCCGCGCTCGGAACTACAACGTACCGTTGTTGTAGCGAATTATCCGCTCTCCTCCCCCCCCTCCCCTTACCCCTTCACAAACGACCAATTCCGTCGACCAATATCGTCGACGTCGTCCTGAATTGCAAATCAAGCCGTACGATATCTGCACGTGAAGCTCGTATGAGTCGTTTGATAAATTTCAAGAGAGCGCTGCCTCGAGTCGAGTCCGAACGCGGTTATAATTAGATGAAAAGTCGAATCGAAACGAGCCGTGCCTAACAATGGCTGTTAGTTATAATAGCAACGATCAAGAGCAGGAAGCCGACCAAAGCACGTCGATAGGATACTCATACTATCCCCTAAGTCTGGCTTCGTTGAAAATTTTCGCGCGCCCATAAGTCAGACGCAAGCTCATCGCACTATACTGATCGCAGCGATCTGCAGCTCGACCTCGCTGATAATCCAAGAACGCGTTCTCCGCGCGTCTTCCGGCATCGGCGCTCGGATCAGGCGCGAAGCGCATTTTCGAGAAAGTGCAAGTCTCGTGCCACGATGCATTAACAAGTGCGTCAACCGGATACAGCACCGAAACAAACGTCGTGTGTATATATGTCGTACGATAAATTTGATCTGGTTGCCGGCAATCAATCGACAAATAAAAAAAAAGTCCTGCGCGTTGCAGCCCGGGAATCACGCGGACCAATACCAGCGTATTCTCACGAAGCCAAACGAACTGCTTCGGCGACAAAATATTTCCAGCTCGTCGCGTGTTATGTTGCTGGAAAAGTTGGCTCGTCTCTGTGCTGCAGTCACGTTTTGAGTTTCAGATGAACATATACACGATTGACAGTGGGAGTCTGCCCAAGAACTGTCACTATTTCGAATAATCTTACATTAAGCTTACCACGTCTCTTGCAATTTTTGTTTTTCGACAATCGGTCAGATCACACGATCCACCATTATGCACCTAGGAAGGATTTTCACACGCCAAAAGCTGCAAATCTGTGGTCTCAAAATTACTTCGCGTCATCTTTCAATTTTTCAGATTTTTGATTATTTTTTCATTTGATACCATTCATGCAGTTGTGGCATGAATTAAGTCACTTTGACAGTACGTATGGATAGCACTTGTCAAAGATTTATAACGACTTTAATTTTTACAATCTTTAACCGGGATTAGCTTCTGACGATATCGATTGCACGTTAACTTTCGTCGAAAACGAAATCGCACCTATAGCCTTCGCTGTGGATATAATCAAATTGAAATAAAATACTGATAATAATTATATACATCAACATTTATCATCGTTGGATGAATTTTTTTAAATGATCAATTTTGAGAGTATGTCTAGTTCTAGTGCATCAAGTTAAAAGAAGTGAAAACATTGAAAATTTATTTTCAAACAGAAAAAATGGCTCTCGTTTACTTGCTGTGATTGTCATTATAATAAATTGACTATGCGCATACGCTACGCAATGGATCCTGTGACGATTGCATTGTCTTTCACGTTTTTATCTTACATGTACAAATGTGTTTGTCTCGATCGACACCCGATTGACGTAAAAGAGGCTGAAGAACGGCAGTACATACTACCTTTCAGTTTGATAAAATTGGAACGTGCATTGTTGGAAAACGGACTTGTTTCGTGTAGTATAATGTCAAGAGAGAAAACAGAACTATCACTTTACTTAACTTGCCGGAACGGGAGTGCAAATCGATTTGATTTTTCAATAAAGACAGGGATTTACACGTAAGATTAGCTGTCTGTCCGAATTACGAGCAAGGCGTTGAACGTGCATAGTTCGTCACGCGAACAATGGTACGATTGCTCGCTCGAATCTCAAGAATGCAAGGGGCTACGAGGAGACGTTCGCGAAAATATAAAGACACCACGAGCCGTGATGTCGTGCGTGCGCCTCCCCACTATATACGTGAAGTCAGTACGCGCGCCATCGTGTCAAAAGGGCAATTTAATGGTGAGTCCGATAAGAACTTGATTGACGCGATGTGCCGAGACTGGCAGTTCTGACAAATGTTTTTCTGATTCTGATTATGCTCGACGATTCCAAACGCAGAATTTTTTCCGGCAAAATTAATAATCAATCGGACCTACCTGCATGCGGAATTCGATTGCAATTAAACCCAGTCCTCGCTCTCGTACATTAACATATCTTGCGTAGTTGTAGAAAATTTCGCCGCATTCGAGTTTGCTTAGCTGAACATTGATTTATATGACTTGTCTGAAGTACACATGCAGATATATAGCTTAAATTTTCAAAATGTTACTACATTCGAAAATATATTTCTATCGGTCTTTGCGATCATAAATGTGTCAACATTTATTGATGTATCGGTATCAACCTTAGATAACCGAATAAAATGTGAATTTATTGCAATGAACATTCAATTGTAAGAAACACGAGGTACTTACTGAGCTATCTTCAATTTCAAACTAGTTTCTCAAAAGATTTCTCCAAGATCTTAATGTAACCAAAAACTTGCAAGTCTGACGTTTTAGAGCAAAAAATGATTTGAGTTTTCTTGCAGGAAAAGGAATATTTATCTGTTCATTTTTGAGCACAACTGCCAAAGCAAAATTTAAGATGCGATATTTATGAATTGAATTCATATATTAATATATCCCATTCTTACTTTATTTATATTCAAACTATGGAACAGTTGTCAGCGTACTAAAAAGCTCTATATATAATCATCGATACTCTTACGGTAAAACAGTCAACATATCGCAATAACTGTTTTGCCATCCACGAGAATCTAGGTTTTATAATACGGCGATTTTGTAAATAGCATTAACACATACATACATCCATTGTACATATAAATCATTATTGCTATTTGATGTCGAGTTTAACACTTGTACCGCTGAAAATGATGCAGGGTAAGTTACTCCATCGATTAAAACTACAACGTATATATGCAATACTTAATATCAATACTATACTATACTATGCATACACAGATCCGCAAGCTCGTATAGTGGCGCTGTGAAAGGTTAATATATTTTACGATCACGAGTATTACATTTTATTGGTAGTAAACATATTATTGCATTTTTATAATCCTCGTTGTTAAATTTGTTTTGTCATGTTTACTATGTTAGAGGTCTTTTGTAAAATTATTATCCTGTACTCATTTACGTCTTGAAATCACTATATTTTTTCCAATTCTTAATGTAAATTCAATATAAATATAAATGCTTGTAAGATCTATTTAACTTTTTTATCAACTATTTTCCTATATCTTTAGAAAATCTTCATTTTACTTAATTATTATCAAATTTTGATTTCACATTTTCAAAAATTTAATATAAACTGTGTATAAAACAAATATATGTACATACAAACACATATCGTTTTCGATATATGTAAATCTTATATAATTCATATTATCGTGAGATTATATCGATTATGTCAATTTTTTTATTTATGTAATAAATAGAATTAACTAAGGACTTTGTATGTAACATATAGAAATAAAGAGAATTTATTCCGTTTCCAGGTATTATGCCTCAGCATGCAACCTACACACATATAAGCACATGTACCGTCAAGCGACAGTTCAGACTACAGGCAACAGACAGAAGAGGAACAAACAGTACTTTGTTCAAGTTATACGATGGAAGCAAGCTTTTTAAGTCTTTATAATGAAAAGTCAAACATTATCAGGCCACCTCATTTACACCCACTGCCAGCTGATAACAACTCGTAAAATTAGAATCAGCAGATATTATCTAGTCATAAGATAGAAATTAGTAGGTTAGTTGAAAGAGGTTTTAACTTTTATATAAAACTAGAATGAAATGAAAAGTAAAATAAATAAATACAAAAATGAAAAGCATTAAAATATTTCTGAAAATTTTCACATTATTAAAATTGAAATAACAACATAAAAATAGTATTGTTACTTATATATGATATTCACATTTATTGAAAAACTTGAAAATGATTATAATATAATTTCATACATTAAATTATTATGTACATAAAAGTTTTGCTTTTAGAAAAGATACTTCATAATGGAGGAGCCACATTTTGATGTTTGTATTAGTGATGACAATTTAATAACTGGTGCTATAGAAATAGTAAAACGTATACGACCTTCTTGGTCTATTGATCATCTTTCTCATAAGGTATTTTAAATAAATTTTATTACTCAAATAACAATTTCAAGGTTTATCTAATATTGAAATTTTTTTATTGTTGATTGAATTCTTGCTCTTCATCAAATTAATATGTATTAACACATTTATAATAAGAACTAATTAAGAACTTTGTTTCGTTTCATGTTCAAGGTATTTACCAATGGCATTTCCAATAAATTAGTAGGAATTTACCCTAGAAATAATTACAACCAAATGGTATTGGTGAGAGTCTATGGACATAATACAGATTTATTAATTGATAGAAAACAAGAGCATAAAATTATAAGGGTATATCTGTCTTTCCTTCATTGCAAATGAAATATTTATTTTTATTTATTTATTTTTTTATTTTTATTTATTTATTATTTGCATCTTATAGAGTTTGAATAAATCAGGATTTACACATTCCATTTATGCTACATTCAGTAATGGAATGGCATACGAATTCATTGAGGGAAATACTCTTACAGTAAAAACTGTAAGAGAACCAGAAGTGTACGAATTAGTTGCTAAAACTATGGCTAAAATGCATTTACTAAAGCCTCCAACACCTGATGAACATTACAATAAGGCAATTATATGGGAAAAAACAGAAAAATTCCTGCACATGATGCCAATAAATTTTAGTGATTTGAGAAAACAAAATAAGTTAATTGACAACTTGATATTAAGTCTTAAGATAATTTTTTTATTGTATATTAAATTAATGTTGTAATATTTTAGATTTGAAAAATTGATCAAGCCTAAATCCATTCTTCTTAGTGAATATCAGTTATTAAAAGAAAAGCTTTTAATGCTAGACTCTCCTATTGTATTCTGTCATAATGACTTGCTGTTGGCGAATATTTTACATGATAAAAAGAAAAACAAGGTAACATTTATAGACTTTGAATATGCTGCATACAACTGTCAAAGTTTTGACATTGCAAACCACTTTGCAGAATTTGCTGGTAAACATTTATAAATAGAACTGAAATCTCACATGAAATACATATTTATAATATATTGTAATTCTTTACACAGGAGTGGATAATCCTGATTTTTCTTTATATCCTGATATTGAATTACAAATGCATTGGTTGAGCATATACTTGAAAGCTTATAGAAATACATCTGCTGAGATACCAAAAGAAGATGTTGAAAAATTGTATAATCAAGTAAATCAGTTTGTACTTTTGACACATTTTTTCTGGGGATGCTGGGCTCTTATACAGAGTCAATACTCACTTATTGATTTTGACTTTTTAGAGTAAGTAATAAAATTAATGTAATATGCACAATAATGCATATTAGAAGCACAAAATGTTTACGTTGTATTAGCATATTTTAATATTCGGTAATAGATCAAGCAAAGCAGAAAAAACTTGTTTCGATTTGAAACTAATTATGTTGTATGGCACCTGATGATATAAAATGCGATAAAAAATAAATTTCTTTCGAGAAACAGGGTGGCGTTTTATCTAATGGGATTATCTTGTAAGTCGTATATACACTAATTGAAGTTTATTTTTCATTTATAGATATGCAGAGATTCGATTCAATGAATATTTCAGAAGAAAATAACTAAATAACAAGAATGAAAATGGCGTTCTTACATCAAAAATATAAAATAGAATATTTTCGTCGTCAAATTTTCATATTTTGACAAAAATTATTTTTTTATTATTATTCGTTTAATATGAAAATGAAATGAAAAAAATATTATATTTGTTTAAGGATGCATTTATAAAATAAAAAATGAAATGTGATGAGTTACACCCATGCTCGCGAAAAGAACTATAGGTAATATAACTGAAAACAGGTGTATTTGTACACTATTCCAGCAGTTTTTTATATGTAACAATTATAAAATTTTTGAATGCAATTCCACTAGTTTTTAATAAACTTAACTATTGTTAATGTTTCAGTTTTTTTGAACATTATTATTATTTTAATGTTAATTTGTTATAAATTTGTATTTGTTATAATTGTTGCTTTAGTGGATAGTAAATTATGGATTAAGTACACTTGTTGGAGATAAGTTAGCAAAAGCAGTAGAATCGTTTTTTAAATTAAAAGAAATATACTGTTTAAAAAATAAATAAACGTAATTGATTGATTCTCAAATCAATGAGTTTTAATTATAAACCTAATTACAAATACTTTGTGTATCATAGCTTATGGATATTATAAAAAAGAAAATTAATTAAATGATATCTTCGATTTTTATAATTTTTTCACAAAATATTAATTATTTTCTTCTAATTGTTACAAATATTATGTATTTATTTATACAAGCAATAATATTGGATTAAAAAGTCAATTCACAGCGTAAAGTAAACATATTATTCACCTTTGAATATTGATTTTGTCTTTAATGCGGATGAAATTAAAGCAAATAAGTCGAAGCAAAGAAAAAGTTCTTATTAGTCTGACATATTAATCAGGAACTTGTGAAAAAGTGAAATAAAAGAAGAATGACAAATACAATGGAAAGTGTATGATTCGGTTTTAAAATATAAAAAATCTCGACAAAATTATTAAGAGCTTCACGTACATGCTTTCGAGAATTGTGCATAGAAAAGAGTATACTTTTTAAGCGTGGTTATGGTAAACAGATATTTATTTATATATATATATTTTATTCATTCTTTTCTGCGTAATTTATTTACTGAAAAATTAATGATTCGAAAATAATTTAGCATCGAAATTAATTTATGCGTAAAGGTATTTATGTGTACTTTTGCATGTAGTTGCAGATTGTTTCGATTTTTTTTATACTAAGTAATAATTGTAACTATTATATCATTCAATAAATAAAAGAAATTTGCTCCGAAATCGAACATGCTCCAAAATCGGGCATGTAAATGTACATTTCAATAAATAGTCGTTAACTGTAATAGTTTACAGGGAAAATGATATATCTTTTGTATAAGTTAATATAAAGGTTATTAAAAGTAATTTTTATTCATTTCATTTATTACATGCATGTTTATTGAGTAAATACGTACATACACAGAACAGTGAGTACACACCCTCAATTTGCGCAGGATTTCCAGGAGGAGGGGAAGGACACGTTGACCGTCTCAAGACCGAGTGGTTTATCGTGCATTGCATGGTGATTGCGGTATATCGGACAGTCGTCAGGTCAACGTCAGATTATAGGCTGCTGGTTACAGCTGCTTCATTGTTGTTAACTTGTTTCAATCAACTTCAATCTTTTTCATTTCGTTCGCATCGTCAATATTGACAGCTTATGGAACATACGATTTAATGCGAATGACTAGACATACGGTCAACATCAATTTTGTCGGCGATCTGTTGAAGTGTACATCAAATTAAAGCTCGGGGCTGCGTGCGCTCATCTGTAGTTATCTGCTGGCCGTGGCCGAACAGAACAGAGGCGGAACCATCAACACATCAGCAGTGTAGCAGCAGCGACTCACTCCATAATACGAAGGCGAAAAACGAGAGAGAGAGAGAGAGAGAAAGAGAGAGAGGGAAATTATGTGCGTGTGACTGTAGATGTGCTGGCTGCTATATAATCTATATAGTGTATTCGTACGAGTGTACATGTTTATATGTGTGCTGCAAGTGAGCTGAGCGTGAGCACTGACGACGACGAAGAGAGAGAGAGAGAAAGAGAGAAGACTGTGTTGCGAGCGCGCCTGCATGACACGTACGGGGCGTGTACTTTCCGGGGGCTTTTCGCTCTCTCGCGCGGCTGTGCCGACGACGCTCGTCGTCCTTTGCAACTAGTGTTCGCACCCGCGACCGACGAGAGTATCCTAGCCAAGTTATCATCCCGAGTGCTTTTCTGCTCTCGGTGCGCCAAGTAATGGTATATAGGTGTGAAAGAGAGAGAGAGAGTGAGTGAGTCAAACAGGGAAGCAGGCAGACAGACAGCGACGCCCCCGCTCGTAGAGCATCGTCGTCGTCCTCGAGGATGACACAGCCGGTCGTCAAGGCTTTCTAGCTTAAGTGAGTATTATACCTCTGTTTATGCGGGCGTATGAATGCTAGAGCCGACAGCAGCAGAGAGCAGCCGTGAACTTTGCCGCGAAGCGCGCATGCCTCCTCTGCAGCGGCGGCAGCGGTGGCCAAGAGCGCACGTATACTTTTATCTCGCCATTTTGGAGGTGAGAGTTTGGAAAAATAATACATCCAAAGATCAGAGCCTATGTACTAAAAGTCCACTCCCTTGGGCTCACCTTTATCTTCATCTCTCTTGCTCCAATGCTCGCGTGTACGTGCCTTTCTCTTTCTCGCAACTTGCAGATTTTCAGTCTCCGTCTCTCTCGCTCTCTCTCTCTCTCTCTCTCTTACACACACACACACACACGCACACACACACGTACATACACACAGTTCTCTAGTGTGCTTGTTTTGTATGTCTCAACAACTCGACCGACAATTACGGAGTCTTCTTTTGGGATTTGGAGTCTGTTGCCGTGACTGTGCGCGAGCCGATTGAGCTGATTCGTTCTGTGGATGAATCATGATCCTTTGATGTTCCATGTGCTCTTGCAGGTTTTCTCAGCTAAAAGTGTCCAGCACTATACTAGTATCCAGGGAATGTTGCTTCATTGTTTTTCATACTGGAGTTTTGATGACAGTTTTCTCTTAAATGAAGATTCTGGTAGGAACATTTGTTTTGACATGGAACTTATCTTGGATCGCTACTGATCTCTAAATGCTTTGTGAGTGATTTCTTTACGTATATTGCTCTGAATTGCTTTCATCGGTATTTTTATTAATGATAGTTATTGTTTGATATTATCCTGCCACTGACAAACATTTTGTGTTGAGTTGAAAGACAAACTAACTAGATATCCAAGTACAGATCACCATTCTATTGCATAGCCAAAAATAAATTTACAATTTTCAACCTGCAATTGTGAATAATTGTTTGTGTTTATTGATTAATAAATTAGAATTGACTAGACGTATGTCAGTAAATCAATTCAATTTATATAAAAATAAATCATTTTTCAGGGTATAGCATGTAGTAAGTGTATCGATGTTGCAATGATGATGGTTATGATGTTTTTTTCGAGTGACAAATACACATGCCAAGGCATACCTTTGTCGCAATGAGTCTTTTTCATTTATAGATGGCTTGATAAGAGTTGTCACAAGATGTTGAATTAGCTGGTATGCATATTATTTTCTGATAACATCAATTGAATTCTCTCAGGGAACAAAATGTTTAAATATAGTCTTTGTCATCACTCATCTTTAAATAAGTACGGGGGACGGACACACCAGTACACCCTAGAGCATTGTCACCTTTTCCTTGCCCCTATTATCTCGGAGGATCCGCAAAGTTCTGTTGCCTCTGCTACTGCGGCAGCAAGTGTTTCTGTGCGTGGATGCGAAAAAGAGGGGAGGGGCGGAGAGAATGACTAAAAAGCAAAGGTCACTAATGATTCGATTGGCCTTGACGTATGTCCCCGTACGCAGAGCAGCGCTGAGCGTATGATTGAACGTTGCCTACAGGCCAGCAGGCAACTTACAGTCAACAGCAGGTGTCGCAGCAGCGAGAGCAGGGCGATGGACTGACAGTTGGGGAGACTAGCACCGCTAAACTGGCGCAGATTTGGGTGGAGGAGCATCAGCAGCAGCAACAACAGCAGCAGCAGCAGTCGTCGACTGCGGCCAGCAACGGCAGGCAGCAGTTCAACAAGCTGGATATCGACGGCGCTGCTGGCGGCGAGGCTAGCGGCGGAGCGAGTGTCGGGGCCGGCATCGGCCAACAGCGAAGAGTCAACGCCGCCGCTGTCGCCGCGGCTGCGGGCGCCGCCGGTGGTGGTGGTGGGCGCACACGAGACAGTCAGATCATGCCGCCCGTGGTACCGAGGCCGGGCAGCCTCAAGGACCCGGAGATCGCCGAGCTCTTCGAGAAGAACGACCCGGAGAAGATCTTCGAGGACCTGCGGGAGATTGGCCACGGCAGCTTCGGCGCGGTCTACTACGCGAGATGCTTGCTCAGCAAGGAGATCGTGGCTATTAAGAAGATGTCGTACCTGGGCAAGCAGACTATGGAGAAGTGGCAAGACATACTGAAAGAGATCCGCTTCTTGCGCCAGCTCAAGCACCCGAACACCATCGAATACAAGGGCTGCTATCTTAGGGACCACACCGCCTGGCTGGTCATGGAGTACTGCCTAGGCTCGGCCTCCGACATCATCGAGGTGCACAAGCGGCCGCTCAAGGAGGACGAGATCGCCGCCATCTGCGAGGGCGTGCTGCGCGGTCTGCACTACCTGCACTCGCTTGGCCGCATCCACAGGGACGTCAAGGCCGGCAACATTCTCTTAACCGAGAACGGCACGGTCAAGCTGGCTGACTTCGGCTCGGCGAGCATCAAGTGCCCGGCTAATAGCTTCGTTGGTACGCCCTATTGGATGGCACCGGAGGTCATACTCGCCATGGATGAGGGCCAGTACGATGGTAAAGTGGACGTCTGGTCTCTGGGCATCACCTGCATCGAGCTGGGTGCGTTTGTTGCGTGCTTCCTACTCGCCTTATGTTCGCGCGTCGTCGGGGCGAAACAATGATTACATGTTTGTTTACTTTGTAGCCGAACGAAAACCGCCTTATTTTAACATGAACGCAATGAGTGCTCTCTATCATATTGCCCAAAATGAGAGGCCGACTCTTAACTCGGCCGAGTGGACGGACGTGTTTCGTTACTTTGTCGAGGTCTGCCTTACTAAAAGTCCCAGCGAAAGGCCAACTTCCGGGAAACTGTTATCGGTGAGTATTCTCTCTGTTCTCGTGCAAGCCGAGACTCGGAATTATGTTTTTCATGCAATTTCAAATGCACTCTTCTTCTGTTCCCTCATTCAAGCAGCATCCATTTGTGACGAGAACGCGCTCCCCTCAAGTTTTGATAGACCTCATTCAGAGGACAAAAGCTGCCGTTCGAGAATTAGATAATTTAAATTACCGTAAGATGAAGAAGATCCTTATGATCGATACCTGCGAAACGGAAAGTCAAGTTGGCGATGCCGACGGTAAGTACTTAATATAGTATGTAACGCAGTGACGCAAGAAAAGGCGTCTCTAGCTGTCGTTGAGATCGATTCATACTTTGTAAAGACGAAAGCGACCGTGATTCTTATGAACAGACACTCCCGACGAACAAACAGGTGGTGACAGCAGCAAAAGCAACAGCATCACCTCGGAGCATTCGATACACTCGATGGGTGTGTCGGCCAGTTCGCAGAGTTCCTCAACCAATAGCCTACCACTACCAAATGCTGACTCGAATGATTACCCGGCAGCGGTTGGTTCCGTGAGAAATCGTGGCGGCCATAAAATTGGGTCTGGCGGTGGCGGCGGTCTTACTCAAAATCTGCTCGAGCATGGGGCCAACAACTTTGCCACCATAAGAACAACTTCTATCGTGACTAAACAACAAAAAGAGCACATGCAGGAGGAGATGCACGAGCAAATGAGCGGTTATAAGAGGATGCGGCGGGAGCATCATGGCGCATTAGTAAGATTGGCAAACCAACTTGCAGTAGTTGCACAACGAACCAATTTAACATAGGTCAAACTTTTATTATAGGTCAAACTGGAAGAACGCTGCAAGATGGAAATGGAGTCTCATAAGCAATTGCTTGAAAAAGAATACGAGAGTCTGATGCAGCAATTTAGTAAAGAACTCGAGAAACTACAGGCCAGACACCACCAGGAGCTTGAACGAAGGTTGAAGCAAAATCAAAACGCAGAAAAAAAGCTTCATAAAGAAATAACCAGTAGACACGAGGCCGATCGAAAAGCGCTCGAAGCTCAGCAAAAGCGAGAGTACAAGGTGATTATACTCGTTCGGTTTTCTCGGATGATTCATAGCTCTAACCTTAATTATTTATAAATCGACTTTTGTCGTATGTTTGCACATGCAGGCGTACAAAGAAAGATGGAAGAAGGAACTCTCGCAAGATGAGGTTACTCCCAAGCGTCAGCGAGATGCAACTCTTCAAAGCCAAAAGGATAGTTTAAAGCAGCACGAGGCACAAGAGGAGCAACGACTAGCGCGCGGCCAGAGGGAATACCTCGATCTTGAGATGCGAAAATTCCGTAGAAAAAAGTTAACTGCCTTTCATGTGCTCGAGCAAGAGCTTCTTCGAGAAGTATGTACTTTCTGATCTCTTTTTCAACCGTCACCATGCCTTTTTAATTCTTGTAGCTTTGTAACTTGAGAATTCAATGTGCTTTCATTTTTTCCGCAACGCAGGAGCTGAATAAGAGGCAGCAGCAATTGGAGCAAGCTCATGCAATGCTTTTGCGCCATCACGAGAAGACGCAAGAGCTGGAGTATAGACAACAAAGAGCAGTGCATGCTCTCCGCGAAGAACAAATCCATCGACAACACTCTACCGAACTCAGCAATCAGCGGGATTATATGCAACGAGCCGAACGCGATCTACGTAAGAAGCATGCGCTCGAGCTCAAGCAACAACCCAAGAGTCTGAAGGTACGATTAAAGACAAAATTTATCGTTACAATAATTATAATATAATTATAATAATTTTCAGCAAAAGGAAATGCAGATAAGAAAGCAATTTAGAGAAACTTGTAAAATACAGACACGCCAGTACAAGGCATTAAAGGCCCAGATATTGCAAACGACGCCAAAAGATGAACAAAAAGCTGTTATTAAAAAGTTGAAGGAGGAGCAACGACGTAAACTCGCGCTACTGGGAGAACAATACGAGCAAAGTATCGCCGAGATGCTGCAAAAACAAAGTATTCGTTTGGACGAGTCACAAGAGATCGAGTGCCAGATTCTCAAAGTACGTAACTGTAACAACCCACAATCATTATAACTTTGGCAATCCAATATCATTATCAATGGTTTTTCTTTTGCTCTGCAGCAAAGATTAAATCATGAGCTAGAACTCTTGATGGCGTATCAGTCAAAAAATAAAATGCAGGCGGAAGCTCAACGTGATCGTGAACGCCGCGAGCTTGAGGATCGCGTATCGGTAAGGCGAGCGCTTCTCGAGAAAAAGCTCGAGGACGAGACGCAAAAGATATTGCACGAACGCAGTGAACGAATACGGCTACTGCAAGAAAAGCATGATCGCGAACTGCATCAGTTTGACGAGGAAAGTGCGAGAATCGGTTTTAGGTGAGTATCATATATTGAAAACTTAATCAAAATCACGTGGCCTAGTTGAAGCAATTTTACTGTATTTTCAGTGCACTAGCAATAGCGGAAGCTTCAAAAGAGTCTTACCCGGACGACGAAAGTCTCAGCGGTTCAATGCTCAGCTTGGCTCACAGTAATAGCTCTACATCTTTCCCCCCTAATAGTCTCTAATCTTAATAACTCGTATAAGTATAAACGTTCGCCTGTAATCCCGCTGGTGCGCTAGCTAGTTTTAAAACTTGAAAATAATTGCAGGCCAAGCAGGTGGTGCAGCAGGTGAAATTTTGTCGTATTCGGCTATGCGTATTGGATCAGAACGTAATGATCACCTACCTCCTTAGGCTCTTGACGTGTTTTCTTCTTTTCATCACTCCAATTTGAAGCACGGAATGGGATTAACTGTTGTTAGGGCCCCTCAAGCTTATTTTTTACTCTCTTTTCTTTATCTTTAAATAAGAATAATACCTTGTCCATGTGTAAATTTGATACTCATAATTATGTGTAGTTATTCTACTACTCGTTGTTGTTTCAAGTTTCTTTTAAAACATCTTGGTGCACGCTGATATTGATTTTTTAAATTAATCGCACATCGTTTTGTGACTCCATTCAATGCATAATTTTATGGCCGTAGTTCCAACTTTGATTTTAATGACTCTATCCTCATTTTTTAAATTTCTCTAGGATATCGTAGACACTTGTAAATATCTTGGTTGTTAAGATCCCTTTACATATTTATATAGCACACTAAAATATAATTAAAACATCGAAAAAATTTATCTCCTTCATTTCGCCCCGAGTATGCATGATATCACGGAAGAAAACGATTTAATGTGTTAGTTAAATATCGTTGCATTGAATAGATGAGAAGCAATTATTTCGTGAAACAAATAAGGATTCCGATAGCCAGAATAATGATACGAATCTTTGAAATACTTGAGAAAGAAAAAAGATGAAAATTTCTATAATTTAAATACGAAAACATAAAAATTAGAGGCATGTTCTTGTTAGAACAATAACAAATCTAATACGATGGAAAGGGTTAACTCAATGAGAAAGAAAATAACTTTAAATTCTTCTTAATATACCGATGTTTAATTAGGAAGAAAGCTGACAAACATTCAGCGAAACATTGGTGTGTTGAGAAGAATTTAAAGTTATTTTCTTTACCTTAGGGTTAATCCTATCCATCGTAATAGTTTTATTATTGTTCTAAACATGGAAGATAGATGTCGGAATAATTATGCAAGTACTTGTTAGCTTTGTTTTACAGGCTAAACAATTGAAAAAAAGTATCATAACTCAATGCTGTGATAGAGCGTAAATTTGTAAAAATTATTTTTAAAGAAAGGACTTGATTGAAAGAGTCAAAATCGTTTCTATAAAATGGTATTAAACTAATTTATTGGATCCTATTTTTTCCCCGTGATTTTGGTGTGCTATGTACAAATGTAGAGTATGTATGGTTGATTGAGTTTCAAAAAATTTAACTGAAAATTTCAGCGGTACCTATACGTGTATTACCTATTTTCCTTTACATATAGGAGATGTATGCGCGCGCGTGACTATTTGTATAGATATTATCTCATTAAACCTAAAAAATGAAACATTACATTAATTAATTCAATTTAAAACACTTGTGGTTTTTCATTATTTTTTGTAACACAATAAAAATCAAATTACAAAGAGACATGATCATACTATTTTTTAATCTAAAGAGTCAAAGCGTTTATTTTAATCAGTAACTTGTAATGAAATTTCATGTGCGCAAATACGTTTTCTTCTCTACGGTCTGCCTGCACGGTCTTCCACTTCCGATTATCCCAGCATACAAAGAAAACAAAATCTACTTAAGTTTAACTTGAGAAATTTCTGAAAACTATTGCCTCTTGTAGTGAACGATTTTATAAGAAATTTTATATGTAACGTATCAATTTTATATAATATATACGTACGCGTTTATTGTAAAAGTATATAAGTATGAGTACATTTCTTTAAAGTGAACTTACGGATCAATCCAGTACACATACCGACGTAAACTAAAGAAAATGCAATGCTTTCTTCAATATTAAGAATGCAAAGCAACAATCTAACAAACTTTTTAATCTCAACCGCTAGGTCCTCCGCAAAGAAAAGGAAAAATTTTTATACACCAATATACTTAATCATCATTAAAAAAACGATTACTGTAACAAAATGTTTAAATAAAGGTAAACATTATAAAAATTACGATGGGTGGATAGGTGATTGTGACAATTTTACATACCAATGGTGCGGAATTAGTTTGTTATTTAGTTGTAAAGTAGGGTATCGAAGAGCCATAAAGTTGTCCCGAGCAAAAATAGTCAGTGTTTAATTTTGTTTAGTCTTCGACACAGGACAATGTGGTTCGTTGGTAGACTTTTGCAAAATTAGTCAATATAAAAATAAACATGCGCTACGAAATTTAGTTACTCGCTTGCGCGACGTAACAAGGCATTAATAAACTCAAATCAATGTTCACTAGAATGATGATGACGATGATGATGAGATGATACAAATTGTGCATTTTTGCTATTAAGTTGTCAATACATGCGGTGCCAATTCGGAATCGGGATAGTACAAGTTCTTATATTCGAAGATACTTTAGCAGATCACTTAGTTTGATTTGTAGCAATACTCCATCAAAAAAAAATTATCATATTTAAATATGAGGACAAAAAGTATTATCCGTGGTTCGTTAAAAATTTCTGAATATTTATTAAGTAACGTAGACTCTAAGCGGTGAACAAGTAGAAATCGATAAAGTGTGGAAATACTGATTAAACAAACTATTAACGAGGAAATCAAAAAGTTATCGGTCATGCGAGGTAACAAAAAATGATTTTTTTCAGAGCGTGTAAGAAAGTGTCTGAAATCAATAATGGAAGTGTCACAATCAACTGATCGTTTTAATAAAATGGTGTATCGAAGAACAAAACCAGTACACGAAAAAAATATATAATTTTTGCACGCCTTTGTTTTTTGTAAAGTCGTAAAGTACCAGCTGAGTTATTAGCACTTTGAATATGAACAAACTATTTGGCAATAAAAGCATACATTATTACAACAGATGTTACCTCTTTCATTGACATATTCACTATTATCTATTTAATATTATCAATGCATTTATAAAAGATGATTCAGCGTGTTCACAAAAGCGATGTACAAAAAAGGATAAAATATTATATAGGAAATAGACAGGTCAGCACGGACTCCATTGAAGTTGCCTACAAGATTTGGCGTCGTTTTTATGTATTTATTATTTCATTTGTCTATGTGCATAAGGCAGCGTGAGTATCTTGTATTCTATTTATGTTTACAGATACAACCGAGTAAACGTCAATCAATAAAATAATTGTAATGCAAACTCAAAGCTTTTGAGCTTCAACTGAAAAATATTAAATTCTTTTCACTTATCATTTTTATATTGTATATAGAGAAGCGAATGATATCAACTGTAATGATAAGTTGAAAATATGCAAGATAAAGTTACTCTATACATGTGTAACTATTTGTTTTTCATGTTTGAAATAAGATGTATAGTTTAAAATTATTCTTCTTACTAATTTCTTTTTATCATAAAATTTTTTCTCACATAATGGAGTAATTTTATCAGACTTATATATATATATACACACACACACACATATATATATATAAGACAAAGACATATAATTTCTTATTATTCCCTTATTTTGACTATTTTTTTCTTCCTCTTCTCGAATTCCAAGCTAACGATTTGTAGCTTATCTAAGTTTTGCACCACGGAAAAAAGATTGTAAATATTCGATAAGATAATATCTTTCTGTTTTTACGCGAATAACAAGTTGATTAGTTGATTGATGTCAACAAACTATCATCTACACATAGAAAAAGTTTGAGCCGAATTTTACGCATCTGTACGTTGTTAGATATATATAATTTTTTTTAATTAATTGGACAATTAACGTAGCTACAAATTAAATTATATTATTCTTCGTAACTAAATATTCAAGCATCTCTTTCATTATTTCAAGGACTCAAGAATGTTTTATATGTTGGAATAAATGCGGTAATTTTTGTATGAATATTGACATTAATAAAAAGCGATATTTACAAAGACCTTCATAGTTAAATATCACATAAATAAAAGTAACATGTTATGCGTAATCAATGTATGTTTTTGTAATAACCATAATGTGTGAATGTGAAACACAAAATAATAAAAAAACTAAATTATGCAGTTGTGCACACAGCTAAACGCGGTGCAAGTGATGCTCCCACGCACGCACACACGTTAAATAATGATTGCGCATATTACGGTTTGGTGCCAATCACAAATCGTAATTCATGCCTAAAAAAGGAGCGACGAGAAAAATCCAATAATAGTACGACAGAGTTAAGTGATTTTTCTAGAAAAAATGCACTGCGCAGTAAACTATGATTTTCAAACGTTATGTGGAGAACAACGTAAAAGGGAGGAAATGAATAATTGATGACAGTAATAGTAATAGATAATTAAGACTTTGTAGCAATGTAATCGGAAAGAAAAAGAAAAAAAGGATACGCATAATGTGTATGTATGTACGTGTGTATACACACATATATGTATTATATATGCATATACATACATACATACATACACTACAGTTCAACCACTTTTGGTTTCAGTGATAATTATTATTTTTATTTTTAAACAGAAGTAGATCATAAAAATACAATTTCTTACTTTAATAAACAGTGACAAAAACCGCACGAGTATCTGCTAAATAAATGGTCGTAAGTGCAATCAAAATAATTAATTGTCAATGAAGCCTCAAAGGTTTAGTAAAATAAAATATGTCGAACAAAGACCCGCTATGTCGAATGGATAATAAAACATTGATACTAAAAAGTATTCAAATCAATTTTTTATATTACAATCCAGTAATCCTATTTTATATAATTTTATTTCCAATTTTAAGATTGTATTTTTTTTGTTTCTTTTTACAGCCTGATGAAAAAAAGTAATATTTCTATTTTATTGGCTATTATCATAGCTTGTTTGCTTGGGTAAAAGACTCTTATTTTGTTTTTGTCTACAGCTTTCTATTAAATGGAATAGTTGATTTTATACATCATAATATAACTAAAAAACTCTATTACTTTTGTACATTATTGTTTTACAATAATTCGAACTTTTACAGATATACAAATGCGAATATACACATTGAACATATGAAAGAACAGTATACCACTGCTTTCGTCAAATCTCCTAACTTTCAATATAAATTTTCACGCTTGCATTGCTTTATAGATAAGGTGTAACGTATTTATTTTGTTGGTGAATAGGATGTTGGTTTTAAAATGCGGGAATGATGTTCGCGAATCAGAGGAACTGTGTAAGCTACGCATTCATCCCAACCAGGTGACCGCCAAGCACTCTCACGTGTTTCTTTGCGAGTTTGTAAATCTTTGTAACCTGAAAACATAGTGAGAAAATAAGGTTTTGTTTTGTTTCTGGCAGAGATGCAGTTCAACTTCAAAACTTACACCAAAAGTGATGAACATTATATAATCGACCGATTTGCGAAAAAAATCCAGCAAAAGGTTCGTTATTATTGCGTCTAAAATTGATAGCTCTTGCCCAATTGTTGCCCCACTCAATAATTGTTCCTGGCTTAAGAGTGTAACTTCTTACTTCATAAATATTCTCACTTTCTCTTGCAATAATTGCTGGCCAGTAGCTAAACGTTAGTAAGTATTGCAAATGTCGCGATCTCAGATAGTTACCTCGTTCACTAAGGAGTTTTTGGTATGTCTAAAATGTTTGATAAAATATGTAATTTTATGTTTTTAAAATAAAACAGTTAAAAAGTTGATCATTCACATCATCTTTGGCAAGTAGAGCTTGTGCCTTGTCAATGCTATGATATCCTCCAGATCCATACGACCAAAGATGAAGAGCTTGATCCAGATCTCCAACTTCAACCGTCCATGATCCAACAAGCTCAAGATTCAAATCTTGTTTTTTAGAATGAAGGTATTCAACATTATGAACACTGTAAAAAAAACGAATACGTTTAATATTAAAACAATCACTAAAATTGATAAAAAAATGTATGCAGTTTGTGTATATACTCACTAATTTCTAAGGTACTTATCGCGAGAGTCAGGGCGGATATTGTGCGTGTGTAAGGCATAGATAATTTGTTTGTCAGAAAGCATCCTTGAATGAGGCTCTTTAGTAGGCTCAATCTTCCTGACAAGTAGTTTGCTCAGCCATCCTTCGTCCTGTTGGCGAGCCGATGATCCCGATATTTGCCTGCTAATCAATGATTGAAAATTAAAACATATACATGCACTATCTATTGTTTGAAATCACTGTGTTGTCCAATACAGAAATAAATACATACATGTGCATATACATACACACACATATATATATATATATATATATATATATATATATACATACATACACACACAGACAGATTTGTTAAATCTCAACAGAGCCATCAAACAAGATGGAATTGGACCAATGGATCGACAATTCAATTAATTAATTACCTGTGATAAGTAGATTGTGGAAAATGCGTTTTGCCGAGGAACGGCTGCAGAATTCCGAGATTCCTTCTCAACGCGGCGGCCATTCTTATTGCAGCCACGGAGCTGCTGCTGGGCTCCCGGTTATGATTGACCAATCATCGCAACGACTGATAAAGTTTCAAGGTGGGGGTGCTCTCAACGAACACCACATCACCACTGCTGGCCAAGTGGGTACTTGCACTGTCGAGTGTCGAGATATAAACAAACTGCCCACAGACGACTTCGGCATGTCACGGCTAACATCTATATACATGTTACATATATATTTAGTGCTTTGCGAGATAAAGAGCCGGCAAATTTGAAACTTATTCGCTCGTTTTTTAATTTGTAATGGATTTTGAATCCGAATTGTAAATTTTTAATACATTCACAAAGTACAACAATGGATATTTTCATCTTTGATTGCAAGATTATAGTAAAGAGATATATAGAGTTACAGTAGAATGATAGAACAGTCTAAGAATATAAAACTAACACACTTACATTGTAAGAGATTTTCTACATAAGGAGACATCGAACATCGGACGTATACTGAGATCATGAACTTAAAAAACAAATAGTTTGTTTAGCATATATCTGTGTCGATGATTGTACAGGATGCGAGCAATGAAAAATGTAGATCTATTATATATATTAACATTATTAGTACAATAATATATCATTTGACAATTTTTTTTCACCATGATAAATATCTGATGGCCGATGTCTGAACTCCGATGTTTTTATGTAGAAAGTCGATGTGATATAACAACGGTCTTGAATAAATTAATTTAATTTATTTGTACTTCCCGCCGTTTTGGCTGCTAAGTAAGTGATAATGAAAATTGATGAGTGATAGCGAGGACTGTAACCGAGGACGAGGAGAACCCGGCCCTGGACCCGCAATATTGAGATGTGGTTATTATGGTCAGTGTTGGTATCTCGATTCGACCATATTCGTTTTGATCGACCCTCTACTGTCGAGAATAAAACGTTCAAGTTCAGATTTCCAATCCATATAGTCTTCATGGTCTATGTCCAAATCAGACTATATATATATGTATATATGTTAGTATGTACAGGATAAAGATAGTGAGCGTGAGTGCAAAACTACTAATTGAAAAGCAAGAGAAGCCGGTTTTGTTTGCCGGTGCCGGTCAGGTATATGTGTCCATTTTTTATTCACCAACGATTAAAATTTATCGTTCACGTTTATACAGTAATACAACGATATATATAGGTATACATACTTTTCATAACATTTTAAGCCTTCAATTACGTTATACTCTTGTATCTTGGGTTTGTGTCGCCATCGTCGTAGGTTTTAATCTCTGCCATCGTATTCCGTAGACGTGTCAAAAGTCGCCGGAGTTTTTTTTGTCACGGATAATGTGTATGAGTTCTGTTCGCTTTGTGTAAGACGGCTTTGAGAGGTCTTTGTTTTTGAAGATTAATAGTTGAGGAAATTCTTTTAATCTCAATAACCGATTTGTTTATTGAATTCAGTTTTCTTGATTTTCTTTATTCTGCTCTTACTTTAAAAATTGTAGCTTTGTGCAATAACAGAAGTTAAAACCTAAGTTTTCACATTTCAATCATCTTTTATTTTTCGGGTATAAACTGTTTTTTCTTTCTCTCCACGGTTTCGCTGATATTGATTGACTATAGGTTAATAAACATGGATTTTGTTTTCTTTGCTTGCTTCAATCAAAATAATGCTTGATTCCTTCTTAATGCATTTTTTAAAATAGGAACAAATATCAAAAATAGTTGAAAGTTACCTTTATTTGTTTGTAGATTGAAAAATGTCCTTGCCAATAAGCAATGAACACTTATCTCAACTCAAAGCTTTCATTGAGTTATGCGTCAAGCAGCCATCAATCATCAATCATCCTCAACTAGAATTTTTTAAAAATTTTATATTGAAGATGGGTGGAAAAATCCCAGAGCAGCAAAAAACAACAACAGATGAAGATACAAATGAGTCTTTAAAAGAGCCAGAAGTGGAAGAAGAAGACAAGCCAGACAGTGAGCCAGAAAGTGATTTGGAGTTAGATATGTCTGGAGTCATTGGTATGCAATGTTCAAATATTGTAAATCATAGCCCTGGTTGAGTGGAAAATTTATTCCTTATTCATTATTTTAGAACCAGATGATGATAAACCACATGAGATGGGAGATTATAATCTGCAACCAACTGAAGAACAAATAGAACAATCTTCAGATAAGCGCTCAGACGCTGTGTCTGCATTTGTTGAGAAAGATTATAATAAGGCTATTAAATTGTATACAGAAGCTATACTGCTCAATCCACAAGCTTCACTTTTGTATGCCAAGCGAGGACAAGTATATTTGTTATTGAATAAGCCAAATGCTTGTATTCGAGACTGCATTCGAGCTTTGGAACTAAACCCTGATAGCGCAGCAGCTCACAAATTCCGTGGAAGGGCTTATCATCTTCTTGGCAAGTGGGAAGAAGCTGCTAATGACTTGAGATTGGCTTGTAAATTTGATTTCGATGAACAAGCTGATGAGTGGTTGAAAGAAGTTACACCAAATGTAAGTATTATTACTTTCATAAAACTTACTTTAAGTAAAAAATCAATCACTTTCAGCTTTTTTAAATTACAGTTTATTTATTGTTTAAAGCTTATATTTGAATAACTGTACATAGTGCAATTATTTTTGTAAAGATTTTCAAAACATAAAATTTACAACTTTATGAAATATCGTGATTAATTAATCAATTGATATGGGCAGTATTATTGCTTAGCTTTCAAGAAGTTAGAATTATGTATTAACATAATGTAGCATTTTTAAAAGCCTATTGCTTGATTTTTAAATGATCCATGAACTATATAAAACTAAACTAGTGTTTCATTTAAAATAATTTGCAACAATTATTTGATATGTTTGAAAAAGGTTAATAAATGTTAACAGGCAGCTGTGATAGTAGTGTTCATAAATATAGTTCATAAAGTATAAACTTGACAATGAAAATTATGTACTTATAAAATTACAATTGGTTGATTGTCTGCCTATCGTCGTTCTTAGCATGAGCACAATTTATAAATTAAGGCACAATAATTATTGAAAGAAGAAATGTCAAAAAGCTTTTTCCTGTCACTCATACATACTCTCACGTTCTCGCATATTTTCACAATTTTATGAAAGTATATATTGGTATTAATTTTATTACTTGAAATGGTTTATTCCTACAACTTGGCTTGTGCACAAGAATCTAGTTTATTGTCTATTGTAACTTGACTAAAATCACTGACATGCATTTGAAAATGTATTTTTATACACCTACTGAATCAAATTTTACTTTTTTTTATTAACCTGTTTTTTTTTTTTTTTTTATTGATAGCAAAAAATCTGTAAACGTATGCTTGTATAATTTGTTACTACTTTTTCGTTAATATTTAATGCATCTAGATTTTTCGAATCGGCAGACCAGCTGACCGAAACAGTAAACAAGACGCTTTATTTTTTGAATCAGATAGCTTGGAGCTACGAAACACTATCATCTTGGTTTTGAGAGATTTCAATGTGAACGGATCATGGGCATATTCGCAAGATAGCGTTTCTCTCTCCGTTAGCATAATGTTTTTCAACTGAGAGACAGTTTGGAAGCTCCACTCTTGGCCTTCTGCGCTTGTGCTTGAGCTGGTGCAGCTGAGATCGCGGATGCAGGCGTTGCCGTGGCAGCAACTGCTTCGTCGACGTGCAGGGCGGCTTCGACCGATTTTTTGTATTTACCAACAAGCTCGGGTAGTTCATAGGCGATGGCCACGTCGAGCCTATTGATCGGGCAGCCGCGGAAATAGGTGCAGGTAGAGCTGAGCAGAGGGAACTCGTACAAATTGTTCAATCGGAAGAAGTCGCGGTAGACGTCGGGGTCGGGGAGGTCGTAACGCGAGATGTTGGTGAGAGTGCTGAGGCCTTCGTAGATATGATAGTCCTGAGGAGTCTCGATGATGCGCTCGGCCACGTCTTTCTTCTTGGCGAAGAAGCTCTTGTGGTTGTAGTAGGTGGTCAAGTAGCAGTCCACCATCTTGGCGTGGTTGCGCACTCGTACCTACGATGCAAGATGTCATTGAGTGGAGCGAGAATAAGCAAGCGCGTCATAATAACGTAGCGTCATTGCAACTTACGGCAAATCTTCTGGCGCTGGCGATTTTATGCTCGACCCTTTTGTCGATGGCGGATCGGAGGTCGCGGAGGAAAGCTCGCTCTTGGGCGTAGAGGAGCCTAGTTGGAGCGCCGGCCTCGTAGGGTATTGACCAGAGCGATGTGGAATACATGACCGGTGGCTCGGCGCTGGACATCAGCGGCGAGATGTTCCATATGAGCGCGCCCTGCACGCGCATCAGTTCCTCGGGCTTCACCTGGTCGGCTTTGTTCAGGATGATCCTCGTCTGCGACGCGAAACGCGTTAACCTACCTCGACGATCACGAGAGAGCGCTGATTAGACGACCACCTACCTGGTACTCGCGGCCCTTGAGTTGGTCGAGAATAGCCTCGGTCTCGGGCCCGACATCCAATTTGGAAGGATCGTACACCAGGAAAATAATGTCCGCTCGGTCGATGAACCACTGGCAAGCGTCGTTGAATGGGAACAGCCTTTGCACTTGCTTGCGAATCTCCAGGATTCCGGGGATTTCCACGATGTTCACCTTCTCCAGCAGTTTGCTGTTGAGCTTGTAGCCTTTCAAGCGGTCGAGCAGTCCCTGGCCGAACTTCTGCAGTCCGGAGAACGTCCAGTCGGCCGCCAGCTGGGTGCCGTCCAACACCTCCTCCTCCTCTCCGTGCATTAGAATGTTGAAGTACGCCGGCGACGGCTCGGCTCCTGAAATTCATCGTGCTTAGCTAGTCGCCGCACTAATAGTCGCGTGAACGTGTTTACCAACCCGTTCTCAGAGACGTCGGTTTGTACTCGATGTCCAGCAGATAGTTGATGATGGATGACTTTCCTCCGCTCCACGGGCCCATGAACAGTACCAAGGGTTTCGAGAAAATTTCCGGATCTGAGGAGCCAGCATTGAATTATCACGGTTACAATTGTCGTCGATATTATCGGCGTACCTCCAAAATGTCTGTTGCTCAAATCGCGGTACTTGTACAGAGTCTCCAGCGGTTTGATCGCATTGTCGTACAGCCTCTTGAGGTCCCTCAAAACTACATCTGCAATCTTCTCCACGGCTTTCTCCTTGTCTTCGTTTTCCTCGTCGAGCTTGAGCAACTGCCCTATGTGGTCCCTGGGTCGCAGTATCTCGGGCACCTCGATCTCCATTATCAACTCCTCCTCCTCCGGACTCGCAGACTCGTCCCCTTCTTCGTCACCCCCTGCCTTTTCTTCGTCTCGCTCCGCTCCTTCTTCTTCTCCTTGTTGCTCCTCTTTGTCACTTTCGTCTGCTGCAAAGCGTTGACCAATCATTCCCAGCGTCAACGCGAGACAACGCAAGCAATCTACGATTTACGCCGAGACGCGCGTGGACAGAACAAATCTTACCGGTATCTTCTGATTTTTCATCCTCCTGCCTATCCGACTCTTCAGCTTGCGGCTGTTCGCCGCTCTCTTCGTCGTTCGTAGCTGCTGGCGACTCTGTTGAAGTGGCCTTCTCGGCTACCACTGCTTCCGATTCGACGGATATCGCGTCTTCAGCGTCGCTCACGTCATCGCCATCATCGCCTTTGACGAGTTCAGCTGGCGCCTCGTCGCTCTCTTCCTTGGAAATTGCTCCCTCATCCTCGGTAGAATTGGATGGCTCATTGTCGTTGCCGTCCGCGTCCGTTGCCTCCTCGGATTGATTGTCGTCGTCTTTTTCATTTTGTTCGCTCGACTGATCGATCACGACGTCATCTTCTTCGTTGGCTTTGCCCTCAGCGAAATCAGCAGCATCGTCTTCCTGTGATTCGCCGCTGCTGCCGCGCTCCTCTAAAATTCACAGACTTACATCGCGAATCCGTCGCGGCTAGGCAATCTGTCAAGTGCAAACCTGTCGATCGTTCATCTTCCTCTTTGGAGTCGGCCGCTTCGACTGAATTTGTCTCGCCCTGCTCGCCCTCATCTTCGACGCTCGTCACCTCGACCGTGTCCACTTCGTCGACTTCGATGTCGCTGCTCGGCGATTCGTCATCCTGGGCACCAGTCGTGCGGCAATCCCAACGCATTATTACAAAGTCTCAGTGTGATATTGCAAAAAATGGGCGTGCGATCGCGTCGTCCGAAAATAGTCGCGTGGAAACCTGTTGAGCTCGCAAAAATAGATATCCACCGATGCGCTACTGCTACGCAAGATCTAAAATTATACCCGCATATGTGGTCCTCTAGTGGCCCTGTTGCCTATCAATCGCATCTTTTTTTTTTCTTTTTTCCTTTTTTCTGTTTGTTTTTTTAACGTTTTTCGAAGTCCGTTACACCTCCCTCCCGACAGCCGCCTCTGATCACCGAAGCTGCAGTCTATAAATATCGCGGACGTGCGGCTCGTTGATTCCGATTTATTTTTCCCCCCGCAAAGTTAAAATCCGAACATACCAAGTCGATGGCATCGGCGCCTGATTCGTCTTCGTCTATCTGAGCCCCGCGATCGTGAGCGTCAGCCGTTGCAGCGTCGTCTTCCTCGGGCGCATCGTCAGGGCTGCTCACCTGCTCCTCTGATCCTTTCGAAATATGAAAATGATCGTTAACAATCGTTGATCGGCGTGCAATACTTTCGCCGACGTGAAATGAACACTGGACGCTCGACAATAACACGTTTAATCTGATTAATTGAAGCCGAACCTTGTCAACTAGCCGTACGAAAAGTACGACTTTGCCGCGTGCTCAAACTCTTACTTTTTCAAGCGTTATTTTGTAAAACACCGTACCCAACGTGCTCGGGAAAGAGATCTTAGTTCTCGTGTTCCTTATCGCGATTACTTTTCCGTGCTAGTTCGGTAATGTACTATTCTACTTCACTCAAACGTACATCGAACGCGGGATGACGCGAAATGAAGCAAGTCGATGCTGAAAGTTGCTCATTGAAAAAACAATCTTAAAAGAATTATTCGTAGCGCAAAACTGACGTACCTGTGCCCAAGTCCTTCAAAGCTTTTTCAATGTAAGGCCGGCATTGGTCCTCCGACGGAACTTTTTCCAGCTCTTCACCTTGCACACCTGTCGCGCGTCATGTAAACACAGGTTTCATGCGATTGAACAGCCAAAATAATGAGCATCCTCCGGTCAGCTTTTGACTCGACAGAATTTGAGTGTGCACTATGCTTATTGCAAGTCGTTTCTCTCAGCTGACAGATATTCTGCTTTCAGAGGGATACATTTTAAATAGGGCTTTCCGAGTGGCAGTCAGTCTTCAGCTACGAGGTCAGCTGCTTGTCGTGCAGTTATCTCGGTTGTCAAAGACGATTGCAGGCGCGAAGCCGAGATCTACATTGATTAATAATAAAAGCGCCGATGTGTTGTTATCGGGATAACCCGGCAGTTCGGGCCGGCCAATGGGAGATTGACGGCGCGCAGGCGATCGGCTGAGGTCGGAGCATCCGCAAGTGACGCTCGGTCGTCAAAGTCGCGTTACGCGAGGCGCCGAGAGACGCGCGACGCGCGACGCGACGCGTGGACAAGCGTTTCGCAATACCAGCGGCGAGACGCACGTTGGAGGAAACTCGCGCGCTCGCGCGAGGATCTCGGTCGGACGCACGCCGATTTACTTCGAGTGCGCTCTACCTGGGACGAGGCCGAGCGAGCTAAGTTTAGCGTCGCGGGGTAGACGGCGGCGGCGGCGGCGCACTCGCGAACGCACGCGCGCGCTATACCCGTCGGCTCGACTCCGCTACGGTCAATGTTCAACGCCGCCGCCGCCGCCGCCGCCGCCGCCGCTGCCGCGAGCTTTCGCCTTCGAGCCTCCCCCTCCCTGTTGCGTCTTCGGCTTCTCGCTGTTGACCCGCGACCGCGCGGATGCACGCTCGAACTGGAGCAATGTCAACGATTTGATCCACCAGATTGATTGCATTCTAGAGCTCCGTCTGGTCGACGCTCGAAGCCGGTGGGCGCCGAGGTTGGCGTCGAGGTCAACGTCAACTTGCGCGCTCCTGGACTCGCGAACGCGGAATGAAAACGACCGTTCTACCGGCGTCTCGACAAATTTATAAGGGGCTCGAAAATAGACATCACAATTATTTCATTGTTCGGCCAATTTGGATTGTATTTCGGGCCGGCGATCGAACACGTCGGTCAATCACTGCCTCGGAAATTAATAGATACGTTTCTTTTCGCGTGATTAATGCGCCGCTCACGACTGGGTGGCGTTTTTCGAGGACTCGGTCTCGTTTGGCGATCGCGCGCGAGCGGCTCGTATCGCTCCACCGATGCCCACGGACACTTGCTCGATCGCGATCGGCCAGAAGAGCCTCAAGTCCGCACACCAAACGTTGACATTTCTCCGATCCGCATTACTGCGGCAGTTTCTTTTGGCACCATAACAGCTGGCTGCTATTTTCGACCGCGATAGAATCTGTCGGATTTTTTTTCTTTTTTTTTCCCTCCCGTTTTATATTCGTATGCCTGTGTGTATCAATCGCTCGCGCCTGCACGCAGGTCAAAACGAAATTGCCGCAGTCCGCGAGGATTCCTACGAATAAACTGTCCGTTTTATTCTTTTTGGCCGAGTGGCGCTTATCTGCGCCTGCTTATGTAATCGAATGCTCGGCTTTTACAAGCATTGCATTGGAGCCTTGTAATCCGTATTACCGCGCGGCCGTCCCGACGCGCGGTTTGCTCTGTATTTTTGGCAGAGGCATTCTTTCGGGCGACCGTAAATCCGGCACGCCGTTTTTATTTTCGAAAATGCGGTATTTAAAGTTTCGAATCTATTTTATGAACGTGACGTCTCCGAGCAGCAGTTGCGAAAAACTCGGAATTTTCACTCGACGTCTTATGTAATGTTGCCTCGCGAGTTGCACCTGAACGCGAGCCACGCCGATTAATCAACGGAAACCAAATGTTTCGGTTAATCGGGCGACGTGAGGACTCGCGACTCGAGCTCCGTGGCTTATAAATTCCAGCTGGACTCCGAATGCGCGTCAGAATAAGAATGCGACGGGCGTATTTTCGACGTGCACGAGACTTTGTCACACCCCCGTGGTCGTGCGGCGGCCTGGCAATGGAGGCGCGATGTCCGCGGGCCCCGCGAGAAGCATCGGGGAACAAGGGACAAGCAAGGGAGAGACACTCGACGGGCGGCGGTCTTCGGCGTCGTCGGCACAGCACTCAAGTTCCGTCACTTACGAACGCGGGGAGGATGACTCGAGATTACCCTGCAAGTTCACGGCTAGAAGGCCCAACAGAAGTCCCGCCGCGACGGTGAGCGTGGCCCTCCTTCTCGTGGCCGTCATGGCTCGAGTCTGCAGTGGCTCTCGAGCTCGCGCGGCTGGGACGCACACTGACTGGCTGCGCGGCTTCTACTGGCTTCGTCTCTCTATCGCGCAGCAGCCGACTGCCGGTCGCAGGCCTGCGGCCAGCGACGGCCGAGCGAGAAAGAGCGGCGACGTGGCCCTGCCAGCGGAACGGCCGCCGCGGTGGCGGGCATCCCGAGCTTGCCGCGTCGTTTGTTTGTTTCCGTCCGTTCGCGTGCGACGATTCGCACGCGCAGTGCAGTTGCGGCTGGTCGCTCGCGGCCCGACGGGGACAGCATTCGTCGTCGGCCGCGGCTCGGCCGATCGCACCCCCGCGCTCGCGCCTCATCGGCCGCCGCGAGGCTTCCGATGTCGAATGCGAGTGGTGCGAGTAGTACGAGAAGCGCGAGAGCGTGCAGACGTGCGGCGTTTGCGGCCAATGGCACATGCCATTGCAGCGCGGTCGTTGCTCGGTGTTCTCTCTCTCTCTCTCTCTCTCTCTCTCTCTCTCTCTCTCTCTCTCTCTCTCTCTCTCTCTCTCTCTCTCTCTCTCTCTCTCTCTCTCTCTCTCTCTCTTTATTTTAGCGCGCGCGCGCGTGCGGCTATTCGCTTCGATTCGATCGGCCGTGCCGATCTTCCCTCCCCGAATACCGCAGGTCCGAGGCAGAGCTCCGACATCGCGAATTTGGCTACTACTAGCCGTGACGCTCGAATCGCTCGCGGCCTTTCCAGACGCAAACAACGCAAGACTGACGAGTTGCAAGCTCGGGCGCGTTTGCCCTCGCCCCCTCCCCCAAGTTCTGGTTGCGTCAGCGCGATGCTCCCGACTTGCTGGCGTGTCCACTTGGATATTCGCAAAAATATGAGAGCAAGGTCGGCGAGTGCGGCCGTGCGCGCGCTCGCCACCGGCCGACACCAGTCGCGGATTCGCGCATCTCGAATGCGACCGAGCAGTTGACGCACTCTGCTCGACTGTCGGCAGCTCGACGAGCGTCCATCTCCTCGCGAGGTCGTCGCTGCTCGTTGTTCGCCGTTTATTCCTCGACCGTGGCGCAGAGTCGAAAGACAAACGTGCTTTGGATAAATTGACGAAAGGGGAGGGAGGCAGAGCGCGCGCGCGCGCGCGAGGTAGCAGCGAGCAGCACACGCACACGTACATGCGCGACCAAGTGCCGACGATGTTGGACGCCTTTATATTTAGACGTCTGGGCTGCCGCCGAATAAGGTGGATCTTCCTTGTCTACGACTTGACTTTCGCGTATTAATACCATAACTATATAGAAGCCAGCTCGGTCTCTCGCTGTTCTTGACAATGCTCGCGCGGACCGGGCTGTGCGTACGGCTCACCATGTCGTTCGACGCGTCGAATACTTTTCGCGATCGAGACACTTGTTTCTAGAAACGAGCGATGCCCTTTCGTACTATAATCGAATCTCCATTTGCCCAAGAGAGCTTGGGGTGCACGTCGCAGAGCGACGCATCCACTGGCCTTAAGTATTTCGCTAGCGGCCAATTGGCCGGTGTGCGGTCTATTATTAAGTGGTGCGCTGTTAATTGGCGAGGTCGCCGTCTCGCGTCATTGTGATTTAGCGCTTGGACGTCTTCGCGGCCCGGACCGAAGAGCGTAACGCCACGTCATCGTCGTTGCGTCGACAGCGCCAGCGTCCTGCTTTGTTTGCTCGCTCGCGTCCCATTCGATCAGGGTGCAGGGATTCTTGGCTCGAACCAGCATCATTCGCGTGCGCTGTCTGTTGCAGGCTCGCAAGATCGAGGAGTACAAGCGCAAGAAAGAGCGCAAGGCCTTGGAAAGGCTGGAGCGCGAGAAGCTCCAGCGCCTGAAGAAAATGCGCGAAGCGCAGGCAAAGGCGCGGGAAGACAGTACCAGGCAGCAGCAACAGCAGCAACAGGCTTCTAATGATTCCGAGAGCTTTGCTGGATCGGCCGGAGCCGGAGCTTCGCCGTTCGCGCAATTCTTGAACGACCCGGACATACTCACGGCTTTCCAGGTAGGCTTTTTCGCCAAAAGTCTCGATACGCTTTGCTTTACGATTGTCACCACATCGTCAAATAATCCGATCGATTTCACAGGATCCAGAAGTGGCGGCGGCATTTAAGGACATCTCGACAAATCCAAGTAACATCTTCAAGTACCAGAGCAATCCCAAGGTGATGGCATTGATCAACAAGGTTTCCTCCAAGTTTGGCGGCGCCGGCGGCCTCGGTGGCATGATGGGAGGCATGCCTGGCGGTCCCGGCAATCGTATGCCGGGAATGGGTGGCTTTGGGGCCGCCTCCGCTCAGCCACCGCCCACTCAAACGCATCCCGAAGCTGACGATTTTAATCTCGATTAGACCGTCCTATAGTCGAACGAGCACATCTGCCGACTCGCCTTCACCACCTTATTGCAGATACAAGCGAACAGACGTAAACAGTTGAGCTTCTGTTAGCGGTAACAGATTTTTCCAAACCAGAAGAATGCAAATAATAGGCGCTTCGTTACTAAACTGTTCGTTCTCACTTCGGTCGATGTTGCATTTATTATTTTTTTGACACGAACCTTCATAATCTAAAACAGGGCGTGCTCGTTTTCGTTGTTTCTTTCTTTTTTTTACATACAAAACTTATAGTTTATGTACAAGCGATTCTTTATTTTCTCCAATGTTAGTGCCTACTGTCAAACAATTTGATAAATAATGTTCAGCATCAATGAAGAAATGTCTTTAACAAGTACTATGAAAAATGTAAAATGACACATGGACAACAGATTTATTATAAAAGACATCAAATCTCTTACAAGAGTTGTATTTTTGATCCGAATCACAGACTGATGAATAACCTATCTCTTGACATTTATCGATATTACATTACTATCTATTTGTCTATGTATTACATATGGAGGCCAATTTTTTGAATAAATACATGAATAAAATCATGGGATCTCTTAATTCGTTGTAACAATTATATAAAATATGTACATAAATTTCCTTGTCTACATTTATCAAAAATACTGTAATCAGTTCTGATGCGATTGTATAATAAATAAAGTACACTCATGAAGAGCACGTAAAATGGCTGATTAGCAAAAATTACACCAATCTTGATCAGCATCTTAAAAGATAAAACGGACTTACAACAGTTTTCTCGTCAAATTTGCCTGTAGCTTTGAAGTGTTTTAAAAATGGACCAAAATGAATCTTCGTACAACCTTGGTTAATACTGTTCCGATTGGATTACGAATCAACATTACCAAATCGGAAATTCATCTATGGAAAGTCTAAAATTCGATTCAATACGCAACGAGTTTTCATTTTTTGCCTGATAATGGTTAACGACTACACCTTAGTCATAGCAAGCAGCATCGACTGACAGAAAAACCGACAATTTTGCAGGCATGATCGTGCCTCGTTTTGCGAGATTCCAAAAAATTGTATGTGTCGTACGTCACGTAGTGCAGACTCTACGAGTTAATTGATTTGAATATTTGTCGTCTTAACCGACTGGACACACTGATGCCAAATACGTCGATATTGAAAAAGAGTGTTACAACATTTTTAATATACGTGGTGCAGAGCTAAAGGGAAATACGCAAAGTTGGTTTAAAATATCGTGAAAAGAAAACGCGAATTGTCATCGGCTTTGCTACCGCAGCATGACAGTGGTGGCATATTTTCCAGGGTTATCTCGATCGCGCGTCGGCTGTAGAGGAGCGTGGAAACTAAACGGATAATACATTCTGTTCAGACTCGTCTGATCTTGAGCATGTGCAGGTTGGGGTGCCATGGCACTTTGCGAAAGGTTGGGTTGGTCGCGACCGGGCTGCCGCACGGAAGGTCAGCGTCCCCGGCGGTCGGCGCGTCGGCGCGCTGCCACGTCGCGGGCTCGCTGGCGGCTCCCCTCGGACCACGGCCGGCGGCGGCAGGATCGCGAGGAAAGCGCTGGTAGCGAGAGCGCCGCGTAGCCGGCTGGGCGTGGAGCGGCGCCGAGGACAGCTGGGTCAGCATCGGGGGGCAGCTCGGCGGCAAGCGGAACCAACTCGCGCTGCGAACGCGGGCGCGCAGCCGCGGGCCTTCGGGGCAGGCCGACGGTCGTCGTGCGCGCCGGTGCGCGTCGAGCTCTCGCAGCTGGTGGCACCGGTAGCGCTGCCTCGGCGCGTCCTCGTTGCTCCGGGCCCTCTGCTCGAGCCTGCGACATCGAACGGGCGTGTTGCGGTGAGAAGACGCGGCGCGAGAGCCGCGGGGGACGGCCGCGCGAGTACGCACTTGCAGACGAGCCGCTCGCACGCGGTGTATCGTCAGTTGAACGGGTGCTCGGCGTTGAGCGTCCTGTAGCACTTGTTCCAGGCCTCGAGCAGCATGACGCAGCTGTGAAATCGGTAGAAGATGAGCAGGGGCAGGCCGATCCTCGAGATGACGCCCCAGGCGAGTATGCCGAAGAAGTTGAGCTGCAGCTCCTGCGATATCCAGGTCTGCGTGATGACCGTGTCGAAGGCCCAGAGCACGGCTGCAACAGATCGCGCCCGCGTGTGAGGAGCCGTCGGCGGTCGGCGGTCGGCGGCGGGGCATACCTACCGTTGCTGAACAGCAGATACGTGATGATCTGGCGCGCCGGCTTGGCCGTCATCTGGGAGCGCGTGATGCAGCAGCGCTTGGCGGCCTCGGCGATCAGGGTGCTCTGGGCGAAGCACTGGAAGAGCTGCAGCACCGAGACGGCCAGCAGCATCGTGTGCCTGGCCCGCAGGTCGGCGAGGCTCTCGCCGCCGCCGTCGGCGCGGCCGTCGGCGTCCTGCGGGCCCGCAAAGTAGGCGGCGGTCAGTGCGCGCTGGCGCGGCGGCTCGGGCCCGACACGCACCTCGAGGCTGTGCAGCGAGCAGGCGCACACGACGATCGTGAAGACGGAGTAGAGCTGCACGCCGAACAGCGCCACGTTGGACAGCAGCGAGTCGAGCTGCGCGGGCGCCGCGCTCACCACGGACATGCGCCGGACCTGCAGCAGGCCGCTGCAGGTCACCAGGCTGCTCAGCGAGAGGATGCCCGCGAGGCTGCCGCAGGTCAGCCAGGACAGCGTGGCCGGGGTGAAGTGCTCGTCCTCGCGTATCACCAGGAAGATGAGGATGACCACGATGCCGGCGACCATGCACAGGATCCCGAGGAACAGGCCCTTGCTCGAGCTGTCGCAGCCGAGGCGGGCGCCGGGCGCGTCGCGCGCGCCGTGCAGCTTCTTGCGCAGCAGTCGCCCCGAGCGGCCCACGTTGCGGCCCATCACGAAGGCCACCGCCGCCGCGATCAGGCTGCGGAGAGGAGGTGGCGCGTGAGAGTCGGGCGACCGGCCGGGGGACGGGGGAGGGGCGCGAGGGCCGCACCTGAACTGCACGATGAAGGGGTAGAGGAAGGGCATGCTCGAGGTCCACAGCTGGCCCAGGGCGTTGGTGTTGAGGCACTCCTGCAGGGCGACCACCTGCGAGATCTGCTCCTGGGATATCGGCTCGTAGCGGTGGTAGGCCGAGGGCTGCCGCTCGTAGGCGCGCTCCTCGTCGCCCGGCAGCGCACGGCCCAGCTTGGTGAAGGCGTCCGGGAAGCGGCGCAGCTCGAGCGGCGACTGCTGGCGCAGCGCGCCGCGCTGGGCCACGTGCACGTGGTAGGTCCACTCCTGCGCCGAGTCCCAGATCACCAGGCGCGCCCACACCGCCACGTTGGTCGCTGCCAGGTGGGTGAAGCCGAACCTCGCCGCCGGCCCGAACTTCTCCACCAGCACCTGCGAGTTGACGAACAGGAAGTGCATCTGCAGGAAGGTGAAGAGTCCGTGCAGCGCCGGGTGCACGAAGACGATGTCGCCGAAGCACTCGGCGGCCTGCGCCATCGAGTGCATCGCCATCTCCAGGCCGTTGAACACCAGCGTCGCCAGGCCGAACACTACGACGTCAAACGGAGAGTCAAAACAGGCGTGATCGCGTTGCCCGCGCGTCGTCGCCGCTGCCGCGCGAAACTCACGCAGAGCGCCGATCCGGATGTAGAAGCTCGTCGGCGTGGTCCTCGATCGGGATATGTGAGCGAGTTTGAGGGAGCCGAACCTCGTGAGCGAGGCGCCGCCGAGCTCGGCGTCGTGGAAGCCGGCCGTCGGCGCGGAGCGCATGCTGCCGCAGCTGTCGATCAGCACCCAGATGTAGATGGCGATGATCACGGCTATGCTGCCCACGTACATGTAGATCAGGAATACGCCCTGCCGATGCAAGCACACCTTGACGTCGCGCGATCCAGCCGACGGAGCGCGCGGGAGAAAGTCCGCGCCCCCGTTCTCACCTGCAGACTGAGCAGCGGCACAGGAGTGTCCATGACCTCTGCCAGGCACAGCGCCATCGTCAGCACGATCAGCAGCTCGCCGTAGACGTTGGACAGGACCACCCACAATTGAGAGCTGACGAGCAGAGTTGATTGGGGAAGTGTGCAAGGTGTACGCGGTTGTTGTACTCGTCGCCCGCGTCAACTCACAATGGCTCCGAGTGGTCCAGCAGGTCGTCGGGCGTCCTCGATCTCGCCAATATCCTGGAGACGAGCGATTTGGGCGACGGGGAGTGCGAGCGACGCGGGCTGGCGTCGCGCCCCGGCGACTCGGCGTTGCCGTTGCCGGCGAGTTCGCCGCCGCCGGGGCCCGCGTCCGCCGTTCCACCCGCCGTGCTTCCGGTCTCGTTCAGGCTGTCCTTGTCGTGCTGCTGCTGCTGCTGCTGCTGATCGTTACCAGCTGGAACGCGCACACGTCGAATGAGGCGCAGCCAGGCGGGCCGCGAGCGCCGCCTCGACGGTCCCGGCGGCGGACCGCGCGGGAAAGCGAGAGCCGATCGCCGCATCGTTATCGCTCGCTCGCTCGCTCGCGCCGGTCTCTTCGGGCAGCGAGCGCGCCAAGAGAGCGAGCAGCAACACTTTCTCGCGTGCGGCTGCGTTTTCCTTTCTGCCGTGTGGCTCCGCTCGCGCGTGCAGCACGCGCGGCCGCCGAGGTGGATGTGGTTTGGCGCAGATGGATCACAAAAGACCCACGGACGCGTTAAATTACTGTGATCGCGGTCGGGCTCCGCGGCAGTCGCGCGAGCGGGCGCAAAATGTCAGCCTTTCGCCGCGCGCGTCGCCGTAGCGGGCTCGCAGCGGGGGCCGCGCCGCCCCTCGCGAGGACTCGCCGCTTCCGCCCCGCGACTCGATACCGATCGCGCTCTCGCCGCGCGTCTCCTTCGCGTCCATCTCCCGAGGTCGCAAACCGTAACAATCACACTTTCTTCTCGCCACTATTGAGATTCATGAATTATGGATCCGTGGGGCGCGCCTGCAATGAAATCGCAAGCAACGCTGCGCGAACGCGGCCACGCGCCTACGCGCTTGGTGTCCGAGCGTCGAACGATCTCGAAGGAGCATCGCTCCGGTCAACTCGATCGCGGCTGCTGCGCGTCTCGTTATGGCGCATCCTTACGCGTGTTTATGCGGCCGTACCGTGTAAGGTGCATAACGCCCGACTATATTCGCCGCCTGATTGCAGTGTGCGCGCGCATCGCCTGTGAGGTTGCACAGGTGTACCGGAGCGCGCGCGAATACGTATCCGATGAATTGCGGACTTTACGCGTGTCCCCCGTTTCGTACTTTCCTTGGCAGCTTACAAAATGACGTCGAATCTCTGTTGGTCGCGCGAGATGAAAACGGGAAAGCTGCGCTTTCTTTGGCGACCTCGCGATCGGGCAAATGAGAATAGCGAATCCACGTGCGCACAATTTACGTAGAGCGGTACACGGTAACCGACAATGCATCGCTTGGCCAAATTAACGATTCCGATGTTTCCTTTCAGATGTGAATTTTCACGCAAGACTCGCGATCGCACGAGATCCAGCGGCTCATTGTTCGCCGTCTCGTCGTTACTGGGAAAGATAACAACAACAAAAATGACTCTGGCGGCCTACGCAGTACATGCAACTGCTTTCACTCCTCGGCCTATTATGGCGCACGATTTGATGCGAGAAAGAGCAACGCCAAACTCGGCGGTAAGTATAGCCGACGTTTTCTTTATTGAGATGATTACTAAGCGTCAGCGCGATGTTGATTGCTTTGGCAGTCGATGCTTTCAACGCCAAGCAAACTTTCGATTGTAAATTAATGTAAAAAGTGAGTATACCGGGTATTTTAGCGATCTAGTCAGGAAAATCAAAATAATAATAAAAAACAAAATAAAATTGATGTTGCATATTTACCTAGGATAAAAGCTTCCTGTAAATAATGAGGCGTTCTGTGATTATTACGATGCATTTGATGAGCGATTTCGTTGTGCTGTGTGGTGCAACAGTCGCGCGATAATCATAGAGTAAGGTAAATAATCTCGACAAGTCGACTTCGACTATCAATGCAACGAGCGAGAATTCATCCGTGACGTTTCGCTAATGTGGTCGAGTCGGGAGTTCGCCTCGTGACGAGCGATCGACGCACTTCTCACAGTTGAAATTTCGTCGCGATCGCGTAGAAGTCACGTCGACCGAAAGCGCTCGCTTTCCTAAATCGGTCGTCGCGTACTCGCGTCAAGCAGCCCGGCGCGAACGGCGTGAAACTTACTTGGCGCGACGCTGCGGCAGCGGGACCCCAAACGATACTCTTGCACGAATAGCACTTCATGATGAAACGGGACTCGAGCGAATCGAACTAAGCGGAAGAGAAGAGGACCAAGGAAATGAGCGATGCCGCGTCCGCCGAGGCGCCGCGTTCGAACGTGCGATGTCAAGTGCTCGGGAAAACCTAGCCTCTGCCACTCTCTCGCTCTCTCTCTCTCTCTCTCTCTCTCTCTCTCTCTCTCTCTCTCTCTCTCTCTCTCTCTCTCTCTCTCTCTCTCTCTCTCTCTCTCTCTCTCTCTCTCTCTCTCTCTCTCTCTCTCTCTCTCTCTCTCTCTCTCTCTCTCTCTCTCTCTCTGTTTCGGCGAGCGCGCGAGCGTCGAGAAGTATCGTCGTTTTATACCGGTTCTTTCGCTTAGCCTCCTTTCCGCGACGCGGTGTGGAGAGGCAGGCTCGCGAGCGTGTACGCGCACGGAATGCCGATCTTTGTGGCTTATCACGCAGCGGCAGATGCTCACCGGGGTTACGCTCCCGTTGATTTTTCCTCGCAGCCTCTGTTCGCTCGTTTATTTCTTTTTTCTCTCCTCATTGGCGCGTCGGTCCGGCCCGACTTCCCCGCAAGAGCGACGTCTCCAGGAAGGAGTGCATCCCGGACAGCGGCGACGAAGGCGCTCGGGTGCGCACGGCGAACGATCGACTTTCGAAAGCGATCGCCAGACGAGCGACGATCGATCGTCGAGCCTGCCGTCCTCCGCGGCGTATATTAAATCGATTTTCACCGCGCGCCCCGAGCTCACATCTGGCGCGCCGAGTTTCTCTAACCGTGACGATCATAATGGAGGCGGCCGTGTAACTCGCGAGGATACGCGCGGCTGACCCTGATAGCGCGCGGAGCGCGATGCAGCGCGGAGGGACTCTCGTGTCGCGGCGCAGGCCGCCCAAAGCGGAGATTTCGCGGAGCAGCGGTATAAGCCTTCGGCCGAGCGTCGACCATTAGCGAATCGCGGGCTGACTAGGCACCTGCTGGCCTGCTGTCGCGCGATTCGTCGTTAAAAGCGCTGCACCGCCAGCGCGAGCGAGCCACGCGTCCGCCTGTACAGTTAGGCCTGCTTTCCTCTTAATGCGCCTATCCTACTTGGCTTTTCGATGCGAGACTCGACAATACGCGTTTCTCTCTCTCTCTCTCTCTCTCTCTCTCTCTCTGGCTCACGGTGATCAGACAGATCCTCGCTCGTCACAGGCTTTCAAGTGGATGCGCTGAGAATCAAGTCCGTGCGAGGCTGCTTCACACCTGATTTACGTTAATGATTCGCGAGAATTACGACGGCCAATCGACGCAACTGTACGGCGCAGCGACACATGTGCCTCGTCGCGGGATCCGCAGCTGGCGGCAGAAGCGTTTATATTTTTCTTTGGCGCGCTATATATATCACCGCGGACGAAATCCAGTCGGGCTCAAAGTCGTTTCGCGTTCCGTCGTTAAAACCGCGAGACCAGTCCGTCTCAGCGGCTGTCCAGCGCGAGCATCCGGCGACGCGTGCGTCTTACCGTCGGCGACGGTGCTCGATGCATTATTCGCGACGTCGACCGCTCTCTCCTCGCTACCCAGGCGCACCGCCAGCAGCTTGCCGCCGCTCCGAAACTGCCAGGCCGCGTCCTCCTCGCCGTTCGCCAGCTGCCGCACGCCGCCCGGCGGACTGTCGTCGAACCCGTTGGCACCCATCACCATCCAGCTGGAGCGCTCGTCGGCAGCCGCCTCGATGCCACTTGGCGCGCCGTCCGGCCTCTCGGTGGACTGCTGGTCCCGCGATCGAGGCCGCTCGTCGCGCGGGTCCTCGACTCTGCAGCGCACACACCCCGAGGGTCGGAAACGAGACGATACGGGGCGCACCGCGCCGATCGACGCAAACCCGAGGATCGACCATACCTGTAGGGGCCGACGAGGCCAATTACGGCCTTGGTCACTGCCGCGCACATGCCGGGGACACTTCCGCGAGCTCGCTGCAGCCTTGCACTCGGTGCGCGCGCGCGAGTCCGCCTCGTCTCGCGATCCTTCTCGCGATCCTCCACGCTATGCGGGTCCTGGCTGGCTGGCGGTCGACGCGGCAATGGCGCGCGGTACCGCCGCCCACCGTGCGCTCGGCTTCTGGCGCGACGGAAGTCACGCACGCGAACTCGTCCGAATGCCAATGAGCGTGGCGTCGAGAGCGATCCGGAGCAACGCGTCGCCCCGGCCGAACGCGATTTCCATCGATCCCGCGGTCCCGCGCGGCTCGGGCGCGGTATATCCCGCGAACCGGCCGCGAGGGAAAACGCGTGCTTGCCGCGGGTCGCAAACGGCATTTTCGCGCTGAGCACATTACGCGGACTCGACCGCAGCTCTGTGCCTCATTAGCGGCGCGCGGCAACACGGATTTGTGGCGCGTTATTTTTATTGCCTCGCGCGAAATCGACCGAGAGAGGTCTCGCGATTTACGAGCGAGACAAAGATCTCACCGCCGACAGACGAGAGCTCATCGCGCTGCTCGCACTCGAGACGTGCCATACCACTGCAATCGGCATAATCGCTCGTGCAGGCAAAATAAGTAAAGTGGAAAACGAGAATGACAGAGGCGCTCTCCAGTGCGTGCAGCGCGTTCAATGAGACGTCGCGCTATAGTTAACTTTCGGTTTCAGTGAACTGTAGACTGCAATAATAGAACCCGTGCTGCCACGGCAATTCGATGAGACGGGAAAAAAAGACAAAGCAGCGGCGATGCGTCCGGTGCAAATATAGTCCAAGCCATTCGCTTCCCTAAGGAGGTTAACGAAAATACACTCTCATCACAGCGCAGCGGAGCCGCGTGCATGGATCTCGCGGTCGCCACGCATACTAATGTCGTCACAATTCTGTGCGCTGCGCTAACTGTATCTCTCTCTCTCTCTCTCTCTCTCTCTTCTTCGTTCACTCTCGATACGTGAGTACGCGTGACATCCTCGTTAGTCGGGCTTCGGCCATTGCCAAAGCCCTCGGTACGTGCGGGAATTCAACACGCGCGCTCATCCGCGTCCGTCCGAATTCTCGCTGCATGTACGCGGTGCGCCGCGACTGACCGATGCCCCAAGGCTGGCGCTCGATACTCCATTGCGCGTCTCGAGCGCGTGCGTGCGCTTGCGGGTCCGCCGATAGCTGTCGCGGAAGTGGCCGAGCGCGCGGATCATGCGCAGCGTCGAAGCCGATCGCAGTCGCGCGAGGCGCGACGAGGAGAACGGGGTCAAGGCCGCGGGGTCGCGAACCCGCCCGACGACTAGGCCCAGCGCGCCGAGCGGAGCTCGTCGCCTCGAGATGACGCACGCAGCCACGACGATGCCGCGAGGGCCCGCCGCCAAACTGTCCGCGCTTCTGCGCGTCCTCGCTCTCTGCCAGCTCTGCGCTGGGTAAGTACGCGTGCACGACCGAGAGTACATAGGTAGCGCTTCACGTTCCGTCTGCGCATTCATTCGAACTGCTCGCCAGGGATCAGTGGCTGATGGAGGGCGACTTCATCTCCAAGCAAGACACCCTCGAGCGCAACCTCCACCTCGAGACGACCAACTCGACGACGAGCGTGTCCACGTCGCTGCTTCTCACGCTCAGCGCACCGGCCGATCACACGATCAACTGCGTGCTCGCGGCCTCGCTGAACATGCACGGCGACGTGAGCGTCGTCGAGGGTGGCGTGGGCGCCGAGAACGTTACCCTCGCCTACAAAACTCGCAACGGCCGGCCCGATTTTTTGTTCGTCATGGTCGAGTCGCACGTGGAGAAGGGCCTGCTGCTGGAAATGCGGGACAGCGTCATTCGCAGCTCCAGAATCGCAATTCTTTACGACCAGATGAAGGATTGGAAGTTCGACAATCTGGAGGCCAAGGACGAGACGACCAAAACGTAGTGACAAACGCCGGTGGCTGCTCTTCGGATTTTTAGTGACTAGCCCCAGCAGCCAGTTTAATCACTTATCTAGAGTTTTACTATTTACTCCTTAATCAATTATTATCACTCTTATTATTTACTGCATATGTTTATGAGTAACACACCGTACAAATGTGAGCATTGCACACGAACGATCAAATATTTCAAGCGATCGACCGTACGAGTCTCTGCGCAATACTATTAGTAGTTTACGGTGGATTTGTAGCTTTATAGGAAAAGCATTTATCAAATCGCTATTAAGTAGTGTGCTACACTTTTTGGTCGCTTATTGTAAACCATGTAAACGGTGGAAGTCTATGTCAATGTTTCAGTTATTACCTCGTCCAAGTGGAGCCATTTGTATCGTAAAATTGGAATATCGCATGGTAATCGAAGCGCATCGGCCCGTGTAAACAAGGAAGCATGGCAAAAGTTTACGCTGTTAGCTGTACTTCAAGTATACGAAACAGTACGTTTCTCTGCCATATTTTTATACGTGAAGCTCAAAAAAAATTATTTGCCCGCTGTACAACGAATAAAATATAATTAGACTTGAACGATAATAACTAAAGTATTTCTCTTACAATCGACTATAATTGTAAAATTAAGACTTCTTAGTTATAAGCGAATAATGTAAAAAAAGTAATTATTCCCCTATACACTATATCGTGCAAGTTGATAACATTCGTGATTATTGACGAATGTTACTTGTGCGCGTCGATTCGTTAAAAATATTACACTTTCGGAAAAGGAACGGAAACCTCGCAAGTCGACATTTCCGCGTGGTCCTCGAGCGACGATTCTCACTAAATCGGTCATTTCTAGGTGTGGACTGGCGATCGCGAGAAAAGCGGCTCGAGGGAGAGCCCAACTTGCGCGTTACGCGGCACGCGCGCGGGAATTATCCAGGCTGATTGATATCAGGGCGCGAGCTGCTTTCGATAACAGGAGAAAGTGTTGCGAGTCGAGCGGCAAGAGCTGCGGCGCGATACGACAAGCCGACAACGACACGACGGTGAAAGGATAGCCACGAAAAACAAGGGCCTATTGCGGTTATATTGTCGCCTCGCGGTTAATTACTCGATGCTCTCACCGCCGCGATCCGCTGTCCCAATGACCTACTATCAATACACCGAGGTACTCGAGATTGCTCGACAAGCGCCGTGTAGCTGTTCGAACGTATACTTTGCTGTACAAGTCAGAATTGCCGACAACTCGCGTTTTCTCAAAGACAGCAGCTTTGCGGCGCACGTGCGTGATTCACCTTCCAAAAGTCCGCGTCGACACTTGCGAGTTTTGCCTATTGGATATATTACTGCGGGTTGTCCGAGCAGTCGCGCGGCTACGTCTCACGAGCCGCGCGCATCGGACCGTCACTTGTCGCCGATGGCAGTGACCGCAGCTCCGAGTCCGTCTAAGATTCTGGCCGCGGAACGCCCCGACGGCTCGGGCATTTTCACTTCCGTGAACTTTCAATGTCCTCGGAGCAGCTCGGCAGGCCATATCTCCGGAGTTTCGGACTCATTTTACCCCCTGCTCGCGCGCGGCTCTTACCGGAGCAACGGTCGAGCTCGACCGGGCTGGCTGGCTGGCTGTCGTGCACGTGCGCGCCGATTGGCGGACCGCGAGCTCGCCGCGCTCGTCGAACGTTTTGCGCGCGGCAAGTCGCCGACGTCGACGTCGCTGCTCGCGCGCGAAAGCTCGTCGCACTCACCGGGCTTCGAGAGCTCCTCGATGGGCTGCAGCGTCCTGCTGGGCATCCTCGGGGCGGCGGCCTTGTCCTTGCGCCTCTTGTTCGAGTAAATCTCGTACTTGCTTGGCGCCCGGGTCAGACAGCGCGCTGCCGCGGTATCCTGGTCCATTAATCTCGTGCTACCTGCTCGTCATCCTCGCGTCCGCGATCCCGCGGCGGCTGGCCTCTTGCTCCTCGCGCACTCGCACTCTCGAGCCCGTGCCGCGGGTTGCGCGCGCGCGCGCCCGCACTCCAAGCTGAGCCGTGAGCTCTGCAGCGTCAGCGTCGGCGGCGGGCAGCCGCAGAGGATCGAGACTGTGACGCGGGCGAAAGCGCTTGCTCGACTCCGGGGAAAGGGGCCCCGCGGCCGTGAAGTCGCAGTTGCCGCCGCAAGGACGCCGGAGGAGGAGGAAAGAGGGAGAGAGAGAGAGAGAGAGAGAGAGAGAGAGAGAAGATGCACGTTGCGGGCACACAGCTAGCTCCTGGAATGGAGATGGTAAGAGAGCGTGTCTCGAGAGTAACTGCAGGCTTGCGGCTTTGAGCGACTTCGTCGCGCCGACCGCACAGGAAGCAAAGGGATTCGGCTCGAGAAACGTCTCTGCGCGTTGACGGATCGCAGATGCCGACACCCCTTTTCTGTCCCTGACAGGTCCAACGTGCCAATTTCGCAAGCTATTCGCGTGTCTACATTTTAAACAAACTGAATTCAAGAGAAGCAGATTGTTTGACTACTCCAAGCGCGTTCTCCGCTAAAACAACAATGTGCATCCAACAATTAATGCGCGAGAACAGTGAAACACAAGCATAAAACAATATGTAAATTTAACAAAAGTTGTTCAAATGACGTAATCATTATTATTCTTAATCAATAGAGGACTAAATATCAAGGATTAACTTTTAGATTTAAATGCAATGTATCATATATAACGTACGAAACAAAGGTAGAGAAAGTGGAACGAGTTGAGATGGAAATGTTTCAGCGCAAGTGAACGTGCTGCTGCTGCAAGTCTACTTCAGTGAAATTGATAGCAGATAAGTCTGCACCTTTACAATTCTACTTTTACAAAATGTATATAGTTTTTTTTTAGATTGCAAAAATATTTTAATATATTAATATTATGACACTGTAATTTACAGTGAATTATAACTGCACGTATACAGTAAGTACGGCGGCTACAAGCACCTATTTAACTTGTATTAAATTGTAGTGTATTTACGCCTCAGATTTCAAATGCTATAACTTTATTTACCTGCATCATTTTGGCTTCGCTCGCAAGATGGCGAGAGAATGATAGAGCCAGCACTGGTTTAAACATGTATTACATTAATTACGTTCAAAGTCATCGTAAGAAAATATCAACTTATAGCTAAACAAATGTAAACAGAAAATCTTGTCGACGTTATTTTCTTGGAGCTTTTATTGGTATATTAGATTAGCTAAAACAAATTTGAAAATTGCGATCACTTTTATTCACTATTTTTAATACTTAATGGTAAGTTCATTTATTAAAGACTTTTCCTACATTATTTGTAATTCTAAAATCACTTAACAAATCAATATAATGTTAATCATGTGAAATAAGTAATTTATTATAGTACAGTTGCACATGATAATAATCGATAATTGTTTCTTTGTAAACTTTACAAAAATTTGATCTAGTGAAATTAAAATTAATAAACTTGCAACTTAATTGTATGTAATTAAATTACATTAAAAAGATTCTAACATGATAATTTAATCTAAAAATATCCAATGAAACAAATAGAATGTGAATTGAAAGAAAACTAAAGAAATGTAACTGAATATCTATGAGAACGAAAAAACAATTGTCTTGATACATTTGAATATATCTCAAAGGATGCAAGTATAATCATTGAACTTGCATTGTAATAGTCAACTCAATTTGTTTCATTTTTTTGATTTTCATGAATTTATTTACAAGTTCACTTTTTTTTTGATGATCCAAAACCAGAAAATCCCATAATTGCAGCCATCTCATCTACTGGTCCACCATCTTCATCGTCATCATCATCTTTAGTTTCCTCAATTTTTCTTTTTCTATCTTTTTTCTTTTCTCTTCGATATTCTTTCATTTTCTCTTCCTAAATAAAGAATAGAGAAATTATCACATTTGCATTGATTTTTTACTTATAAAAAGTTAAGCACTCACTTCTTCTTTTAATTCTTTGACTCGCTGCTCCAAGTCATAATCTTTCTTTTTTTCTTCAAGTTTTTTCTTATTAGCTGCAAACCGTGCTTTAACTTGCTCAAGCGTGGATCGTTCAATTTTCATTGACATACCCAAATTTCGTTGATCTGAAAATAATTTTTTGTAATGAAAAATAATATATAAGAAAATAGGTTTTTGGTGGGAATAACCATTAAATTTACTAACGTTTGGTCCCATTTATGTGATCTAAGAAGTTTATAGAATCTTTTACTACACAGTCACAAACATTGCAGTAGTACCTAAAAATGGAATAATATAATAATAATAATGGAATAATAATTTATTTTTTATATTACAGATATTTGACAGCCATACCCGCCACTCTGAGAAGAAGGTGTATTTTTATTGATCACCACACTTTTACCAAGTTTTGATTCTAAATCAACTTTGTAATCTCTTTGTTTTAAAAGTTCTCTTTTAACAGCTGGTTGTTTTGGAATACCTAATTCCTCTTCTGCAATTTCTTCCTGCAACCTCTGCAGAGCAAGCCTTTCGTACTCCTCTCGATTCCATTTTCTTCTGTGATCATCAGGTCGCTGTTGAAAATGCAAACAAAAATGTTTATAAAAATGTTTAGTAATTGATAGTTATTCCATAAATGATATTGAAATGATTTACCATAGACATTTTGAAGTAAATTTTCAAAGTTTTATAGCTCTCAACAATTTAATGATGCTGAAAATTCTTTTCTATTAATGGTTATACGTTGTGTTACTTAAATAATTTCAATCTTGATCAGTTTCGCCTGGTTAGCTTCACCACATTTTTTAAATTGACAAATGGATAATCAGTTACAACTGTGAATATTTGTATAAATATAGATAAATTTATTTTGACGTGAATAATAACTTTCTAGATTATATTTGAGGTTTTGTTGTGTTGTGACTAGCTACTGCGCATTGCGTTTACTGCGCAGTGCGTACGTTGCGCAGTATAGTTGTACGCACGGTGCGCAGTATAGTTGTATGTAGAAAGCTGCTTGGCACGCTAGGGAAATGAATTAGACAATATGAAGATTAACTGAACTTTATTTAACTAGATTACAGTTGACTATATGTAATCTTTATTTACACTGTGTTTGTTCTCCCAGAGCTGTGGGAATTCAAATATTGTCTGAAATGAGTTATTCTCTTAGCGCTAGAGCAACTAAGTAGTTGCCACGAGGAGCTGGCAAAGGAATCACCAATTATCTCGAGCGCCGGTGAGAGACTGACTACGGCTATGCGAACTCGCTGCGAGGAACGAGCGTTTGCTTGCGCCGTCGTGTTACCGACGACTGAGGAGTACTGCCATCTCGTGTCTGCTGACGTAAGCTTGGCGTGACCGCAACATGTACGCAGTTACGGTCATTTTCAACGAAATATGACAGTTTTTAATTGAAACAATTTAAAATTAAGCTATTAAAATTAATACATTTTTTATTACAATTGTAATAGTTTTATTTATTTGAAACAACACATTTTTTCACATCATTGTTTTGCTCTTAAAATTTATAACATATTACTCTATTCTGTGTATTTACATAGATAGTATTTCGATTATTATATATTTTTCAAGGCAGACTTTTGATTTATTTACTTATGACGTAAAATATCAACTCTTATATTTGTATATATATATATTTTTTTTATGACATTAATCTTATAACAAACTATATGCAATCAAGTACAGATTCAATGCATAGACTAGATTCGTAAACTTTCAAAAACAAAAACTCTTATTCAAAAAGCCAACGTTTAAATAATGACGAGACCTTCACACATATACCAATAAAATACTTGTGTGCTTTCCATTCTGTATTCCATAACAGAGCCATGGTTTTATTGGTATACATTTAATTTAACAGCTTTTTGATTTGTACTGTTTCAGATATAAGATCTAGACCATCACAATCAGCAAGAGTCAATTGAAGTTGCAACAAAATTATCAATATGAAAATATATTAATACTTTTTTATCATAGCACTTGTTTTGTACTACCTAGAAATCTTGAGCTTGTCCTTCTGATCAATCTATTCTGATTTATGATAAATGTAAAACAGAATTGAATGTTATTGCAAAAAATCATCTGGGAGATCATTTCCAGATATAGTGGCACCAAAATTGGTTATTACTTTTGCAGCCACTTTACAGCCCCATTTCAAACAAGTCTCTGGATCTTGATCAGTGATTAATCCAGCCAAAAACCCAGCTACGAGAGAATCTCCTGCACCAGTTGTATCCACAATAGGTGAGGTGGGTTTCATTGGATCACAACTTGCATGGTTACCTTGACCCCAAACTACTATAGCAGGATCTGACCCACCTTGAGTCATTACAACAATGCTATCACTTATGAGCCAGTTATTGCTACAGGAATTTGATGCATTTACTGTTACTCTTTTTAAATTATTCAAAAGAAAGGGAATGTCAGCAGAATTACTGTATTGGAGATTTAATGATTCTGCTAAGGCTATCATTTCTTCTACATTTCCAAAAATAATGTTGGCTAAACCAACCATTTCACAAATTTCATTGCAGTGTTCCTGAAAGAAATGTTTGGTTTATAATCTATATTCTGTGATAAAATGTATATATAAATCTTTACCTCGAAAACATAAGTTCCACTGAGATTAAATGCTAATATTATATCTTTTTCTTGTGCTTTTTCTACAACTGCCTTGGCTACATCCATACTGTGAGTTATAAAAAAACCTTCAATGTAAATAATCCTAACACAATCAAGAGGTAGATCTGTTTTGTTGAGATCGTTAAGGGTGTAAATTCCAGCTGCCCCCAAATTAGCTGCTAAACTTCGATAGGTGTCTTTGATAATAGAAACACATATTCCAGTTGGTAATGATGGATGAATAGCATACCTGCAAGGATATACTCTTATTTTAGTTTTATCCAAGTTATTAAGATATTTTATAAATGTTTAATAGTTTGTACCTTGCATCGACATTTGCTAATTTTACTAATTCTTTCAATGTTTCTCCTCTAGTGCAATTACCTAGACCTCCATAGTAGATACACATTTTTGGTCCATTTTTTCTACCACATAAATGTTGTAATATTCTTACAGTATTCAAAGCACAGCCACCAGCACTTGTTATTCTTTTTGACCTGCAAATGTTTCAAAACCATTTTTTTGTTGATAGTTCATTGACATATGCAACTTACTCATTAGGTAAGTCGTTAAACAGCTGATCTATTTTCTTCCGATCTAATTCAGTTTGTCCATCAATTTTCAAATTATACTTTGTTAACAAATTATCTTCATCATTGATTATAAGTACATCGAGCAATGGATTGCCAAAGGCCATAACAATTGGGTGTTGAAGTTTTGCTATTTTTTCTTTCATTGACATGTTGCTAATGATAAATCAGTAGCTATTAATGAAAGAAGATTCAGATGAAATTTATCATAAGTCAGTCTGTGTAAAAAATTTTGAATTGGAAACGCGTAGCATTACCAATGATAACAAATAAAGCTACTTACCTATCAATAATTTTGACTAAATTATTATTGACCATGAAAAGTTGTATCAAGAAACAATACGAACGTCCACGCGAGGCGCGATATCACAAGTGCAGTATAATTAACCACGTGAGCATGCGTGTTGACTTTGCTATATGGATTTTTTCCGAGTTGTCCTTCAGACAGAGACGCCCAAAAGGCGCGTATGCGTATTACCCGCAGTCTTAATATTATAATTTTACACACTATTTACAGGAGAGCTACGGTGCCGTGATACAGCGTACGGCCATAGCAGACGACTGTCGACTACTATATATCTTAATAGCAGACGATGTTCGTTGTCTTGTGCAGGGTGGAACACATATATCGTCTATTATATATAGCTATTTGCAATTCTGCAAAAAATTGTGGTGAATTATTAGTGAGAAATTCGAATTCTAATAAACACGGATTCGCAGTACTTTTTTTACAGTGTCGTGTGTTTCGGAAATATTATTGTGTATTTACAACAGATGTTTTTATATAATCATGTTTACGTGATACATCAACTAGATTTGTGCTGTTGACGGACGTGGTTAAGCGCGGTGTACGATATACTGTTGAATTTCGCATGCTTTCACCAAATGTTAAGAATCCTTAATGGACCATATTTAATTCCTGCCGTAATAATCATCTACAATTTAATTCTTGATCACTGCTTTCAGATAAGAAAATCGCGATAATAGCCTGAATTTCAACATATGCCGAATGCAAAGGACTGCGAAGATAGCCCCCGGGTTTTGATGGGAAATTGTTAGCCAAAAAGGGAAAAAGGCATTAATTGCTCTAACTGTCCCTGATGTACGTGGAAATTTCCCATTTACGATTAATCAACGGGAAATATGGGAATATCGCATTTTCCGCTTACCTACTCACTAGCTGATTTCTCCAGAATTTGTTATTCGATTTTTACGATTCAGGTCTTAAAATTAAGATTATAATTTCCCATGCCATCCCCCGTATTCACATTAATGCTAAATATTATTAATTTTAAATAAAAATTCATAATAACATTGATGCCCCGAGTGGCGGGAAAACTGTTTCATTCCGTATTTCTACGTTTCGTGAACCAAGAAGCAGAGTGTATTATACATGGCGTAGCCGGGGAGATGGGTATAGGTATTAGGTACTTTTATTTATTTCAAATCAAATATTTTATCATCGTTCTGAAGATAATTTTGATGTATGCTATTTTTATTAGAACTTTTTCGACATATGAAAACAATTTATTTTCCAAATGTTATATACGCTGATTCAAAAGAAATAATGGAAGTATTAAGTGTATAGCTTTATACAACAAAAATTGTGACGAGTACATCGATATGTGCTTACAAAATATAACTATGGATTCAGTACAGACAGTAAAAACTGCAATCAAATTTGATGCTAATTTTGTTATATGTTGCTTTATTGAAAGAAATTATTTTAAAACAAATAATCACTAAGATTTATACGCAAAGGCAATAATCCTTCCAAGCCAGTGTGAAAGTTTGCAAGAATTCCTAGATTTATTGAAAGATATTTTTGTCACTGCTGGAACAGAATGCGTAACTGCAGATAATAAAAAATGTAGCTCTAAGATTCAGACCGACTGAAGTCTATACGCCGTGTATAAAACTAACTCATTGATATAATACTTTCTGCTTCTTGGTCCACGAAACGTAGAAATACGGAATGAAACAGTTTTCCCGCCACTCGGGGCATCAATGTTATTATGAATTTTTATTTAAAATTAATAATATTTAGCATTAATGTAAATACGGGAGATGACGTGGGAAATTATAATCTTAATTGTAAGATCCGAACCGTAAAAATCGAATAACAAATTCTGGAGAAATCAGTTAGTGAGTAGGTAAACGGAAAATGCGATTTTCCCATATTTCCCGTTGATTAATCGTAAATGGGAAATTACCAAGTACATCAGGGACAATTAGAGCAATTAATGCCGTTTTCCTTTTTTGGCTAACAATTTCTCATGAAAACCCGGGGGCTATCTTCGCAGTCCTCGAATGCAAATCAAAATCAAGACGCTTAAATACCTTTTTGCAATATATGTATATATTCTTGTATATAATGTTTTGATTTTTCTCAGAATTTCAAAATGCTATTATATTCAAGAAGAAGTTTCGTAACATACAGATGAATGCGTATGCTACTGTACAGTGTTAATCGATAAATCAATTATGTTATAAATAAAGTTATTACTTTATAACAAAGTTATATTTCTTTTTACTTGTTTTTTTTTTATTAAATTATATGTTTATTTTACAGTTATAAGCATAGATATTTCACTCATACATACAAATATTCATATTATTTTTCATTACAATTAATTTTCTTAAAGAGAATTTTGAATTTACACACACACGCACGCGCGCGCACACACACATAAAATTTATAGAAACAGTATTATTCGTATTAAATAAGCATAAGTATTGTTATATTTTAATTTTTCATTATATTCAATTTGTGAACGAATTTATAAATTTTTTTCAACAAAACTGCATACAATATAATTACGAAGAATCATTTAATATCGGTTAAATTAAAAATGACTATTAGTAATTTACATAATCATCGATGTTCACAATCGTAAAAACGCTGCTATTGTTTGAAAGCTAGCTATAATAATTCTAAAAATTTTCAATAGACCAAGTGACCCCATAAAAGTGTTAAAAATATTTTTGTGATAATTTGAAAATGCTTTTGTGCAAATGAAGTTATTATAGTTAGTCTTTAGTAATGACAATCGCAATATTATATGATTAACAAGTTGCGGCGATTCAAAAAATTCTATAAAGGTTGTTTTGTCGTCAACAATAATACAGTTATATGCCTTTTTCTCATGTGCTGTGCATGTCTCCGGCGATGGGTAAATTGCAGACTGTCTAAACTTTGAATCAATTTTATTATAAACTATGATAGAAACATTTTAAATCCAAATTTACTATTTTAAAATTACTTTTGGCAAGTTTTCGGAAAGTTAAATGGTGATAAGCATTATTTCTAAAAAATTATTGACTAGTAAACGTATTACATTACAAGAGAGTTTTTTATAATTTTAAATATTTCTAGTTCATGCGTGTGCGTGTGTGATTTTGTAAGACAGTCTTTACGCAATATTTTTTTTTACAACATATTTTTATAACAAGTTCATGAAACAGAGATCCTATCTTGCTATAATCTTTTCTTAATGTTGTTATTTTTCAATATATATTTTTTATATGTAGCAAAAAGAATTTGTTTTAGTATTCTCGCAATTCGTCTACGCATCGCTATTGTTACATTCAATGTTTATCGTTGTGCAGCAAAGATACGCAATATAGTTAAAGTTCATTTTCGTTTCCATTTGTAAGTCGTAATGAACTGCAGTTAAAAGGGTCAGTTATGGACTCACAGCTGAAGAGGTTTTCATCCGTATATAATTGGTACCTGTCGATTGCGTGATAGGGTGAGAATTTAACAAGAATCGTCGATAGTTCTGTGTCTACTGGATTCTTATTAGACGTTCTGAAGATAACGGGTCACTCGAACAAGGAGTTGAAATAACAAAAGGATTATGCTCAACGTATTATTAAGAGATGCACATGTCGATGTGGTTGAATTTCGCAAAACAACGTCAATCAGCTCGTTTCGAGCAGTGCAAGTTAGTTGTCATCGAATGACAGCGTACTTTTAGATAACGTCGCATTGATATCAGTCGAGCGTAGTGCGTAAAAAAAGAAATCCCCATTTCATGCTGTTCCCTTTAAGGCTCTCACGCTGAATTGGATTCTTTTTAAAAACGCCCGATTACATGAATACGGAATTGGAAAGGCAACGCGGTGAACACGCGTTACGTAAATATTGCGCAAGCGTCGAAATGTGAATCCTTTTTTTCATTTTGTCCAGCGTGAACTTGGCGCACCGTCCACGTGGCAGATCACCACGCGAGAATGCACGCGCGAACAGGAGGCTGGAAGCTCGCGACGAGACTTTGCCGATCCTTGGCCGTGCACCTCGTCGCAAGATCGACGCGATTGAAGCCTGCTTCCGATGCTCGACGCACGCTGACGGTATATCCCTCGCGCGCGCTCGCGAGATAGATTTTCTCGCGGCGCGCGCCATGCACAGGAGAATGTGGTCCGCGCCGCGTACGCGTAACTCGACGGCGGTGTGTCTCGCAAATCATAGCGAGCTGCAGTACGCGCCTTACGCTGAGATTGAGCTGGCCAGTCTAAGATCCGCAGCTATCGACGCGACAATGTACGTACGCCGCAAGAGTTGGATCGGCGTGCTTTCACCGCTGATACTGATGCTGATCAGCCGAGGCGATGCAGCGCGGACCAACTACGACGACGTTTTGGAGAGCCAGCTGATCGATGACCAGTTGCGGCTGCTCGGGCCAGAGGGTCTGTTGGAAAATTGGCGCCGACTTGTCCGCGAGGAGAGCAGTCGCGGTCGCGTGGGAAACGACACAGGCTGTGCTCGAGATTTGGCGATTTACGAGCGCGCGATCGACCAGAGAGAGTCCTGGGCCTTAAAAAGTGAGACTGGTTACAATTATGATCGCGCTCATTATTATTGCCGTGGTTGGTTTTCGTTATCATCGGAGAGGAGGGTCGCGCACCACGCAAGAGCGAACGAATTTGCGCGCCTTTTCTATTGCATTTGTGCTTCAGTGCTGGACGCGTCGTCGAAGCTGCCGGTGGGCGTGCTGCAGGGCCACGTAATCGACATGGGAATGTTCGACGAGTGCACGGAGGCGCGCGGACAGAGGGCCGGCTTTGAGATTCGCGGCAGGCACTGCATGTACGCGATCAAGTCGGGCCCGGAAGAGCGCTTCATCCTCGATCCAACGCTGTCGATATGCGTGCCCGCGAGTTGCGGCGCCGAGGATGTCACTGGCCTCTTGCGTGACGCCATCGGTACCAGCGAAAAGCTCCAAATTCTCGGCGTAAGCGTCGTTTCTGCTAGCTGCACCGCTTTGCCATCGGACCTGGCGACGAGGAGCCCAGCATTCGTCATCAGTTTGTAAGTATCTGTTTGCGTGATCTATTTTCGTATTTAATTGTCGATTGTTGCTGGATATCAATTGATTGGATTCTTTCGCAACGACCGTACATTATTATCGTCATTTCAAGCATCGAATATTTCTAACATAACTTTTTTCGAGCTCTGATGTGTTTAGTTGAGCAAGCTTGTAATTGACGCGAAACCTTGAAATGATTAACCGAGGCCTGCAAAATAATTGGCAAACATTTTGAAACGAAAAATTACAGTGCTAGATGCAATCATGCGTTATTAAGTGGCCGGTATGCGAGATGTCGTTGATCTGCTGGTTGAAAAGAATATTCTATGATGTTTTGAAGCACAATTGCCGGTGCCTACATCACTTTTCTGGTCTTCTGCACGCTCTACGACTTGGCGCTGAGGAGAAGAAAGCTCGGGCAGAGTTCGTCTGCCAGTTTGTTCGAGAGACTTTCGCTGTTGAAAAGCGCCGAAACCATCCTCAGCACAAATACACGCGACAACAATCTGCCGGTTATTCATGGATTACGTGCCATCAGCACCTGCTGGATAGTACTGGTGCACGAATATTTGGTACAACTTTTAGGAGTGAACGTCAATGCAGTTTACATCACAAAGGTTTAACGCGCACGACGCATTTGTAATCTGACAATTAATCGAAATTTATATCGATTGTTTCGTATCGTAGTGGTTTTCGTCTTGGGGATCCATGTATCCACTCGTCGGTGTATTTTCCGTCGACACATTCCTTGCTCTCAGTGGCTTTTTGATGGCTTGGAATTTTTTTAAGCATAAAACGAGCAACTTCAACATTGCTCTCTACTATTTGCATCGCTTCATTAGGTTCGTCGGCTAATGACGTCGGAATAATATGATGGAGTGACACACATTTGGCGAATTTTACAGATTGACGTTTCCGGTGGTGACGCTCACCGTAGCTACATTCGTATTGCTGCCTGGTCTCGGCGCCTCGGGAGCTCGTTACGAGTGGTTGCAAAATATTTTTGTCACGGGATGCGGATCAAAGTGGTGGTCCGTTCTGCTGTACTTTCAAAACTTTTTTGAAACGGATAATTACGTAAGGACTTTGTCAAATTATAATTAAGGTAGGTGCGCTACTGTGCGCAAACTGCAGTGCACAACCGCGCACGTGCTTGTAGCGGTTCAACCGATTTCCATAGCTAGGGCGGGCTCACTTGAAGGACCGCGTTTCCGAGATGATCTCGATTGAAGCATAACTTTGCAAGTAACTGCAAAAATTTTCACGGTGGCTTATTTTCTTCAGTTAATCTTGTTTAAGATGCGAAGAGTGTAGGAATGCCTACACTCCAATGACAAAAATAATCAAGGCAACATTATCGACGCGTTGAAAAATTTCTGATCAGAGCTTGTGAAAGAGTAAATGATGACGACTGGAACGACGCGCAGAAGTTTCCATTTCAGAAAAATTTCAAGAACAACATAGCGCCGTACGACATTTAACACGCGTGAATTCCAAATCCGAGGAAATGGCCCTGAATTGGTTTCTATGTTGATTCCATCTACCTTTTTAAGAGGAAATTCGTATAAGTTTACATTGAACATTTGCATAATGTCACTTCGTTATAATGTATTTGGTTGAAGATGGACGAATTTTACTCCAACGTCTTCTTGACGACGCGACTATCGCGCATTAAAACTTTGGTATTTTTTAGTGCTTGTTACATCTATGGTCACTATCTGTAGACATGCAGCTCTACTGGCTATCGCCTATCGTTCTGTACCCGCTGTACAAACGGCCGAGACTGGGCTTGACGCTCTTATTTACTCTGATTTTGACGTCAGCGATTTTGTCGGGGTGGATTGTCGGTGCCAATAAATATTCATCGATTTATTTTTCTCACGATTACAAGTAGTTAACTATGCAAATACAAAGTGCGATTTCGTTCATTCGTAACTTATTTCATTATACTTTTTAGTGTTACACGTGCCATGGAGGCTTTTCAAAATGTATATCAAATGACGTATACCCGTGCATCTCCCTGGCTTATTGGCATTCTGTTTGCTTACATAGTAACTCAGCACAAGAGCGTCCGGCCGAATAAGGTCAAGAGGATTTCGCGAAACTTATTTAACCTTAACAAAATATATAGCAATTACGCTCTTTCTGCCGTAGACTCTCATCTCGATTGGATGGCTGTTGGCAATTGCATCCTTCCTGTTCTGTATGCTGGGTACAAGATATTTCACGCATGCAAATTACGAGTATAATTTAGTGCGCGAAGTGACTTTCGCTGCCTTACAGAGACCGTTATGGGCATATGGTATTTGCTGGATTATTTATACGAGCATTCATAATGACGCAGGTACGTCATCAGCTATTCATTTTTTTCAACTTCAAATTAGTCTACGTGCATTAGTATTAAATGGATCTGACTGAAGTTTTGAAGTATAGCTTAACTAACACTTTCGGAATAGAATGACTCGACCGCTATGTTGAATTTCGACAAGAATTTATTTGTGTGCTCATGAATATGAATGAAAATACCAATTTTTGCAACAGTTTACAAATAAAATATTATCTATCGAGATAATTGATTAAGCCACTTTTTCAGTTTGTATTAGTAACAACTTTGACAATTTTTTGGTTTGTCCAGATAATTGAGATATGCACATAAATTGAAATCGCTTATTTGAACCAGAAAAACTTAATATGTTGAATACCTGAAATATTAAATATCAAAACCATTTGAAAATTTAAATGAAACAAAATAAGTATGGGTACAAATGTACCCATGCGATTCGAAGTTTAAATAAAAAAAAATATTAATTTTGAGCACAAGGCATCCTTACACTAGTTGACGATAATTTCAACTCCAATAATCAAACTTATACGCACAGGACCTATCGCAAATTTCTTGTCGGCAAAAATTTTTCTGCCAATCAGTAGAATATCATACAGCATTTACCTAGTGCATCTAGTTTTACCAGCTTTACAAGTGGGAACTTTGAGGACGGCCAAATATTTTAATCAGTACTCTATTGTAAGTGCGACCTGATTTTCATTGTTGCAACCATATTAAAAATTATAATAAATTTTATTTTTCAGCTTCAATCCTACATCAGTGATATGGTGCTGGCGATTATAGTTGCTTTCTTCTTTAGTATTCTATTTGAAATGCCAATTTTAATTTTGGAAGATACAATATTCAAGAGAAGACAAATTCGAGAAAAGTTGCACAAAACGAAATAATTTATTGTGAAATAAATGTTTCTTTTTTCTTCATTGTGATATTAATTTATTCATATTATATAGGAATGAAATTAACGCTCATCATATAAACATGAAAAATGTACCAACATCAATGAATATTATCGTTACTCAAGTTTTTAAATGCTTTTTTTTTATGAATTTGTCAAATGCTGGTATGTGATCATATTATGTTACAAAAAATAAATAAATACATAAAAAAACAGCTGAGGTACTGAGAGTTTCTTTGAATTTAGAGAATTTGATGTTTATGTTCTTTTTTAAATTATCGCTATATCGACTTTGCTTCAGTGAACAGTTTTTGTTAACTGTTTTTAAGCAATCAAAAAAATATGAACGTTTGAAAGAATTGTTCATAAAAATATAAACCTCTTAACATGACTAATTCACTTCGAGAAATAAAAATTATGCTGACGCGAAATGCGCCTCTTAGTTGTGTCTGAACGAGGCATCCCACTGGGGTGCTTCTCGTGTGCGTCTCATTGAGTCGCGTCTGAATCGCTCGATGAAGCATACGTACCCGCAATTCGCGCCGGATAGACACGGCTCGATGAAACGCACTGGTGAAATGCTGCTCGCGGCGACTTAAGGTCGTCGAGCTTACGAACGTCGTTCAAACGTTACGAACTGCTTTGAGAATCACGGAAACAATTTTTTCGACACTCCGCGCGCGAGGACTCGACTTTACGCACGCTTGCGACAGCAAGTGTGCTTCAAGTCTCGCGTGTCGAAAAATCAAGTCTTTAGCCTCGTGTGACTTTTTCACCCTCGCTTAACTCGGGCGCACACGTCCACGCGAGGCTAAAAATACTTTCTCGCATTAGCATCGAAATGTACTCTTTCGATACGACGTGTGTGGGACGAGATATTAAGTATGCTCGATTACTCGAGCGTGTGTCAAGTCGAATCCCCGCACGCAGAGTTTCGAAATGTATTAGTCTCAGATGGTAACGACAATAGTAAGATTTATTTAGATTTAGGATACGACGATGCAGTAATCATAATTCGACATCATTTTGAACGCGACAAAGTAATTAACTTAAAATAAATATTTAACCTAGTACAATTGCGTTAAATTCGCAACTGAAAAACAACAATGTGGCTATTTTTACTGTATTTTAAAAAATTTTTATATCCAATGAACTTTTAATTATTTCTCTCTTGTATTGCAATACTCTTATTTGAAAATTATCATTAATTTTTAGTGAATGTTAACTGTCAAAACATCACCAATTATAGATTTAATATTTATTGAGTAATAATTAGTTACATTGCGTGACTGTTGAATACAGTTAATTTAAGAAAATATTGAAATACAGTATCATAAAATATTATCAAATACTTTTATTAATTAATGCAAATTCATTTACATCTCTTGATCAATATATACTCAATTTTGATAACGTAAAACTTGATTAATTCTTTTTACTACAAACGCCGTGACACCATATTGCACGGTGAGTTCGTCCATGGCTGAAAAATTAAAAAAACCGTCCTTTAATGCTTTCTAATTTCTCAATCACATCTTATGTGCCAATGATGTATCTCAAGATTTAGCAATTTCCATTGTAAACTTTATAAAATTAATGAGTTTATTAGTCTGTAAGTTAACAATTATCAAGTGATTGAAAATATACAGTGAATTCAATTTAATATTTTGAAGAATTTCAAATTATGAACTACGTATTACAAAACAAAAGAACTTTATAAACTAATATGAATAAAAATATTCGCCATTTAAAAGCTTGCGTACCTCATATTTCTTTTTATTTCTTCGTTTTTACCTGTTTCACAAAAAATGATATTGTATATAGATTTAGTCTTATAAAATTAATGTATTCAATATCAAAATAAAATACTTACGTTGGCAATCAGCGATGCATTTCTGATATTCTGCCGACACTGAAAATAGAACAATGATGATCCCCATGAAATTCACTTTCTTACATTTAAAATTATGAAATATACCTTCTTCTCCAAAAGTCAATGCTAAGCATAGCATCACCAACGTGAACACGAACAAATATTTTGCAAACATTTTTCTTGTCACTGATCGTTCTGTCTCGTACAGTGTACTGATACATTCCTGTAAGGCGACTCTTTTTATACGCAACGAATTACTCATAAAATTTAGATAAAATCTTAGATAGATGAAAGAAAAGAGAAATATACTGTCTTCCTGAAAACATCTAGTATGTTCTTATGTAAGTCTATATGTGCGTCTTTTGACCTAGTTCTTGCGTAAGATCATATTCGATATAGTATACAAATGATTATGAAAATAACTTTTAGCATAAGTTCTTACTTTACTAGATAAAGAAAAGAACAAATGAATTGTTTTTTTCTTGGTTTGTTATTAAAAATGTAATATTTTATATTTTCATTTTTATAAAATTTGTCAAAACATAACGTATATATACATTCTATTTGAGACGAAACTTACCAATTGAATGAACAGTGCATAATTGTTTTCGTTTATAGAATTAAGTTCTATCTTATTTCTATTTCTTATTTTTGATTTCGTTTTGTTATGTCTATTTGTACTTTAGAAAAATCTCTAGAATAAACTAAAATATTTAGAATATCAGCAACTAAATGTTGAAATCAAATCCTTTTAGTAGGAAAAAAATTTGTTAACAATAACAGGTTTACTCGTTAGTATAGTTAAGCTGTACCGAAGCTTATAAAATATAATAGTACTTTTTTTAGAGAAGCATTGTGTTTGACATTTCATTGATGAATTTTAGAATAGCATAAGATTTTAACGGCTTAATTTTTTCAAACAAATTGATTATTCTGTATCTGAAGGATTTCACTTCAGCTTTCTTTTAGTAATATGGTAAACGACCTCCATAGATCAATTAATAAGATATTCTTGTTAAGATAAAGTGCTATGTATTTTAACAAAAATTGCTTGTGCGCATTTTAATCGAATGACTGCAGCTTTTATACATAAGGAATGAGTCTAAAGTTATTAGAGAAATCATTGAATCACTTGTCATAGCAACTTGTAGTTAATTACAAGTGACAATAGTTAAGCATATAAGTTTATAAAGATAACATGTACATCGTGCCAAGTAAATATAAAAAAATAATAGTTGATTTACAATAACAAATTATAATTATGTATTTATAAACAAAATTATAATCATATTTATGAAAGTATTCACGTATTTATTTCACAATCATTCCATACGTAGCCAACGAGTTTTCAACCTTAATATATACTAGGGCGTATGTGTTTGCTTTCCAACTTCTACGAACGAAGATAGACGAAATATTTATTTCTGATGTCTCTAATCTCTACTTCCGCTGTTGCTCAACAGACGCCTGGGCACTCGCCTAAAAGACCTACTCCCTTCTAACATATTCACAAATTCAGAAAGGAATGCTCTTCAATTTACATGTATTCTCATCTATTCAATTTCCACGATTTACACATCTCTCGCGGGTTTTTCTCGTGAAATCCCTACTATTGATTTGAATGATTACGTTTGTTACTATTTGGAAACTCATAAGCTATTCGAACTTCTTTAGCGATTTTTTTTATGTGCAGAATGACGCGATTAAAATCCTCCGTTTGCACGAAGTTAAAATGGCATACTAAACAAACATGTAGATTCTACAAGATTTATTGGTACTCGTATTGGTACGCTGTAATCCAATTAACATTTGAATACAAAGCTAATAGCTTATTTTTTTACTCGACGCCCTGTTCATTTACTTTTTATATTGAGAGTTTCAAACCACTGTTAATATTGATTTGACTTAATTGACTATTTTGACATGCACTAATTTTTCTTATATTGGAGTATCTGTATTGAAAGATGTATATTAAATTCTATACAATAACATGCGTTTCTTTGTTTTCCAGTCCACGTTGATTGGCCGAAGCTTTCAACGCCCCCCCCCCCCATTAAAATTCATAAATTTCCTAGGGCCAAACCCAAAGCCTCTGAAGTATAGTAGGCAGCACAGTACAATCTGACCATCCGTAACATGCAGAAGAACGCCTAGTGCCGTCGTTTTCCGGATCTAACTGAACGAGCATCGAACGTTATCGGATTAACGCGAGGTACGTAAATATCTGTTCGTCGAAACATTTTCGTTAGAGCAATCGTACAAGTCGTGCATATTGTCAGTAAATTCGAACGGAACATATTGGAGAAAAACGTCTCTTGCAGGCGACAGTCGGCAAACAGTCGGGTATCCCTTATATTTCTGCAACGATTATGTCTTTGTTTATCTAATTATCTATAATTGTCCTAGCTAGATCTGCATATGCTTGTGAGATGAAATAAATTTCGGTAACGCAAGATGGCTGAAGCAGATGTGTGTATGACGTGGAGAGGGGAGGAAAATCGTGTCGGCTTAAGCTTACCAAAGTTTTGGTGCGTTCACACGATACACCGTGTGCGGGCCCGCAGTCGACCGACAACTTGGGGCGCGCACAGAGACGATTCGTGCGGTCGACCGGTTGAAGCGCTCACGCATAATTCGTCCGAAAGTGAGACGGTATCTGTATCGACTTTTCAGGAAAGCGCACAAGCTCCCAATCGTTCGTCCGAGAGCAGCATCCGCAATGTCAAATCCAGACAATTGGTCGATACCACTGAACGCTCTAGATACAGAAGAAAATAAGAAGGTCGTGGAACAGCTAGCGGAGTCCAAGAAACAACTAGACAGAATAGAGGCGTTAGCCGAGGCGTGCTACAATGTGGGAAAGACCATCTCGGTACAGGACATGGAGGCGGTGCTCCCCTATATTGCCGGTAACGAGCGCGACGAACAATGCCCTGTTTTCAAAGAAATTGGCTCCGCCACACTAGGCAACGTCACTTCGGGCGAAGCGACGAGGCCTTCGCGGCAGAAATTGCTAATGCAAAACCATTCATTTCCGTTGTTAAAATCAACCTTGTCTATTAATAATTTTTTGCGTGACTCGTGCTTCGCATGCCTCGATACGATCCTTTACCGAGACCATTCATATCAAGGTATTCGTATCGCTTCCGCATGCTTTAGAACATCGCTAATGATCAATCGCGTCGACAACGTTTCTATATAGCAATGCTATCAAACTGCTTCTCGCCGAAGAAGGAAAACTATCGCGGAGATATCTATTTTTCGAAAAAAAGTTTCTTCTTTTTAATTAGTGAAGAGAAAAGGACTTCAGTGCCAAAAGCGCCTTGAATATTTATGACTGACATGTAAGATTGTTTCTCCAATATATGTTTACTTCACCTTATTCCGTTACGCCATGCCTAATTTTGAACACTTATCTAAATATTATGATCTTAGTAATCCCCAAATATTTTCAAATATCGACTACGAACACTAGAAATTAGTAAGAACAAACCTTATATAATTCTCCAAGTTCAAACTAGTTGTTTGAAACAAACCACAATAGTCATACTGAGGTGAACGAACTCGATTGAGATAAAGAACTAATCGGAGTAGAGTAATTATTCGAGACATTCGGAGATTACATTTTGATAAGTGCTCAAATTGTGACATTGTGTGAGGCAATATAACCGAGCGAAACAATTTGATCAGCCTATCGTAGATATAAAATGCATCTTTGGCATTGTATTCCTTATTCTTTCTTCGCTAATTAAAAACCAATTGATTTCATTTCAGAGCGCAGACAAATATTCAACTTTCTGTCAAAATCAGCAAATACTTTGTGACAGAGCATTTTTTTTCAGTGAAACTCAATTAATAGGCATTGTTTTCAAACAGTTGCTCGATACGATTGATCATTGATAGTGGAAGTCCGTAAGATACGGAGAGAGAATTGACAGTTCCTGGCATTGTCTAGTTGTCTACATACGTTAAAGCTCTAGGAGATGTTCAAAGAGACTATCAATTAACTCTTTTATGCCATAAGTTGCATTGAAGCATGTTGAATGGCACAGAAAAGTTTGAATAATTAAACAAAGCTAAATTGATAACGGAAATATTTTTACATTGAATTGTTGGCTTGCAAATGCCATCGAATATTTTAACACCGAATTTTATTGTCCTTTCTTATGGACAGATTGCGATCCTGCCAATCTGGAGAACTCTACCGCGAACTTCATTCTGACTGGATTAAAAAAAATGCTGGAACAGAAGAAGCGAATAATTGATGCGCAGAAAGCACAGACGAAAGAAGACTTGCCAAAGGAAAAGTGCCCGATTGGCAAGTTATCGAATGACGAAGGTATTACAAAAAGTTTAGTGCACATTGGCATATACGAGTGGTATTTTTTAAGCTTGTATTACAGGCTACCTATCAATATATGTATGATGCGTATATGATCGGCAAAATTAAGCAATTTTTTCATAAATCAAAATAATCAATCAGTTTCTTAATTAATCAAGGGTGCCTTCTTACGGCGAAGCTAAAGGGCTCAGCATTAGAAGAGATTGATACTCATACGTTTTTCTCAAGTGAAGATGGACTAATTAGACAATATCCGACTTTCCGACGTATTCCGGATTTGAGTAAGAAAGAAAACAATGTATTCACCTGTAAATTCTGTGCCGGAAAATTTACTGTTAGGGCCCACTATGAAAGACATATGGACGCTGCATACGATATAATTTTTTCAAATGTTGACAAGAACGCTATCCCTTACATGCTCAATCCCTGCCATAAAAGTTAAAGTCACCTACGAAATCGCAAAGAGCCTTTTTTACAGGTATGGTAAAGAAAGTTAAAAAAAAGAAACAATATTTTATAATTTATCATATAATTAAACAATAGTTTTTTTTTCTTGGCAGCGTTCAACAATCACACAATAGAATCTAAACTCATTTTAAAAGTTCATCAGAAGACTGCGACAACTGCCGTAGTACAGAAGTATCCCTATGGCTTCTTTGCAAGAAGTTTTCTCAAATAGTTGATTATACACAGCACATTTAGATTTTGTACAGTTCATCCGAGACCTATTTACGAACAAAAGATTCATCAACACTCATTGAGCTTCACCGTTAACTTGGAGATGCAAACAATATTGAAAAAGTTGAAGTACACGAGCTTCGTAGCAAGTGGAATGAGTATTAATTTTATTTCTCTAACACTGTCAATACTTATTGTTACTTAACTATTGAGAATACAGGACCGAATGAAATACATTCGCCGTAAATGAAGAACATGTAATGTTATTTCTTCAAAAGAACAGCGTACCGTCAATTCGATGCTGTATCGGTGGAAAAAGTTTTCGTGACTGCAATTACTCATTAATTACAACAATCAACAAACGATATATTATCTACATTTGATTTTTAAAACATGATAAATTTGAACGACTTGGCAATTAATTCCTGTGATGAATATAAATTGTGTAAAAAAGATATAATTTTATTTCATAATTATAACAAAAAGAGTATAAAAATTTAGATTTTTGCTTATACGGGTGCTATCCATTTCCATCCATATTTTATACAACCCTTTACTTCGTCATTCGTCCTTCTGAATAGACACAAACTTCATATAAATCGGTCGAGATGGACGAATGACTAAATCGGTAATGATGGGTATTTCGTGTGCGAGATCAACAGGTTCTAAATAAAAATTGTGAAGTAAATGAGCAATCACAGCTTTCAGCTCCATCATAGCAAATTTTTGACCTGGAAAAGTTGCAATTATTGATAGATTACTAATTAACATTGTACTTCATCAGATTTTACGACGAATCATTAGCTATACAAAAACAAATATTTAAAGTAAACTTACCGATGCAGTTACGTGGGCCAGCGCTGAATGGAATGTAAGAGAACGGATGTCGCTTTTGTATCCGTTCAGGTAAAAATCTGTCAGGATCAAACTTATTTGGTTCCGGCCAAAAGTTTGGATCTCGATGAGTATCATAAACATGCAAGTGTGCAATCGTATCTTTCGGAATCAAATAATTCTCTGAAAAAATGAAACTTTAATAGTTGTCGTCATCGCACTCGTTAATTGTTTGACAAATGTTAGTTGTTTCTTACTAAGCTGCATGTCGTGAGTAATAATTCGCGATATAAACGGCACACTAGGGTAAAGGCGTAGAGATTCTTTTACGCATCTGTCAAGATAATTCAAACGTTGAATTGTCGTTACACTTATCGCGCCACTTGATTCGGAAAGGACTTGATTGACTTCCGCTCGGGCACGTTCCTATTGAATATTATGGTAAATGTGAAAATTACGTTGCACACAGTGGCAGACGACTTTGACAAATGCCTTTGAATATTTAAAGGGCATCAAAGTTCAAGTGTATCATTAAAATATACCTGGACATCCTTGTGCTCCGCAAGTAACAACAAAGCGAAGCAAATCCCCATTGCCGAAGTGTCATGCCCCTAAAGAAATTTATTTTGTCATACCACTGTAGCGTTAAAAATAAATTGTTACTGCTTGTATTTGCAATAGTAATTTAAAGACATTCTCTTACAACAGTCAAGTTCATAAGTTTACTTTCACGAAAATATTCGGTTAACAGCATTGATTTTGAAGAACATTACCTATGAACTTCATTTTTTCTGCTGTATAAATAACAAAAAAAAGGAAGTCATTTTTAAAAGTTTGAAGGGAATCTAAAGAAAAGTAACTTTCAAGAGAACGTCCTCAATTCGAAGCATCGCACGAATTGCACCAAGTTGTTAATATATAAAACTAAAATGAGTAAGATTGACACTCACCTCAAACATAAAAGTATCCACTTCCTCGTTTATTCCTTGCTTATCGATTAGGCCGTCGTGATGGGCAGCTATCAAAAGATCCAACATTGCCAAACGCTTTTTTTTAACTAAAAAAGTGTTGAATGGAAATTGCGTTTTATACGATGGATTAAATTGAACCATTGATACATATTTCTTTTTCAAATCAATGCGTAGACAACGTTTGCATTACTCACTTCCGAAAACTTCTTCGCTTGAAGATCCCTCATCGTCCGTAGCGGAATCGTTCACTTTTTCTAAAAATTTATTTCCGGTCTTCCTGTGGTATTCCTCTCTTTCGTTTATAATCTGCAGTTGGCAATCAGAACAAATGGGTTACCATACGTAAAAGAACGCCGCTCGAATGTTTTTGACGGGGCCGATATAACAAGTAAACGAATAAGGAAAGTTGCATCTACCTGCGAAGTGAATCCATGTAAAATTTTCAATGCTTCCTTTTGCTGACGACTCTTCTCGAACCAAGCGAATAATCGATCTGGTTTAAGCCATGGCTTCGTTAATCTTTAAAAAGAACTCGTGTAGATCAGTGATTGTGAGCGACAAAGAAATATAATTTTCGAATCTTTGTACTACCTGTGAAACAGTATTTCCCCCATGAGACGAACGGCATTTCTATATTTTACTTGAAATTCTTTTTTCCCTTCTAGGGATGTTCCCATTGCTGTTTCTACAAAAGGTGCGTTTAAAAATATGTAAGCCAATCTTTTTCCTTTTAAAAATATGTCAATTTAAAAAATCAATTTATCTACGATTTATTTCTAAACTCACGTCAAACAATATACAATGTAAACTAAGTTAAAAATTGAAATACATCGTGGATTAAAGTATTTTAAATCAAAATACTATTTTGAAATCAAAATACTATTTTCATAATTTCTTACCACAAATGACGTTTAAAGTATAGTTCGATACGATCGGTAAAATATTTTGAACAGATTCTCCTTCTGCCCTCAGTTGTTTTACGATTCTTTCATCATTTTCATTGATAATTTCCAAATATTGTTGCAGTACAGTGAAATGGAAAGCAGGTGTCAAAATTTTCCGCCTGCGGCGCCATTTTTCCCCTGAAAATTACATTTAAACGAACGAAAACAGCATGAAAAATATAAAAATAGTTTATTCTAATATTAATACTTCACCTGTACTTGTAAGCAATCCTGTTCTGAACCATGGTTCAAGCAATTCATAAATACGACTCTTCGATATATTTTGCGTACTCGTTAACAATACCTGTATTAAATCAATAAAAATAATTACTACGTTGTTTTCACATTATTACAGAATTACGATAAAAATATTACAAACCTCAACATCATCTGGATGACGTAGGTTTATGATAGCCTCCGTAAGTGTCCAGAATTTATAAATCGGGTAATAATTATCGCCCATTTTTCTTACCAAGTACCACAATTGATCTGAAGAAATGGAATTTCAAAGCTTATATTTTACATAAAAAAGTGGCTTTTATTAGAGCATTTACCCTGCGGCACTAGGAACGTTAAAAGATTGCCAATTAGTGGCCAGGCTCTTGGTCCAGGTAATTTACTAACATATTTTCCAATCCTTCGATACCGAATGTAATAGTGGAATGAGCAAAGTACGACCACGACGCTCAATAGTATTGCGAACAGCATTTTGTTTTGGATTTTACTTTGTTACTTTCTGCGGTTCCTTGCTATAGTTTTCGATTGAAAAAATTTGATCATAATATAGGCAATTATTTTACGCTTTTCATTTTATTATTATCGCGATCGTAATATTGTATTTACTTTATAAAAACAAATTTAATTTCATAAGCCGATATTCAAAATGTTACATCACGTCGCAAACACGTAACAAGCATCGCAATTATGCTTTAACGGCGTTTTAAAGTAGATCTGTATATAAAATACGTGTATTTTCAATGAGTATAAATGAAACGGATCCAGAGAAATCATGCTATTTATATCAAGCTTGTTCTTTCGTTTTAGAAATTGATTGATAGATTAAATGCGAAAAATTTCGATAGATTTTTAACTAATGTGTCTCTGAGAGATAGCAAGTGTATAATAGATTATCATTACTATCCCGACATTAATAAATTTAAAGATTCCTGATTGAATAGTACATAATGCAACTCAAGTGATTTTATTATTTTACAATGACGATAGAAGCAAACAGATAAAAATTTAATGTAACCACTTGCACAGCAACAGTCACAGCATTAACTTATCTCTACTTAACTTAACCAGACGACCCTTTGTGCAAGATAAGAGTAAACTGACTGCGTCGTTAGATATATCGGTCGCGCTTCGTGCACGACTATAAAGTCGTGAGTATTCAAACTGCAGAATTGAATAATTCGAAATTCGCTTACCACGTCACTTTAATAACTACTGTACATGTACCCGTACTCATCGAAATATCTGACTTTTTGTCTAATGTTTTTTATTAATTGAAGGTTCAACGGACGATTAGATAAAAACTTGCAATGTCACACCATTGGACACTTTAATCGAAGATTAATACACACGCACATACTCACGCACACACATACATGTATGCGTGTATGTATATATACATGAATTGTACAAACACAATAGTTTATTCTTCTAGAGATACGTTATTTTTCTCCGCTAATCATACATTTATTTTCTTCTGTACAAGATGATTTTGTAATAACACTTTATTTTTATAATAATTTATTTTTTAATTAATATGATACAAGGGTGTTCTATAAACCCGCTTACCTCCAACTAAATATAGAGATGAGGAAGTTTAATTGATTTAAATTTTGAATGATAGTAAAGTAAAGCACACTTACTTACAAAAACCTTGAAGGTACAGGATTGCGTACAACTTCACTTATAGAATGAGTTTTCAAATAATTTTTAATATTTTTTCCTTGTCAAAAAAACTTTTTAGTGCACAAAGTAAAAATAATAAGATGACTTTTTAAACGACAGAACAAGATTTTATTTGGTCATACTAGTCCAATTATGAAATTTTTCATATATTATAATACAAGTTTCATGTAAAAAATTATATTTATACTTCTTGATAAAATATTTACAAATGAAACGTATGTTAAGCTTACTTGTTTAAATATAACTATTTAAGTAATTTAATCTTTTTGTTTCTCGAAAATTAAAGTCAACAGTTGATTCATTGATAACAGTAGACCTCGTGAATCCTCTACCAAACCAGCATTGATCATTGCTCCCGTGAAGAGCTGAAACAATTTTCAATTCATTAAATCGTATGACGAAAATATAATGGTGACTAGACGACGGATTTTAAAAAACTACCTGGTCAGTCAACAGCTTAGCAATCTCTTCATCAGAAGTTTTCAATTTTAGAAGTTTTTTTATCAGCGGATGGTTTGGATTGATTTCTAATCTAGGCTGCAGAAGACTGTAACGCATTTGATCGTCAAATTGATGGCTTTTCGTACGAATGAAGTGCCGGGCTGCTGCCATATCTTGAACGGTAACAACACAGGGATGAGATTCCAAGCGATCAGTTACTTTGACGTCGTGAGCTTTACTTTTCAAAATTCTTTTCATGTAATTAGTAAGATCTTTGATTTCATCTTCATTGATTAAAGCTAGACAGACAAAAAAATTAAATTGCAGAAATAAATAATCAAATAAAATATAACTAAAAATTTTTTACCTGTCTTTTCTTTGTCTTGTTTCATTGCGTCTTCGTGCATGTCTTTTTCAACGGATATAATGTCATAGGATTTGAATCGATGTAGGTGCATCAAAACAAGCTCATCATACGATTCATAACAGAACAAAACTTCCAAGTTACGTTTTTTAAATGATTCGTAATAAGGTGATTGTTCAGCCAAAGTTCGACTATAATCAGAAAAAAACACAAGTTAAGCAACAAATATTGTTTGCATGCAAAATAGTAAAAAGAAAGTACATACTTAGGAGCAGATAGATAGTAAATATATTTTTGCTCCTTCGCAAGTCTTTCGCAATATTCAGGAAGGCTAAGCACATCACCTGGATGTTTGTTGGAACTTTCGTATCTCAAAAGTTTGGCAATTTCTTCCTGTAAAATAAAAATAAAATTAGCGTAAATAAAAGTTATCTTGCATTAAAACCACTAAAGTAGGTTAATAATCACAAATAAAAACTTTCAGTTTGTAAATATTAAATTCATTACTTAATTTACGTCAACTCATTATGTGACTAGTTCTAAACTAAAATTTTTTTTATACATAAAAAATAAACATTACTTTCTTTAATTTATTTAGAAATTCATTTAGATTTCTATGTACCTTTCCAGTATCATCTGTGCTTGTAATAATTCCTTCTTTAAAAAAAGTGCCATAATCTGTATAGAATTTCAAATACTCTTCTGGATTCTTCTTGGCCTGATCTTGCAAAAATCTTATAATACGAGACGTTAAAACACTCCTCAATTTCCTAAGAATACATTAAACGTTTATAACCAGTCAAAGTTTTCAGATAGATATTTAATCAACTAATCTTACGCTATCAAAGTGCTGTTTTGCAGCAATTCTCTACTAAGATTCAATGGAATATCTTCGGAGTCAACAACTCCTTTAACAAATCTAAGAAATTTCGGTAAAATATCTTCAGCCTTATTTTGAATCAGCACTTTACGACTGTAAAGTGAAACTCCAATGGTGGAATCTCTGGCTAAATCAAAAAGACCCGGTTTGGCTTCAGGAAAATATAAAAGCGCTCGTATGCTTATAGGAACGTCGGTTGAGTAATGAAGTGTGAATCTTGGTTCGTCGTGACAGTTGCCAATGAAACGGTAAAACTGTGTGTGCTGTTCAATTGTTACATCTTTCGTGTCCATCATCCATAACGCTTGTAAAGTGTTCGCTCGCTTTCCATTGACGAAAATGGGGCTTCCAACAAAATTACTATACTTTTGAATAATGTCTATGGAAGTAAAAATATCAGAAATAAATTCTAAAGAAATTTTTAACCCATTAAATCGCATAATTAAATCATAATCAATTAAATTACATTATTAAAATTAATATTTGATAATTGAGCTATTAAATATTGATTATTGAAATTATCACGAAATTTACCACTGATGACTTCGTCGTCACTGAACTCGCGACTGTCAGAACGTAAATGAATCACAATTTTGGTACCAGGCTGAACGCCCTCAGCATTTGAAATTTCATATGAGCCAGATCTATTATTAATAAATATGTTATTTATGCCCATTACTAAAAGAGACCTGAAATAGTCAAAATTAATTAAAACTTACCCATCAGAAACCCAGTAGAGACCTTCTGAATCTTTTTTGTATGACTTAGTGAAGACTTCAACTTTGTCAGCTACCATGAAAGCACTGTAAAATCCTACCCCAAATTGACCAATAATATTAGATGCTTCATCTGCTCCTTTTTTATCTTTTAACTGCTCTAAGAAGGCCTGTAAGAAAAATTAATGACTTATAAACTCACAATCACATTTAACAAATCTAAAAGTTTCAAAATATTTACTTTTGATCCAGAACGAGCAATGGTTCCCAAATTTGAAATCAAATCTTCTCGATTCATTCCAATGCCAGTATCTTGAATAGTAATTGTGCGATTTTGTTTATCTGTGGCAATATGAATTTCTAAACTTCTATCTCCACCTTCTTCAACAGACAAGTTCTCTGCTGTTCTCAAATATCTTAACTTTTCTAGGGCATCACTTGAATTAGAAATAAGCTCTCGAATAAATACCTAAATAATAAAATAAATAGTAATTGATGCTCAATCAAAATATTAAAAATAGCAGTTATATATGTAAAAATCTTACCTCTTTATCAGAGTATAGAGACTTTGCTACAATATTTAACAGCATGCGTGTTTCAGACTGGAATTCATGTTTAGAAGTTTCACCTGAAAGAAAAAATAAATCATTTTATATAACTTATTTATAAAAATTAATGATTATCTAAACAGATAAGTTACCTATAGCTTTCTCAGTATCCTTAATAATAGTATGATCTTCCGACTCTGTTTCATTTTTTGGTTCTACTTGTGAAGAAATAAATCTCACTTGCTTGTTCAATAGTGCTTCTGAAGGTAAAAAATTATTAGTAAATGTCAATTGCTTTGAAATTGTACAACTATATGCTGGTTTTTATAAAAGATGATGAAATATTTATTCTTAATATTCTTAATGTAACTCATGATAATGAATAATATCAAGAAAATTAATGAAAAATTTTGAAAATAGAATATTCTATCAAAAAATGTCAATACTGCATTGTAATTAACTATATTCCGAACATTTCTAGAATATTATAGAGAGAACGATAGGCTCACAAATATTCATATAACCCTATAACATAACATAAATGCAACTACAAACGAAAGTAAAAGATATAAATCAATATTTACATACCTGATACATTTTGCCTATACCTAGTTAATGAGTGTTGACTGTACAATTTGTTGACTTTTGTTACTGGAGGGAAAAGAAAGGTTTTCCCGAGTCGAATTACACGCTGCAATCTCATCGCTGCTGCCATTTTTCTGGATTGGTCTGTATTCACATAGCGTATACATGCTACTACGAGAATCGACAAAAGCGCGCGTGGTGTGGTTTCGCCGGCGGGCGCATGTTATTTTGTAACCTTATTTTTTGTAAACAATAAGCGAAACCATGCTTTTGAGTATTTAGTAAAGTTTATTGTGACTGGGATTTTTTTAATTTGAACAATGGAGACGCAGTTCAAGTAATAACTATGTTTTATTTATTATTTATGTATTTAGAGAACATTAACAAATTTAATTTCTTGCAGAACGATTCACCCAGCAAAATATCTCCGTGATCATTTTGTAAGTATTATTTAAGAGTTTTATTTAATAGTGATAAATAAAATTTTTATTTATTTACAGGCTTCAAGTGTAAGACCAGATGGCAGAGACTTTACTGCGTTTCGTCCAGTAAGTGTTAATGTTGGATCAATTACACAAGCAGATAGCTCAGCAGTATTTAAAATCGGTAATACATCTGTTGTATGTGGCATAAAAGCTGTAAGTTCTGTTATTGTATAGTAATAATTATAAGTATTGGTTTTATTGGATATTTGAAATTAAACAATTTTTCTATTAGGAACTAGGGACTCCAAAAGCTGAAATACCTGAGTATGGTTACATTGTCCCAAATGTTGAGCTGACACCATTGTCATCTCCAAAATTTCGTCCTGGACCACCTGGTGTAGAAGCTCAGTGTTTGTCAAAACTCTTGGAAAGAATCTTAGTGAATTCTGAAGCTATAGACTTGAAGGATCTTTGCATTCATAAAGACAAACTTGTGTGGGTTTTGTACTGTGATCTTATTTGCATAGATTATGATGGTTCAGTAATAGATGCATGTGTTGGATCTTTGATAGCAGCACTACAAATTTGTAAAATTTTTATTGAGAGATTTAAAATAATGAACTTGTTTTAATACTTCTGAATTGTTTTGATGAATAAATATTTATTCTAGTGACACTGCCAACTGTTGAATATACTGTTGAAACTGGAGCTATAAAAGTCATTCCACAACAGAGAATAAATGTTCCATTAAGACAATTAGCAGTAAGCTCCACATTTGCTATTTTTGAACAGTAAGTTATTAATCTGTCTGAATATATATATATATATATATATATATATATATATATATATATATTATTTTAATATATTTAAACAGCACCATAATTTTTTCTATTTACAGTCAACTGCTTATTACTGATCCTACAGAAGATGAAGAACGACTTTGTTTAAGCACAATTACCATAGCATTCAATGAAAAACAAATATGTTTTGTACATAAATCTGGTGGTGTTCCAATATCTCAAAATTTATTGTGTAAATGTATATCAAAAGCTAGAACTCGTGGAGAACAAGTGAGAAAGTTAATAGCAGCAGCAGTTACAACAATGAAAAAGAACAAGTCCAGCTAATATTCCATTATTTTTTAGGTATTAGACTGTAATTAAGATTTAATATTTTTTATATTCATAAAAAGCTTATAATTAAACAAATCATTACATCATTACATCTAACTGCTTAAACAAAACAGTTTCTATTGTTTTATGTAATATTATCTAGAAAATAACAATCAAGAAATATATAATAAAGGAGAAATATGGATATTGGTAAAAATAATATTTCACTATGTAATTACAAATTTTTTTTAGAAAGATATATTTTAAATTATTATTATCTGTATTATAAATTAATATTACATCTTCACAAAAATCATATGTATTCATTGAGAAATTTTGATGACATAACCTTTTATAACTATACGACTTGAATAAATAAAAATATCAATTTAATAAATAAATAAATATTCCTCAATACAAACAAGTTTTCTTCATAATTCTGAGAAACTCTTCTTGTGAAATTTCCCCATCACCATCTCGATCAGCTTCATCAATCATCTCCTGCAACTCTTCATCAGTCAAATTTTCTCCTAGCTCCTTAGCAACACGCTTTAACTTTTTGAAGGTAATTTTCCCAGTTCCATCATCATCAAACAAGCGGAAAGCTTTTAACACTTCCTCTTTAGAATCCTTTTCTGCCATTTTGGTCGACATGAGGTCAAGAAATTCTTCAAACGATATCTTTCCAAGACCATCAGGATCAACGCTTACAATCAATTTTCTAATTTCTTCTCTTGAAGGTTCAAAGCCAAGGGCTCGAATGGCTACCTTCAACTCTCTTGTTGCAATTTTACCAGTACCATCTGGGTCAAAAAGATCAAATGCTTCTTTGATGTCAGCTTTTTGTTCTTCAGTAAGCTCAAATTTGGCAAAAGATTTTTTTTTTGATAGGATAGTGGTTGAAGACTTTCTTGATAGCTGTAACAAAATAAAACTTTGAAAAACTTAACATTATTATATCGCTATGTATATAAATTTCACTCGAGATTGCAACGTGAACTTGCCATTTTCAATTACTAAACTACGTTACTACAAAAAAATAATGACAGAAGTCGTTGTATTACCGTTTGTTATGCATTGAATCTGGTTGCTAACACGTTGCCCATGGTGCGATGAATGATTGTTCAATAAATTCAAGCAAAGAGCTTAGTGTTAACCAACGCACGTGTTTCCAGTCGAATGAGCCGCTTGAAAAATGTATACACATCACGACCAGCTGACACCTTGGTTGCTTTGTGTGTTATGTGTATTATATATAATATATGTTTCCTCCTATTCCCACTCTGCCAGCCCCACTCTTTCTCCACTTAACCGGCCACCTGGCTATTATGCTTCTTTTTTTTCAGTTTACAGTGGTAATTCTTACTAGCACTTATTTGAATTGCTTTTGGCGATGCATTGTTACTAGTAGTACACTATTAACAAGTTACGTGAGTTCAATAATTATTTACTGGCAAAAATACGGAAACATTAACAGTGAATACAGGTTACAAGTGTTGTTGAACATGCGCTTTGTAAAAATAGATCAATCAACTTACCATTTATTATAAAAATCTAATTACTGCTATGAAATCATTTCAAATTTGGCGATAGACAATACTGTAAAAAATGAATGGTGCAGACGACAGTGCTAACTAATTAATGTTATTAAATAACTTATAATTGCTAACAGTTACATAGAATCCTTAAAAAAATGTCTTCTAACATTACTATTGCAAAAACCCAATTGCCCAACATTCCTGGAACAAAACCTACAACAAGAAATGCTCAACTTCTGATTTCTTCAGGTATTCCATCTCTTGATCATTTTATCGGTGAGTATATATCCTACAATTTTATGTAAACAAAGATTTTTATATCTATGATTAATACACATGTAAATTAATGTTATTTTTATTACAGGAGGTGGTCTACCAATAGGATCAATTCTCTTAATAGGTAATTAAAATGTGCATAAATTCTGTTTAAGGTCAGTATTATATATTTTTTTTATTTTTCAGAGGAAGATACTTACTCTACTTACTCCAAAGTTATGTATAAATATTTTATAGCCGAAGGAATTGTAAATAATCATTTGGTTTTTGTTGCTACTCAAGAAACATTGCCATCTGAAATTGTATCTGAATTGCCAGCAGTCGAAGAAGAATCTCATACACTAAAAGAAAGTTCAATTAAAGACGAGGAGATGAAAATTGCTTGGCGTTATCAGAATATGAAAATATTTGATTCTGGTCCAAAAGATAGTTCTGTTTTTGGTCATTACTATGATCTAACTAAGAGAATGAGTGAAGATACCTTAAACAAAGCTAATGTAGAATTGTGGGATGGAGAGAATGTTCAATGCCAACACAGTATTTTTGAAAATACTGGTTATATGGACCTACTGTTGAGCATAGAAAAAGCTATCACAAGTGGACAATTTCTAGTTTCACAAACTCCAGAGAAAAGAAATATTTTAAGGATAGCCATTCAGTCTTTAGGATCTAGACTCTGGCTGAGCGATTCAGAGGATCAAACCCAAAAGGACTTATTGAAATTTTTATACATGTTGAGAGCTTTATTGAGAGAATCTTTTACAGTTGCCATGATCACAGTACCTACACTTAATTTTGATGAAATGGTGAGTATTATATCACTCTTTGTTATAGTTTATACAATTAATTTTTTAACTAAACTTATATATGATGGTTTTCAGAGTGATGTAGTACAAAGAGTAGAACATTTGTCTGATATAGTTGTTGGTTTAGAGTCTTTTGCTGGATCATCAAAAGAAGCTAATCCCATTTTCAAGGACTATCATGGTCTTCTGCACGTAAAAAAGCTGCCTGCTTTTAATACTCTAATACACCAGGATGTTCTTTATTCTGATTTAGCTTTCAAATTACGAAGAAAAAAGTTTTTGATAGAGGTAAGTGATGATTTAAACTTATGAAACCCTCCTCCAGAATACCCTTCTTTTTCAGAATAACCTTAGACATTTCCAGTTTTACTGTTTAAAAATTATCACTAGTTTTTAGTGAACGTTAATTTTTTTAAATGGAATATCTCCACTTATAAATTTAATAATGATTGAGTAATAATTAGTTACATTGCATGACTGTAGAATATAGTTAATTTAAGGAAATATTATTGAAATAATTCATAATGTTTTATCAAATACTTTTATTAATTAATGTAAATTCTTTTATACCGCATCGTCAAATGTATATTTAATTTTAAGAACGTGAAGCTTGATTAATCCTGTTTGCTGCAAACGCCATGACACCATATCGCGCGGCGAGTTCGGGCGAAAGATTGGCTAAAAAATTTCAGAGAATGATTTTTAATGTTTAACTATCCTTCAATTGCGTCTCATAAGCTAATGATGCATCTTAAGATTTTGCAATTTTCATTGTATGTTTTATAAAATTAATAAGAGTTTATCTAAATATTTTTCTACAAACGAAGAACTATCAAGATATATAATTAATTCAATTTAATATAATGAAGAATCTCAAATTATATATTGCATATTATAAAACAAAAGTAATTTTATAATATAATGTGATGTAAATAAAAATATTCGGCATTTAAAAACTTACATACCTCATATTTTTTGCAATTTCTTCATTTTTACCTGTTATCATATATACATTTAGTATTGTAAAAGTAATATATTTAATTTAAAAATAAAATAACTTACGTTCGCAGTCAGCGATGCATTTTTGATATTTTACCGACACTAAAAATAAATTAATAATGATCTATTAATTTTAATTTTAATTTAACATCTAAAATTATGAAATATACCTTCTTCTCCAAAAGTCAATGCTAAACATAGCATTACCAGTGTGAACGCGAACAAATACTTTGCAAACATTTTCCTTGTTGCTGATCGTTCTGTTTTGTTCAGTATACTAATATTTTCTTAATGTGATTCTTTTTATAGGCTACGAATAAGTCGTAAAGTTTTCCTCAATCAGAAACGAGATAAAATCGCTGTGTTAAACAAAAAAAAAAAGAGAAACAGACTTACGCGCGCGCGCGCGCATCAATCCCACTGTGCTGATGAATATCTTTTAATAACCAATCGTCAGTTCCGCCACTTATGCTATTAACTTTTTAAACTTATGCAATAATCACCTGTGATGAATTTACAGTTATAGAACTTTTTTGATAAATCTAAAACAATAAACATATTTATTTCCCGATAGGGTTTTTCAGTCACAACATATCACCTAAAAGTTATATTGATAAGAATACTTTTGTCATTTTTAGTGTAACTATGCTTTTATTGTCATTATTGTAATACGTCATTATATTGAAGATTATTAAAATTATTATAAGTAAGAGTATTTCTAAACAACTCGTTAAGTTTATTTTCTGAAACTAACTTAACTAAATAAAAAAAGTTGCTATTATTGTAAAAAAAGCCATAAAAATATACTGGTCTATTTCGATTATAATAATCTCACAAAACATTTTTTAATAGTTGACCGTCATCGCTTTGTCATGTATATAATCAACTTTTATCATTTATGCGATAATTGCCTGTGATAAATTATCTCTAATAATCTTTGTGTTACATGATTTTTATTGGAAAATTTGAAACAGCAAACAAATTTGGTATATCAATTTACTCATATCAATTTTTTACAATTAAGATGATTTTTTTAGAAATAAGAAATCTGATCGTTGAGAATTTTCTTTGGCACAACTATTAGCGAGCATTTCTCATTTTTTACCGTAATAAATACTAAAAACCGATATCGAATCAAAATTTTTTACATATCTCCAACTTCGCACATCATTAATTAATAGTGAGCTATTTATCTCAATCATCAATTTTTTCCGTAGTTTATCCTCGTAACAGTTTCCTAAATTGCTATAAATAGTAGTTGTCGTAATCAGTTTTGACAGTTAAACTGAAAATTACAAGAATCGAAAAGTCACAAATGTCTCCCTCAAAAGAAAAAAAGAAAACAAACGTCACCAAGCCATAATTGACTAATTATTATTTATCATCAACAGGTACTTCACTTGCCACCAGAATTCGGCGACAGCGCGCAGCGCGAGCAAGACGAACAAGTCGTCTGCAGTAGCGGTTCAAGCAAGCATAAATTAGACTTTTAAGCGCTACGCGCTAATTAAGTCGATGTGCGCGCATCACGGCTCACGGGCATCGCGCTCGTGGCCTAATTATCCTCGCGGGGCATGCGAGGGGAGAGGAGATAAGCTGGCTGGGCACGCGGCTTAACAGGCATCGATTAGATTTTTACGCGTTATTATTCGCAGTTACAGGCTATTGTGTATTCTATGATAGCGCCGCTTGTTACGAGCGCAGCCGTCAATTGTTGAGACGTGCCCGACGAATTGTATTGTAAGTTGATTTGTAATGGCGAATAAACTGATGAGTATCAAATGACCGCCTTGTTGTTTATGTTTCTTAAGCTGCAATTTTGTGATTTATCGCACGCTTGAAGCTGCGTAAGCTTACTGCCATTAACTGACCTTGCGCTGAAAAATGTGTTCCTGTGAATATGAGGACAGTGATTTATTACCAAAGTCAAACCTCTTGTGAAAAGGATACCAGTCGTAACAAAAGAGCGTGAAGAGTCGTTTTGCCGAACGAAACTAAAGCATCGCATTGAACTGCATTATTTTTTTTCCCAAAGCGCAAGCGATGCCTGCGAATGCAACTAGCTCGGGAAAAATAAAGAGGGGGGAAAAGAACAGGAGAGCCTAAAAAAAGAGCGACATAAGCTCTCTTCCGCGATTCCGGACGAGGAAATCGCGCAGGTGGGGAAGAGAGAAAGAGAGAGATAGAGACAGTCGGTATATACTCACTTCCTTCCGTTGTTGTTTTGCCCCCCTGCCGCGTGCTCGCGCGTCTCGCATGAGGAACGCCACTCAAAAACCGACTCTACGAATTTTACGATACGGCATTCCCACAGTGGATCTCGTTAACGCGTGTCCTCTGCGTCGATATCCTCGCGGAGCTTTTCGTCTTGCGTTCGGGCTGCGCGGGCATGAGCGCGATCAAGTATCGCCGGCTGAATGAGAGTTTCCAGTGCGAGTGAGACTCTTCTTTTGGCTTTTGCACGTCGAGCAGGATGCGCGAGAAAAAGAGGTTGGGTCTTTCGAGGACCTTTATGTGCTGCTCTAATGTTGTGTTTCTGGTGAGTCTTTTATTTTTTCTTAACGTGATTGTTGCGGATGAACGCGGCGGTCGGCGCGCCGATGGTCGTGAGACGAGAAATTGCTCATCCGATTCTTTTGATTGAATCTCTTCGATTGCCCGAGCATACTTCTCGTTCGCTTTTGTTAAAACAGCTGGAAACATGACTCGTGCAGAGCTTCCTTGAATTTCTTTCATAAAAAGTTCCACTTTCGCAATCAACGGAATTGCGAATGCCGAAAGAATGACAACGGCAAGTGATTTGCGTGACAAAGGTGTTTCGTCTCGCTTTCAGATGTCGGGTTTCGTGCTGATGTCATTAGGGGCACTTCTCCTAGCAGACAGCGATCGAGTACTCCTGTCACGATTATTGGGCTCGAGTGACAACCATCCCGAGCAGCCGTTGTTCTATTACGTGGCCCTCGTCGTCGTTGCGATTGGCTTTCTCATCTCGGTCACAGGCATCCTCGGATGCTGGGCTTCGTGTCTTTACAATTGCTGTATTACAGCTTCTGTAAGTATATCGCTTTTACTTGAATATATTTCTCGTCGGGCAAAGAGCAAAATCATTTCGCCTTTTCGTTGATGTCGTCGTTCTAAGAAATCGCAAATATTTTGTTCTCTCAATGCGATCCTTCGTGGGTATAAATTATACGCGAATGATACATCCCATGACACTATTTCCATGGACAAAAGGCGCGCAAGGAAAATTCACTGCAATCGATCGAGCACAACTAGCGCAATGCATAGGTGCGCGGCATTCCCCTTAGAAAGCTGTACGAAGCTATAAGTGCATGGATACGCACGCGTACGCGATGCATGTAATGAACGAAAATACTCCCTCTCGCTTTAATTTCAAAATAATGGAGGGGGGAAAGCATTCCTACGACGACGCGACGGAAACGGCCTACTGCCACCTGTCGCCTCTATGTAAGCATCGGTTTCATAACCGCTGTCTATGCGTATATGCGTATATTTGTCACGCTCGCTTCCTTCCTTTCTTTTTTTTTTCATTGTTTTCTTTTTTTATTGAAAATTAGATTGCGATTTCACTCCGATCGTTATCTTGAGTCTTCTTTTGAAGCGTTGACCTGAGTGAATTTCTTGGTCGATATGTCGTGTCATGAAATGTGTCAAAAACTTTACAAGTTTGCCAAACTTTGAGTCTGAGAGTTCCGGAACGAACTTCATATTCTTTAAGGCCTTTAATACTTTTCAAAGTATACAGATTTTCAACCATCAAGTCTGATTGACAAATGGAGTTTAAATTGGAAAAATATTTAAAAATGTAGTTATTTTGAAAATTCAGCTTCGAATGCTTATTACAATTTTCATGTGATTGTTAAGCCATTATGGATTCAATGATAAATAGTAAAAAAATTAAAACAGTAATTCGCTATATCGTAACTCAATGCCTGCAAAAGATATACAGATTTGATTAATGCTTAAAATTTCTGTTTTTGAAAATCCAGTTTTTATTATTTATACATTTTTTAAACTACTCACATTGCGATTGAATAAAAAGCGTACAATTTAACTTGATGCACTGCGTCAGTAAAATGTTAACAATTCTCAAGATTCAAAGTTGTGTATAATCGTTATCCAAAGTATTATTAAAGTTCAGAAAAAATTATGAAGTTATTGAAAATATTCATAAGGCTAAGAAAGTTATAGTATCGTATAAGTTCAATCGTTTGAATAATTACGGTTTTTATATTGTACTACTATACATAGCGGATAATGGGACCAATAGCCATAATTGATAAAGTACAAACAATCATAATGATGCTTTCTACATCTGTATTGCAAGAGAAACAGTTATAACGAATACTAAAATCATAGCGGAGTTCATTAGCCTTCTGATCATAGATCTATAGGTATTTTTCCAATCTACGAACCGTCGCTCAAAACATTGTGTTCGACTCAAATGTGATGTTTTAAATTGTGTGTTGCAGTACGTAACGATAATAGTGCTACTGCTGATCGGCAAATCCGCCTTGTGCCTGGTAGTGGTGTTCTGGCCACACCTGTTGGGGGTCGACGTGCGGCCGCCACGGCTGATGCGGGCCCTACAACGCAGCTACGCCCTTCCGGGCCGCGAACAGTTCACCGCAGCTCTCGATCTCGCGCAAACTGCTGTAATTGCATCGATGACCCAGTACCATTAGCGTGACGCTCGATTGGCTTTTTACGAAAGTGTTTCTCCTCTGCGCGGCGCCAATTAAAAAACAACATCTCCTAGCTTCCATTCGAGCTATATATCTGAAAGATATAGAATCGTGCGAACGTGAACGCACGCACATGCGAAGCGTTAAGTCGCGATCCCTACTGAGCTACAAAGCCAAGCGAGCGTTGCCGCGGCAAGATATGCAGTCGCAGATAAAGCGAAGAGGCAACTCACGAGTGCACTTTTCTATTATGCGATACGCAGTTCTCGTGTTGCGGCGTTAACGGGAGCAGCAATTACGGGACCTCGTGGTGGCGACTTCAGGAGCTCGGCAGACGCGAGCTCGTCGTGCCCCTGAGCTGCTGCGCCCTCAACAATGCGCGCGAGCAGGACGGCTTTCTGAACCCCGACCCGAGGAACGTGACGCTCTGCCAGGCGCTCAATCCGGCTGAGCATCAACTCGCGCGACATAGCGTTGTGAGTTGACGAATGATTGTGCTTTAACTATTATCTATTATTTATCTTTTATGTTTTCCAATGAAAACAACGACGACTAATCATATAAGGTGTCAGCGCTCAGTTATACGCAGTCCAAAATGGCGTTCTCTATTGCAGGGCTGCCTGGATATGATCGAGAATTGGATGCAGGAGCAAGCTTTGATTCTCCTAGCGATAGGCTTGAGCGTGGTATTAATCGAGCTTTTCGCTCTGCTGAGCACTTTGCTCGCTTGCTCGAGGCTAAGGAAACGCCAGCGCAAGCCCAAGCAAGCGCAAACGTCTACGTTTACTTCCACCCAGACGCTCAGGCCATTTCACGAGAACGATCACGATTACGGTAAGTGTGGCTCGCTTATGGACGGTCTTGTTTCATTGAAAAGTAACACACGGACGATCGCGAATGGCAGGGCTGAGTCGGCAGAGCATGGAGAACCGGCTGACGATGACAAACAGCACGTTCGCCGGCAAGTCTTGAAGGTGGCTCGAGGACAGCGAGAGAGAAGCGAGCGCGATGCCCGCAGCGGTCGACTACAAGCTTTGGGGCAACCCGATAGACGTTCCAAGCGACGACCTCGAGCGGTACTTTGCCAAGGCTCCCGAACGCACGATGCTGATCAAACCGTTACCGAAGCTCTCGGCGAGCAAGTCGCGAAAGAGCATGAGCATCGCGACGATCAAGTCGAATCAGGCGAGAAGGAGGCGGAGACGGCGAAGAAATATGGAAGTGAACGTCGACCTGGACTGCAGTCTAGAGGGGAACTACCATTTCATCGAGAACTCGTCGGTGACAAGAGCTCAGCCTGCCAGCGAGGAGAGGAAGAGTGACACATTGAAGGCCGTCGAAAGATCCGGCCTGGTCAACACGAAAATCAGCGTCTACGAGAAGAACCTCATCGGTAACGCGGCGAAAGACGAGGGCAAGAGGAAAATAGTCCTCGGAGTGCCGCTGGTGGGGATGCAAAGTGGAGCGCCACCGACGTTTCCCAGTCAAGTCAGGACGAAATCCGAACAGCCGAGAGAGAAGACGCCGACGAAAAGACGAGCTCCGTCCGTGCCGTCGGTGAAGGAGACTCGAAGCGTTCAGAACTCCGGACGATCGCACGATTTCGCCGTTACCTATCCCACCAAGCTCACTAAGAACACGTACTCGACCTCTAGGAGCACTCAGACCAAGTCGACGTCGAGACGTTCGCATCGAAGTAAAGTTGCCTCGGCGACGATTAATTTGCACAGTTCTCGTAGCAAGCGGAAAACTCTTTACGCCAAGGACGCCGAAGGCGACGAGGCTATCAGAGTGTTGTCGAATCTCTGCTTGAATCCTTTGGCTCGAAGTAACAAGAGGGCTTCTTTTATGATCTGGTGACGCTTCGAACGCCATTTATTAAAAATCTCGCTGTCCTTTGTTTTGAATATGTTTTTTAGGAATTTTTTCGTGATAAATGACTGAGAACGGATAATACTGTACAAGTTTTATGAGTAATTTTACGTTTTCTTATCGGGTTTAGATTCGGAAGTACAATAATTTATATCCAATGATTTTTTAAGAATATTTTGTACAATTACATAGTTTTTTTAGATACTTTTATAGAGTAATTACTTTAGGCAGACGTACCAAATATGTATTGTTGATTATATCAATGACTAATAAATCATTTATGGATTTTGCACATTGGCTCTTATAGTTACTTCACAAGTTAATGTATACTAGTATATGAATGAAAATTTGAATCCCTTAAAATATTTTCTAAACAAATTGGTACTGACACTTATACGCAGCTGAGTTTACAAATATGCAAAAAATTATTCAATCTCTCAGTAGAAAGAACTGCCTTTTTCTTAAAATGTATTATACCGACATAAAATATTATGTTGACAAGTATTATGGTGTGAGTGGTATTTTAGATGTAGCCTTTTCAAAATATTAATTGAATTCAAACAAAGTGTTTACACGAAAAGTAAAATATTTCGTAATATATATGTAAATATTTAATATAATTTGTTTAGTATATTTTACTAAAGATATTAATATTTAGTAAAATATATGTATAAAAATTAATTACTTAATAAGTTAATATATATTAACCCTAAATATTAACTGCTACCAGGAGTTCAAAAAATAGACAATAGATCTAAAAATAATCAATGATCTGAATCCATACATTTCATGTTGGAACAAGAGTCCTCGAAAATATAAAATAAAAAAAAATACGAAAACGGGGAAAATCATATGAAAGGTCTACTCTTACTCTTTAAAATTTATTTTTAAGATTTGAGATATCTTTTTTTTATCAAGATATCGTTAATTGAAATAATATGTGCGTATTCGGGAAAGAAGCTGTTTCGAAACTGCTAAAATACTTAATTTCAATCAACGATATCTCAATGAAAAAAAAATATCTTAAATCTTAAATATATTCTTCCCATTTTCAGAAAAAAAAATTTTTTTCACGATGTACGGGACCTCAAATATACCAAAACCCCGGCTTTTTTGCCTCTTTAAGTTAGGATATCTAAAAAAACCTGACATGATGGATAAATTCTCACTCCGAATTCGAGTTCTACACAAAAAATTACTTTGGAAATGACCTTCAGTTAACAACAAAATCATGCAAATCTGTGAGATTATTGAAGAAAAATTTATTTATTATGAAATTTCAAAAAAAATTTTAATCATTACTACAATTTTTTGACGACCGACTTCTTTCATTTGTGCGGAATATAAATCTTATAAAATAGCATACAAAGAATTGCTTGTCAAAGTTATAATGCGTGTATATAATGAATTAACTTTACTCGGTAGACGTGTCACGTTCTAGAACAAGGTTTCGAGTATGTGATATTGTCTAAATTGTAAGTTATAGCAAAAAAAGTTCGTGAAGGTTCAATGTATAACACATATGATGCGAACTTCTTTAATTATATTTTGTTTGTTATATTCTGATTGATTGATTTTTGTACTAGATATATGTACCACTTTCGCAATTAATAAAAGACTTATTTTATAATAAAAGGTGCCAAAGTATATTATACTAAATTCTTCCAAACTAAAAATGTATATTTTACAGTTACTAATATATTTACAATGCCTAAATTTTTCATTTATTGATTTTACAAATTTCTAGACTTTTTGTTTATTTCTTATATTATTTTATTTTTATTTTATCTATCATCACTTCATTTATTTTATTTTCTCGTTGAATATCAAATCTAACATCGACAATACTTGTTCTTTATAAATATAATTAATTGGTACTATGAAGTTTGAACAATCATCTGTAAATTCCAAAAATTGGAGATCCATAAGACAAATATTTCAAAACTACGAATGACGAATATTAAAAAACGTTTGAAACTACTTTCACGTATATATTTAGTGAACAAATAATTTAATATCATCGTAGTTGGTTGCCCTTGAAAAATCTGTCTGTATTTAAAAAGAAAGTCAATTGTACGTTGCAAGTACTTTGTAGTATAGCTATTGCAAAGACCTGTGTCTTCAACTTCATGTATACACTGCAGTGACAAACTGAACAAATAACCGATAGTGATTATGGAAATTTACGATGGACGTTATTTTCTTATTAATAAAATCTTTCAGAGATGTGTTGGTCTTTGGCCTTACGATCCTCGAGCAAAAATTTTAAAAATTTTCGCTTTAGTTTCAGTTATCATTTTAATGATACCAAACGTATGTATACACTATTTCGAATTTTATAGATTTATTTTAATTATTCTTATTTTAAATCAACTTTTCGTCAACATTACACAGATAATCGGGATGGCAATCCATATCGACGATTGGGATCTGGTGATGGAGCACTTAAGTTTTATTCTTGTGATGATGGCAACTTTTATGAAACTATTTACTCTCGGCATATCAGACAAAGAAGTAAGCTAGCTTAGCAAATTTCAAATAAATTTCTTTAAGTGTGTATTTTTTTTAAGATGAAATCAGTGTATCGTAGTATTGCCGACAATTGGATCATGATCGAAAGTAAAGAAGAAAAAGAGATACTTATAAAATACTCTGAAAGAGGTAGAACGATCACCATACTTTACACAGGTAAATCAGTTTCGACACAAATATATCTAATTCTAAATATACGACAATTTCCTAATTCGACTATTTATACTAGTGTATTTAATATCTGCAACCCTAGTTTTCATAACTTTGCCGGTTATCCCTATAATTTTGAATAAAATAAATCCACTCCCAGAGCCACGTCCGTACGAATATATATTTCAGTCAGAATTTTTAATTTTCGACAAAAATGATTATTACGTTGAAATTTACATATGGGATGTTTTAAGTATGTTTACAATAATTATTGCTCCGATCGGCTGTGATACGACGTATACTGTCGTTGTCGAGCATTGCTTAGCTCTGTATTCGATTGTTAAGTATGGCCATTGATGATCTTCTTAAATTGTTTGAAACATAATAAAAGTTGTAAAATATTATACATTTTTATAGGTATCGACTGTTACAATTGAAAAAAAGTGTGCATACAAATTCCTTCGATTGCCAAGATGATTCCTACAAGTGGTTGGTAAACACCATCAAACTACATCAAGTAGCACTAAGGTTTATTATTTTACGTACCTGGTTGAATCAGTTATTATTATGAACATTTAATATAATTTTCTTTTTTCAGTTTTACGGAATCTATCGAACGGTCTTATTCTACCTGTTTCTTTGTTTTGGCATTAGAGCATATCGTAGTTCTCCCTTTGTTTTGCGTTTTGGTATGCTCCAACAGATTCTTCAATATTGCAGATTACATCGATTCACAAAATCATTTAGATTATTTTTTCAGATGGTTATATATTTTCAAGAGAATCCAATGAACTCATTCAGATTTGTTCTTTTCTTTTCTGGCTTACTAGTTCATCTATTCATGATATTCTGGCCGGGTCAAAAAATCATCAACCATAGTGTCATCCTCATGGAATATGCGTAACTTTCGAAATGATAATTTTTTAAACTCATATTAAATATATAAGTTATAAATGTTGTCATTATATTGTAGATATACCAATGAATGGTATGAAACTGAAGGAAAAACGAAAAAAATACTTGGACTTTTCATGCTGAAATGTCTGAAACCATCTTTATTAAGTGCTGGAGGATTGATTTTGTTGAACTTTGAAAATTATCTCACGGTACATTTCTTTTTAATACTGCTGTTAGTACCTGTAATATCCATTTGAAAAACTTGATTGTTGCTTGCAGATTGTCAAAACAGCAGTTTCATATATAACTGTATTCGCATCGTTTCGACAAAATTGAGATGACGGGGCTAAGAATAAAACTAGGTACAAACCATTCAATGTTGATTGTAGAAATATTTTTATCGGAATTTATTTTTATCGATAGAAATTTTTATTGTTATTATTTTACTTTTTATATTGCTATTTTTACATGTCAGTGTAGTATTTGAGTAAACCTTAAAATAAAATGAATTTTTTTGGATTCTAGAAGAATACTGAAAATTTTTATTCTATGATTTTGACTTTTGGTTTTTTTTTCTCTTCTTATAATTCATTTTTTACACTGTCGAAAAATGCTTATGAATATTAGAAAAAAATACAGGAACTGTTTTTTTCGGTATTCTTACATTATAAACTAAATTTTATCTTTCACGAGTAACAGAAGCTAAATAAGACAATGCATCGAAAAAGGATACTGTGACTGTATTTTTATTTAAATTATTTATTTATTTGCCAGAGTATATAAATAAATCACAAGACTATATATATATACATTACATATTAAATGTAATCTAGTAGATAAAAAATAACAGGTAAAAAATAACTTTGCAAAATATATTTAAAATATAATTATCCTACCCTCAAATATAATGTTCACTACTTGATGTATAAAAATCAATTTTGTAATCTAGATAGAAAAGCTAGTACAAGCTTAAGTGGATAAAGATTTTTATTTAGTATATCTACAAAAACCAAAGTTGTAAAACAGTTTTAACTTGTAACTTCAAAAATTAAGTATTGATATTTAAAAAAATGCTGATGAATGATAGATTATTTTAATAACTATAGTGTATTTTTAAGAACTATGAAGACGCATCGTTTCACTCACTCTAATCAAGAAAATAAAGAATTTCGTTTACTAAAAGTGTTGACCATAATTAATCATCGTCTGTCACAAAAGAGTTGAAAACAGCACCATAAGAGAAAGCAGTTTTTAACATCTTAAAAGCAAAATAGATTTTTTTAAATTTTCAGTATTTAGAAACAGATAAAATTATGATACTCACGTTTCCATATACTTCATTGGATAGTATAAAAACTTTCCCTCCTGTCAGATAGCTAGTTTTTGAACTTCGTGTCATGATCATACGCAGCCAACAGACGGAATCTTTCGAAAACTTGTCCCATTCACAATCGCAACTATAGTTTTAGAACATTCGGTTAGATTCACATAAAAAATGTTTTCTACTTTATCCTGAAATAACTTACCAAGCTTTAAATACGGCGGATGAAAGATCAATGACGGCTTGACCTCGATTGAATGCAACGTTAAACTGGACTAATGTGAATATAAGGTATATCGCGTATCTGATGAAATCCCACGCATCTGTTGATCTGGCAATCACCTAAAAAATGAAGCATAGGGTCGAACCAATTTTGACAGACTCACACTCATCGATACTTACTATTGAAAGTAAGCCTCCTGATCCAATGACTGTTTCAATAAGTTTCAAAAACCAGGAAAGATGATAAGCGTCGTCTATACGATCAATCAATCTGCAACAAAACAATAGTAATGTAAACAACAGTATGATATTTAATCACTACATGATTATCAAATTCTTACTGAAGAGCTTCATCGTGGATATCGATAACCACAATCATTAGACGGCGGGCTTCGTCTGATGTAGAAGTGCTTTGACTATCCCTATATCTTACAGCAACATCCAACGCTTTTGTCAAACGACGTCTACGTTTAAAATTTAGTATTATAAATAAGCGAACGTGAACAAAGCTGAAACATTTTTTATTACAAAATGTGTAAACATACTTGGTAATGGTAAGCAAGGCACAAGTGTGTTGTACTACTATGACAAATGATAAGTCGTGTACAAATATTACGATGCCATTACATAACTCACATATGACGATATGAATAATTATATAATTGTAGTATTTATTGTGATCAATGCCATATTCAAGATAGTAAGGAAGTTGCTTGTCAGTCATAGTACTTCCAAAAAATAAATTGGAAATCATTGTGAATATGGACGGAGCATTCAGTGTTGACACAGATAGAATACCTAAAGCTATAAAAACCTTTTTGTATATATAATCGTAGATGTGTTGTATCAGTCGTGAATTTTCAAATAAGGAATGATTAAAGCTTAGTCTCTTACCCATGTACACTAAGATGAACTTGAATCCGTATTCAAGATAATCTGTCATTAATTTAAACTCATCTTTGTGCAGTTTTTTTAGATGCTTTATTATTTGAGAATAGACTATACTTCTCTAAAATATAGCAAGAAATCAACATTTTTTTCAATGTAAATTAACAATGATGGTACAACTCACTCTTCTCTGGAAAGAATAAGTTGCCAATAGTTTAACAGAAGTACCAAATAGAAGCATGACACAAACAAGGTTTTCAACGACAATGTAAACGTCAACACTCCATTCGTGAAATAACCTGATTGCCTTCACATATATGAATTATTCAACAAATTAAAAATTTGAACCATTATCAATAAATTTGGTAACTCTTTTTAACAAAAATGTAAAATTACCAATGGCGCTGTACCAGAAAGAAAAATTGTAAATAGTAACGAACAGATTAAACCATTCTTTAGTCTTGTTTGAAAAGGCCAAAAAACAACATTTTTTTCAAGTTTAATGACGGTTTGCCATGTCCTAGTCTCATAGAAATCCATTTTTAATGTAGATCACATCTACTACGTCTTTAATATTAATTATCATCAGAGTAATTTGTATCTTTATTGGAGCAACGGTCGATTTATATTTGAATTCTGACCTTGCAAAATGAACAAAATTAAGATATTTTATATAATACTGTGAAAACTCACAAACGAAGTGATTTTGAGAAAACATAAACATGTACTAACAAAAAGCAGTGCTGAAGTAAGGCAATTTCTGTATTACAGATGTCAGTACGGTATAAAGTACGGTATATATTTTATAATATTGAACTTTCATGAATTACACGAGTTATTCTAAAAGTTCGTGAAATTACGTAGCATAGTGTATGAACAATTGTTTAATCGAATCTTCAAGGTTAAGCAACTAAAGTACGAACAAAGGTATATGTGGTACAAAGATCTAAGCGAGTCTAAGCTTCTATTATATTTTACACGTATTCTGGAAAAGTTTGTGAAGTATATAAAGAAATTGTTTATTCGAATTTTTAAAAATGGGTCAGTGCCAAAATTATTTAGTATTCCGCGGGGTTTTTAAATAAAATAAATTTGTTTTTATCTTTTTTTCAAGACAAAATGCATCTACGATATTTTTTAATTCTAGATATATTTTCAAACTGTTTTTTAATGAAAAATTAAAATTACGATTGAGTAAGGTAAATAAAATTTATGAAAGCAGAAATTATCGATTCAAAAAAAACCAAATAAGTCGTTTTGTAAAACATCAATTTTTATTTTAATATACTTTAATTAATAAATATAAACTACGATGCACGAAGAATGTACAAGCTATTTTGAAAATATTTAGTCATTTCATTTTTGGGCAAAGAAAATGTCCTTCGATCGCTTTTGTTGAAAAAGGAACTACATACGGCACAGTAAAAGAAAGCAGTTTTCAACATTTTTAATGGAAAGCTGCAATTTATATTTACTAATTGCTTGAAATTGATTTGGCTGTAATATCTGTATTTTCATATATTTTATTAAATAGTGCACAATTTTTTCTGTCTGTCAAGTGGTTAGTCTTTGAGCTTCGTATTATCCTGCACAGAAAAAAATTGAATCTTTCAAAGAAACTCAGAAACTTTTCGATTTTATAAAAGTATAAGCTAAGGTGATGCGTCAGCGAAATAGAAAGGTATAGAAATAATAATAAAGTCCATTCTTGATTGTGACGGTCTAAGTTTAAACGTTGACGAAATTACACATCTTACACAAAAAGTTTGTCGATTATATGTACCATATTTGCTATTAAAAATTGAATGTAAAATAGATAAATGTTACAGAAAACTTTAATAATTTTTTTAATGATGATTATTTTAATTTTTACCTATTGAAGATGAAATTGTTATCTACAAATGCAATTAAATATAATTTAGGTTTGATACTTTGATATTAATTTTTATTTTGACATACTTCAATGAATGCACATAAACGACATGAATTAATTTGACATGAGATTAGAAATATATGGTGATATTAATGCTTAATATTCTATAAACGAAAAAGCAAAGTGCTGTGAAATTTCTAGATTCATGTTTATCGTTTCATTCATATCTACGAGATCCACTATATTTCCTGTTCATGATTCATGATCATCTTGCTTCATAAACGAATTGAACATAGTGCAGTAAGAGAAAGCAGTTTTCAACATCTTAAATAAATACATATTTTTATATTGTTTAATTTCATTAATAAATTAATTTGTAATACCTACATTTCCATATATTTCATTGGACAGCGTAAATAACTTTCCGGCTGTCAAGTTGCTACATTTTGAACTTCGTATCATAATCATATGCAGCAGAAAAACAGAATCTTTTGAAAACTTTTCCCATTCGCCGTTGTAGCTAAAATTTGAAAAATATTTGGTTATATAACTTATAAAAAGGTTATAATTCGCTTCAAAATTCCTTACCAAGTTTGAAATACAGCATATGATAGATCAATAATTTCTTGACCTCGATTGAATGCAACATTAAATTGGACCAATATAAATGTAAGATATGCCAAATATCTGATGAAATCCGACGCGCCGTTTGTAATTGTGATCAACTAAAAAGAACGAATTATAGCATCCGAATGGATTTGCATACATTAATTAATACTTACTACAGAAAGTAAAGCTCCTGTACTTATAACTATATCAATAAGTTTCAAGAGCCAAGAAAGATTGTATGCATTATCGATAAAAGCGATTAATCTGAAATAAAAGTAATATCAATGCATTTGGTAGCACCATATATTAGTGTCTGTTGTTAAAGACGTACTCTAGAGCTTCGTTATGAGTATCAATAACCACAATTAGGAGACTATGAGCTTTATCCTCATCATGCACGTAAACATCTTGATGATTATTTCTATATTTTGCAGCAATTTCAAATGCCTTTTTCAATCGTCGTCTACGCTCAGCATTTAAAACAAACGCAAAATACGTACTTGAATAAAACTTACAATGTGAATTTCCTTCTGGTCGAAAATAATGTACCATCACGTGTGTTCAAATGAGATCAGTTAAAAATATTAAAACATTTGGAAGGGAAATGCATTTGGAATCTAAGTCATAAATAAACTTACGCAACTATGTTGAACAAAGCGCAGTTATGATGCACTATCATCACGAATGACAAATCGTATGCAAATATGACGATCATACTACTTACTTCAATTGTCATGATATGGGCAATTATGTAATTGTGATATTTATTGTGATCAATGCCATATTCGAGATAATAAGGAAGAGTTTTATCAGTCGAATTGGCAAAAAACATATTGAAAATCATTTTATACAATGGCGGCCCATCATATATTACTAAAGCCACACCACCGGTAGCTGAAACATTAATATCTCGTATATAATTTTGAAGAACTTGCCTACCAAATTGTGAACAATAACTTATTAACAAATTCATTACCCATATACGACAAAGTAAATTTCAATCCGGATTCAATATAATCTGTCATTATTTTCAACTCTTCTCCTTTAAGATTTTTCAAATGTCTTATAATTTTAGAATAGATTTGTTTTCTCTAGAATACAATGTAGTATCAATCATCGCAAATAAAATTAAATAGTACGACTTACTCTCCTCTGGAACGAACAAGCTGTCAATACTTTGATCGAAGTACCGAATATAAGCATGATGGACACAAGGTTCTCAACGACAATTGAAATATTTTTCTTCCATTCGTGGCACAATCTAACGAACTTTACATAAATTATTAAAACAATTGGAGAAGTGATTTTATACTATTTTTAAATGAATGTAGATCGCGTACTAATGGTACAGTAAAAGAATGGACGATTATGACGTATAATAAGCAGATGTAAACATTCATGGTTCTATTCTGAAAAGGCCAAAAACCTGTAATTTTCTCCAATTTGACGACGAATTGCCATATAGGAGTTTTATAAAAATCCATTAATAATCGAAGTCACGTATTTTGCAATAGTATCAGCTTTCATAGGAATAATTGTACAAAAAATTCTTATGGAATCTTAGATTTCGCTTGACAATTTCATACGATCAATAGTTGATGCGAATCTGGTGTGATTTTAGAGAAACGAGAATACGTACTAATAAAAAGAATAGACCAAGACAGATATCGGTGATGTAGAAAGATATAGCAATAATGAATAGTCTATACATGACCGTTAACGTCTAGGTTCTAACTTTGATAAAATTGCAGGTCTCGTAGAAAAGTTCATTTACGCCATAGTAGGTGCAAAAAATTATTGGTTCCAATCTTCAAGAGAATATGAATGATAAAAGCCAGTCAAATAATACAGGAAACTAATACAGCAGCGTAGAATTTCACAAACGCGTTGTTTAAAAATGATCGGGTGAATTATTTCGGGAAAGTGGAATACGTAAATTTGAGATATCAATGGATAAAAGCTTTGAAGATAATAAGAGATATTAAACATACGTGGAAAGTATGCTCCAAACATTTTAATCCTAATGATCTTTTTATTACGGGTATAGATAAAATATTGATTGTAAAAATCTCGTAAACATCATGCATACAACTGCTTTGCATCATATACAACTCCTGGCCTTTTATGAAATTCCTTGAAGACTTTATGCAGCCTCCAAATTGTAACCATTCTTCACGAGTGAGTAACATAATGCTTCTCAATATATACCTGTTTAGCAATCGGTACACAGTAAATAATTATCAATTTTTTCATATTTTTATTGCATTAGCATTAGAAATTTTTTAATGGATCTATTTCGACACACATCAGAATAAACGTTGTTGAGAACATTTACCATAATTTAACTGTGTAATGAGAATGATGGAAATACTACTTACATAAATAAACATGGACTTTCACAACGATTTTGCAGGCAGCTTAATAACTCGGCTTACAGATTCCACCAACAGAAGCGCTGATGCGAACTTTTCGGATCCCAATAGGCATGAAGACTATATGATCTCCATGGTTATATTGGTCTACGGTGACAAAAAAATTGTGTTTTCATTTTTATAAATGAAAACATACGATGACTGATTCAAAATTCATGAAATCTTAAAATTAAGTTTGGTACAATACAGTTAGTAATAATATAGAAGAATTATGGCAGAAAGAGGAGCACATCTTACTGGTACAGTTTTTGCGAAACCATCAATTTTTGAGATTGCCGCTCACAAATCACTTGCCGCAACACTTGAGCCAGCTATTAAAAAGATTATAACGGTAACTAAAAATTTGTAATTAGTTTTACAGATAAGGATATGTCTCATTAATATTAACGTTTCTTACAGTTTTGTGCATCTGTGAACCCTGACAAGTACACATGGCTTTATCAATGGTCTGACGAGATTTACTTGATTCTCGTTGCCATACTTCAAAATTATTATCTTAAAAACTATTGTAATTAATATCACTTATTTTGAACCTTATACTATTTATTCAATTGATTTTATCAATTCTATTATAATTTAAGTTTTTTCTTGTAGCTGCTTCATTCTCTGAAACCTTTTATGGTTTGAAACGGATAGTTTTGAGAAATTCTGAAAGGCAATTGAATCTGGATAATAGAAGACGATATCTTTCATTGGTGATTTTAACAGCCTTTCCTTACTTACAAAGGAAAATTGAAAATCTAGATACTCAAATTAATGATCCTAATGCAGTAAGAATCTATTCTTGCAAATAGGTTTAATAAATACTTATTGCAATGTTAATAGACAACTTTAATTTCAGCCACAACAAAGTAAATGGAAATGTTGCATAGTTCAAGGATTCAAAATTATTCGTGCTATAAAAGAAATACTTACTTTTTATCAGTATCTACTATATCTTTCTAATCGTTCAAAATATCCAACACTATCACTTTGGCTATTGTCAATTTCATTGACATATGCAAATAATGATGAGGAGATTGGCTTAACAGAACTGCTTAAAAAATTAGGATCAAGAAATTTCAATGCAAGTGATGGATTAGAAGTTCTACGATTATCAGTTGTACGCTCTATAGAAGTCAGTGCCTTCTTCCTCCAGTTCCTCCAATGGTGGAATCAAGAACATAACTATAACTTTAATTTTACAACACTACCTATTCCACCACCTCCACAGGTAAACTTGCAAAAAATGATTTTTGCCTCTTGTTAAGTCACAAAAATGATGAATGATTTTAGATTCCAGAATTTGCAAAGCCGTATAAAGGTATATGTCCAATTTGTAAAAGACCACCTAGGATCCATACAGCAGTTAGTACTTCAGGCTTTGTATACTGTTATCAGTGTATATTAGGAGAAGTTAGAAGAAATGGAAAATGCCCAGTTACTGGTTACCCTGTCAATGATGATAATCTTATAAGGCTTTATATACAATGACTCGAGATAGCCAAATAGATTTTAGTTTTTTAGTAATACATCTTTAAGAGATAAAATATTTTTTTATTCAAAGGGATTAGATAATAAATTAGTATAATTTTAGTATTGTGTATTTTTCTACTTTTCTGTTTGCTAATGATTGTTAAAGTCGAAAAGGAGTAGAGATCGTTATAGAGGTTTAGAAGTTGGTGTCATGTAAATACAATTAGAAGAAAATATACATATATATGTGTATATATATATACATATATATACTGTACATAATTTATAAGCTTTATTGAGTAAAATTGACTGTTGTATAATTATACGAGATGATATAAGGCACTTAAAATTTATATAAAGCTATTGTCTATCACGCAGATAGACACTTCATCTTTTATATATTTACCACGTGACATTCTTAGTTGTCTTCTTCAAAAGTATAACAAAATATATTGTCAATATAAAATCATGTACATATAAGACAAGCATTAAATATCTCGTTTGTGTTTAATAAAATGTCGATTTATATGCGTATTTTGATCAATTTCAAGGCACAAACAATCCATTTAAAAAATATAAGCTTATTGGTTCTAAATAGAACGGTCTCTAAAAAAAGCTAATCACGTTAAATTTTCTCGTGACTAATAAATACACATTTTACTCTGCGTAAACGTTTTTTTCTTTTTTTTTAGAAAAGTAGACAAGCCGGTACAGTTAGTATAAAAAAAGCTTAAACACCTACGGTCAAAAGAACAGCATGCCGAAAAAAAATTCAGCAACTTGCAGTTTGGCGTCTCAACGGCACACAGCCTGCGTCTTACAATATTTATCGGTATAATACACGAATTACTGCAGATAGCACTTGGGTTACTTAAAAAAATACAATACATCGAATGAAAAAAAGGAAAAATGAAGACTACAACTCCTCGAAGAAAGCGACTCGAGCTTTGGTCGAGCCCGATTTGACTTTCTTCAGTGTGCTATATTTGTTTTCACCAAGGCGTACTTGTTCCTCGTGTAATTGGTCCAATTCACACTGCTTTTCGCCGACTTTGAGTACTTCGATTTGCGATCGAAGTTCACGTAACTGCTCTTGGAGATGTTTACTCTTCTCATAGTAATCCACTCGTTCTTTTTCAATTTCTAAAGATAATTGATCTACGTCTCCGTCCGCGATCAAGTCGTAGCAGTGTACTTCCGTCGTCAGTGGCTCAGACTCGAGATGGAGTGTTTGTAAGTCGGCTTGTAATTCTGAAGGTAAGACTTGCGTAGAAGGAAAAAGGTTTGAAGCAGGCTGTAAATGGACAAATTAATCAATACTACAATGAAAAAGTTGTAAATAATAATTTTGAAAAAAATAAATATAAATTTCACCGGAATAGCCGAGGTATAAGTATTTCTATTCAAAAACTCAAGCAGCTTTTCCTTCGCTTCCTTTTCAGCGATACGAGCGCGTAAAAGCTCGTCTTTCAATCTTTTCTCTTCTAAAGCTCGTTTTTCGGACTCTTGAACCAGCATTTCTGTAAGGCGAATAGCATCTCTAGTTTTCTGCTCCAAATGTACTTTTTCTTCTTCAGTTTTCATGTTGTTCAATCTGATTCGTGTTACTTCCTGCTCGGCTTCCGATGCCTTTTGACTTAGCAGCATTGCTTCTTCCTCGGCGACTCGACTTTTCTCCGCTAAAAGATCTGCCGTTTCTTCCGAACGTCTCTGGTTTTAATAAATGAGTAGAATATTTTTTAAAAGTTTGTTACTTTAAAGGATGAGGTGTAGGTAAAAAAACTCACGAGAGCTTCATTAGCAAGACGTATTTCTTCTTGATACTGCATTAGTCTCTGCTCCATAGCTGCTTTTTCTCTTTCCGCAGCTTCTCTCAGCTGTTTCTCTCGTGCCAGCTTGTTTCTTTCAATTTGCCGCCTAAATAAAATACCTCTAATGCTTAGATAATGTTATTATTGGTTAAAAGCAATAAATACCAAATGTTTTTTCACACTCAATTTTGACGAAAACTTTTTTACACAACGAAATTAAAATAAGATACTTAAAATTCAATCATTCATCAAATTTTAAAAGTAGAGTGTGTACCATGCTTCAATTCATGCCTAAATAAGTGGTTGACGTTTTAACAGAAGAGAAAAGTCGTTATAATAATCATGAAGCCAGGAAACTAACCGTTAGCAAACGTAAACGATAAGAGTGTAGAAAAAAAGAGTAACTCCAAATCAGGAAATTATTCGATACTCACGCAGATGCAGTAAACAAATAAGCTACATATCGTACACAAGGACGTATATGTACGTGAAATTGATAATGAGTCCGGGATCATTTACCGAGATTTTTCCTCCTTAGCTTGCGCCTTCATCTGCTGCACCTCCATAGAGTCAGGTTTGCGCCTCCTCATGAACAGGTCGTGATTGCCGATGCACAGATCCAAGATCTTAACAAATAAGGCGCGAGTCGCTCGTTCACTAATTTGCTCGTCCATACCTAAAGCTACCTGTAAGCCACCCTTCACCCAGCGCCCAACACCGGATTTTTTCTTTACCAGTTTGTTCATTCGCACTTTCTGCGAGAAGAAGACGAAGTTTGGCGACGACTTGTCCACTGGCTTGATGATGAATTTCTTGTCATCAAAACTTATGTGACGTATCTCCGACCACGCAAATGTTGTCTTTGGTGTTAGCTTGTTCTCCTTTTCATAGATGTTCAGTCCCAAGGCTGTCACTCCTAACCACAAGTTTGTCTCCTTTTTGTTCTACGATTAGAACGATCACGTTCACAAGTATTTACGATTTGGTGTGAAAGAAAAATTGAAAATTATGTACTCACACTAATAGGAAAGTAATTAACACCATACATGTCTAAATCCTGAGCAACTTTCAAATACTCCATTTCAGCTTCATCCCTGGACATTGTTTTATGATCAGCATACCAAATTTTTATTCTATCTTCCCACATCTCTGGGGTCATTTGATACTGATCAATGACTCGTTGTGGCAGTAAATCTTCACTGGCGAGCATTCCTGGTTGATAAGATGCCTCATCATAATCCCCATACTGAGAGAAACATACATTATTAGTTCAAATCATTAATTTCTTAAATTCATTTTGTACATTAACAAAATACCTTTGCTTGAACAGCATATGACGCTAATAAAACAGAAGCCTCTGGTGGGCAATAAATATCCATTGATAATATAGCTTGTTTAACTTGGAGGTAGAAAAGATGCTGGGTAACTTCTTGAACAAGCTCTTCTGCAACATCTTCTGGATAAAATTTGGCAAGGAACATGAATGTGGTTGTTGACTGTTGTGGAACACCTTGGTCTTGAACTACAAGCAAACGTTATCAACTGAATATTTTACAGCCCCACAGTAATAACCTATTTAAAAATACTATGACTAACCTTTTTTGTCTAATTTGAGCCATGATATGAAACCTTTTGAATCTTCGTACTGAAGACCAAAGTACCATGTTTCTCGAAGACCTATTGTGCGACATACTAAATCAAATAAGTCTCTTCCTGTTGCTCTCCACTGAAAATAAGAATGCAATACACTATTTTCCAATTAACGAGAATTGTCAAAATTTTGAAAATGAGCTAACCTCTAAGTTAAATTCGAGCTCAGCATCCAAAGTACAAACTTTAACAGGAAAAGACTTGGTGGATTTTTTTCTGCGAAACGGTGGCATTTTATTTTTCATTGTTCGTAGTGCTTGCCATCTTCATTGTCATACTCCCTATCATAAAAACGCGCGCACGTCACATCAATTTCAACTTTGGTAAACATTAGGACACTATTATTACGTATGAATCAGCCAGGTAAAGAATCTCGTTTGATTTGAGGTTACTCTGGCAATTAAAGTTTATTTTTAGTTCGACGAAACTTCATAAAAGTATACAACTAATTTAACCTTTAATCACAAGACCTCAGAGACAGAAATCGTTATAATCTTCGATTTACCCTCCATTCGGAGTTGTATTCTTTCTTAATCACAAAGTAAACAAATACTTTGAATTATTTCGGAGCGATCTTATTGTCTCCAAATTAACTAGCAGGGATTTAAAAGGCGCTCAAAAACTCACGATAGAATCACATTTTTCATTCGAGCACTTTGTATGTTATAAAATATTGCAAATATATATATATACACACACATTTACACACATATGCTTTTGAATATAAATGTATGTGCATGCGAGTTATACATGAACTAAATAACCTATGCACATTTTGCACGCCCAACACCGTCCATATTCGTAAGCTAATGGGATTTGAAGCGCTATCTGGTAGCGACGAACGCAAGTTGCGGAGATGCAATAAATCAGCTGTTTCTATGTATTGAATTGCCTGCATTATGTATGTACATACATATACAAAGACGCATTCTCTTAATCTGAAAATAATCAAATAAGAGTTGCAGCGCGTCGGTCGGCGCGGATTTGGATTTGAAATTGAAAAATTCTCTCTTTGTATACGAAGCAAGGTACCAATTTATTGACAATACGTTTGTTTTTTCGTAGATAACAATATATTGCATTATTCGTAGATTCGTTTAAAAATACGTCATACAAGAGCTAATTTGTACATATATAAATATTATTAACGAGAAATACGACAGTTATACCTAATACTCACTTTTTTAATTGAAAAGTTTAAGTTAGTAAGTCACACTCTCACCATTTATCAGAAGAATGGCAACATTCCATTATTATAAATAATAAAATTTTCCTTTTTTATTATATATTATACTTAATCACCTTGATCAAGGTGCGCATATAAAAGGATTTCCTTTATATATATTATGTAGACAAAATGCTTTATTTATACTTCGTAAAAAATATGGAATTCTCGATTATGACGAATGAGTTGTATTATATTATGATTGCGAGAAATTGTACGACCCATACTTTGGAATTTCTTTTTTTTCGACCTTCAATTAATACTTTCTGACGTTCCAATGATGAATGAAGGAAAGGCACGCCGATTAATGCGCTTTGTTGCAAATTAATAGCAAACAACTTTTTTTATAAACTAGCCCAATTATTACCAGATTGATGCTGAGCTTGGTCCTTTGCTCTGCGCTTTATGGTTTGCCTCTGATGCTCATATTCAAAATCTTCTTCACTTAAATTTAATTTAAGGATCTACAACAAATAATTGGCATTTGTTAAAGACATTTTTTGTTTTTTAAAATAGTTTTTGTTAATGAAGTTGTAGGAACGATTACTTACATGATAAACAAGATATTCTTCTTCCATAACTTGTTGAGGAGGATTTTTCAATACTTGTAAAGTTTCATATAACGTGGGGCATTTCTTGATTTGCCAAGATCGTCCTATACTTCCTTTTAATAACACAAGGGCTACTTTGAAAATAATTTTAACTCCCTCACACAGAAACATATCCCAAATACGCAAAATACTCTCCCAAGGAAGCGTACGAGTGTAAACACACAAAAACCATTCAGTCATATAAAGAATAGGCTCCATTTTTTGCTTTTTCTGTAAAAGAAAGTATATCACATCAGATTTTTAATAACATCAATCAGTAAAGGTGTATTGTAAAAATTTACCAAATGTTTATAAGCAACTGGAGAAACTTTTTTGAGTAAAGCAAACAAAATATCTCCATCTCTCTGTAAAGTTTCCATACCCTGACTGTAATATCCAAGCAAATATTTGTCACAAATAGCTACAAGACACCAAAAAGCTTGAACAGCTGGCATGTGCATAAGGAGAAAGGCAGCAATAGGTGCTTGGGCTTGACAGTAGCCTACTTTGCTATTTAATATGGAATAGGCTTTGAGAACTTGAAATAACTCCTGTTGGCCAGGAGCATTTTCAACAAACATCTCATGATGAGGAAATTGACGATGAAGATCCTTCTTGATATCTTCAATGTACTTTGGATCACCTGGCTGTAGAAGTAACTCTTGATACAGATTTGGATTTTCTTTCAGCAGAAGAGCACCTCCGCATAAATTCAACCATGCCCGAGGTCGCACAGAAGGTGGAATACTTTTCCTGCATCGTTCTCTCACTTTTCTGTAATTTGTGCTCATAAATGTGCTCCATTTGCTCAACATCCGTATCCATTTCCTTTCTCTCCTAAGTATTACTTCTGGTGGTATTGCTTGTTTCCTATAGGCATAAGAATTGATGCATGCCAGTTAATTTTAATGTAGTTACAACTTTTAATTGCAAGCACAAAATTGCTCTCAATATTTATACAAATGACTCATGTACTATCTCTCATTATATATAATGCTTAATATTTACTCGGGTGTTTATAATGAAAATTGCCCTTGAAAAGCTTAATTTTATCGAGGGAAATTGTCTAATCAGGAAACCCATTATTAAAAGCTAATGTATTAGATATATACCTTTCAGGGCTGTACTGTGTACCACCCAAGAAGCCATGCCTGTCAGGAACAGTAGAAATCACGGAGCTGCATTGGTAAACACTGCTGCCCTCGGATTCGGACTCCTGATTAGCGTCTTCCTCGGGATTCTTCGGCTCCGAAGAGGAGGCCATGACATCTTCTCTCTTTCTCCAACAAAAATTTCTGCTATATTATCAATCTGGTCTCGCGGTGATGATATGCGCACAGTTACTCACACACTTGATACGTCACTAATAAAATAGCCTATTTACAAAGTAGGAAGCTTGTTCCCAATTTTTTCGTATTAATGAGCATGCAGCTCACGTAGCGGCGGCGCAAGCTTCCGTATTGGTAAGGCCCTTATAAGGATGCCCTTAGGACAGCGGCTGCTGGTGCAGCAAAATCCCATAACTCGTGGGCGTGTTTATGTGCTGCGCGCACGATCGGGAGCAACACCAATGAAGAGAGAGCTACGTGTGTGATGAGGAAATCAAACGTCACATGCGTGGGGCGTCGCACAAGAACAGCACACGTTAACTTAACTCGATAAACAGCACACGCGTTTGCATACTCCTCTTTTTTTCACCCAAGTCAACACACACGTACACTTATGACGTGAGCGCATGTGCGCATGCGGATTCAGTGAGATTATAGTTCAGCCACTAATCGCGCAGGCGCTCTGAGTTTTGAAGTTAGCCGACTGCCTTGAGCAGGCCTGGCCTTGAGGAAGCAAGAGGTATATGTTTACATTCGAATTTATTTTTTCATACGACAGTTATGTATAGGTTGAATAAAACATTGAAAAGAGTTAGATAGTCAATGGAATTTTGTTATTTTGTATCTATTGAAATGAAATAAAATGTTTTTTCAATAGTATGATTGTCACATTTTCCGATAATTCGCGAATGTCAAGTGTTAACTCACACGGCTTCATTGGTGTTTGTAAACACTAATCAATGAATTTACCTTCTACTTGATTTTATTACAGAAACCCAGCGAATACAGTGAGGCACAAGAAAGAGAAAAGACTGTACATGATATAAGCAAGATTAGTCTAATTTTTTAGCGAATACAATTCGGCGCTTGTTGTTGAAGCTTTTTTGTTTACGTAATGGCGTCAACTGGCGGTGAGTCTTAAATACAATGATTTTTATTATTAACTTTTAAAGTGCTAATGGTATATTATTATACTATTTACAGCAGAAACTGTAACTGATGATAGAAGTGAAGCGATTCCTACTGAAACGATCACAAACGTGTTACCGGACGCAACACAAGTAAGTTAACCTTTATAATAAAACCACGAAAATGAAAATATTCTGGATAGTAATGAATTTATTATTAAAAATTAATTTATTATTAATTTATTCGTAAAAAAATTGCAGAAGTCGATTATAATGGAAAAGGAAGCAGATATAACCAGTGCTCCACCGAAGAAAACTCGAGTGGAAATTCAATCACTGCCAGCAAGACAATATCTAGACCAAACTGTTGTGCCAATTCTTTTAGCAGCACTGTCTAGTTTAGCAAAGGAAAGGCCACCAGATCCTATAAATTATTTGGCATCTTATCTATTGAGAAATAAAAATCAATATGATACTGGTGGATCTCCATCTACTACTCAATGATTCTGAGCAAAAGTTTACCCAAGTGCGTTAAAGTTCAATCTTGGCAAGATTCAGTTGTGCCAGTGATGAACGAAAAATGTTTTTGTGAAAGACAATTTTTTTGCTTTAGTAAACTCAGATTTAGTCTTCTAAATTTTATTTTCTCTCAACAATGACACTTGTGAAGACTACGAATTGTTAAAATTTTCAGATACTTTTAATATAGATTGACTTGCACATTTTTACAGTAATAAGAATACAATTTTCATAAGATATTGAATAAAATATATATTTAACAGCAATCGGAAGTAATAAGAATCAATTCTAGCTTTACAATAGCTTGGGCTTGTCAATATACTGCTTGCCATGATGAATAATTGTTGTAAAAGTACCAGCCACCATCGCTGCCCAAAATAACATGTAGAGTAAAATTTCTGTAGTATATCTTGAAGGCAATATCATGTGTGCCATTAACATTGCTGATGCCACTAAAAGGACCAATGGGAATGATGCGTAACGCCAGTTTCTCTCAGATTCTAATGGACAGGTTACAGTCAAACACTCGCCATCTTGTACCACATATCGCCCCAAAAACAAATTCAGAGAATCCTGGAGATTGTATTGCAATTATCCACAAAAAAACATAAAAACTTTAGTTTTACACTAAGGAAAAAAAATTTATTATTTACCTGTCTAAAGCCATCAGCAAAGTTGTTCTTATAGTATCTGGTCATAGAATTTATACTATCTTTCATAGCTCCTATCTTGGTTCTCTTACCTGTTCTTGTAAAGTCAGTTTTCAATGCTGCTGTCCCAGAATATTCAGTGCTTACAATATCAGCATTGTCAGCCCAAACCTATGAATATATATACGAATAAGCATTATTTTTTAACAATAAAAAGAAATATTTTATTTTATTATAAATTAACCTGTTTGAATAAGAACTCTAATGACGGATGTTCATTTACATTTCTAAGAATTTCTAACTTAGATAGAGCATCAGAAAGAACTCTTTTTGCTAGCATACTTTGTACTACATTTGTCCTATCTAAACAGTCTATACAATTTGTTCTGAAAATTCCATCTTGAACAGAAACTAATACTCCATCTCTTGTTAACAAGAAATAACCCATCTGCTCCAAGTCATTAGTGAGGCGAGCCATGAGAATCTCCAGTCTATACCATTGCATTTTACGACATTCATGATGAAAATCAAAAGCTTCATACTTAATGTTCTGATTTTTTAATTCTGCAACTGTAGTACGATATGCTTTTTCCAATGCTGCTTCTGGTCCCTTATGGTCAATCTGATTGAATCAATTAATCACATTAGGAATAATAGAACTATTGTAAAATTAATATCTTATTAATATAGATTTTCTTATACTTTACCAAATTAATTAATATTTGTTTTCCATAGTGGAAAACTTGACTATCAAAGTGACGAGCACAAGCTACCAAATGATTTTCATTTGGAATAAGCTGTGGCTTGGGCTTGTATTTTAAATTGGGATTTTGCTGCCAAAACAATGGAATTGATCCACGAGTTTGCACAAATGAACTTTTACTACCATTAGCTTCAATAATCTGCTCTGTTTCTACAAAATTGGCAACATTTCCATTGGTATCTACACCTCGGCAGAATAGTCTTGTACCTACTCGGTGAATTGAACGTCTGGATATTATGCCCCAGTTAAATGGAGTGCCATTTACAACAATTGTGTTGAGTGAAACAACTATTTTATCATTGTTAAGGTTTACAATATATTTTTCATTAATTTTATCTGTCTAAAACAATGGCTATCCAGAATAAACAAATATATATAAAAATAATGTCCCATAATTTTTAGTAAAAGGATACATCCATGAATAATTGGAAGACAAAATTTGTGATGTTCAGGTCGTGCTGCAAAATCTTGCAGTAAGTATGAATTCCAAATAAACCTTGAATCAGCTCTCTCATGGAGTGGTAACTGTAACATTCGACATATTATTGCTATCCAAGTAAAGTATATATTTGAAGTAAAATAATGAGAAAAATTTTACCTGCAAAAAATCTGGGGGAGTGTTGTGAAGTCTTTGCATAGTATGACTCAAATCATAAGTATAACTGAAATAGAAGTGAGGTGTACTTAGAACAGCCTTGACCATGTCTAAGTAAGTTGTATTATTACGCTTCTGCTTTTCATCCAAGTGAATCATTGATCTAGTATATGGAACAATATGGGTGGAAACAATTTTGTAAATATCTTGATTAGCTATAGTGCCAACTTTTTGGGCATCATCTATGACAATTAAGTAAGGACATGCAAGTAATTTTATGATTCCTACGATTCCCCATATTTTCCTACGGCTTGCAGTTTGTGGTATCTGACTAGGGTTAGCAACTAAAAAATAGTGAAAAATTGTTGAAAACACTACTCTCAACTAAGTTTTCTTTGTAAAATTAAAAAGAATGCATTACCTTGGATATGGATTTGATGGGATGATCTATCAATAATCAATAGTACATTTGTTCTAACTGGTTCTATGTAGAATTTATCTGGAGTTGCATAGCTGTAATGAAAAATCGATTTTGATAACTATTACGAAAAACTTCATATTTTTTGCAATAAATAATACTTACAGATAAAGTTCATCGTAAACATCGGTACCCGTCGCCATTTTTTCCGGTTTATATAAATATAAATCAGTTGCTAAATTATATCTTCAGCAGAACAAGAAAATAATCTTGGTAAAAAGTCTTGGAACGATAAGATTGCGTGGAATGTCGAATATATTCTATTTACAATTTATGCAGTAAATAGCCAGAAAGCAGCAGCAGACGATTCTTTCTAGCAGTCAACGCAGTACAGCAAAATCTATATCTGAACGTCAAAGATAATCAGACGTTTAGACCGAACTAAAAGAATTCAATTGACGGGGCAGGTCTGCGGAAAAACCCACGTCATGCAAAATGTGCTCATCTTGCGGCTGCAAACTCACACGTTCGGCTTCTCCTCGGAACTGTTTCATTCATCTATAGCTAGTAATTACGTTACACGAGCAATATATCGTCCTTTATTACGCGACAAACTGACTATAGCGATTGACATTAAAACGATGTACATTTTTCATTCCGTTGCAGAAAGTTTTTCACTGGTCGATGGTAGAAATAGATAACCAATCATGTAACTTCTATTATTTGTTTGTGACTTACGTAACTATATGATACTGTTTTAACCCACCAGGGGGCGAGGGCGCGAACCATCAGCTGTTTTGAAATTTATATTTAGGATGAATCAGGTGAGTGTCCCAATTACCGGCATTTTAAGCTGTATTCAATTTATAAAGTTACAATAGGACATACATGTAATATCAAATTGTTCAATATTTACTGTATCACAAGTTAAAATGGTTACATAACTGAAAGAAATAGAGTAAACGTCCCTTATTCGCATTTGCTTTATGGCCAGTAATTGGCCTTAAAAAAAATTGGAATCTACCACTATTCGGTCACTTTTATACTTTTATCAAATAAAAATATTTGATATTTTTATGTGATGAAACAAGTTGCAATCTATTAAATAAGTTGCATATATTAATGCTGAACTATTTTGCTTATACATTGCCTAAACTCATTAAATTAAATTACAGCTACCGGGTAGTGGGTGGTGAATGGTAATAGGGACACTCACCCTATTTAGTTCATCTTATTCGCGGATGAAGTACTAATTATTGAAAATTTTTCCTTTATTTATTATAGATTTATAAATTACTATAGCAACGTCAAACGCACTTCACTCGCTTTTATCTTCTTTTTCATTTTTTGTCATATTGATAAACGTTTTTAATATAAATTACTTTTTGCAAAGTGGATTTTTTAATTTTTTCACATAACACATTACACAGCGGAAAAATGTGTATTATGGAAACAGTTCCGCGTATTGCAAATTTATGATCTAGTCATATTAAAAACTACTATAAATAATCTTTTATTTCTTTCCAATTCTACAGATCAAATTACTATTAAACATTCACACTGAATTAATCTTACATATTCACATATCAGAATATTTATTAGTAATAGAAATAATTACAACAATTTTAAAACATATAACCTCACGTTTTTATGAGACAATTTACCAAATATTAGTTTCATAAAATGTATTAATTAAAATAATGACATTGCAACCTATTTTTTTAGCTCTCGTTATTTTCAAAATGACCCGTATCAATTATGATAAATTAAATTTTTACTATTAAATTCTCAACTCGAAATCATAAGCAACTTTTATTTGCCGCCACATTATAGTATATTACATGACCATATCTCAACCAATCAAATCACAAACAAAACACTTCAACATGGCATTCATCACTTTTTTATAAAATAATAAATAATAATATTTACATTTAAAAAGAAATTTTTTTACAACAGGATAAAGGATAAAAATAGAAAGTAATAGTCTGGAGAAAGTATCAATTTATTTTACTTTTATACGTATTTTACCCGTTATTTACATTACTCAAACATAACAACATAACTATATATTATGTTACATTATGGTGTATGAAAGAACAGTGGAAAATCAACGCAAATTGATGTGGAAAAATTATAGAAAAACTGCGCGTGATTGACAAGAATAGCAAAACTCATTAGTACTTTTGCGTAATTAAGATTTCGTTAATAAAAATGCCAAAAGTTGAACACTCCCAGATCAATAGAAATTAAATTTGCATGCGTATAGTGTTTTCATTCGGTTTTTATAGAAATGAATGTGATGAATCGTTAGCACATGCAATTTTTCTATCCAATCAAAATATTATAAACCAATTATTTTAAAGAAATTATTGGAAAAGAACTTTAATTAAAATTAAGTTAATTGATGATTTGTTTGTAAAATAAAAGATTAGCGTTGCGCAGACGCGCAGTTATAAAAAAAATCACTGATCCACTAAGAGAGCTAATAAAAGCGGAAGATATATTAAAATATCATAGGTTATTTCCTGTACTTGTGTACCCTATTTAAAACCCATACTCCAATAGAAATAAATATTATTTCTCATTACAACGATACATGCACCCGAAAGATCAATAGATAACATAATCTCAGCATTTTCAAACTATTTTAACATAGATAATACCTTTCTAACAATGCCAGTGTGAAAAAGCAATTATGCTTACCATTTTTACATGCTAAACAAAAACAGCAATCATGTTTACTATGAACTATATTATGATTAATAATTTAGAACAAAACTTTGAACGTTTGACACAAGGCTAGAATAAATTTAGACATAATCTCTACAAATCTTGTGTGCCTGTCCACCCTCGCTTCGCTCAGGCGTAATAATACTACACGAGACAAGAATCTACTTTCTCGCACTTGTATCGTAATGTACTATTCCCGCATTTATATCGTAATGTACTAATTTAAAATGCACGTTTTTGGCCATACATGTGGAAAGTATGTGCTTTCCGCACGGAGGGTCGAAAAAGTTGATAAGGTGGAAGGGGCACATTCCAGATTATGACGATCAGCTTTCCAGGGGTAGGTTTCAGATTTTCTGAAACTTAGTCTAAATATTGCCTATATGGTAGTTTAATTCAGTATGGATTATTAGATCATTATAATAATTATATCAAGAGTTATAAACAATTGAAAATTTTTAACGAAAAATTTACAAAAATTTATATCTTCACAACCATTTAGGTTATTGTAGCGAATTTTTTTTTAATTACGCGTAAAAGGGTGTACTTTGAAGATATTAAGCGAACAATACTTTAAGATTAATTTTTCCAAAAGTTATTAACATTTTTTTAAACAATTGGCCATATCTCAAAGAGTGTTATTTTTATTTCAAAAATTCTTTTTTTATTGAATTCCTTGACATTTTTTCTTTAAGAATCCGTTTTAAAATTAATCAAGCAAACATTAGATGCAACACAAGGAGTATTAAGACCCCGGTCCCATAGGTAACGTACGGATGCGGACGGATACGGACGCGAATCGCAACTGTAGTAACATCACTAAAAATATCTAGTTCGATTATTTAGTACCAACACTACCGGTAGTGAGTAAAAGTGATTGTTGTTTAAAACTGTAGTGCCGAACGTACCACATTTAATGTTCAAATGTCAGGTCTACAATTTACTTTTCAAATTTTCATGAATATTGCGTATTGATGAGTATGCTAATGTAAAAAAAGTTTTTGGGATGATTAATACATATCATTTATATATATTTTCTTCTTCTTCTCATATATTTAAGTACTTCCATAAAATTAAGGCCTAATTCCACTAATTGTAGTTGAAAGTCTATCAATTCTCTATCATTTGCCATCTTATAGACTGCAATAATGTAAAGGTTAAATAGGCGTTACATTAAATGTGGTATGTTCGGCGCTACAGTTTTAAACAACAGTTACTTTTGCTCACTACCGGTAGTGTTGGTACTAAATAATCGAACTAGATATTTTTAGTGATGATACTAGAGTTGCGATTCACGTCCGTATCCGTCCGCATTCATACGTAGCTATGGGACCGGGGGGCCTATTCTGAAAAAAAATTTTGTGGTAAATCAGTTTGTCACTTCAGTTTACCACAGAATTAATCACTTTAGATGTGATAAATGCTTATGACATGTGCTAAAATTTTTTTTCAGAATAGGCCCCGTGCTAAAATTTTTTTTCAGAATAGGCCCCCGGGGCCTATAGCAACAAAGAATCCTCGACTACGCTGTAATTATTAATTTATTGTACCTATCTGTAGTTTATTTAGTCAAAAATTAACGGATTCGAAGACATCTTATTTTAGTTCACATTCATTTAATTGCAATTCGACATCTTTCTGAAGATTTTTACGCGATAAACGGCTTTTGCATGTTATTGTTTTTCATTTGAAGTATCACAAAATTCGTCATCACTAAACTCATTTTTAATATTTTCGATTTTACAATTTTCTAATTGATGTTCTAGCTATTATCAACTTCCGTAGCATGTTTATCTTGACTATATTGAGAATAAATAGCTTTGTTAAAATTTTTATTGCCCTGTTCTTAGCGTATTTTAACTACATAATCATCAATTAACATCGGAAATTTACCCACATTTTTCAATTCATTACGTTCATGAATGATTTTATTTCATAACAATCTACATGTTTTACACAAAAAATCATTTTCTTTTATAAAAGCAAAAAAAGCTTCACATATAGCTCGATGGATATTTAAAATTACCACAACGTTTTTTATGTTTTTAAAAGAAATTTTTACAGTACAATTGGAAAACCATATTAATTATATAATGCACTTGAATTTTTCACTGATATTATATATCTCGATGGCACATACAAGATGTAAGTGAACTGAAAGAAGACACTCAGTCGAATGATGAATTTGCTTCTAAGTAACATATGAATATGCATTGAAAATCTGTCAAAACTATAATCATCTAGTCTACAGTTATTTAGGTACCTTTACATTATAGGTAGTTATATAGAAACTCGAAAACTATATAGTAATCTAGTCTATAGTCATTAAGGTTCTTTTAAATGTAAACTTGATGAGGTTTAATTTATTTAATGGGGTAGTTAGCAACTTGAAGAAAAATAAGTCGATCAGAATTTGTGACCTTCACTGGAAGTGATTTACAGCATTTAATTATTGAGGATTAAGATTGTATTATAATAAAGGTATAATAACCCTCGCTTCGCTCGTAATAATTCCATTCGAGACAAGAATCTACTTTCCCTCACTTTCTTTTTAGCTAGTCATGGTTCAAGCCGTGGCCGCTAGGTGCACCCCAAAAGTTGGCTACGAGACACTATACCTTTAGCAATCTGCCTGTACTCATTTCTATCTAGCGTCTATGCATTGCTGTTCGCTGGTGACTACTAACTGGTCTATACGTCTATATAGTGGCACAGTATGTATAGTGATAGACGTTCCCCTGATTAATTGCAAGCACAGCAGCGATAGGTATAGTCAGAGATTTCGTGACTCGCAAGAGGACGGACGAGTTACAACTCGTCGCATCTCTACTCGTCGCCCACGCAGTGTTCTTCACTCACACCAGCGAAGACACGCATTATATCATAATAAAAACAATATCTTCGTGGGATAGTCATAACAAATTCTCTCGTGTTTAAACATTATCATTGTGGAGTTTAACGTATACGAGAAAGACAAAATCTCGCTTTGTGCCCCACCATCGTCGTGTTAGTCGTCCATTGTGAGACTTGTTACACGATATAGAGTGTGAACGAGTGCCAGCAAGCAACAATCCGAGGCACAGCAGAGCGCAAAAATAAAAATGGAAATGCTCTGACGGTGGGAGAAAAGTACCTCGCATAAGACTGAAACAAAGGAGATACATGGAGGATGATGGCCCTTGCAAAGGAGAGCTGATACATGGGGTATGTTAACGTAGTCGAAAGGTTATTCGTAACTTTTTCGCTTTCTCTCTCGTGATACAGATCGATTAACGGACAAGTTATTCAAATGCGTTTAATCGCTTTTTTGCCATTGCGACAGATAGTACTTTTACAAAGTCGCGTTGCTGAGTCTGCTTTGTCCTGAAAAACCAATGTATCTACCAGTTGCCAAGTGAAACTTTATCAGGAAGAGAAAGAGGAAGGAATACTAGAAGAGAGGAAAGAGTTTATTCAACTGTATATGGTAATCAACGGATTAACTGGTAAAGATGGCTGAAGTTGATCCAGAGACCCTGCTTGAATGGCTGAGCATGGGTCAAGGTGATGAAAGAGACATGCAGCTCATCGCTTTGGAACAGCTTTGTATGCTGCTCCTCATGTCTGATAATGTTGATCGTTGTTTTGAAAGGTAAGTTAGACCATTATTATTGTACTTCAGAAATTGAATAAATATTTGTTCTATTCCTGTAGCTGTCCACCAAGAACATTCTTGCCAGCATTGTGTCGTATATTCTTGGATGAGTTGGCTCCTGATAGTGTACTGGAAGTTACAGCTAGAGCTATCACTTACTACTTGGATGTCTCAGCTGAGTGTACAAGACGTGTGGTAGCTATGGAAGGTGCTATTAAGGCTATTTGCAGTCGTCTTTCCTGTGCCGGACTTGGGTCAAGAGCAAGCCGTGATCTAGCCGAACAGTGCATAAAGGTATATGTGTGTTATTAGGTTATCTGATAGAGATTAGACATTTGTTTTAACTCTTTCAACTAATTTAAGTGAGTGGTATTGTCATATTTTTGAAGATAAGAGTGGGGATATGATTTATGAAATTAATCATAAAGTATTAACAGTTTTTCTTATTTTTGTATTCTGCTTAAGTTTTTGCAATTAAAAATAAATAAATTTATTATTATTTGTGTTCTGAATTTAGATAAGCAATTGATATATTTTCTTATTATCAATTCTTAAGTGCTTCCGTACCTTTCTCGTTCCTGTCGTAACAAATTTTATTATTGCACAATATGAAGTCAATTTAAAGCTTATTTAAAATTCAGCATGTTAATGTAAAATAGAGCATATATTTCATTGTGATAAAAAGTTATCTTTGTACTACATTTATGTTTAAATAATAAAATTGTTATTACCAATGTAATTTTACGAATAATAACTTTGAATAAGTATGATTTTAGAATTTGCGTTAACAAAACAAGGAATTACAAACATTAAATTGATACATTATATAATTATTTTTTGAATAGTTTTTTATTTAGGATAAAACCATCAATAAAAAAATCCAAACTCATGTAAATGCTAAATTTTATTTTGCAGGTTTTAGAACTGGTCTGCGCTCGAGAAGCCGGGGCAGTTTTCGAAGCAGGTGGATTGTCCTGTGCGTTATCCTTCATCCGAGAACATGGAGCACAAGTGCACCGTGATACATTGCATTCGGCTATGGCTGTAGTTTCACGTCTTTGTGGCAAAGTCGAACCTCAAGATAAAACATTACCTGACTGTGTGGAAGCTCTTTCAACTTTACTACGTCATGAAGATGCTCACGTTGCCGATGGAGCTTTGAGGTGTTTTGCATCATTAGCTGATAGATTCTCAAGAAGAGGTACTGATCCTGCTCCTCTGGCGAGCAATGGTTTGGTTTCAGAGCTTCTGTATAGGTATTGTATAACTTTATCTTAAATAATAAACATATAGAGAGATTTTCATATAAAACAGATTATTGTTCAACTTTATTAGAAAAAATTAATGTTTTATTTTTAATTTTTCTACAGACTATCCAATGCTGCCGGACCAGCTTCGTCAGTAAGCACAACACCAGGCAACACAAAAGCACCATCGACACCAAGCGTCACAGCAACGAATATTCCAGCACCTGAAGCCAAATCTTGTGCCTCTGTTTCAACTATCATTAGTCTCTTGTCAACTCTTTGCCGAGGCTCCGCTTCGATCACGCATGACCTCCTACGCTCTGAATTACCGGATGCAATCGAGAAGGCGTTGAAGGGCGACGAACGTTGTGCCCTTGACTCGATGCGTCTCGTCGATCTATTGTTAGTTCTTCTATTTGAAGGTCGTTCAGCTTTGGGTCGTGCTAACACTAGTAGTTGCTCTTCCGGACCTCTGTTACCGCGGTTAAGAAGGTTGGACAGTGCAGGAGAGAAAACGCACCGACAGCTGATCGATTGCATAAGATCAAAGGACACGGACGCACTCATCGATGCCATCGAATCTGGTGGCATTGAGGTCAATTTCATGGATGACGTGGGTCAGACATTGCTTAACTGGGCCTCGGCATTCGGTACCCAAGAGATGGTTGAGTACCTCTGCGCAAAAGGAGCTGATGTCAATAAAGGTCAACGCTCATCCAGTCTTCATTATGCCGCTTGTTTTGGCAGACCGGCCATTGCCAAGGTTCTATTAAGATATGGCGCTAATCCTGATCTGCGCGACGAAGATGGTAAAACACCACTAGACAAAGCCAGAGAACGCGTAGACGAAGGTCATCGCGAGGTCGCAGCTATATTGCAATCTCCGGGAGAATGGATGCTACCGCCACCAGGACACGATGACCGCAAACTCGAGAATGACATCAAAGAGTTCACCGAACCCAAAGGTGATCCGGAGATGGCACCTGTATATCTTAAAAGACTTTTGCCGGTGTTCTGTCAGACTTTCCAGTCAACCATGTTGCCTAGCGTGAGAAAAGCAAGTCTTAGTCTTATTCGCAAGATGGTTCATTACATACAGCCAGATCTTCTCGTTGAAACCTGTGGAGCTGATAAAACTAATGGATATGGAGCTATGCTCGTTGAAGTCATCGCCAATGTGCTTGACAACGAGGTAGGTGGTATATCGATTGTTTCCGTGGTTCAGAGGTTCTCGGGGATTTGTTGATTTTTATGCTTTGTTCTATAAAGAAATAAATAGTGGTTATAAAAGCAGGTTAGAATTGTGAACAATGATTTTTTCATGATCTTGAAAAATATTTTTATGGTAGAAATTTTCCAATTATTACCATGTTATATGAAACGATGTTTAAATCTTTTTATAATTAGAATTGATGCTATGTAGATGACAACTAAATTGATTGAAACAATTGTCAAGAAGTATAAGACGATAAACTTCTAATTGAATCTTAATGCAGAGTTTTATTGAAAGTCATAAACAAGTTATTTTAAATTTCATATACATTATTGCAATATTTCGCATGTTAATATTTTCTAAAATCTTGTGCAAGTTCTTAAATGATCATTCCGACCCAATTAAAGTAATTAGAAAAGAACAAAGCCGAAAATCTGCAGTCACTGACCGAGTTTCTCTAAAAGTTGTCTTAAGATTACGAGGAAAGTGTTGAATTGAAGATGAATTGTCGGCAGGACGAGTTCGATTATAGTAAGAGTTGCCCACCGGCGCCGCCACTTCCCGACACATTAATCGGGCCGAAAATGCCGCGCAAGCTTAGCCAGTTCTACATTCTCGTCAAGACGGTAACGTCCGTCCCAGAAAAAAATCGAATTACAATCTTTTGTTTAATATATTTTTTTTTGTGGCTCTTTGTTTAATATTCACATTTATCTCTTAACACCGAGCTAACTCGAACAGACCTCGTCATGCTTTTTCGATTCATTAAGGAGAGTAATAAAAAAGCTCATTGGAAATTCTATTTACTTTTAATTGTTCTGAGCTAACCAAAGACACGTTTTGTATTTGTTTGGCATTTTGTTTTATTTGTTGAGTTGTTGACGAACTGTTCCATGCGATTCCATGTGTTTCAAATTTTTATTTGTTTGTTACGATATCGCCGATAAAAACGATAAACCATTTACCATTTTTTATGCCCATTGACCTACTGATAGATTGAAGGGTCGACTGCCGACATTACGATTTATCAAGTGTTACTTACATTGTACATTTTACATGATGGATATGCTTGAACCAGTTTTACAGAATTTGTTAATATTTTGAATTCTGTAACTTTGTAATTTTCTTGTTTATATATCAGCTAACGAGTGAAAATAAAAAATTGGCCTTTCGGTTTTTAATTCTTTTTGTTATCGATATTATTGATCGAGTATTTTATACAATTATAAATATATTTTATAACAAAAAGAGATAGTTAATTATTCATACTTCGCTTTTCAAATTGATATTCAATGAGCAAAGCTACTTGTAACTATTTTCTTCTTTTTTCGAGGGGAGAAAAGTCAGTTTTGGGTCATGAAACTCAAAAAGAAAATCAACCTAAAATTACGTCACTCCATTATATAGACATCACTAGCTCGGAAAGAAAAACGATAGAGAAATGTGAAACTGGATCATGCACTCCCAAAAGCCATTTATCTACTAGTCTCTCTCTCTCTCTCTCGCTCTCTCTCTCGCTCTCACTCTCTCTCTCTCGCTCTCCCTCTCTCTCTCTCGCTCTCCCTCTCTCTCTCGCTCTCCCTCTCTCTCTCTCGCTCTCCCTCTCTCTCTCGCTCTCTCTCTCTCTGTCTCTCTGTCTCTCTCTCTCTCTCTCTCTCTCATATACAATATTTTTTTCACGTCCTTTAATTCCAACAACAACATCTTATAAAAAGAAAAGAAATTGACCTTTTTTAAATTTCCATTAAATAGGAAGACGAGGATGGTCACTTAGTAGTACTACAGATGATTCAAGACTTGATGATCAAAGGCAAAGATGAATTCCTGGAACATTTTGCACGTTTGGGAGTTTTCTCAAAGGTAGGTCAGTTGGCTGGCTCTCAAGAAACGCCACCAGAGCCGGAGCTTGAACCAACGGCTGCAGCAGCTGTTGCCGCAGGACATGAAGAGCAAAAACTCGAAGATGCCAAGGAATTACTCATCGGCAAAGCTTATCACTGGAGAGATTGGTGTATTTGTCGTGGTAGAGATTGCTTATATGTCTGGTCTGATGCCGCGGCATTGGAGTTATCAAATGGAAGCAACGGATGGTTTCGATTTATCTTGGATGGCAAACTTGCGACTATGTACTCCAGCGGCAGTCCCGAAGGTGGCACCGATACTACAGGTAGTAGTGGCGTTTCAAAATTTTCTTTATTTCATTGTCTTTTATTTTGTCAAATGGGTGTCTGATTGGTCTGCGGATTTTAGTTTGATAAATATTTGTTTTTACAACATTTGAGTGTATTCATGATTTTCATAGTAAAAAATATTAGATTAATAATCCAAGTTGTTTATTGATTGTTCATTATGATCGAACGAACAATTTGCATTTGAAATTATCATATTAAATATTAAAAACATGCGCTTTAGTAATTGTATATAGAATTGAGAAATCATTAGAACAAAAAGAAATTCCTACCGCTTCGATTTCATTATATCACTTCAATGCTGGAATAGATTTAAATACGTAATTAAATCAAGCATGATTTCATTCAAGCAATTGTGCAGTAGATACGTAACAATGAAAAAAAGATGCAGCGTTTTCACAAATCTGCATCTTTTTTATCAGTTTTGAAGATATCAAATTAAAAAGTTGGTCTTGCTCGTGCATAAAAAAATCTCAGTTGCATAATTAAAATAAAACAAAAAGAAATCCTCTCTCTCTTGTCCTCTCTCAACCGATCACTTATACGTCGGTGACAAAGTCGTCGAATGTGTTTAAAAAATTTAAATTTTAAAAAACATGGAAGCTCGTAGGAGGAGAAAAAAAATAAAGTAACATGTATGTGTTTTGTCGACTGTCTGCAGGAAAGGGAGGGAGGAACACCGAGTCTCTAACTACTGAAGGTAGGTATACTATTGCCGCTTATAAAAAACACACAGTTACGTAATACACGAATTAATCAACACTATCATCATTATCATTGCCAAGCAAAAATGAAGAAATTACGGGTACCAAAGATTTTGGTGATTCAAGAACGAGAGGGTTTTAACCTAGATTCTCATGTTTCAGAAAATCGTGGCGAGTTTCTGGAGAAGTTGCAGCGTGCTAGAAGTCAAGTGAAGCCTAATTCGGAAAGCCAACCGATTCTGTCGAGACCTGGAGCTACGAGGCTGGTTATTGGTAATTGGGCGCTGTCGAGTAAAAAGGAAAGCGAATTGATTATTCACAATAGTGATGGACAACAACAGGCGACTATTCTTCGGGAAGATTTGCCTGGTTTCATTTTTGAATCCAACAGGGGTACTAAGCATTCTTTTACCGCAGAGACTAGTTTAGGTAAGTTATTTTTGCGAGCTCGTGGTTTTCTTTCTTATAAATACATTACTTCCGGCAAATGACGCAATAAAAAATACTTTATTATTTTATTTTAGGTCCCGAATTTGCAGCTGGCTGGGCAGGTAAACGCGGCAAGCGTTTACGTTCAAAAATCGAGGCGATCAAGCAAAAAGTTCGTAGTCAAGCGCAAGAGATCTACGAATTGTACTTTAAGGCAGCTCAAGCTAAACCACGCGGTGTCGTAGCTAAACTTGCAGCAATAGTTACACAAGTCGAGAAAGCTTGTATGCGTCAACAACAACAACCAAGTAGTCGCGAATGGCGTACGATGTTACAGAATGCATTGGACGAGTTGAAAATGTTGTTAAACGAAGAAGGAAAAGTATCAGCATACGAGTTACACTCTAGTGGATTGATACAAGCATTACTCGCGTTATTGGCTGCACCATCGCATACTAGTGCTCAACAATTGTCACCCAGAATGAACAAGTTGAGGTTGCAGAGAATTGCTGTGTTTAAGAGTTGCTTTCAGTCGAAAGACAATGCCAAAGGTGATAATTTTGCAAAAGTTTTAGTGCAAAAACTTATCTCAGTGTTAGAGTCCATTGAGAAACTGCCGGTTTATCTTTACGATACACCTGGTTCTGGATATGGATTGCAGGTGAATGTTAGAAAGATTTTTAGATGTCAGTTTATTATAAAATTGTAACAAATAATCATTAATTTAAATGTTTTCTTATAGATCTTAACAAGGCGACTAAGGTTTAGATTAGAAAAAGCTTCTGGTGAGAGTGCGTTAATTGATCGAACAGGTAGAAATTTAAAAATGGAGCCTTTAAGCACTGTCCAGCAACTAGAAAACCATCTGTTGAAGATGGTTGCAAAGCAATGGCACGATCATGATAGAACAACCTTTAGCTTCGTGAAGAAACTGAAAGATGGCAACAAAATAAGTTTCAAATATCAACACGATTTTGATGAGAACGGTTTGATCTTTTGGATAGGAACGAATGCCAAGTATGTAATGAATTATTTCCATAATTAGTCATCTTGAAGATTTTAAAGAAGTAACTTAATATAATTATCTTTTCTTTAGAACTAGCCCAGAATGGGTAAATCCTGCACAATACGGTCTCGTAGTGGTAACATCAAGTGACGGCCGTAACTTGCCATATGGTCACCTGGAAGATATATTGAGTCGCGACGCATCGGCAATGAATTGTCATACGAACGATGATAAACGCGCGTGGTTTTCCGTCGATCTTGGTGTGTGGATTATACCAACGGCCTACACTCTCCGCCACGCTCGCGGTTACGGCAAGAGTGCCTTGAGAAATTGGATGCTTCAAGCATCAAGAGACGGTGCCAATTGGACAACTCTGTACACCCACGTTGACGATTGTTCACTAAACGAACCCGGAAGTACTTTTACGTGGACATTCGAGCCACCAACAACATGCGAAGATGCCCAAGGATGGAGGCATTTGAGATTACAGCAGACTGGAAAGAATGCATCAGGACAAACACATTACCTATCGGTTTCGGGTTTCGAAGTTTACGGCGAAGTGATGGGAGTTTGTGAAGATCTCGGTAGAGCTGCCAAAGAAGCTGAAGCTTGCGTGAGAAGACAGAGACGATTGATTAGATCGCAAGTATTGCGACATTTAGTCGCTGGAGCGAGAGTTGCTCGTGGTTTGGACTGGAAGTGGAGAGATCAAGATGGTATACCGCCTGGTGAGGGTACTGTTACCGGAGAGTTGCATAATGGATGGATCGATGTGACTTGGGACAATGGATGCTCAAACTCATATCGCATGGGTGCCGAAGGGAAGTATGACTTGAGATTGGTCTCTACCGGTGGAAGTAATAGCATTGAATCCAGCGATGCTTCTAAATCGAAGAATGGAAATGGCGTGCTAACCGGTCGCAAATCTAACAGCACACCGAGTCTTCCAGATTACTGCACTGATCCTAGTATTAGATGTTCGGTTGCATTGTCTGATCAGGCGGCTAGTGCTGACAATCTCGCGGCAAAGGTAAGTTTTGAATAAGCCCAGTATAACACACGAGCTAAAGGTTAACAAATTATGCTTGAATTTGTAGCAAGCAGCAGAGTCGATAGCTGAAAGTGTCCTGTCAGTTACCTGTGCCGAAGCTGTGGTATCAGTCACCGGTGAAAGCGGCGTCAACTCGTCTGGCGAACTCTCAGTTGTGCTTCATCCAAGACCTGATACTGCTGCTGTTACTAGCGATTTGGCTACGATCGTTGAAAGTTTGGCTTTTAATAGCGAATGTTCATCCACTACTGCTTCGACTAATGGAAATAGTAACAGAACTTCCAACAGCTCAAAACCTTTACTGTCATCTCTACGCGGAAATAAGGTATGTATTAGTATTTTCAATATTTACTAATGCAGTTTGGTTACATTTATATTTTTACTTGTAATTTAGCCTACAAGTGGTTTCTTAAGTCTCGAAGCCGAAGTGCTCGATCGTATGCGCGAAGGAGCTGATCGTTTGCGCAACAACACTAACAGTTTCCTAAGCAGCGAGTTGCTTGGTCTTGTACCCGTACGTATTAATGTTTCGGGTGAACCAGACGACGGTTCAATGCGCATAAGACCTGCGCCACGAAGTCACGCTGCTGCTGCTGCTGCTGCTGCTACCGTTGCTGCAGCTGCTGGTGCTGCTGATGGTGAGTTTTTTATTTAGTGGTAATCATAGGCTAACAAAGGTGATATTTTACGGGTGGGTGTAGGTATTGTTTGCGAATCACAATGTATATTACGAAAATTAATTTAAAAATCATTTTTACTTATGTAGTTGCGGGGAATTGTAAAATAAAAAACATTTTTTGGGGGATGTACTGAAATATAAGCACATGTACACTCTGCACCATCGATCACGTGTGATTCACTTTAATAAATCGCATCAAAATGCACGCCTCACACTCATATAATAACATTCACCAGGCTCAATAGATTGCTGTCCAAGAGATAAGGATGCTTCTGGTTCATCGAGTTCAGCTGCCCCGACTGTTGTCACCACCAATCCTATGTCCGTGTCTGTGCCAAATCTTGCTTGTAGTGATGCTTCTAACAACACACTTGAGCCTGTTGCGGCATCTGGCCTACTCGAAACTTTCGCTGCTATGGCGCGCAGAAGGAACCTTGGTGCGTAAAATTTGGAGTTCCTTTTTTTCTTCTTTAGTTCTTGTAGTGTTACTCTCAGAATCGATGGTTTTTTGGTAGTTTGTAAGTTAACTTTTTTTGGAGTCGGTTTCATATCATTGATATAGGATTTGAACCACGGATAAATTACTGTTTCTTTAAAATAATATGATGACAGTAATAATAACAATAATTATTACATCGAAATTGTAGGTCCAGGAACAAGTCAGCATATTTCTTCGAACACTAACTCCGGTTCGAATTCTCGAGGCTCGAATCCAGTATCCAGCCTCGTTCGTCTTGCGCTGAGTTCTAATTTCCCAGGTGGCCTTCTTGGTACCGCGCAGTCCTATCCTAGTTTAACCAGCAGCAGTCAGATTCCTGGTACAACCACTTGCTCTGGTAGCAGTGGTCTTGGTCAAGCGCTCACCATGTCGCTAACAAGTACAAGTAGTGACAGCGAATTAGTTAGTTTGGAAGAATTTCTCGAAGCTTGCGGCGAAGTTGCTGCTTCGGGTGTGGGTGGTGTTCGAGGTGGTGGTGGACCGACGCTTTTAACCGAATTGGAAGATGATGAGGATGGTGTTTTAGCTGAGGAAGAAGACGATAACGATGAGAATGATGAGCAGGTTAATTAAATAATAATTAAAAATGATCGTTGATTTTCGAGTATGAATAATTTTAGATAATTTTCGTTTCAATTTTGAAGGAGGTTGATGATGATGAAGAAAATGAAGAAGAAGGCGGAGACGAAGGTGAATATCAAGACATGGTGGTTAGTCGCAACTTACTCGCTGCATTTATGGAAGAAGAAGCAGCGCTTCCTAGCACCAAGAAACGAGCTTGGGATGATGAGTTTGTACTGAAACGCCAATTCTCTGCTTTGATTCCTGCTTTCGATCCACGACCTGGTAGAACAAATGTCAATCAAGTAAGCGAAATATTCTGAGAAAATGTATGTTAATTATTATGAATAAATAATAATATGTATATTTTTCTCTTTATTTCTTTTATCAACAGACAACAGATCTGGAAATTCCACCACCGGGCAATGAACCTCGTTTACCTGCAAATGCTGCAACTTCAGCTAGTACAGGGCCAAAACTCTCACTTTCTCTTAAAGGACCAGGCCTACCAGGTGTTCCCGACGTTGAGATTCCTTTAACTGATGCTCATACAAGTATTTTCCAATCTGTACAACAACTAATGCAACTGACTGAGTTGGGCAGCAAACAGGAGAAACTTAGAAGAATATGGGAACCAATTTACACGTAAGATTTAATTTTATACAATGTTTTCAGCAGCAGTAACAAAAGAATGACAGCTTTTTTTCGTATTTAACGTTACAGTATTATCTACAAAGAAGCCAAAGACGATGGATCATCAGGCCGTGCAACACCGATTGTTAATCTCCAGACACGTTGTAATAATCATAATTCAAACGGCTGTACAGTCGAAGATGTACTACAGCTTCTTCGTCATGTCTATGTATTGGGTACAAAGACCGGTGGTACAGATAGTTTGAACAATAGTAGAACATCGCAAACAAGTTACGACGAGGAGATAGAACACAGTTGGGTCCATCCGGACGATTTCACTTCCAAGAAAATCACCAACAAGATCTCTCAGCAAATTCAAGATCCTCTGGCACTTGCAGCTGGAGCTCTACCAAGTTGGTGTGAAGAATTGGCAAGGAGCTGTCCTTTCCTTTTGCCGTTCGAAACTCGCAGGTTATACTTCAGCTGCACCGCTTTCGGAGCTTCGCGATCAATTGTTTGGCTTCAAACGCAAAGGGATGCTGTTCTTGAGAGACAGCGAGCACCTGGATTGAGTCCTAGACGCGATGACGTACACGAGTTCAGGGTTGGAAGATTGAAGCACGAAAGAGTCAGTGTGCCAAGAGGTGACAAGCTTCTAGATTGGGCCGAACAGGTTTTGAAGGTAAATAGTACAACAAAAAATAATAAAAGTATTCAAAATGGTATTTAATATCACCTTTCGTTGCTTGTTTTCAGATTCATGCAAACCGCAAAAGTATCTTAGAAGTTGAATTCGTCGGTGAAGAGGGTACAGGATTAGGTCCTACCCTTGAGTTCTTTGCTCTCGTAGCAGCGGAGCTTCAGCGCAAGGATCTCGGTTTATGGCTGTGTGACGACGAGGATCCTCATCTGGAAAGTGACAATCGATCTGAGGTGGTCAGCCACGAGCGCATGCGTTCAGCTGGTTTCTATGTGACCCGGCCAAGTGGATTATTTCCTGCACCGTTACCTCAGAATTCAGAAGCCTGTGAAAAATCGTGCAGATACTATTGGTTCTTAGGCGTGTTCCTCGCCAAGGTCCTGCAGGACAATAGACTGGTTGACCTGCCATTATCGAGGCCATTCTTAAAACTCATGTGCCGTGGTGACATCACTAACAATGTGAACGAAAGGATTGGATTATCCAGCTCAAACGTAACTACACAAGAAAGTATGTCGTCTAGTATGGCAAGCAGCTTCATCTCGGAAGAAGGAGAAACCGATGACAACAGAGATGGATTGAACTTGGAGCCTATACCTTGGTACGATGGCATCTTGGATATTAATGATCTTGTATTGGTAGATCCAGTACGTGGAGAGTTCCTCAAAGAAATACAGAGTCTCGTGTCGAAACGAGAACGAGCTATCTCGGAAGGTCATTCCTCATGCGCCGAAGATAGTCTCATGGGTGAAACATTGTACATCTCGCATTCATCGGGAGCTTCGGTGCCAATTGAAGATTTAGCGTTGTCCATGACTTACTCGCCAAGCTCAAAAGTTTATCATTATGAGCATGTTGAATTAAAAGAAAATGGTGTCGATATTCCTGTGACGATAGACAATGCCAAGGAGTACACTGAATTAACGCTCAACTATTGTTTTGATCGGGGTATCGCCAAACAAATGGAGGCATTCAGATCTGGTTTCTCAAAAGTCTTCCCCATGGAAAAGTTGTATGCCTTCAGTCCTGAGGAGATTAGGGCTATGCTTTGTGGGGAGCAGAATCCCGAATGGACCCGCGAGGATCTACTCAATTATACAGAACCAAAACTAGGATATACTCGTGAAAGGTAAATTTTACAGTACATTGCTTAATATGAAATTTAACTGATATAGTAGAAAAAAATTTTTAATTTACCGTAATTGAATACATAATAATTCGAAAATTCTTTCAGTCCTGGCTTTCAGCGATTCATCAATGTCCTATTATCACTCACTGGACCGGAGCGCAAAGCCTTCCTACAATTCGCCACAGGCTGTTCGGCTCTACCTCCAGGTGGTCTGTGCAACTTGCATCCACGACTCACGGTTGTGCGTAAGGTAGACGCTGGTTCTGGTGGCTATCCGTCGGTCAACACTTGCGTACATTATCTTAAACTACCTGAATATCCGACTGAAGAGATCCTGAAACAGCGACTCCTCGCGGCAACACGAGAACGAGGTTTTCATCTTAATTGAACGGCCTTACAAGCCATCCTGTTTTTGTATATCAGAATATAGATGTAGCCAATTGCCGAGGTTTTTAAATGCGATAGAGAGAATGCGAGAGAATGAGAAATAGAGAGAAAGAATGAGTGAGAGGACGAAAGAACATAGAGTGCGTCGAGTTTTGCGGGTGGTTTTTCTACGCTTGCGATTGTAAGACTCGTACTGTAGTCGATTTTTGTAAAGTAAAAAAGACATCAACTCCCCTATCCTTCTCAACACTAAGAAACTAATACTATGGCTTATCTTTTAACATTAGGATTTTACGTACAATTTGCTACGTATTTTTCGAACATTCAGCAAGTCAGTTGTGATTTAATTTACGCACTACCAGACCAAGTTTTTTGGAGCGGCTCAACATTTTTCATTGAAGGTACAGAGGGGTAAACAATTTTGATTAATATATAACGGCGAAACTTTATGAATGAAAACTGAAGAGTAGTTATCAATAGTTGCTACTCTTTCAACTTTGTAGATGAATTATTATGTAATTGAAAAATAAAATTGGAAAGACAAAAGTATATATACTTGCAGAAAAAAATAATCAACACTTCTAAAAAGGTGTGTTGTATACGGTGTGATTTAAAACAAATTATTAAAAAAGTGTGTGAGAGATATAGAGCGAATATTAACAACGTCGATAACAAATAGTTGCTATTTCTATGGTGTAAATTATAATTATATAATTATTATTACATTATTAATATTGTTGTAACAAGTTTTTGGGGGGAGAGAAGTGAAGAGTAAATGGATATACGTTATCGATAAAATACTATTATTTTTATTGTTACGATAAGTTAGTTTTGTAAGTAGTTTACATGTAAGTATGCATCCTTAGTCAAAGAAAAAAAAGTGAAATAGAAATATAGAAACTAACTTTTGTTAGCGTAAAAATATTATCGAGTTATGTGTGGACCATGAGTTTACATTGTCCCGTAATTAAACGAAAACAAAAAATATACAAAGTTGAGTACAATTCCTGGGCTTGATACAGAAAAATATTGTTTTTTTCTTAAATAACTCGTGATTTCACAATACTAATCCAGCAATACTGCAAAAATAATCTTTTAAAATAGTTATGAACTGTCTGCGCTAAGCTTAGTTCGTATTCATATATACATAAAAACGTCCGCGTTTCTTATTTAATATATTTCGATTAAAAGGATACTATTTGTAAAATTAAATTATTCTATTTTAAATACTGGTTGGTTTCTACTGTATCAAGTTTTAGGGAAAAAAATAAAACAAAATATATTACAAGTAATCATGTTTTTGTTATTGTTCGCAATAATTTAAAACGATAACTAACATAAAGTTTCACTACATGCAAGATTGATTTGATGTCAAGTGCCGCCTGAAATTAATTTCATAACTTCTTTCATTTTGTGCAGCTTTGAAAACAATTAACCTTTAGACGGCCAGGATTTCAAGGGGCATATCGCCCTCAGAAAACTAGTATAATGTTTAAATGTAATTATTTATCTTAATTACATTTTAATTTTTAATAACTTTCAAGGTCTTATATATAGCAGTTTTATTATATTTTTTCAGACAATATCTTGACATTAATTTCATAGCTCGAAAATGGTAAATTTACTTGTAACCATTTACCCATGAAGTACCAATAAAATATGAAGTTTTCCTCGAAAGTACTATTGACCCTCGCCTTCGACATGATATAATGTAAGTTTATTCGTATTAATTATCTTACACTTATTCACTAATTTTGCTCATATAAAATTTCATTTGTTTTATTAGTTTTTTTTTTATTTTTTTTTATTTTTACTATTTGCGGCAACGAGTGCAATGATGGAAGTGTTAAATAAAAACTTAGCTAAAGCAAACGTGTCCCTTGCGCTACTAAACAGTACTGTAGTTGCTCAAAACAAGGGCATTTAATAAGGGAATATTTTAGTAACATTAATATCGTTTGACGAAGACAAAATGGATTTCATATCAATATTTATAACTGAATTAATGAAAAATGTTAAACGCAGCCAATTTCGAAATCAAAATTGTCGAGGCAACATATTGTTGTTTTCCTTCTTAAATATTTCTCAACTTTTAATTATTCTATTGTTACATGTAGGGTACATTAAAAAATGTAGTTAGTAAGCATAAATTACAATTTTTGTATTATCGCTATCACCAATTAGTCGTGCAGCTAAAGTAAAAGAGTTGGTCTATAAATGTCTAAAAATTGGACCTTTTCAGTTCGGTCTATGAGTATGTATACAAGCTACATATAATAGCGAATAATTTTGCATTGAATGCAATACACAGAGTTTTCATTATGATCAATGAAATTCAACGTTAAGATGATCGATGTAGGAAAATAATACACAGCAACATTTTTACCTCTCTTTATTTGAAAAATCAATTGAACATGATGATTTACCGATCCGATAGTAGCAAGATTTTACAGATAAAAAGTGAATCTCTATAGCGACTTCATTGCTGCGCTTCGTCTGATGAGCTTTTTATTGTAGAAAGTACACTCGGCAGTTTCGAATAAAAAAATTGTGTTCGTCACAGTCTTCTCGGCTTAAAGTCATAACGGCTAATACCATGAGTGATAAAGTCATCTACAAGCTCAGACATATAAGTTTACAGTTTGATGTTACAGTATTGCACACTGTAAAAATTTTTCATCCTTAAAAAACAAGTATGAAACAATTATTGCACCTAACGACAGCACTTTCGAAAAATAATACCGCCTCGTCTTCATCTCCCGCCTAAAATTGATTCATGTATTATATTCTACATTTGAAAGCTTATGCAGTGCGGAAATGTTATTTGTCAGTCGTGTGAGTTGGAGTTAAATCGTCGGGTACAGAGGACAAACAAAATACGAGAGTGCACTTAATTACAAATATTTATTTAATTTATCCAGATTTCTTGACGACTGATCCTCGCTCATCCACTTTTCTTTCTCTTCTTATCGCACTTGCAAAGCGCGAAAAAGTCGCTCTCCTGTTGCTTCATACACTTGCCGTTTCCACGCTCTTCGCTCATGCATCGTTGTTGGCATCGCTTGTTGTCACAATCAGCTGACGCGACTAAAGCGTCGAGTCCAATAAATTATGATTTATTAATTCAATTGAAAAATAAAATGAGAAAAAGGAATTAACATAAAAGGAACATTAAATATTTGTTAAATTTATATCGCAGTTAAACATTAAACGCGCAAATATCAATGTTTTTTTATTGCAGAACTAAAAAAAGTCGTTTTGATATCATCGTGAAGATTTTGTTTTTATCTTAAAGTAATAATTCTTAAGAAGATCATTAACTTTCATTCTTTCAATCTCAATACCAATAAATTATACAGCGCAGCTACTTATGTGTAATACCTAATTTCTATAAAAAGTTGTTCAGGGCTTGTTCGATTCCTTGCGACTTCTACTCGAATTTAAGTTGAACGCTGTTTTACTTGAAAAATGTTTTTAGAAAAAGCCAAAGAATGAAGTTGATTGAAAAGCGCTCTACTTAAATTTGATTGTAGATCTCAAGAAAACAAATGGATCCTGAAACAAATTCTTTCTTTCACGTAGTCATTGAAAATCGTAGGCAGCGTCTGTATAAGTACAGTTGTGATTTCAAAACTCACAAAAATAAAACTTGAACTCACTTAAGATGCTTTCAAATGAAAAAAATTTTCTTAATGAAATCAAGTAATTTAACACTTCAATATGGACATTTTCGAATGTTTACTATTTATCTCGAAAACAGTAACATACATATTATAGAAAAATAGTTCAACTTTAAATGTTCCCATGGCAATCCCTATAATTATATTGTCTCAAGAGCAAATATGTATGCGAATATACGTACATTCCAAGATGGCAATTAGAATTATAAGTAAGAACACCAAGTAGAACCTCATCTTGTTGTAATAATACTATATCTTCGGAATGAAGTAAAATTATTAAGGTAGCCGGGCGATGTTCAACTATTATATACGCAAAAAGTAAAGAACAATTCAACTTAACAATTTAATTGTGATAATAAAAATTATTTATAATTTGAGCTCTATCATTCAAATTGGAAAAAATAAGCGAAACGAATTCATTCTTGCGATTCGCTACTAGTAAACAGCAGGGATAATTATTAGATAACATTTTGTAAACTTTAACGTGCAATTTAGTTTTTCCTTATAATTGAAAAAGAATGCGCTCTAATTAAAATAAAATGGAAACTTCCCGAAGTTTCGAGGTATGAACACTTTTCGTTGGAATAACGAATCATGGAATATCTTGCAGATCTAACAAGGAACCCCCAACCCGACCTCACCGATTTTAATAATTTTTTGTTGTTATAGTTCATGTAAAAATAAGACATACGTGTTTTTTTTATCGGCGGAAAAACATTTTGAGCGGGAGAAAACCGTCCTCAAATTTCACCCCCAGAAATGGATTTTCCAATGCATCTCAGCTTTTAATTGATATTTTACGATGAAACAAATTTCATATCACTTCTCATGAGAATACGAAACATTCGTTGGAGGAAAAAATGACATTTATTCGTTTACATTTTGACTTTGAACTCAAATGACTCTTGTTACTTAAGATTCGTTTGCAGAATTGTTTCTGTGACGACCATAACAGTCGGATTCACGCCAATAAAAATTGCAATAATCACCGATACGGTTAAAATGTCATTGCGCGCTGCAAATGACTGCGAGCAAGTAATCTCAGATCGAATGTCATTCCGTTCCCATTGTAACCATGCATGCGAGCTGCATTTTGAGTATAAGACTATACGCACGACAAACTTGGTTTTGCATCCACTTTTGATAAGGTCAGGGAGCAATTAAACACGATTTACAGGCTTTGCTTCGTGCTTCTACTTTTGTTGCACTGGCGACCATGCAATGTCAGTAATGCAAACCTAACACACTATTTACATATATATTGAATCAAAGCTTTTCATTACAGCTAACTATCGAATTACTACGATAAGCCTTGACAATTGGATGTTGCAGTTGAAGCCCTATGCAACGATAAACAATCCGACGAAGATTGTAAAAATAACAAAGGAAGAAAATATGTACAAATCGTAATTGACCACGCTTCATACGTCTGTGGAGACGGATCGGTACATATGATCGTACCTCTAGGTCCAGTCTAAAGGACATGTAATGCAGATCCGATAAGTTTTACAGATCACGTAGCGGATCTCTCGCTTTCAAATACGTCTACCAATCGGAAACATAAGATAAAATGGAATCACCATGCACCCAAGCTCGAAATATCGAAATTACAGTGTATAGAGTGGATAAATCAACGCAGACCACTCAACGATTTACTTTATTCGCAATTGCGGATACCAGTATTGTTACGATATAAAAGTTCAACGAGCATTCGATAAATTTCATCATCGAAGAGTACGTGCATGTTAAAATCAATTTTATTCCAGTCGAGCATCAAACAGGTGAGTCGATAATATCCTGGAGCTCTCCAATGCACTTCAAAGATTGCATAATTACGTACTTTTACTGGGACAGTTTTCATCCATACTTTGAAACGTGATTGTCAAAATAGAGTCGTGTGTTTGGTATATCTATTAATTTTCATCACAAGTTTATGATACCTAACACGAAAGCTTATCGAAAAAATGTTTTTCGCAATTTCGCAAATGTTACATTTGGAAATTATCACGAATTGGATGATAAATGTAGGCTTGGGGGAAATGAAAATCGAGGATAAATAATATTTGCTAACAATGAAATATAACAAAGGACGAACTGATAAAAATATGTCCATGTGACTTTGACAGGATCTTATATATAGCCATTGACGTCCATATGTTTTCCGTTATGCATATTTGTTTCAACGAATTGACCAGCTATCCTATTATTGTTGCTCTTTGGTTATTAAGCTTCAAATTATGCATGATGCGGCTTTATTTTAATTATACACGTGAATTATTATGCAATATATTCACACTAATATTTTAAGTACTTGTCATTGGTACGGAATGTAAACCATTATTTAATAGTTATTTAACTTAGTTGTAGTTGAATTCATTGTGTAAGCGGTAGTATTGCTTATAATACATGTACATACACTGAAAACTGATATATGCGGAAATGTATAATTACCCCGCTGACAAAGTGATTTTGATCATCGTTACAATTATTTTCTTCGTTTGTTGCAGATGAATTGGCAAAGACTTATACGAAAATGTCAAAAAGATATAAACAGCATGAAAGCATTTTTCGAAATTGATAGCACGAACAGCAATTATTTGTCCTGAAGCTGCACTTGTTTGAATGAATTATTCAAGCGAGTTCATTTCGCATAACAATGTCGTATTCTTACGATAAGTAAGTTGAAAAACTCGGCGATCATTCGTTCCGGTAAGTAAAGCTTTGGCTGACACAACGTACTTTATACTACTTTATTCGATCTGTTTTTGAATACTTTTTGTCAGTTGTGACTCCGTTACTATTCTCTACAAAATGCTTGTTTAACGGATTTAATTATACTTTGAAAAAAGTTGCAATGAAATGAAAGCTATGAAAATGAAGCTGATTTCCAGCATAGCTCCTGAGTTTTCATTTCTCGAATTCGTCATCGATTATCGAATCAACGGTTTAAATGTAATTTTGAAATTCTATGTTCATTAATCGACACTGACAATCTCGGATGTAACACTGTGTACCTATATATTTAATGCTTTCGTATCACATGCGCTACATTGCATATAAAAATTTAAAAATTATTTATATAACTAAAAACTAAGTTATATATAAGAACTGCAACGAGTCGATGTCAACGAAATACCAACAACCAACTACAGTGATTTAAAAAAAATCTCATTCAAAATGAAATGAATTAAAAAAATAAAATAGAATTACCAATACAAGGAAATCCAAGCAATTCCAATAAAACATACATATATATTTTCAAGTTCAATATCTTTAATGAGAGTACTTAATTCAAAGGTCTTGTTGCATTTTTTTAGTCATTAATTTTTTTCAAAAGTTTTTAGCTGTGTGCATTAATGTAAATTTGAGAAATGAAAAAACTTAGCTAATTGTTGCGAATATACACAAATGAAACGTCAAATATAAGCTTTATATTTTTGTTTACTAATAAAATAATGATTAAGTAATAAAAATGAAAATTATTACATAATTATCTTACACTACTTACATATTCATAATATTTAATTATATACTACTTGATATATTACTTTAACAAGTTATAGGAGGGAAAACAAAAAAATAATTTGAGAGCAATGCTTCTTTTATTTGTATTTCTTAAATATTCCCAATTTCCAAATCGATGTGTTTTCACTAAAGAAAATGTCTAACATCAACTTTGGTTGGTTAAAATCGAAAATAATTTGCATGTGTCCTACCCACAACACAGTATTCAAACAACATCATTTAAATTAATAATTAATAATTCAATCACAGTAGTAACAATAAGCTACAATGATTAATTATAATTTAGATATTGTCTCTTGCCCAGAATTATCATTCTCTCTCCCATGTAGTCACTGCTGAAGAACGGTATTGGCTTCAGCTCGTTCTTCCTCCAATTCTTTCGTGGTTATTTGAATCTTAGATAGAGCAAACTCACTGATTTTCAAACCCTATAAAAGAAAATAAACATTAATGAACTAGTCTCAATTGTAGTCAGGGTAATTAAAATAAAAAAATTACCTGAACAATTTTGTATTCCTTGTTCTGAATTGTAACAGGGAACGAAAAACATATGTCCTTAGGAATGTTATAGCTACCATCAGACACAATTCCCATACTAACCCATGAACCAGGCTTAGTACCCAACCACCAATCACGCATGTGGTCTCCTGCTGCTTTAGCAGCAGACATAGCAGATGACATGGTTCTCGCTGCAATAACGGCTGCTCCACGCTTCTGAATAGTTTCTACAAATTCATTATTCAACCAATCATCATCATTCAAAGCCTCGGGAACAGATTTTGTTGAGCCATTAAGTTTCACTGTAGCATGAGTAGCATCTGGAAACTGTGTTGAACTGTGGTTACCCCAAATAGTCACATTTTCCACTTTTTCAACCTGGAAACATAAAGCAAAAACTTTGTGTAAACAACCCAATTATTTGAAAATATTGTTCTTTAAAGTGTCTACTTTACTTACACCAACTCCCAAACGAGAAGCCAAAGCTGCTTGAGCTCTGTTCTGGTCCAGCCTAGTCATTGCTGTGAAGTTTTTCTTTGGAATGGACGGAGCATAGTGAGAACAAATAAGGGCATTAGTGTTGGCTGGGTTACCAACAACCAAAACTTTAACATCCTTGCGTGCAAATTTATCCAATGCCTCTCCTTGAACTTTGAAAATCTTAACATTAGCTGCCAATAGATCTTTCCTCTCCATTCCTTGTTTACGAGGCATTGCTCCGACCAAGAACACTGATGCAGCATCCTTGAAAGCTACCTCTGGATCATCCGTAGGTAAAATATCTAAACAGTCAAAGAGTCAGAAAATTGTGTTTATAAATTATATCAGCGTATGAATAATCAAAGCTTTACTCTTGAGAAGAGAAAGAGCAAGATCTTCAAGCTCCATAACAACTCCTTTCAAAACACCCATCATTGGTGGAATATCAAGCAACCTAAGGTTGATGGGCTGCTCTGGGCCAAAGACTGTACCAGCAGCTAACTGGTACAGTAATGAGTAGGCAATTTGACCAGCTGCTCCGGTCACAACAACATTTATAGGTTCAGCCTGAAAAAATGCATAAATCGATTATTCTAAATTCATTGACGCTATCCGCTTGATTGATATAATATTTTATACGACTCTGAATCAACAAGTGCCTCGAGAGAATTCCATTCATAATTTTGCTCTATGCATAAGCTTAATCAGTATTTGAACATCAAAAGCTGCGATAAGGGACAAACAAAAAATCTCAATGCTACTTTGCTGGATTACGAAACCCTTGCATATATACGGGAATTCTTACATATTAATTAAACACGTGAGTTTTTGCCGTCGTTACGCAAGACTTTACATTAAAATTAATAATATTCACGCGGTATGTAGATATACGAAAGACCCGGCGAAGAGAGTTAAATTGTAGAACAAGCGATGAGCGAAATGAAGCAAAGGTTGATTATGATTAAATGATTGGAGGTTCTATTAATAAAGTAAACACGTGTGCGCAAAAGAAGTAAAAAGACATTTATTTTGGTAGAGTAGATGCCAATACATATCAACTCACCATTTTTCACGTTTATAATGTCGATAATCCCCACAATGACGATATAAAATGCACAGCAATAACTCTCCTTGCCGGTGACCGCTGGAAAAGTGTGACGACTCCCAATGTAATTCTCAACGAACGAAGGTCACATAAATAATCAAAGAATAAGATAATATGCGGATATGTATGTGTGAGTATTGAATAGCATGTGTGAATGTGAGAGAAATGGAACGACGTTGCTTTTTTGAAAAGTATTGCTGCCGCGAATTTCAAATGATGGATGTTGAGCAGATTGTTGAACATTGTTTGATTGTAGGAATAGAGTTATTGAGGTGAATAATGAAATGAACTTTAATTTAAAAAAATATTATGGCTGATAATCAAAAAATACGGATAAATTAAGTACATTTTAACGTCGGAAATTTGAAGCTCTTCTCGCTTTTGGTAAAGTAGAAAAGATCATAGATCAAAACAAAAAGTAATCTTGTTATTAAAATTATTTATTCAAATACTACTATTAACAAACTTGGTTATAATAACAGATTCAAAAATGTATGTAATAAATATTTTAAGAGAAGCTAACTTCATGATGCACCTGAAGGAAAAATAGTCGTGGCATCTTCTTTTCATTCCACGCAGTCTGCAGTTCCCTACATCTAACCTGTCCTATATATTATATTTTCATTCTCTTTTCAAAAGCTCCCTTTGGACGTGAAAATCATACAAAATGAAGTTCATTTGAATGATCTTTGTCCACCTTTTTTTTTTATTTTCCTTATTTTTTTAATTTTAATTGTGATGTATTAAAATTAAAAAACATAAAGTATTTATTTAACTTATTGGTCCTGTTCTTATTTAGGTACGTATGTAAATATGTACGTCCAGTGTAAATATTATTTAGAATAATTTACAAATTAAGATTCGAAATAGAACAGTTTGAGTTCTTTTGAAACTTGATTTTTAAGGTTATGTAATTTTGACAATATGGAAACTTGTAGTATTTTAGTAGGTCAATCATGGATCAATCCATAGTTTTTCACTAAACTTATATTGAATTCAATGAAATTTCATTAGTTTTAAATTAGATATAATTGGTAAATATGAATGTGTAAATACTGATACGATGTTTAATTTTAAACAGATAAAAATGGAAGACAAGAATTTTTTTTATGAAGCTCCCAAAAAAGAGTTAAAAATCGCCACAACAGATTTTATAAATAATGAGACTGGTATAAATAGCGTCACTATTGACATTCCTATACCTGAACCTGTGAAATTAGGACCCTCTACAGAAAACTATGGATCTACACGTAAAAGTGAACACCATGAACAAAAGAATCATAAAACTTCCGATAGTACAGCTGTAATTGTTGATAATATAGATAATTCCAGTAAGTATTAATTGAAATTATTTACTTAGCGTTCAACAACTGTAGTTGAAAGAAGCACTAAGATAAACTGTAATATAAGGCTTCTTAGACAAAGTAGCTAGAACTTGGTCTAATTTAATAAAGGTGAAATGGTGTATCTTACATCTAAGAAATTCAGTAACGTGAAAATGCCTGCCTTATTTAAGCAGAAAAAAAAGTTTCAGAAACTTCATGGTATTGTATAAAATTAAATTTCAAATTCTAAAGGCACAATTGTGATAAGAATCTAATATAATTTATTTTGCATGTACTGAATGTCTGGTTTATTTAATGTTTTAGAGAATATAAACTCAAGAGAACATTATGATATCAAAGAGAACAATAGTAATACTCATCCATCGAGTGATATGTCAATAATAAAAGAACCTGATTCAAACATAGATAATAATCTGCCAGAAACTGTTACATTGTTAAGAACTCCAGATGGTGGTAAATGTTATCTAGTGGGCACTGCACACTTTAGTGTTGAAAGTCAAAATGATGTAGCAAAAGTGAGTCATCCTCATCAAGACAAATAACCTCAATAAAGTTGTTAATCACTATTATTCAATCTTACAGATAATTCAGGCTGTACAACCCCATACAGTTTTGGTAGAGCTATGTCTAAGTAGAATCCATGTTCTTCAATTAGATGAAGAAACTATTTTGCAAGAAGCTAAAAATCTAACTCTAAGTATGCAATTTCAGATCTTACAATTTCAATTATAGCAATTAATTTTTAAAAATCATACCTGATATTTTTAGGTAAGATGATGGATGTAATAAAGACAAATGGAATCTACAAGGGTATGTTCTTTGTATTGTTTCTGAGTATGTCAGCTCATTTAACAAAAGTACTAGGATTAGCACCAGGAGGTGAATTTAGAACTGCCTTCAAAGAGGTAACAATTACTTTCAACAAGTGTAATTTTCCGCTATAAAATAATGTAATTTTGTTTATATTTTCAGGCAAAAAAGATCCCAAACTGTATAGTACATTTGGGTGACCGTCCAATCCAGATAACAATAGCTCGTGCTCTTCGTTCCCTAACATGGTGGCAATCGATCAAGCTCACATGGAATCTCTTGAGAGAAAAAGATACAATTACGCTGAAAGACGTCGAAAAGTATAAATCACGTGATACGATCGAGGGTATGATGGCAGAACTTGCTGGAGAGTACCCTGCTCTGAAAGAGGTGTTCGTCAAGGAACGTGACCTATTCTTAACCCACTCGCTTCAGCAGGTTTGCAGAACAAGAATCGGACCTAATGGTGAAGCTATTCCAACCAGAGCTGTTGGCGTTGTTGGGATTGGACATACCTTTGGCATTATAGAAAATTGGGGGAAAGTTGAGCGAAAACAAATCGTTCCGATCATGAGGTAATTTCATTTGATGCTCGTAGAATTGTAGATAAAATAGTTATAGCAGTCATATCTAATCAAAATCGCAAGTAAAATAAATTTGAATAAAATCACGTTTAGTACTTCACAATGATTTTTTATTCTGCCGTGTGAAATAATAAATAAAGATTTTTTGTCATTTGTTTAAGATGGAAGCACACCTTTCATTTGAGTATACTAATTTTTTATAAACCATAACTATATTTAGAAGGTCCTAATTTCCCGGTCGCAAAATTCCGTCATATATCCCACATTAAATCCTATGTGGAATTGCAAAAGAAAAATATTTTTTGTAGTATTTGATAATGTAATTAGTTTTATCAACCTTTCTATGACAATACAAAATAATACAAAATTGTTTGCAGATGTTTTTAAGATGTTAAAAGAATTGGAGTTTTATTCGGACTAAATGTAGAGTATGGAAATATATAGTTATTCGTATAAATTCATTATTCTATAATAATATCACAGTACGCGAATTACTATTTTATATGATTTGTGTTGATTTTCACTGGGGTTGGAAATAGATCTTAGATTTGTCACAAAAGAGAAAATCGTTCAGGTTATTGACCGAGACTTTGGAAAATAATCCCGGCTAACGTGAAAAAAGTTAGATTTGGGATATCAATGTAAATTATAGGCTTTGTCTTAGATTTGGTACGGTGAAAGCATTTTTTATTTAAGAAGTTAACCAGAAAGGTTTCGAAACATGACTATAGTATTGAATACTAAATAAATATTTTTTGTCCTATATAGGATCTCATGTAGGATTTCACAGGTGTAAATAATTTTTTGGATTCTGGTGTGAGATCCTTATTAGATCGAATTATTCGCGTCGATGAATTCATTTTTGTAATGTGATCATATCTAAACCATTACCTTAAAACTCTTACAATGTAATTGTCCAATTTCAGCATACCACCACCTTCGCTTTCAAGCAAAGTATTAAAATTCACGGGTAAAGCAACTCTGATTGGTGCGGTAATCTACATAGGTTATCGCTTTATACCGATGTCAACGAATCTTCTAGCAACATTAAAGTCCTCGGTGGAGGGACTGATCGAGGTCAGTATCCGCAAGTAGTTAGTCGGTCCGAAGATTAATCGACTGTCCTCTTGGCCCGAACTAAGAACTTTAAGAAAGTAAGGAACGAAACCAAAAGAACCATGGATGACTACGAACATCATCCAATGTCGTCGTCAAACTTGGTTTACGTGCAGACGAATATACCAGGACCAGGTTGCCGAGAGGATGATTTTCAGGAAGAGTTTGCCGTTGGTTGCTCGTGTGTTGGAGACGATAGTTGTCTCGAAGATTGCGAATGCACAAGAGGTACGGCAAATTATCTCGACGGTAAATTGATCGCTACTAACAAATCCATCGTCGAATGCAATTCCAATTGCAAATGTACGGTAAATTGTGGAAATCGAGTGGTGCAGTGCGGTCCAATTGGGTGTTTGGCGATACGACAGACCAGTAAAGGACTTGGATTGTTCACCGAACGATCGATAAACAAAGGTCAATTTGTTTGCGAGTACGCAGGTGAAGTGATTAGTCTTGACGAGGCACGTCAACGTTTTGAATCCAATCGCAATCGTCAACTGATGAATTACGTTCTGGTGGTGACTGAACATCTTGGCGACAAAAAGATCACCACGTGCGTCGATCCAGCAGTGTTCGGTAACATTGGTAGATACGCTAATCACAGTTGCCAACCGAATGCTATCATTGTGCCAGTGAGAGTTGACATTACTGTGCCGAGGATGTGTTTGTTTGCCAAGAGAGATATCAAAGAAGGCGAAGAGATGACTTTTGACTATGCTGGAGATGATTCAACATCCGTTCAAAACAGCGAAACTCCTTGTCTCTGCCGAACCGAAAGATGTCGAATTTATTTGCCTCATTGTCCCGTCTGACGAGTGTCCGTTTGCATTTTCTTTCTATATCTTCTCTCCTTTTTTCAAAATTTTTTTATTTCAAATACGTAATATTACATCTTATACATTAAACTAATGATACGTACACCCACTGGTATTAAAATCTGTCCGAATGTTTTAAATTTCACCATTGGCTTCAATTGTTATATTTAGAATATTCGTACAGATTTCATTGCCGGTGGGTGTACCTAGAAAGACCCACTCGAATGTAGTGAAAAAATCGTTATTGTTTGACAAATCAGAATTTTAACTAATGTTTTACTAACACTGTCTATTACATGCCAAAATAACGTCAACTGCGTATAATTTGAGCTTGCTGGAAAAAAATAAATAATGTACATTAAATGATTTTTTTTAAATAATATGTGTTTTCTTTACTGTTGCTTACTGTCATGTTGACGAAAAGTGAAATAATCGAAAGGTACTAAATTTTTGTACGTAAAATTAAAACAATTTTATTTCTGCGTTTTATACATATCTATAGTACAATATTTTTTTCAATAAATAACTGTAGTCGGAAAAAATCATAAATATTAAAAAAGCTATAAACACGATTAATTGTTATTGCTAAGTCGTGATGGTTTTTTTAGAAAAAAGTAATTAATTCTATAAAAAGTAGCAATAGTCGAGTATTCCAGCGATCGTTGAAAAGTTTTAGAATTTGAAACTAGAAAGGAAGAAAAGAATGTGAAATATATATTATTTGTTACCAATACTGCGGGAAGCTTTTACTTTATCGAATAGAATGAGACATTCGTTTTTCATATTAATTTTTTTGGTATTTTCTTTTTTTGCGAGCTGTAATAATTTTTTTTTGTCATTTTATTTTTTATGAAACGTAATGAACTATATGTTTGTACTTGAGATTATGATACAGTTATTGTATATAAATAAAGTCGATATCTTACAAAGACCGCTTATACTTTATGCATTACAGTCTTCCGTAACTTTGTACAATGTATATCAAGTTACATACGTAGCGGAGTTGACGTGTAGTTTTTTTGTTAGGCTTGTTCATGCAAGTTTGCAGTCTTCAAACTGACATTCACATATAAACGAGATTTTTTTCTTCTCAAATCGGTAATAATGTTCTAGAAAAGAAAGAACAAATTCATCAACATTATCTTTTGTACAAAGTATTTCTGTACACCCAGGAGGAAAGCATTGGATTCGTTATCATAGGGAGAAAATAAGAAATCAAAAGTATTTGGCGACAAATCAAATCTTATGGATTACGGCTGTCCATAACGAAACGCTCGCGTATACTCTTAAGACTTATGTTCTTCCTCCTTATTTTTTTATAATATTTTTTCATCATTGATTTAATTACACTCAAATAAAAACTCTTCACTAGGGTAACTGTGTAAGACTCTCAATGCTTGATATCTTGGTAAAGTATTATAATACATTATTTACAATTAGGCAAGCATTCTGTTTTATCACCATACCTTATCGCTCAAACGTACGTTTTTTCATGCTTTTTTGTTTTTTTTGTTTTGTTTTGTTTTTTTTGTTATCTTCGTATTTTTATAAGAATATAGTTTCATATAGAAAACTAAGTCTTCATCGTTAACTATCGATATATCCCTTCGTGGACCTTAACACATAAAGGCTCCACGAAAAAGACGAATTACGTCGATTGAACACAATTCGCTAGTGTATCCAGTTTTAAAAACGCACGCGCGACACATCTTATTTTTCTCTCCCTCATTACTTTGTATGCTACGCGTCGTCAATTCGTCTACAATGATCAAAAAAAGAGAAATATTCAACAACAACATTCAAGCACGATCGCGCTAACAACAGAGAAGAGAGGAAGGAAAAAATGCTTTGTAGAAAAAATTTCATATTGCTTAATAAAAAGGAAGGATGACGGCACTTCATCACCGCACACAATCACCAGGCGGACCACGAATGCTGATCATGTGCTTCTTGCGCTTCAAAAGTGACCGTGTATTTGCACTTTGATTGCTCGTACTAATATTATTATTGTTGTTGTTGTTATTATTATTCAGATGATTGCTTGTTCTTATCCTGTAACCACCTGTGTGGTTTGCAATGCCGCGTTGATAATCACCTCGCATATTGTGGTGGCTTACTGTAAACAAATAATAATTTTACTAAAAATTGATTTTTTTAATGATATGGGCATCTTTGAATGAAATGAATAATGAAAAAAAAATACAATTGCTACGATATAACATTTACGAAACTTACTATGTGAAGTGGGCTTGTACGTTTTCCTATATGTATGGTGGCCTTGAGTTTGTTGATTGTTATATAAATGCCTATCCCTGTTTCTATCTTCAATATTTTCTCCTGTGTTTGGTGAGTTTCCTCTACTGCACTCAGATTCCTATAAGCAAGTATGCGACGTAAGTCAATGTGACGTCATCGAACTCGTAACACCGTCTAGAGAAAAATAAAAAATTACCGATTCGCTAGCTGGAGCTGATAGCGTTGACGCCTCGGAGCCGGTTGAACTGGAATACGAGTCAATTTCTAAAAGGGGGAATGTCTCTTTAATCCACTTACGGTACTTTATTACTTCGTCTGTTACTCTGATTATTCTTCCCAATATACTGAAAGTTCAATGTAGTAGTGTAAGAACTTAAACCGATATGAGCCTTTGTTTACAAACACGAAGACAAATAAAACCTACCTGAATTTGTTTGTATCATTGACTAGAATATTGAGAGGATTGACAGCTTGTGAAAGTACAAAATAGGCCCAGTCAAAAGCATCTTTGACATACAGGGCACCATAACTGCTACGACCAATATCATTACCAGGTGTCAGAGGATCTTCTATACAGAGCAGAGATGGTCTGTGTCCATCAATCATATCTTTCTGAACCTATGGAATAAAATTAAAAGTAAGATTTATTAAACAGAAAATTTCTATAAAATATTTGTATTTGATGGATTTACCTCTTCTTTTGATATGTAAGTACCACCACCCTTGACCCGAATGCCAGTCTTTACATAATTAAACTTTCTACCATATAATTCTAGAAACTCTATTAATAATACTCCTAAATTGACATCTGGACTGTTGATGTTGGCCCTTGGATGCAACTATAGCAACATAAGTAATTATAATTTAGGGTATTCTTGATTATTTTGAGGTTTGTCAAGAGATTATTAAAAACAATATACCTGTAAAAAGCTAATAGTCATGAGAATCAAACTATAAGAAGAAATGCCGCCAGTGAACACTTCATTCAGGTCCCTTTGTAAAAGGAACTGCTTGAGCACCATGACCAACTTTTCAAGAGCTGGATACTGTGCCTTGAAAGTTTTGATTAATTCAGCGGATTTGACACCATTATTCATGTTGAAACTAATGTCAACTTTAATTTCAGTCTCTTTGTCAGTAAGTTTGACAATTGGTACAGAAGCTCTGTCCAATACTTTGACTGAGGATGGCTCAACAATGTTGTGATCTATCAGTGCCTGCTCTAGAGTGTGTAGTGGAAGATTTGTCCACATGCCTATCACAACTAGATCAATATCACTGCAAGCAGAAAAACATCAACCATGACATTACAAAAATATGTTATACAGACACATACACTTGCTGTACAGAGCGCATGCAAATACCTTGTAGGTAGATACAATCCAGTACGAAAACTGCCAAATATCTCGACCTTCGAATCCGGCCAAAGCTCGTATATGACATTCTCTATTCTTTTGATTACCCTCTCTCTGAGTGTGTGCTCTTCAGGAGTAGGACACATATACCTAAAAAAGTCCTCGATTTCCTCGTGCAATCTGTGAAAAAGAGACACATCTGTAATCTGGGTACCCATGTGACGACATTCCTAACCTAACTTTCAATTGTCGCGCGTGTCTCGAAAATTCTGTCGACAAAGCCCACTCACCCAACAACGCCCTTGGAATACTGTAGCCTTGCCTCGCGCCAAGGACAACCGCCAAAATTACCAACGAGAGCCTCGTAATTGTAATTCATGCCGTAGGTACTGGCGCGGTTCTCGTTTTTCCTCCTGGACGGATTGTAATAAATGTTGTTGCCTTGTCCTCGCGAATCGAGCGGCAGAAAGTCTTGAGAGCCGCTGTTGCTGTTCTTTACGTTGTTCATCGTCGTGCTTGTGTTGGTTGTGTTTATGGTTGTAGCCTGCCAAAGAAATTTCAACGAACTACATGTGAGGCAGAAAGACAAACATAAAAAAAAGAGATCAAATGAGAGAGAGAGAGAGAGAGAGAGAGAGAAAGAGAGAGAAAGAGAGAGAAAGAGAGAGAGAGAAAGAGAGAGAGAGAGAGAGAAAGAGAAAGAGAAGAGAGAGAGAGAGAGAGAGAGAGAGAGAGAGAGAGAGAGAGAGAGAGAGAAAGAGAGAGAAAGAGAGAATGAGAGAGAGCGAAAGAGACAGACAGGTAGGAGGAAAGATAGTAAGATAGTGAGAAAGATATTTCGTCAGCGCGCGCTTCCTTGAGGAATATAGTAGGGTGGTATGAGCTGCTGATGAGCCAAGCTTATACGCAAAGACACGATTTCTGTAAGATAACTGACCGAAATGGCGTTGTTCTCCTGAGGTGTCTGTTGTCGGAGGCTGAGATTGTCAAGATCTTTGCCGGTTTCCCAGATATGTAGCCAAAGATCTTTGGCCGGGCCGAGCTGCTCCGGTTGATACCAGCCGATCTTCGGATCCATTAAAGAGCCCACCGAGCAGCAACCCACCTGCACTCGGTTTCCTTCTCTCGCACAAGCACCACTTCGCGCCCTAGCCCCCACTTCACTTAGGCGCGCTTACGATAACGCAGTTATCACACACACATACAGGTACGCACACGCGCAAACCAACCAGCCTACTCGCACTTAACTTCGTTTTATTTTTTTTTTCTCCTTGGTTTCTTTGCTTCCGCACACACTCGAGTGTCGCACGCACGCACGACGGAAAACTCGCTAATTGTCGCTTCGTCCGTGCTTTCCTTCACTCTGTTAATCCGCAGTTATTCTCGTATAAAATCAAATAACTGACGACAACGCACGTTACGGACGACACTTCTCTCGCACCTTGCGGGATGAGTCTCGCCAATTGCCCCGAGACAGTATAGGCCCTGGCGCTCGTTCGCTAGCCAGTCTTTCCGTCAGCTATGGGCGCGATGAAAAGATGTGAGAACGTCCACGGCTTTGCAGTTCTGGTTCTGCAATATTGCGAATATCGCGACCGTTGCGCGCACTTCTTATCAAATTTAGACTGAAGCTCCCAGATGGCGACACTCGCGCGTTATTTCAAATTCAAATTTTTTTCGTTCATGAGTCGTTTGCTTTAATTTAAAGCTGTACGTCAAATCATACCATATAGTTGTAAGTTTAAGAATTTGAAATAAGTGTATTTTATATATTACTGGTTACTGTCAAAATTATCATATTTTTCATTTAAAATAAGTTCAAAATTCGTATAACAATAAAAACTACATTTACATTACAAGGGAGTCTTACTATTTGAATGTTTGGACGAAACTATACGTAATTATGCGTAAATCGAGGATTGGACAGAATGGCTACAGCTTCTTGCGTGCTTTTAAGAACAAAGATTCCTTATGCAATTTAGAAACCAAAGCATATTATACTTTCCTTATTAATAATAATAGCAAATATGCAGTTTTCGACTGTTTGCATCTCAAGTATTCACAGTTGTTCAACTTGTACGTAATAACTGAAGTGCCAAATGTTAATCAACTAATTGTTGCCACAGGTGGAAGATATATTATGTCCTACGATTTTATCGTCTATAGTTTCTTTAGTGACCTCGGTCGAAATTTTTACTAACTATGTAATCAGGGTACAATTATAATAAACTTGAGTGAAGTTGACAAATCAAAGTATAAATTATTATTTTATTATTCCTACAACTTGATATAGGCCTGAGCTGAACTATTAACAGGCACAGGCAGATGCAAATATAAGGACTTGACTGAGCCATCTCTCAGTTGCGTCTCCCCTCAGACCACTGAACCGCTCAAGGAAGGGCCTGAGCATGGAGACTGTATACAGTCTCCATGGGCCTGAGACTCGTTGTTACAGATTCGGAGGATCCCCACTCCTATCATTACTATAGTTTTGTACATCTGCACTGCCTAATCCTACAATGGATGAAGGCTGTCGCAAAAAAATAAATACGTATTTTTATTAATCATTAGCTTGTAATCCAATTCGATGATTCAACTTTTACAGGTAAAAATAATATATACATATTTATTTACATATTCAGATATGTTTTTCACAATCATACGTTCAAGAAATTATGGTGATGGAATCATTATACTTTGTATAAAAGAGATTTTTACGCAAAATTGAATTCTGCTTGGACATAAATAATCGTAAAAGTAATGTGTATCAGTTTGATATAACAAATAATGTTAGGCTAATTTCTGTATATTTTTACGTATAAACTAATTAGAACGCTGAACGCTTGGCACCCTAATATAGTTGTTTTATTATATTATTGAGTTTGATATAGTGCGGGTATTTTATTTGTAATTTTATATAAGTTGCACGTTTATTATCGAAAAATCCTAATCATTCGAATATAAACATTTATTTATAAATAACACTTATAAATAAATGTTTACATTCGAAACAAAAATTTATTTTGCACGTCACTCTTCATTATTTGACGATCATATTGCTTGATATCTATTGTAGTAAATAAATAAGTAAGTAAATAAATCCAATTTTGGGAGCCAACCCAACGTTAAAAAAACGTGATCAAGAAATAATAATGTTTTGAATTAGTTTTTTAACCTTAATTGGGTAAATTCTCAAAATTGGATTTATTTACATATTTGGTAAGAACGTTAGTGCAATAAATATTATTTTCAATTTCAGGTGAATGTTGAAATTGAATACACAAAGAGAGGGAATATTCTTGATTCCAATCTCTTAATTAATTATTTTTAATCCAATCGATAATCATGAATTACATTAGACGATAAAGGAACAATCCTGACCTGCCGGCCTTCAAATATATATACATATATATATATACATATATATATATACACACATGATATCGTCACCGTTGTCATCGCGCGCGCGAAGAAACAACACAGCAGCAAAAATGTACCGGTACAACTCCGAAGGAGGATATTCGTTGCCCTCTTGATATAATAAGAATATGGAGAAGTGAATGCAACGCTGTGAGAATGGTGACAAGGTGATCGCCGGAGAGATGAGCGGTGCTTGGAAGTTAGTGCAGAGGAGATGCTACGACCTTTTGTCCCATCGTTACTCTCTGCTTGTTATACTTGTTGCCCTCACCTGCGTTTTCGTGGGTATTGTTCATTTTGGTGAAGTACGTCTGCGTCTTGTTTCTCTACTTTACAAGTTATTCATGTGTTACGATAACATTTTTTGTTTACATTGTTTGTGTGAACTCTGTGATCAGGTTAGGTTGTTCTGTGTTTGATAAAACTTCATAGAGCTATTTAGGAAATTGCTTTTTAATTTTTTTTTTATTCCGAGACAAGGCATTTCTTGTTTTATATGTTGAATTGATATATTATTTCAAATGAATTACATTAAAAATATATCTGTTGCACATTACTTTTTAACAATTACATAGAAAAAAATGTGTTTGCAGGTTTGGATAGCATGGAGCAAAGAAAAATACAAAGCAGTATTTTATTCGTTTAACGACAATATCCTAGGTATATCATTTCAAAAAGAATTATGTCAGCATGTACCTATAGATGTAGTATATACATGGGTCAATGGATCAGATCCCCTGTTTGTTGAAAATTTGAACAAATACATCCCAGTGACCAGCACCAATAGTGCTGCATCTAGGTTTAGTGATAAAGATGAATTGAAGTATTCGCTTAGATCTCTCGAGATGTATGCCCCATGGATCAGAAAAGTGTATATAGTTACCAATGGACAAATACCCAGTTGGCTGGACATGGATAATCCAAGAGTCTCTCTAGTAACCCATGAAGACATTTTTACTAATTTAAGTCATTTACCAACTTTTTCTAGTCCTGCAATTGAAAGTCATATTCACAGGTAGATTTATTAATTGTATAATTATTCATTTTGAATTTTTATTATAGTAATTACAATCTTGATTTCTTGTAAGAATACCTGGGCTTTCTGAAAAATTTCTTTATTTTAATGATGATGTGATGTTGGGAGCTCCTATTTGGCCTGAAGATTTTATAACATGGGCTAGTGGACAAAAAGTGTATTTAGCTTGGTGGGTTCCTGACTGCTCTGATGTATGTCCATGGGCTTGGGTGCAAGATGGAGCTTGCGATCCTACTTGTAATAATACTATGTGTGAATTTGATGGTAAAAAAACTACTATGAATCTACATATCGATCAAATTTATCAATAACATTTTAATTTTAATTTATAGGAGGTGACTGTGATGCTACATCAATGGATATGAGAGAGAGAGAAATAAATGACAATGAAAATGACTATCCTTACAGTTTTTTACAAGAATCTCATCCTGAAATAGATCAAGCTCAGAGATTGTTGGAGGCTTTGAAACTCAAAGAAAATTTAGATACTCAAATCAATGCGTTTAATGATTCCAATATAATACCTATTCGTAATTTACTATTCCAAAATAACTTGTGGAATGAGAGTCTCAAAAATCTCAATGTAGATAGTATGAAACAGACGAATGGCAGGAACAACACAAATGACTTGTCAAAATTTGACAGAAATTTTGAAAAAGCGAATAGTGCGTTCAATAATGTAATAAAAAAATTTGTATCAGTTAAACAAACAAATATTTCTGGTAATATGGATAAACGATCACGACCGAGACTCTTTGTTAATGACGACATTATTAATTTGGTGCATGTGAATGAAACAGCAAAGAATAGTAAATTAGAATACGCTGGGCGTCAAAAAAAGAAAGTTCGCACACTTGACACTTATGCAGAATCTCTACTCTACGTTAATAGAATCTATAACAAAGCGTATGGTTTAGAAAGACGAAAGGTACCCGCACATATGCCACATTTGTTAAATCGTTTTGTCATATCAAAGATGCAAGAGAAATTTGCTGAAGAGTTTGATAAGACGTCTAGTCATCGAGTGAGAGATTCTGAGGATATGCAGTTCGCCTTTTCATATTTTTACTTTCTGCTGAGTGAGCGCCGTGATGTTTCTCCTAAAGATATCTTTGATACTTTTGATACCGATAAATCACGGTGAGTATTAATACTTTCTATATTTGTATTTGTTTGAAAATATTGGAATTTATAATTTTCATTACAGGACTTGGTCTGATCGTGAAATTAGAACACTTTTGTCAAGGATGTATCCATTGCCACTAGATTACGGTATTGTTGTTGACTTTGAAAATGCTATATCTAATTGCTCTCGATACATTGATTATCAAGACATATCAACGCCTTTACCTCCTCCTGGAGAGAGGTATTTAGATTCGAAATTGGTGAGTTGCTATTGCCTTACAATATTTTGTAATTCAAAGCTTTGTTATGTTAATTAATTTTATTTAATTAATTAATTTGCAGCCAGTCGTCAGTAGAGAATTAATTCTAAAATGCAGTCCAATAGTAAATAGGATACGCGCAAAATTCGGTAAAGTTGCCCAGTATTCACATAGAGTTTTAGATGCTGGTAAAGATGAAACATTTGAAATGTTGACAAGCAACGTTTCTACTACTGTTAGAATTCTTGATGAAATACGAAGCGATCCAAAGTAAGTTGTTTGGTAGTTTATTTTACTCACTAATGGTTTCTCGCAAGGCTGTTTTTTTCAAATGTAACTGATTATTGATAGATTACAATTATTTTGACAAACCCCATATTCAATTTAAAGTAAAGTGAAGGCTATTTAATTTTTAAAGTACCATAATGTTGACTAAATATATAGCTATTTTATTTTGCAACCTCGTCAATTGTAGAATACACGACAAAACATAACATTGGAAAATTGCATATACTGTACATGTGATCTACTACAATTACATACTAAAAAGATTTACAATATTATTCGCCATCCCAAGCTTTCAACAATAAAACTAACATCTTAATAATTCTCATTATAGAAAGTTTATCTGTCTGAACGACGACATGAATCCATCACGTCGCTCGGAGAACGAAGTAGTTCGTGCTTTACTCAGTGACTTCTATCGTTCGCTGTATCCTATACGCAGTAGTTTCGAGCTACCATCACAGTATCGCAATCGTTTCATGCATCGTCACGATTTAATCAAGTGGCGTGCTAATCGTGCCAGAGCTACGAACATCATGATTGGACTTATTCTACTTCTACTGGCAGTTACACTTTACCACGCGTTCAAACATAAAATACGCAGGATTTGTCCAATTCGCACGATGCCCGCACTGCTCGTCTAATCTAGTCAACGTGATTTTCTTTCTTTTATTGTATATACCGTGTACATAGTTCTTTTCTATTTATTCGTGTGTCTTACATGTGAGATTCATTAAAGTTCATTTGTTTCCAATGTGTACAATGTTTTGATTAGAAATCTTTCAGTAAACCCTTTTGTGTACGTGTGCGAGCTTCCCAACCTTCGAGGGGTGGACAGTTGATGTGACGGATGTTACGTGCACCAACCATACCATCTTGTCGTCGAGCACACTCACTCATCCAGATTGCTACTGCCGCTACTTCTTTCGCTGAGAGACGACACCCTATGCCTTAAAAAAACAATAAAAAAGATCAACTTTAACTTAAACTTGCAACAAGCATGCTTACAGAGTTTTCAAATGAAAAGCGAAGAGAAAAACCTGGTACATTGGGATAATACTGTATCGACTCGCTTTCCGTACTTGACCGTCGCGAAACATATTTTTTCGAGACATCGGACTCGACTTGCTGTACCTCCTTCATCGTCTCGCTCTCCTTTTTTATTTCGACTTTTTCTATACTTTTACTGCTTCTAGATGATACTGTGCCGTCGAAAGAACGATAGCTTGCCTCCCCTTCGTGTCGGAAACTTTCTTCGGTTTCTTCGCCGAAACTTTGCAGTGCTGCAATTTCAATTCTATGCGATAACTTAAAAGCGTTAGGTGGTAATTATGTACAAGCAGTCAACGTTTCAATGACTTTATAGATAGAATTTTGACGTGATCACGAGCGCGTTAATAATTTACTTTGAAATTTATTCACGTTATAAAAAAAATTGAAGCATAATATTTTGAAACGAAATAACGAAACATTGTAGACTCACTCATAACGGATTGCACGTCATCTTTAGTGAGCGATTCCAAATCCAAATCGATATCCACCTCTGTGTCTTGACTCGCAACAGACACGACCTCCTTCTCACTGTCTCTTTCCGATTCCGAACACAGGCATGATGCTTTCATGCTACCGTCGCACTTGAGACTCGCCAAATAACCATAAATTTCCATGAATAATCCAAGTGGTATCATCGCCGAACAACCGTCCGGGTGATAAGTGAACAGATCGCAAACGAGACTCATGGTCTCGGTTAAATTGCGAGTAAGCAGCCCAACGGCAATTGAGAGGAATTTTTTCACTTGACATTTATTGCGAAAACCTCCGATCAAAATTATCAGATCTGAATCGCGACGATCGAGGCATAATTGGTCCCATCGCTCGAGAATTTTTTCTAATGGCAGTACTTTGTTGCAGTCCCCTGTGGATTTGTAAAATTATACGTTTCGAGTTGATAAAAGGTGACGGTGAAAGGCGATTTGTAAAATTGAACTTGCAATTTCGGATTTCTAGAACTCCATATACTCAAAATTTAAAATACATCGTGATAAACAATTGAATTGTTAACTTTTAGTACAGTTTTGAAAAAAAGAATAACTGAAAATTAAAACCACGTATAATCGGCTTTGAAAATCAAAAGAAGCCATCGTCGAATTCCACGTTGGGAACTACATCGCCGCAACTGTCAAAGTGTTTAATCAAGCTTGCCTGAATAGCTTTTATTGATTGAGCCTATAACCTTCATATAGAAAACTCACCGCCAAGCTGTCTGAGCAACACTTTTAAATATCCAATCGTCAAGCCGAAAGGACTGCAAGCCGGCGGAAATTCCAGGCGAAGCTTCGTCGGTGGTTCTTCACCTTCAGCTAACGCGCGAAAGTATGCGGTCGACCATTTGAGCAAGTCGTAGGGTTGAGTGCGAATCGCGGATTTGCAGAATTGTTTGAGGATCATTGGCAACTTCGGCGGTACGTTTATTTGCTCAACGCAGTAGTCTGTTTCGAGAAGCGGCATTTCGAAGCCTGCAGTGTCACGTCGATTACTAGCATGTATTCTATTGTGTTTAGAGTCGCTAGGTCGCCTTGGTTACGGGGAATCGACAATTGTACACGAAGGGTTTTGTGTGATTAGGTGTTTGTGAGAATGCAACGAGTTTATGTGTGATTGATTGGTTTTTAGGTGTACTTTGTCACGTCATTGTTTGATAATTTTCGCTTCGTTACAAATATTTTTAGGCTCATTTAAACTTTTCTCCATGATAGTAGCGATTAACAATTATTTTTGGTAAAAGCGTAATTTCAATTGCTCCAATTTAAAAACAAGTACAATAAATATTGCTATTCATTTAAAACAAAGGAGAAAAGCGTGTTAATAAAATCTAGATTTTTAGATTGCCAAAGTGCACAATCAAATTTTTGCGCCATGATGACGTATCGCATCACATGACGTGATGTGCACTTGCGCAGCTTGCACTCCGAAAAGGTGGGGGGAGTACGTAAAGAGAGAGCTAAAAAAATAGGAAACTGCTTGTACGTGTGTATTCGCTTGAGCAACATGCCATTTGTGCGCAGATCCGTCTGATCAAATTAGTGTTTGTCGAGCACTACACGGTACTGTAGTGGTGTCTTGCGCGCGCGGAGAGAAAGTTTCTTACGTTTGGGCGCGGAAGGAAAGTGACACCGTTGGAATGAGCGAACGCCCCAGTTCGAACGAGACCTCGACCTTCTCGTAGCAGAGCGTCTCTTTATTTTCACCTCTCTTTGTCTACTTTTAGTCCTTAGTACATCATGGGTTTATTATTTTCCAAGTTATGGAGCCTCTTTGGCAATGAAGGTAAGTATGTGTGCGCGTGTGTGTATATCTTAAATTTCCTTGACTATCGAAGGTTGTGAAATATATCGATGTCCCACAGAGCACAAGATCGTAATGGTTGGTCTGGACAATGCTGGCAAAACTACTATTCTTTATCAGTTTCTTATGAATGAAGTAGTACATACTTCGCCAACCATTGGTTCCAATGTTGAAGAAGTCGTATGGAAGAATATACATTTCATTATGTGGGATCTTGGTGGACAACAGAGTCTCAGGGCTGCTTGGTCAACTTATTACACAAACACTGAGTTCATTATTGTTGTAATTGACAGTATGGATAGGGAAAGATTAGGTGTGATTAGAGAAGAATTGTACACTATGCTTGAAAGGGACGAACTTAGCAAAGCAGCTGTTCTCATCTATGCCAACAAACAAGATTTGAAAGGGAGTATGACTGCAACTGAGATATCTAGGCAACTAGATCTCACTTCCATCAAGAAACATCCTTGGCATATACAGAGTTGTTGTGCTTTGACAGGAGAAGGGTGAGGGTTTCAATTTTTCTCTTTGTTTACTTTTACTGTTATGGTTATGTTGTGGATTAGTGAATCATACAATTGTGTACCTTTATTTGTAGATTGTACCAAGGATTAGAATGGATTGTTGGTCGGCTAAAAAAGACATGACGTACAATTTAATAAATAAATACACATTTGAGCTGTGCTCACACCGAATCATACTTGGCAGCAACAACCAAAAGAATACAAATTAAAGGCAACTATCTTCAAGCAGTTCGATTTGGAGTGTGACTTTGGCACAGAGACGAATTAACCGTTGCATGTTTGTTGTTGGTTCAAAAAAAGTTTCTGTATGCATTTTTTCAAAAGCGCTGATTGCAAACAAAGACAGAAACGGTAGCACGTTCATGTAAATAGTTTTGATATGTATACCTGCACTTGTCGCGCGAGCGCGAAAAAAAACCAATTTAGATAGCATTGATCCTTGATATAAGACTCTCCCTTACTCTTGCAGTAAGGGTTGAATCCCAAGAAAACTCAAAAGTAGTAATTCACAAGCGAAAAACAGGCCATCTCTGTGATACGCAAACGATTTCGACGATTAGGCAGCTGTCAGGAACCGAGCTATATATATATATTTTTTTTTTCTCCTTTTTATTCATTCTTTTTCCAAAGCAGTATTACATTTCTTTCTTTCTTTAGCATCACTGAAAGTAAAATAACTTACGTCGTTCGATTGTTTTTTATAATGACGGTGTGCAATTTAATCAGGTGTATGTGACTCTCTCTGTACAAAAGATTAGATTAACATTTCATGCAGTATTGAAGCTCGAAAAAGACAGCTGTCTTATCTCACATCTGTTTAACATATAGTTGTAATCAGCTAGGTTTCTTGTTTGTCGGTGTAGAAAAAATACTCAAATGATTTAAAGAAAAAGGTACGTGTTTTAATCGCGCAACTAACAAAGTGGATAGGGAAAATAGGTGTAAAGAGTGGAAAATAAATAATTATTTTCTCATATTGAGAAAAACAAGATTAAGGGAAAAAATGAAGTTGTAGACCAGATTTTTTTGTCTTTTTGCTAATTTTATTTCTCATTATATGCGTCCAGTTCGTTCGTTTCTTGTATCCAATGGTAATCGATGAATTACAATTGTTCTAATAAATATGAACGACTACTTGTTGTTTTAGTTTTTGTATTCTGCTAATTTTTAACAAATTGTATGTGTATGTGTGCGCGCACGCGCATATATATGTACATATATAATGCGCGATGCGAAACAATAATTTTAATTGATGACAATTTAATTCATGAGTGAAAAAAGAAGAAAATGAAAAAAGTAATAAAAGGCAAAATGAACATTACAATTTTACATCTGTTATTTTTATTTATACATATTATTGATTTGATTGATTGACTCTCCAACTTTCCCTTTTTTCACGATAAAAAGCGAGTAGAGTGTCCCGATCGCAACGACTTTAACGCGATTTTATTGAATAAATAAAGCCTAAGCGTGTGCTCACAAGTCAGCTCGTACTCATCATTATCATCATCGATGGATCAACCATCCGAAAATCAAAGTAATTTACAAAAAAGAGAAACAATGATTAAAGATAATAAGGAAAAATAAAATCAAATTTCCTTTTTCCGAACGACAACTCTAAAAGACAAGAGAAAAAAAACATGACGACACAATGATTCGATTGACCAGCAACAGAGCTGAATATAACTCGGTGTAAGGGGAGAGGGGAGTATTGCTAAAACGGAGTAGCACCGACACATATTTCGTTTCGTACTACTTCTAAATATGTGTGACACGAGGGGCATATTTTGTTGCCGACTAATACTAGTCACACAATAATATTGTCTAGGTTCTTTTTTATCTTTCATAGGATTCTTTCACTCGCTCACATTCTCTCTCGCATGCACAACTCGTACGAATACTCGATTTTTTTCTTTTCGTAACCACGCGATGATTCTTGTTTGTTTTAAAGCCATCGTGAGGTGATATCGTATATAGTGGCAGTTCGTCGGACCTCTTTATTTTTGTGTTTTTGCTCTTAGTGATGAGAAGCAAATTTAAGCGGCTTTCACAGCTTTCATAAGGAGGTCGGTGCTGAGGGATTTGGGCCTTTCAATCGGCAGACCAAGAGCTCGTGACCAGACTAAGTCGGCCAATACACCAAGGGCACGAGATACACCGAACAACACGGTGTAGTAGTTCATCTCCTTCATATCATAGTATTGAAGCAAAACACCGGAGTGAGCGTCTACGTTTGGCCATGGGTTCTTTACCTTGCCGGTCTCCAGGAGTACTGGTGGTACAATTTTGTAGACTTGCGACACCAACTACATTGGATAATTTTTTTTACAATTAGCTTCACAAAATGAAAATTCAAATCTCCTACAGAATATTAAAACTTACCTTGAACAAACTGTCGTTAGGCAGATGTTTAAGTGCAAACTCCCTCTGGCAGGAATACCTCGGATCGGTCTTCCTAAGCACAGCATGACCATAGCCAGGTACGACTTGTCCACTCTTCAAGGTATTCCAGATGAATTCCTTGAGTTTCTCGTCACTCGGGTTATCGCCGACTTGTTGTCTAAGTTTCTGCAGCCAAACGAGTACCTCCTGGTTGGCCAAACCATGAAGTGGACCAGCCAGGCCATTCATACCAGCAGCGAAGGATAGATAAGGATCGGATAGTGCCGAACCGACCAAGTGCGTCGTGTGAGCTGATACATTGCCACCCTCGTGATCCGAATGGATCGTCAGGTAAAGGCGCATCAACTCGATGAATTCGGGATTATCGTAGCCCAGCATCGTGGCGAAGTTGAACGACCAATCTTTACCAGCGTCCACCGAGCCGATTCCCTTGCCGTTCTTGTAGATATTTCTGCAAACGATTTTAAATAATTTTTAGATACTTAAACGGTCTTGGAATATTTTTTTTTGCGAGAGGCGAAGAAAATTTACCTGTAGATGGTAGCGGCAACAACAGGCAGCTTGGCAATGAGATTCATGGAGTCCTCGTAGACGGTCTCCCAGAACTTGCTCTTGTGAACGCCGTTGGTGTAAGCTTTAACGAATTCGGACTCGCTGTTGAGAAGTGTAATTGCGGCGGAGAATTGGGTCATTGGATGCAAGCTCTTGGGAAAGTCGTTGAGTGCTTTGGTCACGTGGGAGGGTAAGGAACTGCGTGCTGCCCATTCTTGCGAGATGGCTTTGACTTGGGCATCGGTCGGTACGTCACCGGTGATCAACAGCCAGAATAAGCCCTCGGGCAAGGGTTCGGCACCGCCCGGAGCTTTAGGTAACAGTTTCTGGCACTCGGGAATGGATTTGCCACGGAAACGGATGCCTTCCTCGGGGTCGAGTACTGAGGGCTCCCATACCAAACCTTTGATGCCTCGCATGCCACCGTACATCTGAAAATTATTACGTAATAATTTATTTTTTCATTTAGATCAAGCAGAATTTTAATAAATAACCGTGTCGGTAATCATGGAATTTTTCGCGTTTGATCTTTCTCATCAAATCATTTCATCCCGAAAAAAATGCTAAACATCAAACTTTGTGTGACAACGATTTGCAGTTTGTGCGGAGTGAATAGCAAAAGCTCCGATAAGATAACGGCTGGCGTTTGCATTATAAAGTGGCGAGTAACCGATTCGATTGAATATACGCGGAAAATGCACGCTGCCGACCTATTCCGCAAAGATCACGCGAACACAGACACGTACACGCATACTATCATCAGAGGCAAAAAAAATCCCTTTTCATCCGATATTCGCCTACAATAATGCGCCTTTCATTGATTATTATTTCAGCTCGGGCGGATGTCGAGAAAAGCGTCGAAAAAGCGCCACGAGTATGCGGGAAAGTATCTGCTGATCGTGAGTCGCGCGAGCGATAAAGTCGACGGAGAGGGGGCATTCACATATATCGCGACACGCATGGTGACAGTGACGCGCGCCCGAAAAAAACGTGCAATTAGAAGAAAAGCCGCGTGAATAATGAATGTTAGAATCTTATCGGCATACGTTGGAGAAATTTCGTCTTTCCGTGCACTCGTCATCGATTTTTCTTCTTTCCCCGCGATAATCATTGATTTCGGGCTCCTTTGCCGTACATCAAGCAGGCTTTGCTGCCCTCGACCGCTGGACTCTATTCCGAGCGCTATAAGGTCCTGTGAAAACATTCGCGTTCGAACGACCGTTCGCATAGCTGTCTTCTTTTTTTCTAGCTGTAACCTCTGCGCGGGAAGGCCGCGCGCATTGTTGAACGGAGATCGTAAATGCGTGCACGGCCGAGGAGAGGAAATGCGCGAGACTCACCATGTCAACGGTGACCTCGCCGACCTTGGTGGCGCCGTACTGCTTGCGGAAGTTCTTGATGCGTTCCTGCTCCTTGGGAATCTTCTCGGAGAGCACTTTCTTGAGGTCAGTCGAGCTATCGGACAAAGCCCGAATTCCCACGCCATTGCTCAGCTTCTGTAATTGTAAGCGCAACGTCAGTGCTTTTTGTTATTCAAATGGATCGTCGATGTAATTATAAAATCGCGTCGTCATGGATTCGCGAAAGAGAAGATTCGTGCATTTTTTTTTTCGTTTCATCGTGCGGGTCTTCGGGGAATGCAAAGTGAAAACTTCGTGAGACTGGTTTTTTCCGGCCTCGCGCTCTTTCGCCGGGCGATACGCGCGCACGCGCAGTTTCACTCTCGTTCAATAACGCGGCAAAGTATCGGAGCGTGCCGAGAAGCTTTTGGAAAATTGCTCGCTTCCAGTGACGACAGGCAGCCAGCACTTATCATCCTGCGAATAGAGTTGTATTTTTATCGCTTCACGGCGAGCGATTCACGAGTCGACAACTTGTAAATTTGCACAATCGCATTTGCGAATCCGATGGCGGATCGAGTTTCATCCGCGTGCGAATCTGTCTCTATCTTACCGAGGAAAAAATTTAGCAGCTTCCCCGCGCTGAGGCGGGTATTGTAATAATTGGCTGTGCACGCGACATGGAAAGACAGAGAGAAGGAGAGAGAGAGAGAGGGAGAGAGAGAGGGAGAGAGAGCGAGAGAGAGCGAGGAAAAAGCGACTCCCGCTTCGTGCCGCACGCTAGACCTTGAATCAACGACGTGCGTTACGTAAACAAAAAATCAGCTGACGCCGCGCGGTGAAAATCGACGTGAGCGCCAGGAAAGCGTTTTATGTAATGCGCTTTTCCGGGACGCGTGTCTCGCTGGCTTTTTGGCTTGTGCGCCGAGCGAGCGACAAGCGATGCTGCTGGGACGTTTCGGGTGCTCCGTGTTCGGCGACGGTTTCGAAAGCGGCAATTAAACATTTAGAATCGCGAAAGCTCCATCGGACTTTCGAGTGCCGATGCCGAACGGCACGACGGAAGCATTTCGGCAGAAGCTGGGAGCCGCGTCGGAACTCTTGCCGCACGAAAATTCGTTCGGCGGCATTTCACTTCATTAACGTTTTCGTTTACAGAACAATCAATCCTAGCAGATAACCATAATGCCTCATCACATTTGATCGGTCGCTTTCAAGATATTTAGCAATAAAAATTCAACAATCGCGATAACGAACGGAACGGCTGCTCGCGATACGCGGCGCGATCAGCGGTCGTTCGCTATTAGCGCGCTAAAAATTAATCGAGCAACTCGACGATTAGAAGAGCTATCGCGGCGCAAAGTCGTCTAACGCGATACCCGACAGCGCGCGCGCGCCTTCGGAGCGCCGAGGGGGAGAGAAAAAACGAAGCAGTTTGCGTCTTTCTCTCGTTCTCGCGCGCGAACAATGCAAAGCGCATCGCGGCCGGAGCGAGTCCGAAGGTTAATTGCCTTATCGTTGGCGGCGGCGGCGGCGGCGACGACGACGACGACGACGACGATGACGACGACGGCGGCGGGCTATCGTCTCTCGTGGGACTTTGGCTTTACCAAAGAAACGCGCGGTTACGTGAGCTTGTTTTCATGCGCTCTGCTCGCAGCTGCATCGCCTGGCGGCACAGCTCGCGTGGCTGTGCGCGCGACATCGCCAAGATTTGACTTATCGATCCACGGCTCGATTACTCCCCACTCGTTGATCGCAGACGGCTAGACCTCTGAATAATTAACGGGACCGATCGAGCGGCGTCGTGCTTGCGCGAAAACGGATTTTCGAGAGTTTCAGCGCGCCTCGGCGAGACAACAAAATCGAGCTTTCGGCCGTTCCCCGATCGAAGATTCAATCGCCGTAAAATAGAAAGAAAGAAAAAAAAGAATGGACATGGGAAATCGAAAAGGTGCGTTGGCGGCCAACGAGTCCCTATTGGGTATAAGCTCGACGGACAAAAAAAGAAGAACCAGCGCGCGAGCTTCGAAGTCAATGGCGAGGGAGATAGAGAGGCACGAGGCTCAATTACGTCGCGCGAGCGGCAGACGAGCACCGCCGCGGCAACGATTTGCGGAAATTCGCGGCGGTAGCCTCAAGGTTGTGAACCTGCCGAACTTGTATCTTCGCGCGCCTCGGCCGAGTTGCAACGTCTCGCGTTCGGACACGGCGAAGCTCCTCGGAGTCTCGAAAGATCGCTCGGTGCCCGCTTCTCGCTCCCGCGTGGCATCGGCGATCGTGACATTTTCAGCTTCAAAGAGCGCGCTCTGTCGCTTCGGGTGCGCGTGGTTCCAGAAATTTCCACGGCAATTGAACCGTCGCGCCTCGGATGCCGAAGACAGCAGTGAAATTACGGGCCGCGAGATAACGAGCCACGCCGCCACGAGCGCGTTTTTTCCTATGACGTCAGGCGCGACGACGCGGCCGCCTACGACTGGCCGGAACACGCCGCGAAGGGCCTGCTATCCGTCGAGATTTACGAGCGCAGGAAAGATATCATTGCTCTCCCTCTCTGCGCTCGGACGGCTCGACGGGCCGCCGTGGCAGCAGCCGTGGGAAATGACCTGCCGGTACCGATCGGGTGGCACGAGTCTTGGCAGCGAACCAGCGCTAATTCGTATCGGGCGATCCGATAGATCGCGATTCAATTACGAAATCCGGCTCCGTGAGCGCAAACAAATTAATAAATTGCGCGAACGATTAGCGGCGCACGGGGCGGCAGCGCCGAGGCTGTAAAAGTCGGCATAGCGCGGCGCGGCCTTTACACGGAAACTGATCGCGCGATGGAATTTACCGTTAGAGGCACGAAAACCTAATTCACGATCTGTTCATTCATGCGTGGACTTTTTATCTCTTCCGCTACGAAAGCTGTATGCTTCGTTTTTTTTTTTTGTGGTCGGAGGAATTACGAACGTGCGTTTATCGGAAATCGGGAATCGCGTAACAAGGAGGCGTGATTATCTTAAAAATAGGTACGAAACGTTCGATTGAAAGAAGCCTCTTCGCAGATCAATTATCGGTCAAATTGCGATAATCAGAAAGACAAGGAAAAAAAGGCTACACGATCCGTATCGCAGGAGCGTTGACGGTAATCTCGCGTCACGCATCGACGCGTCTCCCTCTCGTGCGGCAAGCGTATTAATTAACGAGACACGACACGTACACACGTAATGCTCCGCGCGATTCCGTTCTTTCCGACGAGCGACAAGAAGGTGGCGAAAGGCAAGTCGAGCGCGCCGCCGAGCGGACACACGTACGCGCGGCAAGAGCGCAGCGGCGCGGACGAGCGAGTCTTTTATCGCGACCGCGTAAATTCGTGCCAGCGCTTACGATCGACATTGATCTTGCGCTCTCGCTCTCTCTCTCTCTCTCTCTCTCTCTCCCTCGGCCAATCTCGGGTGGAGAATCGCGGCGCGTCGCGCGCGTGCCGACCGCTCGCTCGCTCGCACGCTCCTCGCCTGGCCGCGGTCTCGAGTTTACGGACGATTGTTAAATCCGACACTCCCCGGTTGGTATGCAAAAGGTAAACACGTTATATATAAGCCCGGTGACGGTTTCACTCGCACGCGACGGGCGCCGACGTTATGCGAGTTTTCGAAAAGGAAGCAGATAATCGCGCGGAAACGCAGGTGTCACCGAATGAACTCGACCTTCGAGCGCCGTCGGCTAGCTATCGTTGTGCATTACTGCTATGAGGCAGCCTCGGTTGCAGCGTCATTGCCGCGACTGCAGCTACAGCCGAAAATACGGAGCCTCGCGTTTCAGACGAGGAGTCAGCTGTTCCGAAGTTCCGTCGCTATTTTCGTTATCAGGGATAGCCTGTCGAGTGAATCCCTCTCTCTCTCGGTCCACTTTTATAGTATGCAACCATGTGGTTAGAAAAAGAGGCGCAAGGTCAAGTGCGCGAGCGCTGGTCGACTCGCCAAAATAACTCCTCCATAGCGTGACGAGCGAGTTTTACCAAATCCAACTCGTCTGCGAAGGAAAGCACGCGCGACGATGCGCGCTTTATGTAATCGCAAGTTTCGCGTCTAAATTCGCGTGCGCGAAGGGACGATCTTTACGTAACGCTCGCTCGCCGAGGAGACGAAGCAGCCGATCGTCGATGACGATTCCGCGTAGCACAGGTGACACTTCGGCAGTGGAGCGAGGATGGCAGGGCGGGGGAGGGGAAATGGGAGCACGGCAAAGGAGAACCCGACCTCGAGGTGGCGCTATAATTGGCAAGTTGCGAAAAGAGAGCGCGGCTTTAGCACTCGGGAGTAAGAAGCTGGTTCAATGGCACGCTCAACATCCCTCCACGCGCGCGCAGAACCGTCGTCCGCGCGAAATCTGTGTCACGACGTTTTGCTATCTTCTCGATGTTTATAACAAAATGCTTCGGCCGCGACGCGAAGTGGGACAACGATACTCCTCGAAGGGAAAAACAGTCGCGCGAAAAAAGCACAGCGAAAGAGAGAGAGAAAGCGAGAAGAGAGAGAAAAAAAAAGAGGTGGGTGCACGATTACGCAACCACGGTTGATATCGAGCGCCCTATCTTTCCGTTTTCCCTGACCGCGATCCCTTCGGCTTTCGGCTCCGTGTGCATAGTCGCCACCCCTCCGCCTATGACACTCTGCTCCAAAGTCTCGTCGGCAAGGTAGGTATTCGACGCGAGTTTCCCCCATACTCTCTCGCTTCCCATGTGCCAGCAGCTTCGAAGCGTATGGATCGTCCACCCTGAGCTACAAGATACCGCCTTGGCTGTGCCCAGGTGTGCAAGGCAGGAGAAAAAAATGCTTGGCTCACCAGTCGCCAACGATGGTTACATAACGGCTGCTACTTGACAGACGCGAGTACAGATTTGGGGCTGCAGAACGATAAGTGACCCTGTACTTAATACCAGAGAGCACTTTTTTCTAACGAGGTCGACCTTCTTCCGCAAGACCTCTCCAATGGTTCGCCAAACGCAAAAGCAAAAACGTTAGAGCGAAGGACAGAGAGAGAGAGAGAGAGAGAGTGAGAGAGAGAAAGAGAGAGAGAGATAGCGAGAGAGAGAAAGGGATTCGAAAGGGAAGCAATTGGAGGCGTGTAGCATACAGAAATGGCATGTGTGACCTTCCACGCAGCAGGTTACTGTGGCGTCTGGCACTTTCGCCGAGAAAGGGAACAGACGAGATAAGGCAACGTTCTCTATATATACTTCGCGACAACGTGCTTCGAGCGCGCGAAGAGATAGGGGGACAAAGCGAAAAAAGCAGTGACGACGGCAATCGGGGGCGCGGAGAGGGTGCCTCGCAACACGCGACGAAACGAGGACGCGATCGAGGGTGGCGTGAACGTACCTGGAGATCGAGACAGCGGCGGCTGCTTACACGGAATAGTGCCATCCTTGAATTAGCGAGGAACAACTTTGCGAACACTGACAAAAACTTTGGCTCTTTTCTCTATTGTGCCGTGTGAGTATCTGATGCACCTGGCCTGCTTTTTTTCCCAATACACTTAGAGAAGGGGCGCACACGGCAAGTCGGCGGACGGAGCGAGACTGAAAGAGACCCAAACTGCCGCCAGCCAGTATTCGCTCTCTCTCTCTCTCTCTCCTCGACAGAGACAGCTACTACGAGTATCGAACGATAGACGAGGACAACGAGTACATCGCGGCCGAGCGCGCGCAATTCGGGCATTGTGAGTCGTACTATAGCGCCAGCTTGCGGACGACTGTTCGAATGAAGTTTTTTTCGTTCGATTTGCCTTGGGTCGGTCAATGGAACGAGCTTTGCGTTTGCGCGCTGGATTTGAATTGTGCTTGAAAGTGAATCGACGGCTCTTTGTTTTGTAGTTCTTGTTTGTCAATTCCACGTGTTGGGTAGCAAAATTGAAAACTCATTAAGCCTTATGATCGAGTTGTAATGCGGTGATAAATCTATTAGAAAATTTGTTGGTGACAGCTTTACAAAATCACCCGTAGCAGGCCATTTAATCAGCGCTCTCGGTTCATTAGTTTTTCTTCTAGTTTCTTCATCGATTTATATAATGCTCCAACATGCTTCGTTGATCTGGAATCGTGACGAGTAATTTTGTATGCTTTTATCTGACTTTATTTTAAAGTTCTGGAGCTTGCAACCGGTTTGTGTAGCTTATTTCAATGTATTTGAAGTGGAGCTACGAAAATTGATCAAAAACTACTTAGAAAAACGAAACCATTTGAATGCGTTCACAAAAGTTATAAATGATCAAACTTTTACCCGCATAATCGTCCAACAGCAACAATTACATATATTTTTCTGAAAGTCTCATTTTCTTATTTTATCAGAAAAGTTAGTACTGGCACTTGAAATGTCGAGATGCACTGGATTATCAGACTTGACGATAATCACACATTATGCAGACTACTATAGTTTACAATTAGAAGAATTTCAACAATTAAATTTTATGGGACTGTCTGTCTGTGAAAACACACTCAAAATTATTATTAACTCGAAATTTAAAAAAAAAAAATGACTGATTCATGTCCCTAGAGATGATACATATCTTTTGGAAGATGAGAATATCTCGGCGTGATTTATTTGCTGAAACTATTACGTCTGCAAAGTCCAAAAAGAGTTTGCTCGTTGAGTTTGCAAAAGTAAGGATGTCTGTGCCTAACATTGTCTCAAAACACGATAACTCTTTCGTAAGAGCGTTAAACTATTTATAGTTGGCATTGAATGGATACATAGGCTCGATAAACATTCGAGAGCTGAGCGAAATTGTCCATGAATTTGAAACGGCCGCCAAACCTTTACGAGAGTATATGATTTTAATCGTTGGGGCGAGTTATTATTTTACAACTCTCCAAGAAACCATACATAGGAGACAATGTTTGTGCCTTTTAATAGTGCAATGCGTCGATTAAACGGTTATCATCGCTGAAGCAACGCAAAGTTTCCAGTCTGGTGCGAGCCCTGACTTTTACACGCGGTTTTTGATACACACAAATAAGCGCAAAAATGAGTCTACTCTGATGCCTGCAGGCGTTTCCATGAGCCGTTCACATCGAACAGATGTGAGCAGCATAGCCAGATTCTCGGAAACTAGAAGCAAAGAGATAGATAGAGAGAGAGATAAAGAGAGAGAGAGAGAGAGAGGGAGAGAGAGAGAGAGAGAGAGGTAAAATGATTTGTAATTACCGAACGACACGAGCTGAGACATGAACGTTGTGTGCCGACTACTATACTAAAATGAGATATAATTTCTATTTGAAAAACATGAAGCGATTATTAATCGCTTTCAGACTATGAGCGTACATACCACCGATAAACGTCACGCTAATGAAGGTGAGATATATACGTGAGCTCGTTTACAGAACTCGCCACGTTGAGAACATTTAACGTACCTTGAAGATCTACTTATTTTCGCTGTCCACGCGACGACCTGGCGAAGTTGAACGCCGATCTGTCGGCTCATTGCGAGAGCGACTTGATTAACGACTTACCTGACGTTAGAGCTGTAGCGCTATACGAAGCTTTCGCCAATTTGGCGTACGCGCTGACGTCTGCATGAAGTCCCCGCTGACGAGCGCGCTGATACAGTTGCTGGTGCTCAGATGCGGCCGGTACGTGCCGGTTATCCTGACTATACCTTCCATGCATCTACGAATCCAGCTGCGTGACTAATTGACTCGTGCAGCTGACCTTCGTTCTCGCGGCATTTTTCATTTGGAGCGTCACTTGCGCTGCCGCTCGACTCATTTTTCAGCCGGAGATGTGCTGCAGATGTGCGCCGACCCATAGGTCGTAGCTCGCAAGTTCGCAAGCTTGAAAATCTCCATCGACTTTCGTCGAGATCTGAAGGACTACATGCGAAGACACTGTAGACTGCTGAGATCGAGATGTCTTAGAGAAGATTTTTAGCTGTCCTATAGTTTAGTTGGCTGTAACCAGAGCTTTATTTCAATGCACACTCCCGTTCCGATTGTCAAAGGTAACTCAATTGTTCTGACAAGTAAGAGTTTCATGGTTGAAAAACAGATATATATCAGACCAGCATTCAGTTTGATTTGTAAATCGACATCATATATTTCTTTTTTAAGCTATAATAACATTTCCAATACTATGTCCATTTCTGCATACATAAATCTAAAGCGCGTGCATTCTTACCAGTATGCAGTAGGTAAAGTACGGACCGTATGATGTTGCTATTTCATACAATGCGTATATGCCTATCTCGTACTCTCGTGTTGCGCACACTTTTTTCCGTACACCCCCGGAAAGGGGTAATGCTATACGCTCTCAGCAGGCGACACAGAACCATGTAGACAGCCTGAGAAGTACTTTACTCTTAGACTTTCAATGTGACTGTATACTATACGTGTTAGAAGAATGCACAGTCATCATTTCCCAGTTAATACAACATCAACCGTAGCTTAAGTATCAGCAACTTATTTTCTGGAAATTTGATACTAAAGGGGGTACGGGCACGAATCATTCTGAGTACTTATCGGCATGGGCGATAACGTCCACTAAAGTAGCAAAAATATCGCTGCCGGAACGTTCGGCAATAATTGCTTAAAACTTTGAAAATGTGCTGGGCTCGTAGCTGGTACGATTTAAAAAAAGTTATTAATAAAATAATTTTCATTGACAATGATCGACGATTGTGGAACGTTGCTATAAGGTTCCCGATCAATTTACTCTTCGCTCTCAGGTGAGTTTGTTTTCAAATATTCCTGGGGCGTTTTATTTAATCGCTGATTCCATAGATGAACTGTCATCCGCGGTCATTATCTTATCGACAACGTGCGATTTCTCAATCTCGGCCATTTCCAATTTGCATACAGAAAGGGGGTTTCATTTGAACGCACGATGAAAAGCAATTCTCTTCAAATCAAAGAATTCTCCTATCGAATTAGTCGCAAGAGGAAATTATCTCTTTGAAAGAGAATCTTTACAGCGTACGTTGGCAAATATGAAGGATAAACCTTCTTTCTGCTCTATCTAAGGGAATCTTTTATGCGTTTGTTAATGTGAGAAAGTTCACCAACTATGCAGTCGTATCAGAACATCCAAATGTGATTCCGCAACTCAAAAGCAGTACCGAATGGATTACAGCCTTGGTACAGGAACTTGATAATCCTTTATTTAGCCCTGTACCCATACTTTAGAATCTTTGTAAAAGCTGCATTGACCTATGTAAGTAAAATTATTTTACACGTGCTTTTTAATATAGCGTTACGTAATTGATGAGAAAAGTATTTTATTAATGTTATAAAGTTTTGTACAATTTCATGAATAATTGAGCCTCAGTGACGATATGTCGGTACAGCGGTAACACGAGCTGAAACGTGGACGAGTAGCTCCTTAGCGTGACAACTAGAACGCCAGCCGATTGTTTATTAACACGAGTAAATTATCAGAACGTAAAATTCTTTTCAGAAGCGTGAACGGACGTACGTTTGTCTGCGCAGTCATCGTTTTGGAAAAGTGATTAACAGCAATTTTTCTGAAAGCTTTCTGACTTTAAACGATAAGTGTACGTCCATTCTAACGAATATAAGTATTTTTTATTAGATTTTCAAGTGGCTCTTTTTTTCTCAAAAGCGCTGACATATCGTCACCGGATATACAGACGTACAACCGTTTAGAATCATTTCCGACTACTTTCTACTTCGAAATTCGAAGTCGATTTCGTAATTGCTTTTAAAGTTCATACAACCTTTTCTCAAGGTTTAATCTGTCCTCAGAGTAGAACATGGAAGGAAAACGTGACGTGTCCGTAACTTATACCTCATGTTTCAAGAATTTTCTAATTGCGGTTTTTCTAATTCGGTCATTAACTTGTTTGTTACATTTTTACAACGTAAATCGAAGCAAAAAAAGTAATCGTTATAAAAAATTATACACCATCTATTAAAAATTGTCCGATTATTACATAAATATGTCTTCATCCTTTTCGAAGCCTTTGAACAATTGTACAATGTTTTATTATACGCACAAATTATTGTATACAGTAACATAGCATAAGAATTGATACACGCTGATTCGCGCCATGTTACTGTACACAAAAGTTTAGGTATGCAATAAAACCATGCACAATTGTCCGCACACCCTTGGAAAAACTTGCGAGTACCTCTAGCTTTGATTCCATGAAAAGCAAAATCAGCACTTTCACTACCAATGTAATCAGGCCGATCACAGTTACTTACGTAACTGATACGGCCGCCGATCGCGTAAACGTTGTCACTCTGTAGTACGTCGCAGTGTCCACGTAAAAAAAAAGAGAAATTCAAAAGCACGCGCGCGCATTCGTTACATTCATGACTGGCCATTGATGCGCGATTGGTCGGTGTTAACCTCAGCTGATTTCCCCTCTCCATCGCGAGCACGGGCGCACCGTAGACGCGCCTCGGGAAAAGCGCTCTTGTGAACGCATAATACGTGCGTTCGTTTGTCGATACGGACACTTGTTGAGCTCGATTTTCACTTTTCTCCAGTTTTCCTTTTTCAAACGAATCAAGATGACTGAACCGTAAGTATCGCTTGATCTACACATTGAATTTAAGCCGAGAACATCGTATCATCTCTATTTTCCTGTCATCGAAAAATAGAAAAAACGTTGAGTCACGCGTCGAAGTTGTAGTTTTTCTCACGTGGAATATTTCAGCATACAAGTGCGAATGTACATAACTTTTTTGCTTGCAGAGTAGCCGATATTGCTCTCATCGGCTTAGCCGTGATGGGTCAAAATTTAATTCTCAACATGGACCAACACGGTTTCGTTGTGTGCGCTTTCAATCGTAGCACAGACAAGGTCACCAAGTTCCTTGAAAACGAGGCTAAAGGCACAAAAGTCATTGGTGCTTACAGCCTCGAAGAAATGGTCAGTAAACTCAAGAAGCCAAGGCGTGTTATTATTCTTGTCAGAGGTACGTCAGAGAGCGATCAAAACAAGATTACATTAATTGTAAGTACAACTCTAATTATATTGTATCTATTGGTGGTTTATTTTTCCATAGCTGGATTGGCGGTGGATAGTTTCATTGAAAAGCTCACGCCTCTGTTGTCGCCGGGAGATATTATCATTGACGGCGGTAATTCAGAGTATAAAGATACCGAAAGGCGTACAATAGATTTAGAATTAAGAAATATTCTATTCGTTGGTTGTGGAGTTAGTGGTGGAGAGGAAGGGGCAAGGAAGGGGCCTTCTCTTATGCCTGGAGGTAATCCTAAAGCTTGGCCTCATATTAAACCTATTTTCCAGGTGATTTTTTTTTCCTTTCGGTCAAGGTTTCAGTTGTTTTTTTTTCATATGTGACTTACGCAATGACTGTGCTTTCACTTTCATAGGCTATCTGTGCTAGGATTGGCAATGAACCCTGCTGTGACTGGGTAGGAGAAAATGGAGCAGGACATTTTGTCAAAATGGTTCACAATGGCATTGAATACGGAGATATGCAATTAATCTGTGAGGCATATCATCTGATGCGTGATGGTATGCAATTGAATGAGGAAGAAATGAGCAATACGTTTAAAAACTGGAACAAGGGAGAGTTGAACTCATTCCTTATTGAAATTACTAGTAATATTCTGGAGTATCAAGATAAGAACGGATTCTTGTTGGAGAGAATTAGGGATACAGCAGGTCAAAAGGGCACAGGAAAGTGGACTGCAATTGCAGCTTTGGACTATGGTGTGCCTGTTACTCTAATTGGAGAATCAGTATTTGCTAGATATCTTTCAGCTCTCAAATGTGAGAGAACAACAGCTAGTTCGGTTCTTCCTGGACCTAAATTAAAATACCAAGGTGACCAAAAGCAATTGTTGGAATATCTTAGGAGGGCCCTCTATGCTTGCAAAATTATTTCATATGCTCAGGGTTTTATGCTTCTGAGCGGAGCTGCCAAAGTTCACAATTGGAACTTGAACTATGGTGCCATTGCACTAATGTGGAGAGGAGGTTGTATCATTCGAAGGTAAATTGAATATTTTCACGTTTTCTTTCGAAATTCTTAAATTTTCAATTACTTTTAGATTTTTCAGCTTTCAAAATAAATAACTTTAAATCACGTTCAATATGGAATATTTTTCGTTTTACTAATATAATAAAGTATGATTATAATTTTACAGTGCATTCCTTGGCAACATCAAACAAGCCTTTGAAAAAAATCCCAAACTGACAAATCTACTATTAGACGACTTCTTCACTAAAGCGATGCTCCACTGTCAGGAGAGTATACGTATGGTCGTCAGCATAGCTATAAAGCTTGGTATACCAACGCCAGCAATGTCAGCGGCATTGTCTTTCTATGATGGTTATCGAACAAAAAATTTGCCAGCAAATCTTCTTCAAGCGCAACGTGACTACTTCGGTGCACACACCTATGAAATTCTCGGTCAGGAAGGCACGTTCGTACACACCAATTGGACTGGCCATGGTGGCAATGTATCCGCGTCAACTTACGATGCTTGATGACGAACGTCGAATAATTTGTTGATTGTTTGTTTGATTTACACACATGTCATACATTCGCTCTCTATGCACATGATTGAGCTATAGAGCTATATATATATATATATAGGTGATAGAATTATCGTGATCGTACATCTTATAATTCTTCCTCCGATACGGATATGCGCATTTATTATGGATATTACTATTATGTAATTAATTATCAGTTTTTGATAGGAAATTATATTTATTAGATTCGTAAGTAACGGTATTTCATTCACTTTTGCCTTTCAATGGGATATAGTTAAGCGAACTCTATGATTATGCCAATTTATGCACACGTAACAAACTTTTTTTTGTCAATGCTGGAGCTTAACCGATTTACATAACGAACGATATTGTTTTTATGACTTCTATAAACCTTTGTCCGTCATCATAGATGATAGTTTCCTTAGATTTTAATTCACAACACACAATTTTTAATTCTAGCAGTTTTCTATAAAAATATCATCAACGTGTGAGTAATTCATCATCTTGACAAAATTCATATTTTTCCAAGTAATCTGTGCGCAATTTCCTATCATTGCCGTGATTACAATTGTAGCTCGTTTCAACTATTCATTCTTATGCAATCGACGCATAATTCCAACTTTACGTCGTCATAAACATTCAACTCGGATCGCGCTTATCATCGCACCTACACGTCATCAAATTCTACCTTACTACATTTGAAAACGTGGAAAAAGAAAAAAGAACAAGTCGACAATACTAATCACTCGTAGTTTCTAGTTTGCGAAACGTTGGCAAAGAAAAAAAAAATTAAGTAAAAGAAATAGACAGCTGAAAGGAATGCCCAAGGACATACGGGGAGCATATAAAAGTTGCGCTCGCGTGCGTCAAAGAAAGTGGTCATTCCTCCTCCACGGTGTCGTCTCTTCGATTTCATTGAGCGACTGCTCGGAAAATTACTCTCCATTGTACATTTTCACTTGCGTATATTTATATATATATATATTCAACGAGCGCACACTGGCGTTTCTCTTTTCTTAGTGTTGCGTATCGCGACAGCCGCTCGATTTTCTAAAGGACGCTTTTCATTTTGCGGATCGTTAACCACCACATCAAAGTTGCAGTAGGCTAAAAGTGTTTACTCGTGCCAGTTAAGCTTTCTGCGTTTCCGTTGTGTCTTCTCGGTCGCTCTCTGCCTCCACACTTTTTTGCTAAAATTACTCATGGTAATTTAACGTCATAGTAAGCTTTACATTTTAATTTGCTCAGTGATTTATTGGAAAATCGTCTCCGACAGCCATGTACGTTCCTAAACACACGAAAAAGAAAGTTACCGGGGGATTGTTTGCATAATTGTGGTTGTTTTACTAGAAAATTACGATAATTCGATAATGCGCCTACTTCACATAGTTACGCTCGAAGAAACGCAGCAAATCAATATATCCGAAATGTTGAGCACGTTGTTCGTTAAAGACATGGCGCTCCAAAAGCATGTGCAGCTTATCGACGCTCGTTTCTGCAACAATCCCGCTTCCCCGCGAACACACGCGCGAAGCGTTACGTAAGAGAAGACACGTGTGCGTTCATGAGCCAGACACGCTGTTCTGGGACGCTCCTCTCCTCCGAGCGCGTATATGCGCGGGGCCAACGGTATATGCATTTAACGAGCGGAGGCATGAGAATAGACCAACTCGCTCTCGACTGACCAGTTCACGGAATTATGTTAATTCCATTCTCGCGCGCGCGAGAAACCGGTCGTTGGCCTTTTTCGTGCGGCGATGGGATACACACGCACTCGTGCGCTATGCAACGCGCGCAGCCGTATCTGGCGCCGGACGAAAAAGAGGAATACGCCCCGCGCCAATGTCAGCCCCGCGGTCGCCGCGGTAAATCAATCCGACTCGGCGGCGGCTAATTTTGGAGATCCACGATCTCGGCGCGAGATCCGGCGGCATTTTTATATCCGTCGAGCGACGTCGATATCATTTTATCATGACGGTGCGCGTTTTAATTTTCATTCTTTTTTTATTTTATTTAGAAAGCCTCTCGCGCGTACCACCACGGCTTTGCATGGATGCGTGTCGTCGTGGTCTGCCGCGATGTAATTACACTTGCGGCAATAATTGCGCGAGCGATACGCATATCCACACACTCAGCGACGAACGTTTTATTTTTTTTAACCGACGCTTATTAAAAATTCAACCTTTCCCCCATCCCTACTCACTTTTCAACTTCTCGAATAACCCGAAATTTGAAAAAGTTAAATATTTACGATTTCGTTGGACGCGAGTCTTGGAAAAGGAGCGCGGAGTGGCAACAAATTAGGCTTTTTGGCACCGGCTTATAAGCAGCAACAGATCACCGAGTGAGAGAGAGAGAGAGAGAGTAAGAGAGAGAGTGAGAAACCAACAGATAGAAAGAGAGAGGATTGGTTCTCGCTGGCGACACAAGCGCAGTAAGGTATAACGGTGCACGAGAGACAGTCAGTCAGTCGTCGCCGCGACGCCGTCGGGACGCGCAACCTTTTCACTGGTATAAACGCATCTACAGATACATTCATACGTGTACGCGCGTATACGCGTGTTCGTGTGCTTTTCGCATTAATATATTCACAGGACCCTCCAATGTGGCGACGGCGAGCGTGAGAATCGTACGAATAGCCGCCGATAGAGGTTTGTGTATTTTGTATAATAATCTACGTAGTTTCTTTTTCATCTGTTCGAACGTTTTCGGGATGCATTAATTTATGGATGACACGTCGCTAATCGAAAATAGACACTCGAGTGTTTCGCGTGCGAGCCGAGAGATTAGAGGAAATGGAATTTGCATTGCACGTGCATTTAGTAGGAGAGCGAAAAAAACCCGTAAATTCCAGTTTTAACGTTTACGACACGGCCATTCGCCAAATAACTTTCATGAATCGCAAATGCCATTCGTTTTCCTAATGCTGTTTACCAAAGCGCGAAACGCTACGACAATTTTTTTTCGCCGTGTGCCTTTCTACTTGCTCGGAGCAAAAAGACATTTATGGCCGAGAAAGAAGGGATAGTCGAGTAATTTAATTATTGAAATTGAATTGAAATCCAAGTCTTCTTTGACGTAGTTTTGTTCAGAGTGAAAAAGATTTGAATGAAAAATGGAAGAGAAACTATTTACTTATGTAACGACGAGTTGCATGCAAACGTTACGACATAAATGTAGTGTCTAAGCAGCTGCTAAATAAATTCGCAAATCGAGTTACACATACTGGTTAATATTGTTTATTGGCAAATAGTTTTACATAATTTCCAACTCGAAGCGAAGAGACGCACAGACTCTTAAAAAAGTAATTTGTTATGACAAATGAAGAGCTTCTCTACAAAAAAAATTCTTTGGTGAAAAAGATATTACAATTTCTTCAAACGTTTAATACGGTGGGGATCATAAGTCAGTCGTGTAAAATTATATTGATGGAAAATTGATTGAAACACATTGGAAATTAATAGATCCAATGAAGATGCCCCTCGAACGAGAACCCATTAGTAAGAATTCTATTGGTTAACCCCTACGGCAATCGAGAAAAAAATGTATTACCCGCCTCCACAATGCGAAGAGAAAAAAGAATTTTTTTATGTAGCAACAGCACCACACGTGCAGTGGCAGGCGAAAGAAAAGGGTGAACGCTCCACCGCAGTGTCTGCGCCCTTCGTCTGGCCTTCCTACCACACACATAGAGGTATCTACCTTTGCTTATACGTGTGTACACGCAAGAGTCGACGACGTCACACACACGCGTACATATTTCGTATACTGTCGCACCGAAGCCGGCAGCACACGCAGCTGCCAACCAACAGCACTAGCGGCAGTCGGCGGCGGCGCTCTCTCACCGCAGTTTCAGAGTCGACGACTCTCCTGCCTCGGCTCTGTCGTTGAGAGCAGCAGCAGCAGCTAAAATGGCTGACCATCGAGGCGGCGGCGACTCTTATTACGGTAGTGATCCTCGCTCCAAGAATGACGATCCCCCGAATTCACGACTATTCGTCATCTGTCACAAGAGCCTTGAGGAAGATGACCTCAAGAAAGCGTTCGAAAAGTTTGGCAAGATTGAGGATATCTGGGTGGTCAAGGATCGAACCACTGGCGACAATAAAGGTATTTGTTTTCCGTGCGTATGTGCACTTATGTATACGTGTCTACGTGTGAATATATATTATTACGTACGCGAGACGATTGTTTTTCCTGCGCAGCTTTTACATTTTTTCTTGTCTTAATGTCTATGTCGTAGGAGTCACGTATATAAAGTACTCCAAAACGTCGGAAGCGGCGGTCGCCCTCGAGGAAATGAACGGCAAGATGCTTGGCTCCGTTGGACGACCCATCAAAGTCATGATCGCCTCCAAGTAAGTTTATAACTGTATTCATGACTCATTTCTAATGGTATGCGCGCAATGAGAGTGCGCAGAAAAAAAAAAAAGAAACTAGTTCTGACTATATTTCGTGTGTCAACTTCTATAAGCCGAGATCAAGGGTCGGTGAGAGAGACAAACGAGGAGGAACGTTGGGTACGACTGTTTTGCGTGCTGCCGAAATCCATGACCGACACGGAGCTTCAACAGGAATTCGCCAAATTTGGACCTATCGAGTACGTGACAGTCGTCAAAGACAGGAATACCAATGAATCCAAGGGTTTTGGCTACGTAAAATTCAAGAAGGTGTCCAGTGCTGCAAAAGCCTTTGAAGAGTGTGACCGAAAGTACAAAGCAGTGTTTGCTGAGCCAAAGAAGCCCAAACCTGATCCTGATCAGAAATACAGTAATGGAATGTCCATGGGTTATGATAATTCCAACAATTCCAATTATGGTAACAATTATCATAAGAACAATGTTGGATTGGAAATAGCTGGTAACTACCCCAATACTGATGGTTTTACTAAGTTACAAGTCATTGCCCACCCAGCCTTAAATCAAGATCAGCTGTGGAAGCTGTTTGACATTGTACCTGGTTTGGATTATTGTCATCTCAAGACAGATGCCCGATATAGATTGTCAAGAGGACATGCTACTGTAGTTTACAATACTCCCAGTGCAGCTGCTTATGCAAGAGAGAAGTTACATGGATTTGAATATCCGCTTGGACACAGGATGATAGTCAAACCTGATATGTCTGGACCTCTATTACCTCACAAGCCACTTTTAAAGCAAGGCATTCCGAATAATAATAACATTACTACTCCTGGTGGTGTTGTTGCTGCTAGAACTGATTTGGCACATTTGGCTGAAACAATTGCACAGGCAACATCATTGATTCAAGCAGCTGGTCTAACAGCACCTTGTAAGTTAATTTAACGCAATTTTATTCATTAAAAGTCAATATATGAATTAAAGTGTGGATTGCTCTTTACAGCATTAGATCACTCTTTACATAAACTACCTCCAGTACAACCTATGGCCAACATCGATGCAGAAGTCGCAAAGCGATGTTTCATCGTATGTGGCCCACCAGTGCCTCCTATTTATGCCATGAAAGATGCGTTCTGCAGGTTCGGTAATCTCATTGATGTTTACATGCTTCCTGGGAAAAACTGTGGTTATGCCAAGTATGCTAGTGTTGAAAGTGCCAATAAAGCCATTGAGGTAATTTGACAGATTTTTTAACTTTCAATGTATTCGTCAATCGATAATAATGAAAATCGTTCTTTTTACTTTGCAGACTCTTCATGGTCAAGAAATCTGTGGTTCTCGTCTAAAAGTCCTAGAAGCCGAAGAACGCAATGTTGGTGATGATCGAAGAAAGAGATTAAGAATGGACGAGGACGAGCACTAATTTACTTAAGAAAAATCGTAAGTATAGCGAGGACGACGTAATCGAGATTATTTCCTCATGAGACATTATGCAAGTCTGTCGTCGCCATCGTTATTGTTGTCTTCCTTTTTCTATCTGTCACTCGTTTTCTCTCTTTCTCACATTGACTATCCATTCATTGGGGATAATGTAATATTTGTATTTGTCTTCACAGACCGACTGGTAACACACTATGCAGGACGCACGCCACGAATTGAGACGAAATTTTATAAAGACTCACTTTATTGACCACATCGGGCCTGCAACAGAATGGAAAACTACCACGACCATCCTTACTTTTACTGTTGTTTTACGTTCGCCACATCTCAACATTTACTGAAAAAAAACAATTGAACAATTGATATATTACCAACTTAACGAAAAAAAAACTTTTCATTGTCACACTTATGACACCGGACATCACGGTAAATACGTATGATTTCCTGAAGCGTGTGCCTGTGCTTTCGAATTTTTCGCGTTGCGATATGACTTATTGGATGAACCACAGCAATTACGTACGAAATATGTAATTGAGTCTTTTTTTACTAAGAAAAGAATACTTTCAGAAAATATACAAAAAAAGATGAGACATTTAATGAAAAGAGCGTGAAAAGGTATATGTTTACGCTATTTTCATGTTTTAGTTTCATATTTAAAAGAAAAATGAATAATAATAATAATAATAATAATGATTATATAATAAAAAACTAATACTAATAATCACAGAAGCGCGGACGATTGTGAAAGTATTTTGATAATTTTTATAAAATCCATATTGTATATATACATACATGAATATATATTTGTGTGAATTTTCATGAGTAAACACGTATATCATATATATATATACGGAGACGTGGATGCATTTGACGTAATTTATATATATATAGTCGGAGATAGTCAAGTTGTCATATGTATATTATTTTTTATTCAAGCAAATTCTAGGCTATTTTCGTTTAGGAGAAAAAGAATCAAGGATCGGATTGTGATTAACAAGCGTCACTCAATTATAATTAATCATTAACTTCTTACATACAAGAGTTACGTATTATATTGACTCTTGCAGAAGGGATTTGAAATAGAGACAGAGCAGAAAGAGTGTTGGACTCGAGATCCATAATATTGATATACAAAGCATCCTTTCTCGACGTCCAAGCATGTATTTTTTACCTAATTATTTCATAGTTATTTTTTGTTACATATATATGAGAAAAAAGCAACTAATTTTAACACGACGTATAGGTGTTTTTACGTGGCATTAGTGATAAGAATAGTCGTACATTTACGAAAGAGATCATTACAGAATATTTTTTGAAGAATTAAAAAGAAACAAAACGTTAGCTGGCTCAGCTAAAGTTATATTCACGATTTGCCGGGATAAATAATACTATAGTAGCAGCTGTACATATTTTGAAGTATATCTACAGCGGAAAGCTGACTACAAATTTTTTCCATATTATATATACATACATTTACGATTATTACCGTTTGTTCTTTGTCCACACAAGACTTATCGCTATTAATCAACTGTGTGTGTGTGTGTAAACCTGCGACGGCATTCACTTAAAACAAAACGAGTACAATATATATGATAATTGTAAGAGAAATCTTCAAAATATACTATACACCAAAATGTCTTTACAAAATAACAAATATTAAAAGAAAGAAAGCGCGTGCGCTGTATAATTTTTCATACTGATTAATAAAAATACTAAAAGATATGGATTAAAAAACAAAAAACAAAGATTATTCCGAGCAACTTTATATAGGGAAGGTAATAAACTTGCCTTACCAAAATGACTGTAACAGTGACTTTGCCGTCACAAGATGATTAAAAAAAATTAATATAACGCAACTGATACAGAATCAAATACAAATTGTATTACAAGCATTCATTCCAGTGGGTTTTTATTATTTTCTTTTTTGTTCTTTCACATTTCTCATTTACAAAAAATAAATGACGTGACTCCCATGATCCATCCAAGCAGCAATCCAATGTTACTTTAATTTTGTCTCTTTCATTTTTCAGGATTCGTGCGCACGGATTATCGACGAGTACCTGACGTCTGTGATATTACTATATGAATATTTATATTTTCGTTATTGAATCAAAAGCAAAAACCATTCTTTTTGTAACCGCACTACTACTTTTTTGTAAAAAGTACTATATTTTTTTATACCCCATATTATACCCCATAGGGATACCAGTATCTACACTTGTATATAACATTGAACTTTTGTTCTAGCTAACTTTTAGAAACTAGTCAGATTAATTTGTGTTCCAGTTATATTTTTAAAAGACTGGATTTTACATAAGTGACATAGTTCATTTTATTCTTTATTTTTTATATGCCGAAGTCGACTTATTTCCTTATTGTTTGTTATATATTTGTTTTTGGGAATATGCAGTTTAGTTTTTTATACGTACAGATTGATACGAATTAAAAATAAATCCACTTTATAATATACATACGTCTTTTTTCTAGCGAAATTTACATCTCATCAAATGGACGTGTAAATTATTGGATCGGCAAAACAAATCGTCAAATTACACGTAATGCCATTATTTACTGTGTAATGGTAGAACAATTTGCTCATTCATGGTTCATAAAATAAACCAATGAAATTTGAAATTTAATTTAATAAAGCTTACTTTCATGGTAAGTATATGCACAGGAAGTTTTTGAAATACAAATTGCTTATTAATTGACTTAATAAAGGAAAAATGTTGAACAAACCTGGAAAATTGGTAAAAGCTCTATCATAACTTATTTTCAGCAGTATATATGCAATTACTTTTTCTCTGCAACTTCGTACGCATAGCAATTCTCACCATTATCGAAGCGAAATCATTTTTAACAGATGAGCCAACGAAGTTATTTAACAGTAAACTTCAGTTTTACGTGTCGTTAAAAACATATATACATATATATATATATATATATATATAGAGAGAGAGAGAGAAAGTTGTGCAACGCGAAGAGAAACCATATACGTGTATAGACCTCCTCGTAGTTAGGTAAGCCTTACACATCGAGGGCACTAACCACTTGCATTTATTTTTAAACGAACGCAATTGTTATTCTAATCGAAAAAACATTACGTAATTAAATGAAGTAACTTTTACGAACTTTAATAATATTCGTACTTCACTACTTCACGTGTATTTGAAGTTGCATTGGGTGGTAAACGGATTAAAATACACTTCCTTTATTCACGTCGGAGAGACAGGTATTTTTATTGACATTCTGACGAGAAATTTTTCCGAAGCTTCGGAAAGCGTCTTTAAGCGAATAACGCGAAAACTTATATAAATCCACACCGCGCAGAAAGCCGGAACTCGTACATGACGCCCACACTAACTTGAGCATTCTTTTTATCCGCCTGCGTACCAACGTGCACGATACTACTGTAATAGTGAATCATGCGCTACCGACCGAATTATAAAATCGTTAATGAAAAAAAAATAAAAAAAAATACAATCACCCACGTGTGATTTTATTATTGTTCAACGGTCGTGCGCGCCAAAAATAGCGGAGCACCCGACAACATACACGCAAGAGCAGCAAAGTAAATACCAGCTGGCAATTCCCCGAGGGTGGGGGGATATCGCACCAAACTCACGCGGCAGTACGCGTGACTCGAACGAAGTCGAGGTGGATGCATGCGCGCGCGCGGCAAGATAACAAATTTCGTCCGAAAGAAGGGGGAGCGAGCGCGATGCTGTAGGGCTCATTCGATTTGCAGTGCTTGACGAAAGACAACGTACGCGCTTGCATTGAAGTAATAAAGTAACATTTGAATTTCGCTCTTTTCCGCAACGCAACGGTATGCATTTGTATAATGTGTTGCCTTGCGACTGCCGTCGTTGCTGTGCTTCGTAGTCGGAAACAGTGATTATCGGCGGCAAGTGGGTGATGAGTGTACGATAAAAATTTAGAAAATAAAAAGAAAGGCGTGTGTAAGAGTGGTGAGATAATGGAGGAGACCTCCACGGAGAATGCTAAGATCTCCGATTCCGGTTACTCCAACACTTGCAGTAATAGCCAATCGCACACCAGGTGAATTGTTGTTACCTTCTTTTCCAAGAAACGAGCAAATGTCGATGCATGTGGTTGCATCACTGCAGCCAATCGTTTTATAGCCTGGAGTTCGATATCGATAATTGAGACGTTGGATTTTTTCATCACGGAGATGCAATGTAATCCTGTCCACGCGCATATACGACTAGGAGAAGGTCCGCGTGATACCAGCTGGCAATATCTCATCTACCTTGCTTTTGATTTTGCTTTTCCACGCACAAGCAATTTGCGCATAAATATTTTTCATTATCGATACAATTATATGCGAGACAATATTGTACTCAGCAAGCATATTTTTGAGATTGTTTTGGATACGTGCAGAGGAAACCTTCTATAATGTTAACATAATACACATTAGTGGTGCAGTATGCAGATATAGTCATGGACTGTTGAACTGGTAATATAGAAAGTACTTAGATATATCCTTTGCCGCAAGCTCATCATCAAGTAACGACTAACGTTTACAGACGTTTATGGTACTCAATTTTATTCAATGTGTTGCGAGTAATTTATTAATTATTATTATTATATCAATGAGAATATTAACTAATTTGAAAATTCATATTTTTAAAAGGACTTAAAATCCACTTTTTCGTGCTTCTAATGTTTTGATATTCTGTCATATTTTTTTAATGTTAAACTCGATGTTAACAGTAAACGATAAGTGATCGTAATGTTTTACGGAATGAAAACCGATTGTTTACATAACAATATAGTAACTTCGGCCATTGATCATTGGCGTTCAGCCTCACATTGATTACATATAATTAGTCGATAAAAGTTGCTTTAGTTAAGCGATTAAAATAATCAAAACGTCAAAAGCAAAATCATCGTCATCGCATCGCATTTATAATATTTTCAATCGAATCGTAGATTGAAAAGAACCACGTTGAAAGGCTCGATCGTAGCTGTACAATGACGATGACAAAAAAAAAGAAAAGAAAAAGAGACTCATCACTCAAAAAGTGTATGTTCACTGTAAATGACATCGTTAGAAAAAAAGAAATTGTCGCACACGCGAAAATAAAAGAAAAACGAATCAGTAGTCACAGGCCATGGTAAATCGATGATTAGCACGCGTATTTATTTCGATATTCTAATGGTCATCTAAAATTACCGACACTTATTAATACTCAGTTCAAAATGGATGCTCACGTGTAAAATTAATCCGACGAGCGAAGCGCAATAATGAGGATAAATTTATCGTCGTGTTCAATAGCTCTTTTATCGAGGCGCTTGTCTGCACGATAGAAGCTTCCTTTCATTATATTAAACTATAATGTTGAAAGATTATTTAAAAAGGATTTTTTAATTCATCATCAACGCTTAATTTAATTTGGTTTTCGTTAGTTTTCACATTTTTTATGGATTTAAAAGAATTATAAACGATTTAATGTATTGTAAATGTTGGAGACTTATTAGATTTGATTTTTTTACTGTTGACGAACTTCTATAAACATCATTGCTCGATTGATTGGTTCAAAACATACGCGATAAGAATAAGGAGAGAACAAAATATTAGTTGATAGTTTGGATAAGTGAAATAGCACTTGATCTATTTCAATGGGATATTCAAAACTCCAAATATTATGATTTTTCAATGAACTATGAATCATAGTTGAGCTGCTACATTTTTAGTTGAATTAAAATATACTCTTGAACGGTTTTTTATTAAGGAAAAGAAGCAGAAGAAGAAATGGCACAATGTCGTAAAAGTGATTTACAGATCAATATCCGGTTGACCGCGTTTAACGAGACTATACTTAATGATATATTATTTTTGGTTATTGATCAATAAATGTCATAATATCCATTGAAACTTGTAAATAGCTGCATTAATATGTCATGGAAACTTCATTTCATGAATTGTTACTATTATTATTACTCAAAACACTACGATTATCCGGGACGCTGCTAAGGCACACTATAGGTACCTGTACGCATTAATACTGATTTCCCATAGTCATTAGCAAGTATACGTATCTTTCTTACCACTTTTGCAATGGGGAGAGAGAAGTTTTTGCTTGCGTCACAACTGAAACTAAGACGGAATCCGAACTACCCGATAAATCACGGTAACGGTTTTCATAAATTTATGAAAAATTTCACACGCTTCTGAAAATTGTCATAAATGTATGAGTTAAATTCGTTATCGCAAAAGTTAGATTCTGGCTTGATAATCGTTGAAAAACAATGGCTAAGCCCACCTAGCCAGACGAAATCTCGAATGAAATTATACTGAGGCGCGATGAAATAATACGACATTAATTGTCAGTCATTCGTCGGCCGGGCGCCATCAGTAGTATAAGTATAGCCGCGGGAGCGTTACATTGGGACAAGAGAGAGCGGTCGCAGCTGTAATTGAAAGGTAATCCTTTCGTCCTTTATATAACGAAGCTTCATACCGGCGGAACAATTAATTTCTCCCCTTAACGCGCTATTTGCAAAGCCGGCTCTTCTCGTTATATATCCCAACGGCTTTGCTACTCGTCCGTACAGCGATGTTATTTGCGGCCTCGTCGCCGATCTGCACTCGTTCCATTGGCACGTTTCCGCCGTGGAGAAAGCGATTCTCAGTTCGATTTTCCGTGAAAACCAAACGAATTTCTTTCGTATACAAATGTACGTGTTGAACTTGCATAAATATCGATTCCAACTAGAACCTCCTCGTTACGGTTTCTTAAAAGAAAGTTTGATCGCGGGCTTTCTTTTCGAATAGTTTTCCGAATGTAGATCGCGAGCACTCCAAGCCGTTCGCAGTATTGCCAGTGATCGCTTTCCGAATCTCGCGACCATTACTGATCGTCGAAAATCTCTACTGATAATGAAGAGCCACGACGAGCGGTCCAGCCAGCGTGGAGGCGAACCGAATCACGAGATCGTAAACATGAGTCGGCGCGTCTGGCTCTCTCTCTCTCTCTCTCTCTCTCTCTCTCTCTTTCTCTTCTTGCTCACGCTGAACTACGCGGACGACAGCGTGACCCGCGGTGCGGCGGCAGTCACGTTTTCGCGCCTGACGCTGCGGGTTTCCTTGCGCGCGCATGAACTCTATTTTTGCCGTCGCTGTCCGTGAGCGTACGCCGCTGAAATATAGGTAACTATGCGATATCTCGCTTGCGCGTCCGCTCGGGGATGGGGCGCGGCTGCGTAACGAGCGAGACGTAAAAACGAAAAAAAAAGGAGAAATTCGCGTCCGACGTTACGAGACGGCTCTGCTCTCGATCTTGCCTTTCGCGCTTTCGTTCGGACCCGGTTGCGCAAGTCGCGCTGCGCCCTTATACCAAGCCAGAGGGACGAATTGCGTCCTTCGCTCTCGTAATCGTTTCAATCTCGTCCTATCCGCGAAGTTCCTTACGCCCTTCGCGCGCTCTCGTGTCTCGCGCCATTCCCATTGTAATAGAAGCGCCAGCGGCTATTAATACCGCTGGCATTGTTATTGAATTGTTTATTTTATTTGTTTATTTCATTATTGTTAGTTCAGAGCGTCAATTTTGGCGATCGTCCATTCTTGGACGTAATTTCAGGCGCCTGCAGGTGCTTGCGTTTGAGAAAGGTTTTTCATCGTTCCAACGAGTCAACGACGTCGTTGACGCTCAATAATGCAGAATGTTATTTTTGTTACAGTAGCGGAAGTTCCCTATCGAGAAACAGTAACCGATCTGCCAGCAGCGGATACCATGGCGGCAATATTTCAGTTTTCAGCTCTTGGTAAGTGCCCACTGGTTGTTTCTGTCATCGTTGACAAAATGGGCAAAGGAGTTTCTACTGTTCTTTTCTAATTGATTCGATGCTTCTTACAACTTCAAGATTACCACATTAAATACAAAAATATTTTATGCTATTTTCCATGTTATATATGTCGTGTATAGATGTCTAAAACATAAGCTCTTATTTTTGTTTTTACAAACTGTAGTCGCATCTGTAAAGTTATGTATACGTGGTGTTGTAATTCTTTATCAAATGGGATTACAAAAAAAGCGCATTTTCGCCAATACCCGTGACTTGTGTCCGACAGTTTTTCATGTGACCGCCCGATCGACGAAACAAACGCGAGTGAATATTTTAACGCACTGCAATAATTTGACAATTGAGCCTAACAGTCGTGTCGCGCGACAGATCATCCAGACTTTGTTCAACGAGAACTTTCAGCTAATAGGAAAAATACTTGGACTCCGATTTCGTACCCTCTGTCGTTTACTTATCTCGCAATCTCGGTTAGCTTTACGTAAATCATGTAGATTGAGGCAACGTAAAAATAAGAATTTCGTAAGTAGAGATTATGCCAAAGACGAATAATTGCATTTGAACTGAAATTTGTTCCATCTTGAAATTGGGGGGGGGGGGGGGGGGGGGATTGTGCTTTCACGGGTAGAAAGACCAAGCTAAAGCCGCGACTTTGGCGCTGATTGACCGTCGCCGTTTGCCACGTGATCGATTTCAACTCGAACGCCGGCCTCGAGAAACGAAGGCACGACCGGAGCTTACCGCTCGTGCTGCCAAGCCGAATGTGACCCGACTGCTTTCTACGAAAGCTCGACTCGCCGTCATCGCAGCGCACGTGGCGCGACACGTGCCGCGCGGCCGCGTACCGTCGCGCCGTCGCTGTTTATATGCGCATACATCGCATTACACCGCAAGCGATCTGCGCGCCGTACACTGGCGCGTGCACTTTGCCGTCAACGTAGGCGCGATATTTGCACGATAACTCGTTTCTCGCGCGCCGACCCATACGTTTTCCTCGCCGGACGCGAAATTTCGTTCGCGATTAGCGACGCGCCGACAAATATAGTCTGCGAATCATCGTTGGAGCAACAATGTGGCTTTTATACCGCTTGTATTCAAGTATATTCGTCAGAGTTGCGACATTTGCGTTTCTCGTCAGAAGCTCTGGTCGCTGATTACACTGCTCTGACAAAGGTATCTTCTTCTCGTAACTTCCCGTAATAGGATAACAATAGCAATCGATTCCAAAGTGAGGTCTGTCTACCGATAAACAATTCAAGACCTGAATTTCGACTGAGTGTTGCATGAAATGTGTAATCTCGCTATTACGAGAAGCTTTCAAATTACGCAAGATGGACAAGAGTAATTGAAAGCAACGATAACGAGAGACGTTTACGACAAGCAAAGCGCATCGTTATGGCCCGAAAGTGTTTGTCGTTTATTTACATATGCGCCAATGGCGAGGTGTATGGTTAGCCATTAATCGGAGATAATTTTAGATTTACCGAGTTGACTTTCGCCGAGTATGTCGTCTTACTTTTTGTGCATTGATCGTGGTTGCATCGTGCGCGCATCTTTTTAACGCGAACTTGTTAACGCAATGAGATTGCGTAACAAAGTATTACATCCGGGAAATCGATTCGCTCTTCTGAATCTTACGCATGACGTTAAATATATGTATGAAGTCTCGTACAGTATGTTTCCACTGTTGGGCGTTTGCTATGAACATCGCTTCTAAATCTTGCTCTTTTTTTCCTATTCACATGAAGGAACACGTGGCAAGTACGAAGTCACGTCGGAGTCAGTTTCTTCACGCAAAGGCTGTTTTTCTCACTTGATGTTGTTAGCTTCTTTGCGCGAATTTAGTATACGAATGGAATAAATAATAGTATGAATAAGATGTTATTAACTATGAACTTTTTACAGTGATTACACTTGCTTTTTCATCAAATTATATACGGGAAACATAAAAACACCTGGGTGTTCGAATTGAATGTCAATTAGTGAGCATCGACGCCACATATTTTTTAACCTAATTTATCAAATTTTGTGTCAATGAACTAATCATACTTTTACCGTTATCATGCTTCATTTTCCTAATTCATTTCATTGTGCAGAAGTACGATGAATATGTTAAACTACAAACATGGACGTTGCATGACTCACTGTTTATATGTTATAAAGCCACCAATTAGAATGAAATTTCATCAGAAGGACGATAGAATAAAATATTGAAAGTTTGAATTCTTTCAACCACAGTCGCAGGAGATTTGTCGCACCACGAAGCCCAGTAATACCTTTTGCCATAAATAAAATACAAAGAAATTTCACTCTGAACCGCTTATCGATCGCAAACGCTAGTAACCAATTCTCAAGCTTCTTACGTGATTGCCTTTTCAGCATCGAGACCTTACCGAAGCCGATTGCCAAACGCAAAGATAAAGGCCACAAGAAGAAGAAATCGAAGAGCGCCCACGTGGAGAGCATCCTGCTGAATTCCACTGCAGCGAACGCGATACCCGTCGCGCCGTTGACGAACGTCACTGGGATCGGCAGCGTCGAAGCTTGCAAGCCGGCGATCGACAATAAAACAGGTTAGTCGTCGACGAAATGTGCGCACGGCAACTGTCCGATTGTCCGGTGTGTGCACTGAATATGCTTTAATTTTACTCCTTTTTTCAATTCATTATTTTATTCAAAACATTAGTAGATCCTTTCGTTGTAATTACTCGTTAACCGAAATCGCAGTTCACGGTATCGCATTAAATTGAGCCATTCAATGTCAATCGGTGAACTTCAAACAAGAAAATAGGTCATGCTCCTGGAAACTTATTTTTCCTTGAATTACGCTAAATCCAATGTCACGTCATGTCGAGTTCACGATTATTTCAAAGTTTCTCATTTGTACAGGAAACTGTTTCGATTTATTAAAGTATGAAACAACGTAGAAATCTTTATGAGCTTCTTAAATACATTCACTATGACATCGGGTAGTTCAAATAATGTTTTCATGGTATAAAAGAAAGTTTTATAAATTAAAAAATGAATAATTTTTAGATGAAGAAGAAAATATAACCGTCAAATATCCATCAGTTTTCTCTCGGATGTAATGCTAAATTCGACCTTATATCTAACTTGACATGATTATTTATTGTTTCTGCTGTACATTCAATTTACAGTATTTTTTTAACTTGTCAAAATACAAATTTTTTTATTGTAAATTAAGTTTCTAACTGTACTTTCTGCAATGTATTTCGCTGCATGCGTTTATTCGTTTCAAGTCCAATATTTTAAACAGTTTTTATTTTATTTCATATTTCAATTTTAATGATCAATAATCTTAAAGCATATTCAAGCATTATCATGTATAATCCCTTTTCCGTCAATATTTGTGACGATTGTTATAACAGTGATTATAGATACAATTATCCCCATCACAGGAATTTTGATAGAAAAGGCCAATACAAAATTGTATCCATGGTATACCTTGCACCGTTCCGTTTTAACACTTGTGATCACCCTCGATACCCACCCTATGGCGAAAATTATTTCACTGAATCCCATACCTTTTTATAACACATTTAATAAAGCTCTACGGTATCGTGCTCGAGTTGAAATAAATGAATGTGATTCGTCGCAAAGTTACTTAATGAATCTTTCTTTCTCAGTTTTTACTATATGCATTGGAGATTTTATCGCAAACAAGCACTTAGCAAATGAGATTGGATATAGTTATTATACTTTTCAAACGCATTATTTGATTTATATTGAGATACATATAATATTTCAGAATCTTATAACTGCGATATCGCAGATATAAGTACTTACTGGACGTTGTCGCTGGAATTACTGATTTTAAAACTAAATGATGATGTAGGTAGATTTGGACTTGAATTTACCAGTTTCGCTTTCAAAATGTTTTTGAACAAAGAATCTAAAATACATAATATAGTTAAAATTTTGATTATTTATTTTAAATTTACGCTTTGGTATCGATTTTACTTTACTGGCATAATTCTGTCTTAAATTATAAATCGATAAGTTTGAAAAAATTCGACTTGCTTCGTTGAATGAAATAAGCCTTCAAAATCAGGCTTCAAAATCTGCTTAATTTAGCAATGGTTAAAAAAATTTAGCAATGGCTTAAAATTTTTGCTTTTTATAAAGAATACTTACATGCATCTCAATAATATGATTTCATCGAGTACTAAAACTTAAAGGGTAAAATTTACACGATATTTTTGGTTAGAAAAATGTCAACTCTCAGGATTGAGACACTAAGGAGTGACTCGATACGTGTGCGTGGATAAGATTTCTCAATCTAAGAACAAAAAAATACAAACCATCGTAATAGTGTGCAAAAATAGCGCTCTTTGGATATACCAATCAATCACACAAACCAAGTTTTCCTATTTAGATTACGTAATTTAAGTAATTACCAACGCATAATTTACGTAAGTGTTTGCATAATTTTTTTATTGATGAGCCTAAATATATACGCAGCGATGGTCGTAATGAACTTGTAAGCACGCTAACACGATTATTAAGACACAAACGATCGTCTTAATAAACTTGCCAATTCGGTGAACGTTGCGTAGGCCAAATTTATCGCAGTTACAGGACGGATATATATAATCCTTTTATGTGCACTTGGCTGTTGAGGATCATTGCGCAATGAATTACATATCATCGTTCATCTACAGGTCGTCCATCTACTTTTGTTTTGTTTTTGATTTTTTTTACATTTGAAAAGACTAACAATAGCCTCGTTAACGCTTACATAACTTCGGCAAACCAGTGGGATTTGATTTAATTTAGTATCAGATCTCTGACATAGGATTATTGTTTGATTATCAAATCGTCTAAATTACCGATGTGAAGAGCTACGGCGTGATGAAAGTGTTATGAAACAAAGGTTTTCCCTCTAATATGCACAGACCCTTACCCCGAAAAAAAAAATTAACGAAGCTTTGGTAAAGAAGCTGGACTAGATTCCAGGAATTTAGGCTGTAACAATTATTTTTGTTAATGAATTTCAAGAAGAAAAAGCAGTTGTAGAGTTGGTGGATGCTACGGATCCTGGAGTGCACAATAACAACAACTTGGCAGCTGGTCCTGAAGCTGGACTTGACACAAAACGAAGTCCGATCGAAGATTCCAGCTTACAATCCACTGTTAGTATTTTACAGAAAGAAAAGGAGCAAAAGCTAAAACAAAGATAAAAGAGTCCATTATTTTTCTGTATGTCTATCCATTATTTAGACGGGAAGAGATGGGTAGATGCATATATATTTAATGGATTCGTGTTGCTTGACTGCACCGGTGCAACAATGCAAACGATGAGCCCAGCGTTTGCATTATATACGACTAATTGAATCTAATATTTCAGCTTCGTGGGTCAACAGAGAGCGTCTGTATAAAGAATTTTCTTATTTCGCTCAACGCGCAGCGAAAATCGGCCGAACGTGAAAGTTTGGCAAAATCTTACTACGTAGCTTTTTATATGCATATCTGTTGCCCAAACGAGTTGTATCGGAAATCAATTACGATAGCAATAAAAAATAACTGGTTTTATTTGAGAGACTCTGCATTAGATGTCTGTTTGGGACTAAATTAAGCGGGATGTTGAGGACACTTAATTATCGAAGGAATTTTGTTTTGCATAGTAAATAATAGCATTATTGCTTGATTATCCAGAAAGTCGGAGAGTTATGGGCTTTGTCGGAGAGACTCAGCGATTCAACGACACGCGGGAATGGCGTGTAAAATATAGAGATTTTATATTTTAGTTTACTACCACGATACGCGCATATAATGTGTTTGTGATACACATGATTTGGACGCTAAAATAATCGTCACACGTTCATTGATTATATTCACGAACGATGGTAATGTGATATTCATGTGTCCGAATCATAAAATAATCCTTCAACTATTTCGATAAAAAATATTCTGTCTTGAAAAGCAAGATGTTCAGAGGAATTTGAATAAAGGGATGAAATATTTCGAAGAGTACAGATTTTCGCCCACACCAATATATTGATGATAGGTGGTGTGGTTTTATATCTATTGAGAACAATAACTTGGCGAGAACTTTTTGTCAGAAACTTATCTGCAATAAGTTACAATTTCAGAAACGCCACAGGCAAACACTCACTAACATTCGTCACGAATAAGTGAGGCCTTTATTCCTGTGTTCTGTTGAACTCGTGATTAGCTTGCGAATTTTTCCCGCTATAAAGTTGTCGCTGAATTCCAGAACCTATTGGTGACAAGGCACTAATATTTACCTCGAATAAGTGAGCCCTTATCTCCGTGCAATGTCTTTTTTTAATAATTGAACAATGACTAATGATAAAGATAAATATATTGTTCTTAAAAAATTCTATTTAGTTTGATGAAACTTAAACGAATTCTGTTGACTACGTAGTATATATACAAACGTCATATTTAGATTATTGAAAGCTGAACGTGTGTTAGAATAAACATCTCTGAAAGATTCTATTTTGACGTTTGTATTCTGCCGATCAATTTTTAATTTAGGCAAACGATGCACTTACTAATATTTTTGCTTAAAGCACTAAAGAAGTCTCATGATGATTCACTTCTCCAAATTACAAAAACAACCTTTTTTTCAAATTTTTATCTAGGAGGATGTATATGCTGTGATATCGATGCACGATGGTGTTGTATTACATGCTACACCCACATTACTCGCAGCACTAGGTTACCAAAAAGGGTCATGGACTGGAAAGCTGTTTATCAATTTTCTCGATCCACGAGACAAATCAACACTAACGGACAGAATAGCAAGTGAAATTGCATCCTTTAGGGATCCTTGTTCATCAGGTACAAATAAGCAAGCAAAATAAATTATTATAATCAATTATTTCTTAACATTAGTAACAATCACACTAAATTAATCTTATTGACGTATGTAGACTTTCCAATCGCTATAAATACAAGAGTTATTTTTTTGTGACTAGAGGAACTATTTTCAACCCATAATATTTATTCTGTTTGTAACAAGAAAATTTTCCCGATGTCAAATTCTTTTGATATAAGATACTATTTTTTGCAGTTAGAAAATTTATTATACAAATATTTTTTCTTAGTAATAGACAAAATAGTCCTGTCTACCGTAGACATTGAAAAATGTACCTTATAACGATCGGACGATTCAGATGCACTGCTGTTCATTGCTAATTTGATTATTTTTATGAAAGGTGCGAATAATCGTAAGGCAAGCATCTACTGCCGTTTACGCAGGTGTACAGTTTTCCAATGCACTTCCAATACCAATAACAACGGTCATCAAACTGGATTTGATGGCCAGTACGTACCTTACCGCATTGATCTGATGATTCAAAACTTTCATAAAGACAGCTCGTCCACTGGTCAGAAGCAAATCATGATACTTGTTGCATCTTTTCATCGTGTGTACTCGGCATACAAAGGTAAAATAAAAATATTACTTAATATAGCTTTATTTGACTTATCTATAAAAATTTATTTAAGAAAAATAGGAACAATCAAGTACACGTGTATTATTCTATAAGTATATCTACAATGATATGGTTGAAAACCATGTTTTTTGTATTCTTAATTATATTGTAGTCATAGATATGCATAAAAGCATTAAAAAATCTCTGGCATTAATGGATTATAAATTGGTAGAACAATCTCTTCTTGCCGTTTTATAGTCCAGCAATAGGACTCCAATAAAAAAAGTTGCAGTAATTTAGTTGTAATATCAAGTTTGTTTACGTTGTTGTTTAAATACTTTAATTGATAAATAATTTGAAATTATATAAGCACTTTTCGAGTTGGAGCTATCCGATCGACGAGAGTTCCTTTTCTCGAGCTTTATGACTGGTTGTTACAATTTTCGTTACCTTTTGTTTAACAGCTCTAATATCAGTGTGTTCGTTTTCATTATAACATTTATGACTTTTACGGGCGGTTTCCTTAATTATATAAAAGCAATTCTTGATGCCTTAAACTGTTCATTAGATTTGAATATTTTGAATATTGCAAAATTAATTTTTGATTATAATAATCACTTACATAAATAACATTTCTAATCATTGTGCGATAAGTTACTTACGATAATTATACTTTGGTGTTGCATCAAAATTATGTTGGAAATCAGTAATATAATTTATTACGAGACAGTTTTCAATAATATAAAGGTTTGAACGCTTGTTTTGAGATTAGAAAGGGCCACAGCTGCAAAAGCTGCGAATTATTAAAACCTGATTTAAGTAATTAAAATTTAAGGTATGTATTTTTTTATCCTATCTCTTACAAGTTCATCCAAATAAAATTATCATTTTTTACGATTATATATAATTATATGTATAATCCATGTATAATTTTATATACGTTTTACTTCATAGAAATTATGCTAAATTTGTATAATGTTTTTATGGATGTATATAATCACGCAACATTATATATGGATACATTTGTGAAATTATACATGATTATGTATTACAATGCGTTTTTATAGAACTCCTTCAGTCATGGATGTTAATGACATGCTCTGTATTAGGATACATTTTTAGGTCAAGGTACAACAATTCTTATCGTAATCCCATTACCAGTTCTGAAATTAATACATATGCATTTAAAAATTATATAATGTTAGGGATTCAATTTGAAAGGTAGGCTAAGAAGATACTGCCTGTATTTTTTAAAGCTATTTACTTTTGAAAGCTTTTTTACTTTTATGAGTTGCATGAGAAATTTCTATTACTAAGATTTGATTAACGTAAGATAGAAATGTAATTTATTTATAGAGAATTAATCAACAATTATTTTTAATTAAAAAAAACAAGAAATGTTAAAAAACAATTCTTTTTGAATTAAATAATTTTCAATAAATAATAACTTATAATATTATTTATCTTGGTGTAAAAATATAGTATACGACGCAGGCATATTAAAAAATATTATACGAATTTAAATATTTCAATACGACATAATTCAAAATTATACAATTATACATAATTTTTAAAATAAATTCAAAAATTTTTTTATATATAGATAAACAATGATATGATATAAATTACAAATATGAGCGAATATAATCTTCATTCATTTTATATTCTATAGAATATAAAAGAAGCTACTTTTCAAAGATTATACTCATTGTATATATTATACCTGCATTTTGGAGAAAGCTTTCAATATCTTTAAATATTTTAATGATTTGAAAAATTGTCTCATTAAACAAGATAATTTTAACGGCAATGTTAGTATTTCAAGTGAAATTTCGTGTTAATAAGCAGAAAAAAATGTTGTTTTTTCTCTAGTAGTATAAAGATTGATTTTGTTTTTTTTTCTTTTTCTCTGGATAGTAAATATACTACATACGTGGATATTAGCGCACAAAGCACCTCTTGATGCATCCATTTGTCGATAGAAAAGTCTCGTTAGTGTTCATGCTTTTATGTCTCTTATCTATTAATAAATATATATATTTTTTATAAGACATCAATCGATCAGTCGAAAATATAATCAGTGTATATATATATATTTGTTATATATCAGTCGATTATATAACAAATGGTCGTCGAAATCGATTATTTAAAGTACGACTCGAGAAAATGAAGGATTCGATTGTTAGCATAGGTAGCCATCTAGATCAAGGTATGAGCGTTAAATTTTTTCGCCTTGGATTTTCTTTATTTATATAATATTTATTATATTAATTGAAAATTTGGCATTTTATTTGGATTGTTTTTTTTTCCTCGCTTAAAAAAATACCTATCCAAAAATAATTTTATTTACAAAAACAAATTCAAAAGGCTAATGTTTAAGAAATTATAAGAGACAATGGTCTCCGTTGACACAGAAAAAAATGTGTGACCAAACAAACACAATATGCCTTTATAAAGAGTGTTGTATTTAGTAAAATGAAAACAATAACAACAAATTTTATTATTTTTGTTACTATCTGCAGTGTCTGAAGAAACTATAATACCTACGGTATTTACAACTCGCCACACCGCGACTTGCCATCTGTCTTTCATTGACCCTGATGTTGTACAGTACTTAGGCTATCTGCCACAGGATATGATTGATCGTTCGCTGTTTGACTTCTACCACCCAGAGGATCTACCACTCATCAAAGACATCTACGAAACTGTGAGCATGAGACCTTTTAAGGTCAAGTGTGTTTGAGTTTCGAATTATCATTTATTTACTAAATGCTTCATTAGTGACGATTATCAGCATCAGAATAATATTATTTTAAATTTTTTATCTCTATTATTTTGATTCATGAAGTTAGATATACTTACCAGGGATAGCTAGTTTGTATCTTGATAGTTTGTAGATCCGAGTATCAAACTTCACAAACGAACAGTAATCAAAAATATTTCGGTATTTACTGATTTTTGAGTTTCCTTTCATTAATTCATTGGTAATTCACGAATAAAGTATTTTGCATACAGTTTCTAGTAAACATTTTTCTACCCGAAAACAAACTTAGTCTTAATAAATAAAGTAGATTTCTTTTTTTTTATTAAGCATTGTTGAGTGATTTGCGAGTGATTGTTCATTTGTAACTATAATTTAAAAATTTGAAATGTGAGTTTGCTTTTGGACAAGAAAAAATTTTTTTATTCCCATGGCTTAGCAGAAAAAAATAATGAAGAGAAAAAAAATTTAGAAATAAACTGAGTTTTATCAAGTTTGTATCTGGTTTATGACTTAAATGTGTTTTTCTGAGAGGTCACGGAAATTCTTTATCGCACTCTCTACAATCTAAATCCATTTATATTCATTGAACAATCATACATTAATCACATTATTGAATACTAAAAACAATAAAATTTGTGAAGATTTCATATGAAACGGGTAGCATATGTAAAACAAACTAATTTTATTCTGCATTTTTTATGACAGCTAACGAGTGACAATTCGGGTAAGAATTGAACGTTATCAGCGATATTAACTAATTTATTTTCTGATACTCTCGTACAGATGATCAACATGAGCACCTTGAGCATCTCATCCTTCAGATCAAAACCGTATAGGTTCATTATACAAAACGGCTGCTTCGTGGTGATTGAGACTGAATGGTCATCTTTCATCAATCCTTGGACAAAAAAGTTAGAGTTCGTCATAGGTAAACATCGAGTACTAAAGGGCCCAACTGATCCTAATATATTTCGGCCACCGGGTGACTCGAAAAATAATCTCCTAGCAAACATTAGCGTCGAAATCCTGAAGGAAGCTAAAATCATAGAAAAAGAAATCAAGGAGCTTTTTGTTCAGGTAATAATTTTTAACAGATTAAGTAAATAATTTAATAGTATTAGGTGATGATAAAGCAAAGGGAATAATGATGCTTGTTATTATTATTTTAAAAAGTTTTCATTTTTTATGTTAACCTAATCACTCAGTAATTATGTTCTTCTCTGAAATATCTGCAGAGTAAATGTTTTTTGTATTAGTTCAGTATAAGTTCTTCTTTCGCTGTAGCTCAAAGACAAAACTACTTTTTCTGTCACGAAGTTGCTTTGAAAGCGTAAAATTACCCATTTGTTCAGCAGTTTACATCTGTAAAAATGCTTAATTTTAAATGCTTCCTTTATTCGGAGAAAAAAATTCAATGCTTTAAACCTTCCACAATCAAGTTTTATGCTGTTTTTGAAGGTATTCTATAACAAACAGCTTGAGTATAAATTGTAAAATATACTTGCGCGAAGTCGTTATTACATATCTTAATACTTTGTTCTCATATAAAAGTTAATATTTTAAGTAATAATTTGAAGCTTCCAACAGATTGGAAGGTTTAAATTGTATTCGATATATAACTTCCCCTTGCCTCACTCTTCTAATATACAATAAACTTGATTTAAAAGCAGCTCTAATAATGGCAGATCCCAAAACTAATAGAACTTTCAACTGGTTGACAATTTCTTTTTCCAGGCCATCACTTAACTGATAATTGATTAACAAAAAAAAGAATCTTCAGATCTTTTGTACTTTAGCTAATCTCCTGTCGTTCTTGCATAATACATGTGCTTTTTTTTAAAAAAAAGAATGGTATTATTAACAATCTTTTGGACCCGAGTGAGCTTGATTTTGAGAATCTTATAGGAACAATAGATAACAATAACTAGCCATCCCTTAATTCTGACGCATATTGTGAATGTACAACGGGCATTTTTTCCGTTACTTTTCGGCATGTCCCTTCTGTATCTACCAACAACGCCCGCACACACGCACATAATGTACGCAGGGAGTTCAGAAAAAGCATAACGCTTGTCAGGTAATTGACAATGACTGGTTCACTTGGAAGAAGGAGCTGACCACATTTATAGAGAGTGCAATTCAGGAAAGCAAAAGCACGGCTCCTATCAAGGATAGTATAGCAGTGGACGACAGGAGCTTTTCGGTGATTATTACCATCAACATACACACGCGCGTCCATTCATTTAATCACTTTTTTCGTCTAATATATTTTGTCTCTTTTTAATATGACTTCGTTGACTTTCGCATACACCTGTATTGCTGTACATGACTGCCAAACGATTTAATTATAATGCTAGAATTAATTTACGTTAACTTGTAATTCGAAGTTTTTGGGATATAAGGCATTTTTAGTCATACTTGCGTATTTACTTTTAATTAGCATCCTAGTATTATAGAAAGAATGTTAATAAGCACTTAGCATATTCGAGGTAAGTAAATACTTCGGTTTAGATTTTTGGCGACTGAGGGTTGGAATATTTTGGACAAGTAGTTTCCGGTAAATTTTACTCTGGAATATACTTTAAAAAAATATTACAACTGTTATAGATACGAACTTTTATCTTCAATATATTCCGTCAAATCTGTATTATTAATGTAAATATTTTTGTAAATAGTTTTTTTGGAAATTTTCTTTTTAGTTGACTTTTTGAAACATTGACGTGATGTTATAAATTCAAAATATTTATGGAAAGTTTCAAAATAACACCTGCATTTTTTGACTTTCCTACATTAACCCATAAAAAACCCCAATATGCGTGATGTGAATTAGAAATGAATCAAAATTTTATGATTGCAAAGAGCATTAAAAATTTACCAATCACTTTTTTGGAATCAAAAAATGTTATTGCTCTAAGCATTCCGTTCTACAATACTTTTCTTCATTATGCAAATTTTCCAATTGGATAATTTGTTTGCATCGCAATAATTACGCCTGATTTTTCGAACTTATTGATAAACTCAGATTTAAGTGTTCTATAAACTATTATGAATTTTTTATTCTTGTTGATATTTTAAACAATGAATATTTTCTTGTTATATTTTACTTATATATCAGTTAAATTTAGGCAAACATATATCAATTAAATATCTGAAAAAACGGAACAAATAGTTTAATTTCTATATAGATAAATAATATTTAAAGAATATTCAGGCGTGGTGATATAAAAGCGATAAAAAATCAAACGTTATTTAAGTATACTTATGACTACCACTTTTGTATAACGTAAATGATAGTAATTAACTTTTGAATAATTGATCGGCAATTTCCAAAGTAGTAGCCCGTAGCAAATGAGTTTTTAATCCTTGCTTTAAGTAACATAAATATCATAATATATAGTTTGGTTCTTTTGGTCTACTTATAAGTTAATTAAATTTATTCACGTTCATGCTGAATTCATTATGATTGAAATTACAGTAAAACAAAAACTGGTATAATACCTTTTCTAAATTAAAGAAGAAATTAAATTAAAGAAGAAAATCGAACATCTATATCAATCTTTGCCACTTTATACTATTTTCAATCAGTTGAACTTGTAAAAGACTTGTACTAATATTCGATCAAGCTCAAAGAAAAAAAAGAAAAAAGATGAAGACGAACAAAATTAAGTGAATAGAACCGAAATTTCAAAAGTGGCAGTCCCTATTGAAATCGCTATAATAAATCTGTGAAGGGATTACTTAATCCTGGCTTGCAGGAGCACGACAGCGTGATGCTTGGCGAGATTTCACCCCATCACGAGTACTTCGATAGCAAGTCGTCGAGCGAGACACCGCCAAGTTACAACCAGCTCAACTATCACGATAATATCGAGCGATTTTTCAACAGCAACATCGATGTCAATGCTAATAATGGCCCTTATGCCAGTGACGAGGAGAATTTACACTCGAGCGCTAATAGCAGTGACGAACCTGACAAGAACAACATTTCAAGGCCAGGTAATAAATTCGACAATTTTTTTTTAACGACATACTTTGTGTAGTCAAGTCACGTTACATTAAGAACATATAATTGGAACTGAACGACTGAAATAATTTCGGTTCGATTGAACAACATATTATTGTGATTACAAAGAACTGAAATGCACCTCGTCGACAAACGGCAGCGGCAATAGTGGCAGTGCTGAGAATCTGAGCAGTGAGTCGAACAACCAGCAGAGCTTCGGCAGCAACCGCGAGACCAGCAATACGACCAGTAACAATTCAACGAACAATGATGGACGACGATTGAAGCCGCCGGTTCTTACCGAGTCACTTCTCAATCGTCACAACGAAGATATGGAAAAGCTGATGGTGCAGAAGCATCGCGAGCAGAAGAAGGAGGACAAGCGTGCAAAGTCGTCGCTTAACGAGCAGAAGAGCAAAATTGCCGAGCAACCCTCAGGGAGTCGTGATAATCTTAATAAGACTGCCGGCAACAGACTCAAAAGAACTGGCAGTCAAATCTGGGAGGGTGATAATAATTTTAAGGTACGATTCGTCTCTCGCGATATTGCATAGTGATTGTGGCAGTTATATTTATTCGACTCCCAAACAACATTTTCACCGTATACAGATATCGAGATACGACGATACTATCAATGGATCCTCAAATACTAAACCAATAACTACGATGCCTAACATCAAATTCACCACTGCTGGAATAGAACATTCCGCCGCCACTGGTATAGCCAAAGTCAATCCGAACATCAACGCGTGCCCCTCAACTTTTGCTACGATGCCTTCCACTAGTGTAACGCAACAATGCTTTTCAACTCAAAAGTAATTATTCTTCAAATTATTTCAGATATCGATAGTGCGTTAAAATCCGGAAGCAGTAAATGGAATAAATTTATAAAAAATATTCACGCTCTAAAGAATTTTTTAAATTACTTTAATTTTCAAAAATACCTGAGTCTCGTCCGCTCTAAATATCAACCAAGGATATTTTTGAATAATTCCACCCATTAACTTGAAAAAAGAGCATCACATAACAAAAAGAGTGCGCCTTTATAGCAAGTTATTCAATTTCTAATTAATATTGCGCCCCGATGATGCGGGCGCTGCATAACGAAGCTGCCGAGCGCGCAAAATAGAATAACGAGAGAGGGAGAGAGAGAACAAAGCCGGCGAATCGTTACGTGAACGCACATTTGGACGCTTGTGACAATAATTATTATTTGTTCTTGATGTACATTTGCAGCGCGTGCTCTCAAGCGACGACCCGGTTCCCGAGCTTACCGCAAATGTTTCCCGTCTATTACCTTCCTATGTCTCAGCCCAGGGATAATCTACCCCTAAGTGCCATACCTCAAGATCATTCAGGACAACCTAATCTATTTGCTCAAGCAACACCATACTGTGAGTCAATTGCTCGTACTTGCCGTTTGCGTGCGCCATTTGAAGGAGAACTCATCAAAAGCATTCTTCGCACTTGATCATTAGGTTTCGTGCAGATGCCGTACGTGGCGCCAGCGATGCCTCCGCTAGTTTACCCCCCAGTTATCGGAGCACCGGCTCCGCCGACAATGATGTACAGGTCGTACATCGTCCCGGAGACAGTTGCAACGGCAACGCCGATAAGCGTGGTACCACAACCAGCACAGTCCTGCCCACCAGCAAATCCACCAGCAGCAGCCACCACAGCCACGGTCGTGAGTCCGTTCGATCTGAAGAGGCCCAACAGTCGAGCTACGAGCGTGAAAGGCGAACCGAGCAGCACGATAGCTATGTCCGAATCCTCGAAGAAGGTCCCTATTTTCTCACTGAAGATTTCTCGAAAGTTTGCCGACACAATAAAATTATTTGTATGCTTTGTTTACGATTAGATTTGCTCACCATCCGGCATCATGTCGTCGTGCGTTAGTCACGAGGATGGATGTCTATTCAGTATCTGCTTGAACAAGAGCTGCGACAGTAGTAGCAATACCGATCAACGTCACACTACGTCGTCGTCCGAGGTATATCGACGGAAATGACTCGTTACAAACTTCATTGACAAACACCTTTTATAACTGATGTTTTCTGCAGTTGCAAAAAACTCAGCCAGCCTACCAGAAGAGTAAAGAGACGCGTCGAGTATTCGGAATAGTACGCAAGGAGCCACCATGGATCGAAGGTATCAAGCTGACCCCCGAGCTAATCTATCAGTATCAAATACGTCCGAAAGATTTAGAAGACGTGCTGAAGACTGATATGGAATTTCTAAAACAATCTAAACAGCCGAACATCGTGAATGATCAATTAGGACAATTGTTCTTTGATCTTGATCTCGAGGGTTTAGGCTCGAAATTGATACTCGAGAAGACTGGCACTAACAGCGCTGATGACAGTAGCAGTAATGCGTCTCAGAGGTAATTTTTCCTCGAAGCCATATTTTTCTTTTCATATGGATTCATGAAAATTTCTTTGCAGATGACTGCTAAACTAACAAAATTTTTTTACGAACTTGTTACAATTATACTTTGAAGAAAAACGTGCATTTAATTTTTATAATGTTGCTCATCTGCAAAGTATCTCTTTTCTATTGGGTGTCATTCTCGTGCTATTATACAGCTATAAACTTTGCTACTTAATACTCCAGCATTTCAAGATTATGTGAAAATCCTTATATCGTTCATGTTTTTTCTATAATGCCATACGTATATTTTTAATCTTCTTAAACGATGAAAGCATTTATTTATATAATTTTCATAGTTTTGCTGTAGTCAAATAGCTGGATAATACATTAATTATTTGTAGTGTAAATTGAGTGTTTATAATTGAAAATTTTTATCTAGCTAAAGTAAATCTATAAATAAGATAATTTAACTTGAAATAAATTACGCGTGACATCAAAACTTTTAAATGTTAAAATAAAAAAATATCACAAGGTTTATTAAGCAATAAGAATGATTACAATGTATTATATTATGCATACTCACTGTCAAAAAGAAAAGTACATAAACAAAATAAAAATTTTTGTTAGATTGAAAAAGAACAGGACTTTCGCATGATCTTGATAATCGGTGAGTTTTTGAAAAATCAAGAAATGATTCAAGAAAAGTTAACGTTCGCTTACTTTAAAAAGACCATTCTATTTTGTTTTACTTCTACAGTCCAAGTCGCATGGGCGCTTGGTGATTTACAGATCAACGCCGAGCACAGCAAATGATAATAGCAAACGATAATTCAACATTCTTGAAAGATTTCAATATTTTTGGAGCCGTCAGTCCGAGAAGTTTTACAATTGAAGGAAATAAAAATATTACGTATATCAAAAAATATTTTTCGGGAGATGTACAGAAAGCAAGAAAAACAGAAAGAAAGCGCAACTTAACAGGATATGCAATCTTACAAAGTAAACTTCACATTTGCCTTTTACGAGATGAAGATCAATCGCACGAGTAGACTAATTATTGAATTCCACGCGGTCGGGATGATTTTAAGTTTTCTTGATAACGGAAATTCAACGAATAGTCTTCGTGATTATTTTATATAGTGCACGCATGTACTTCCTTTATTTAGTTTTTTAATAAATGCAAAGAACGTGTCTACTACTCTCCTTCGATTTAATGTGAATAAATGCAAAAGACAGTTGGACAACGATTACAGTGAGCAGTTTTCAGTCATTTCTTTTAAATATAGTTGATTTTATATTTTAAGCTTAGCATACCGAACAATATGTAAGTAAATCTCAATATTCAATCATAAATACCGTTAGCGAGTCTGAATGATTGCAAATAATTTAGAAAATTTTTTTGTGATTACTTATTTGTCAGGTTTATTTAGGTTCGATCTTGAGAAATTTGTAATGAGTTAATACTTATTATTTTTATAAACAAAGAAGAAAAGTATTATTTATTGCAATGCAGATACTAAAAACGATAATAACTTTGTGAAAATGTCCATATGTATGAATAAATAGTCACAAAATTATTTTTTAAATTATTGCGATATCTACATTATCAATCAAAGCAGATTCTGGAGCTAGCTTAATGTGAATGTGATCACTATATACTTTCTTCCTATTATGGGAAAGTATAGTAATTTATTTTCATTACATGAGCTATTGTTTTAAGAAATATACATCGTAAAACTGACCTTTTTTCAGTCGATTTCAATTGTTTATGTTCTAATGTGATTACAAAAAGAGCGCGATTGTTGCTGTATAATCGTTGATAGCTGAGAATCTGTCGCACCATATCAAGTCTTTTCTATATACTACAAAATGTCAATGCGTTTTTTCGTCGTGCTTTTTATATAATACTGTACAACATTGTATACATATTTTTTCTAGCAAGGTTTATTTGGTAGATTATACGCATAATATGCTTAAAGTATAATTAGTTTCATCCGTGTTAATTAGTTTTTTTTAGTGGTTCATTGCGTGCTTTACAAGATGTACCACCATTCAAAGTATATAATCTGTAGTAGAATATAGGTTCAGACAAATTACAATTACAATTACAATTTTTCAACAAATTAGTAGTCTTTTTTTTCGAGCATTATTCCATCGTCGATAATATAAGATTTCTATACGCGTTAATAAGATGCTACATGAATGTATGTTATCAATTGAATAACGATCAGTTATTTAAACGTGATAATAGTGCAAAATTGAGATTCGAAACAATAGTTGAGTGATGAAATAATGTTTTGTAAGACTCATGAAGTTCTTCAATACTACTAGCAAAACTGTTTTTTTTTCACTGAAAAGTAAACAAATGATTAATCTAGATTACACGTATTATACCTTCCAGCTTTATACTACCAAATAATCAATTTTAAAAATTTCTTTTAGATAATGAAATGGAATTTGATTACTTAATAGTTACTAAATTAAGGTAAATAATATCAATAAAATTTTGTTATTTTCTTTTTTAATTACATTTTACAAATATCATTTATTTTACCAATATGATAATTACTTTTATATTTATTTAAGTATAAGTTTTAAATTACATTTTTTCAATCATTAAACTGAATTTAAGATGACATTGAAAGTTAAGAAACCACATAGGACGTTTTTACATTTGTATCATTGCTTATACAATATCATTTGATATGTTTTCATTCATTTCAGAGTAAAAATAAATGAGTTGATTATTATAAAGATTAATTTACTTCTTTATTATGATTGCAATCTTAATTATTTTTAATCATTAATGGAAATCATCAATTTTGTATCAACTAATCATGTCAATTCGGATTTTCTATAAAAACACGATTTGCATTTGCCTAGATCGATAATGCAATCCTTGATTATTTCACCACTATTGTTTTTATTTTTCTGTCAATTACTATGTAATTAGAAAAGAGAATTAGGTAATTGGAAAAAAACTTTATTCATCCGCCTTTGCTGAAAACTTAATAAATAGTCTTACAAATATTTAGAAAATGGTAATTATAAACAATTTATTTCACATCTAAAAGGTTAAGTCAAGTTTGTAAATTAATTATAAAAATTTTTGGATAACAAAGGTGTATGGATTCAGTTGTTTATATATGTCATAAAATTATGTTTTGATAAAATGTACAATTATGATTAAATTATAAATAAGTTCTTGAAATATATAATACTTACAGTTTCATATGAAAAAGCCAATTCTGAACTCATTTGTCAAAATGATTAACAAAAATTAAGGCGATTTTTGGAAAGAAAAACTTATTGCGACACATAAATGCAGCACGTAATCCTTAGGACTACTGTGATTTATACATTTTTCAAGTATTGATGTAATAATCGGTTTTTGTGCAACGCTTTGCTTCGCGCATTTAGGGTAAAAAGTGTTTATAATAATTTTTATGATTATATACACGTTTTGAAATATCATTTTGAGATTTATTGTTTAAGTATTAACGAGCGATTTCAAGCACGTAAAACGTGATTTATACCATTTTTCATGTTTCGAAAAATAAAAATAATGAACCCCGAAGATACAGTTTTTTGTGATAGATATTTTTCGGACAGGTATAGCACCTTTAATGATTGATGTTTTTTATAATTTTATAAATTTAAATAAAGCCTTAATTCAATTATCAATCATTCACGAATTTCTGCAAATACCTAGCGTGACTATTTTTTTTTTAGTTTTTATCAAAAAAATTTTGCATTAAAGTGCACTCAAGCGGGTCAAATGCTTTTATCCCAAATTGAGTATAGATATTGGAGATAATTGAATAAAATATTATTAGTACAAAATTATGTATCTGATGGTGGAATTGTAATCAAAGCGTTCCTTTACAAGTATGCTTTAATTGGTATTTTTGTATATTCAGTTTGTATGTTTTCGATGTATGTTGTATGTATTCTATATAATTTACATGAATTTTTTTAGGTATACTTTATATTGATAAGTATGAAATATGTCTAACATTTGAAACAATTCTGTTTTTACCAAAACAAAAAAATTATTATATTAATACTTCTTTACTAATGAAATATTGGATTTCATTGAAACTGAATATGTTTACCGAGCCATGACTTTTTAAATAAAGTTGTTACAATAAAGGAGGATTTAATTTTCTGTCACCTAGAAATGATATTTATTTATAGCACTTATATATTAATATATTAATAAAAAATATAAAAAATCAAGTTTTGTTATTTTACTTTAAATCCTTAAACTTTATTCAACTTCTTAGTATTTCAAATATTGTTTGATATATCACTGAAAATTTTACGTATTTATTTATAAAGATTAACGGGAAATGATCCCTTTTATAAAAGTAAAATATAAAATATACATTGGTTCAAGACACAAATAAAATGTATTACACAACTGACTAGCGTATCAGACTATCATACATAGTGAGCAATTGATAGACATAATGCATAATGATATAGATTATTTAAATTGAAAAATAGATCTGACCTTGAGCTTAAATGTCGAAATGGTAAGTAAATTGATATCTAGCGAATCTGATAAATTATCCAACAATTTGCAAGCTCAATTGATCGGTGAGATTGAGATCGTATTTACACAATTTCACGTGAAAGATTACGTTTAAAAATTTTGAATCACTTCTTCGATATTTTTTCAAAAATTATACATTCCTCTAATTAGTGATTTGAGATTGTTGCAATTGCAGACTTATTTGCCTGTATCTTTTTGATGAGGTGGAATCTTAAAATTAATTCAAAATTGTAGGTATAAAAAAGAAATCAAAATTTTCAGGATTCATAGACATTGTAAACATTTATTTACGTCATTCGAATACAATTGAACACCAAGGGGTCGCTATAATTATTGTTACCGCTCCCATTTCCATCTATACAGCCGCTTTGCTAAACGCTATTATTTTCAAGGCGACACGACAGCTTTCATACTCCATACCACATTCGACATTCGCGTGTGTTTGCACTACGAAATCAAGAGAATACTAATCTCTGTAAGATGGCGAAATTTCGGTCATAAATACTTCTTTTAAAATAAATAAATAATAATAATAATAATAATAATTTATCTATCCTTACAGAGGCTGCCAACTTTGGGCGCCACTATAACGGTGGGTTAAACAAATTAATTAACACGTTAAAAAATTGTCCATCGATGCAAGGCTAACCACCGCCACGATCTGCTACTCGATTAACAAGTGCTGCAAAGCCTGCGCATCGCTTGGTTGAAAACGTATACGAAAGCGCGAAATGAAGTAAGAGAAAAACCAAATTAAATGAGAAAACTAATGCTAACTAATTCTAAAAGTGAATCAACTAATTGCCAATCACTTCAACTCGATCATAAATAGTTCTAAAATTATCTCCTCCTATTGTTATAAGCTATCTTTCTATGTCTTCCTCTCTATTTATATGATCATAAATATTTTATAGATTATATAGTAATTTAAATGAATATAGTCTGTCACTTGGTTGAAACCATGTCATATTCATGCTCTGTAATCTACTACCTAGTATTGTGAGAGTTGAAGTGATTGACAATTAGTAGATTCAGCCTTGGAATTCAGTCCTGCTAGATGATTGTTAATCACATCTCTGATTATTGGATTAGTTAGCATAAGTTGCTTAATATTGATTGACACAGTTATTTATAGAGAATAATTTTGGATGTTATTGTTTTCTAATGATAAAATATTAGAATGTCAAGCATCTTTATTGAGTAGAAGAATAAGTTGAAATTTTTACTCGTTGACATGCACTTGATCCTCGCTCGCAGTAAAAACCTGTATTCAATTCGATTTGTCGCATTCTTGATTTTGCGCACGTTTTTAGTAAGTAGCAGATCGAAGCGTCGATGAACTTCGTATCGACGGACAACGTGTTAACGATGTCACTTAATTAATTTATTTAACACACCGTCACAATACATGATTAATGGCAAGCTACTGTGCGCAAACAAACTATATATAAAATCTGAAAATGAGATTCGTATCGCAACAATTAGCGGCGTGACGTTTGTTTCTCGATCATTCCTAACTATTTTTTTGAAGTCGCTTAATGTGATTTTTCACCTTTCTCTACTTTTTACAATCTACGAATTCACACTTTTATACTAAATAGTCGAAAAACAACGTCACGCCGCACAATATAAATAAAAGAGAAAACTCTTGTCTACTCTTTTACCGTGTAAAATATAGTAAATACAAACAGTGATATGAACTAATAATAACAGACTAATGAGTAAAGAAAAGTTTTACCTATAAAAAATGATTTTATAAAAACAATAATCATAATTATGCGTTAACAATCGGTAATAATCATAAAAATCTGGCTACAACGACTTATAAAAATTTGATTTACAAAAAAGTTAATAATTCTCATTATTCCTTTTGTTTTTTTTGCAGAAACGATAATTAAGCATCATACAAGGAAAAAAATATATTAGTACGTTCACATGCCGCTCGACATATTTTCCTCATTCTTATTCTTTTCGCTTCTTTTTTTGTACATTATCATACACGATAAATATATTATCAACGCCAGGTCCACTCGCATGAATATGCAGGAAATCTGACAGAAATGAGAAGGGAAGAAGACGGAAAAACCCCATTATACAAAAAACATGTATATATAAATAGACATTAACTTTTTTAGCTCGAGTGTATGTGTATCGGTTTGTACAATACGACGAACAAAAAAAGTCAACGTGCAAGTTTTTTTTTGATCGAGACGTGTTTTGATTAATGTCATAATACATTTTTTCTCATCGTTCTTTTAGGCACATTGGGGTATCGTACCGGGCAATTATAATCGACAAATTAGAAAAAAAAATCAAAAAATAAAATGCCCGAGGGAAAGACAGGGAAGGTAAAGGAATATCAATTCAAAAATCGCAAGCGTATACGCGTTAAATCGATAATTCATATGTATAATTTAGAAGATTCGTCGGCCTAGCGTCGAAATTGAACACAGTGGACGTTAAACCTGAACGTTATACACTTAGGTTTCTCTGTATTACTTTTTTTGTGTCTGAGAAAAAATTGGATATATATATATATATATTCACGTTTACGTATGTATATATCTTTCCTCTGCAACTACTCTCGTTTAAAGGGAATAATGATTAGAGCGCTATCGTTAAATATTAATTATTACTATTATCAATCGTAATTATTCTTACCGTTATTACTCTAATTTAATCGTCGCGACAACGGCGACGTCTCAATTTGATTAGAACTCATCTTTTCTCGCTTGTCGTTTTTTCATAGGCGATAATTTGTTTTTTTGTTTTTTATTTTTATATATTATAAAATAATTCTGTGTACACACTTGTCATGCTCATTCAGTCTTGTCCACTAAATAGAATACACGCACAAACAATCGTTGGCGGCGTGATTATACAATTTGTGTATTTTTTTGTTTGTTTTGTTTTTCTCAATTTTTTAATGACCGCGCGAGGTCAATGACGATAGTAGTAAGTAGTAACAACAACGGCGAGCGCAAAGGTTCATGAGAAAGTTTCCACACCTAGGAACTGGATAGAACGAGTTTATCGGCTTCCCTGAGTCAATAATTTATAATTATTTTTTAATATTATAGAGGAGTATAGTCGCGTGATACATGTCATGGCAGTATTCACAATGGCAGCTTAGGAGATGACCAAGTCTAAGAGAGAATTTATTTGTGTTTGCTTTTTCTCGACGCGATTCACTTGGTGAATCATTCGCATTTAAATTTATCGTAGCTTACTTCGATTTATTTTTTCGAGATGACTCGTCCTTTGACCAGCGACGGTCCAAAGTCTCCTCGAACAAACAGAGGGCTCTGTGCACGAACTCGTATTGCTCTGCCGTTTGGACCATTCCTCCTCTGTCATACCTAACAAAATTCATTAATATAAGTAATATCACATTTTTTCTTATTTTTTAGTAATATAAAACGTACCTCATTTGGCACAGAATTCCTAAAATGTCGACACTACCCTCGCGCACGAGTTGCGTCATACCATTTGCAAGGGCAATAAAACAGCCAGTCCTACCGATACCCGCGCTACAATGCACAATTATCGGCCCCGGTAATGTGTTGATTTCCGCTGCTAAACCAACCAATGCATCCGCCGCCAGCGGCACTGCATGATCTGGCCACGAATCGTACCTGGAATTTTTCGAACAATAAAAAAAAACTCAATTATAATGCACGACGTTCCAATAATTTGAATAATTGTTTCTCGATACGAATGAATGATATCCTTGAGATCCGTATACTTCCGGACGCAACGTTAACACCTCCGCGAAACGTGACACATACACTAGAGTGTGTCATGATTTTACTACCTGCTATGCGTAGTATGGCACGTGCGCAGGTGTATGTGTCACTATATTTTTTTTTATTTCAACTGAATGATGAACGATTATTTACTTATTTTCGCGAAATGAACAAGAAAATTACTACTAACCAGTAATGCTGGATAACCCGCCTTTCGTTTTGGAATCTCATCTCCAGATCGCGAACGGTGTAGCCACCCCTTGTATCCATGGCATTGACAATGATTGTGAATGGGCCAATCTGTAATCGCGAGTTCAACTCCAACGGAAAATAAGCTTCACATTTAGTCTTGGCCTCTTCGTGAAGTCGCGTTATCATTACGATCACCGGCGCTCTCTCTGCCCACGCCATACTCCAAAAGTCTTGAATTGTGTGCGTCAAAGGTCCCTGCGTCGCTATGTATCGAGCGTCGTCTTCATAGCCCTATAACACGAATGTCATTCAGGTGTGGAAACTGTCTGAATGTAACAGAAGCTAATGAATAATTATTTCAACTTACCCTAACGTAATTGGCATTGATATAACTCGTGAGCGGATCATCACTACCAGGTAACCTGACCCTAGACCGAGGATTTGGCAAAACGCTCTTGTAGCGATTCTTCACTCCAGACCCACAAACATCAGTTTTCTCAGGGAAATTTTGCGGCACCTCCCAGAACTCTTTGTGCAGAGTTACTGGATTATCTACAACCTTCCTCAGTTGCGCTCTACTCAGTACGTTCCTAGCGCTGAGCAAAAATTCTTCAGCGCACTCGCGCGTTGGTGTGACTGGATGTTGCAGTACTTCACATGCCGGTGCCAAGTCAATCGTCAAACTCGCGCTGGAACCACGACGTTCCAACAGACTTTTCTTATGTGGAGGTGTACGTTGCGGTGTGGCGAGTGCCCAAACATGCTGCGAGTACATCGACTGAGTACGGCGATTTCCGTCCCGACGGGGCGAACGTTTCTCGAGGATACTCGACGTTGCTGACATTGCTACGCACGACGTTGATGCGTGCGGTATCGGCGACGGTACCCATCGCGTTTCCGTTTGCAATTTCGTCGACGACTGATTGTTACTTGTTTCCGCGTGAGGAATCTTTATTCGCGTTTCGGTGTGACTCTTGGCTGACGTTACTGTGGTTGTCGTTTCCGATTGCGCTCGCGATGGGAGAGCTTCTTCTTGAGCTTTACGCTGCGTCTCCGACCGTATTTTCACTTTTTCAAACTGAAGTTCAAATAGAGAAAGAGAGATGTAGTTGAAATACCAAAAAGTAAATAATATTAGATGTTTGTAATTCATTATACCTTGACAGTTGTAATGCTATCAGAAGTGGTAGCTTCGCTAGCTACTACGGAAATTGCCGGGGCAGTCTCGGACACCCATTTGGCTTCTGTCAGAGACTTTGCTTTGGAGATTTTGTTGATATCGTCCGATGGTGGACAGACCGAGCCTTCCTCCACCAAGCCACGCCTATCGCCCTCTTCCACGTCCTTCTCACGCGACATTTGCTGTCGCAGCCATAACAGAATCTACAATATTGAAGATACATTGTTATTTCAGAGATCTTCAATTTTATTTAATAGATAATATAGGTCTATAGAATTTAGCATAGAATTTCTTAAATCTTTGCTATATGCTTCTTGCGGATGATCAACAAGTTACCACATCATTTAAAGCTCCTAGTTTAAAAGTATTATATAATTGTCAATAAATGAATTTTTTAAGTCAATAAATTTTAATTATCCAACTTTTGACATTACTTAATTTCTGTATGTATATGTATTAAAAATAATATTTTTTCCAGTTACATCACTGTGCTTTGTTTCAAAGTATATCAAAAGAGAAATGAATTTCTAAAGCCAAATAAATCCACTGTAACTTTGCAATATCATACAATTTTTTAGTGAAATCAGCTCATTCGATGCATTTATCAGTGACAATTCTAGTATACGATATGGTTTTTAAAGTCTTTATGGCAGTCGAAAGCTATCTTGCCAAACTTGATTCAACAGATCAAAGCACTTGCAGAGTATCAAAGTTGAAGAGCACAGCGTAAGCACAAAAGCAAAAGTTAGCTTGCTTCGAACGTAACATGTGAGATGGTGTAAATTATTACCAGAAAAGCAAAGAGAATGGCAGCGGCAATGGCAAATAGAGCTACGAGTACAGGCAGCTGCTGTCCATTGATGCTTGCCACACGATTGCTGACATTCGAGTCGAGCTGCTGCTGTTGCTGTTGCAGCTGAGGACTTGTATAGGCAGTGTGGTATTGAGCCGGTCGCTGCAGCGCACGCAAATCCATTCCAGCATCGTCCAGTCCCGTTGTGGACCGCCAAAGTCTATGGTTGTCGTTGTTAGAGGAGGAAAAAGAGAGGTGTATTTGTGAAACAGATGCAATAAAAACAACAAAACGTACAACGTTGCTAACGTTAGAATTCTTCTTTCAAGCATCAATGCACGCACGCGCGCGCACACACATACACACACACACACACAAACATACACACACAAGAGTCAATGACACACTCAATGAAAGACGTGATACAGATTTCGTCGTTTCTACGTACTTGTGTACTTGACTCGAACTCGCTGACATTCCCTCAGGTAGTGCAGCGAGTGTTTAGTAATCCTGGCGAACTGCTTGGTACATTCTGCAAACTGACGTTTATTATCCTTCGATTAATCGTCGTCTTATTGTTCTTATTTTTGTCTGATCTATATACTACGTAGCGGCGTGTATGTATCGTATGCACGAGAAATAGAAAAAGAGGATGAGAGCCGTGTGCAGAACTCACGCAAACAGCAAGTACTGAATGTGTTTTCGTGTACGCGCAGTCGGAAGATAGATAGCTTCCGGCGAACCGGCAGGTGGCGACACTATCACTCGCGCCGTCCATTCGTGAGTCTCGCGGCGCTGCGCTGCTCAACGGAGGACGTTACACTTTGTTTTTGTTAATGGGCCGGCCTGCAGGAGAATGAACGATCAGCTGTGGCACATGCCTAGCTTCTCTTTCATTCAGAATGCCAGGATGTGAATGATTTTAAGCCACGACGAGTATACATCAGTTGAACAGAATCGTTATCATGAGTAAAATTGTTGCGCTGGACGAGTAAGATATTAGTTTTTATGTTTTGTCTTGAACAATTTTTTTTACAAGATCGTTTGTTCGAAAGTGTCAAACAAGGTTGGTGGGATAAATTGAAGGACCCCGTTCCAGAGCAGTTGCAATGCAAGAAAGCGCAATGCAGCTTTGCGCCTGAGGGTCATAAAAAACACGGAGTTGTTGAGTAAGTTTTTATTATCAAATTTGTTAGTTGAAAAAACAAAAAAGAAAATAATAGAAAAATTTTTACGTTTAACGTTTGAAAAATGTAACACAAAATGATTATAGCTAACGAAACCCATGTTTTTAATGGAATTTTAAAGAAAACTAACGTTAACCGTTAAAAATTATACCTCATTCTTTTCGTCGTCATAATTGTAATGAAAAAAATCCCACGTTATACATACTTTCTTCCAAGACGTAGCTACGCACTCGCCGAAACGCGTCTAATTATCCAGTACCTGGTTCATTACCAGATGATAAATTACAGTAAAGGCATGAGCGTGTGGGAAAAGATGAACTCGCGTGGGGTAAGTATATTAGCCAACAGTCGAAATTCAACTGAAAAGCGTACTCACGGTTAATCGAGCCTCGTATCTTTTTCACAGTATCTGACACATCGGACGCCACAATCACTCAACAATCATTTCAGGCGAACGATCTTGCCGAACATACGCAGCTACAAGTTGCCCGACGAGTTGGAGAGCAAGTTCTTGGAACTGCGCGCAGCGCGATGAATAATTTCGTTTTTCCAGCGGACTGCAGCAGCAAAAGAGAGAGAGAGAGAGAGAGACGTAACTGAAATTTCCGGCCGGAAGTATATGTGGCGGCGGGCATGAAGTCATCGATAATTGGCTGCCGCACACTTTTAAGCCAGCGTCTATTTTCGGCCGTTATCTAGTGGTGTGTGAAGAACGCTTTCACACGAGACTCCTCTCTCTCTCTCTCTCTCCCCTCTCTCTATTTTTATTGCTAAACTTTTTTCGACGGCGGGTAGCGTACGGGTACCAACTTTTTTTTATTCGTTACAAGCAACGTTGCTTTTCGCGATGTCGTTTGACACAAAACAGTCTGAGATGTTGCCGATGACTACTGCTAACTTGATGTATCGAGCTTGGATTTGTCACAGATTATAAACAATTTTGAGATATCATTTTTTCTACCACTTTCGTTTCGATAAATATTTTTATAGAAACTTATGGCTGTTGTAATCATAAATAAAACTTATTATCTAATGATTAATTTTCACGAAAGCAACACCCGCTTGGAAGAATGACCGGTTATCAATTTAACGGATAAAACTTACCTGAATAACGTGGATTGCCAGTGATCAAGAAAGAAATCGTTTATTCGGCAGCGACTCGCTCGAGGCTGTGAAAAGGGAAGGGGACAGAGACAGCTACATCCTTCCTTTGATTCGAGCTTTTATGTGGTGTGTGTATATATACATATACGTTGGTGGTGAACGATGCGCAGCTACAACGTCCCTAAAGAAAAATAAAAAAAAAGAAGGATGAAAACGAGCGTTGAAAAACCTCGAGGCCTTTAACGCTTCGCTCGCTCACTCACACATACACACACGCGCGCGCGCCATACGCGAAATCGAATCTCGTTTTCGATACTTGCGCTTGAAGTTACTACGCCCACGCAAGAGAATCGCTCTCTCGGCTTGGAAAACCAATAACTAAGCGACACGCCGAAACTTTCTCTCTCTCTCTCTTTTATGGGTTTTTGATAACAGTAGCCAACCTTTCGAGCGGGGGAGAGCTAAGATGGATATTTCTATTTTATCTAGCGGAATTGGATTTTTGGTGATATACAACGCGGACGTTGTGCCAGCTAATTGAATTTTTCCGTTCTATTCTACGTTTGTCGTTATGGCGTGCATTTCGACAGGATTTATCGAACTTGATAAGAATTATTCGGCAATTTCATCGGAGATTCGCTCTACCGGATGAGCATTATTTAGGGTCGTCTTTCGAAGGACATCCAAATATAAACGAGAAATTGAGCTCTCGCGCAAAAGATAAATAAATAACCGTCACTCTTTAAGAACTCAATCGAAAAGTCCGAAGCAATCGCTCAATTAAAATAAAAAAACAAAAAAAAAAAAGCAGAGAGAGAGACTCACCTGAAGAAATTGCAAGTGAGTGCGACTCCGCGGACGAGGACGGGAGGAGGTTCGGTATAGCCGAGCGAGCGGGCGGCTCGCGACTGACTGCAGCCTGCAATATCCTCGAGGCGACGCTAATAGGCAGGCAGCTCTCGTGCGCGCATGCACCGTGCGCTCGACGCGCGCCACCCTCGGCCGCGCGTCGTCGTTGATAAAAACCAGCGCCACTCCGCCCCATTGATCGGCCCCGTCTCTGAATGGAGCGCGCCGCTCTCGCCCGATATTCATTGACGTTTCGCGCAGCTCTCGCTCTCCCCGCTTTTTCCGCTGTCAATGGGCCGCGTCGCGCGCGTTCGCCTTCCTCGCGCCACGGCGATTCCCGTTCTCGGCCAGCTGCCCGGATTAGCCGTCTCGAGGACGCGCTCTTCGCGGATCGAGCTTGGCCCGAGTCCTGATCTCGCGACCGTACCTCGCGAGCCTCATCGTCGACCGCTCCTCGCGGCGACTGTCGTCGCGCGGGCTGCTGGTCCGCTCGACGAACATCGTCCCGCGCCTTGGCGCGATCGATAAGAGGCTTGCGCCCCCCCCCCCCCCCCCCGAGCATCCACCCCCGTTGTAGGTCGTCGCGCTTTTCGTGGATCACGAATGCGGCCGTCTACGCACGGCTCGCGCCGCTACATCACACTGCGAGGCCACGCACAGCGAGAGAGAGAGGCAAATGTAATTCGCCCGTCGTCTCTATACGATTACGACGAGACGCGATCGATTGTCGTTGTTTGTTTGCGTTTTCATTACAGGCCGAAAGCGTCGGGGGTGGCGGCGTTTCCCGTCACTCTGCGACAAACATGGACTCGACCGACGACGCGCGTTTACCTGGCGAAAAGGATGTTGGGATCCGCTCCTTTTTTACGCTGTTGGCGATGAAACGAGGTTCGAAAAGAAAGAAACAACACTGTCGTAAGCGAAAATTATTGAAAGCTTTTGGGATTGTGTCAGAGGGGGATAACAGGGGGAGGGGACTGGAAAGAAGAAGAAAAAACAAAGAACAATCACGGCCTCGCACGTCGCTCTCGTATTCCCTATGAAACAACGAAGCCCGAATTATTTAACAGCGCGACGGTTCACGGAGGCTCCTCGGATATGCATGACTTTGCACGTCCTGCATTAATTTATTGCTCGAGGTTGCGTTTCCTGTTCCGAATCGCGGCGTCGGGAGCACGGCGCATCAACGAAATCCAGAGCACAAAAGGAAATTTGAAAAGATCGCGCCGAGCGGAAAATCACGAGACTCGACCTAAAAAGCCGACGATGCGCTTTGCGGAAAAAAAATCGCGCGAGGCGACGAACAGCTGTTACCCTGAAATAGAATTGACGTCCCAATTAAACTAGAGCTCCTCGCTTTGATCGCGCTGCGTGTAATTGTGGGTTGCAATTATTTCGATTTCGTTTCTGCATTCAAAACATCAAATGATACTCGTGAAAAGTTTTCAACGCCACGAAGAATTTATTTGCACAAACGAAAAACGGACTACTCGTTGACAAGTGTCTTGGTTATTTTAAAATATTTAATGTTATTTCGGTCTGAAGTAACACGGGTCTTAGGTGAAGAATGACGAGCAATTGAATCTTGCTTTCTGAAAAATTTGCCCGACTTTCTGAAAGGTAGTATCGTTCAATAATTTATGTTGACACATTTTTCATTCTTTGCATTTCAATATTTTTCCATAATCTATAATTTAAGCTTAACGTAATGTAGATCTTTGCTATAACAAGCAACAAGTTCGATATTCGGACTTATAATCTTCCGGAAGTTACTCATTATGAATAATCACGATAAGTTACCATGTAATATCATACATAAAAAATTTCATGAAAGATAAGCTCTGAATTCGGCACCATTTTGGTAAATGTTCCAATTGAGGCTACACTTTACTATTCAACAGTACTCTAGGCTGTCAATAGCATCGTAATACTCAAGCCCAGACGATGCTTTCATGCGGCACCCTTTTTCTGCCCGTGAACGTGCTGCAATCACCTGGACACTGTGACATCAATGGAAACGAAAACCTTGCTTTTTTTTTCTTTTATTTCGGGATTAAATAAAAAAAATGAAAAGCCTCGATATGAACTCTAATCCGGATTTTATTATAAAAAATGCACCGAGAACCGTATGTTGGTTGAATTTTTTGATCGAAATTTCGACCCTGGGAGAATTTTGAAACTAAACAATCTACAATTCTACAGTCGTGCATTTTATTAACTGTATATATGGCTACATTTTGCGAAGTCTTACTGGTCACGAGTAGAAAATAATTAGATATATGGTTTTCAATGTATTTTTCGGCACACAATCCAGTGAATCAGAAACCATAATTTTTAGGTTTTCATAAAATTTCAAAGAAACCGTGAATAATTGTCCTTTTCGACTATCTAAGCACTTTCGTTTGCATAAAAAAATGTTTCGCGCATTGATGTACCGACATTTTTGATCGTTTTATGAAATCATATAGAATAATAATACAAAGAAATGAAGAGCATCACCCAAATAAAATTTATTGGAACGTTATTAAATCGAAGTACATTTTTACATGAAATTGCATGGATTCAATTTTACTTTATCTAACTCATCGAGTCACTTCGATGAATTAATTAAGTTATTAAAGAATAGAATAATAATACTTTTTTGTGCAATTTCATTGAAATGATACATTTCTGATTTTTCATTTTTTTTTTATTTTGTTTAACGTCGCTTTTATTTATGCTACATTTCTGATTTATCTCATAAAAACATTAAAGTTAAGTACATGTTTTCAACAAGTCTAAAAAACTTCAAAGTCCTTCACGAGTTACAAACTGACGTAGAGATATGAAACAATAACCGGGTCTCTTTAAAATGTTCAAGAGTTTCGTAGAAAGTCGTCAAGTTTTTCCTCGCATATCTTTCCATCTTACATTTAGAATAATAATTCAATATTATACAATGCCAACATTCGAAAAATCCAATCGTCACGTGCAAAGCAAATTCAATCCCCTGAGTCAACATCCACATCTAATCAACAACTGTCATCTAAGTCTAATCCCTCAAAATAAATTGGAATTGGTCCATCGTTTTAGTTGCCCAACCCATCCCTCTTAAAAAAAAAAAAAAAGACCAAAAGAATCACACGCTACTTACTATAGTCGGCAAGGTCTACGCGTCACCGGGGTTTCAAGCGCATGAATGGAGCTTTCGGACCCGGCCATTGGGATTCGGAGCTCACGCGGTGCGAGGGGCGCGCGCGCGCAGGCCAAGGCTCGCGTGACCTCGTTCCGTTTTTCCTTGATCATCCTCGTTCGAGACGACAGCTCTTTCTCTCTCTCTCTCCCCCCAGACTTGCTTTTTTTTCTGCATTGGCAACGGTATACACGTTCGCGTTCGCGGCGGTCGAATCGCGCGGCAGCGTCTCCATTCATGAGAGGGTGGCTCGCATCCTCAATGGAGCCACGGCCCAGTTTAGCAGTTTCGCGCGTGGGCTTGGCCTGGATACCGTCGCCGCGGGAGGACGCGCGCACTGACGCAACGCGTCGCACACGGACGCGCGTAACGCGTTGGCGTCCTTCCTTCCGTCCGCGCGCTTCCTTCCGCTCGACTGCGCGTCGCTTCCTGCCGACGGTTGCCCCGACTGCCGTACGAGCTGCGCATTCTGCCCGTCTCGCCGCGATTTCGACACGCCCTGCGGGGCGCACGGGGACCGCTACGAGTTTTCATTATTCCACACGCCAGGAAACGCATTTTCTCTTCCAAGCCGGATGGATCTTTGGTTTATCGTTGATCGATGCGCGCGAGAGGACCGAGCCTCCTTCCTCGTGTCGTTCTTGCGCGCAGGTATACATGGCGCGCTTCCGTTCAAGTTGACAGCCCCTCAATTTCCATATATATATATATATATATATATATATATATATATATATATATACATGTCTCGCATCGAGGTAATTACCGACATTACCTATCCAAGTCAATTAGCGCGGCTGAACGAATAATTGAACGTGGTCATTTTTGACGATTACAAACGATAAATCGCTTCTGTTTCAAGCGAGTGATCAACCTGAATGACGTGTTTATCACGTTTTATGCGTAATGAATGATTCGACACCCGTCGCCGAGACACGCTCGGACATTGCACGCGCGTTATAGGGGTGCGCAACGGTCAAAATTAAAATATACGCAACGGCGCAACATTGTTAGTTAACGATGTGATCGAGCATCGCGCAACGGACGTAAATAACGCAAATTTGCGAATTATGAAACTGAGAAAGAGACGCGGCGCCATTATTTGACCACTGAAGTGTTATCAAAATCCTCGTCGTTTTGAAGAAAAAAGAAACGCAAAACCGATCAGCGAGCGCGACACGAATAAGAAATTGTCATGCGGAAATCGATCAGCTGAACGTGGCGCAAAAGAGCTTTGCACCCTCGGTCCACGGAGCAATTTAACGCTACGGCTAAACTCAACAGTTGCATTCGCCATCGACAGGGTAAGCACGCGCGGTACGCACGCGCATCGCCGCCGTCGGTCGCATCGATAATTAAGCCGACCGAGGCTCCTTCTCGCGACGCTTCGGGCGGTCGCAATTATCCGGTCTTGCGCCAGCGCGGCTACGCTCGTTCTCCGCCAGCCTGCGTCTGACTTTGGCCCGGCCGAGGGCGAAATTGAATCCACTCCGAGGCGAGCGCTGGCGAAATCGGTTGCGCAACTAGTCCGCGGGACGCGAGGAGAAACGAAGCTCTCGGATTTCCAGCGATATCAGCCTGCCGTACGTCGAAATGATGAGACTTTGGTCGCGAAGACTCAGCAACGAGAAGCACCGAAAATGTCGACGGAGAAGGCAATCGAACAGTGCGCGCTTCGGGGAGGATTCGAAGTGTCTCGGATTAGCGAGCGATTGGGAGAGGAGAACACGCGGGTAATTCGCCGCTATGCCCCGAAGGAAAAATCGAGATGCTGCGCGACGAAGCGACAGCTGGACATACGACTGGAAGGTCGCGCGTGTACGATCGGGAGGAGGAGGGGGCGAGGCTTCTTCGTTTCGCAACGTCCTGCACGCTGCGGTCGACCCAATTCTCGGCGCCCCGCGGTCGAGCGAAGGGGGTTGAACGCACAGGCGGCCGTCTACGTCATAGCGCAGCCTAGTTTCCAGCCGGGCTGCGCGCTGTCCTCTTGACCCAGAAATTGCTGAATGAAAGCCGCCCCGCGGCGGCCGCAGTCTCATTCATGCCAACCGGGCCACGCGGGGGCGGCGCGGACGCGAACGCGTTTTGCGCGCGCAAGGTTGCCTCCGTCGCGTCGGCCGAGGCGCGGCTCCTTGCGACCTCGGCGCTCGGAGATTTCCATCGACGCGACGGTGCAGACATATTGTGGATTTCGAAACGGGAATTCAATTGGCGTCCAAGACGGACGCGGAAACGCGACACGCTCGTCGAGTGCTCGCCGCTCGCAAATAGCTGCCGAGCGAACGGTCGATGCGAGTCCGATCGATCGAACCACGCCGACGAAAGGCCGATCTATCGGCGCATCGTCGGTCGACGAAGCGAGGCAACGAACGAGTCGAGCGCGAATGGCTTTGCCGCGTCGTCGCGCGCTACACGGGGGTACGCAATGAGGCGCCGACGGATCTCGCGCGTCTCGAAAGATCAAGGCCGCGGGGAGATAGGCGGCACTCTCCCGCCGAGATAGCGCACGGCACCACTCGGCCGAGCTTATATCACTGGTCGAGCGGTCGATGGCGCGGTCAGTGCGCGCGAGCAGCATGGAGTTCGTGAGCTTCGACGCCAGGTCGGGGGCGCTGAGCCTGAGGAAGGCGCCGCTGCCGCGGCCGCCGCGCGGCGAGCTGCTCGTGCGGGTCGCCTACTCCGGAGTCTGCGGCACCGACCTCCATATCATCGAGGTTGGTCCCCCGGCGACCACTCCGCGCGGACGAGCTTGACGCAAGGGGCGCGATTGCAGGGCTCGTTCCCGTGCAAGCAGAGCGAGCCGCTGACACTGGGCCACGAGTTCTGCGGCACGATCGAGGCCCTCGGCGACGGCGTGACGGCCTTCAGGCTCGGCCAGCGCGTCACGGTCGACCCGAACAGCGGCTGCAATCTCTGCGGCGACTGCCACGCCGGCTGCTACCACCTGTGCCTCAACGGCGGCGTCAACTCCACCATTGGCATCTTCCGCAACGGCGGCTGGGCCACCCACTGCGTCGTGCCCGAGATGCAGGTGTACGCGCTACCCGACGCCGTCGACATGGCGCAGGCCGCGCTCTCCGAGCCGCTCTCCTGCTTGGCCCACGGCTGGGACCTCATGAGTCCCATCGACGTCGGCCAGCGGGTCCTGGTCAGCGGTGCCGGCATCATCGGCCTGCTGTGGGCGGCCGCGCTGCATCTGCACGGCCTCAGGAAGACCGTCACGGTGTGCGAGCCGCAGGACAAGAGGAAGGACATGGTGAAGAGGATGGGTGTGTGTACAGGCCGAGTATCCGCTCGCAATCGAGTGACGACCGTCTGGTTGCAGGCCTGGATTACGAGGTCTGCAGTCCGCAGCAACTGCAAGGCAAAGAGTTCGACTTGGCGGTGGATTGCAGCGGTTCGGGCCCGGCAATGGAAGCTGCCATCCCGCTGCTGGCCAGAGGCGGTCGCTTCTGCATGTTCGGCGTCGCGAATCCCGCGGCTCAAGTCAGCATCAATCCCTATCAGGTAGACGTTGCAATTCACTCGAATCCGCGGTAACCGCGACAGCGCTGCATTGTAATCCAAATGCGATTGGCTTCAGATGTACAAAAAGGAACTGACGATCAAAGGGGCCAACATCAATCCGTTCACATTCCCAAAGGGCATCGGCTTACTGGAGGCCATGCACGACACTTACCTACGCTTCGACAACCTCGGTATCAAAGTCTTCAAGCTGTCCGAGTACAAAGAGGCGCTGGATGCACTCAAGCGGGGTGACATCAGCAAGGCGGTGTTCAAATGTTGAATATTTATGTGTTCTTTCAATGCAAATAAAGAACAGGTATATTAATTGTTACGACCTTTTTGCAAGATTTCTATCTCGAATACTTACCTGAATGCTTTTGACATGTTATCTCCATTCAAATTAGTCATCGATTAAATCTGCGCATTATACACGTGATCTCAAGATTACGCGTAATCTTTATCTATTGGTTTCGATCAGACAAAGTTTTCTCCCGAAACACGTTCCGAACCAAACGCAATTTAAAAATTGCACTTCACTGATGCATTTCGTTCGCGGCGAAGCGCGCGAAAATGCGTCGCTGAAAAATTATCGGTCGATCGAAATTGGAAAGCAGCGGGTTCGGGCAGCGCAGCTGCAAGCAAAATAGCCGCGTCCGATTTGCTCATCCTTCGCGCGACACTCGAAAAAAAATTACGGAGGTCGCGCGCCGCGGAATCTTACCGACCTTTTTATCACGTCTGCGGAATCCGCGCACAAATTATCGTGCGCAATCACGGCGCACTCTGACCTGTCGAGATGTTTCCATTTGCTACGGGCGTATATTCCACCGTCGCTCGTCAGTCATCTGCGACCATGATGGAATACGTGTGCTTCGACGCCCCGACGAAAACTCTGAGCTTGAAAAGAGGACCCATACCGAAACCGGGCCCGAATGACGTTCTCGTTCGGGTGGCCTACTCCGGTGTGTGCGGCAGTGACCTTCACGTGATTGCGGTGAGACTCTCTTTTATGTGGTTTAACCATCAGTTCGTGTATACGAGCGCAACAACCACATAATGATGCACGATAGCGCGTTCCTATGAAAATTAATTGTGGGTGTTGAACGTTTGTTTTAGCGTTTCTTCTTTCACTCTTCCACTCCCGATAATCCATTTTCTCGGATGAAAAATATTTATTTTTGAAATCGCTGTTGAAAATCATCCTCATTATATAAATATTAAAAACCTCATAATTCGTGAAAAAATATTTCTCTGCGAAGAACTGAACAAGCACATACGTACTTTACGACTAAATTTTAGTTGTTTAAAATTGAGCAGGTGAATTTTGAGTTGTTTTAACAAAACAATAGGCATTAGAATTTTCCAACGGGAATAGCTTAGGCAAGGAAAACATATATACAGGATATTATTACGAAACTCGCGCGAAAACATATTTCTATTACTATATCCACCTGCGCGAACTTTCCGTTACTCTCGCGTCTTTAGAAGGACAAATATTTTACCAACAAAAAACAGGTATGTCGTGAGCGAAATCAATGTTTGTTTCAATGCCAATATCTGGACTTGCGAGCGGCAATAGCGCAGCCATCCGCGATAAGAGATGTCAGTTTCCCCGAGTCGATGTACGATTTATCGGATGATCATTCGTGCACAGGGAAACATGCCCTGTAAACACTGGGAGCCGCTGACCATGGGTCACGAGTTCAGCGGCGCTATCGAGGCGATCGGGGCCAACGTGACAGTTTTCAAGGTCGGCCAAAAAGTCATCGTCGACCCGAACAGTGGCTGCAATCTTTGCAGCGATTGCCACTCCGGCCACTATCAACTGTGTTTGAAAGGGGGCGTCAATAACACTATCGGCATGGTGAGGAATGGAGGGTGGTCAACTCATTGCATCGTCCCAGAGACTCAGGTAAACACCCAGCGACCCCGGGTGCGGGACTTAGAAAGTAATCTAGCCCAACGATCCTCGCAGGTGTACGCGATGCCGGACTCGGTGGACGCATCGCTAGCAGCTCTCACGGAGCCGATCTCGTGCATGGCGCACGGGTGGGACATGCTCAGCCCCATACACGTTGGTCAACGTGTCTTGATCAACGGCGCCGGTATCATCGGTTTACTGTGGACATGCTCGCTCCATCTGCACGGACTGAGAGATACTGTCACGGTATGCGAAACTCAAGAGAAGCGCAAGATTATAGTGCGTAAACTTGGTGAGTCAGTGAACGATGTTTCCGATTTGTCGTGGATTAAGAATATAAAGTACTCTTTTACAAGAAATTTAGATTCACTTTGTCGTTTTATCGGACATCTCAAAATACGTTCGAGAGTCAAAATACTAAAAATTGAATCAATGTACAAAATATAGATATCGTTTAGAAATTGAAAGTAATATTGAAGTGACTTATATTTTGGAATAACTGTAGGGCTAGGTTACAAGGTATGTGGCCCGGCAGACTTGAAGGACAAAGAGTTCGACGTTATAATCGATTGCAGTGGAAATGGACCCGCGATCGAAGCGACAATTCCTCTATTAGCACGTGGAGGTAAATATGGCATTTTCGGCATTGCTAGTCCCGACACGCAAGTCAGCATCAATCCTTATCAGGTAAGTTACTCATCGTTGTTAAAATTGATATCATATTAACAAACTAATCGAATTCGCAGATGTACAAAAAAGAAATTCAAATCTGCAGTGTCAACATCAACCCTTACACATTTCCAAAAGCCATTGGTTTACTACAAGCAATGAACGATACGTACTTGAGCTTTGAAAAATTGGGAATCGGAATATATAAACTTTCACAATACAAAGAAGCACTTGACGCATTGAAGAGAGGCGAAATAAGCAAAGCCATGTTTAAAATGTAAAAACTGATTGTATATTTTCTCTTTCTCTTGCAAAATCGTATACTGAAAAAATATATACAGACGGTAATAAAAAAATCAACACAACGTGATGTATATCATCGCTAATTCTAGTATACTAGCTCATACATGATTCGTTTATAATATTCTATATAAAAACTTGCCAAATCCCGTTAGACGGTTCCACATTAAATATTAGGTATTATAAAAGCCTAACTCGATAGATAGTTCACTTCCTAAACACATGCTCGCCTTTAAAAGCTCATTTTCTCTATAAGAAATATGTGATATAGTGAGATATGTCGATTATTATCAAAAATTTGCGACGACGTTATTATTGGTATTATTATCAAATAGTACAGTATATATTAAAAAAATTATACATTCAAGTGGTCCGCTTAGGGAGGCTAGTGTTCGTTGGCTTTTTTTTATTAAGTCACTAATCTATTGCTTCTCGACTTTAAAAATCGCGCTAAGCGTTATTCCGTTGAGATTCCTTTGAGATTCCTTTGAGATTCGTCTACATTTTTAAAAATTACATAAATATAGTCGTTATATAAACGAGCGGCGAAAAGCGCCGTGGAGGGAATGTATTATCAGTCTATAATCGGCGGTTAGTTTACGCGTGTGTATATGTATCGGCCGATTTACAACTGTACCTTATGCTTTTCGCCTATAATAACATTCGGTTAAACTGCGTCTTCGATTTTGCTAATTTAAGTGATACACTTCTTGAGAACGCCCAAGATAATAATTGTTAGCAACCACTTTGGTGCTACTAGGCGTATACTTGATCCCCATAGAAGTCCTGGATAGTTAATGTTTGGTATAGAGGTTTCTGCAAAAAAACAATGGCAATTAGAATCTATGTTATTAAATCCATGATAATTAAATTAAAATGGAATCTTCGTCGTTTTATAATCATAATAGATACTTAGTCATTATTTTTTTTTAAATAGAATATTTATTATGAAATTTAATAATGTAACATTCACGAACTAATTGATAAATCATGTTTCTTTTGCAAGGCAATGCTATAGAATCGCTATACTTTTATTTTGATTTCAATTAATTTTTTTTATTTCTGTTCTTTCATTTTCTATCACTTATAATAGTATATTATATGACCTTAAAATGTATAAATTATTTAATTTTTTAAAATAATTTAAATATTATACGCCATAGTAAGATAAAAAATTATAAAAGATAACATTAAAAACTAAATTTACATTATAATTTCCAATTCAACTCGAAAAATACTCAAACTACTCTTTCGAATTATTTGAATTTTAGCGTGATTACTCTGTCATTCAAAGACAATAGATAAATTTTAAAATCTAGCAAATAAAAAGAAAAAATACATGGATTCACAAAATAAAGTAAAAAAACATACATTCCTCAATTTTATGCAAATACATGTCACATAAACTTACCTGATGATCAAGGCTACAATAAAGGCAATGGCCACGATTGGGCTAGATGATATCGGCATTACACCAGCTGCGTAATAGGCTTGGCCACAAGCAGGCGGGCATACAGGTATAATAGTTTCTGCACAAAAAAGGGGAAAACAAACTATTGCATGCTGTCTACACATACGCTACTTGTAAATTTTTTAATCGTCCTATGAATTACTTGCCAATACATAAAGAGTTAAAAATGTTTATAATACTTATAAAAAAAACGACAAATTTTGCAATAATTGATACTACTCACAGCGGTATCTTTAAAAGTTAATACACAATTGCATGCCTGTAGTAATCGAAAATATTTATTACGTAAATTACAAAACAATTTAATCATTGATACCTCGTCTCAGTTAATACCGAATCAATTAAAACATTGAAAAAGGTAAAAAGATAATGTCTGCATAACAACACATCAACGAAAATTAAGAAAAAAAATTTATTGATAGAAACGGTCAACTTACCAAACAATTCAACAGTTTCCTGGGCAGAGCCAAGTTTATTGGCAGCTTTGCAAACATACTGCCCATATTGTTTTTTCTCGATAGTAATAACACGCAAAGTAGTATCAGTATATTCGTCGGCAGTGGCGAAATGAGAAATACTGTAGTGTTGATTGTTCGATAACTGAACCTCGTCCTTATGCCACGTGATAGCTGGTGGAGGATAAGCGACAACATGGCACTCCAAATCCATATCGTATTGTAACGCTTGTCCGAGTCGCGGGCGTGGTACGCTGATGACCGGAGCAAATTCAACCTCGAGATTAATGTTACGACGTGCACCTCGTCCAACTCCATTCTCGGCGACGCAATAATATGTTCCGCGATCTTCTTTTTTCACAGACGCGATTTTTAGAGTGTTACCTCTGGAAAAATTATTTCTTTGTTAATTTGGATTCACTCTGGTAATTTTTACAGATAATACCTGTAAATAGATCCTCCTGTTGGTAGAATGGCATTGTTCTCTCTGCGCCAAGAGATTCTTGGCGCAGGAAAACCACCAGCGTAACATTCCAACTGAACAGATTGATGCTCATTAACTACTACTGCTCTGGTAGAGTTATCGCTGATAATTGGTGGTCTGCGTACTTGTAACTCAACTTGAGCAGTGATTCTGGTACTGGTAGAAATAAGAATTTGACATTGATAGAAACCTGCATCGGTTTCCTGAATGTCTTTGATCTATACACCAAGATAAATTTATGAATATTCTCAGAAAAGTACAAAAATAACGGAGTACTATAAAGTTTAAGTACCTGCAAAGTGTACGTAGAGGATGAAGCATCAGATCTCAAAGCAAATCTACTGTCACGAATAATAAGAGCAGTATTAGTTGAAATTGGCAATTGATCTTCTCTGTTTTTGTTGATCTTTATCCACAAAACCGGATAATCCTGACTATACTGTACCGAGCACACAAATTCAACCGTTGAACCAATATCTTTGATTTGCTCCTGAGAGATATAGGATATTGTTGGTGTTCTTTGGGTGTACACTGAAAATACTCAATGCTCATTACTGATCAATCATGCCAAAATTGTGGAAACCCTTAATCAATTAAAACACAAATATTCTTATCAGTCTCGTAAACTCCCAAAATAATCCAGTATAATTGATACATTCCTTCGTCGCCTAATCTAATCAGCGAAACATGTAGTATACAGAAAAAAATAACACGGCGAGACGTAAACAAACAGTAAAAAAGAAACTGGAGTTGGTGAGTCGATATAGCGAACGGTTATTTACAAATTTGCGGGTTGCTCGTTGTACAAGACACGCAAAAAATTATAAATATTATCATTGACGTTGTAGCCAAACCCATTACCTGACTGCAGCAGAGCGCTTAGCGCGAAAATCACGCCCAACAGCTTAATTTGACCGCTGTTGCTCATTCTGCCAATTGCTTTCTTTAATTTCTTCTTGATATCTCCACGTCCTATATCTGCAATCACATGTACACACGGCGACGAGTAAATGTATTTTGTTGATTATTCACGATAAAGTGTACGAGGAAAACTTATGCGGACGCGCCCAAAAGCATCATCAGTGACGACAGACTACCTGGCCCCTTCCCTCTCTCTTTTCGCGCTCCTCGCTCGTCAGAGCTCCGTTTTCTCACGCTCCAGCGCATGCGTCACCTTACACTGTCGCACTCATACGGCAGCACGTATGTATGCAGTATGCACATACGTGAACGCACGTTCTATACCTAATACACCTGTTAATACGCGAGTCAAACTAGCGCGGCGCTGAAGTTTGCTTTCTTCCTTTTCTGCAAATGCGCGCAGGTGCGTTGCGACTTTGCGAGCAAAAGCGGTTTTGGCGCGCAAGTGTTCATCGATCTTGACACTCTCATGGAAGTGTTGGATGCTAGAAGATCGATCGAAAAACTATTGGTTGTGGATCGATCGTAAGTAAAGAAAACACGACAAATCGTTCAGGAAAATCTGTCGCGGTAATACAAATATAAAATGTCTATGGACAAGAATCAGACGACGTGAATTTTCCATATGGATATGATCGATATTTCGAAGTATGTATTCCATTGGGCGTGAAATCTGATTGTCGTCAGCACGTCGTCACTTGGCTTCTCTTGCGGTGTACTATTACGCTATGATCCTGAGCGTCTTGACGATTCTCCACGGCGTTCGCAGACTCGAGCATTATAGCCAAAGGTCGATGGAATCTTTCCACGTCATGAGCCTGCTGTAATTACGATAACGTTTCAATGAAGAGAATTTAGCGGGGCGAACCCAAGAGCAGGACTTTGTTCTTCCACGAAGCCGCAAAAATGAACGAGCTCTATGCGAATGGACGTCTGTAAGTGATGCAAAAAGACCGATCCACGTGATTGTCCACGAGGGGGAACTCAAACCATCGGCTTCCTTGGCAATTCAAGCGAGTCGACGGATCGAGGCGGTGAGAGCGCGCACGCGAGTTGACCGGCGTCCTTGATCGGGCGATCGGGAGGCGAAAGTGTTGCGCAAGAAATCCATAAAGAGCGTGGACGTGCCTATAGAAGCGACCTCGTTAATTTTTGACCACGGCTAGAGACACCCCCCGCCCCCTCCATGCGACCGGCTGGATCCGCCGTGCGCGGCTCATTAATAAAAAGCCGAGCCGCGAGCTCCGCTGAATAATCGACGAGTCTTTCGCGGTTTGCAAACTCACCCCCCCCCCTCCCCCTCCCTAATCGCGAATAGAAGGATGGCGAGTGCGCTCGAGTCGATTTGCGAACGAGTCAACCGAAGCCGTCCGCGATAGACGAAAGTCGCTCGAAAAGATAAAAAAAAATCATGGGATTGCGCGCGCGTTACAATGGTCGAGCCAGGACTACTACGCGTACATTTCGGTCGGCCTTAACGTTAGTCTATTTTCGCAAACGAGCCAAGTTTCGCAAGACTTTATATTAGAAGTCCTTTCCGCTCTTATAGCTTCTCGAGCAGCACACAGCCCTTGACCTTTCGACAACATTTAGCGTGTATCTTTGTACAATTCGTTGAAAGTTTAACGCACGCTATAACGTCGCTCGGACCGTGAAATGCCTTTTTTCTTTCTTTTCTCTTAAGGATGCACGCGTACGTTTATGCTTGCTGGCATAGATAGAATGGAAATCGAGCTATTGGATCGTTCGATATTGATTGGCGATTGGATCGATAACGTCGCGCGATCACGAAATTCGGTGCAGCTGGATTTGGACGGCGACTTATCGTGTTTTGAAAAATTACTTGCTAACGAGGAAGCAGCAAAACGTCGAAAATGGAAGTAAATTTACGGCAGTTTCATCGGCACGAGTTTCATCTCACGAGGATCCTCGTGAACCAATCGCACCTTTAATAAATGACAAATGAGCTTGCGAGGCAGCTACGTGATTGCGAAGATCGCACGTACAGGAAAACAATTAAGCCGATGGCCCTATCATGCACCTGTTAAGGACGCGCTGCCTTTCCAGTCGCCGATCGCTTACGCGACTCGTATGTAATATATTCTGTAAAAGCTGTATCGTCCGACACGGACTGACGATTTGATCGCGCGCGTCAAACGGCCGTCGTCGAAATCGCTTTCAATTCGCTCGTCGGAGTCCTCGCTTAATCGTCCGAACGAACGCGCATCATTACCGTTACTCCTGCAACTGCACTAGTGTATACTCGCGAAGCTCGATCACGCGACATTTCTTATCGATCGAATCATCATTGTCCGTGTTATGCAAGCACTACGTTCAAAGACCAATAAATCCACATCGAAACAAGCCATCGAGTTACAGCACTTGAATCAGTGCCAAAATTTTGCGTCCGACTGTAATATATTAATCGACTCTAGCCCGCAAGTTATCGTGTGCTTTTCATTGCAAGTTGAGTATATGATATATAATCGATTCCTTTTAATTTCTAAGTTTCGTAAAGACAAAACAGTTACTGAACACGTCGTTATATTTCGCAATTTTTATTGTCAAATTGATTTCAAAAGCTACACAACCTCATTTCATAATGCCTATTCGCTCTCAAAGATATAAATTCTTCCTTTGTACAGTTACACAGGAGGAATATCACCCGTACATCACTCGCGGTAGTATATCGATAAATCTACGTGGAACATGTCCTTGTATATTTTCAATACCAATCGAGATTTTCTGCAGTTGTAGTACAAAAACATACGTAAGTTCATTCGAAGATTAACTTTGTCAACGTGCCTTATTAAATTGCCGATTATGACGAGAATAAGTCCCCTCTCTTTTCTTCGCATTTTCGATCAAATAACAAATAAATCGTTTCATCAATGAAATATAACATATCACTGGTGAAAATTGCACCATTCACAGGCTAAAGTAATTTGATTTGTGAACAGATACCACGAGTGGTTATTAGGTAATTGTCGATCGTCTCGATCGTCCTTACCCGATGTGTACTAAGTTAATGAAACCAGTGGCGCAAATGATTTATATTTTTAATTTTCGCTTAGCCTTTTACCCAATATTTCGTCAGAATATGGCAGTGTTGGCCATCATATTTTAACGGAATGTAAAATAAATTCAGAGGACTTTCTTTGGTGATTCGTTTCGTTTACAAGTAAAACAAAAATGCAATATTTCTTATTCAAACGAACGAACTTCTAAAAGTTCAATTGACAATTGCTGGTGCTGAAATTAGTTGGCGATCAATGTAGAAATCGTTAGAGTCGACTTCGCCAAGGAACGTACAATCGACAAGAAAGCTCCATCGTAGAAATTGGATTCGCGCGCATGAATTTAAAAGTCCGACGTCAGTGCCGCGAGGAAACAACGGCTGCCAATCGCCTTGGCGCTAGTCCGAAAAGCTCTGCGTCCCCGTTTGCTCGTGTCCGCGCGTCCACGCGGGAGGATGGCTTTTGCGCCGTAATCGATGAAATCCACTCGGCGGACGAGCTCCCGTGATTGCAGCCGCCGCTGGGCGAGCGGGACGGAGCGTCTCCGCGCGGCGCGCCTCGACGTTCGTTCGGGGCTCGGCCCGCGGGCAGGTGGTGCAGGCGCGCGCCGACAAGTGCAGCGCGCGCCCGCCCGCGCGAAGGACTCGCCGCGCGCGGATCCACACATGCGCGCGGCCACGGCCGGACGCGGCTCGCCGGGCCGCGCGCGGCAGTCGCCGCGACGACACTCGACCGGCCGGACGCTGCGCCGCCGCCGCAGCCGCGCGATGGGCTGACGCGCGGGCATGTCGAGAGCATGCGCCAGCGCCGCGCCAGCAGCCAGAGAGCGCACCGGCTGAAGCTGCGAAGGATGCAGCGCTCGTCCTCGTCGGCCGGCCGGCGCCAGCCGCTCGCCACCGAGGCCGAGGGTGTCGCCGCCGACGGCGCGCCGGCGACGCTCGAGCGGCCGTCCTCATCGGCGCCCTCGTCGTCGGCCGCCTCGTCAGCGGCTTCCTCGGCCGCCTCCTCGCCCGCCGGGCCCGAGGGCTCGAGCTACTACGAAGCCATCGGCGGACGGGGTCTCTGCAGGGCCGCCGCCGCCGCCCTCCTCGAGAGCGACGGTAGGAACGGCCTCGTTGGCCAGAGGTACGAGCTCGAGGAGGAGGCCAACGGCAAGTCGAGGAAGCCCAGCGGGTACCCGTCCAGAGTGTCCACCATCTCCAGAAACGCTTTCGGTAGGTCTGCTTGACTGCGCTACGCCCCGCCGTCGGCCTCTCTCGAGGGATGCGACGACGGGTCGCTCGGGGATCGCGCGCCTCGGCAATTGACGAAACTGACGGACGTCGATCAACCATTGACGTAGTCGATCCCTGTCGATGGCTCGCGTCTGGCAATTTGATTATACGAGGGATGCGTGCTTGTTATCATCATCGCTCATTTGTGCAAGTGCGTGCACTTTTCAGCCGTGCCTGCTCTTAGTAGACATCGTTGTGGAGAATACCCGCTGCCTTTAATATTATTGACCGCGCGACGTTACAGCAAACATGTACTCAGTGAGCACTAAATTATGTTTGCGCTCGAAAGTGAAATAAATAATTCTTACGTCTGCCGCTAAAAACTGCCTCCTGGGTAGAAAAATAGGCCGTCGCGAAAGCCGCTCGACGCGGCGAGTCGCCCGTAATCCACTTCGTTGATTCTTCGAATCGTCGTCATCGAATACCTTTACACCTTTTTACATCTACTCAGTCAGAACAGGGCGTCCTTGTATTTGCGCAAACGGCGCGATTGTAAATAGGCGCCGCAGCTGCCCCAAATCTCAGCTCAGATCCGTCGCGGCTTTCATCCGAACCGATCGCGACTGGTGAATTTCCACAGCCCATCCACAGAAGTGGAACAAGGGCTCCGAACGCAGGCTGCTTTGCCGTACTTGCGTCGAGGCAACGATCCACGAGCTGGTGCCGGCCGTGAGGCCACGTGCGCCGTCACCGTGAACTTGCTCGCCACGCCGTCGCTCCAAGCTACGTCCCGCCGACCATCCTTGTGCTTTCACATTATTTTTAACTCTCGTCAATATTGCACGCTTCGCCGCTTTCGCGCGCGCACGTGTGACCCCCGTTCGATAAATTGCCAGTGCGATGGAATCAGTGAGCTGTCCGGCAAATCGATCTTGTATCGCGGCCGGCTCTCGCCTCGCGATTGTCACTCGGCCGAGCGGCGGCGAGGTCATCGATCCTTGGATGCATAAAATAAGCGATCGACGCGAGTCGCGTTGCCGCACCACCTACCCCTCCCGCGGTCGCTTTCGCGCGCGGCCTTGGACGCCGAAACCGATCTTCCGCGCGCATACCTACCCTTCAGCGCTGGCTTTCGACGGCCGTGAGCTGCGCGAGTGATCGCCCGAGTTTTTAATTAAAAGCGAGCAAGCCTTGATCGAGAGGCGTACGGGTGTGCGCGCGCGCGCATACGTAATCTGTCGCGACGATCGATATCAATATATGTCCTGTAGCACGCATTCCTCAGAGAAGTTGGTTTGGCGCGCTCGTACTTGTTGTTCCGGCCTGTTTTGGCCCCCTATTCTTCGGTCCCATCGCGAACGTTCGTTTCCTTCTGCTAGAGCGACACCGTCAGAATGCGCGCGCACTTGCCAAGCGCTCGACGCCGAGGATCATCCGCTTTTCTCGAGTGCGATCGACGTGGCAGGCTCCCCACGTGGAGATCGGCAACGGGTCGTGCCGCTGCGATGGCCTATTTGCTCCGGCCGCACGGGGAAAGCAATAGACGTTCGCGCGTCGCGGCAATCCGATCGAACTCGGAGCTAATCGCGCGCGCCGATCTCGTCGAGCGACAGCGACTCCAATCGTTCCGATCGTCCAATCGCACGCCGCCCGACGCCGCGCGCGCAGAACAGCGGAGAGCCTCGTTGTCGCCCTCGTACCGGTCCTCGCGTATAGGTGGGGTCGATCGATCCGCCGTCCGGTAAATAATTGACGAGGCTCGCGAGCTCTATACACCGCGCGCTGACGTGCACGCAGCGTTGTCCGCGCGCCTCGGCACCGCGTGTCGTCGCGCGCAAGCGTGACACGCGGCCGAGGGGCGAGCTCGTTAGCTCGTTAGAACGGAAGAGCGAGACGCTGCCCGAGACGCCGCGGAAGTATCTCAGTTGGCGGCGCGGCGCACGGAAATGACGAGGCGGCTCGATGCGCCCGGTGAACGGCTCGGTCACCGCGCTCGCCATGACCGCCAAAGCCAAGCACTCGCGCTCGTCCCGCAAGCGAACTTACAAAAGTACGTATGACGAGATTATCGCTGTTGTTACTTTCTCTCTCTCTCTCTCGAGCTGATCAATTAGTGGTCGATAATTTTATCAATCCGTTGAACAAGTGCCGAGCTCCCTCCTCGTTACGTTAGCGATTCCGCTCTTACTTAACGAGGAGCAAATATACGTCCTGACGTTCGTTTCTCGTTCTCGCGAACGGGAACGGCGTTGCACTCGAGCCACGAATTGCAGCGCTGTAACGAGGTGCGCGTGTGCGTGCAGGTCCGAAATTGGGCTCGCAGGAGGCCTCGCTGTCGGCCTCGCGCGCGACCATTTTCCCGGGCTCGGACGAGGCCGAGCTCGACAAGGGCGCCGAGTACAGCGACTGCGGCCCCGACGCCTCGGACTTCCTCGGCGCGGCGAGCACCAAGCCCGACGAGAACTTCCCCGACAACTTCGACTACGACACCCTGTACTTCAGGTGAGGCCCGCCTTTGCCCGCGTGCCGGCGAATCGGCCCGAGAGCCGAGCGCGAATGGCCGGAGGCAAAGCGCGCCGCACCTCGTCTCCGACCATCGCGATTCGCTCTGGGACGACATCCCCTCGCCTTTACCGCTCTCCACGGCCGCGAACAACGGCGATCGACTGTCGTTCCCAGAGACGGCCGTCGCAGGATCGACATGGTGCTGGTGTACCGCGAGGAGAACGAGGGCGTGATGACCGAGACGGAGGCGCGCAACCGCGAGCAGCGCCGGATCTTCGAGGCGAATCTGCTGAAGGAGGGCCTGCAAATGGAGCTGGAGCCGAAGGAGAACTCGTTCGATGGTAAAACCTACTTTCTCAAGCTGCACATACCGTGGAAGGTGAAGATCCAGTACGCCGAGGTGATGAATCTGAAGCTGCCTTGCAAGCGATTCATCACCATTTCGGTGAAGGCTTGGGTGAGTCACGTAGACGCGCGCCGTCACCTTGCTTCGTATCGTCTTTACACGCTCGCCTCCTATTATTTTTTCCAAACACTGTGTCATTATTTCCGTGCGTTATTCTGCACGCCCACGCGTGACCCGAGCAAGTGCATTTGTCGCGTCGCGGATCGCGCGAGGGACACGATTTGAGAGAGGATTGCATTGTCCACGCGCTGCGCGACAGGACGAAGAGAAGGCCAAAGGCAAAGGTCAGAAGTGGAAGCAGTACCTGGGCCTGGCGATCGAGACGTTTCGCAGCATCCACATCTGGGACACGAGCAAGTATCCCGAGGAGCCGAGCTTCTACGCCAGCATCGACCCGGGCGACCGCGAGGAGAGGTATCAGCTTGGCGCCCCTCGAGACTCGATCGTGGCACTGACGCGAGCCTGACCCCGCACACCGTAGGTTCGTGGTGAAGGACCGCGACACGGCCTTCACGCCGGCGCAGCGCTCGCTCATAGTCATGCAGATCCTGCTGCGCGCGCGCTACGACGAAGTGCACGAGAAGTCGGGCATACGGCGACTGCTGGCCGACGGCACCTACGTCGACTGCTTCCCCCTGCACGAGGGCGTCTACAACAAGCCGACGCGCGACGGCCAGATACTCGACCGCTATCTGCTCTACCTCATCTGGGCCCGACCCGGACAATGGTGAGCGGAACCGCCGCCGAGCGCTCGCTCGGCTCCTCCCGATTCAAAGCGGGGACTTGATCCGCGACTGCGACCAGGTACAAGAGGCAGCCGCTGTGGCTGATACGCCGCTACTTCGGCGAGAAGGTGGCGCTGTACTTCGCCTGGCTAGGCTTCTACACGCGCGCTCTCTACCCGCCGGCGATCGTCGGCCTGCTGTGCTTCTTCTACGGCCTCGGCAGCATGCACGGCCCCGACAACGTGCCCAGCCACGAGATCTGCGACTACCGAATCGCAGGTAGGCGCGCGACCCGCCGCGCCCTCTCCCGACGACGAGGGACGAGCCCCACGGCTGACTTTGCTCCTCCCCTCACCCCGCAGGGAACATCACTCTGTGCCCGCTGTGCGACAAGGCCTGCCCGTACACCAAGCTCGGCGACTCGTGCCTCTTCGCCAGACTGACCTACCTGTTCGACAACCCGTCCACCGTGTTCTTCGCCATATTCATGTCGTTCTGGGGTGAGCCCCTCCCACCACCGCGCAACCAAAGCACCCGCCCTCACCGCACCGTTCGTTTCGCTCTCGGCAGCGACGACCTTCCTGGAGATGTGGAAGCGGCGCCAAGCGGTTCTCGCCTGGGAGTGGGACCTTCAGCACGGCGACGGTGACGAGGAGCCGAGGCCGGAGTTCGAGACCAGCGTCAAGACCTTCCGCATCAATCCCGTGACGAGGGAGCGCGAGGCCTATCTGCCCGTCTGGTCCAGAACCGTCAGATACATCGCCACCGGATCCATCGTGTTCTTCATGGTAGCGCCGACGCGCCGAGGTGCCGGCACGCCCGGCGCAGTACGCTCACCGCTCGCTCTCTGCCACCAGATCTGCGTGGTGCTCGGCGCGGTCCTCGGCACCATCATCTACCGCATCTCCTTGGTGGCGGTGTTCCACGGCGGCGGTCACTTCCTCAAGCGCCACGCCAAGATCTTCACCTCGCTCACCGCCGCCTTCATCAATCTCATCATCATCATGATTCTGACGAGGATATACCAGAAGCTGGCCAGATGGATGGTTAACATGGAGAACCCGCGCACGCAGACGGAGTACGAGGCCAGCTTCACCTTCAAGATCTTCCTGTTCGAGTTCGTCAACTTTTACTCGTCCCTCATCTACATCGCCTTCTTCAAGGTAGCGAGGCGCCCACGCGCGAACCTTGAGCACCGATCACGCCGGCCGGCGCTGCTTTCAGGGCCGCTTCTACGTGCACCCGGGCGACCAGGAGTCGCGCTCGTCCGAGTTCTACCGCATCAAGACGGACGTGTGCGACGCCTCGGGCTGCCTGTCCGAGGTGTGCATCCAGCTGGCGATCATCATGATCGGCAAGCAGGTCTTCAACAACTTCGTGGAGATACTATCGCCGAAGATGTGGAACTGGTGGCGCAAGCGCACCCACAAGGCCGCCACGAAGGACCAGTCGCGACCCTACACCAGCTGGGAGCAGGACTACCAGCTGCAGGACCCGGGCAGACTGGCGCTCTTCGACGAGTACCTCGAGATGAGTGAGTGGCAGAGGGCGCAGGCTCGCCGCGAGCGCGTGAGAGCCTCCGACTGACCGGGCACCTCCTCTCTCGACGCAGTCATCCAGTACGGCTTCGTCACGCTGTTCGTCGCGGCGTTCCCGCTGGCGCCGCTGTTCGCGCTGCTCAACAACATCGCCGAGATACGCCTGGACGCCTACAAGATGGTGCGGGAGGCGCGCCGCCCGCTGGCCGAGCGCGTCGAGGACATCGGCGCCTGGTACGGGATACTCAAGGGCGTCACCTACGCCGCCGTCGTGTCCAACGTGAGTGGCGAGCGGCAGCCGCGGGCGCCGAGTCCGAGTGACGAGCCTTCCCCTCCCGTGCTTCTCTGCCGCCAGGCCTTCGTCATAGCCTACACCTCGGACTTCATACCGCGAACGGTCTACGCCTTCGTGTACTCGCCCACGGAGGACCTGGTCGGCTACATCGACAGCTCGCTCTCGGAGTTCAACACGTCGCACTACACCGAGGAGATGCGCAGTGCCGAGGACCGACGCACGCAACCGCCCAGCTGCCAGTACCGCGGCTACCGCAATCCGCCGGGTAACGCCGATCCCTATGGCCTGAGCCCGCAGTACTGGCACGTGTTCGCTGCCAGGCTCGCCTTCGTCGTCGTCTTCGAGCACGTGGTCAGTAACACGTTCGGCATTCGAAACCCAGTTGGCGCGGCTCATTTCATCCGCCATTACCAAAACCAAATTCAGGCTGGATGGCACCAAACCAATCACTGGATGTGTCCGAATGAAAACATTTATTTACTTGTGTTTATCCTCTTGGCGATTCCAATCGTTTATAAGAAGCTATTCAAACGAATTAATAAATATTTTGCGATTTCAAAAGACTGACATGGCCGATCGGTTCTACGGGAAAAAAACAAGTCGAAAATCTTTATGCTATACGAGTAGTATGTAAAATCTTTCTTTACAAAAAGAGCACAGAAAAAATCATGCCTACATGCCTCGTGCCACCGGTTCGAATAAAAGCTTGATTTTCGGATAAACCTGAGTATTTTATTTTCTAACGATAATACACTATACCAAAAAAATATATATATAAATGGTTTTCCCCCTAAAATCGATTGGCATTATCAGTTTCTTGAAATTGGAAATTTTCGTTAATCTATTTAAAGAATTTCGCATGAACAATTGGCATCGCAAAAAGAAAAGTTAGGTTGGTGCTATTTAGACTGGATTTAGCTTGGGTATATAGTAGCTTAATTTCGCGCGGACAGTAGCGGCGAACATGCGGCATCGAGTAGTTTCCCAGCCACCGAGTCGAACGGCGGGCGCGCCCGAGTAGTACTGCATAGTATAATCACCGCAGCCTGTCATTTACACTGGCGATCGATCGATGCACCATTTCACGCGCCGAAGTTCTTCAGAACGAACAACAAGCAATAACTGTACGGCTTTTCAGGTGTTCGCGCTGACGGGAATAATGAGCTACGTGATCCCGGAAACTCCGCGCTCAGTGGCCACGCAGCGGTCTCGTGAACGACTGCTCGCCCAGGAAGCCAAGTATGAGAAGGGCGTGAAAGGTCGGGAAGACGAGGATGAGCTGCTGTCGGTGCTGCGGGACGCTGGTCTGGCGGGTAGACCGGCCGGCAACCGACACAGCTGGGCAAGGCGGTTCAGCAAATTGAGCGACGGCCTTGACGCTCACGTCGACATATCAGGCCCGAGGTGTACGAACAACAAAAACGCGGACGGCTCGACTATGTGGGAAGTGACGTGAAACGGTTAGAGAACAAGTCGCGTGCACGCGCGTGTGAAGACTGTTCCGCTATAGCTTTCTAACGAAATGTCGATTCGATCTGCCGCGGGAGGATACGTAGTCGTATACTGATCGGCATCAAAGACATATATGTGCGTTATCATTTCGTTCGATAGCTATAAATCTTCGATACCACGTATACTTGGAATCACACGTACTTTTTCCCCTTCGCTTATCCGTTCCGGTTGTCCAGCACCTTAATCAGTATTAGCTAGATACTTCCCGTATCATGCCACGTAATTGTCTTTGGATGATACTTAGAGATTGAATATTTTACGGCAAGGATATATCGTACAAAAAACAGAAATGAAACATAATCGAAAAATACGGTGATTGTAAATATACGGTGAATGTTCAATTGTTTTACTATTTCTTTTTCGTAAAATGTTTTATCGTAAGGCGGTCGATTGTTAATTGTTATATTTTTGTACCGTATTATGTGCAATGTAGATGAAAAGCGTATACTGTAAAAATAAGATATACATAATGTTTTTCGTTAGAAAACGCTTGTTGTTGCGATATAAGAAGTTGGTTGGTAGAAGAGAACTCCTTTTTAAAAAAAAATGTGAAGGCTAAACACGATTACTACACAATATACTCTTTATTTATTTCACATATCTTAATAATTCCTTTCTCAGCTATCGACAGAGCATATTTATAACAATATACACGTACATAATTCCTTGGTTGCTGCGCTATTCGAGAGACGAAAAAAAAAAAAAACAACAAAATCATACAGAAACCAAGTGTGCGCCAGCAGCGGGAAGGTAAAAATTGTTAAATTCACAATTATAGGTTTCATTTTTGTAAATAAACGAAATACAAACATTGTAAAAGATATAGAGATTGAAAAGGTGGGGGGAGAGGAGACAGGGAGGGTAGTTGAACAAATATGGATGGTGTAAAAATAAAAATGAGACGGCGAACGAACGGTGTTTCACCAGCTCTCTCCTTACGTTACTAAAAACGTCTAATTACATACAACACACGTACACGCGGCCACAGTCGGCCATTTAGTCATTAATAGTGTATCACAGTTCGGTTTGGAAAGATATAGAATGAAAAGTAGACAAAGGGATAAAAAGCATAAAAAGGAGAAGGAATGGAGGGGGTACTCTCTCGATCAGTAAAAAGTTGTCTAAAAATATACTGTACAATATCGGCATTACCTTTTTTTGTTTGCTTGTTGGGATACTTTTTTTTTTTAAAGTCAAAACGAAACAAAAGTAGGAAGAATAAGGAGGGATACGCTACGACACAGATTGTTTTGTTGGAATGTAGCAAAAAACCGAGCAGCAGCAGCATCAGGCAGACAGTCTCCCTCTCTACGTATCGTGAAGATTAGCTCGAACCTGGTGGTGGTGGAGCACTAAAGTTGAACATTGTACTGGACGAGCGACCGGGTATTTGTGGCTTTGGTGGTAATCTTGGTGTCACTGATCCTAAAAACCGATAAACAATAAACGTTGATTCTTCAAACTACTAATATAAAAGAAATGTTCTTTTTGCAACCGTAGCTACTCCAATCCTCACTTGAGATGTAATCGTTATTGATTGTTACTTTATAAATTCAATAGCTCTACTTTGTGCATTTTAACAAACATAAAGTTGTAACTAAAAGTCATCCATAAAAACATTTTTATTGTGAAAAATATTTCTTAGTATCATTGAACTCAAAACATCCCGTAAAACGGTGTAAGAATATCTATTAAATAAATACTTCTGTTTTCAAAACGTTTGCATACTTATTCTATATTCCCTCTGATTTACTAACCATTAGGAGGCTGACTGGGTGGTAGTGCAGTTGGACTCGGGCCATTGAAAGACATATGCCGCCTTGAATGTCCACCAGTATTTATAGGTATAGAATTTTCTAGAGATGAATTGCGCCTTACTAGCAGTGACGAACTGCTGGTATTTAAGTTAGCTGGAAAACGTGGAGGCAAAGTCGACGAGAGCAATTCACGTCGGGGTGGCAAAGGCGGTGGTGATACACCCTCGCGGGGCGGTAACATCGGTGCGTTTGGTGCTTGTCGAGCCTATTAGTGTTGGAAGTGATATTACTTTTATTATACGTTCAGAGAAAGTTTATTTTAAAAAATAATTTCAATAATTAGTTCTTGTTCGCTAGTTTTCAAACAAAAATTTCTATTCTTAATTCATTGTATTAACACGTGTGGCCTTGGCACAGTTTATCAAAGTCAAACATTTCCTGCATTCATTGCGTTCAGAATTTATGAACCCACCTGTTGCGGTGATTCACTCAGCACACTCTCTCGCCTCCGATGTGATCTCGGTGGCAGAGGTGGTGGCGGTTGACCAAATGGCGGTGCGTGACTTGGCGACGGTGGTGGTATTGAATTTGGGCTGCCAGCAAGTGACGACGACGAAGTGAGGCAAGCCAAAGTACCAATTGTTCCAGAATTAAAACCAAAGTGTGTCGATCCAAACGACGATGATTGTTGATGATGTGCTGTTGGTAAATGACCTGGTGAACCTAATTGTGGACTGTTGCCTGGTGAACCGAGCGACAACGATGACATACTCAGCGATGGCACTGGAGAGCCTGGGGAATGGATGTTTAGGCCTGATTTTTTAAGATGAAGAGGATCATGATTAATTTTTTTTTTATTTTGACAATAAAATTGAAAATAAATTTTTTAAGAAAAGTAAACTCGTGGTTCAAAATGAATTAAAAATCAACTCGAGTACAGAGAAAACTAGAGAGCTTACTTCCAAGAAGAACAGGCGCAAAAACACTGTGATCACTGGTAGTCGACGAGAATGACGAACCATGTGGCGGTGTTTCAGGTAAATCTGACGGTGCTTCTCTCACGGGTATCTCTTGGGTCATTGATGGTGGATCATGCAATCTCACGCTTGACGCAACCGCTTGCAATGGCGCTGGTAACTTTCCACTCAAACTTCGCGCTTTTATACCCGGTGATTTTAAGTTAAGGTCGGGCCATCTACGAGGCTGAAATTCGATTTTAAAAAATATTGTTTTTTATACTAAAGCGTCAAAATAATCTTCAATACTTCTTAGCGAAACTTACCGCTTTAGTCGGTTGCTTACATCCCCTAGGCTCGATATCCGTACTTTTATTATACAGATAATCCCTAATTTCCGTATCGGACATTTCAGGATCGAAGGGGCAAAGATTTTCAATGAATCGTCGAATTCTCGGCTCAATCGATAAACAGTATGGCTGATTTTGATACTGTTGAATTTCACCGATAATTTCGGCAACCTTTCGCCTCTTACTAAAGTTAATAAGTGTACCATCGGGTAAGAAATCTGGGTTACCCTCCTCGATGTGCACAATGTTTGTCAGGTACATGCCAAAAAATGGCACACATGGAGGATTGATCGAACGCAGCTTCTCCTGGTATTTGCGAAAATGATCGGCGTTTAATTCGCAAGCGTCCGACAAAGCTTTGTCAAGTCGCGCGGATATTTGCTAGAGAAAGGTTACAAAGTCGATTGATAAAAATAGAAATTGAAGCTTTTGTAAAACGTGAAGTATGTGTAAAATTTACCTGCTTCGTTAAGTTTAATCGATGCACTGAAGCGGAATTCATGGCACTAACTATAGCCAAAACCCCGTTAAAATTATTCAGGTCTTGTAGTACCATCATAATTTCAATTGCTCGAGAAACTATCGCGACTCTTTCCTCAAAATTTTCTGCCTCAACAATTGTCTTTTCCACCCATCTAGTAAACTACAATTAATAAATTGATTATTAATATTTAGTAATGATACAATTAATAAATACAATTAATAAATTGCACGACGTTTAGAATTCGTAGTACCTGAATGCACAAGATTCAACAATTGTAAAAATAACTTACATCTGTTGTGTGTTTAATCATCTTTAAAAGATTAGGCGACCTCTTTTCCTTGTCTTTTTTGGTCCAAACTAAACCTACTAATTCGGAAGGCTTGACGTTTCTGTACAATTCAAATTCAAATAACGTCAGTTGTCTTGCTAATTCGATAGGGTGCAACTGCAAACGTACAATAAAATAAATTGTTAGTAAACTATAAAAACTTACAAATTTATATGCATTGCAAAATTGACGTACCGTTAAAATGCCCCATTCCTCTTCGGGGACTTTAAGATGCCATTCAATAGGTGGTGGCGATCTTTCGAAACTAAAAGTTATAGGCCTCGACTCCATGGGTTCACTCTTTCTTCTTTGTACAATTTTCTCGACCGAATCGACCCACTTCCTCATAGATTTGCAAGTTTCGTTGACGAAACTGAGAAACTCGAGCAGCTTTTCGAGCAAACTCATGTCTCTCTCGTAATCGTAAAAGTGATGGTCTACCCAATGCCTAAGCACGTTGAGAACGCGGAATTGTACAGGTTGCGAAAATTCTTTACGATAACGCTTGAAATCCTCGCGAGGAATAGGCTTGCAACTTTCCCGCGATGGCCGTTCTTCGTCGTCGTAAACTCTCGTTGGATCGGGTACCTTAAAACGCTCAATTAAAAGACTAAGCAAGTCTTGTGGTGAACAGAAACTCCTGTAACCAAAATATAACCCATCGAAAATACGTTTCAGATAAATTTTTCAATACATAAATAAACAAACTTCAGTATACCTGTAAGTTATCAAGAAAGTGCGAAGAAACGCAGGATCTGCATAAATATGGTAAGTCAGCCTCTCAACAAGCTTAACCAGCGTAGCTCCTTTAATAAGCGGTACACCACCATTTTCACGAGCTTCCACAACGATATTTTCCGAACTATCTTGCTCGGCGAACTTGTACATTTGTGGCGGAGGCAACTTGAGTGGATGCTTCCTTTCCTCGTCCAACAGAATACTATCAAGTGTGCGTTCCAGCATACTTTTAGTGTTGAGCATCACAAGGTCGGCCATCCAACTGTTTTTATCTTCCACTGACTTTGCTACGAGAATGACGTTCGGATGATCCCTCGGTGCTATCTCAAAAGCGTTCTTCAATTCTATAAAATTACAACGGTCACCGTACACATTTACTTGCGCAAGATCGACGAAAGATTTTCTCCTAACAGAGTGCACAAAATGTCCACTTCCCATATTATCTTGTAATTTACTAACAGTGTGTTGGAATAATAAAGTATTCTATTAAATTTGAGAATGTAGCTGTGACTAGTTTATTTTCTACCGAAACGCAATATAACGCATGTAACTTCAATATGAAACATTAGAAAAACATTAGAAAGCGGTGTTGCTTTTTAATAACTAATAAAAATATATAAGTACACAAAATTATTAATGAAACGAAAAATAAAATTACAAACTAAATAAAATAGCAAGCTTTATCCTCACATGTCGGAGATTTTTATGTCGGCTATATAGTTTTTAACTTTATTTTTCGTTTAATTAATAATTTTTTGTACCTATATATATTTATTACTTATTAGTTATTAAAAACCAACAAGTTTAAAACATTTTTATTTTTTATTTACACTTGTTTCACGCAATCTTACACCATTCACAAGTCCTTTGCTTGGTTCAGCGACCAGTTTAATGGTTTTATTACTTTGGTTATCCTATCGCATTGATTTCTCTTTTTCTATGCTTCAAACGTAACAGTCGGGACTACTACATGAATGACGCATTTCTAATTTTGTTTTATTATTTAAAAGATAAAAAGAATGCAACATTTCAATTGTCTTGAATAAACTTTCTTAGTCGAATTCATTAAATTTTAGACCAATCATAATATCAAAGTTTTACATTACTGATTAATAATTTATTTTATTTCGATCGTGGAATTTCGCGGCTGCCCCCTCCCTCCCGCCTCTCAGCCTCACACTCTTAATTATCACCACATTTTGTACAAATTGTTAGGAAAAATAGTATGTACTAATATACCTTCTGTATCTTCTCGATCGATGATGTCAACTTTTCGAATAAAGAAGCGTTCTTTCAGTCTTAAATCGCACTGGTGATGCACTGAGTTACTCACTCCGGTGACGCTAACGCTTACCCTTTTGCCTGATTTACACAATATCAGTAGACCATCAAAAAGCAATGCTCGCCTTTCTGTATTCATGCGACCGTTTCGATTTACTTTGTTAAGAAAGTCCTCTGCAATGCAAGTTTAAGATTTTAGGAAAAGTAAAGATTTATGATTTATGTTCTAATTCTACGAAATAAATAAAAACAATTAAATAAACATATTGTAACACTAACATACTCATCAAATAAATGACAATGCTAATTATTATAAAATAAATTAGAATCGTGACTTCAATATATTACAAAAATAAAAAAGTACATGACGATACAAGTGCAGAAAAGTAGATTGTCGTAGAGCGAAGCTTCGCTCGGGTGTAAACGCCACACGAGAGGAAAAACTTTCCCGAACACGTGTCGTACTGTATTTTTTCATACGTGTGGAAAGCTCGATTTTGAACGCACATTTTTGTCCAAGCATGCAAAAAGTATATGATTTCGCAAAGAATGTCGATAATTATTGAATCTAACCGTATTTTTTGTATCAAATCAACTGAGCTTTACTGTATTCTGCAAGTAAGACATTACCTCTAATAAATTCGTTACAACACTGTCCAACATCCTTTTGGTCCCATCCATCGACAGTCTTCTGTAACTCGCTTGTTTTCTCAAGAGCAGCTTGCCTTCGAGCACGACTCTGCATTCGTAGGCCACTGTCGCGTTTCACTTTGTTGTTCTCTAGAATTTCTTGTAGATTTAGCTGTATAGGTCGCAGCAGACCTTGAACTTGCTCCAGAGTCTCTCGATCTTCTGTGCTTGGCGTGCGCTTTAGCAATACCTATAATGATAGTTATTGAAGACCTGACTTACTTATGATTAGTTGAAAAAATTTAATTGAGAATCAATTTACCTTTATATAGTCGAAATACAAAAAACAATGCCACACAGGCTGCATTAAAAGCTTTGGCAAATAATATTTGACAGCCTCCTTAAAACCATGACCAGCCGCGCGTAAAGCTGCGTTAGCCTCCGGTCTAGACAACAGTTTTGTCAAAACTTCTCGACAGGCTGGGCTGTTTATATCACGTGCATACCTGTTGAATATAAACGAAATTCGAGGTTAAAATTAAGTTTTATGGCATAAAATTTACACTGAACTTTTGAATTCAATACATACTTTGTGTATGCTTCAAATTCTTCTGCCTCAGCGAGTTCTTCAAAACACGAGCCTACAGTGGGCGTTTGCTTTTCTTCAGTAATTTCCATTACATCCTCTAAACTACCAAGCAAATTAACAGTAGTTTCATAAATGTCCATAATATTACTGAAGAGCGATTCAAACTCTGCACGATCAGTAGTTAGTTTCGCTATTTCTTCTCTAAACACTTTAATGATCATGTGCAAATCCCTTAAATAGTGTCTCTCGTCTTGAATGAGATCACGAACAGACTCTTCATAAGTTTGTGACACTACAGTCCCCAGACCAGTCTGGGGACCCTCAACACCATCGTCTTGATGAAACATATCCATTAAAACCAAGTCAGCGCACATTGCAATTCTAATGTCTTCATAAGAGATTTCTATGTGGCGAATATTTTTAACATAATTACCAGCAAGCTAAAAAACAAAATAGTACATTATTAGCGATCCATGGTGCAGTTGAGCTGTTGAAAATCACAAGATAAATACCTTCAAAATATCAGCTGAAATATACTCCAAAACACCTACGATAAACTGACTAACTTGCCAATCAATTTTTGTCTGCAGAACCTCCTGGGAAAATAAAATTTCATATTTCAGTCGCAACGTTATACAGCAAAGTACAAAAACATTAAAGGATAAGAGCGCTAACTTTTTGCAAAAGCTGATGAATTTTATCAACTGGCAAAACAAGTGGAGACTTCTTTTTGCCTTTCTCTAGTGCTTCTCTGGCATCTTTTAGTGCCCATCTATCGATGGGTGTTGGGAATGTGCGTCTAACTCTTTCTTCCACATCTTGCGGTTTATGAGGAGATGGATGACCGCATAACATGCCAAGCATCCTTAGAATTAAACTCTCGACATAATCCAATGCATCTTGTCTGGCCTCTAGACTTGGATGTACTTGTTCTAGCACCTGAAAGTTAATATCCTCATATTTGGAATCATTGAGATAATTGATTTTTGATTTTGCAAGTACAAGGCATGAGAATTGACAAGTGTTCTGACCTTTCTGAGAGAATTGACAAAGACACCTTTCCACTTGGCAACATTTTCCTCCTTGTCGAAGTCGTAGCCGCAAGTCTCACCCACTTGGGAGGTCGGCGAGGAGAACATCTCGCCTGGCTACTACTAGAAAGGAGCAGGAGTTGGCGAGCTGAAGGAGGAAGAGGAGAAGGTGGATAGCGATAAGGACTTGAAAGGCGAGTCATGAAAACAGTAGTTTTTTGCGAAAACACGCAGTCCTTTATCTCAACAAGTTCTGTATACTCCGCTAAATACAGCGTACGACAATGTCTTCTTTCCTCTTTTTCTGCCTGCCTGTTCGTCTTTCTCTTGTCACAGCACTGATAAAAAAAACTTGTCTTTTTCTTTTGAAAAAACAAAAAAAAAAACAAAAAAACAAAAAAACAAAAAAGAAACTAGCGAGTAAGAGAAAATCAATCTCTTGTACTATCAGGTAAAATCGACGGCTGGTGGCATTGTCCTTGTTGATACTTGTGTCTCTCGAACACTAACACAAATTATAATGATGATCTCTGCGCTGGATGGTGTTTTTCCCGATGACGATCGTTCTCTTTACTTTGCGCGAGAGAGAGGGAGAGAGAAATCATACACACTTATACACCACCGACGACGACGACGACCGACGACAACCAACGACGACGACGACGACGACGACGATGCGCGAACACATTCTCCGTCTCACTCTCTTGCTGTCTCTCTCAAAGAGAGTCTATCTCTTGCTGTTACTCTGCCTGAGAGTATGCGCACTCTGCAGGAGGATTATTTAAGAAAAGTCAGAGAAGGGTGTAGGTCGGTAAGAAGCCAATGTCTTTATCGGCGGGGACAGAGCTGAAATTTTCAAATAAATGCTCGACCTTTTTTAATAACCATGCACTAGCTGTCTAGACGTCATAATACGAGTATATTTTCGTTAATAGCATGTAATATTCCGTCTATTTTTAGCTTGAAATCTGTACATTTATATAATTAATCATATATTTAAAAATAATTTGTAATAGTATTGATGTCAAACTGAAAATTCAATCACTATAGAACGTGTCAATACACGCAAAATGTCGACTTTTATAAATGTTAACTAATATCTCATAAAAATAAAATAATAATTCAACGATAATATTTTTTGAACCACCATGGTCGTAAAAAATAATTCGCTTCACGGGACAGAACTATACCTTTTCTTTGTTTCTTTATGTTTTTATTTATACATGTTTCATCGAAATTCAATCCATTATAACTTTCTTTTTTGTTTATGTTCAAAAGTATTTCCTAGGAAAAATTATATCTTTAGATTATGAAAGAAATATTATCATGAGATCCTCAAACAAGAAAACGTATTTTTTCAGATTATTACGTTTTTCTGTGGATCATACAAGACGGACAAACTTTTCAATTTGGTCATTTGTATTTCATTATTTCATATCAGCAATACAAAGGTCAAATGAAATGCTAAATACGAGATTTAACGAACGCGTTTTCAATGAATACTGAATGTCATTGTTTCAAGAAGTTAGTTAAACGAAGTATGAAAAAATAGCGTGCTTGCTGTAAACACATGATCTCTTTGAACTGTTCGTCAAACGCACGTTTCAAAACTTATACACTTTCAAAAGTCAATGGACAATTATTTCATGTTTACTTTATATTACGCAGATAACTTTGCATTTGCTTGTTTTTAATCGGTCACTCTAAAACTAAGAGATATAACTTTCTATTAGCAAGTTTGAAGAGCTTCAATTGTCGCCGGCGTAGAATCTACGCTTATATAAGAAAACAAAATCGCATTATTCAAGTACGTCATAGTTTGCGGATAGTTAGAAAAAGAAGAAAAAATAATTACGCCTATCATCTTGTCAAAAATATTTAACTGACACCAAGTTTTTAACATTGCGTGTTATCACGAAACATCGAACATTTATGACTTTGGAAGTACACGTTCGACGAAATAATTGTTAGAGAAGTTTCACGATAAATTAGAAAAAGTGCACCTTTTAATTGGGAATCCGGGCAGATGAATCTTTTCACAATGTTAGGCTAAGCTTTGACTTCGATATCTGTCAGCCAATCTATAAATTGAAAGCTTCATCTCAAATTTATCAATCATTAAATCGATACGGATAACTTTTCTTCAATCGTTTTTCTCCTTTTAAGAAAATAAATGTAAGAAATTATCGATGTAATTCTTAAAAATTTACATATAATGATCGATCGCTTATTATTTATTGTAACTGAAGCTGAGCAACCGAATGAGAATGTCGGTTTCGTATTGTTATTGAGCGTACATCGAAATCTGCGCTATCCGCGGCATGATCGATATACTCTGTTGATTATCAAAAATGAAGTGCCTAAACGTGCTACTGTTGCGCTATAGGGAGCGACAATTCTCTATCGAAAGAATCCGATTGACTGGTGCTTTCGTCGTCACATTGCGCATATTTGATAAGGGTTTCGGAAAACCTGTCCGATCCATATAATAAAAAGAAATCGCAATCTAAAGATAGGTCTTTCGTAAGCTACTCAAGTGCTGAATTCTTTATTAATGAAACATCACGATTAAGTGACTAATACTTGAAATGCATTATAATGATTTTTATTGCATTTTTAGCGAAAAAGTAAAGGCCTGTATCTAGTTGTGTGATTTTTTTTCTTTATTGATTTTTTTTCTTTTAATAACAACTTCTCCGCCGATATTGCTAATAAGATCAAATAGTTCTGAATAGCTAGTCTAATGTGTAACCCGTTGATAAACGAAATGTGTTTCGATATGAATCGAAAGCGTGGGATCTTTTAATAATATCTATTAACGTTTAATAACAGCAATATCAGAATTTGTATCTCAAGTAAAGTTCGATTGAATAGTTGAAGAAGTAAGCAAAAAAATGGCTTAAACTGTATTCTGCATCGTGTATTTATGATTTGACATTAGAAGCGAAATAATCATTTCCCGTCTAACCATAATTAACGAGATGTTTAGTTTAGTACCTACATCGCACTCATACTCTTAAGGTAACTTATTTTTACAATTTCAGAATTTAAAGTATATTTGTTCTTGAATATTATTAAGGAATATTACGAATACAGCAGAGAATCACGTAATTTTTGTTATTATACTTTCATAGTTATTCCTGAATATTTTATGCTTCGTTGAATGTATTACTTGCATGAATTGTTGAAAAGAGAAAATCATTTTCCATTTGCTTCGTTATACGAGTACTGGCAGAACGTAATAGTCTCACTCTTGACGTTTATACTTTATCGAAAATTAATGATAGTTTTAAATGAAATTTCAAATGTGGCCTTCTTTATTCGTCATTTCATCGAAAAACTACATCGAATACCATTTCATTCGATCTCTAGTTAAGACGATTTTTTGCTATTTTAAATAAAACACGTGTAAATCATTCTTCAACAGTTTCTAAAAATGCATCATCGTTTCAAAACACCCCTTTCAATCATCGCATTTAAGCTGAACAAAATATTCAGCTTGATATTTTACTATTCCAAGCTGCTCGCTAGTCGTTCAATAATTGTATAAAATTCTTAATAAAACCCGCAGAAGCTCGATAGTGAGTTTGCATTTGCATAGCGAGACCAAAATAACTGGAAGCGTTTTCCCATCCAGCTTTTTATTGCTAAAGCCTTGGAAAAATAATTAATTGAAATCGAATTATAGAGTAGGAATAAGAACTAAAGTTTAGAATGATCTACATGCGTTTAACTGACGGTAATAAAATGTTTACAAGCTAAAAAAGTTCGCTCGCGGGAGATTGAATTACACTCGCAATCACTTCGCTTTGCTCGTCCTCTCCTGCTTTGTGCGATCAATTAAAAAATCAACTCGATTTTCCTTGCGATTGCTTTCTCTCACGCGCTAACCAACATCCGACGGAAAATGCATGTCACGCGTACTCAAGGGTTACTAGAGTTATTTTCAGTCCGTAACCTCGGCCTCCAGCATGGACACTGAACGAAAAGTTTTCATCTCGATTTGTATTTCGCGCGCGAAAAAAACTAAAATCCAATGATGGCTAACGGTAATAATCCGCTCGTGTCATCGCGCGAATCGTTAGTTGTTCAAAACGCAGATGCGTCGAATCGATCGAGTAATTAATGAAAACCAATATAGTCGAGGGAAGTGTGGAGAGGATAAAAAACAAAAAAAAGGACGCAAAAACGTCGATAATTCAGATATAATGTTCGTCGCATTTTTATTAGTGGATAGTGTATTGCGTCATGATCCTTCTCGACGAATGTTTCCGTTCGAAATCGTCTTTAATTACAAATTATCATTTCACTTGCAGTACTCGGTGGACTCCGCAAAAATTAAAAAATCGAATTCCTTCCGACAAGTGTATTAGCATTCGGCGGCTCTTCCGCGCGCGAAACCAATAGCAATCGATCTACTTTGCCCGAAAAAAAATGCAGAAAGGATAGCTCGCGAATTTTTTTCTAATCTGTCTTAAAAAAAATTAACAACAATAATAATAAATGTAGTGCCAATCTGCCGTTTTTCATAAGTGCATGCCTCCTACTCTGCATTCTTGAGACAATTGACAGAAACTAGAAGAATTAATCGTTCTACTTAAACCTAAGGCGCGTATAAATAAATTGAACTATCTAATAAATACTACTAGAAAAAATTGTAAGTGTATAAATTCGTCCAGCTCAATTGAGCGGCATCGCGGCCATCGAATACTGTGTAACAAAGCCTCGGACTTTGGATATATAACACTATATCATGGAATAATAGCACCACGAGAGATTTTCTTCTCAAAAATTGAAAAAACATTTTCGAACCCGTAACCTCCCCGAAAAAAAAAATTGAATACTTTCCGATTACGTGGAATGTCCGAACGAAAAAAAAAAGAGTTAAAAAAATACTAAAAAAAGCACTCGCACAAGTTGTCTCTCTCTCTCTCTCACTCTGGAAACAAACTTAAGGAACACGGCTCCACTAGAGAAGTGGAAGGTTTCTTTCTTCATTCATCTCTTCATCTCACTCTCTTCTATTTTAATACTGTTAGGTCGGAGGCTCACGCAGGGCCGGCAAAATACTTTCGTTCCGAGGGTAGTGAGAATAAGCTTGTTATCTATCTAATAAGACTGTAACTCGTCTTCGTCGCTCGCCGTTTCCTCCTGATCCGTCGCCTCCCACTGCAAGGAAGAAAAGAAAAAAGTCAGCACTCGTCGCTTCTGCGATGCAGGCTCGTTCATCGGTCGATTTCGTCGCCAAGGATGACTCCGAGCGACGTGGAAAACTGGACGATGGAATCGCGACGCCGGTCAACGGTAACTGCATCGGACATCCGGAGAGGCTTACCTGTGACGAGAGCAACTGCGCGAAACGACCTCGATCCCGAGGGCTGAGCTGGACGTTATCGACGACGACGGATCTCAGGATGCGCCGCAGCTCGGACAGGTCGCTCTCGGTGCTGGACCTGCGCCTTCGTCCACTGCAACAGACAGCGAGGGTAGGTTAACACAAGGCGGAGGAGCAGGCCATCCGGTCGACCGCCGCGTCTAGCGCCTATTATTTCGTGGCCGCAAGCTGCTCGTCCGCAATCTGGAGGGAGGGAGGAGGCTTCCGTCGCGGCGTGTGCAAATCACGCGTCCGCGTGCGTGCGCGCGCGCGCATCCCGCCGCGCTGCGTGTGCTTTATCGGGCGCGGATTTGTGTCGCTGATGAGCGCTCCTTATCGTGCGCTCCGGCGTCGCCTGGGACCAGATTGAACTCGCCGAGCGATTAGTCCGTCGGCGACGGGAGACTCCGTCCCTCTCTCTCTCTCTCTCTCTCTCTCTCTCTCTCTCTCTCTCTCTCTCTCTCTCTCTCTCTCTCTCTCACTTTCGCTCTTGTTGCCTTTCGCGCCCTCGAGATTCCGCGGCGAACGTGGCGAAGGAGCAGGCACAGGCCGTGGGACGCATACTCACAGCTTGTAAGGATCGACGTGGCCATAGCCGATGGGCACGGTGATGAGCTTGCCCTTCATCTTGGCCAACGAGACCAGCGTCTCCAGCTCGGCCAGCCTCTGGTCCGACACTCGCTTGGGCCGACTGTAACAGACAGATGTAACGATCAGACTTGGATTTGATTTCCCATGCGCGCCTATCTTGTCGCGGATACGCGCGTCCTGGCGCTCCGCGCGTCGACAAAACAGAGCCGCTCGCTCGGTTGTGCGCGCACGGGGGATGCGCGTCACGTGCGCCGATGACTCGCGAGCGCATCGCCGTTGCATCATGCCCGGCGTTCGACGACGCGACTCGACAGTCCAAGTGTCGCTTGCATCATGATTTCGCGCGCGCACACCTGTACAAGTGGGTCGCTCGTCGCTCGACTTGCGCTACGATTCGCCCGTCGCTGCATATACGTGTGTGTCGCGCCCTTGCCTGCGCCGCGCGCTGACTTTTCCTTTTCTTTTCTCTCTCTCTCTCTCTCTCTCTCTCTCTCTCTCTCTTTCTCTCTCTCTCTTGATCGTTGCTCGAGGCGATATCGCGTTGGCGTTGAGCGCGCAGCACGTTACTCGTCGTTCTCGTTTCGCAAGCTTCGTCGTGAAATTTTTACGCGCGCCGATAAGACGAACGAGACGACGGCCGTTCGCTTACGAGAGCAAGCAAAAGAAAATGCCAACCTCGACTTCATTTCGTTGCAACTCGAGCAAGCCAGTGAGAAAACGGGGCCGACTCGGCAGCGTGCCCTTTCCATGAAACCGTACCCCCCCCCCCCCCCCCCCCCCGAAATCGGTTGAACCGCACCGGAGATACGCGCGTAACGCCCGTGAAAATCGCGACGAAAAGTCAGCGCGAGCGGAGCTTGCGGTGGCGCGCTCTCACCTGAGTATCCGCGAGGGTCTGGCCTCTGCGATGCGCACGAGGAGGGATGCGGCGACGAGGATCGCCGCCAGTGTCGGTGCACTCGCTGAAACTCTGCTCATCTCGCGCCAAGCGAACGGCGAAGCACAACAACAGCCGCAGTAGCAGCAGCAGTAGCACCGAGCGTTTCACTGATATCGGCTGCACTTCGCTCGCTAAACCCCCGCCGAGCAAGGCCTGAGCTTCGAGTGGCGCGCACGCGTGCTCGCGCTAACTTCTGGTCGTCTAGTCGTGTTGCTGGCGCGACGACGCCGGCATATATACTCGAGCAAGATCGCGCGGGATACTCGCGTGCCTCCGGTGCCCCACCACCGTTGCGACGCGCACCGCCGGACCACGCATCGATCGCGCATCCTCCCTCTGAGTGTTGCGCTCGATCGACGTCGATTGCACACCTGCGCCGAGCGCCTCTTCCGCGTTTCTTCCCGTCGGCAGCGGCGACGACCCTCGCGGTTCGTCGCTCGACGAGACCCGCCGTCGGCGGTCCCCCGCGCCACTCTCCGTCGGCACCGCGCGCGCCCTCGACGCATCGAAATCAGCGGGACATTCTTCGCGGGCGCAATCAATCCTCCGGCGCGCGGGGCAACGAGTCTCGATTGTCCAATGGGAGAGTCTCGCGCGCGACGAGCTGCTATTGTGTATATCTGCATCGCGCTGTCCGCCCGGCAGACGAGGGAAGCGGCTTATTAAAAGGAAATAACGTCCAATGCTGGGCGAATCGAGTTTCCCGACGAAAGCTCGCTGGCGTCGACTGAATCCCGCAAGCAATTCGATAAAAAGACCCTAATTTTTACTTCTCTTGCGGCACCATGTGGCTCAGATCAGCACGCGAGTAACGCCTTTCCGTGATTCGACCTGACCTCGCGGTGCAAAACCGAGCCAGGCTGAGTCACGAATGGACGAACGATACGCGCTGATTTGAGATCGGCAGTACTGTAAAACGTTGTACGATACTTGCGACTCAAGTGTCCCATCGTGATTATCGTCCTCGCTCGTGCTCGCGGGCGCCAATATCACGCCGTGCAATGGTGAGCTACTCAAGTCACACGTATCGTCGCATACTATTCCGCTCGATTGGTTTAATCGCGGCTCGTACAGCTCATTGGCGACAGTCGCGTCGCGAGCGCGATTAGAGGAAAGCGGGAAGCGGCGCGCTGGCCGCACCGACCAGCAGTATCCTGTTCTCTTGCCGTGAAATCGCGAGTCGCGCCGCGGCTGATAATAATACGAGCGTGGCGCGAACCCCCGCGAACGCATTCGGCAGCTCTGCGTCAGAATGACATCGTTACCCCGTGCGCGCGCCGTGACGCCATCGGTGACTCGGCGAATTGCGTGATTTTCTTCTTCTCCTCCTCCTTCTCTCGCAGAATCCCGATCGTAAAACTTTCGCTCTCGCATTCTCCTTTCGGCTGTCGAGCAGCGCAGCGTTCGCTGCCTGTACTCCAGCGCCGCAGATTCTTCTTCGCCGTAGTCATATACCTGTCAATACTCGGGTTATTCCGCTTATTTCCGGTTGTTCCCTCGGCGATCTTCTGTGATTTCCAAAAAAAGGAAACAGCTAGCGGCCCATGACGTATTTTTAACCGTAATCAAACGTTTGGACGACACTTCGTACGGCAATCGATTGCTTTCCGCGAACGTTCTGTATGACGATGACTCGACGATAGCACCGCGCTAATTTCATTGAAGAAAGTACTGGCGGAACGATCGACTCGATGTGGACGAAAATCGCTCGTTCCTGTCTTCCTCTCGTTCATTTTGACACTCCTTGAGGGAGCACCCGCGCCACTTTTAATCTCGCGTTAATCACGGAGATCGATAAGCATGCCTCCGCGCGCGAGTCTCGGGCCGACAATAGCGTACATTCGCGGGCGATTCGAGGGCTAACCGGGCGCCGATCAGCGGCGATCGAACGCGAGCGCAAGAAGGAAAGAACGCGCGGGCCTCTCGTCCGCCATGGCGCACGTGGTCGCTCGACAGTCGCACGCGCGTCCTTTGTCCTCGTAACGTCAAGTTCACGCTTCGATCTTCTTGGCTACGTGACTTGCTCTACGCTCGGCAAAATTCGGTTCGCCGATCATCCATCAGCCGAGTTGGCGAGTGCGTTCGCTGCTGCGGAGCCGGCGGATCCGTCATCAATTAACGATCGTCGCGAGAGCGCGCGTCCAGCTGGCCGACTGCCCGACCCGCGGTGTCGGCGTGCGCGATCGACGATTGCCCTATCCTTTGCATTCCGAACGAGGGTTCGCTGCGGCATATCGCCTCGCGGGTGCCGCTCCGCTCTCCGCAATCGCGGGAGGGGGGGGGGCGCTACTTTCACCGAGGACTGGGCGGAAGCGCAGGCAAAATGCCAACGGCGTGACGCGCGCGGAGGTGCAAGGGCCGAGGCTAGCCCTCGTCCGCGGTCTTAGTCATGCCGAGGGCATTCTGGCGCTGCTAATTTGCAGCCTCTCTCGCTCGACGTGCAATTCGTTGACAGCGCGAGATCCATTTGCGTCGGACGCGTGACCCTCCTCGCTCTTCTTCTCTCGCCGCGGGCTGACGAGCGCCTCGTTACCCATTGATGTGCCCTTATTAGATCCGTGGGCTTGACAAATCGCGCCGCGGAATGATACAGCAGTATCTCCCCACTCGGCGGACGCGTTGGAAAAGCTGCAGCCGAGCGGGCGGCTTGGGACAGCGCGGCTACAATGAAAACACTGATCGCGGATCGAATCGCAATTAGCACCAATTGATGACTGATCGCCGAGATATTTCCGGCGAATTTTTGTTTGTCTCCCCTCCCCCCTCCCCCGGTCGGCGGATCTTATCGCGCTAACAGTTTTCAGAAAGTCACGCACTCGTCGAGCGAATTGACGCGCCTTCGTCGCCGGCTCCCCCTCTTACCTCTGGTTTTCTAACTTTCGGTTTGTCGCGCGCGCGTAAATCAACGGCGACGATCGGCTCGCGCCGTCGTGGAATGTACGAAGAGAATCTCGATGGGAAATCTTGTCGCCGCGCCAACGCGCTCTTTTATCGTCGTTACACCGATATACCGCGTAGCCGCGGGGATCGAGTACTTCATCGGAGAACGAAGAAGGAAAAACGTATCCGCGGCCGCGTTCGGACCCCGGCGATCTGACAACGGGCGAGCGCCCTTTTCTACCTTTGCGCGCTGACCGACTCGATGCTTCGCCAGCTGTGTTCCGTCTTTTATCGCCTACATAGAGAGACAAATATGTTGTCCGATGGTGAGCTGCGTGTATTTTGCAACACCGATAAAAGGCAGAAAAACTATCGCCACATTCGAGTGTATATTCGCGCTTCGTGTCGACACCTGTTGCTGTAAATCCCTGCATTGATTCATTTGGCCGACGAAATGATTGTTCGGAATTGCACCGCGACGCACAAGGAAGTTCTTGGATTCATTCGGTTCATTTTGGAATTTCCACTAAAAAGCTTTGAAAAATCGTCCGCGCGAGCTGCACTAGTCGCGTCACTCGGCTATCAATCGCCACGAAAGTATACGTCCGAGTAGCAGTCCTAACGCGACAAGGCATTGCGATTCTCGGTCACCTAAAGAGGCGCGAGATGAACCAGTTGCGCGGGCCACGCTCGATTCATATCGTCCGCCGCGATAAAATTATAATTCACTCGAACCTTGGCCCCTAATGCTAAGCACGCGGGGTGAGGGGGGGGGGGGGGTCGAGAAAAAAAAAGTCGAGACATCTCTCTCGGCGCGACCTGCAGTCGGCCGATAGCGCGCCAGTTTTTACAATTTTGGATGGTATAACGACAATGACGCGCTCGTTATTTTTAGCCTTCGTTGAATTTCGCAAACGCGCTCGCGGGAACCGGTGTGCCGATGCTGCGTCGCGCCAAGCGAACAAGAACGGCATTGTCTCCGCGAGGGTTCGCTATGGACGAAAAGGACAAAGGTTGCCGATGGCTTTCGCACTCTGTCGAGCTCCCATCGTTACCGTTCACGATAAACCCTTTTCAACGTAAGCTTTGAGTAAACAGCTTGACAGCCAATTATAAAGTAATTTGACAGCTGACAATGTAATCGCATTCGGTAACTTTCATCTAAATTCCCAATTCAGTGGGAAGCAGTGTGTAGAAAAGCTTTCCAGAATTTTCTACTCTGGACTCGAGCGCAGCCCAAACATTTTGACAATTATAGCGCTGCCTCGTCGGAGCTCAATGGGCAATTGCTGATTCACGCAATTCACGTAGTTACGCAAATGAACGAGAATCACGGAAATGCACGAGCACGATAGCCTTGTTTCGGCAGCAAATAAATATCGCGAGATTCGCAATAGGGAACACGAAGAGTCTTGGTCGCTATTGCGAAAAAAGTCGTGCACATCGGACTCGTACGAAGTAATTCCAAGATTATGGAAATTTCGGATGTAAAAGCAAATCGGCTTCTCGTCGATTCGAACGAGATGGAGCTCGGTAATGGCGCCTCGAGCCAGGCGCAGTCCGCTCGGTAATTCCGACGGCGAAACACTCTTTCGAGCCCTCGCCGTCCCAAGGCTGCATCTGGAAGACGGTAAAGTGCACGTGCATCATGGAAACTGCGTAGATGACAATGCGCGCCAATTTATGCAGCGCGACAATGGAAGAAAGGAGATGCGCGCGGCGCATCATCCGCCATCCAAATCCGATAAGAGCACAATCTCGTCTCGCGCGACATCGCCGTCGTGATGCACGACGGCCGATAAGCAATTGGGGTGGCGCGTATAGGAGCAGGTGTTTTTCCGGGCGCTCGGATAATTCCGAAAAGGCGCTATAAATAGGCGCGGTTACGTAATGCGCGAGCCGCACGATTGCTGGGCGTGATTGGATCGTTATCGAGTCGAGTCCAGACGCGACTAATTCGCGTGTATATGCGCCGGCGATAAAACGGCGAGGAGACCGGCTGGTCGCGCGCGCTCGTTAGACGCCTTGTTATCGCGGCGAGCTCGGCCTCTTTTCCTCGGCGTCCGTCGCGTCTCGCGGACGAAGTCGAAGTGATCGCGAAAGAAGCGCGCCGATCCGCCGTGTGACGTCGCGGCCGGTCGCAGCGTTCGATAAGGGGGCGCCGAGCGATAAGATTACTCTCGGAGAGAGAGAGACAGAGACAGAGACAGAGACAGAGAACGGGCCAGCAGTAGCAGCAGCAGCGCGACAGTAGCACCCACGCGCTCCGCGCGTAGACGGTGCGCGTTATCGCGCGCGTCACGGTATCGGCGCGTGCCGCGCGCCGCGCATCGGAAGCTTGCTCGATCGTACCTCGCGGTGATTCGTTGGCCGAAAGGGCTGGGGAATCGACGGTCTATCGGGCGGCATAACGTGCGCGATGGCGACAGTGTTCGCGCGCGGCGCCGAATTCCTCGCCGGTGAAAGGAGGGGAGAGCAGGGCGGTAGACGGCCGCGGTCAGGGACATCCTAACGGGTCTATCTCTCTCTCTCTCTCTCTCCCTCTCTGTCTCTACGCGGCGGTGAGAAAGGGTGTTTCTCTCTCTCTCTCTCTCTCTCTCTCTTTCTCTCATTCTCTCGCCGACAGGTGGGCGTCTCGCGCGCTCAGCGTTCGTCTGCCCGACGGGGGGATTTCTCGCGCGAGCGTGATTCACGCAGCGTAGTGGTTGGCGCGCGCGTTGCGCGACTCAACGCGACCGAGGTGCGCCCGGCTGCTGTCCCCGGCCGTCGCCGCGATTTTCTTTTGCCGCGCCAGGAATCCGAGATCGACGAGTCCCGGAGGAACGTGTCCGCGGCCAGTTGGCGCCGCGCGCCGTCCAGCCTGCGTCGCGCTTACGCGGTCCATCAGGTTTCGCTCAATGCTGCATCGCGGGAATAACCCAAAGCCGCGATCAGCATACATGGCTTTTCTCCGGCCCGCGGCTCCTTTTGGATTCTAAATTTAGACGGGCGCGCGGCGGATGGCGGCCGCGATAACGAAGACGATAACCTCCGCCCGCCGCCGGACGACACGAAATGTTCGAGCGATAATCGCGTCGATATGGCCAAGGTCTTTTCAGTCCTGTCTGCGACTGACCCTCCAAAGTGTCTCTGCGGAAAAACGCATTTTTCGTTTCATTTTTTGCGGATATGCATTCGTCTGTCTCTTGATGCCTAGTGTCATCAAAGGCTATCATCGGCATTGACAGGCATCAAAAGGGTCGTCGTACACTTCTGTGTCGGAACAACGTGGTCGCTGCTTCTGCCCGATGAATTGCCGAAATTGTAGGTCGTAGCTGCACGAAACCGGCTCCTGGAGTGCTACTCGTCAATTTTGGAGTTTGTTGCGCTGCCGTTTCTTCGCTAAATGAATTTGTCAATTTACAGGTGCGTAACAAAAGCAAAACGTTTGCAACGATCAAACCGACGACTGAGAAATCATCGACGCTCATTCGACTTTTTCGCGAGAAAACTGTTCAGGAAAAAAAAAATATGCTAAGCCGATGACAATTGGAATTCGCGCGAACCTGATAACGGAACACAATTAAAATAGCGGCGACCTCGACTGATCGGCGTCGAGGAATGCGCGTCGAAAATCGTATTGGCAAGCAGTACGCACATGCAACACGTTCTTAGTTCAACAAAATCGATGGCAAAGACTCGTCCGTCGGCCGCGACGATGCGTGTACGTACGCGAAGTTTGCGCGTCGCGATACGTACATCAACGAGGCGACAGCGTGTCGACACGTAATCGCGGAGAAAATAAAAGATCTTAGGCGCCGAAAGGGATAACAGAGAGAGAGAGACAGAGAGAGATACTATGGGAAAAGAGATGGCAACGTCAGTTTTAGGCGATACTCTGGCCCGCCGACGAACGCGTCTCCCGCGGTCGGCGTCTCTCGCTTATCTCGCCGGCGCGATTTCGGAAGGCAGCACCGCGCGAAAAAGAAAAACAGAGAACGAGGCCGAACCCTTCTTCGTTGATAGCAGTGCGCGCGGGCAGCGCAATAATCGCGCGTCTCGACAAACAAGAGCGGAGCGAGTCGTGCGAAGCCGCTCTACGGACGGAGCTCGGCTCGCCTTGTCGCGGTCTCGAGGCCGTGAGATGCAGTTTGGGCTTCCGTATCGGCCGCCGATTGGGACTGGCGTGCGAGCATCCCGCGACGCACGACGCGACGAGCGGTGAAGTTGCGCTTTTGGCGGCGCGCTCGGCGGCTTCGAACGAAAAAGCGGCTGATTTTTCACTCAACGAACGAACACTGCAAATCATTACTTTTGCGCTCGGCAGAGGCGAGCCTTCCACTCGTCTCTGTTCGCAAATACAACGTTGCGTTTGAGTACTCGATATCAGAGTTTACGATAACGTTCGTGCTTTGGAATTCGTTCGTCAGGATTACCGAGACGAACGAGCGTAATCAAGCTACTTTGACGAGTATACAATTGGCGGTATAAAAGAAATTAAATAAGAGAGAGAGAGAGAGAGAGAGAGAGAGCACGTGACGATACAACCATTTCGCTTGAACCTAAACAAGTATGACCTTAGACTGTTTGTTTGCCATCATAAAAGGAAGGGGTAGCCGAGAATCGGAGCGGACTGATGAGTTCGGCGATGCGGCCCAATATTGCTAGGATGTTTCCTCCCGCTGTGATCTTTGGCTTTCTCGGAAAAGCGGAGGATCGTGTCGGCCGGCCAGTTACGCTCGGAAAACCGCCGCGCGTGCGGTGTTATCTCCGTCATTCCGAGTTAGTCCCAGCGCCTCTCTCGTTTCCGTTCGCCAACGCACGGCACTAAGCCTCTCTGCGTCGTTCTCCGCTGCGTTGCCTTGCGGCGTAGGTCACGAGGTAGCCCATCGGCGTCTCTTGATGCCTTGCTTCATCAAGGTCTATCGCGCTTTGGTGAATCCTGCGCTCGTACCAGTGTGCCCCAGTTGCACGAAACGAGAGGGCTACGCGCACGTGCCCGACGGCGGTCGTGCAGCCGTGTCCGTGTCATCCTACTTGTCTGCGTCAGCTACCGTGACGAGGCTCAGCCACGTCCGTCGACCTGGCTGACGATTACGCACGATAATCGACGACGACCGAGACATTGGCACTGCGTTGCTCTAGGAGGCTTTTTCCTTCTCCGGCAATGTGTGCAAGCGACGTCTTGTGGTAAGCGAATAGCTATTAAGCATTGCATATGACCATTCAATAATCTTTAGCACGAAGGACAGATTTCTAATCGAGCCTGCATTTCTCATTGCAATTTCGTAATTAGTAAACGTACCAAAGTCTTTAATTTATCCCTTGGCCTACTTATTCGCATAATCGTACACTTTCCCTTTAGTGTAGATTCGCGAAAGTATCCTCAACTGCAATGAGACTTATATTTTTACCTTTTATTACTCTGGCTATTCAGAGTAAACATGTGCGTGTATATCACGTATTGCTTTCTCACAGAGAAGGTATTGTTTCCATGAAAAAATTGTTTTGCCGAAAATCACTTTACAAGTTTGTTTAAGGTTATCAGAAGTCTAAAAATACAATTGTTACAATGAGTGTGTTTATGATATGTATATCATTGTCAATAACTTACGTTCTACATGGTAAAAGTTTACACGTAAAGGTTTTTTGAACGTGTTTTTACCACGTGAAGGAAAAAAAAGATTTATTCAAATCTATCGAGTAGTTTGGTAATAAATCAAAATTAACTGATTTTGAAAAAGTATGCAATTTGGTTTTTCAATTATTTTTTATCTTATACATGGGATTCGTTAAACTTGATGTTGGAATTTCGTAGTAATTTTATTTTTCTTTCATTTGAAAAAAAAAATCGTATCTCTAACCACTTCCATTTTAAAGTTACGTAACAAAATGTCGAAAAAAAAATTATATTTTGAAAAATCATTCGGGAAAGTTCTTGAAAATTTTACTGAAGGCGTATCGTATTATGAGTGAAATTAATATCTTGTAAGTCTCAAGTTTTTGTATGCATCAGTTTTCGTAAAAAAAAATTTTTCTCTAAAGATAGACCTTTTTTGTTTTTACGATAATAGGAGTAAATTAAATCGAATTGACTTGAAATTTGGTATAAATATTACTAATCATAAACAATAAACCGAGTTCTTTGCACAAGCCAAGCGGGCTAATAGAATGGAAAAAAATTAACTATGAAAAAAAATAGAAATTGAATTTGTTGACGAAGAAGCTAACTGCCAAAGAGTTGGCAGCGCTTTTGTCACCGGGAAGTAGGTCAACGGTTGAGTTTTCACGTAAAAATCAGTTGGTAATTATTTTAATTCGAAATTTCTCAAGAAAAATACGGCAGTTGCAACTGAAATAAAAGTTCCAAAATTTATTGCGAGCAAATTTCGTCAAATTTTATTCGCAGAGCCCAATGCCGAGTATCAATACACCATAGTGGAGCTGAAAATGAAAGGTCGGCAGCCGACTCCTCGAGCGATCGTCGCGGACGCTCGACGACGAACTTTTACTTGTGCAGACTATCCGACCCCTCCAGTGGAATCCAGGCCGGAAGAAATTTTTAACAGATCTCACTTGGGCGAACGAACCGCGAGCGCGCGCTCTCTTTTCGCCACGCGACGCTGCACGTATATACCCGTATGTACCAGCGCACGGAAAGCTCGGCGAATCGATCGATCGCCTGTTGCGCGCGCGTTTCTCTGCACCCGGCGCTACTCCGCGGGATAGACGCGGATAGTCCCGCAGAGACCATATCTTGCTCCACTTTGTTCGCAATAAAAATCAGCGCGAGCGTATTTTGATTTCGCAGCTTCGTCGTAGTAGAGTTATATCTATGTACGCAATACACTTATATGCAAGCTGCGCGTGGCACGAAAATTTGAGCGAGACACGATTCTTCGGGCACCGTCGGACACCAGTAACTCGAATCGGCACGCACTTGGTCGGATCGACGAAAACGCGTCAGCCTCTTTCTCGACGTGGCCTCGGGATTTCTGGTAGTGGCAGACCGGGAGTCGTCACAAGAGTGCGCGGTGAAAGGCACGTGCGACCATGATCAACTCGAAAAATTACGGGCGTGCGCTCGATTTGAAGGATCTGGTAAAACCCGCGCCGAATCAACATAATATACGCACGTATCCCCGCGGACTCGCGGCTCCGCGAAGAATGCGATCGCGCGGCGGCGAAGAAGTGCTCGATTGGATATCAGTTATCTCATCGGGATCGCGTCTCAACGGAATGCGCGCCGATGTGTTTTTCAAAAGTGGCCCGTGGCTTGGTGCTTTTTTTTTTTTGTTTTTTTTTCCATATACGCACAGGGCACTCGGTCACTGCGGCGCCGTTGAGTGCCGTCGACAATGCGAACGTACGATAAAGAACGAAAGAAAAAAAGGAAAGTTACGCTTGTGCGTGAGTGCGAGAAAATTGCCTCTCTGCTCTTGGTCTCTCGAATATACGTTACGTCGTTTCTGTACTTTGAGCTGAGAAGCAAAATGAAAAATAGCCTGCCACAAGCACGAGAATAACGTCGTCAATTTGACGAGATCTTTACTGAAAGCGCGACAAACTCGAAAGCAGATGCCGCGCGAACGGCTTACGGACGTTTGAATCCGTCGAAAAGTTTGTTGAAACAATCCCGAAATTCGGCATAACTATTCATTTTTCAGCAAGCAACGCCGAGGACGCTATCGCGAGAAACGGGCGCCGTGGAAAAAGAAGGAAAATAAAGAAACGAGGTCAATTGGCATTCACCGGAGCATCGCGATCGAGAGCGTAACTCGATCGCGCTGTCGCGGCGCGTGATCGCGACAGATAAGCCCGCGCGGCGAGTATTTCAGGCAGCCCTCGCTGGCGTCGGATGCGTCGTCACGCGTGTGCGCGCGATGTCACCGCGGCATCAGGACCCGTTACCCCGCGCGATTCGGAGCGCGCGCGCGGCGAATCGCGAAAGCCGCTCGTGTCCGACGACGCAGTCCGCGACGTCGCGCGCTCGGCGGCCGCCGAAATCTCGACGCGACGGATTTCCCCACGGGAAATTTCCGTTTTGCGCGACTTCCCGTTCTCACTTCTTTTCTTTCTTTTCGCGCGAGTCGCGGCTGGATTACGCGCGTCGTTACAATCGAGCTCCATTACCCCCTGGCGAGATAACGTCGTTTATTTTGGCGCGACGGGGAAGAAACGTCGGCGTGTTATTTTTAAGCTCGCGCTCGGCAGCGTCTCCTGCGAGATCCGATACGCGCGCGGATAGAGCTTTTTCTGTTTCGAGTTATTGGCCCTTTGTACGCGCCGAGCGGCGAGGATTACAGCGCGCGCTCAGAGCCGCCTCGGCCCTTTATTACCTCGGGACTCGCCTTGCGTTTGTACGGTTATTAGGCTCTGTCGGCGCAATACCTGAAAGCCTCGGACGTATAATGCCGTGCTCGGATTTGCGTCCCCTCGCGCCAAAAATATAGATCGGTTCCTTCGTGTCCATAAACTATTTTTTTGTATTATGCTCTTATGTATCGTTAGTGGCTTGATTCACCCATCGTGGATTGGATTCCGTAAAATGCACTGGATCGTCCTAAAAAAAGATAACCGCTGCGCCGCGATGTCTCGCGATACCCTTGAAATAGAATGATTCCCAGTGCTCCTTTTATTCATACACACCGTATGAACGTCGAATATATTAAAGGTTTCCACAAGCGTTGCGTCAGCCGCGCGAATATCAAAGCGTACGCGACGGGGGGAGGGGGCTGGGGAGATCGGCGGCGCGCAGTGTGCATCCAGCTGCGGAGTCTCGCTAGAGCACACTCTCACTTTTATCCGACGGGACCACTCTCACCTTGCTCGTGGAAGAAAGTGCTTCCGGGTCGCGCGCGCCTCCCTCCCGCCCCGTCGCTCCTTGCAACGTTTGCGTAATCTCGGCTCCGCTCCTTCCCAGCGATGGGAAAAACGCGCCTGCAACTCACTTGCATCTCGCGCGTACGCGTGCGAGCCACACGCGTCTCCGCAAGAGTTGCAGCCACCAAGCAGAGACCCTTTGCCCGTCCTTGCGCGAGATCGCCTCACCTCTCGTTCCCCGGCTAACTGGCTGCATCGAGGCTAGCATTTCCCGGTCGAGCGTCTGCCCGCCGTGTACAGAAGGTAAGTTCTTCCTCTCTCCGGACATTATCCGCGTCGGCTTCGTCGAATGCGCTCGAGGGAAACAAAATCATAAATGCGCGCGCGCGCGAAAATGCGACTAAAGGGAAGAGAAAAAGAAAAATACGGCAGTGCGTCCAGTAGCCGGCGGCGATGTATTTTGAATTCCGTGTCGCAGGTGACACGGCAGCGTGGAAGCCAATCGCGCACGAAACGAGGCGAAACGCGGCAATCGAAGAGCCTGACACGTACGCGCGTCCCCTATCGGTGCCGCCATCTAACGACCAGCTCGCCTCGCCGCGCAGCGACGGAAACAAGTAAAAGGGAATCAGGCGAGCAGCGCGCCGAGGGGCGGGGGGGTGGCGGTACCGATGCATACGCAAAGTGGCGCGAGCGAGGAGCCGCCAATCGCCGAGGAAAGGTGCGTGAGCGCAGCGCCGCGGCGACGTTCCCGCGGGCGAGCGACGGCCGCGCGCCCGTGCGTTCGATCGCCGTTAAGGGTTGACCATAGACTCGCTCGCCGTCCCTCTCCCGCCCGATATCGATCGCGGGCGGTATAATCGCGAACGAGGTCGAGTAAGCGCGCGACCCTCGCAGCGATCGCACGCGCGCTCTCTCGCCGCTCACTGTCTCGCGCGCCCGCGAGCACGGGACCCTCGCTCTCGTCTCTTCTCCGGAGTGTGAGTGCCAGTGAAGTCTCGCTCCGCCCGCGGTCGCGGCCGTTCGCCAGCGCGGCACCGCGCGATCGCCACACTCCGGTTGTCGCGATCGCCGAGGACCCCGGCTCTTCGGGCACTCGGGCGTCGGCGGCTTGCAGGTTATGCTGAATCATTAACGAAGCTATATGCACCTTAGCGGCTGGCGAGGCGGCGCGAACGCGCTCGAATGCACATCCGCGCGGAAATAGTTCGAGCAGCCCGGGCCGACATCAGCTCGCGTCGCGCGCTCGGTCATCTCATCCGATTGGCTATCGCGATCACCGAGGCTCTGCGAATTGCGCTCGATTGGATGAGGTCGCGCACAACTTTTAACGGCTTTTCTCTCTCCCGCTGGTCATCGCTTAGGCGTATTTAATTCCGCCGGGGCTCGCTCGCAGTTCTTTTTTTTTCCTAATCGATTTACATCCGCCTGTGCAGATGAACTTGACGACAAAGCGAGCGACAGCGCGACTACTCGGAGCAGCGGCGTGCCTCGTTTCATTAGTGACTCTTCTCTTTCGCGGTAGTGCCTCCGATTTCCAGCGAGTCGCGCGAACTGACGAGCTTGCGTGGCGCCTTTCTTTCAGCCGGACGGAGCCGCGTCGCTGTGAGCATGGGCACGACGAACGCGGAGACAATGGCGGAGCCGAACAACAACAACGCCGAGTGTCCGTCGAGCAATCCGAAGGCAAGGATCGAGCCGCCGGACCCCCAGGAGTCGAAGAAGGCCGTCGGCTCGGCGACGAGCAACAGCAACAGCTGCTCGGCCGTGGAGGCGTTCTACGCCGACGCGATCATCCTGGTGACGGGCGCCACGGGATTCCTCGGCAAGGCTCTGCTGGAGAAACTGCTGCGCTCGTGCGCTCGCGTGTCCACCATCTTCATACTCGTGCGGCCCAAGAGGGGACGCAGCATCGAGCAGCGATTCACCGAGTTCCTCGAGAATCCCGTGAGTAAGCGGACGTCCCCCGGAGCCGCGACGCCGACGCCAATCGACCCGCGCGAGCGTCCCCGTGCGCGACCGTATCGATCGCGCGAGGATGAGCTCGCGCTCGCGCCTCGGCAGCTCGGTCGCTCGACGTCGCTCTTGTATCGATTGCGGCAATACGAGCCCGCGGACAGTCCTCGGGCGCGATATTCGAGGGCAATTTTCGACGGGCGCCCCCAATCGATAGCCTTAATGCACTGCCGATTCGCTTGATCGCCCTTCCTCGCCTTTCTCCTTCTTCCTCGCGCAGTGTTTGCGGTCAATTAACGCGAGCCGACCCGCGACCGATCGATAACGAGCGCGCGACGACACTTGCAATTAGCGCCGTAGTTCGCCCAGACGAGCCGCAAACGATCAATCCGAGCGCAACGGCGTCTTAAATATTGTTCTCTCGCAAAGAAGCCGCCGCGTCTCCGTGATCGTCGCATCTGACTATCGGGCTCCGCGTCTCTTTGTCTGCGCACTGCTAAGGCGAGCACTAATCGCCGTGCGGCGCGTTACGTGGAGTGAAAAATTCGTGCGCCACTCGTCGATCACGACTTTCTCCAATTTCCACGCTGTTGCGCGCGCTGCGACGAGGCGGCACGCTGGATTCGCTGCATTCGTTGGAAAATGAGATGGAACGCAAGAGAAACACCTGCCGCTTCGCGTTCGTCGCTTGGAAAACTCGCCGATGCGCGAAGCCACGCTTCGCGTTCGGCCGATGCAGCTGCGCTTCCTTTCGTTGGCTCGTCAAATCTCACACTCGTATCTACTCGAAAACGACGAGGCTCGACTGCCGGAAATCGCTTTAACCGTGCGAGAGAGACAAACGGCTTGACTTTGCGATCTCCGGAGAGACCAAATCGACAACGTCTCTCCCCCACTTTGCTCGACGCAGGTATTTGATCGTCTCCGCTGCGAGTATCCCGGCGCCTTGGATAAGATCCAGCCGATCAAAGGCGACGTAGGCCTACCCGATCTAGGACTGAGCCTCGAGGACCGCACGATGCTGATGCAGCGCGTGACCATCGTGTTCCACAGCGCGGCCACCGTGCGCTTCGACGAGCCGCTGAAGCTAGCCGTGAACCTGAACACGCGCGGCACGGATCGCATCGTAGACCTGTGCAAGGGCATGGCCAATCTGGTGTGCCTCGTGCACGTTAGCACCGCGTACAGCAACGCCGATCTGAGGGACATCCAGGAGATGGTCTACAGGTGAGTCGCCACGAGACAGAGAGAGAGAGAGAGAGAGAGAGAGAGGGTGTCGAAACTGCTGTGACATTGACGTTGCAGCACCAAGGTGAAGGCACAGACGGTGATGGACATGTGCGAGAACCTGGACGACGAGACAATGGCGATCCTGGAGAAGAAGCTGATGGGCAAGCACCCAAACACCTACACGCTGACTAAGGGCCTGGCCGAGCAGGTGCTGCTGACCAAGGGCGCGGGACTGCCGGCCGTGGCCATCGTGCGACCGAGCATCGTGTGCGCCGCCTTCCAGGAGCCGTACCCCGGCTGGGTGGACAACGTATGCGGCATCACCGGTGAGCAAGCAAACTCGCCGCGACAGGAGGGTAACGATTAACGATTAACGATTAACGCCGCGCGGCCAATTTTCCGAAGGCATCCTCATGGAGATCGGTCGCGGCACGATCAGGAGCATCGTCTGCGAGCCGCAGTGCGTCGTCGACATCGTGCCCGTCGACTACGTGGTCGACACGCTCATCTGCGCCGCCTGGCACGTGGCCACCTCCAGGCCGCAGCGCTTCGCCGACGCGGACGCCTGCCCGCTGCGCGTCTACAACTGCACCAGCGGCAGCTTCAACCCCGTCAAGTGAGGGCCGCGAACGCTCCGCCGGCGCGAGCGGCGCTCGCTCGAGCTTCGTTACACACTCTCGTGTGCGCACAGGTGGGGCCAGATGGGCGACTTGACGCGCAAGTACGCCATAGAGTCGCCGACCAAGTACGTGATGTGGTACCCGCACGTTACCTACCGCTCCAGCCAGCTGCTGCACAAGCTCGCCGTGGCCATACTGCACTTCCTGCCCGCCTTCGTCATCGACCTCATCCTTCGCTGCCGTGGCAGCAAGCCAAAGTAACGTCTCTTTTTCTCTCCTTCTCTCTTTTCTTTTCGTTGCTCCATGGTTATCTGTCCCGTTCCAATCGAGTTAATGCAAAAACTTGCTTTCATCTAAGATCGCAGCAAATACCCGACCGTTATTAGTTTTTCTTTATTTACGCCATTTTACTTAGTTTCTTTCATTTGCGTTTGATTATTGACGGACGTTCAGGTATCGATGATTTATTTAATGTCGCTGATGCAGACGAGCGTACACATATACATTTGACATTTGAATTCGAAATGACATTTATCACAGCGCGAAGCTACGTAAATGTTCTCAAACGAAATGATTTTCGAGACGCGCGATTGACATTATACTCGCGACGCTGAACAAAAGAAAGAAAAAAAATTGACAAATTGGCAGAATGATAAAGATGACGAAACGCACGCTGAGGGCCGCGAAGAACGGCGAATTCTTCGCGGTGAACGAGTGGTACTTCCACGTGGAGAACATGAAGGAGCTGATAAAGTGCATCAAGAGTTCGGTGGTCGACGGCGCCCAGCCGCGCTACAACGTCGATATCGCGGATATCGATTGGGAGACCTACGTCAACCAGTACGTGCTTGGCATCCGCAAGTACGTGCTGAAGGACAGCCCCGACACGCTCGCGAAGGCGAGGAGCAAGCTCGTCAAGTGAGTATACACGCGCGTTTCCACTCGGCCAGCTTTGCTCATCGGACGCGCGAACCTCCTGCGCGCAGACTGTACTGGGTGCGCAGGTTCACCCAGCTGATGAGCTTGTACCTGCTGCTGAGGATCATCGCTCGCGCGAGCGCTCGGTGACGGATAATCCAACTGGTGAGGCTGATCGACCGATTGCTGCAGCCCTGGCGACGGTTCTTCAAGCTCTACCAGGCCATCGCGCTCATCTGCTGAGCCATCCCTCTCCTTCTTCGCTCCGGACTTCTCTGTCTCTCTGCTAAACCTCTCTTTCGATACTTTTCTCCTCCCCGAGACGTCAAATCGATTTCGGCCAATGCAAATTGTTTATCATCGTCCTCGTCGGCGGGCGCACGCGAGCTTTCTCCTCTTGCCGCGTAATTTCACGAGATTGCGAGCTTTCGTCCGTGAACGCGGACGAGACGTAAAACCGCACGACGAGCGTCGCAATCACGTGCACGCGAGGAAAGGAAACTACGATTATCTCTCGCTTGTAATCGATGCAAGTGTCGAGTACGAAATCAATGCTGGACAGCCGATATCTTTAAACACACTCTTTATTTCCTTTTATACACTGTACAGAAAGAAAATCCAGTCACAAAAGTAAGCCGTAGGAATGACAAAAGAAGCTTTGATTTCGCGTGGAGCTTCTTTGCCTACGTGCAACATTTCATTTTACTACTGCAGTTGTCATACATTAATTCATACAAATATGTAGTGACGTACTATGTGTGCTCGAGGATGGACTGATAAAAAAAAATTATAACGAAGGTGCGATTTTTGAGCCATAAGTATTAAGAAGAAAAAAACAATCTGCATTTATACAAGCACCGCCAGTAAACAAACACTTGCCTTTTTAATATATCAAAACGGCATACAGCAATATTTTTTACGCGTTATTATATATATGTACTTATATAACGTATTAGTCGTAAAACAATTACACGTAACTATGTGGAATATGGGATAACTCTTGATTGCAATAACAAACGTAGTGTATGTAAAAAATAGTGTTTCCGAAAAAAAAGTATCACACACGAGGAGTCGTGTTATTACGCGGATAACAACTCTATATATTTTTAATATATAATCTACGATATGTAATCCCCAAGGCAAATGTGCATGTTAAGAAAAGAAGACTAAGCAACAACATTACCCAAATAGATTCCTAGTTTTAACTTATCCATTCTTCTTTATCACTCAATTCATCTCCTTTCCACTTAATTTTTGTAACAAAAAAAAATCGATGGAATGCTAGAGCGCCGTTGAACTTCTGTTGTTCTCCTCGTGCTGGTGATCCGTTCGCATGACCTTGAAATCACGAGGATAACATTGAATCTGCAGCGAGTGACGCGCCGTGAAAAATAAAAATAAACAGAATAGTAATATTGCCCACCTCGACTTGTTGGAGAGCCGGTTGCCTGGCGAGGTATTTGCGTACAAAGGGGGCAACCAGTGCTGGGTCGAGCTTGTCAATGTTCTCCGACGAGACGATACTCACCATCAAGCCCACGCTCATGGTCACCAGTGTGCCGGCTACGGTGTACCACAGGTAGCTCAGCCGATAAACCGCCCAGGGCTCACTGCAACCAATTCGTCGCATACGTCTTTCACGCGGCGGATGAGATCGCGAATCGTCCGAGCAATCGAGGCCACCAGTCTCACCCTTCCTCGGGATCGTTGAGCAGCGTCTCGGGCGGCAGCAGCAGCAGCAGGTTCTCGGCCTGATGGAAGGAGTAGGTGCAGCCCTCCACGCTCACCGGCTTCTCGTCGAACCTGTGCGAAAGATGCGCGCGTGCGTGAGGAGCGACGTCGGCGGGGGCTCGCGCGCGGTAATACCAACCGGATTCTGCCGCTGGCGATCGCGGCCTCGGCCGACAAGCTGATCCAGCCCATGAAGGAGAGGCCGCTGAGGCCTCCGACGAGGGCGCCCTGCCGTTCGCCGAAACAACACACACACACACACAGACATTTACTACGCAGCGTCACAGGGGCGCGCGGCAGCGACGAGCGCGCGTTTACGTACGTTGGCGTTTATCCACGGCAGTAGCACGCCCATGGCGAACACGCCGAGCGAAGGTCCGCTGGTGATGGCGCTCAAGCTCATCGACAGCTGCAACACGGTTTCGCCGGATTCACGGTTCATCGAGCAGCTCGCCACGTATACTCTACCTGCAGCACGTGCGAGCCGGTCTTCTCGACCACGAACACGAGGCAGGTGCAGAGCACGCCGAGCACGAGCACGGTCAGCTTCATGAGCCGGTCCACGGTCTTGGGGCTGAACGGGCGCGTGCGGAACGGCTTGACGAAGTCCTCGAGCACCACGGCGGCCATCGAGTTGAGCCCCGTGGACAGCGAGCTGCGCGCAAAGCAGACGCATGCACGTGGCGTCACTTGTCCCGGGCTGCACGTACGCCGCGAGGCTGGCCGCGCATACCTGAGAGCGGCGCTGAACACGCCGGCGACGAACAGTCCCGGCAGTCCCGGCAGGTCGCGCAGCACGTTCATCATCAGCAGCGGCAGCAGCTGGTCCTTGGCTCGGGCGAGCTGAAAATCGAGCCAATAGCCAAGCCGACGCCCGCGCGCTCGAGTCTAGCTCGGCGGACGACGCCCGGCTGCGGCACTCACTTTCGTCGTGAGGGGGTCGCACTCGTGATACCAGGCGTAGACCAGCATCCCGGCGTAGCCGCAGGTGCCGATCAGCAGTAGCACTCCGACGATGAAGGTCCACAGAGCTCTGTCGGACAATCAAGCCGCGGCGTCATCGCTCGTCGATCGCTCGCGTCTCGCGGCGCCCGTGCGTATACCTTCTCGCGTGCTCCACGCTCGGCAGCGACAGGTAGCGCTGGATCATGTTCTGGTTGATGGCGGATATCTGCAGCCAGTGCACGCAGCCGCCGACGACGAGCGACCAGATGGTGTGCCGCGTCAGAGGACTCCAGTCGGCACTGCGCCGGAACGAAAACCAGACTGTGTGACCTGACGAAAACCAGAACGAGGGTGGGGATTCGCGCGTGAAACTCACGTGGGTAACTCGAGGCGGCCGGAGTCGAAGTTCCGTCGCAGGACCGTGGAGAAGCCACCGAGGTCGGACGTGCCCTTGACCACGATGAGTATCATGGCGCCGAACATGATGAATATCTGGACGAAGTCCGTCCACACCACCGCGCGCAGTCCACCCTGCAGTGACGAACGGAAGAGACGGTGACAGAGCCGCGGACCGACGCCGTTGCTCGTTATATCGATATACGTACCACGCACGTGTAGAAGATGCAGACCACGCATACGAACGGCGTGACCACATGGATGTTCACTCCGGTCACTGTGGAACACACTCAGCGTAATCGCGAGCGCTCTCCACTCGCGCGGCTGCTTCTAGCTCGGTGCCAAGTTGTTTTCCGCCACCCCCCCCCCCCTCCCCCATCGTACACACATGGACACATCCTCCCTCGTCTACCGCCACCAGCACCCCTCGATTGTACGAGCATTATTAAATAAGGACGACATCGAGTTTACGGATCGAAGAAAGATGCATTTGTTAAGTTCGGAACGATCGTACAACTTGTACTTCACTGGCTACGTCTGACTGATTCAATCGGGCATTATTGATCGACTGATCACGGTTGGAGTAAGGGATTTCGCGATCTTGGACTGTCTCTTTTAGTCAAGCTCGTGAGCCGAGATGTACGCGGAGCTGATTAGACGGTATATGGGTAATTCTAGGCTATTTCGATTGACTTGTAACCCTTAGGTTACGGATTTTTTTTTAATTTGGCACAATTGTTGTACACATAAAACTGAGATTTTTCCCAAATTTTGGAGACGATACATTAATTATATCAAAAGTTATTAACAATTAAAGAAAAATGATAAAAAATTTTCAAACAGCTATATTTTAAAAACTAATAAAGATATCGAAGTCGGATTTTTTTCAAAATACTTATAATGCCTTCAAATTTCGAAATAATTACAATAAACAATAAAAATTTTTTTTCGAAAGTTATTAACTTTTTGTTTAAACAATTGCTAATATCTCAAAAAGTATATTTTTTTTTTGAAAAATTCTTGCTCCTACGTATTCCTGAGGATTTTTGCTATCGAAATCAATCATAAAATTCAAGGGCCCGACATATCGGAAAGCGTAGCCCTAATCAAAAGAAGACGCCTCAGCCACCGGACACCGAGGCATCTTCTTTTAATTAGGGCTACGCTTTCCGATATGTCGGGCCCTTGAATTTTATGATTGATTTCGATAGCAAAAATCCTCAGGAATACGTAGGAGCAAGAATTTTTCAAAAAATAAAATATACTTTTTGAGATATTAGCAATTGTTTAAACAAAAAGTTAATAACTTTCGAAAAAAAATGTTTATTGTTTATTGTTGTAATTATTTCGAAATTTTAAGGCATTATAAGTAATTTGGGAAAACTCCGATTCGGTATCTTTATTAGTTTTTTAGATTAAAGCTAAAGTACCTTTCGACCGTGAGTCCGCTGGAGCGCTACCGCAGCCTTACGCCGAGGCGTCTTCTTTTGATTAGGGCTACGCTTTCCGATATGTCGGGCACTTGAATTTTATGATTGATTTCGATAGCAAAAATCCTCAGGAATACGTAGGAGCAAGAATTTTTCAAAAAAAAATATACTTTTTGAGATATTAGCAATTGTTTAAACAAAAAGTTAATAACTTTCGAAAAAAAATTTTTATTGTTTATTGTAATTATTTCGAAATTTGAAGGCATTATAAGTATTTTGAAAAAAATCCGACTTCGATATCTTTATTAGTTTTTAAAATATAGCTGTTTGAAAATTTTTTATCATTTTTCTTTAATTGTTAATAACTTTTGATATAATTAATGTATCGTCTCCAAAATTTGGGAAAAATCTCAGTTTTATGTGTACAACAATTGTGCCAAATTAAAAAAAAATCCGTAACCTAAGGGTTACAAGTCAATCGAAATAGCCTAGAATTACCCATATATAGCTGAGTCCGAGAATATGAAAAGCATCCGAACATTAAAAAAAGGCGCTCTCTCGAATGCGAGCGCGTCTTCGAGAGCATCGGAGATCCATCGAGCGAAAGGATAATTGAGCGCGCGTCTATAAATAGCAGCGCGAAGCCACAAGCTCGAGCCGGTTTAAGCGCGCACATGACCCACGAGCGGCTATTAATAGCCGAAGAATGGCCCGGTCAATTCGCGCGGCATTGTCAGTCAATTCCCGTAATGGGCCTCTTGTCCGCGAGCTCCAGCGCGCGCGGCGGCAGTCCGAGGAGAGAGCGACGTCCACGCGGTGCGCGGCGCGCGCTTACCTTGATTGAAAGCGAGCGCCGGCACGTAGATGACGATCGGCAGCCATGTGATCTGCAAAAGAGAATGGCACTCGAGTTCGGGGGAGAGGGGGGAGGCGAACTGCCTGCACATCCTGCCGCGCATTAATTTGCGTGTCGGATCATGACCGCGACGGCATTGTCGGCGACATCATCGCGGCTCGACCTCTCGACTACGATTGACGCCAGTATAGCGCCAATTGGACATTTGCAGATCGCTATGATCGAAGTGCCGCTTGTCCGATACTGGACGACGCGCTTGATGACGTCGCACGATCCGTTGGACCCGGAAAGCGCGTTCACGTAAACTTACGATGCCGATGGCGAAGAGGACGGATCCCAGAATCCGGATCTTCTTGTCGAACCTCTTCTCCAGGTACTCGTAGGTACTGGTCAGTCGAAGGTCGTGAAAGACCGGCAGAAAGACGTTGGACATGATGAAGCCGACGAGGACGACGCCGAAGCCGATGCAGAGGTAGCTGGTGCCGTGCATGTAGATCTCGGTGGGCGTGCCGAGCAACGAGATCCCCGAGATGAAGCTCGCGATGAGGCTCATGCTCACGGGAAAGGTCTTCATGTTGCGACCGCCCACCAGATACTCGTCCTCACCACGGGACCGCTTGAAGAAGCCGAAGTACACGCCGATGCAGCCGCACGCCGCCAGCATCGCCACGAAGATCGAGTAGTCGACTATGCCGAAGTTCTGCAGAGAGTAGATGACGTCTTGGACCGACGGCATGTCCACAGTCGCGAACTTGGACGGCAGCTCGTGATCCGAGTTCGACTCCGGGGGAAGCGGCTCGTTGTTGGGTGACGACATGACCGCTCGTCGATGGCTTTCTTCCAACGCTGCCTTGCGAACAAGCGACGAGTAGCCGCAACGGAGCATTATTCATATTATTGTTTGGACTCTAACTTCAACTATGGATAAGAAGGAATTTGAAAAGGAATCAATTTCGCGAGTTCGGATGGCTTTCAAGAATTACATTATGCAAACAGAATTGAATCAACTGAATATCACTGAAGTCAACTTGAATATTCACCCGGTGTAAACATTTCTATTCTTAGCGTAAAAGGTAACTGAGCGCGGAATTCGTAAATTTCTATACAAGTAGATTATCGATACTCGTATTTGGCTAATTTTCGCGTAAAATCAGTGCCTGCGGGCCTCGCTGTACGCGTGCACGCAGAGCGCGCAGCGAAATCACTCGACCCGAGCTCCGAACGTAATGTTTCACGAGCTCGCTGATAGCGACGCACGACAAATCGCGCGTCGCTATCAAGATGTAGTAAGCATGATCCGAGTGAATGGCAATCGATGCGTTTGAAATTACATTGCGTCTCAAAATTATCGTACGGCGCGAGCGTTTTTCCCGCACGCTCGGCAAAAAACGTGCGTTGAAAATCGCACTTTCCACACGTCGTATCAAAAAATACGATACGGCACATGTTCGGGAAAGAGTTTCTCGTCTTGTGTACCTTTCCACCCTCGCTTCGCTCGGGTGTAAACGCCACGCGACACAAGAATCTACTTTCCCGCACTTGTATCGTAATGTACTATTATCGCGAAACGCCTCGGGCGAGTGGGTGTTATATATGTCGCGAGAAATAAAATTGATCGAGCGTAATTGCCAATCTAATATTTTTTTTCGCAGCAGAATTTTCGAGCCTGTTGTTGGCAAAATTATCCTGTTAACTTATTGCAAGGCATTTATCTTGTTACCAAGGGTGGGAGGGGGAGTCCCCGCGTTATTTTCAATTGCTTTAGAACATAAGTGTGTTACGCTCTTTGTCAGGGAAACTCCCGCGTTTTATTGCGCGAAACGTGCATGTTGGGTTGTGCGATTAATCTCGTTATGCTTTAATCAACGATCTGCTTATCTTTGAGAACTGAAGTACGAATGGATCGAATGGAAAAACGTTTAGAAGTAAAATGAGACTTGTATCCATGGATTTAACTAACGATTTTAATGTAAATGGTAGTTGCATGTAAAGCTTTTTCTTTCTCCGCGTACTTTTTTTTATCAATACATTTTCATCGGTAATTTTCAATTTTAGTAGTAGATAGCTAGATTTGATAATGCGAAAATTCGATTGAGTAATTGTGACAGATCATTATATCCAGAGCAATGACATAATGTCCTTGCATCGAACCACCGACCAAGCGAAAACGATTCTACGTTCTAACTAATTTTCCAATTGTCACATAAACGCCCATGAAGCTCGTGGATTTTTTCTTTTGTTTTGCCGTTTCGTACTCTTATCGTCAATCTTATCTTTTCAGACTTAATTGCAAATTTTTTTTATTGAAAAATATCTGTATTATATTTAAAATATCTGAAAATCTCGTAATATCCTTCTGTTTCTCATTTTATTTTTAAAAATTTCATAGCAATGTTATTAAATACTGTTGAATCAGTAGAAATTTGAATGAAACGGAAAAATATTCCTAAATATAAAGAAAAATATTTTTTAATTTAGAACAATAATATTATATCAAATTCATTTCAATTTAGAAAAATTAAAACAATACTTTCAGTATCTCAATAAAAGTATAAATTAGCTGTGAAATTCACTGATTTAAGTTGGATGTTGAAATAGCTTATGAATTTTCTACTTATATATTACTATTAATTTTTTAAATTTTCCATTAAATTAAGTAAATATCTTATGCTAATGTAAACTCTATTGCATCAAAAAGTCACATAGTAAATCAGAAAAAACATCTCACTTTAAATAAAACTCCAATAGCAGTGAATCCCGTTAACGATCTTTGTATTGACAAACTCCGTTAAATCGCGCGTGTCATAACTCGATGGGGGATAGAACCCCGTGTACGTTTAATCCAAATGATCGCGAACGACTGAAGTTGCGTTGCGTACAAAAAGGCCCTATAACGCCGGTGGTCGCGTGTAGCGATTTTCTCGTTAGCCCGCACACAATAAGGTTGGTCATCGGTCAATTGGATAATTCGGCCTGAATTCGAGTTGCACATTTTTTATGTTGTGTGCCTCTTCTTTTTTTATCTTCTATCCACGTGAACATAAGGATCAATAAGGACATACACTAAGTAGGATAAAATTCATAAATCCATTGTGACACTTGAATGTCGCTTTGTTTATTTTTATCAAAGGCTTCGAATGAGAAATGTTTCACTTATGATTTGAATAACAGTAAAAAGTTTATTATTTTTAAGTTTATCCTTCCCAGAACTTAGGCAGTTCGTTGCCGAGAATCAATTGACGTTCAATTCCATCTTTGGTAATGACACCAAGTCGAATGCTACCACCACTGCTACCGTCGCGCGACATTGCCAAAGCCAAAGCTGTAATAAGAAAAAGACAACATTTACCTAATTACGAATTTCTTTTTCAAATGACGTGAAACCAAGAACAATGTATGTTTATTGGAATGTACTTACTGTTAGTAACAAGCTCGACCACCTGATCTTTGGTCATGCCAGGCTTGTAATGTGAATCTACATAACCATACACATATGTTGAGCCTGAGCCACCAATGGAAATTGGCATTCTTGTGCACATGCCACCAAGAGGTATTGAATATACTTGACCACCTTTGATTGGATCCCACCCAGCTACAAGAATACCAGCCATCAGACTTTCACGATAATTGTAACACATTTCTCTGAAGAGATTTGCTGCAGTCTCCACTCGTGGCTCCATTCCTAATTCCATCCTGAAAGACAAGTTTTACTTTTTATTTGAATTCACTGGCTTGATAAATATATTGAGTTTTTAGTAAGTACTTACTTGTAAAATGACAAGTGATATCTGACAAAGTCTGAGATAGCCTGAGAATCTGCAGAAGATCCAGAGCGACAGCAGTAAATATAATCTGTCACTCGAGTCAATTTGTCAGCTACACGATTAGCAATGTATGCACTGCAAGATGTAATGTTTTAATATTCAACTTAAAAACAAAAAGAGATAATTAGTATGTTGATTAATTTGCTTACCCAGTGGTAGAACGAGTGTCCGCTCCAACGACAACGCCACCATCAAACTCACAAGCCATAATCGAGGTCTGTTGAAAAATCATAATGCTTAATTGTTGATCAACTCGTTAAAATCTTTTTTAATTGAAACTTATCCATTAAATCATCAATATATTTTTAATAAATGCAAGTTTGCAGAGTCATCCTAACCTATACAAATGCAATAGAGAATGAAAACTTACTCCAGTACTATGTTCAGCATTTGCCCAATCTGGCACAAGAGAAGGGTTTGTCACTGGATTGGCACTTGGCACCATAGGTCCGATTGCATATGCCATTATTTATTTAATATAAATTACAATCATACAATAAATGTAAAATCTCTCTCTCTCTCTCTCTTTCGTACACAGGGTAACACAGTATACCTATGCGGTATGTTCGTACGGTGTTGACTAGTGAGTGTGACGGTAGATTGTCGATGTGAGTTGTTGCGGATCGTGGCGCTACCTACAGTGCCTATCCTTGCGGCTTGCGGCTTAATTTTTACTCTTAGTTTTATTCTTAAGTTAATATATAGTTGCTCCCAAATATTTTGGCACGGCTTTTAAAATATCGCGAGGATTACGGATGAGAATAAATTGTAAACTTATTGTAATAAAAACCATTGTTTTATTTCATTCGTTGTACAAATATAACTTTCTACAAACTTCAGTAATTGGTATGTCAGACACTGGTGGAATGCCACCAGGAATACTGTTCCTTTGCTCCAAACCATGCTCATCGATAATAGTTCTTGGATCATCGATTTCTGGAGTCATAGACATATTGATGGCAGGATAAATAGCAAAAGCAAACACTGCGATAGCAGTTAAAATCCAAATGGGTAGTGCAACTGCCCAATATTTGGATGGCCAATATGTAAGTCCTAATGTCTCGTGTAAAATTACATCAGGTATAAATGCCCAAATAAGATACAACAACAACAAAAAATTGAATCCTATGTACATAGCATATCCATACACTGATCTTGGCCTGTAAGGAGCTGGAGTACGCTCAGACATCTTGTTTCTGAATAATTTGCTATACAATGTTATTGATAGTGATCATATGTAGCAGTTGGAGGCCCAAAAATTTGGATGGTTCGTGTAACAAGAAGTAGCGAGTCAAAAAATGAAGTTAATCCTACTCTGATTTTACGAGCTTCTTTGGCAGTGAATGTACTGTGATATTTATTGTTTGGTTAATTAAGCCTGTTAAATATTTAAGAAAGTTCTGCAAATTACTTACACTTTTATAATATTAGACTCCAATGTTAATGTTTTTGTAACACCACTCCTTGAAGGCTCTGAATCAACTCTCAACACTTGATAAGCAACATCAGCTTCTCTTTCAGTAGGAAAAGGTATATTTAAATTACTAAAACTTTTATTAAGGTTCGTAATTTTGAAAATAGTTAGTTTTATAATCATTGTAACATTGAAAGGATACACTTCGAGGTCATTCATGACGTCGAACAATTTATATAACTGCTCAGGATTGTCTTGCTGTCGATACAGTTTTATTTCTACATTTGAATTTCTCGCTATGAAGCCTCAATTTACTGATTATAAATCATTAGATTTTCATAGAAACAAATAGAACCTATTTGTCTCTAGATCAGAAGATCTCTCTCACGCACGCGTTGTTTACAATAGGTTACAATGTATACATGATGGCGGGTGTATCTAACCTTATCACAACTCCAACTGTTCATTGATAACCGTTAGGCAGAATTTGTAGAAAACGATATTGTTTTCTAAAAAGAAAGACCAAATTCAATAATTTTTTATGGCAAAGCGATCTAAAAAATGGACATAACGTTGGACGATCGATTAAGTGCATTTCAACAGATAAGTCAGAGGAAGTTTGTGGAAATTTTAGATGCCATTCCCGGCACTAAAGACTTTATTATTGAAGATAAATTGATGAAAATACTCGACTCTTTTGTCGGTGTGTCTGTTTTAAGGTAAATGCAACCATTGATTAGATTTTGCAACGTTGAGTAATTATTAATTACATTGTCTACGAATTTTTAGAAAATATGGTGTGGACAAATTGTTCAAATTTACTCAAGGCTTGAGGCCAACGAATAGCCAAAGAATTTATGTACTCAGCTGTGATTTAGTTGTTTGTCAACATGCATTCGATCAAATTAGATCTGAAATATTACAGACTTCTGGACTTTCACATCATCTTCTTATTGCACCTTCTATTCCTATAGCTTTAGATAATTTACTTGAAGAAAATGGTAAGATTTTGCTTGTGATAAACTCATTTGAAATATTGTTAAAATTTTTATTTTTTAGGTCTGTATGGTCAAGTTACCATGAGACCATTGTCTTGGGAGTTGATTAGAATAGATGGAAATGTGTTATCTTTAGAAATACCAATGTTCACTGACTTGTTTTATCACAAAGATACAAGCTTACTTCCAGCTTTAGCTAAGAGCTTGTGGACTTTGCGAATGATCTTAGGAGCCCCAAATTTTAGTCTTGCTTTGGGAAAACATAGTCAACAAATTTTGAAAATGATTCCTGCAATTGATGAATCTCTGAGCTCACCAAGTCCAAAGGAAAAAATCGGTGCCTTAATTATAATGGACAGGAATAAGGATTTTGTTTCTACATTGTTGAAACCTGTTACTTATTTAGGATTGATAGGAGAAGTCATGGAAATAAACATTGGATTAGTAACCTTTGAAAAATCAAAAGTAGCATTAGATCCAGTAAAGGATCAAGTGTACAGTGAAGTGAGAGACAAACATTTTTGTGAAGCTTTTGATTTGCTAAGAAAGAAAGCTAAAGCACTTAAATGTAAGTATATTTGTACTTAATTTAACTTGTAGAGTAAGTTTTTACTAATTTCATAAATTTTATTTTTTTAGCTGAGCAAGAAAATATAAATTTACAATCAATGAAAGTGTCAGAGATGGGCCATTATATTAAAACAACACTAAAAAAAACCACTAAAACTAAACAAGAACTGGAATTCCACTTGTGTGCATGTGAAGCAGCTATTAATGCATTTTCATTGAATTTTGATGTTTTGCAGTCTGTAGAAACTTCATCACTCCAAGGTAGCCAAAGAAGTGAATGCCTAGATTATATTTTAAGAAATATGGGTAAACATTTTAGTTCCTTACTCCATAAGAATATACCCAGAATAACTTATAAATTTTTTTACAGATGACAATCCTTATCAAAGTTTGAAATTACTATCTCTTTTATCAATAACAAGTGATGGAGTGACTAACAATGAAATACAGTCTTTACAAAAAGCACATTTACATGCTCACGGTTATCAAAATATACCATTATTTTACAAAATGGAAATTGCAGGTCTTTTAGCAATGAAGTCTGAAAATATAATGAGACTGCCCAACTGGATGAGTAAATGGACTGCTAATGCAAAACGTCTCAAACTGCTTCCTTTAAAAAATGTTGATGTAAAGGGACCCACATGTTCAAGTTATGTCTTTAATGGATCTTACATACCAGTTATAGTAAGTAATCTTCGTTATATAAGCTAAATGTTCAAAATTTTAAATGTTTCCTTTTTTTTTCTTTTATCTTAGGCGCAAGTTTTAAGCATAGTCGTTACTCGAGCAACAGATCCAAAAAATTTTGAAGAACTAACTAACACTGTGGGATGTGTTTTCAGTGGCAATCAAGGACCAATCAATCCTCAAACAGTAGTTGTTTGCGTGGTTGGCGGTATAACGTACAGTGAAATATGCGCGTGTAGACTAATAGAAAAATTAGCTGGTATTCGATTAGTCTTGGTTTCAGATTGCATTTTAACAGGAACAAAAATGATTGAGAGTCTGAAAAACGCTTGATTCGTCAACTACTCACAAGAGAACTATTCTCATTTCAATTAAAATGTATATGATATTTATTTTTGAAGAAAAAGATGTAATATATAAAAGTTACAAATAATTTTATGATAAAAATTGTACATATAAATTTATCTTTTTATATTGTGAATGAAAGTGTTCTATTAAATGATGTCTGATGATCTATTAAACATTTATTGAACAAATACACTGATTTATTCATCATCAATGCCATCATCCATGAAATGTCCATATTCTATTTAGAATAATAATTACAAAAATCAATAGTTTCTGTTCTCTTCGCGATTACGATCACGATCGCGGTCGCGATCACGCCTTTGCCTACCCCAATCCTGTCCTTGTCTATTGTAATTTTGCCTATCGCGGAAGTTGCCTTGATTACCTCTCGAGAAGAAGTTGCCTGTAACAAATTGTTACGCGTTAATATAAATTATTCACAATGTTAGTATAAGAAAAAAAGTACTTGATTCTTACCTTGCTTCATTTCAAAGATGCGCTCGTTCGAATCAACAAAGTTGTTGACCTTGTCGGTCAACTGTACTGCCAATGACTGTAAGCGGCTTGGCTCGCTACGGTGCATCACTACTGTCTCCGATGGGTCGTCCAGCGATGCCTATATTCACAGGATTAATTAAAATCCTAGAAATTTTATTTTGATCGATCGGGAAAATAATATTTACCATAAGTTCCTCATTTATGATCATTTTACTGATAATGGAATGGACAATAGGTCTCTTCAGTTGAAACATATCTGCCAGTGTAGGCATGGATATCGAGTCATAAACGTGGGAGTAAGTGAACAGATATGTCCTCAAAGACTCTTCCTTGATCAGCTTGGTCAGCATTTCACGAACTTTGTCAGCTTGATAAAATAGATCCCAGACTTTAGCATTCATCTTTTCGTTAATGATGAAGTTGTTGCAAGCTGACCAGTTGCCATTTCTCATAGCTTTAGCAGCCGCGACAACGTGCTCTCTCATGGATTCTGGTGGACCAACCAACGATTGACGCTCACTCGATCGTAACTGCTGGTAGAAAGTTTTGGAAATCATCCTTCTCCTGGCGTCAAACTCATGAGCTAAAGTAACAAAATTACGAAGTTAAATAATAATAATATTATAATAATATTCTTATAATGTTTCCTGTAATGATATAATAATTTTATAAGAATTAGAAGTGATGACGTACCAGCCATGTAAGGAATTTCAATGAGCATAGCGGAAACAAGGTAAACACATTCGAGAAGCTCCAAATTGATATGCATATGGAATGGCATCTGACGTTGTTTCTCAATCTTCTCTTGCTCCTTACTACGCTCGTGTTGTCTTTGTGGCATCAAACCTTGAGCTAATAATTCCTTTACTTTACCAGTCATCATCAAATCTAAAAGGCACCCATGAGCGTCTTTAATGTTAGCATGACGGAAGGCGCAGAGACCAAGGTGAGCGATGGTACGGTTGTATAAAATCTAAAAAAATCAACCAAACATTATAATACTACATATCAAAATAAAACTTACAAATAGAAAAATGTTCGATGTTTACCTGCGTTGCAGGATCAGAATGCTGGATGGTTTCTTGCAAATGAGACATCAGAACCAAATCACGAGCTTGAAACCAGTTATCATGAAGAGCGTGATGGTAGATGTGCGATAGGATGGCTCTTGTTCTCAAACGATCGGTTTCGTCATGAGCATAGATGTACTTGCAGAGCTTGTCCATTACTTGAATTGACGTGACAGTATCTTTTGGAATTTCACCCTAAAAATCATACGATTAGAGTAGATTCAAAAATTATTTTATAATCATTCGCGACTCACGTCTTTTTGCTTGAGGACATTTGCATCGAATTTGTAGTAGAGATGTTCAATTTTACGAAGGTAAATACGGCACAACTCCGATGCTGAGTCACTTCTCTCAAGGTATTGTTGCACTTTATCAATAATAGAAGAGACGGCCTTTTCATCTTTCAACCTATAAATTATACAAGTTGAGGAATGTTTGAATACAAATTTCCAAGTTTCAATGATTTACCTTTCAACATATTCGTTACTATGAGGATCACACTCTTTCAAGAGTTTTGTGAACTCCTCATCCAATCTTTCCACCAACGTAAGAACACAACCATGGATTTTGAAAGGTGTTTTCTCATATTGTTCTTCTTCCTCATTCACTTTGTCAGCAATAGTCAAATCTGGAGTGGCCAAAAGCAAATTCAACATTTCTGTTATACGCTCTAACAATCTAAAAAAATTATGAAAAAATTTTTTAAATTCAACATTATGTAATGTATGAAGAATTAAACAAAAAAGTGAAATCTTACTTTGACCAATATTCAGGCTTCATTGCATCAGATACTTTGGGATTGTAGTCGAAAATCGAAGAAACAATAGAGTACTTGATTTTCACCAATACTGCAGATCCAAGATTGTGATTCTCAGTGATGGACTGTAACTCATGCAGCAGTTCAATCTGCTCTCTTCTGTCAGTCCTTTTTTTACCACGAGCAGCAATGATTTCATTGAGCTTTTTCAGCACTGCAGCAATGTTGATCTCTGCATCTTTGGCAAACATTTTTGGCTTCTCTGAAGGAATGGCAACTCCTCCTTTGACAGTTTCCCATTCGCCTTCTCCATCATCTTCTTCACGTCGCCTTTTCTTATCTTTGTCTTTGCGATCTTTTCGGTGTTCTTTCTTAATTTGCTTTTCGTCGTCACCGTCCTTGGCAGTTTTTCTGAAGTAGTCAGCTCCAACATGCTGAGGCTTGTCGTCATCTGAACTACTAGAGCTTTCACTTTCAGAATCACTGCCCCAGTCTGAATCACTTGAACTGCCTTCATCATCAACAGCACCTTTCTGTGTTGACATTATAAAGAATATTGTTAATTTTGCATTAAAACAACAAAAATTTTAGTACAAATCTGATGATACCTTGAATTTGGATGCATCTGGAGCACTTGGTTCTTGCTTTTTAAAGTCTGATACACGATTGTCATCATCTGAATCAGCTTCTTCAGCTAAATAGAATAATAAAAATCAGCTTCCAATTGACTTTGAGAATACAAATTTTGTTAAATAAAATTTACCTTTTTCATCTTCTTCATCTTCTTGATCTGGATTTTCACGGAACTTGGCAATATCTTCTTCAAAGTCTTTGTTGTATTTCCTCAGCTTTTGACGTAGAGAAGTCAATGATTTTGAATTATTCTTTGACATATTCTTACGTCCTTCTCTGTCTTCCCAGACTTCATTGATAAAATCTTCCATTTCAACCAGACAGCGTACATAAAAGCGTGGAGTTTGACCATTTTCTTCTTTTGAAACTACAGGCAGAGCCTTTTGATAAGCTCTCTGCAAGTCCTCGAAAGCTGGTAAAACATTTCTTTATGTTTTAGTTTCAGTCCCAAGTTTTTAAAAGGAATTATGAAAAAAGTTACTCACTTGTTAATAACATGCTCATATCTTTGATTTTCTTATAATTTCTGATGAGTTTTATTAGATTTGTAAGTTCTTCATATCTTTTTTCTTTTGTAGATCTGACTACACGTTTGGCATCTTCTTCATCGTCACTATACTGTAATCATATAAATTATATATGTTAAAAATTTTTTGTCATATTCATATATAACGTTTACATAAACAGATAAACTTACCGTGAACGCTGCTGCTGGTGCGCGTTGTACTTGCTCCTCCTCACTGGAAGTTTCAGACTCAGAGTCTGAGCCAGTGGCAAAGAATCTACTCATTTTGAGTTACAATCTGGAAAAATATTGAATAGTCACATTAATATCACAGTATTATTCTTTGTACATAGTATTTTTTACAAGTAAAATTTTAAATTTACAAATATATGAAAAATTAAACTATAGAATCGAAAAAAATATTTCGTTGAATGGTAGAAATGCACAAAACTGCTGAACTATGAAATGTTCACATGTGGAGGATGCTAAATCTCCAAATCACGAGACGTCAACACATTGCTTAAATAAGTACGACAATGAAAACTCTTTAAGCAGTAGCAAAGAAATCACGATGTAACTGAAAATTGGTTTACATGAAATTTCATTCAAATGAATAACTTACTCACACTACTAATATTAAACACTTTAAAACAAACAGAGCCGATTTGTCCAGTCGAACAATGCACTTAAAAGAAAAGGTTATTCAGCCACCGGAGGGAATGCGAACGTGAGTGCAACGGCGCACGCGCAGTACTGTGAACAATCAAGTAGCGTGACCCGTTTATCGACACGATAATAATCTGTTTGACCGAACAACAGTAAGAAACGTAAAAAAAAATTATTCAAATTTGTTAGTCTGTCTTTTTATCATAAAGTTTTCCAAAATTGTTTGAAGTTCATATAATCAAATAAAAATATTGATTTGTAAGATGATTGAAAGAAGATCTATACATCTTTAATGAAACCAATTAAAAAAAGTAGTTTTCTTTTAAAAAGTTGATTAGCATATTCTAAAAATATACATCAAGGCGGAGGTCCAATTGAGAATCTTTAATGACGAATACTTGATAAGCTGCCGGATCTGCATCGATGAGAAAATTTTAACTGTTATTATCGTTCACTTGCAGATAATTAGCTATATGGATCGATACATAACAGCGGCAAACGAGCCCTTCGTTAATTTGATAGAATTGACGATTTTTAAACATCAGGTTTGATAAGTCATTGTATTGTTACTGCTTTTATAATCCCACCGGTGATCACAGCCTGTCGCAGTCCTCATTGTCGCAGGCAGACACACCTGCAAAGCGCTTTTGATTAGCACACACACACAAACACAGCGATAATACCGGTAATAAACCGATTATCGGTTCATAGTCGAATAACATAGCAAACCTTCGCGGATGTACAGCGATAGGCGCAAATTTTAAAAAGACCTTTCCCTTGATACTCAATCCAATTGTTTCGTTGAACCGGCCAAGATCGTCAACTTTTGTTTCGCTAATTTATAGCGAACATTCCTTCCACTGCGCATTTATTTCTGCTGCGAAGCACGCTTACGAATCGTCATTCTAGCATAAGAATTCCGCGAGCGCTTGCCGCTGATTCTAGAACACCCTAAAATCTCAGATAAAGCTCCTGCGTGACTTTCGGACGCTTTTTTCTTGCTCCACGGACAATCGCGGTATTGCTTCAGCCATCTCATACAAAGCGCTGAGTTAGTACATCGTTAGCACGATTGCGAAGTGTTATCGATGTTTTCAATGATTCTTTGGCAAAATAAAATGATTATTTTTGCATTAAATGTGTATATTTGTGTGGAATACTGATATACATTAGATGTTATAGTTATTAATATGAAGTTCACAAATGTTATGTTTGTGTTTTTCTAGTCGGTTTTAAAAAGTAGTTTGTCACCTATAGTTGTCATAAAATAAGGCTATTTTATTAATTATTAATGTCATGCCTACTTAATTGATTTATTACATTTGACGACGAGGTCATTCAAAATTTTACAAAAAAAATGGCCGAAACTGAAGATCAGAGAAAGGCAAGATTGTTGGAACAGCAGAGAATGGTTGAGGAACAACAAAGAATTTTAGTAGCTCAACATGCACTTGGATTTCAAAATTGTCAAACTATGAACCAAGAAAATGTAAATGTTCATGCAAATATTGTATCAGTAAAAGAATTTCATGAAGGTGAATATTGGACTATTTATCAGGAGAGAATGGAACAATCTTTCATTGCAAATTACGTTGAGAAAGAAAGAAAAGTTTCTGTATCATTAACTTTGATTGGGTCTTGGAACTTTAAGATTTGAGACAAAATTATAATGTATCAATCAGTACTGGTATGCTCGTATAAAGAATAAAACTGTTGATTGCGAATTTGGTTAGTTATTGGAGAATCATCTTCGTGATAAATTTGTTACAGTATTAAAATCTAGAATTTTAGATTGTATGTGTGAAAAATCATATAAAAAACCCTTGAAATAATCGATTGAAATTGCTCTTAGTAAAGAAGCAGTGTTGGCGACGTAGACATCATTTGGTACGACTGAAATAAATAAAATAAACAAGAGATCATCAACTTTTCAAAATACAGGTTTGTCAGCAAAGAAAAACACTGTTGAAAATAATACAATTACATATCGACATCAAGTACAGAAGATCTGAAAAAACAAATCCAAGTTATAGACATAAATCGTTCAAATATAGGAATTACGATGTCGTAAGACGTTTAAGAATTTTGTTGTGGAGATATCGATTCATTGTTCCTATAAAATTAAGAGGCAAACTGTTAGCTGAATTATACTCAACTATGCTTAATTTCTCAACGAGTACGAGTACAAAGTTTATAATGGATTATTCCAGATGTAGTCAATATTCTTGTACGTGATAAATTCATACAATTGTCGCCATAGTTAGCGCGTTTACGTTAATATTTATTTAAATATAGAAATACCGCTAAAGGCGATGAATTATTAATTAATTTAATTTTAATTTGAATATTCATGAAATTAGTTAAAGAATTAAACGGTAAAGTGAGATAATCCGCAGGTCTGAGGCAATGATTCGATGATATAACACAGGATTAACCTCCGCCAACACATAAGCAGAGAAAAATCGTTCGCGAGATCTTTTTTTATGACCTCAATATCTACAAATATCATTACTATACAGTCATGTTTTCATGTTGCAGTCCTTTGTATAACGATAGATAACTCATTAATTAAAAATCTTCGTTTCTTCATTTTTATGAAAAAATACAAATTTTCAGTCAGTTGAAGGCCACACTGATATAATAAGGATAAGTGATGATAGGTCAAACGTCATATATTAGACATTTTCAATGCTTTCGAAGCTTTTATTTACAAACAGAATACATTTTTGTCCATACGTGTGAAATAATTTGTGCATTTTCTTTTTATATATATTAAAGACTAATGAAAAAAATTGTAGCAATATCAAATAAAAATAAATCAATAGAATGTTAATGACTTTTTTTAGTATTAGTATTATACGAATAAAACATTATAATAGAAAAACTTTGACTTAGTATTTAAATAATATAAAATAGTTTAATTAATCGATTGAATTATATTGAATGACATTGATCGACAATTAATCGTTCTTATGGTCTTACGTAAACATTAATCTGTTTAATGACGTAATAACTGAATCTGTCGATAAAAGTAGGGAAATCACTGCAGTTTCAATTTAATCTCAACTCAAGTAGTTCTAGTCTTGTGAGAAAATATACCTTATAGAAGATGAAGTTCTCGCTGTCTCTTTTAGTCACCTTGACTGTCGTTATAATTTGTAAGCTTTCAAATTTATACATATATTGAGTGATTTTTGTAAAATAATTTTTAATTTTGGATCGCGAAAGTTGAAAAAAATATTTTGAATTCTTGTTGTCACGATAAAAATATGATCGAATTATTAAGTTTAAATTACCATCAGGTTGTCGAGTAAATTTTAATATGCTACTTCATTATATGGTAGAACCAAATTGACTTTGATAATAAGCACACTATTAAAGTTCATCGGTGTACCCCGTATGTAATCGAATGAATTATTATTTACACATTCACTTCAAATAGTATTCATCCTGCGCTTAAATTTTCAGGCAATGCCATGGCAAAGGAATGCACTCAGGAGGCCTGCGACAAAGAATGTCAAGACAAAGGCAAAGAAGCTGGAATTTGCGCATTGACAGGACAGGGCGACGTTTGCCAGTGTGAGGGTTAACTTAATATATATATATCCAACATGATATCGAATAGTGAATTCATTCCGACGTTAATCTATCGTTTTGTTTCTAGGCTCGACCAAGAATAAAGAGTGTACTCAGGCGAGTTGCGACAAGGAATGTAAAGACAAAGGTCGCGATTCTGGAATTTGTGGATTGACCGCCGATGGCGATTTGTGTCAGTGCAAGGAACCGTAACGGAAGTGGACTAAAATATTTGAAACTAAGCACCCAACAAATTAGAGTAGTTCAAACTAAAACAAAATTTATGTTAAATGAAAAGGAATGCTTCCGAAAGATACGCAATTTTATGCATTGAATTTCGTTATTGCAACCATACGAGGCGATTAAATGAGAAGCCGGCGGTCTGTTTTCACGAATGCCGCTGACTTGACGTTAACTCCGACACCCAACTTTGCAATAAATATTTGTACATTTAAAAGAATACTGCTGCAACGAGGAACACGGCATAAATTTAGACGAGGCAAGAAGTGCCGTTAAATACGTTATTATGATTAATCAAAGGCGCGAACGGAAAAGCTCTCTAAAAAGATTTCGTTCGTTGGTCGTTGGGCATCAAAATGACGCTGATTTTTCATGCATCTATGACGTTCAGCGTTCGGATTTTACCGTCAAACTGACTTTCGCTTCTCGCGAAGCATTTCCAATTATTATACGTTATCGGCATTGACAGGCAGATTCTTCAATCGCCATAGCCGACCATCCAAACTTCACTGGCACGGCAAATTGCTGAATTGTCCTATAGGATCGACGCGGCATTCGTGGCTGAAGCGTGCGAGATCATTTACAAGTATAAATGCGACATCCGAGGAGATGAAACATCGCAGTACACTCGCTTCGCTCTGCGGTCGAATGAAGCAAGGCATCGACAAAAAACGACGTCGACTTACATGCACGAGAACGCAATTATAAGTGCATAGCGCGCGTTTTCAACGACGATGAAAGTGATCGTTATCGAAAGATCGAAATGCGACTCGCTTGACAAATCTGAAAGTGAGAAATCCAAGTTTCCTTCTCTTCGAATTCGTTTGAATTTCAAGGGGAATTCCATTGCGCTTTTCCAGTTTATAAATGCACGCATATGAATTATATAAGTCGCGTATCTTGAGTGATTCCGTATGCGAGAGTCACTCGAATCGTTTCCTAACGAATCAGCGCTCGTATTGGATGTGACTTGGTGCCGAGTAACGAAGCGCAACATTTGACTAATGGACAATTTGGGACAGCCAATCACTAGGCCAGCCACGTCGCAGCAACGGCAGAGCGTGTTTCCGAGCGACCTCGGCAAGCAGAGGAGAGCCGATCAGGAGCGAGTCCGTGTTGCGCGGGAATCCGATAGCGAGGAAACGAGCTCGGTCGTCGAAGGATGCAGGCCGAACCGGATACTGCGGAAAGCGCGGCTGCGCGCGCGATTATCTCGCGCGTATAGTCTCGAAAGCTCGCGAGTCCATCGCTGCTGAGCGAGCACAATAGCCCGGCGAGCTGTGGCTACACTCGACACCTATGCGTCGCGAGCGTTTACGTAACGGCGATCGGCCGACTAATCGAACGATCGGGTCCACCGTTGCCAAGGTACGCCACACGAGACGCGGAAGTGCGCGAAGATCGATTCCGTTGGCTCGGGAGTCGGCGGACTCGAATAGGCATCGCGGAGCCCGCGCTGTCCGTCAACCAGCAGGGCGAGAGATCTTGCAAGGGGATAGCGCGACGACGGTTCTGGAGAACTGCGTTTCAATTTTTTCCGCCACGTCATGGTGCGCGTTCGTTGTTTGCGCTTACAAAGGCCACGACGGTCGCTACGCGCGCGATTAGCGCAATCGGCAACGCGACGGCATTGAAATCACAGGACGAAGCTGCTCGAGTACCTCGGCCAAGCAAGAACGAGTAGTGCGGCGTGGCGTTCGTGGATGAAATCCCGTTCGATTCGAGCCTGGCAATCGGCAGAGTCGGCGAAAAGCCGGAGCAAACGACCAAAGCGCGCAAGCGGCTGCCCGTGCTCGTCACTTTTTCTTCCACGAGCGCTGCTGGCAAAAAATCATCCCCGCGAGCGCGGATCCAGCCTTGCGGTTCGCCTCCCGTTGCGGGCAAACGACGAGTCCGCTTTGTCGTTGGCGCGCGCACACCTTTCCACTGTGCGGCTCGCAACCGAGCTGACGCTATATATCGACGAGCGAGGCGCGGAAGGCAAGATGGCGAATATATAAGTGAGACGCGGCCGCACGTAAGACCGTCACTCGCGCTTGAGTTGTTAATAAAGCGTCTAGTAAGGCAATATCCAATTAGTGTGTTTTGCCGTTGCGCTTCGCCTTCCTCCGACTATTCGATCGCAAAATTAAGTTATTGCTACTATAGTTTGTTTGCTAGCGCGAAAGGCTGAACGGCAATATGCCGTGACGAATTGTGTTTTTATTGCCATTGCAATGCTTTGACAACAGTCGTATCGAACAATTCCGAACCAAGTGCCATTTAAAATCAAGTCTCGCACGCTCGAAATTGGCTGATGAATTTGCTTACGGAATCTTAAAAAAGTCACCATGGAGGAAAGTACCAATGCGAATGGGAAAAGTATGTGTTTCGCCGAAGCAATACTCGATACGTTGAGCAATCATCCGGAAACGATTGGAATGGTAAACGTATAAAATTATTATCAAGATTTTCTCGAAACGATAGAACAGATCGGCAGAATCTGTCGGTCGGTCGCGCCCTTAGCTTTCCAATGACGTATCGCCGAAAGCGTCGAAAACGAGCCTGTCCGTCTATTCGCGAGCTGTACATGTCCGCGAAGAGCACGGCGCATCGCCCGAGCCGGCGCAGGAGAAAGGGAGAGAGGAAGAGTTGGTCAGCCCCTTCGTACGGTATAATCGTACGTTGACACCGCCTTCGACTGGAGCGAGGAGTGTCAGCTTACTCGCGGGGGTGACCCTCTTCCTCGCCCCCGCGTCCGTTGGTATTCCCCGTCGCGAGAGGAGCTACAGAGGAGAACGACGGGGTTCGCAGATCGACGCGGAGAGCGGCGCGAAAGTGACGTTCGCCGAGATGAAGGAGCGCAGCGTGCGCTGCGCTCTATGGCTTCTCGGGCTGGGTGTCGGCGAGAGCGACGTGGTCGCTGTCTCGACCCCCCTGCACACGAACGACTACCTGCCCTACCTGGCCACTCTCTACATCAACGCTGTCTTGAATCCGTGGCCGCACGATCCGTCCGACGGTAGGCTCCAAACCAGATTCGCCAATATACGAATCGTACGGTGTACGCGGGGCTCTCGCTTGCAGCGATCGTGGAGCATTTCTTGGACGCGTGCAGACCGAAGGTGATATTCGCCAGCAAGGAGTCGGTGGAGCGGCTGGCCGCCGCGGCTCGACGCCGCGGAGTGTCGTGTCGCTTCGCGCTCATGGACGGCGAGCACGCGGACTACCCGAGCCTGGACGACATCGCGTCGGGACAGGAGTCGGCGGGGGGCCAGGCCGAAGCGGCGAGCGGCTTCAGGTGCCGAGTGCCGTCGGAGCCGCGGAGGAAGGTAAGCGCCATATACCTGTCGTCGGGCACCACCGGGACGCCGAAGGCGATTCTGCTGTCCTACCACTGCCTCGCGAGGCGCTACTCGGAGGAGTACGGCATGGGCGTCGGCATGAATTGCCTCTGGTACGCGTCCCTCCAGCTGAACGTGTGCCGCTCGCTGATATCCAGCGCCATCCTGCTGCGCTGCACGCGCGTCCTGAGTCGCAGCCACGGCCCCGAGGAAACCGGCAGGGTCGTCGAGAGTCACAAGGTACGTGCCGGGCCGACGCGATGCGCGGAGCCAACGAGAGCGTTGCCGTTCGCAGGTGAACTTCGTCTACTGGACGCCGTACTACTTGACCTCGTGCTACCAGGCGCGCGTGCTGGCGCGCCGCGACTTCTCGACGGTGGCGACGATCGCCATCGCGGGTGCCAAGCCGGACGGCGCGCTCCTGGAGGAGTGCCGCAGACTGCTGCCCGGGACGTTCATCAAGAACAGCTACGGTAAGAGCGAGGCCGCGAACGCGCGCGTGCGCCCTGGTCTACAAGAAACGTTCCCGTCCTCGAAGGCATCACGGAGGCGGGGGGCCTGGTCGCGCAGCAGACCGAGGCGCGCAGGAGCCTGGGCTCCGTGGGCTTCGCCTGCAGCGGCGTGGAGCTGAGGGTGGTCGACCCGGACACGGGGCGCGCGCTCGGCGCCAATCGCGAGGGCGAGCTGCACGTCAGGACGGACACCGCGATGCTGGGCTACCTCGGCGCGCCCGACAAGACCAGGGAGACGCTGGACGAGGACGGTGAGCGCCCCCGTCGGCAGCGCGCCGTCGCCTGCTCGGCGCCTCCTGACCCCGCGGCTCGTTCGTCGCAGGCTGGCTGCACACCGGAGACCTCGGCTTCTACGACGAGCGCGGCGAGATAACCGTGACGGCTCGCATCAAGGAGATCATCAGGACGAGGTCGCTGCTGCTGTCGTCCTCCGAGTTCGAGGAGCCGCTGATGCAGCACCCGGCCGTGAGCGAGTGCGCCGTCGTGGCCGTGGACCACCCCGTGGACGTCGAGAGGCCGTTCGCCTTCGTCGTGAGAGCTCGCCACGCGAGGGTCACGGCCGAGGAGCTGATGGAGTTCTCGGCGAGCAGGGACGAGCGCTTCCGGCTGACCGCCGGCCTGGCCTTCGTCGACGAGCTGCCCTACACGGCCAGCGGCAAGAAATGCCTCAGGAAGTTGCAGGAGATGGCCAAAGCGTACGTTCGGCAGTGACGTCCGGCGTCTATCTAGCCGTTGAGGACTGTCGTTCTTGCGCCACGTTCGAAGATCTCGTATTCTCGTCTTTCTCGCGTGCTCGCGGATGCGATCTGGAGTTCGGGTCATGGAATCAATGATACACGACAAAACGCGTTTGCATTTGCCTTTATTTGCGTCGGCGACAGCCGCAGTTATCATTCAGTTTCTAATATTTGTTCTTCGAAGAGCAGCAGTCGCGGAGCGAAGGACCACCCGCCTCGTACGACCAAGCGTACGTCCAAGTGGCACCAAGCGGGGCCACTGGCATCGTTCGCTCGGAATATCAGAGAGAGTAAAAACAAACGGAATTAACCCAGCACGGCTGACGGATGACTAGCTCGGCAGTCCACCTCGGTGCACGTGTCTACTTGGTGTAGCGGAGGTAGCGAAGGGCGCGCGAGTCGGCGATGGGGTGGCAGGCGTAGAGGGCGTCGCCCCGGTAGCCGGCGCGGCAGACGCAGGTGGCGATGTGCTGCTTGGGCTGGCAGTCGGCGTTGTTGCCGCACTCGTGGCCGGTGCAGGGATTGGCGCACGAGTAGTCGATGCAGGCCTTGTCGTGCGGGCAGTCGGCGTTGCCGCTGCACTCGCCGCGCTGGCAGTGGTGCAGCGCGTTGCCGAAGAAGCCGCTCGGGCAGGTGCAGACCGGGCGCTTCCTGCCCGTGCTGTCGTGGCCGGGGTTGCACTCGGCGTTCTGGCCGCAGGGGTTCGGGTGGCAGAGGTCATCTGCGCGAACAGCGAGCAGCGCGGTCAGACGGGCCAGACGTAGCGGCCTCGCGCGAGTCTAGGTCGCGCGCACTCACCGTCGTTGAAGGGTCGGCAGTACTTGAAGGGGTCGCCGGTCATGTCCCGCGGGCAGCTGCACACCGGGGTGAAGCCGCGCAGCTCGCAGTTGGCGTGCACCCCGCAGACGTTCTCCGCCTGGCAGGGGTTCGCGCACTTCTGGTAGTAGCAGGCCGGCTTGGCCGCCGGGCACTCCGAGTGGCTCTGGCACTCCGGGTAGCAGCGGCTCAGCGCGTTGCCCAGCCAGCCCTGCGTCGCGACAGACTCGGGTCATTCGGGGGCCTCGCTCGCGGCGGTGGCGGCTCGCGGCGGCACTACCGACCTCGGGGCAGGTGCAGACGGCGCGGTGCGCCCGCACCTTGCAGTTGGCGCCGCTGCCGCAGGCCGTCTGGCACGGGTCCTCGCAGCGAAAGCCCACGCAGTTGCGGTGCTCGCCGCACTCGTAGTCCGTCTCGCACTCGTGGCGGCAGCCGGCGATCGCCGAGCCCACGAATCCGGGCAGGCAGCTGCAGGTGGGCGTGCCGCCGATCACCTCGCACTTGCTGTTGGCGCCGCAGATGTCGGGCTTCTTGCACGGCGCCTCTGCAATCGCGCGCGTTACTTTCGCCGCTCGGCCTACGGAGACACGCTCAACTCACGTGGGTCGTAGCTGCAGTACTTGAACGGGTCGCCGGTGTGGTCCGACGGGCAGGAGCAGGTGGTGTGGTGGTTCCTAACGCTGCACAGAGCGTTGGTGCCGCAGAGCTGCGAGCAGGGATTCACGCACTTGTTGTTCTGACAGACCTGGTTGTCGTAGCAGTCCTCGTTGACTGCCCGTCGAAAATTAATTATTCTAGCGATCTCCATCTCTGACGTCACTGCGCTCTATTAATACGCTAGGTCGGCCGGCGAAAAAGTGTATATTTTCAAGGCGGATCGCGCCTGAATATCAAAAGAGATCGGCCGCGCGACCTTGCGCTTACCACAGTGACAAGTCCACTTACTCGAACATTCCACTTTCTCGCAGACGCCGAGGGGATCGCCACGGTGAAGATTCAGACATGCGCACACGGGACGGCCGTCCGGTGTCAGGCTGCATCTGGCGTTGATGCCGCAGGTGTGAGTGTCGCAACCTACGTCTGTGAATGTCGGATATTACGCATATAATTAGATCCCTTTTTTTTTGTTTTTTTGCCATTGACCTTCGAACGCGAAGCCCCCTGGACTTGAAAGAATGATGATTTGGAGAAACTTTGTATCGTGAATGATTTGATTTTGACGTAAACGAGTTTTTTTTTCCGTGCGTCATCTACGGGTTTTCGTGTTTCGACAAATAATATCTCGAGAATTGATCGAAGCGTTTGTTTTGCCGTCGCGCGGATGACGAAATATCAAAGATCAGTCTCGAAGTCTGCACGAGACGCGATTCAAGAGCATCACTGCTCGGACGCTACTCGAAATTCGTTCAGGAAATGGAACAACTTTGAACATCGACACTGGCGGCGGAAGCTTGAGCGCGGCGCTCGCCCGTTGTAAAATCAAGACGCGCGTCGAAGAAGGAAGCGGGTCAATGACGAGCTTTACCTACGGCGACGAAGGTACACAGAACCTTCGTGACCACGCTGACACATCGCCACATGATGCCACACGGGTGTTCGCGTAGCAGCGTCTCGCGGCCGACTGGACGAAGCGGAATCGCGGGCGCGTTTTTCTTCCCTCGGCAGTGATATGGGAAAAGCGGCGCGGTTAATCGCTGGCCGCGTGATCGAATCGCGGCCAGAAATTACCGTCACGCCAGGCCAATCGCGATCGGGCGGCGGCGGCGGCGGCGGCGGCAGCGGCGGTGGCGGCGGCAATGAGCAATCAATTTGTCAAACAATAAGCGGATGCACGAGGGATTCGCTGCCGCGCGCCGCTCATTAGTTTCGAAAGAGGCACTTACCTCCGTTGGCGATTCGCGTCTGGTAGTACTGCATCGACGACGACGACGCGACCATCGAGGCTAGCAGCAGAACTGCCGTCTGTGCGAGCTTCATCGTCGTGGCTCTCTTGATTGACACTCTGCGGAAAAAAAAGGACAAGACCGTTCGGACGTTTAGGAGGCTAGCAGGGATGCGGACAGCGATTAGAGACGCGACGCCAAGACATTCCCACGCGAGCGCGCGAAGGACTGCCCGAACGCATTGTCATCGACAGCTTCGATATCTTGGCTGCGCTCATTACCATTGCAAATTAGCGCCGAGCACGAGCGGAAAGCAATTACCTCGAGGAGCAGCGATCGTCCAAGCGCGCCGAATAAATTGGAGGCTGGAGATCGGATAATTACTCACCTTGGGCGCGAAAAGTCGATCGGGGAGCAGCGCGGTCCGCGCGAGACGGGATCGCAGCTCGAACTGGCGATCGGCGCGTTCGGCCCAGCGATGATGTAGGCGAAGTGCGGCTTCGCGCGCGCACGTGGCCACCCCTCCCACGGCGGCTCCGTTTGTTGTCTTTCCTTCGCCGTGAGAGACGCTCTTGCCGACCCACGCGGGACCTCCTCGGATGACAATGGGGTTCGTCGCGAGCGGGTGCAACCTCGTCGCCGGTCATGCAAACGCGCGAAGCAGACCTCTCGGCCAACCGAGATTCGAATTATTCGCGCCTGCACATCGGATCGCCTAGGATTCAAGCGCTTAATTTTAGCGCGTCGATTATCGCGATAAAGCTGTACTCGACGTTTTACGGTGTGCAATCGGCAGCGTTACCCTCGCGTCGAAGCTACCTCGTGGGAAAGCGTTACGGTTTTATTGCTCCCGCTGTTGTGCAACGTGCGCTCGAATCTCGAAACGGGCAGTTTTCGGAAAACGACGATTGCGTTAGACACACTGCGCCGCTGTATAGTTTCAACTAGCTCTGCTCATCGGCACTCAAATTAAAAACTGGAATCGAATCGACAACTGGGACTCGATTGTCGTCTCGAACGACTGATTTCCGTTGAATTGATTAATTGCATTCGACTAAGCGAGTTGCATTGAAATTGTCAAAGCATCGAGACAAACTCAGCTCGACGGGGATGAGTCTCATCGGTAACAATTCGAACTGAGGAATCGGGCTCCTCGGATTTTCACGTCGGACGTACACTCGAAAAAATGAACGTACGGGAATGAAAGCCATTGCGTAGGTAGATTGAAAAAGATGACGCGATCGAGACGTCGCCTGCTGCTCGCGCGTACGTCTTACGAAATGTTCGTCCGAACGTAAATTTCGGCGGGAAATGTAAGTTTCCTTTCGAGCGAGTCGAATCCGAATAGAAAAGAAAGAAAAAAACTGCTTCGTTCGTAAGTCGAAACGTATCCATCGTCGCGTTCGCTCGCGTGAGCGCGCGTCGGTTATGGGCATTGATGAGATCACGAACGTGTATCTCGGATTGCGAAAGACGCGTACGCGACAGCGACCGTTTATTCCATGCGTCTTAAGGTCAGAGTTGAGGCCACCGCGTGTAAATGTCATTCGCGCTTCCATATCGGGCGGAGTACTCCGAGATCGACCGAAACGAGGACGACAATTATTTCCCTGGCGCGATCGCATTCCGCGATGTCGTTTCCTTCTCGGCCGCGCGTCTCTTCCTCGGACCGCTCTTTTGCGTCGCGATGATTTTTTGTAACGTGAATTTCGGAGCGTTCTCGCGGACGCGTATCGATGTAATATCTGACTGCTTGAGAAGGATTACTATTTCGAAACTAATACGATGCTAAAAAAATTTATCGATGGAATATTTCTGCATCTGTCATTATAAAACGGATTTTGTGTTGCATCAAAATTCAGTTTTTGTATAGACTCGTGAAATCATTTGGTCGACCGATTACAAGAAACTTCAACTTTGTTGTAAAAGTATTTGACAGATTTTTAACATAATTTTGAAAAATTACTTATCCAATGTACGAAGCCTAAAATAACATACTGAAATGACAACAAAGTATATGTATTTAGAAATACGGAATTCAAAAGGTTTCTTTTATCAGAATTATAGATTTTAATACTATTGAAATTAAATACCAAGTTATGCAAAAAATAAATAAATAAAACAAAAAAAAAGAGAGGAAAAGCAACGTCACAAGAGTGTTGGGAATGGATAATTAATTTCGCGTTGATCCGAGATCATATCAAAACAATGTAGCCGAACTTAAAGATTCAACAAATCCACATATAGCGACAGCAGCCATGCAAATCCTTATACGCTAGACATATTTTGCATGGCCTTATTCGCACACGCGTCCCTGAAAAATTGCATAATTCATTGCCTATTATTTTTATTTTATTTTTAACCTGGTGATTTGGGGTTTATCATAACAAAAACACGATGGACGACGTTTGGATCCCGTTTGCTTCTATTACTAGATACATTGTGAAACTCCGATAGCGTTTAATGAAGTTATTTCAATTCATGTCAAACTATAAAACTTGGAACTAATCGACTCTATAAACTATGGGTTTTACCGAAACGAAGGCGAATAAAAGCTGAGTATTGAAGAAAATATTCGACAAATGTATATGACGTCACTGATGTTTAAAAAAACCACGAATAAACTCACGAAAACTAAATTATATTTTTCATGACAACAGGAAAGAAAAATTGCAAAGATGGAACAGCTAAGTAAAATGAAATAGATGAGGCCGAGTGAATGGTTTGATGAGTTATTTATTTGATGGCTTAACGTGAAAAAACAGCCGTAACGATGAAAAGTTATATTGTTTTATTATTGGTATTTCAATCTCTTATAACTGCAAAACCTCTAGAAATTTCAGTGACGCATATTGTAGTTGAATTTTTCTTATTACACCAAGGAATACTCGATATTAAAAAAAATAATAATAACAACTTCAAAAAAGCAGTTTTATAGATAATGCAGTACCGTTTACCAATTTAGAGAAGTATCGCAGCCAAGTGATCGCATGTGCTCGTCAGGGCATAATTTACCGCCAAGGATGGGAATTCGTCAAAGAATTTGATTTCTTTAAATTAATTTACTTAAGTGCTTTTTAATACTATATAATATAAAAAAGCATTAATGATAATTTTTTTATAAAATAATAACTTTTACAAAATAAAGATAAAATTAATGTTGTGCAGTAGACAATAGTGCCCATTTTAACAAAACTTTTGTAAAACATACATAAGTGATATTACTATGCTCTTATATACACGGAGAAAAAACTATTTGAATCGCCTGTTTTTCAATTTTATTAAAGCATAACAAACAAAAAATATATATTTATATATATTCTCCAGCATCTCACAAATAAAAACTTAATTGCAAACATCACTGACTTCAAATAAAATAATAATAATATCCGTTACTCACCCGGCAATTTTGTGAACTAAAGAAGAAAAATAAATCATATCTTAGCATGCAAAATAAAAAACGTACAGCTTTTTATCTACATTTACAATTTCACAATTCCAGATTTAATCAGAGAGAGTTCGGTAAAAATATGCAAAAATACAAAAAAATTACACGAGTGTGATGTATATGAAAGACTTGCTTATTTCTAAAGTACGTACAGTTTTCTTGTTTACGTTAATTTATATCTAGCAACACCGCATTTTCTCCGTGTAATATTTAGACACTTTCTTTAAATTCTTTAAAATATCTTATTCCCTAAGTACGATTGACGATGTACGCTATGCCATTACATCTTGCCTCTCTACGAACCTGCGGTAAACAGAGATATCTGTACAAATTGATTTACTGATTTAATTTACTATAATATTTAATGGAATAAATGGCTCGAGTGTCTAGTGTGATATTTGTTTCTCCTTGTTTAACGTCAACAGGTGGAACGAGTTCATTTGGAATTATCAGACAAAGTTACCTCTAAAACATAAAGAAAAAGCATAGTTCTCTAATGCTGATTAGAATGTGTCTGTACATTATTTTGGTTAGCTTTGTTATTGTTTTCAGAAAATTTCAAGAACTCCTCGAAAGCTTCGGCCATCGCATCATCCACGGGGTTGGTTTCCCAAGACTCTTGACTTTTGTAACAAAAAAACAAACATTCTTGTTACTTTCCCATGCATCCACAAATCAAACGTGAAACCAATAATCAGTACTCACACAAGCTCTGATTCTGCCGAACCATCCAGGAACCTACTTTCTTCTTCAGATATGATTTCACCATCAGGACCATAGAATATCGGTTCATTGACCACTACTTGGGAAATGAGTGGTGGCTTAATCTCGACAAGTGGTGTTGGCACATGAGAAGAGATAACGCCCCAGTTACCGCTTCTCAGCTCGCTGACACTGTCAACCATGCGGCCTACGTGCTGGTCTACTCGGCCTTGAATGACTAGATCTGTCAATAAACGCATTACATGCTCCATGTCGCTCTTATTACCGCTGCTGCTGTCTCGTTCTAAAGTTTGGCCTGCCAACTGCAATTCATTAACAATGATTATTAACTGTCGCGATAACTAAATGATCTTTGTGATTCGTTTGGCAATAATCACCTTTAAAGCTTGACAAATGTTTTTGGCTGACGTGGGGGCTGGATTCTGTAGTACAGTGCTTATCAACTGTATGAAAAGTTTTCCAAGCAGTGAGGCGGGCTCAGACTCCATTTGTGTAACCAACTCTGCCAAAAAGAAAATCAAACCGTGACATCTCTTCTCCTCTTCATCTGTTTGTTTACTGTTCTGTCTCCAACTCTCTGATTGTTCTTCAGTCCTTTGTGTACACCTGTAATGAACACATAAAAATGCATTATTAAACATTCTTATCTGCTAGTTACTTTGATGGGCCTCACTTACTGGCTAATGAGAGTATCTCTGAAAACTGATGTACGCTTATTATTGTCAAAAGCCATTGTATCTAGATGAACACAAAGCCTTGCTCCACTGTATCGGAAATTTCCTTCAATTATTGACTGCAAAAATAGATAAAAAATTAATAAATTTATCTCCGATATTATGTATAAACTCTAATGGCACAAATACTTTCAACAATCTTACCTGCTCAAGAATCATATCAAAGATATCGTGACATGGACCAGATTGATCTAAGAATGGACTAATTGTATCAGCCAACTGAGTCAATAATGTGTCAAACTTGCCAGGATTAGCAGTCAGAGTCCTTATGCTATTATCAAGTTGAGCCAAGCAAAGATTAATATCATTGGGCGGATAGTCAGACACATTATGAAAGTATCCAACAGAATCACTATTGTAATCGTCGTAATCTACTGGATACTCGTACTGTTGATACTGATAAGCAACTTCTGGGTATTGCTGGTAAGCTTGAGGATAGATTGGCTGCTGTACTGCGTAGGTAGCTGAATAAGGCTGTCCATGCTGTCGCTGTAACATTACTTGCTGCACATTTGGTGCTTGCCTGGCAATATTTAAACGATCCTGAACTGAACTCCTCTGAGGTGCTGGAGTTGGAGCTGGAGTTGGAACTGGGGTTGGAACTGGGGCTGGAACTGGAGTTAGAACTGGGGCTGCACCTGGGACTACACCTGGAGCTACACCTGGAGCTGCACCTGGGGTTGGAGCCTGTTGGGGTTGAGGTGCCGGCTGAATAACAATTACAACAATCGTAAGTAGGAAGAAGCTTAATTTAATTAATCGAACGTGAGCAGCGAATAAAAACTTTACCGGGGTGAAGAATTTGGGAACGAACTCGGCAGCATCGACGGATAGCATTGAATTTTTCACGATGTCACTGACGCCACCTACGATAGCACAATAAACAATGAGTGAGATCGAGCGAGAACAGGAGAAAAAAAGAGGAATCAATCTCCACATATAAACGCGGTATCCATTGCATGTGTATTTACCAGCACCCTGGTGTGGTCTCCTCAATGGCTCCTGGTCGCTATTACCACGACCACGACCACGTCCTTTACCTGGCAGTCTCTCGTTGGACGCTGCTGCTGCTGTCACGACATCGCCGACACCACCTCCTGCTGCTGCCGTTCCGGCTGCCTCGGAATTCTCCATTATTATATTATGCGTGCGTGCCTCGTCGTCGCGAAACGTGCGTGATGCAGAAAGGTTAGGCGGGTAGCGCTTTGCCGCTTCTCGACATAAAGTCGAGAGAGCTTGCTCTGCGGCAAATCAAAAAGATTTTCCGTTTCTTTCGGAGTCCGCTTGACCGAAGCTGTGTTTCGCAATGCCGCGCACGAGGCTCGAGAAATTAATCGGGCCTCAACGTATGTACAAAAGTAAACGTTTGTGCGTTTGGCTAATACTTACAACCAGCGAACTCAACGACAGCACGTACACTTGCGCACGTTCCTCTCTCTCTCTCTCTCTCTCTCTCTCTCTCTCTCTCTCTCTCTCTCTCTCTCTCTCTCTCTCTCTCTCTCTCTCTCTCTCTCCGGTTAACTCGCTGTAAAGTTTACGGATCGCCAATACTACGTCAGAATCTATTGACGCTGCGTGGTGTATGTGTGTGCATGTGTGTATGCGTGTGTATGGTGTGTTCGACACATCACACCGCATACGGAAACACAGTGCTGACATCGAGCGAGCGGATGTCGAAGACAGCGGCGCGAATCTCGCGACTAAACAATGAATTATTCCCACGATGAGCTTTGCTGCCGCTGACTGCTTCGTCGAAATCGGTGAAAACTCGACGAGAAAGCGGCAATGTTGTATTCTTTTTCAGCGCGCCGCGCGAAAAGTACGACATTGCCGCGCGCTCGATGAAAACACACGCCTTTAAATTCGTGCTTTCCGCAAGTTGTTTTGAAAAATATCGTAGCTATATAACGCGTTCGGGAAAGAGATACTCGGCTTGTGTACCTTTTCAGCCTCGCTTCGCTTGGGCGTAAACGCCACACGAGACAACAATTTACTTTCCCGCACTTTTATTGCATCGTACTATTTCAATACGACGGTTGAAATGTATAATTTTCAAAGCTCTTTTTTCGCCAAGCGTACGAAAATTTAGACTTTTTAACGTTAAATAATCGATAGTGAACGGAACAGCCGATGGAGGAGGCAATTTAGATTTTGCTTAGAGGTTTCGAAGCGGCGTGATTAAAGAAAGGTAATGCTCAAAAACCTTTGAAAATGTACACGCTAACGAGCAACAATTACTAAACAATACTAATTTCGACTGACGTGCTCGAGTGGTAACCATAAATATTTTTTAAATGACATTTTCACGCTATCCCATTGTCAGTACAGTGGCATTGAACGTAACTGTTTAGGGTCGAATTTCGCCCAAAGCGCGGTATTTTATGCTGCACCTCCATAAATCAATATACCATAATGATCTTTAGTTCCATCAGTTGGGATCCATCAGCTTTGGCTCAAGAAAAATACTGTCCTGTATAGAGAGGGGCGGGGGGGCAGAGGGGAAGTTGGCGCGGCGAAAATAATCCAAGTGCATAATTCGAGGCAGCTTTGACGGGCGCGAAGCGCAGTACGCGTTGAAGTCCTCCGCGCTCGAAGCTACAGATCGCGGGTAGTACGCGTACGGAAGATCGGATGAGGGGCCAGCGCGTCGTCAAGCAGCTAGGCGAGTTTGGCAAAGAGCATACCCGCGGAGAGGTAATCAGTCTGAACTCCGAGGACCGCTTGGAGTGCATAAAATTGAAGAAGTGGCAATTAGGAAAGTTGAGCGTTCCGAGGGCCTCCCCTCGAGCTCGTCAAGAAGCGCAAGTAATCGGTAAACTGTCGCAAATTTCCCTAAGAATCCCGCCTCCGAGTAGTCAATCCAACAACGCTTCGGAGGAAAAACCCGCGAGTATAAAAGGTTGGCAGCACAGGTTACTCGGTCTTCAGTAGAATCGGTGGCAGTCGTTGGCGAGTCTCGGCTAGGTACGCAAACTGACGGTGTCCAGTGCAACTCGAGCAACGATGCCGGATCCATACCAGGTGCAGCTCGAGGAGCAGATATATCCGCAGTTGGAAGAGAAGTCTAGAAACATAACGAATTCAGTCGAAGAGTTGCGCCATAATGTGAGACGATTAAAAATGCTGACGAAGTTGTCCACTATGTGTCTAAGATCCAAGATAAACATGTGCGATCAGCTGTTGATGAACGCGAAAGAGCACGAGCTCATGTGCATCAGTGTCGAGAATTGGTACAAGCAGGAGCAAAAGAAGATAGAGCAGGCATGGAAGGAGGAATATGAGAAGGAGGAGGAGAAATATGAAAAGGAGGAGGAGGAATATGAGAAGAGCGAGGAGGAAGATGAGGAGAGCGAAGAGGAAGATGAGGAGAGCGAAGAGGAAGATGACGAGAGCGAAGAAGATGACGAGAACGAAGAAGATGACGAGAGCGAAGAGGAAAATGACGAGAGCGAAGAGGAAAATGACGAGAGCAAAGAGGAAGATGACGAGAGCAAAGAGGAATATGAGGAGAGCGAAGAGGAAGATGAGGAGAGCGAAGAGAAATATGAGAAGAAGGACCAGCAGCAGCAGCAGCAGCAGCAAGAGGCGAAACAGCAGTCGCAGAAGCAACAGTCGCAGCCGCCGCAGTGGCCTCACCAGCTGGACATAAATTATGCACAGAATCTCATGCAGCGCGTCACCAAGGAAATCACGCTCTACCGCGAGGCCATGGTTGACTGGAACCCGCCCATCTTCCACAACTTGCCCAACGCGAGGTATGTTCATCGCGCATCGCAAGACACGAACTGGCTTGCTCTTACCGACTCTTCTTATTGTCGTTTTCAGCGAGAGGTCGAACAACTGTCCGCTTGTAGACTGGGCTCTCAAATACTCGATGTCGCGCCTAACGATGATGTTGGAAATGTCTGAGTCGGAAAAGACGCCGTCGTTCTATGATGAGTTGAAGCTCCACCAGATGCGAGTCCAAAACTTAGATATCGACGGCATACGCAGTCAATGCTTGATGAATCGGGTCATCAAGGAATTGAATCATCTGGAGATGTAATTCGCGAGTATACTCTTCGCCAATATAAATCATATAACGAGTATGATTTTATTGCGAATTCACCTTCGTGCGGAAACCGATAAATGCGATCATTTCAGAATTTCTGATTGATTTGAGTAATATTTGATGATAATATTTTACATTAAAAATTAATCACTGTGTTTGTCAATTGTATTATGAATAAATGTATAATTGACAAGTGTTTATATAATTAGAAATGAATACTGTAGAATTCATGAGTAATCCAGTATTCTTTTAACGTTCTTATGTTCTTATGTTCAGTTAATAACAATCAATCAATGAGCAAATTAAATTAAGAGATTAAAATAAAAATACTAATTAAATGAAGTGAAAGAGTTATTTATAAAAATTCATTCTTGTGTCAAGATAACAGTAAATTCGATCCTACTAAGTAACAATCTTATTACAAGAGAAAAATTTTTTTGGTACTATTTTGAAAGTATAATCCTCTTAAGCCAAGAGAAAACCTGTTGCTACAAAAGAAATTTTTTTTAGTGTGATATTCATTCGTAAAAATTAAATATTAAAGGGCCAGACAATGTGGAAACTATCGATTTCAGACGGCCAACTTTTGTGTATTTTAAAAATTTATTTTTGTACACCTTAGCCTTGTCTTTCCTAATTCTTGAAAATAATTAAAACCTTCGACCAGAAATTACGTTCAAAGTCAAAGTAATATTCTGTGAGTGTTTAGTTTAGAGAATATTCTGTGACTTAAAGAGACATTCGGTGCTAAGAAAATTCGTTGGAAATATTCCTACAAAATAATAGGGACACCGCGTTGTAAGCAATAACATTTCTGTTGCGAGCGTCGGTTTCAAATGACCTTCCGTTGCGCGGTCAGGTAGAAAATACATTTCTAATTCCATTATAATAGTTATTCAGCTTCTGCTGTTACGCTATCCTGCTTGGACAAAATATCTCTTACTCCTCGCTACTCTCCCACTAAAGACTCTTTCCTCCTCTCTACTTGGGTAGACGTTTCACTGTTGGCTGCTAGGAACACCACCGCACCGACCATTCAATCCAAAATTTTATTTTAAATGTTTACAGAACAATTCTGACATTTTCAAATTGACATGAATTCTGACACATAACTATATCATTACGCAGACATCCGTGCGCAGGCTAGTTCCATAGGTATTTATAAGCGCGTATTTTGAAAACAAAATTTAAGAAGTGTAAGAAATACGCAAATTAATTAATATACATAGATTTTAAACTCAGTAATCTTTATATAAAATCAATATTACAAAACATTACTTATTTTAGATTTTCATTTATCAATTTATTTACTTGTTTCTCACAATTGTTTTTCATATACGCGCCTCCTATAAATCCCTATATAGAACTAGCCTGCTCGCGGATGGTTGGGCTGTAGTCTTAAGTCTAGTCATGTGTCAGAATGGATGTCATAGCCTGACAGCTATAGTGTCAGAACACTCCTGTATACACCCTAAGGCTTCAGTCTTTCTTTTATTTAGTTTTGAGCCATCTTTCTGATCTTGTTGCTCTTACCTAATTTCTGTTAGAATAAGAAGGTGCTGTTATAACGCGAAGCAGGGAAAAAACAGTTAAGATCTGTAACTAAAGTTTAAGTGCATTTTACACAATGATTATTCCTGTCCGCTGTTTCACGTGTGGCAAAGTCATCGGCAACAAATGGGAGGCGTATCTTGGCTTGCTCCAAGCTGAATACACGGAAGGGTAACCTAACCTTCTCGATTATCTGTATTTGTTTTCAATTACCTTTTTGTTAATGATTTGCAATTTTCTATGTGTGTAGAGTCAATCAAGACTTTGTGCAATAATTAATAGCTCTTGAAAAATATTGCATGCCATGTCATAATAGCTCATAATAACTACATGCTAGAATAGTTCATGATTTCATGCATGTGCACTGATATTTTTTTGTCTTACAAGTGCATTTTCCAATTTCAGTGATGCTCTGGATTCTCTTGGACTTAAGAGATATTGTTGCAGAAGAATGCTTCTTGGTCATGTAGATCTCATTGAAAAACTATTAAATTACGCACCATTAGAAAAGTGAATTTTTTTTATTGAAACTTCTGCACATGGTTTTGAAGTATCAAATAGTTTTGTTTAATATCATCACAAAAAACTTTTCAGTGATAGCAAAGATTTAAGATAAAAATGTGCATATAAAAAATTTATTTAAGATGAATAACCATGATAATTATAAACAGTTGTATACTCTAAGTTTTAAATCATTTACTTTGACATTTTATCATAAATAAATAATTTTTCATTATTATGATAAAAAGAGTATTCAGTTATTTATTTATAAGAAAAATGAAGAGAGCATCGATACAAAATAAGGGAGATATATCCAATACGAACTTTTAATTTGTATAAAAAATCTTTACTTTCAAACTAGACAATTTTTTAAAACATATTTACAAAAAATATTTTGTGTATATATAAAAAAGTTCATTAAAATTTAGCACCTAGGCAACTTTCATTTTTTCACATTATACTTTCGAACCGTCCGGCGTAGTAATGAACTCTTTAATTATATCACGGACGGCACTTTCTGAACCAAATACTAATGCCAACATAGCTATGACACAGATGATAACATTTTTAACCATAACCCAGTTGTACGCTCCAAATCCAACGTCCCAGTAAGTAACAGTCTCTATGAAGGCAGGAATAAGAAGACCCAATATCGAAAAGCAAAATGCACCAATCAGTCCGATAAATGGACTAATAGTTGGACAAGCTATGGCCAGCAAAACTGTAAAAAGTATTTTATGTTAGCTCTTAAAATAAATTATTTATTAACATAAAAATACTTCAAATAACTTAAATAGATCCACAGGTTCACATCAAAATTAACAAGTGAAACTCAAAATTAATTATAATAAGAAACAGTATGAGACAAACATACCTGCCCCAGTAACCAGAACAGTTCTCATAACATAATTGGCAAGAAGTGGGCTTTTGGTGAAGTAACCTTTGATAGAATCCCAGCCAATTTCAAGGCACACGTAAAATTGCAAGCCAAACGTGCAGTAAACTGCTAGACCAATAGAAATCTGTACAACTTGTGCAGCACTGCAATTAAAATGACCATAGTTAAGTTTCTACATGTTATACAACGAGATTGGATTAATGTCAACTTACATTTCTGCAGTAGGTAAATTCAAAGTAATACTGCCTTCTACCGCATCGCCGTAACAAGCATATCCTAAAAAGCCAAGGATAATGTAAACAAATGTCACGCCTGACATTCCCTTGCTGAGCACTCCACAAATTCCAGTAAAATGCTGGGGCGTTTTCATACTATTTTCCAGTGGCATTACAACCCCTGTAAAACCACATTTGAATGAATCTTTCCAGCAATTGAAAATTTACGAAAATGAAGATAACGAATGTTCTTACCGATAGCTTCCATGGCGAAAATAGTAATACTGAAGAAATTGGGAAACGCTGCTATAGCACCACTCGCAGGAGTTTTCTCGAAGCTGATTCCATCTTGCAGTCCCATGATCAGGTAGTAAAACGTGATTCCCAGGCCGGCGCTCATTAAAAAGTTGGCGATCATGGAAACAGGCGCGAGGTACTTGAGATCGGGAACCCAGCTCAATAATATCATTGGTATGAGCAATGCGAGTATCATGAACCTGATATCCACTTGATAATCCGAATGGTAAACATCGTCAAGATAGTAATTTATCACTTTATTGAAGTTCTTCGCTGTGATTACTGCGTACACGCTGCATGTGCCGAAGTAAGTTACGAACAAACTTATCAGGATCAAGTACCTACGGGAAGAGACAAGGTAGTTGCAAGAATAATTCTGTCCTCCGTGTCGATTATTCGATAGAACGTCAATTACTTCGAGGGTACGGCGAAACCGCGCGCCCACTTGGGCCCAGTGGCGAATGCGGCTTCGGACACCTCTGCAAAGCTCATCTGCGTTCTCCTCGTCTTGTAGTAAAGGACGTGTGCGCATTTGACCTGTGACCGAGCAGAATGGCGCCAATCAAATCAAGCCACTAACCGGTTGCCGAACTTTTCTTAATAACGTCGATACTCACCAAAATGTAGGCGCAGTGTGTGCAGACAAACGCGACGAGCACCGTCGCGAAGATCCCCACAACTAGACCGGCACTCTTGAAGGCGTCGGGCATTGCCAGGATGCCCGTTCCGAGCGACGCTTTCAGCAGATGGGTAAGCGTGTCGCAATCCCTGCGCAAGCAACAACAAAACAACGGAGTTGAACAGCAATCGGTGTTTCGACTCGTCGAGAAAAGAAGCGGGTGAGTAACTTACGTGGTAGGATTGGGCACTTTACGTTCCAAGAATGGATCAAAACCTTTGCCATCGCGCTGTGCCGCCGCGCTCTCCACGTCTCGACTTGCCACCTGCACTTGGTACCTGTAAAGCAAAAAAGCGAAGAGTTAAGCCAATCCTTCGGGCTTGGATATCGAATAATCGTCGTACTCGGCGACGTTTCGATGCACTTGCTTAGCCATAGCGTTCGAGACTGGCGGTCGAGCGAGCGACAACGGGCATTGCTTTTTCTCGAGGCTGAAAGTCCAGTAAACGAGCGCGCGCGTTTTGTCCAGTTATGCGGGAAAGCGTGACGCACGGCGCGGGCGGCCCGATCGAACGCGACAGACCACTGCGCGCCTTTTAAATCCCCCCCCCCCCCCCCCCCCCACCCCCGGAACTTCTCTTGCCGGCGCGAAAATATTGTCCTCGTCGCGAATTCGCGAATTGACAAAACTCGAGCGCGCGCTTTTGCAACGCGCGGAACCGAGCGGGGCCCCGTTGCGAAACGCTCGCCTCGCTGTGCGCAGTTATCGTTGCAACAGTCAAAAGTTCAAAGATCAGAGTCGTCGCTCGGAGACGCCACTCCAATCCCGTTTCCCTAAACAGACGGATTGGCAAACATCATTATTGCCGACGCGAGATTTGTTTGTCGGGAAAAATTTATTTCTTCGTTCGGCGCGTGTCGCGCCAAAATACGCCGCGACGAGGCGCGTGCGTTGGTGCGCACAGCGCGGCCCGACTGTTGAACGAGTCGAGGGCGCTGCGCGCAGGAGTACTACTCGGCGCGCTTGCTACGGACGCAAATCGCCCGGTCGAACGTCGAAATACGGATCGCGGCGAGTGAGTAAAGTCAAGATACTTGGCTTGTCGTGGCGTGCGCCACGTCCGGCTTGCAATTGCTCGCGCGGAATCCGAGCGACAATGGAATATAAGCTCTACTTCGTAAATAGCGCGACGCCAATGACTCGATCGGAACACTCACTTGGCTGCGAGACCATCCTTCTGGTTGGATCCGTCGTGCGGCAGGAAGGTATCTAGCTCCGTTGGATGCGTCTTGTGATTGTTGTCTTCGACCTGCAGAAACGAGCGTCAAAGTCACTGATCGTCCAATATTAGCCTTCGTGGCGTATTAAGCGAAACTCACCATTGTTACCGCCGTGTCTCGCGTCTCTTTGTACTTTCAATTATCGACGTGCGAGCTGCGAACGAAGGAAGCGCTTTGTTAATAATCGATAGATACGCCCAAGGGTGGAAGGAGCGGAGGAGTCAAATCGATAAAAGCGCCGCGCGACCCACATCCCACGCCTGCACGTACGGCGTGCGCCTGCATCGTTGCTCGTGAAAATTGCACGCGCTCGCGAACCCCTTGATCCACATTACAGTTCCCGCGAGCGGTGTCGGGCCCGAAATCGATGCCTGACCGATCGACCCGACGATCGCTCGCCTGCTGCGAACGCGACTCGGCTGCACTTTGAGGCTCGTCGACGCGACGGCGCGGGGGAAAATTTCCGCGTACGCCGATAACGGCGAAGCGCGTGGTCGCCGCAGAGACCGCGCTTTATACATATATATCTAGCAGAAAGAGAAGCGTCTGACCGGCGGGTATCGTTGCGGCCCCGTGGTGTTCGTCGTTCGAGGAAAACGCTCTCGGTGCGCTCGGCTCTCCTCGAGGCAAAGATTGCGTAACGCGCGTGGCTCCGAAGTGCAACGCACTGCGAGCACATCCGTCCCGTTGAAACGCTTCCGCGAGCACGATCGAACGAGGCTGCAAGATTCACGCGGCTCTGGTCGGCACCGCACGATTCGGCACACGCTTGGACTGTCGTCGACAATGGTTGCCGGACGTTTATCTTATCTCATTTGTTATTGTGCGCCGTCTTCGATCTTTTGAAATAATTGTGAATCGCGCCATTTTTTTCGTCTCGAATGCGCTCAATTGTGCAACCTCGATAAAGTGCCGCGAACAGAATCGTCGGCTCGAGCAAGAATAATAATAGCTCGCGCAGCTTCGCAAAAGCGTCGACGAGATAGCTATGGACTCCTTTCTTCGCTCGATCCGACGTGAACTTTGCCGAGCGATTCCGCGATCTTTGCGTTTGCAGCTTATCGCGACGCTATGGGCTTCGCACGATCGCTCAATTCAATCGGTTCGCTCGGTGCAATTATGCAATTATTAGCGCGTGCGCGGGAAGAAAAAGGAGCTGCAAGCATTGAAAGGGACGACGCGTCGTCAATTGAGCGTTCAGAGTAGTGCTAACTGCTGACTTTACGCTGATACCGTGTCGAGAGACGCGTAGCAAAAAACCTCCTGTTCGGTATTGTTCGCAAACGGCAATTCCAAATGCGCTTGACAGATACGAGATCGATCGCGTTGGGTGGCGTTTTATCGAGAGATCACGATAGAAGCCGAGCATTCAATAATAAAACTACGTTAAGTTCCGAGCACTTTACCGAATCCAATCACCGAGCGGCAAAGTGAATTAGTACACGCTTTCCGCAAACTCGAGTTGCCTTCGTGACCGTCGCAATCAGCTCGCGTGCGAGCATCGTCTACATTTAGCGAGTTCCCCACGTTATCATCTCGACGTAGCTTCCTTGAATAAGGAAGAACTGGCCGGTGATTGTTATAGTTTTACGAACTACAAGGCCTTTGGCGAGTCGCGTTTCTATTGTGTGCGAGCGCGCTTGGATTCGATTAGTCAGCTAACCGAAAAGAAACGCTCTTGACCTGCGCTTGGCGTCATCGGCGACACCTCGCACGTCGTTCGTGAACTTTGCTCGATTCTCCGTTCACTTTTCTGATTCAACTAATACTATCTACTTGCCACCCCCGTGAGCGAGTCTAAAGGAGAGAGAGAGAGAGAGAGAAAGAGAGAAAGAGAGAGAGAGATAAGCATCTGTTGCGTAGGTCTTTGCGTCTCTTACGTCACGTCATTCTCTCTCGTGCTCTCTCTCTCTCTCTTTCTCTTCAAGAGTAACGGTCGGAAGCGCGAATCACACGCTGTGACGGCAAACTTTCAATCGAGCCTTCAATTACGCCCGTCCACGGCTACAACTCGATATGCATCGCCCTCGTTATCGGCACATTTCTCATTTTGTCGCCGACCTTTTATCAGCGATCACGGCGAACCAAAACAAGATACAATCGAGCGTTCGCGCTTGACATTGCCATGTCCACGCGCCAATTTCTCGCGCATTACGCTAATGTCAGGTCGTCGTCGTGCGCGCGACGCTCGCAATTTTCGCGACTGACCGGGTTAGCGCGCGAGCCTCCGAGCTCACTTCCACGAGAGGTATATCCGCGGCGCACAAAGCGTTCGCGAGCCGGCGAATAAATATTATCACCGCGGCAGTTTACAGCATCGTTAGCGACTTGTGTGCCAGCGCGAACAAAAGGTGTACAGCGGCGCAACGTTTGTCAATACACGCGTCGCGGTAATCCGCGAAGGCGTCGACGAGTTTGCGTCGCTCGCGTCGTAAATCACGCGTGAAGCGGCCACCGTTCCCGTCGCGGAACGACGCGCCTCGCTTCTTCGCGCTCACGCTGATCGACGATTTCCATTAGAGCACATCGGCGCGGCCCGTTGATCAATGCCGTTTCGTCGGGCACTCGTCGAATACAGCGCCTCGTCGGTGCATCGTTCGAGCGGTGAGAATTCCAAGCACGCTCGACCCTCTTCTAAGAAGCACGAATAAATTACACCGGAGAGGCCCGTCGACGAGAGAACGCCGATTGTTCCTGTGGAAAAACCAGTTCGAAAAAAGCTCCGGCAGTCGCGCCACCCGAAGCCAATTAGCATACGGAAGGAGCAGAAAGCTATAAGACCTTCGTCCGTCCCGAATAAAGGGCGTTCGCTCTTGCTATCGATCCTCCTTCCGCACACGCACGGAATACCATAGTTACATCATAGCCCCGAGCGTCGGCATCTCGCGGGAAACCCACGTGCTTCGCGCGCGGCCGCTTCGCTCGCGCCCACGTGCGGACGCTCGCGACTGCTCAATTTTTTTCTCTCATATTTTCCCCTTTTTCCGCTCGCCCGATGGAGAGGTGGACGACCATCTCGAACGCGCGTTAAAAATACGCGGCCGACTTTTCAAATATAGCGCACGAGGCGCGCTGCAACGGCGCGCCGCACGTTGGGCGGCTCTTTTTTTTTTTTTTTTTTTTTTTTTCGGGCTGACGCAACACGGCCCGCACGGATCGTCAATGAACTCGCCGGCCGCGATTGTTCATCGATCGCCGAAGCTACCGTTGCTACGAACTCACCTTGCTCTGCGACAAGCCGTGGCGGACGCTCGCAGCGCGAAGCTGACAAAAAAATTTTTAAAAAATCGCTGAAACGTGTGCCTCGGGTCAGCGCTGTCTCATTATCGTGCACAGTCCGACAAGGCAGAGAGCGAGAGAGAGAGAGAGAGAGAGAGAGAGAGAGAGAGAGAGAGAGACTGATCGGACACGCGCACCAGGTACGTACACCCGCGACTGTATGCTCCGCTGCTCGGCTCGGCATAGACTGAGAATGAGCCGTGAGCGTGTCGTCGGAAATGTGCCGCGGCGCCATGCTCTTCCTCCCCGCCGCCCAGACGGACGAGTTTCTCCCTACCCCCCGCCCCTCTCGCTGGCCCGAATATACATCAGTAGAAGAGTTCCCTCTCTTCGGAGCTTTGCGGTGCAAGGGGAACTGATGTATCCTTGTAATATACTTTTTACGTCTAGACACACTCGTGCCGAATTCTCTGGCTCGTTATTTTCTTTCATCATCCTGCACTAACGGCTTTATCTACGCGCGAATGCTTGTTGATGTGCTCGGAAAAAAACTGGAAATTTATCGCAAAGTCAGGCGCGATCGGGCTGATGAAAAATTCACGCGTTACCGTGTCGTCATCACGTAGACGCATCGGAGTACTCGTTGAAGACCGATAACGGAATTTCCGGTAGAACTCGACACCGAAACACGACGCAGTTTTAAGGGCAGCGCTGCATAAAGCGCATACGATTGCGTTAATTCGAACGCACGCGATTCGTAGGCATTGACAGACGTCACTATAGAGGCTTGATTATTTCACTAGTGCCAACGTTTATCACAAAAGCACTATACTTTTAAACCGCAGCAAAATAATGAAAAACCCACCTTGATAATCGTCAGTCTCTCAATTGATACTGTAAAAATTTTGTTCGCTAATGATTTCTACTTCATTTACAATTTTGAAGTGCTGCTGACGTGAGAAGTTTTTCTCTGATCATCTTCATTAATTAATTTTATGTTTTTTTTTTTGCAAAGTAAAATTTCAGTTACGAAATCTATTATACGTCATGTTTAAAGTACAGTATTTTTATTGTAAACGTTGGCACTAGTGAAAATAATCAAGCATTTCTACAATTTCTGATGATGTCTGTCAATTACTACGATTCGTACGCGTGCGAACGCAAGCCCATGCGCTTATGTAGCGCTACTCTGCGGAAGATTTACATCGACTGAACAGCACGTGCTGCCTGAAATAGATGCACACGGGTACCCGCAATTCTCGGGTATCCTGATGCTATTCCAGACGTCGCGCTCAGACGTACACGCGCGAGACTGAAATCGGATCGGTAGCGGTTGATGCAAGGCAATCGCGAGATCGGACGATAGGTTAATTTTTGTTTGTTTTTCGTACTTGGATCACGTGATAAGACTATATTCAAGCGATGATTAAAAGAATCTTGTATCATTTCATAATGATTCACTTATATCAATGACATAATCTATTATACTTATTTAGGAAACGCATAGTGCTACTTGATACTCTGTCGAAAGCCAATTGATCTGTCGCAAACGACAATGTAAGACACCGTGCATTCGCAAGTGGATGTACGCACAGAGTTGGACGAACTCGTTCTTTCCATTTCGCAATCCGCGACGGGCCGCGTAACACACCTGGCAGAAGGAGGCGAAATTGACGTGATCGCGATGAAGCGCGACGAGACAGCCGAGATTCGGCCCAACGTTTTGGGAACAATTGTCGCGCGCCAAGTTCAATGCCGACCTCTCGAAAAGAGAGAGACAGAGAGACAGAGAGACGAAAGCTACGGAATCCCCCCGACAAGAGAACGCCGGCGCTGAAAATAGCGCCGAAATCGCGGCTCGCACGCGTGCATCCCGTCGTGCCGGCACGTTTTGGCGAGCCACGGTTTGGTGAGGATCGATCGACGAACCGCGACACGCGCTCTCCACGTACAGCGGCGATAGGTGGGCGCTCTCACGCGACCGTGGCGCTCCCGTGGATTTTCGACGTGACGGATTTCCTCGAGAGAAGGAGAGAGAGAGAGAGAGAGAGAGCTGCGCGACTTCTATTTTCGGCGTCGCGGTCTATCTCCCGTCCTTCGCTTAGCTTATCGCCGTCGCCGACATTAGCCACGGACACTTTTATCAGACATTCCTACTCTTCGCTTCAGATGCGTGACGTCCGACCGAAATGGTAGCGGGCAGAAAGTGACGAGGGGGAAAAAGTTATTTGACGATGCTACACCTTCCGAGCGGCTCACAATCTTGCTTAAGCTTTTAGTGGATTTTTCGGACAATAGAGATATGGTTTCCCTTTAGCATTCTTACCTGGAAAAAACCACTTAAGGAAAGAAAAAGTTGCTCGTCAACATAATGAACGCGAGTATCTTCGTCGATCGCACGCTGCGCCGATCAACCGATGAGGCACGCTGTAATTTACTCACGTATACGCGTGTACACAGTTGCACAATGTTTACCGTGCGCGTGGTTTTTATCTCGCGTTCGTGTACGCAAGGTGACTTTTTACCTTTTTCCTATGATCTCTCTCTCTCTCTCTTCTCTCCCCCTCTACATATATATGTAAAAAAAACGGTTACTTTAGCTTTCGAGCTTTACTTTTTTTCTCTTTATCGCAACGAAAGTGTCAATGTCTCTTCGAGAGGGAAATACGCACTTGAACTCGATCAATTTTGCGAGAAAAAAAATCGAGGGACAGATTGCTTTGACCTGAATATCTTATCAACGAGCTCTATAACGAAATAATTAAATTCTTGCCTCGAGAGCGACAAAGTGCGTACACCTACTCGGCAAGCTAAGCTTTTTTTTTTTTTTTTTCAAACGTTGATTGCGTAAGATCGAAAGGTAATCGAGGAGCGTCGGAGTTGGTAATATCTTCACGTGTAGGCACTCGAAGCACGTGACACGCTGGCACAAGTAGGCGACCAAGCATAACAATCGCCGATTATCAACGCTGCCGCGCAAACGAGCACTTTTTATCGATATTATTTTTAGGCTCGAGGCTACTTAATTTTAAATGTGACTCGTTATTGTATTTCGAAGTTTACATCGTAATGTGACAAAAGAGCATGCACAGCTACGTTAATGCTTCAGCGATAATCTTGTCTGCTAATCGATTTTACGATTACACTGAGTTCTTAATATGTTTTAGGTGCCATTAGTCGATAGGTATTTCGATACGGAAATTTCATGTTTAACGACACGCTTATGATGAAATGTATTTTGGTGACATTCTGTAAATTGTTAGGAAAATGTTGCTTAATGTTTTCGGGCCATTTTTGTTATTACTACAACAGAATTTAGTGACTCACGCTATTCAATATAAATCTTGGGGGTTTTTCGAACGATACGGATAATTGAATAATATTACCCTTCATTAAGTATAAGAATAAGAATCACGTTTCGAGATAGAAACAAATGTTCCCATTAATCATTCAACCTATTTGTATATTTGCTGGAGTTCACTTTCAGCGAAAAGTTTCGTCGAACGCCATTTCACTCTTTTATTACTGAAAAATCTATATTTATAGAATTTTTGAAAGATTACAAAAGCCACGTTCAAATAAGAATCTCTTGCCACATTTTAACGATCACTCGCATTACGAGGAATCTGGTCAATCTTGTCTCATTAACTAAACGTTTTGATTCCGGGTTTGTCACTTGGATTGAAAGGTACACGATAAAGATAAGAGGAGTCAGCGAGTCGCACGGGACGATCATCGATAGCAATTGACTTGATTGTCATCAAGTGGACAACAATTAATAATTCAGACGATTTAAGAAGGCCCCCGGGAACGCGTGAGAAAAAAATACACCCAAGTCACGTTCCATTCAAGTGTACTAGCTTAATTTGGCTGTCCGCGTCTCAGTGACATAATATAAAAAGATAAAAGAACGAGTTTTATTTTTTTGTTTATTGGCTCGCTGATTTATCACTTTCAAGTGGCTAGCATTCTTCCTTAAAAATAGATCAAGCGTTCGATTGTTTGATTATCAGAAAATTTTTCTTTCTTATCAATTTCAGCCTGTAAACAAATAATGCCATTCGAGCGATCAACTTAATTGCGAGTTGCATCTTGCCCCTTTAACGATAAGCACTGATTTGTTTTCCCTAACGAATATATTTTCAAAGCATATGCGAGTTTAAAAATGTTAATTATATGAAATTTATTCGATTTCTGGACAAACTGAACGATTAGAATGTAGATTAATTATGATCGCTGGATTGTGCGACGGGCGACAGAAAAATGAAAATAAATAATCTCGAGCTGACAGCCATCGTTCTGCTCGCATCATCCGCGATTTTCGACAATTGCGTCAAATCGTCGTCCTGCTCTCGTAAGGGGATCACGCGAAAAACGATACCACGCGAGCGTCAGGAAATAATAGTTGCGCGTCGTTTTGCGCAGACGGCCGATGAAAAACGCGGCTCGCGCGTGCGAACGCTGTCATTTTTACGACGAAACAAAAGCCGCGACGCGGCGAAAATATTTCGCGCACGCTCGAGGATTTTCGTAGCAGCGTACGCGTTGAATTAGAAAAAAGAAATGTTTGCAATTACATACTGATGCGTGAGGCGGTGCCAGTTTCGCCTTTTCGACCGCTCATCGCAATTCGTGTACATCCAAAACTTGCCACGAGCGAATTCAACTGAGTTAATTGCCATGAGAACGTTAACACGGTATTCACGGGAGCAGCCACGCTGAGTCATAGAGAACGAATTGCCTAGTGATGTGACTCAATGCGCAAATATATCTCAATCGACAAATCTCACTCGGCCGATCCATCACTTCTTCTTCTTGCCCTTGCCAGCCGCGCCTTTCTTGCCGCTGTCCTCCTCGGTTTGCATCTCTCTTGTCTCGAGTCTCACGGGCGGTCGGCGTTCGGGCCCCTTGGGGGTTCGCATCTCCAGCTGGATGTCCGACTTCTCGTCCGCCCCCACCAGGCCTTTCTTGCCAATGCGCAGAATGAACACGTCATGGTCGGGGTCGCTGTTCAAGTCAGCGGGGTTTAGCGCTTCGCTTTCCGGGGCTACGGTCACGCGAGGCTCCGACGGCTTGCACGGATCGTCGCTGCAGGCATTGTTCAGAAGACCGGAGACCTGCGCGTCGCCCAGAAACGCTTTGCTTGAGAAAAATATCCTCGTAGAATTGAAAGAGTTTTCCATTAGAAAGGAATTAAAAAAAAATTAAAAAAAAAAGGAAAGTCAACGGCACGCGAGGTTCCCAAGTGGTCACCCATTCGCTGCTTAACACTTCGGTGATCGGACGAGAAGCGGTTTTTTCAGCGTAATATGGACGTTGACTATGACATGGAGCACGCAACTTGATTAATCAAACCTTTAACACCACGGCCTTGCCGCACGGCTCCTTGGGTCCCCTGCTCGTCTGAATGGGACTGCAAATGGTCTTGGTGTAGGCCGACGCGGCAGCCGGCGGAGGAGCCTCCCTCTTCGCGGCCTTGCCGACAGCGACTATGGCGCCGGAACCGACCCGACACGGCGCGCACGGCAGCTTGGGCGGCTTGCACACCTTGCACTCCTGGCTGGACGAGACGTCGGACAGTCGACAAGCGTCGGGATCGAGAACGTGGCACTTGTATCGCGGCACGCGGTTCCCGCAGTCGTCGGCCGCGAAGAGGAAGCTCGAGACCGAGGCGTCCAGCCGCGGCGCCCCGAATTCCGTTACCACCGTCTGGCCGTAGCCGGATATGCGAGCGTACACGTCGATGCTGCCGCAGTCCTCGCCGCACCAGCTCAGCGGCACCTCGCCGTCGAAGGTCTTGGACGGACTCTACGAAAACGGCGACGAGCGATCGTTGGCACGCCCACGCGCAGTCTCGACGGAGCACCACCCACCGGAATCTCAGCCGCCGTGTACTTGAAGCTGTCGATGATCTCCTTACTGAGAGCGGCGAAGTGCAGGCTCATGTCGATCTCGGCCTTGCCGACCCACACGTCGGGCTTGACGTTGTCGGGCATCTTCTTCTGCACGTCCAGCCTGATGACAAAGTCGCTGCCGTAGGCGCTCGCCACGACGCCGCTGTCCAGCGCGAAGAGCACGCTCTTGCCCGCGTAGAACGGCTCGGCATCCTCGGCGAACGCCGACAGCGGCTCGAACATCGGGTCCACGGGCGTCAGTCGCAGGCTCTTGTCCTGCGGGAAAATTCGCCGATCAGACGGGTCTGCCCCGCTGGACGGTCCCTTCGTCGGCGAGTGCCTTTTTGAACTTGAGGAACGAGAACTCGACGGTGGTAGGCACGCAAAAGCACTGGTTGAGCTTCGCGAGCCTGTTGCTCTTGATCTGACATACGTAGAGTTCCAAGAGGAACAGATATTGCTCGCAGCAGCTCTGACTCAACGGCGGCTCGTCGGTGGTCGTCGTGATCGATTTCATCGACTTCACCGACGTCATGTTTTGCTATTTTTTTGTCCCCTTTTTTACGCTCGACGATTTTTATTAATTTTTTAAAAATTTGTTCTCGATTGCATTTCAATTTCGACCGGGAATTTTGAAGTGTTTCGGGCTTGTTGTTTGTTACCGGACCATAACCCCGACAATTTAGATTACGCGAAACAAAACGCGATTACAAGCAGCAGACTTCAAAAATCCCGAGTCACGGCTCCGTAAACAACAATGTTCATCGTCATTTTCTGAATAAAAATTTGCACGTTTCTTCTTCGAAATTATCGTGTTGAAGTGCTCTTCACGGCAAGATGGGCTGCTCGGAACCGCAGGAATTGTTCCTTTTGGAATTCCTGATCGACCGAGTTAACGTACCGTCGGTGCAGGCGATGCAGGACGACTGCTTGCACGTTAAAACCTGCATCGAATTCAAGGTACATCCTTCGCCGACGAGTACGCCGTCGTCGGATGCATTGCGCTGATAGACTTTGCGCGCGCGCACCACACATCTGAAGCTACGACAAAGAGGAATAGCGTTCGCCGCTCGATCGCGTAATTTCTTGGATCGGCAGCACACGAGTGATCGCGCAAAAGAGCTGCCGGATGCGTTAGGCACTGTTTGTCCGAATCGCCAGTCGGACCGACAACCACGCGCCTTCATTTGTCAGTCCCGTTCGAGTACAACGATTTCTTTTTTCAGATTCTAAATTTGCCGCCAATATTCATCTGTCAAGACGCTTCGTCCGACCAATGCAACTGCCTCGGCGACGACGCCCAGGTATTTCGCAGGGGAAAATCCTGCCTATTCGCGCTGCCGTCGAAGCTGCTGAAGCCGCCTGTGTGCTCATTTCCGATTAGTATGTCGGTATATAAAAAATTGCCGCCGAGCGTCCTGCCCGACGTGATGACGATCGGCAGCAATCGCATCGAGTGTCGCGATATGCTCAACGCGCTGTTGGAGGATTGCTCGCCGAACCCGTGCGCGACGCTGAAGAACAACTTCCGCATCACGACTGCCACCGGGCAGTGCTGCGGCGAAGTAACGGTGTTCATTCGGCTGTCCAAGCTCGGGCGAAAAGTCGTCACGCAGTTCCAGAACCCAAACAACAAGAAGCCCTACCTCTTCAAGGGCATCGCGGAGAGCCCGGTGTTCCAGTGCAAGCGCGTGTCGTCAACGTGCGACGAGTCGTTCGCCACTTGCTCGTGCGAGAAGCCGTCGACCGAGCGCGAGCCTGAGGACAAGTCCAAGAGTTGCTGCGGGCTCGAGGGCAAGCCGAGGAGCAGGGGCTCCGGCCAGGAGGAGCCGAGAGCGAGGAAAAAGTCGAGGCGGCCGTGCTGCCGGGCGCTCAAGTCCGCGGCCAACAGTAGGCTTTGCTAGCGATCGCGCGACAGCCCCGCTAAGTGCTTCTGATCGTGGAGGACGCTTGCAGGTTGCTCGACCAAGGCTCGCGGAGCCAAAGCTTGCCCGAGCAAACATGAGGTGCGGCCCGAGGTGACGGTCACCAGGCAGTGCGGCTGCGAGGTCAAAGATGACGCGCCGCACTCGTGTGGCAAATGATTGATGACGCGCGCCGCGACAGCGAGCAACATGGTTGAGAGAACAACGATGACAATTTTTATTTTCACGTAACACTTACGCGGGCGTGGCTTCGATTCCAGGCGATATAGTTGCCTTCCGCTCGAGTCGTTGAGAAGTTTGCTGCAAAAATCGACCGTCAGCAGGCGTGCTTTGCATAATTGTCGTTCCAGAAAACGAAGTCTCATTGCCGATACGGCGGATACGATTTGAATAATCGCTTGAAAATTACGTCTCAAGTCGAGCCTGAGAATACCGAGTATGTCGATTGGAAGAGTGCGTGCGGGCAATGGTGAGTTGTGCCAAGTATTGTAATTTATGGGGGGAAAAAATTGTTAAGTTGCTATGTATTGACATGTTGTTGATTACTTTGAAGCTCCAATACACCTGAGACGAGCTTTTCAATATTCGAAAATTTTATTTCCTGCCTTAATCTTTTGTTTCCTTAATGTCACATTTAACCCGCTAACCTATTTCAGCAAAGATTCCTATAACCTCGCTGGGACTCATAAGCCATCTAAATCCTCAGTTTTTCAATTCAAAATTAACGACGACAACGAAAAATAAAAAAAAAAACGTAAAACCATGCCAAAGAAGAACGAGCGGAGAAAGTCAGCGAGCGAGGAGGAGGAGAGCGCAAAAGCTTTGCAAGAGATGATAGAAAAGCTGCGCGAGCGTCGAAAGTGGGAGGAAGAGCGACAGGCTGAGTGGGACGAGGCATGGGAGCGGAAGCTCGCGGAGCACGAACGACTGGAAGACCTGAAAGCCTGCTGTGCACCGGACGAGTATTTCCCGGTGCCGCGCACGCAAGCCAACGTCTGGCTGCAGGTCAGCCACGAGAAAAACACCCAGAGCGTCCAGATGTCCTTTATGTAAAGTGGAACGTTGGTTAGATGGGGGAGGGTGAGGAGAAGCAAGCTCGCTCGTTCGAATTTGGTGCTCTGCTGCTTTTAGGAACGTGCCGATACCCAAGCCGAAGCCTCCTCCGCTTCCTCGACTGTCACCCTCAAGGGACGAGGAGGATGATAAATTGACACCCGAGACGAAGAATAAGGGAAAAAGAAAAAAAAAGTGACGAGAGAATAAAGTCTGTAGATGCTGAATAAAGCGATGGCGCGATATGCAATGGACTTTCGTTTTGTCTGGACGTTTGCCTAATCGCTCCTCACGTGCGAAAGGCCAAAGCTCGCGGGGCGAGGCATTCGAAGAATGTACCACGCGCGCTGACGAAGCCGTTCAATTCGAGCTATGCTCGTCGTCCCCTCGGCAGTTGCGTCTTTAACGGGATGCGCGCGCGCGCGTGGCAGAAAAAGAAAGCGCTCAGTTCGATCGCGGCGCGGCTCGCCGACGTCGTCAAGCCCTCACGGCGACTCGTTTGATCCCACGGAGGAATACGCAAGGGGCGCGCGCACAGCTGGCGCCGCGAGAACAAGCAACAGCAGCATCGAAAGCGAAAGCTCGGCCTGCGGGTCGTTGGCACCGGCGCGGCTACGCGCAACCCCTGGAGCTGCGTAGGGGGGGAGAGTGGTCGTGCTGCGCCGGCGCCCCCATAGGCCGATATTCCGGCGCCTGCGTGCCTCTGCATCTCGCGATAGCCTCAGTCGTCGCTGGGCAGTCGTCACCAGGATGTAGTCAGGACGGGGCAGAACAGCAGCTCGCGAGAATGGCGATGAATGGCTCACCTCAGCGACAGGAACAGCAGCAGCAGCAGCAACAACAACAGCAACAACAGCAGCAGCAGCAGCAGCAGCAGCAGCAACAGTCGAATGACGAGTCCGTGGCGTCGACCAGCTCGGCGAGGAACAGTCTGGGCATCGAGCTCAGCGACGACGAGGAGTGGAACAGCCTCGTCGAAAGGGTAAACGTCTCTCGGTGCGCGCGCGCGTGTGCTCGTGTGTATATCGTTGGGGCTATTTGGCAGTCGGCCGAATTCTTATCTTCGATTCTCTCTCTTTCTCCTCTGCGCAACGAGTTTGCCGGAAATCAAGACCGGGACGACCGCACGCTAATCGCTCTTTTCTAGATCGCGCTCACAATTTTACCTTTTCATCTCGACACGTTAACAAAAGAAACAACAGCAACAACGATAACAACGAAATGTAAGAGGAGGGCAATGACACTCGGCGCCAGGTTTGTACAATTTACATTGTCTGCCGCTCGTTCCTCGTTCGTTTACCAATTCCTCCCATCTCTCGTACGACCAGTAAGCAGCGACTCACGGTCGACGTGCGACGCGTGTGCATTATCAGCTACGTGGCACGAGCCGTCCGAGACGAAACGCCTGAGTCGCTCGAGTGACGACCAAATACGCGCGCGTGTTGGATTTCCCACAAACAAAGGAAAAACGAGAGCGCAACGTGGATTAATTACACGAGACACGCGACGGAGGGGCATTTTTGCTCGCTGCTGCTAATAACTCCGAGCTGTCGACGCGCCGTTCGTTGCGCGCGCAAAAGCCTCGCGGTGCGCACCGTCGAGCAATTCGATCTGGCAGACCGGCGAGGGTGAGAGCCGCGCGCGCCTCGCGAGCGAGGGGCTCGCGATTCTAATGCGCTGTTCGTTGCTGCGGCGCAGGCTGTTCTCGAGCGAAGCAAGCCGGACCGGCGCGGCGACGACCAGCGCAGGAGGCGCACCATCATCGTCGAGAAGAAGAACGGCACGTACGGGTTCACGCTGCAGGTGGGTATGCATGACGATCGGCTGGAGATATGCGCGAGGTCGGAGCTTTCGTCGCGAGAGAGAAAACTGGTTGGTCGCAGAGCTACGGCATCCACTACAAGCGCGAGCAGGAGATCGAGATGCTCACCTACGTGGACTACGTGGAGTACGACGGGCCGGCGTTCAAGGCGGGCATGCGGGAGGGCGACGTGATCGTCTCGATCAACGGGCAGGACATGGAGAGCGCCGACCACAAGAGCCTGGTGAACTTCATCAAGAATTGCGACGCCAGGATGCGCATGGTGGTCTGCTTCAAGGACTGCGTCAGGAAGGTGAGCGCGCGCGCGGGCGCGAGCTCTCGTGATATCGCCGAGCCGTATGAAACGGGACAAACGATCGACAGGTCGAGCTGCACATGCGCTACATCGAGCTGCAGCGCGCGCTGCAGAGCCGCCTGGCCGAGCTGGAGCGGCTGTGCGAACGCGAGCGCTCGGTGCTGATGGGCCGCTGGAAGACGCACTCGCTGCCGGCGAGGAAGCGCCACCCCAGCGCCCAGGTGGAGACGCTCGTCGAGCCGATCGCCTCGGCGAGCAGCCTGGGCCCATCGGCGGGGGCGCAGTCGTGCTGTCGGCCCGCCTCCTCCACCGAGCATCTGCTGCTGTACAGCGTGGTGAGAGGACGCCCTTATCGTAGGCTCGTAAGCTCGCCGTGGTCGCTCATCGGATCGCCTCGCGATCGTTTGTCGCGCAGTACGCCGATGGCCGCTCGTACTTCATTCCGCGGAACACCGCCTGCCTGGTGGCGATAGGACCACCGCGCTCGCGCAGCGACCATCACCACTTCTTGTCCAACGCTTCGGTGGAGTCGGCGGCGACGGCCGGCTCCACGGCCACGTCCACCTCCTCGAGGCACAGCTACCACCAAGCTAACGGCCTGTGCAACAGCACACCATCCAAGAGCAAAGACAGAGCGTCGTCGCACGCCAATGCCAAGTCCGCTCAGCAGTCGCAGTGTAAAAATGTGAGTTGCGCAATTAACGAACTTACTATCTACGACGAATGCCGATCAGCTGCTCGAGAAAGTATACGATTGAGATCGTTTGGCGACGCGAGCTTCGCTTGCGAGCACTTTGGTGTAAAGTTTTCAGCGTAATTAGCTCCGAATACGTAAGTTCACTTGGGCGTTCCTCATCCAAGGTCGTTTCGTTCTCGTATTAGATTCGTCAGCTCTAAAGTTTGTTTCCTTTTTCTTTTCTTTGTTCTCAACAAAGAGTCGGAGAAATGTTTTATTTTAAACTAACAAATTCTCAGTAAAATTAACGATCGCTGATGACAGTTTTTGAAAAACTTTGAGGCTGTTACAAAAAGCTTTGGAAAATTGCTATTTTTAACCTTACAAAGAAATTTTATGAATTTTCGGAATTTTTGAAAAAGTTCTTTATCCACTAGTTTCTGAAGCTGTTTTTATAAGGATTTTTTAGGTTCTTTTTTCTTTTTTTCTATTAAATTATGTTTTTTAAGAACAAATCGAAGATAAAACGCTTCATTGCTAAAAAATAACAAACAGGGAAATTGCAGTGCAGTTGTTAATCAATTCAAATTGTAGAAATTGTCACACGGCGTTTTTCATCCTTGCTCATCATATACATTATAAGATTCAAACTCAACGTCATTAACGAGTTATTTAAAAGATATGACGAGCGGCCAATGCAAAGTGCACTCGCATAAACCATTCATTGAAAAATCTAAAACGAAAAGCAAACCAAGGTATAAGATTGTCACTGCATCGTAAATTACACTGCAGCAGCAGCAGCAGCAGCAGTCGGAGAATAGAATTCTGTACCCGAGCGCTCGGAATCTGTGCGTGGCATGTATATCAAGTGCAAGACGACGCGAGAGGCCAAACGATAACGGCAGCCTGGACGCTTACGATTTGGCAGGAAGTCCGTGCTGCGATCCGAACTGCGTGCCAACACGACGGAGACGAGACAAGCATCGGAGGTCGAGACACGAGCAGGGCTCCCAGACACATCAGCATCAAGTATGGGTAGGCGGCTTTTGCCAATGCTTCTCTTTAAAGTAGTTCGGCCCGCGGAGAAATGTGCTTCTACCGGACCTTGGATGTCCTGCGTAGGTTCATTCGCGAGGTGAAATGACGAAATCCTGATAAATGCTGTGTTTTTGTAACAATCCATTCGGGACATTTGTTTTCATTGTCTCTCGAGGACCTCAGTTGCAGCTTTTTCCCCGACTAAGCTCACGTTCTCGTATTCCTTGTTTGTTTGTTGTTTGTTGTTTTTTTGCCAAGCATAATCCAACTCTATGAGCTCCGCTCATCTAAAAAAAATAATCAATTTCTGTTCAGCATCGCCATCTGCAGCAGCAGCAGCAGCAGCAGCAGCAGCAGCAGCAGCAACAGCAGCAACAGCAGCAACAGCAGCAACAGCAGCAACAGCGCGAGCAACAGCACAGCCAATGCACGCGAGCATCGGGTCACAGCTTGCATTCACTGGCGAGCAGCGAAATGTCGTCAACTGGTGGCGATCAAACGGTCGCCTCGTGTTCCACCTCGTTGAGCACCGACACTCTCTACTGGGACCCGAACGTCCAGCATCGACCACCGCCTTGCTTGCAGTACGCCAAGCCCAAGTCCTGGGATAATCTCACCACCAAAGCCTTCGGTGGCTACGGCTTCGGCTACGGCTACCTCGACACCGCCAAAAGTACTCATAGTGCCGAACGACCCGCCAAAACTGGTGAGTTGAGCATTCTTCGTATTGCCAGCGCTATTCTTTTGCTTGGCATTTTCAGTTCAAAGTTATTTGATATATAGTAAGAAAAGCTCCGCTAACAGAAAGAAAGCTCTTAAATTTGACGCATTGCCAAAATGATTGTCTTTCGTTCGGAACATTTTTCTCGATTCGGAAAAAAGAATATTCTCGATTTAAGTACATCCATTTCTTTCTCCAAGCAACTTTATTGCAGCGAATTGAAGAACTTTCGAGGTCGCTGCAAGAACTTTGCTGGTGGCTCATTTTCACGTTCGTTCGCTGCCCCTCGCAACATCCGCGCTCAATTGGCAATTTTCCGTTACAGGGAATTCCCATCATCGGGCGAAAACGTCGACGTCCCAGTCGTCTCAGCGTCGCTCCACGGGCACGCAAATTTACTCGAGCCGCAGCCACTTCCAACCGACGAAATCCACGGAAAGCCTACTAATTACAACGACAACGACAGCGATATACCCCGGGGAATTGGACGCGACGTTAAGCTGCGAATGCCTCGATGGACCAAATCCTCGTTTCGTCACGGTCCAAATGGAGAAGCAGCACAAGAGCAGTGGACATCATCGCAGGTCCAGCTCGACAAAGCAGCGTAACTCGGTCAACGGATCCGAGATCACTAGGCTGTGAACTTGACCTTTTCTTTTTCACCATTAATGTTATTTCGTTTTTTCTGTACTGCCAATTTTTATTGTACATTGTACATTGTATAACGCCTATTCGTACGTATCTATTGGAATAAAATGCTTTACAGACTGCGTTGTTTAATTTTGCCGACTCATTTTGTTATTAAAGCTCTTTATCAGATTACGTTGCTTTCAAGCGCTCACATTTGACGGATCGAAACTGTCCTTCCTGCGATCTTAAAATCCTTTCAACAGTGGCCACATCGATTAACAGGCAGCACTTGCTTGCTTATTTCGTAGCACGTCATCGTTAAGTGTCAGAGTATTTTCGCAAACAGCAAACCTACTAGCATGTTATGCGCAATGAGAATCATGTTGCATAATTTTAACAACTATTTGTAGAACATAGGTTATCAAGAAAAAAATGATCTTGCTTGAAATGTAAAATTTCTATAAACATCAATTTAATAATTCTTCGAAGTAGATTCTTGTTTTATCGGCAAAGTACAAAAGTAGTTTCCCTCTGTTTATTCGCATCCCGAAGTGACTCACGGATGGTAACACTGTTTTTTTTTCACGGATGGTAGCACTGTCTTTTCCTGGCACTTCTGCGGCAGTCGTGTATTTGTTTCTTCTCTTCCGACACTGATATTTTAGGTTATAATTGTTGAACTTATAAATAAAAAATGAATTCTAAAAAGAAGCATAACATAAATTATATAAAACCAGCAGAACCAGCGTTCATTACGCGTATGAAAATAGCGGCTGGTTACGTGGAAGGACCAAACGTCGATACCAAGGTGATTATTTATATGTCAAAACCTATTTAAAAAATTAAAGGATAACACCAGTGTTACTGATGAAATAAATTGCGTCTTTCCAAAATTTCTTAACCGGGATAAGCACACGTTTTTCGCATTCCAGAGTTTGTTTTTAGTCGAAATTTTAATAGTAAAGTTATTTCGGTTCTAACTAATTAATTAAATTACCATTTGGACTGTAGAAAGAAACTTATAGGACAATATGTGCTTAACATAGTGAAATATTTTTGGAACTTTCAAAACAATTTATACAATAAACAGACTCAGAATAACAATGACAGTTGTTTTTATGATTACCATTTATTTTTGTAGAAAGCTGAGTTGCCTAAATTTACAGATGAAGATGGTGAAGACAAAGAAGATGAAAAACCCACTGTAGTTGTTATGAATGATGGTGACCTGACTCAGGAAGAAGCAGATTTATTAACAACAGTCAAAAAACAAGGTAAACGAATATCTAATAGTGTCTTTCAAAAATTTATTTTAAAGGATATTCATCTTAAACTCTAAAGGATATTGGTATTTTTATTTCAGCTGAAAAAGTCGAAAAAGCAGATTTAACCCTAAAAGTAACATTCAAAAGAAAAAATACTGAAAAGACAGATTCAGCAAAATCGTCAAATCCAAAAGAAGTAAAAAGAAGAAATAAAGACAAGCCTAAAAAGTCTCTGCTATCTTTTGATGACGAGGAAGAAGAATGATTTTGTACATTAATTTATGTAATTTTAATATACTTAATTAAAATATTGATTTATATAAAACTTAATTTTATGTTATTAAACTATATATCTAGACAAAATAAAAGAATAACAGACTTTTATGTATTGTATGTAATAAAACCGTTTAGAAAAAAGTAATAGATGAAATTCTTCTATAAAACATAACCAGTCTAGACAGGTGCTTTGCTGTTTATTTATTAACATTTCTTTTATTCATGTATGGTACTCCAAATTCTATATTTAGCATATCATGAAATTTTTAATTCCTGCATCATTTATCTTGAGATTTTCTCCCTTATACAATAATTCCAGGTCCTAAAACGCATAGTGAATCAATAACCAACCATCACTAGTAATCAATTCTTTCCAGCAGACAGCATGACAACTCATCCATTATTATTATTTTCTATAATTGCAGCAAAACTCCCACTGTAGCTCTATCGCAATATCCACAAGCACCCTGCACTTCAATAACCTCGAAAGATCTCTCTCCACACTGTAATTTGCACTTTCCGTCGCCATATTTCCCAAACATTCATCACCCATGACGCTTGTTTCATTGGCAACCACATCGCCGTCGGCGACCTCGAGAAGCTGGTGATTTTCTGTTTTCTAGGCAACAGCAGCAGGCAGGCAGGCAGGCAGCTGCGTTTGCGGCGGCAGTGGCGGATTGGTCATGTGACCGTGCGCGGCCATCTTGCTAAAATCAGTCTCGCTCTCGCGAGAGAACGCGCGAGACGTACGCACAGCGTTGCCCTGTCTGAGAAATCGAAAATCAGGACGATTGAGAGTTAATTTAGAGGCTCGTATCTGTGGACCAGGTGTGTATCGTTACCCTGCATCGATCAGTGATTGGCATTGTGGTGATTGATAACGGTGCTCGTGTACTTGAAGTAGTGTTAGCCGCTGACACACTTCCATTCCACACACCAGTCGTCGACGTCGTCCACACCACACCACACACATACACATACATACAGACAGCAACCAAGTGAGCGCAGTTGTGTGGGGGGGGGGCAGTAACAGCAGTTGTACCTTCGCCCGACGACGGCGGGTCCGTCTGGCAGCTGAGTGCTTCCGAGGAATCATCACCGGCATCGACAGCGACAACACTACAGCTGTTTCGACGTGAGTTTCCATTTTGTTGACGAAAATTGCAAACCTCCTTTTGAGCACTCGTACAACCCGGTCTGAATAATGCAAGCGTCGTCAACCTCATCTACAAGAACAACATTCGTTCTCTTTCATTTAAATTCTGCATCATGATTCTCATTTAAACGAGTCACCTCGTTTTCGCCATGAAAATCGCGACAGTCTAAGTGAGTATTCTCGGTTAAGCTTGGCCCCGGGGATGTGCTTTGCCGGTGGCGGGGCGTCAGGGCCGTATGGTGGCGCGCCGTTGTCGTTGCCACTGTCCTCCATTTTCTGTCTCTCGTTCTCTCTCTCTCTCACTCTCTCTCGCTCTCTCTCGCTCTCTCTCGCTCTCTCTCGCTCTCTCTCTCTCTCACTCGCTCCCTCTCTCTCTCTCTCTCTCCCCGTCTGTCTGTCTGTCTGTCCATCCGTTCGTCCGTTCATCCGTGGGTCCCCTTCGAGCACAGCAACATCACACTGTTGTTGCAGCGGCGGCACGCTCTCGAGGAATTATGTACGTTTTGCTGCTGCTACACGTGTGCCTCTTGGCGTTTTCGCGCGCTCCTATTCGAAGTGTCGCGCGCGCTTTGCTTATATATGCTGAGCATTTGTCTCGTATGCGTAAGCTACTGCTGCGCGGCTCTTCGCGGTTTTTCTGTTGGTAAATACACCGTAAGTGCAGTCGAGCTTTTTCTTACTGCTCTTTTGTCATATCCAAAGCGAATTGCTGTGAATTCCAACTTAACGGGTTTCGATTATTTCTTTTATTCGACGACGGCGGAGGGAGGGGAGGGAGACGTGGAAATAGTGGATTTTCACACGGAAGCAGAGCGCGCGCGCACGCACGCACAGACACATGTACAGCAACGCACGCACACTGATCACGCGGTGCAAAAAGTACAAAATGGCCGTCACAGCGTGACGTCAGTCTCAGATGCAATAAAAATTTATTAATAAAGCCTTGCATCCTTCGACTACTTGTCTCGGTCGTGACACGCGCCTCATTACAATCGGTGCTCCATCGACACCTGTGCGCTTTTTCAGCTCTGCCGCCTGTGCGAGCGCAGCGTGTGCAACGCTCGCGAAGAAGAGACCGTCCTTTGGCAAAGAGAGAAGCACGTGTGGAGAGAGAAATCGTGGAAAACGGGGCGCTTCACACGGCCCTGAAAGAGTTAGGCTGTGTGTTCGGTTCTTCATCGCTCTACTCGACCGAACGCTCTCGCGGGCCTGCCGCGCGCGCTGCCTTTTTTATGCGCGCTCACTCCTCCGCGACGATTTTCGACTGCCTTCGAATGCCGCGCCGGCGGGAAAATCGAAATGCACGCGCTTCTTGACGCTTAAGTGTGCGGCTGTTGGGGCCTGCGACTTCGCGGAGTTCGCGCGCATGCCGCATCGCTCAAGGGGATGATCTTGACTCGTGGGTGCGGCAATCCTGGGGACGTTCCAAGTTGAGTTACGGAGATTGCGCGAGGAGCTTTGAAAGCCCTCGCGATGGTGCACGCTTAGCCCCGCGCAAGACTTCCAAGTCTGTCGTCGGTAGCAGCGACCTTTCCCTCAGTCGAGGAACTTCGGGCCGATTTTTTTTCGGCAAAGACGCTCGCTTGGGCTGTTCCTTGGCTTCTCGGTGTTTTAATTGTCGGTCGCTAGCGCGCAAAGACGTGCTTACTGACACCTCGAAAAAGAAAAAAAGGCCTCTTGTGCCGCGCACTTGCAAATTACCATGGGTTACCGGTCGTAAACGCGCTCTTCTAATTCGCGCGCTACGTTTTTTGGAGAACACCCCGTTTTCGATCTGCGCAAGCTTTTTAACAGTGACGAGGCGGCGCAATGAAATTTTATCTGAGTGTATTGGTGTTGCGCTTGGGTGTGTGCGTGTGTTGCTGAGCGATACATTAGAAACGACGAGGTCGCTTCAGTGTGTGTGTGTGTTAGCGGGCGCGCGCGCGCGCGTGTATCTGTGTGCTGTGTCAAAACCCTGTTTGCGTGTGCCAGAGAGTCTGAACTAAGTAGTGTTGGTGTGCGTCGGTGTGAGTGAGAGAGAGAGAGAGAGAAAGTGGGGGGAGAGAAGCTTGAACTTTGGCCGTGTGGCTGCGGCTGACTGTGGCACACAGTAGTCAGGGGCGGGAGATTGGCTGCGTCGCTGTTGTTCCCGACGACGACGTGCATCGCCAGCTCCTTTCTCCCATCTCTTGAGTGTGCGCTGTCTTTGTCGCCGTGTCGTCGTCGAAAGTGCAAGTAGCGACAGACGGTTCAAACGCGGCAACGCGCGAGGAAAGGAATTGTAAGGTGAGCAAACACATGTGACCGGGAGATGGAATTGTTATAGGTTATCACTTGCGCGCGCCACCGCCGCCGCCGCCGCTGGCTACTTCATCATGCCGACGACGACGACTCTCCACGAGGACGCCTAGTGCGGGCGGCGCCATTTTGAGAACGGTTCTACATTGTTGGTTGTCTGCCCTGTTCTCTCTCTCGTTCTTTCACTTGCGACTTCTTTAACCGTTAGATGCACATACGTGCATATACAGATATGTGTGATCGGTCGAAAGCGTGTCTCGAGCCGAAATCGCGTTGCGTGCGGTATTCACGTGGCGCTGACAAGAAAAATCATCCTGATTGCAGACGCTGCTGCTGTTGCCGCCGAGCCTGAGGAATGGAAGGCGGCGCCACGCTGGAGGTGCTTCCCTCCTCCCTCAAGGAGCCAGCCGCCGCGGCCAGTCCGCAGGATGACGCGGACGCCGTTCGTAAAGGTACGGTTAGATATCTCTCTCTCTCTCTCTCTCTCTCTCTCTCTCTCTCTCTCTCTCTCTCTCTCTCTCTCTCTCTCTCTCTCTCTCTCTCTCTCTCTCTCTCTCTCTCTCTCTCTCTCTCTCTCTCTCTCTCTCTCTCTCTCTCTCTCTCTCGTTCTCCGCTCTCGTACTCTTTCTCTCTATTACACGCGCATTTATTATATGTGTTCGTGTGTGTGCACGTATCTGTGTGCGAGCGTGCGCGCGCGCGTGTGTACGAATGTATATGCGCTGCGCCCGCTCTCATAGACTAATTTATAGGTTGTTCTCTTTCGTGTCAACGCGTTGTTTGACGAGCCGCATCGATGCTTTTTCTGACATTTCGAAAGCAGAGGGTGCTTCTTTCGGTGGTTTGCTTTTTATTTTTTTTTTCAGTTATTTTATTATTTTTGAACGCGATGCTATTTTTACGGTTGACACAAAGTTGCGGGACAAACAACTTCGTAGGTTTATTGCGGATAACCCAGAGCTCGTTCGGGGCAGAGTATGTGTACACACACACACACACACACATGCACGCACACATGTATATGTGTGTGTGTGTGTGTGTGTGAGAGAGAGAGAGAGAGTGTATGGGTGTGGGTGTGCGTATGTGTGTGTGTGTGTTATTGAGCTATCGACAATCGCGGTGATGACTACAATTTTGACAATAATCATCATTTACATTATCTTCGCACATACATTATTGATATTTTATAAAAATGCACAATCTCAATAAAAATAAAATATTTCGAAGTAACAGCAATCGATTGAAAATAAGAAAGGCCACGCTAGTACGTAGCTTTACGTTCTCTTATATTTTTTCTAAATAAAAACGAAATTTCTTCCTACTATTTCGGATTGTTGTAATAACTTAATCGAGTATTATATTGACTGATCTTATTGATTTTTCAGAGGTAATTCCAAATGGAATGAACGGCGGCTACGAGTCGAAGAACGGCGATACAGACGACAACCATTCCCTTCATCCGGATCAAGAGGAAGAGGAGGAAGAAGACGAGGAGGTCATCGACGACGACGACGAAGGGATGGAGGTCGACAGTGTGCCAGAGGAGGATATCGAACCTCCAGCTTTGACAGCCGCTAAAAAGGCCTCGAATCATCAGTCGATATCCGCAGCAGCGGCAGCTGCGGCAGCAGTCCTCGAGAACCGTAACATCCCCGGAGGCTTGGAAATCAGCGTCGTGTCGACAAGGGATACCGCGATGGAAGTTGACAATTCACGTAGTTCTGATGTGGAATGTTTGGACGAGAGCGGTGGTAGCGAGAGTGGAGCCTTGAAAATCTGCGAAGAAAACGGGCAGGCCGGTAGCAGCGACGTGGAGGAGATCGTCGACGGGGGTAAGAGTAATGGCCAAACTGCCGAAGGCACTCCAAAAAAGAAATGTAAAAAGCCAGACCTCCCGTGCGTTACGCCACGTAGGAGTTCTCGAAACGTCAATCGAAAGAGCTACATGGAACGAGAGCTTGGTAAATTCAGCTGTTCAAGTCTATCTCCTTTTTATTTCGAACATAACACCAACTTTTGTAATCATTTTCCATCTATGGGATACGTGGCTCCGATACTTGTTGCTTGTAATCTTTTGTTTTTATTTTTTCACTTTTATATTGTCCATTCTTTTTCATTTTATTTACTTTCCAACTGCTTAGTTATGATTGCTTTTTCCGAGGTTTAATTTTACGTGTACTATACGGGAGTAATCTCTTTTTTCATTTACAACATATATTTGATGTTCCATTATGCATAGCTCTGATATATTGTTGTCTTTTATACTTTTAAAAGAGATTGCCGTGTGGTCGTATGTAAAGCTCTATTTTTTTAATAAGGGTGCTTTACCAGCTGCTCTAAGCTCCTCTAATTCTTTGACAATATTCAAATTGCGTCAACATAATTCGAGAAAACACATAATAAAATCATTTTTTGACATTGTCGGAAACCACATCAACTCGTGCATAGCAGATTTATAAAATAATATTTTTATATCATTTTTTTTTAATTATATAAATCTGCTGTGTATTATATTAATTTTGAATATGCTTAATGAATAAATCATGCTCTTGCGCAATAAAGTCCTACAAATTTTTTTTTAGAATCTTACCAATTGACAAAATTTAATAACTGAAATATGTTTTTCCTCTTCAGATGACGAACCAGTAGCCCTCGACAATAACTCGGATATAGAAGAAATCAAGCCGGAAGATCCATTGGCGGAGGTAGACAGCAAAGATAAGGAGAACTCGAAACACAAGCATTCTCCGATGAAAAATATCTCGACGAGCAACAACAAGACGACGATCGTGGTGAACGACACAAAGCGGCTTGTTGAGATCGCTGCTGGCAGTAAGAATATGAAGGGCGGCAAGAAAGAGCCGACTCTTGTGATCATCGACACCAACTCGATACTTTCGGGTAAAGGTGGTGTACCTGTATCGAGCTCTAAATCCTCGTCGTCATCCTCGTCCAACTTGCCACATGCCTCGAGCGCTTTTTCCGTTATGCCGATCGGTGTACCACAACAGATGTATGCCAATACGAGGACTACCATTACACCGGTTCCTCTTAAGACCACTCAGAGTCTTGGTAGCAAAGGCACAACGATCACACCGGTAATGCCCCCGCAACCGTCGCCCCAACATCATCACCATCAGCAACAGCTGCAACAACAACAACAGCAGCAACAGCAAATGCAGGCCTCGCAGATCCTGCCAACTCTTACCGATGATATGTATGTTGTCGAGGCACCTTCATTCATTGTACCTTATGTATACGAGAAGCCACCTCTGAAGCCGCTCAAGGAGTTTGTTACTAAATTAGGTAATTACATTAAAATTAATTTTTATTCCTGAGTTATTTTAAGTCGTGAATAAATGTCAAGTAAAATTTTAACAAAAAAAAGCAAGGGAATCATGTAATTTTTAAATCACCTACTTTACAAACGGCAGTTACGAACGATAAAAAGCCAATATCGATTTCTAATAAAATATAAGCTCAGTAATTTAGAGCTTGCAGTCTTTTATTATAAACTAGTATACATTTTTAGTATAATTTTTTACATATTTATTTATTAATAAAACTTCATTCATTAAGTTATAATAAAACACATGTTTGCTTCTTTTTGTAGATAAAAACATCAAGACTTTTGAAAAAGACGAGAAAGTCAGAAAACAGGCAAGAAAAGAGAAAAAACTCACGGGTGAAGCATCAACCAACGACGACGAGGAGGATGATAGTGATGACGATGAAAAGAAAGACGACGACACGCTGGATCTTACCGCCGATAAAACGTCGGAAGAAAAGAGTGAAGCTCAGTTGCACGAAGACAGAAACAAAATTCCCACGTATTTTGACCTTCCCTTGGGCAAATTTTTCACGTCTATTGGCGTTAGCCTGGTCCAGGAATATGTTCAGACTGACCTTCTCCGTCAACAAAAACGCAAACACAGTAAAGGTGGTACATCCTCCGCGGAAACTCAGATGGCCATTAACTCGCTGATTAAGAATCTCGAATTCAGCAAAGAAAATAACGAACCGTTCCACTTTGAGTTGAAAAAGTGCGAGTTCTGTAACTTCAAAACCGAATCCCTCCTGGCTATGCAACATCATTTGGAAACACCACATATGCGGAATTACATGTACAAATGTAATTTCTGCCCGGTAGAGGTGCGCAGTCCACACGACATTCTGTACCACATGGAGGCTGAACATAATACCCGAGGTCGATTGGAGCGGGGACCAGCATTCCATCAGTGTCCGAATTGTCCATTTGAGGACAATCAAAAGGGTAAATTAACTCGACACATACTTGCCTGCCAAAAGAAGTTCCGACCAGAAAGAAACCTGGAGCCATCAATGGATTGGGAGCCGCCAGCTAAGATTCCAAGGCTTCATCATCGGCCAAGGAATATGCCACAACCTTCGGCTGCTGCCTTGGCCATGGCTATGGGAGCGAAAGGACCACAACAGCTGTTACCCAAACTGCTACCTGCCCCGGTCACTGGTAGAGGTCGAGGAAGACCGCCAATGCAACCGAGGTATCCAGATATGAAGCCTATGGGAAGACCTGGTGGTTCACCTGGTATGCGACAAGGTGAGTTTTTTCTCTATCAATACACAGAAACACGTGCTTTATTTATTTATTTATTTTTGTAAAGTGTAGTTTACATAACTCTGCCCAGACAAATATTCTTCATATAACTTTTCTCAATGTTCACGTAGACACAGGTAAATTCAGAAGATTAATTATACAATACAATGAATTTTCATTCACAAAACAAATTATGCATACCGTTCTCATTGAAGTCGTGAGTGTTTATATAAATAATTGAAAATTGAATTTAGGTCACCTCAATATCTATTTGTGTAATTATTGTTTTCGAAACCTACTTCCGAGTCTAATCCATTTCCAATGGACTTTGCAGTACTTTTAAGATGCTTTAAAAGAGGGCAGTAATAAGGCATCAGTGTCAAATTTAATTTTGATTTTCTTTTCAGACAATATGTCAAGTATGATGTACCGGCCGACATCATCAGGATTAGGAATGGTGCCTCAACAGTACAATTTTGGCGGTAGTAACCAATTATTCCAGGTAAATATCGTCTTAATTATTCAATAATTATTCTTAAGCGAATATTCGTCGAAAAATAAGCAATATAATTTTGTTCGACTAAATATCGTGAATATAAGTCATTGTATTAATACTGATTAGCCCGAAAAATGGAAAAAAAGAAACGAATGTAAAAAACGGCGTATTTGAATTTATCAATACCATTCTATACAGAGCTTCATAAAGAAAGGAGAAGAAAGAAAGATTGAATTTAAAATGAAAAAAATATATGTGGGTGGTGAACAGGTGGTGGGTGGCTCTGGGACTGTCATATCGGCCTTATCGGGGGTGAGTAGCAGTAGTAGCGGCAGTTCCGGACGACCCATTGCCTTAGTACCTAACGTTAACGAGTCCCAGTCTAGGTTGCTCTCCTCACAGGTAATCCATCAATGTTGGTCCCGGAAAAGTGATATTTTTCAATAATCTGGGAATGGGGATTCGTCAAATATTTTTGCTCAAAAACTCTTTTATCTTTTCTCTCTCTCTCTCTCTCTCAGTCTCTATGTGTATATTATTGCATATCGCATGGCTCGAGATAAATATAATGTACTCAGAAATGATAAATATTAGGAAGGAAAGCTCACACGCATAATATTACAAGTGTGTTTTATTTGAATATTTACTACTTGAGGTATTATCACCTAATTTTTAGCTGTAGTGAAATATTATTAATTATATTCTTCAAAATTTACAATTCGGAATTACACAACACGAGCAAATCATTTAAAAAATCTTGCTTCTGCTGGCACATTACTTTTTTTGGAGTTAAAGCGCTTCAGATGGTTTTATTGATGTTTTATAACTAACATAAAGTTGCATATATTAACATCATTAACATTCTTACTCTAGCCGTTCATTCTTGTCACGATAATAAAAAGAAAATGGTGTCAGCAGCGACGAGAGTTTTTTTCTAAACAAAAATAACACTGTGTATATTTTATTTATTGTACATTTCCATTTTTTATTTCAAAACATTTCAGGTTACTTAATAGATGATAACGCATGAAATTTCGATTTCATAAGATTCTACAGAGCAATTTTTAGGTCTAATAATGTTATTTGAAAACGTTGGATGACCTTAATTGATGTATTTTTACGTTTAATTATAAGCTTTGCATTACACAGGATTTTTATGCTGATGTTGGCTGTAAGGGGAAGGGCAATACGCTGACACTGTAGCTTTATTTCTAACATATTTTTTACTACTTATTAACATGATATCTTGATGGTTGTAATAATGTTCTCTCAAGGGCTGTTCTGATGAAATACTATAATTTATATTTTTACAGAACACATCAGTCACCAATGCTGTGAAGAATCCAACAGCCAAATTATTAAGTCAACCAAGTATATCTATAACTCCCTTGCCTCGCACTGCACCGCAGACTTCCGTTCCAGGTTCTAATAGCCAGTCAAAAGCTGGAGGAAAAAGCCAATTTGTCATTTGTGAAATTTGTGATGGTTATATTAAGGTAAGATATATTTTTTGATAGCAAACTTGAATAATAAAGAATGTTGCAATATTATTTTTATTTCAATATGTTTGATTAATTTAGGACCTGGAACAATTGAGAAATCACATGCAATGGATACACAAAGTTAAGATTCATCCAAAGATGATATACAATAGACCCCCGTTGAACTGCCAAAAATGTCAATTTCGATTCTTTACTGATCAGGTAAATATTGCATGGAACGTTAAAATCGTCGTCATATTACAGAAGTTTCTGTAAAAAGTTAAATTATTATTTTATTCTATCAGGGATTGGAAAGACATTTGCTTGGATCTCATGGACTTGTCACATCAAGTATGCAGGAAGCTGCAAACAAAGGCAAAGACGCAGGTCGTTGCCCAGCTTGTGGACGCGTAAGTATCAGTTTTTTTACCTGATCTACAATACAGCATAGTACGCCTAATAAAGTTCTTGGAAAGTACAGTTACGGCTTGAGTAAACCGTTATATAAGTTTTTATTGGTTGTCCATAAAAAGATTTTAACTTATCTTACGGTTTCGGGAAGTAATCAATGTCTTTTGTGTGACTTTTTGTAAAAGAAGAGAAATTAACGTTTTTTCTAGAAAAAGCTTAAGCTTTAATAGACTTGCAATTAAATAGATAAATAATGTTTATTGTATAGGTATACCAATGGAAATTACTAAATCACGTGGCACGTGATCACGGAATGACGTTGAAGCCGGCCCACTTGTCCTACAAATGCACAGTGTGCACCGCGACATTCGGCATGTACAAACAATTCGAGAATCACGTATACTCGGCGCACAGTGTAGTTGCGAAGCGCGTAATGGACAATAAAAAAGGTGGCAGTAGTAGTGGTAGTGGCGGTGGTGGTAGGCCGCCGTCACCTCGATCGAGCGATTCGTTGTTGAAGCCGTTGAAGATCAACGACGAGATCACAATCATACCGCAACCGGCTAAACCGACGAGTAGGTCGTCGCAGCCGCAAAATCGAGGGAAATAGCAACGATGAGATGACGAAGACGATGATTATGACGACGACGAATCGATCTCTTTCTCGGCCGCTTATTGAACACGTGTAAAAGGCTGCTTGTTGCCCGCGACCTACCGAGTGTACATGTGTTGAATTGAACATAGCAAGTCGAATGGGAAGAGATGATTTATTTACAATAATAATAGACGCTAATTACGCTATGAGCTGGATCTACGCGCGACTTGCGTTTAATAATTCCATCGATGATCACATACACACACTCACACATTGACATATTTATTTAAGAATTTTTATTGTTGTTGTCTATGTACACATACATGCATACAAGCATTAACACGAGAGAAAGCGAGAGAGAGAGCGAGAGAGCGAGAGAGCGAGTGAGCGAGAGCGAGCGAAAGAACAACAAATAGACTGTGAGAAATAAGAACATTTAACAAAAAACAAGGGTGGCCTTCTGTACGATTCCTTGGTTGATCGATTGCGATCGAACTACGTCGTATTGTCCCGATCTGCGCCTATATAATGATCTTTCAAAACGTAAAGAGAAAAACGGTACATGGAGAAGAAAGCAAAGTAAGAAAAGCCAACATAAAAAATATAACCGATATTTGAAAATTCGCTTGCGAGCACTTGGAGATATTGTCATACTCCTGACTGTAAACTCTTCATGGGGAGCTTATTTAATGTAAATTTCTTTCGTAAGAGCGATATAATGTATCTGTCGAGCGTCTTTTTATTTTCTGGTTGAAAATTGATTGATGATGATGATGATAGTGATGATGATGTGAGTCGTATGTCGTATGTGTATGAGAGGCACTGTTGAAATAGATTTTTCTTGCGTGCTGAGCGATGTCCATGATGCGATCATCCGCTATGAGAAAACGCTTATATGTCATGTATTCCTTCAAGGAAAACCATGAGCGTTTTCGTTTTCTTTTTCTAGTTGACGCTGGCTTGATCATTTTTTTTACAATTCCAACAAGATTTCGTTTTTTTCTATATAATGAGTTATTGTAGTGTGATTCGAGGTTTGATGATTGAAAAGTTACGTATTATTCAGTTAATATTTTTCTTGAAGAAAAGGCAAAAATATAATTCTATTCATACCTAGAGGAAAAGGTTTTCCTCGCTATCGAGTCACCGATCATTTATTTGGGATTTTTTTTTGATCAACCTGATCATTGTTGTTCATTTTGTATCATTTTTTAAAGTTATTTTGTCATAATTTGTAACAAGCGTCGACTACATTTTTTAATAAAAATATCAACAACTAAAAATGTTATTTCGATAACCAATATTCGACGACTTCGTTACCTTAAAAGATGACTTCGCCAAGCTATGAGATGAGTTTGCTGTTGTATATGGCAAGTAATGTAATTCATAACGGGCAACGCGTAGTTAAGTCACTTTTACTTGAAATAGGTCCAACGTGTATAATTTTTAATTACAATCGCGCCGTATTTTTCTAAATAATGATCATTAGTGAATATATAAAGAACTGTCATCCCTGCGTAAAAGTTTTTATTTATGAGTGAAGTCTTTCACGTGAGAACACGTAAAAGTACGAAATTAATTTATAATGATCATTGAAATGAAAAAAAAGTGAAAAGTACAGATAAGTAAGTTGTAAAGTGTACCTACTATTATAAGTTGGATTAATATGGACTCCTTACTGTAATAAATATCCAGTTTTATTTTTTGCGCTCTTATAAGAACAAAAATGTACATTAATCTAGGATATCATATGAACGGATATATCAATAAAATAGGATGGCACATACATTCACCAGTCTTGATATTTTTTTCTATCAAAAAAATTTTTTCAGAATAAACGTTGGACATTTTAATTTAGTAGTTTTCATGTAAATATTTATATATATAAGGTAATATTATTAACAAAATGTGTGACTATAACAAAGTGATTTAGAAAATCGACATAGTTTTGTGAAAGCAGAAATAACATGGAGCCTCTCTTGTATACGCTCTGATTGAATAATATGCTTACGTGAACATATAAATTAATATGTAGATAGTCCTCCGAGAGTAACAGGTATAATTACTTTTAACGAAAGTTCAACGTCTCATGATTTTTGTACGTTTATCATAGAAGATTGTTAATTTAGAGCAAGACTATATTTGGCGATAAAAGTAAGTCCGTTATACAAACAACTAAAATTGAAACAAATGGCTGAACGTTTTAGTTAAAGGATTTAATCAGCCATCACAAAGATAATGTTGGTTATACGAAAAAGAGCATCCACAGGTACATAAATATAATGGTTGCAAATATATCTACTTCACTGTAATGATTTGTACAATATATAAATGACTAAACAATGCAAAAATAAAGTATACCAACATTTAATAAACTTTGTTTCAAGCAAGCCTTTTTACCTACAAATTAGTTTATTCCATTAAGTTCTTAACATCGTTTAGTTTAGAAAATAAATAGGTATAAATCAAATGTGAAAATTCAGAACTATATTTAGGCATGATTTTCTGCATGAAAAATGTTTTTCATTAAATTATGCAGTTATAACATTGGATAACAATTTTTCCATAGGAATGAATAGCAACATTTTCGTTTCGTACAATAACATTTTATTTTTATTAGACACCTTAATACTCAAAGTGGAAATCGAAGTAAGACTGGTCGAACGTGTTGATACGAATGTAACCGTCTTCTCCTCCAGTAGCTAAACTTCTACCGTTCGGGTGAAAGGATAATGAGTTGATGGGACCGAAGTGACCCTTCAGACGTGCAAATTCTTCTTCAAACACGAGATGGAAGAAACGAGCATCGAATTTGCCTTGTTTGGTCGATGTCGTCGTTACATCCATAGCATCTTGACCACCTCCAACAACAACCTTTAAAAAAAAGAAGTCTGTCTAGTGCACAGAATTAACATAAATTATTCATAAAAATCATAGTTATTTAAGCTCACATGATCGTAGATTGGCGAAATGGTAGCTGAGTTCACGAAACGCTCAGTTTTGTAAGTTTTCAGAGCAACCAGGGAATCACTGTCAAACAATTTAGCAGTGTGATCCTTAGAAGCAGTAACAAACATTGTAGAATCTTTGTTGAACTGCATGTCATTGATTTGACCTTTGTGTCCCTGAGCATCGCTTAATTTTTTTCCAGTCTGCCAATGATTTAAAAAAGTTCAATGATAGTTTCAATTACAAAAGGTTAATCATAAATCAAATTGCATACTTACTCTACTGTCCCAGATGGTCAAGTCACCATTCTCATGACCAGTGATGATAGTTTCGTCAAGAGCTCCCCAAAGGAGAGATGAGATTCTAGAACCACCAATCATAGTCCTGCAAACATTGTCATCCTGAGAAAGTACGCTTTCTGGAGTCCTAATGTCAATGATGAACATTTCACACTGATGACCAAGAGCTTTGTCAGTTGCATAAACAGCAAGATTACCAGAGTAACTGAAAGAACAAGCTCTCACAGAACTGTTGGTTGACAATTCGCTAATTTCTTTCCCTACAAAATATATGGAAATATTCAAATATTAGCATTATTCCTAAACATTGGAATAACTGCTGATTCATAAACCATGCAAACCTGTTGTGCAATCCCATATTCTCAGTGAATTGTCACCACTGCCAGACAGAAAACGTGTGGTATCCCAATTGACGTCAATACACCAGACTGAACCATTATGTCCATTGAATGTGCCCAATCTTTCACCGTTCAAGGAGTACCATACATTGGGCTGTTTGTCTTTACTGGCTGAGAAAAGCAGATCTCCTTCTCTGTTGTACTTAATTTTTGTAATGGCACGCTCGTGCCCATGCAACATTAAGGGTTTCTGAAATATTCAGTTATTCGTTGAGTTACTCCAATTCATAGAAAATAAGCAGTAATTCACTGTTGTAATACTGGTGTTGTGAACTACACAATAATAGAAATCACTCGAATAAGTTGAAACAAGTAAAACGTTTACAAATAAAAATAGAATCATAATGTTGTAGCAATAAGCAATAAAAACGATGATAACATTCACCAAAAAGATATATTAAATGAAAATTTAGTTTGCATCGGCTGCAATAATGTTAGTACAAAATTATAGGTTATACTAGGTATGTTCTTCAATTTGCCGAAAAATTCGAATAATTTTAATTTGGGGAAAGATGAGAAATAACGCCAGGTAAATCGTAGAAATACTTGCCATATTGTTTTATTTGTGTAGCACTTTCTTGCAAGTAACAAATGAAAAATCTTAAGCCGTCAGTGAATTTTCACGCGGTGACGCACGACGCTGATAAGTGATTTACCACAGCCCACAGCACAGTCTGCACAGAGTGCACAGATACAGAAGAAAGTACACCTCCAGGTGGCACCACCATATTGCCGCAACAGACAATCTGCGCGCATGTTTACACAAAGTATCTGGATTCAGTTCTTACCAACCACATCGTAAAAATTCAATCGGTTTAAATGATCTATTCAAGATAATTTAAAGAACTTTAAAGTAATATGTATATGTATTCAAGCATACCGTTGCAATGAAGCTCAATGATCTTTGAAACAGCCATGAATTCCATATTACTGAAAACAGCCTAGTGCGAGTTGTAAACAGCATTTAAATATTAATTACTCTATATAAATAGAATTATTCAAATATTACAATTACGCTTATTTATAAGACTATAGATTCGTCTATCTACTTCGTGGCAACTGAGATTTCCATCACACATGTGAACAAGTTTCAGACTAATGAATCCAGTAGCATACGTAACGTGCGATCGCGACTTAAGAATCTTGCAAGAACGAATGGCTTATAGGTATTGGTTTATTATATCGCGCATGATGCAAATCATACAAGTCGTAAAAAATTCATAATCGTATTATATACTTTACAGTTCGCAAGTGTAAAAGCTTATTGATAAAAACTCTAGTGTAATCGTCCACATGCTTGATTTGTAAATGTGCTTAAAGTTATATCTTTCAAACGCTTCCCTTCAAGCTGTAAAATTACTAGCTTCCTCGAGTTTCATGAATAATTCACCTCTGTCATTGGGGAAACCAAGACACACTGTACGATGGCACTATATGGTCGCCCCCGGATTCTCGAATCTCGACACGGTGGCCACCAAACGCTGCACTAATCGGCACGAACTCACCCTGGCAAACAAACAGCGACCGTATACGTCGCTCTTTTCGTCGGTTAGGTCGCTATGGCTGGTCCCTTACAAAACTCATAGAAAAATCAAATTAACAATATGAATTTTTTATTGAATAATTACAAAGCATTATTCTCAGTAATGTTTTAAGCGTAAATAAGTAGGATGATTATTGTATAAATTAATGTATTACATACAATAATCCTACAGTTGGTTAACTAAAATAAAATTAGTGGAAAAGTTTAATTTAACATAGATTATAACGTTCAAATTTGTGAAAACAGATTGATATAAGAATTGACTGACAAATTTTTTTAACATTATTCAGACTATATGGCATACGCAAAAGGTATATTATATATGAATTGAAATAAAAAAATTAAAGATCTTGCAAAACGAATGAAACTATTCATATATTTTTCTTTCCTCTTTAAGAATCTTTTTTCCTCTTTAAGAGTATTAATATTAATGATCAACACAACTAAAATAGAGAGTTACTATCATTCAATAACATTTCTAACTTCATGGATCTAAGCTTATCTCTTGCTGAAACTTGGAAACCATTGGAAGAGCTTATTTCAGAAGTATCTAATACTGATTCATACATATATATAAGATTATAAGAAAGGCTGAACTTATTTTTAATCATTATGATCAACAATTCACAAAGTATATTTACCTTATTGTCAAAGTTCTTTGTAACACGAAACAAATTTTTCAAATTTTTGGAAGTAGTGAAATCTATCTAAAAACGGCATAGATGCTGAAACCGTGCTGAAACTATTACCGGAACTGTCGGTAATCAATAAAATACCAGTACTTTTAGCACGTGCTCTGTGCCATTGAATGCCTGTTCGAGACATCTGTGAAAAGCGTTTTTGTTTGGAGCAAAGTAAAGATATTTTTCAATCGCTATTGTGTTACTCTCGTTGAAAATTACTCGAGGATGCGTTTTAATTTACTATGGTAGCCCACAAAATAAGACCAAATGATTATGGCTTCGTTGTTAGGTACACCTGTAAAATTCTAAATGTGCTACATGAAATTGAATCAACGTAACCAGTACGTTTTTCTGGTTATATGGTTATTTAAATGAGAGAATACTTTTACTCTAGGAAATCAGAATTTCTGAATAACTATTGAAAAAAATTAATTTAAATACTGTAAGATGATTATTATATTTTTAATATTATACAAAAATAATTAATAATAATTCCTGATTTTTTTTCTTTACAGTATGTCAAAATATGTATGCATTCCAGTACTTTATATATAATTTCTGGCGTAAATGTGAATATATGAGAATCACATACTATAATTAGCCATGACAAGAGTATATTGTGAACAAGTTATCTTTGCTTGTATTAATGTCAAATAGGATAATCCTTTATGTTGAATAACTATATTACGCAATTTGTTATGTATTAAACAAGTAATTTAATTATTGAAATATACGCGTAGTTCCTATTCCATGAAATAAACAAAAGACAAGAATTTTTTTTTTTACAAAAATAGTTTGAATATAATTTAATGATAACACCAGCATTTTAAAAATAATAAACTAATTTTAGTAAATCATTGAAAGAACTTATCGATAAACTATGTAAAATATCATTTTTCATTTCAAATTCATAAAGTAAGTTGTCAGTCCTGTCTAATTCAGCAATACCGGCAACATTTTAACCTCAATAAAACACGTTAACCATCCCATTCCTTTCTTTTATCCAATGCTTCAATCCAAGTCTAACCTCTGTGTTATACATACATCGGCGTCCATTTGTGCTGACTGCTAAGTGGCGATGTGTGCGTGTAATTGAGAGCGTTCGGGTTCCGCAAGTTTCAGCTTCTTTCTCTTGACTAGAAACGGCGAAACATGCCCAAAAGCGAAGTCAATACCGCGGTGTCGACGTCGTCGTACTGCTTCTCGTGGGACGACTATCAGAGTCACTTCTCATCGGTGGTGCGCCAACTCCTCGACGAAGAATGTATGCTCGACGTGACCCTCTGTGCCGGCGGGGAGCGCATCCAAGCTCACCGCCTGGTATTGTGCGCCTGCAGCGATCTTCTGGCAGTACGTTTTTGTTTGTTTTTACCGCCGGCAATGTGCTTTGTTTACTTACTTTTTACAAACACATTTTAATCTAACTTATTATTTATTGTTTAAGGATTTGTGCAGCCAGGTTAGCGATGATCATATTACGGTCATCTTGGACGACATCGATCCTAAAGACGTCAGATCAATTGTAGAGTTTATTTATAATGGAGAGGTCAGAACTCCAGTTGAAAATATCAACAACTTCTTGGCTGCTGCACAAACTCTTAAGATACAAGGTTTGATGGAAGTGAGTTGAATTTTCATTATAATACATTTATTGTTAGTTTGTGGTTTGTTTAATGGTTTTTGGTTATTCATTGGTGGACCTTTTCTGCAGATTGGTCCAGTGGAAAGTGAAGAGAATGAGATTAATGTTACAGATGATTGTCAAGAAGTACAATTGTTTGATGAGTTCAGTCAAGATGATGATGATGATGGCATGATAGAGTTAGAAAAAGTTACAGTTGAGAATAATGAACAAGATGAAATGAAAATAGAGATAGATAAGGAAGAAAACTCTGATACAATGGCAAGAAGGCGAAGGAGGAGTGTTTGTAAAAAAGAATACACTGATAAAATGTTAACCAATGCAATAAATGATATTAAAGCTGGTACTTCACTATTGGATGCTGCTGCCAAATTTCATATACCAAGATCAACACTGTATATGCGAGCAAAAATACTAGGTTTAACATTGAACAATCATAAATGTGACTACACAGCTGACGACATGAAAGCAGCAATAGATGCAGTTATTGGTATGTAGAACCCTATTAACACAGTTTTGAAAAGATTGACAGATTTTTATTTGTATGTACACATACAATTTATATTTTTTTTAGCTGGCTCTAGTTTACAAAATGCTGCAGATAGTTTTGGCATACCAAAGACAGTTTTATGGAGGAGAATACAAAAAGAAGGTCATGTGTACAGGACAGAAACTAGAAGAAACTATGATGCAGAAAAAAGAGAAGCTGCAGTCAAAGCATTAGAGAGAGGAGAAGCTCTGACAAAAGTTGCTCAAGAGTATCAGGTATAGTTAGAAAAGTTATTAATTTCAATTCAAGATCTCCGTGCAACGTTCTTATTTAAAATTTTTTTGTTTTCAGATTCCAAAGACGACATTATTTAGAGATAAAGTACGTTTGGTAGATGAAGGAAGATTACCAGAGTCAGATATGAAAAGACGCAAGAGTTATATAGAAGGGGAAAAACGACTGGCACTGGAAAAAGCAGTAGCTGCATGTAAAAAAGGAACTATGTCTCAAGCGACTGCCTCTATAACTTATAAAATTCCAAAAACTACAATTTGGAGGCGGCTTCAAAGGGATGCCGCCAAAACAGAGAATATTGAAACAACAAAATTACTATTTAGAAAAGGACATTATCAATTGAAAAAGAAAGAGGATAACAAATCGGAAAATTTACCTGATTCAAACTTCGAAGTTTACTGTGATGCAAGTATATTTAAATATGTAAGAATTTATTTTTATCAATAAGGTTTTAATTTTAATATCATTATTAACAGGAGGATTCACAAATCGATCTTACCTATATTGAAGATTCAAATATGTCAAATGATCCAGTCATAATTTTAACAAGCGATACCGCTCATGAATTGAATTTAGAAAATAATCGACTTGTAGTTGTTCAAGATGTAATATTATTATATATAATTATGACATTTTCTTCTTGCAATCATATTAATGTTTTGTACTTTGCTTTCAGGACACTGAAGATAACTATATCACGTGTGGATTGGAATTAAATGAAAATTCATCTTTTGATACCAAAAGTTAACGAAGTAGTTTGCAGGAAGCTTGTAAATAGTTTTTAAAATAAATATAGCTGAAACTGTGTGAACTGCAAGCGTTCCTCGTGAAATCAAGAAAATATTTTTGATTCTATACATTATTATTTTTATTATATTCATACTATATACAAACTTGAACATTTTCTAACATTAGTAATTCATGTTGATATGCGGGTGATATTGAAAAGTTTTCATTCTAAATATTATTAGAAGATTTTTCTTAGTTGTACAATGTTTTGATTTATAACTTGATAGCTTCACTGTAAATAACTACAGCAAAAAAATAAGAATGAAAAAACTCTATTGTTCTCATATTCTTTTCTTTGCACATCCTTACCCCTGTAAGGGAAATTACCTCGCTCTAATCTATGTTTCCTTTTTCTTTTACCTTCAGTTCAAATAATTAAAATGCTGTTGTATATCTTGTATAGTATTTTTGTAAGAAATATCGTTCGTGCATTTCATATATACGTGCATATGTTGTGTGTATTAAAAGTACTTAATATAATATACTTCAGCTGAAATCAATATATGTTGAATTTCAACTGGTTTAAAACATAAATAAATAGGTCAATATATATCAGTTTTTTAGAAAGTAAATTATATTAGAGAAAAAGAGATATCAAAAAATAAAAATAGAAAGGACAAAAGTAGCCTACGGGAAATTATACCGACAATCCGACGTCTTTACTTACTCAGTCCGTGCGGTTGGTCAGCTTTGTTTTGATTCGTATAAAGCCGGCTGAAATGCTCTACACGTGCGTTCAGTGGAAATGAAAATATTAAATTTATGAAGCCGAATCTTATTCAAAATTTTATTAAGGCACTTTATGTTTTTGATCAATATTGACAAAAGAACTAGTAACACTCTAAATTACACGTATATACAGCCTTTAGTCATTATTGGATGAATCATATATTTTTGCAATAGATATATTGATTTCAAGTCATTCTGGTTATGTACATGAGAAACATGATAAAATTATTTAAAATCATATTTTATCAATGAAATTTATATTTATTATGTGTACAAAATTATATTTGGATTCGAATTCCCTAAAATGCCTTAAGATTTAGTTTAACGTTATTTTACTTTACTCTTAGATATGTATATTGCTTTGTGTCTACGCACAGTAGCTGCGAAAACTGGACTAACTGAGGTTGGTGCACAGCAACCGCACATTGCGCAGTTGCAGCATAGAGCTTCTACGCAGCCTATAAGCGCAACTTCAATACGACCTTTGCAACCGCGCGCCATTTGTTATTTATCAATCAAACAAGTTGTTAACCGGGTAATTCTGATCTTATTTTTTCCATACAAATTCATTCTCTATCATGAAAATCGAGGAAGTGAAAAGTACAGCGAAAACGCAAAGAATCTCGGCTCATACTCACATCAAAGGTTTAGGCCTTGATGAAAAAGGATATGCCATCCCGTTTGCTGCCGGCCTCGTTGGTCAAGAACAAGCCAGAGAGGTTAGTTTTATTTCATTTAATTGTTTTCATGTGTAATTCATTCTATTAGTAATTTTTATTTATTGTTTTACTTGAAATAAAAATATACAAAACTTCTGACATCTTAATATCTTGAAAAACTCTTAAAAGTATCATACGAATAATTATTCAAAATTTCAATGAGATATTCCTTATTAAGCTTTATTATAAATTTTTCTAGGCTGCTGGCATTGTTGTTGACATGATCAGGAGTAAGAAAATGTCTGGCCGTGCAATTCTCTTTGCTGGCCCACCTGGAACTGGAAAAACAGCTATTGCATTGGCCATAGCGCAAGAGCTGGGTAATAAAGTTCCGTTCTGTCCAATGGTAGGATCAGAAGTTTACAGTTCTGAAATCAAAAAGACAGAAGTGCTAATGGAAAACTTCAGAAGAGCTATTGGATTGAGAATCAAAGAGACCAAAGAGGTGTACGAGGGTGAAGTTACAGAGTTATCCCCGGTGGAAACTGAAAATCCTATGGGTGGTTATGGCAAAACTGTCTCACATGTTGTCATTGGCTTGAAAACTGCAAAAGGAACAAAGCAGTTAAAATTGGATCCTTTGATTTATGAGTCTTTACAAAAGGAAAAGGTTGAAGTAGGAGATGTAATCTACATTGAAGCCAACAGTGGAGCAGTTAAGAGGCAAGGAAGGAGTGACAATTATGCTACTGAATTTGATTTGGAAGCTGAGGAGTATGTGCCACTACCAAAGGGCGATGTACACAAAAAGAAAGAGGTGATTCAAGATGTTACTCTACATGATCTTGATGTTGCCAATGCGAAACCTCAAGGAGGACAAGACATAATGTCTATGATGGGGCAACTTATGAAACCAAAGAAAACAGAAATCACAGGTGAGTTTTATAAATCTTGTTTAAATTTGTGTTTTTCAATGAATTGTTTATTAAGTACCATTTTCATTTCAGATAAACTTAGAAAAGAAATCAACAAAGTGGTGAACAAGTATATTGACCAAGGAATAGCAGAGCTTGTGCCAGGCGTGTTGTTTATCGATGAGGTTCACATGCTTGATATCGAAACTTTCACCTACCTCCATCGTGCTCTTGAAACAGCTATCGCTCCAATTGTGATTTTCGCAACGAATCGTGGTCCATGTGTCATTCGTGGCACAGATGATATTATATCTCCACACGGATTGCCTCATGATCTTCTCGACCGATTGCTCATTATTAAAACTTTGCCTTACGAAACGAACCAGATCGAGCAGATCGTCAAACTGAGAGCGGTCACTGAAGGTCTCCAACTCGAGGAGGATGCACTAAAAGAACTGAGTGAATTGGGAACAAAAACAACGCTCAGATACGCTGTTCAGCTGTTAACTCCTGCATCTTTAACTGCTAAGATCAACGGTAGGGCAAGTATCACGAAGGAGGACATTGACGAGGTGAAAACAATGTTTTTGGACGCCAAATCCTCGGCAAAAATTCTCACGGAGAATAAGGATAAATTTATGAAATAGTAATAATTTATCATTTAGTCATTTTACCACATACGAATATTTCTTCTTTTTAAGTACTGTGACATCTACTACTTTGATTTCTTTTATTTCACTAGATTTAAGATAACATTTAAGAAAAATAGACTAGAAAGAGAATATTTTTGATGCACCAGTGTAAATGTTTGTAATAAATGATGATTTCTCACGTATGTTAGTTAGTCTACATTTCTTATTCCATTATAACATCAATGATTTCTCCCGGTACATACGTTGTTGGAATATCAAACGAATAACATCCTTGCCAAACACCGATGTTATTTTCCGGAACTGGAAAAATAATTTTCCCGACATATGAACGTATTGATCTTTGAATTATTATTTTTTATTAGCTCATCTGCAACGGAAATTTTCCAAACTGGACATTATAGGAAACGTTAATTAAGTGGAAAACAACTCGTAATTGTACGACATTGCAATCACGGCTGATCTAACACTGAGTAAAGATGAAAGTGAGATCAGAAAACTTTTATTTTTGAAATCACTCATAAACATCATAGTAATTAACGTACTATATCCGTTACCTCAAATTTCCTTGTGCGTTTTGCATAATAAATGTTTAAAAAAAGAAAATGCTAAAAATGGCCTTTTTCTGCACATATCTCCATTTTATTTATAAAATACTACTCTAAAGATTAATATAAATACAAACAGAGTTATAGAGCATTAAATTTGTAATATAAAATTAGAAAATTTAATTTGCCTCAACCGAAATGCAGAGTAAAGAAAAATTTTTTTAACATCAGTTTTTATACTGTTTTCATGTTATAATATTAAAAGACATGAAAAAATCAGACCGATGGCTGTTTTAATTACTGAGCTATTGCAATTGTTAATTAACCTATTAAAGCCCATGGCAAAATTGGAAGTTAGCATCAAAGTAACTACGTCATTCAAAAGCAATTAAAAAAAATACCCGTGCTTTTCTTTTTGCCATTTACAATTGTTTATGAAAAGTTATTGTTTTTCAAATCAGATTACGGCAATCGATTTTACGGGGAAAAGTATGGAAAAAATGTATTTAACATTTTTCTGTCGGACTTTAATTTGTCATGAAAAATAGCTGTACTTAGTAGTAGTGCAACTATTTATTAACTATTTATTAGTATTAGTTGACATAGAAGAGCCAACGTACGCAAAATCCGCTCTCTAGAGTCGGAGTCACGCCTCTAGGGATAGCTTAACGCGACGACAAGAACTTGATTTGACGAATTCAAAATCGTTGCGCGCTCTTTTTACATCGATTATTGTCATCCATATGATCATTACCATCATTACCATGATGATTATGACTATGATAATAATGATCGCAATTAAAATGACCGAAATTCGATTGTTCTTATGTTGCTTACTGAAGCGTATAAAATTAGCAGCAAAAATATTATGAACCACTATTTTTTTTCATAGTTTCTAGCTCAAAAAATATATCGTATCAAAATAGATGTATTTTCAATAAAGTTGACACTTATAGAGTAATGTCCCGAATCTTACCGTAATATTAACATAAAAATCAACAAAGAATTAATAGGTAATAAGAAAGATGTATAAAACATGTCCGGCTGGACGTTAATGGATTAAATTAATAGATGATTCAAATAATTTTGTCTTGAATAAATATATAAGTGTACGCTATGATACAATTTAAATTTAAGCATTCATAAAGTTAAATTGATTTTTATTTTTTTAACACGCATAAATAACATTAAAACAGTAATTACTTTTATTATAAAAATTACTAAATAATTTGTGCAAAACTTATTTAAAGTCAAAAGTTAACACAAACATTTTATTGATAAAAACTTAAATAAATAATTACATCTCGATAGTTAATAAGTTTAAACAGAATATGAATCGAAAGCTATTTACGGCTTTAGTATAAATTACAATTACAAAATTTTTATTTTTTAAATTTAAAAACTTTTAAATATTAATTACAATTTAATAATTAAATAACGAGTCAAGAAGAGATAGAATTTAAAATTTATTCATTGATTCTATTAAAAAATAATATAAGACATGTTTGTAAAATATAGATATGAAACTTTGCACACCAAAAAGCGGATTTCGCGTACGTTGCTTCTTCTTTGTCAACTAATACTAATAAATAGCTAATAAATAGTTGCTCTATTATTATAAGTACAGCTCGCTGACTTTGGGATTCAGTAACAATGAATTGAATGATTTAAATTTAAAGATTGAAGCGTCAAAAGATTCTTCTTTTCTAGCTACATGTATACGTTGTGCATGTATTTTTCAAACTTTTATTACAACGAAAACTCGCAGAAATATAACATTCATGACGTATGTCAAAATCGAAAAATTTTATCAAAAAATTATTTAGATTGGTTAATAATAAAACAGCATATCATAATTAAAACCTTACAGCGTATATACAAAAATCGCGGCAAGTGTCAAAGCCCTTACGTGACCTGTATTTTGTTGCAAAAAAATCATATCATCTTAATCAACTAAGACCCATACCAAAGAGCATCAAACTAATTATGCCATTCATAGGCAAAGTGAAAACAAAATATTCGTGTTTTTTTGTCATTTACAACTGTTTATAAAACAAATTTTAAACAAAATACCCAAAAATGTATTGTTTTACAAATATGATTGCGGCAATGCATTCTACGGGGAAAAGTATGGAAAAAATGTATATAATATTTTTATGTTAGACTTCACTTTATCATGAAAAAATAGTTATCAAACATTGAACTTCTGAAACGTTGATACTGACGGTTACCTAAGTGATGTAACCTGATGATTGAGTGCATGAAATGAAAAAATGTATTTTTTATCGTAAAAATTTGTAAACCGTATTAGAGATAAGTTCGGAAGTTTGCCAATAAACATTCGAACGAGGTAAGGAGGTCAAGTGATTGTTCATTATGTAAGCACGAAATTGAACAAGGTATCTCTAAATTATGTGAGATATCATCGTGTGAAATGAAAACTGCATTTTATTGCTAGAAATGTTCGGTTCCCGTGTACAAAAGATATTAAGAAGTGCACGTAAACAAAACTGAATAAAAATTCAATCGAGCTAAGTTATCAGTAATAGCTATTTTTTATGACAAATTAAAGTCCGACATAAAAATGTTAAATATATTTTTTCCATGGTTTTTCTCGTAAAATCGATTGCTGCATCTGATTTGAAAAACAATAACTTTTTCGACAGTTTGTTTAAATAACTTTTTATAAACAATTGTAAATGGCAAAAGAAAAAAGCATTCAAAAAAAGCATTTAAAAGGTATTTCTTTTTAATTGTCTATGTATGACATGGCCTTAATGGGTTAATTAACAAATGCAATAGCTCGGTAACTAAAACAGCTATTGGTTTGATTTTTTATATCTTTTAATATTATAACACGGAAACAGTACTAAAATTAATATTAAAAAATTTTTTTTATTCTGCATTGCGGTTCTGACAAATTAAATTTTTTAATTTTATATTACATAATTTAACGCCCTATAACTTTGTTTGTATTCATATTAATCGTTAGGGTGATATATTTGACGTATAAAATTGATATATGTACAGAATAAAAGCTATTTTAAGTATTTTATTGCTCTAAACATTTATTATGGAAACCACACAGTGATGAATATAGTACTTTATTTACCAAGATATTTGTGAGCATTTTCAAATAGGAAACAGGTGTCTGCTCTTACATCCAAATTTCATGCCTCATTGAACTTATTCTACTAGACTGTTCGTGTCCCACTGACTTTTGGAGTGTGTCGTAAGTTGTGGTGCATTGTAAGCGTTTGATCCTTGAAGCGAGTCGAAACTGTATAGTAAAAGAGAATTTTCTTCTAATACTCGATTAGTCACGTTCCGCTCAAGAATTGGCTTTTACATCTTGTCATTCCCTCTCTCTCAGTCGTTCGTTGACGAGGGTTGATCTTTAAACCCCTAAAATTTACGATATCCACTCTCTTCCGAAATCCTTCCACTAATTATAGTACCAAAATGACGGCCGTCTATCCCGCGAGGTGACTTCAATTATCATCCCCTCTTTTTTAACCGACGAAAATTAAATAACCGATCGCGAGAAACGATAAACAACCGACATACCAATGCCTAGCCTGTCAAAGCCCAAACTTGCTCTACTCTTTTGTCTTCAAACTTGCGTTTTTCATAGTCCACTCCTTAATATATATACCTGTTGTTTTTGTATTGAATAGAGCTTAAGTTTAAATTGCCACTTTCCCTTTTTATCCTCGATTTCGTTCTCTCGCCAATTTCACTTGCACTCAAAGGGAAAAAACGTTTGCAGTGCAAACAATATGCGCCGATTCCGTACATTTGCATCGTGCATCGAGAGCTAACAATTCCAATTGGACACGTCAGAGAGAGAGAGAGAGAGAAAGAGAGAGAGAGAGAGAGAGAGAGCAGTGCATCGTGTAATCTCGTCCACGTTACGACATCGCGCAGCCGAGCGAACCACGTGGTTGTATAAAAGCCGAGCGGAGCACGTTGCCGCGGCGTACTTTGTCGCATGTAGTCTCGCCGGCGAAACGATTTCACAGCGGATTATGCTCGTTTCTATTTGCGCGTTTCATCCTTGCTATCGTCATTGCTGCTGCTGTTATTGAGCGACGTTGTTGTAAATAATTGGTTATACAAAGGTGAGATTTTTTAAAATTCGATAATTGAAGTTGAAGCGAACGCTAGTGTATTCGAATAGCGATGTAATTGCAATTTCGCAAAATTAGTGTAAATCTTTCTGCCTGTAACATGGAAACGCAAATAAATTTCAACATCGCTCAACTTGACTGGATTGACAACTTTTTTTCAATTTCTTTATATTTTTTGTTTGCTGCCTGACTCGTTTCGAAGAGAAACTATAATTCTAGCGATCGTTTTATCGAAATAATTTATCTCAAATGCCACGAATGGACTTTTATCAGCTCAAAAGATGCAGTCGACGTTGAGACTCGCGGGTTGTTCTCGGCTGTTGCTGGAGCGCGAAGGCGCGAAAAAACACGCGCGCGGGCTACGGTTGGCTGTCGCAAACTGCGACAAGTTTCGGGAACTTTTCCCGTTGAGAGAAGAGTTCCAAGCGAGGCACATTGGTCCACGCGATCACGAGCAGGCAGAGATGCTCAAGTTTCTTGGGATAAAGGTATTTCTCTGTTTCCTACTTGTTTCCCGAGTGAAGTCTTATTTTACGAAATTAAATTTGTCCTTCAGTCACTGGACGAGCTGACGTCAAAGGCAGTGCCGGGCAAAATTCAGATCAAAAAGACAATGGACATAGACGAGCCAGTCAGTGAGTACAATTGAAAAGTACTCATGCCGAAGAAAGTAATTCATTTAAAAAAATAACAGAATCACGAGACTCTCGGTTTGGCATTCGCGTGAGCGATTGTACATACGTACGCGGCTCTCGCGATAACCCTTAACTTCGTAGGAGGTCATGTATTCAAGTTGATCGACCTCCCGCGTGCAGAAGAAAAAACCTTGACCGACGAAGATTTTTCCGTGAGATGTAAAGTCAAGTCGTCATTCGAAACGCAGACGAGCATTTTTCTGCGCGTTATAAATGCCAAGTTTTCCAAAGACGTTGCTCTTTCGTAACACGTTAAAGCTGATCTTGGCAATATTTACAAAATAAGCGTTATCAGGCGAGAAGCGCATCGTAGTTTGAATTTCATTTTTCAAGTGTACTCGCAATTCCGCCTTCGCGCTTGCCGCTCGCTTACGCAGCAGTCGAATCACCGACGATAAAAAAAAAATCGACGTATCGTGTCGTCGTTAAAGATAGTCGGCCGCCGTTGTGACATGATACGAGCGCCCGATTAGAGAACTCGTTCAAGGCTCCAAATATTCCTTGATGATTCGTAAAGGTATTAGCTAACATCGGCGAATCTCGTTGAACTTGATCAATCGCGCGTCTTTAGTTTGCCGCTTATCGGAGGTCAGTAGATAACGTGCGCATTCTGAAATTGAATCTCACGCGACGCGAGCGTATCAATGTGAAAAGAAGAGCGTCTGTTCGCACGGCCGGTCCCCCGCAAAGCACGGAGGTCGATTACTCAACAGTTGAATAATAACTCTGTGTATGTTTACACGATTACAGCTGAGTTCGAGTTGATAAAGCGCATCGGCGAGATCGCCAACAGAAATCAAGTGTGGCGCAGCTACATCGGCATGGGCTATTACAATTGCTGCATTCCGCACACCATCATGAGGAACATCTTCGAGAACCCCGGATGGTAATTGCCCGCTGCACTCCGCGTTTTCGCGCTTTTCCAAGCGCCCGAAACTCGCGTTTTCAGAATTGGGTCCCTTATAATAATTGTGGTCGTGAGCGAGCCACGCGAATAAAATTGCAACGTCGCGATTAACGAGTAGTACGTAGTTCCCAAGTAATCGAGGCGAATTAGTTCGGCCACGTCGGAGGGCAAAACGATAACGTCGACGATATTCGCTTGTCTGAGCCTCGAGCCGAGTGTCCTAACTCGCCCCAATCTGATGAACGGCGCAGGACGACGCAATACACGCCGTATCAGCCGGAGATAGCTCAAGGCCGCTTGGAAAGTTTACTGAACTACCAGACGATGGTCTGCGACCTGACGGGCCTGGAAGTAGCCAACGCGTCGCTGCTCGACGAGGGTACGTCTGCAGCCGAAGCCCTGGGCTTGGCGCATCGCTATAACAAGCGCAAGCGCATCTTCGTGTCCGACAAAGTGCACCCGCAGACCATCAGTGTCATCGCCACTCGCGCCAGCTCGCTCGGCCTCGATCTCCAAGTCGGCGACATCTTCGAAGCGGACACGAGTGCCAAAGACGTCGCCGGGCTTCTGCTGCAGTACCCGGACACGACCGGCGGCATCCGGGACTTTGGCGGGCTCGTCAAGCGGGCGCACGCCCACGGGGTGAGTTTCGTCCTCCTCCTCCGACGCAGCACGGGATACACGGGATACACATTCGCCGTTGCTCGCTCTTTAGACGCTCGTTGTGGCGGCGTCGGATCTGCTGTCGCTGGCGGTGATCAAGCCGCCGGGCGAGTTCGACGTCGACATCTGCATAGGCACGAGCCAGCGCTTCGGCGTGCCGCTCGGCTACGGCGGCCCGCACGCGGGTTTCTTCGCCTGCCGGCAGAAGCTCGTGCGGCTGATGCCGGGGCGCATGATCGGCGTGACGCGCGACGCGGACGACCGCGAGGCCTACCGCCTGGCGCTGCAGACGCGGGAGCAGCACATCCGGAGGGACAAGGCCACGAGCAACATATGCACGGCGCAAGCTCTGCTCGCCAACATGTCGGCCATGTACGCGGTCTACCACGGGCCCAAGGGCATCAGGAACATCGCCACCAGGGTTCACAGCCTCACCGTCGCGCTCGCCGAGGGCCTGGGCAGCCACGGCAACCAGCTGGAGAACGAGTTTTACTTCGACACCCTGACGGTCAGACCCAGGATCGGCCTCGACGCTCTCAAGAGGAATGCCGACGCGCTGAGGATCAATTTGAGGTGAGCGACTGCCCCTTGGCGAGCGCTGCGGAAACGTGTCGAGGTCGTCACGGCCGTGGCTATGCACAGGTACTACCAGAACGGCACGGTCGGAGTGTCTCTCGACGAAACGACGGGGCCCGAGGACGTCAACGACCTCTTCGGAGTTTTCTCCGTCGACACGACCATCGACCGCGTCGTCAACGGCGGCTCGATCGACGGCAAAGGTCTCGGCGTATCGCCCTTCCGTCGAACGAGCCCGTACCTCGAGCATCCGGTCTTCAACTCGCACCACTCCGAGACGCAAATAGTCCGCTACATGAAGTCCTTGGAGAACAAGGATATTTCGCTCGTGCACAGCATGATCCCACTCGTGAGTGAAGTCCGTCGAAATCACCGCGGCTCGCGTCTTAACGATTGCTCGTTGTCGAAAGGGCTCGTGCACGATGAAGCTCAACTCGACGACGGAGATGATGCCGTGCAGCTTCAGAGGTTTCACCGACATCCATCCGTTCGTGCCCCCCGACCAATCCCGCGGCTACCAACAGATGTTCCTCGAATTGGAGCGCGACCTCTGCGAGATCACCGGCTACGACAGCATCAGCTTCCAACCGAACAGCGGCGCCCAAGGCGAATACGCTGGGCTCAGGGCTATTAAGTGCTATCACGAGTCGAACGGCGACAAAGACAGACAAGTGTGCTTGATTCCCGTGTCGGCTCACGGGACGAATCCTGCATCGGCGCAAATGGCCGGGATGAAGGTAGAACCGATTAGAGTGAAGAATGACGGGTCTATCGACATGGATCACCTCAAGGCCATGACTGAGAAGTTCAAGGTTGGTCGTCGTCCAATTTCAGCATCAGACTTTCACCGAGGACCCTGTTTAACGCCGTTCCGATTATTAGCACAATCTCTCGTGTCTGATGATCACCTATCCCTCGACAAACGGCGTGTTCGAAGAGACGATCAGCGACGTGTGCGATTTGGTGCACCAAGTCGGTGGCCAAGTCTACCTCGACGGCGCGAACATGAACGCCCAAGTGGGCCTCTGTAGGCCAGGAGACTACGGCAGTGACGTATCGCATTTGAATTTACACAAGACCTTCTGCATTCCACACGGCGGTGGTGGTCCTGGCATGGGACCAATTGGAGTGAAGAAACATCTATCGCCGTTCTTGCCCAGTCATCCGGTAGTCGATCCAGTTACTGGGGATATCAAGGTAGTAAGTAGCGACAGTCTGGTCATTTTTCTTATCCTCGGTGCAAATGGTGGACTTGCCCTTCTAAAGTAGTGGTCTTTGCTTATTTCATCGCAACGAAGTATATTTTTTGTTCCAAGCTTAAACATTATTTTTAAAACGAGCCTTTTTTTTAACAGCTCACCGAAGGTCTGGGTGCAGTATCAGCAGCTCCCTACGGGTCCTCCGCTATTCTACCGATCTCTTGGGCGTACATTAAGATGATGGGTCCCCGAGGACTGCGCAAAGCGACGCAAGTAGCGATCCTCAACGCTAATTACATGGGCAAGAGGCTCGAAGGTCCCTATAAAATTTTGTACAAAGGTGTCACTGGCCTCGTCGCTCACGAATTCATTCTAGATATTCGTGACTTGAAGAAAACGGCCAATATCGAGGCTGTCGATATTGCAAAGAGATTAATGGATTACGGATTCCATGCCCCGACCATGAGTTGGCCCGTTGCTGGTACTCTTATGATTGAACCGACCGAGTCCGAGGATAAAATCGAACTTGATCGATTCTGTGATGCTCTTATTTGTAAGTTGATTGATTAAGTAAGGCTCGTGCTTTTCAAATAATTCCTTTTTAGTTTTTGAATACAAGTTTTAGTTTGCTATAGCACAAATTCAAACGTAACATCGATCGATCAAATGTTAAGTCATTCGCTATTTATTATTTATAGCCATCAGAAAAGAAATACAGGCAATTGAAGATGGAAAATTAGACGCTAGTATTAATCCTTTGAAAATGGCACCGCACACGCAAGAGCAAGTCATTAGCGATAAGTGGGATCGACCTTACTCCAGAGAATTGGCTGCATTTCCAGCAGTGAGTAATTCTTCGATAATTAATCAAATCTCGCATCGAGAAGAATAACAGATAAGAATTGTTCGTTTTACTTTTAGTCTTTCGTAAAAGGAAGTACCAAAATGTGGCCTTCAGTCGGACGAATTGACGACATCTACGGTGATACGAATCTCTTCTGCACTTGTCCACCGATCTTACCTCCACAATAAATTTTATTAAAATGTAAATAGTAATTTATGCATAACTCAAGGCATGCAAGGAACACGAGTATTTGTAAATATAATTCTTAAGAATCATGTGCTTAGAATAAGACTTGTTTTTATTAAGTTTCATTATTTTACAATATTCTTCAAATAAATCAACGCATCTTAAATTGAAAAAAAAATAGTTTGTTGTTACTTTTTATATAAAAAAAATGATTACATCCATTGAATAAAACAAATTAAAAAAGAGAAAAAGATTCTCCACTTCTACGATTAGTGTCAGTAATCTACAGACCGGGCATAATATATGCTACATTCTCGAGAGTCGATGATAAAACTTGGGGTTCGGCCCCGTTCATTTCAGGTATCTGTTGAGTTAGACACAGCAGAGGTCCAAGAGCACAGAGTAACGAATCTAAGAGTAACGGTAAACTACCAGATACCGTAATCTGTCCCTCGTGCTCCTTCAGTCTTTTTCCTATAAGTGTCAAGCTCTCACCGAGCAATGCCAGGTGAGCAGCTACGTCTATTGGTTGAGTTCCGGTAACTTTGTATCCTCCCAAGCCTAGGTGAGCGTCGTTCAAATCTTTGCCCGACTTATTTAAGTGAGGTGGCGATACGTACAATTTGTTGCCTATTGTTGGAACGCCAAGGTTTATTGTTTTTGGCGCTGCATTTTCTCGATTTATCGCTGTTCCTACAATTAATTGGAAAATTAGTTAATTATAGATATATTATTTAAACTATTATTCCATTACCTAGTTTGTTTATAAATTGACGGGAAGATTGGGGTAGTTTGTTGTTTTGATTAGTACTTCGTAATTGTAAGCGTTTGGCTCGTTTTTTCCAATTGTGCTTTTCTAAATTAGGTACTGTAGCCCACAATTCTCCCAATTTTTTTGATATTGTTGCAAAATCTTCAAAAATAAATTCATATTAGTCATATTAGTCATGTCAGAAAAATATTATTTATTAAAATTATTATATTTTTCATTAACCTAAGTTTGGGTGATGCTCCACTAACTGTTGTCTGGCTTCCTTGGACCACAACATGTATGCTGTGAATCTTGTTACCTACCAAAAATCAGTTTTCAATGAGTTATTTTAAAGAAGTTTAAAATATAATCTTGAGTAAATATGCTCTTACCCCTTTATCCTTACGTTGTGATTTTGTTGTTTTACTTATAACTTTGCCATCTTTAATTACCAATTTTTTTTTGTATTTTTCTAACATATATAAACTGTTTTTTGCTTGGGATGGCAATTCGGTTTGTTCTGGAGGTTCAAGCTTTGTGAATCCAGTTACTTCCATTACAGGTTCAACTTCATCCTCTTCAAACTCAGACTCTCCGTCATCTCCATCATCATCATCACCACTTGATAAATCTTCACTAGATTCCTCATGGTGAACTCCGTTTGTTGCCTCAGGTCCTGATTCAGACGTTTCTTCCTCATCTTCTGATGATTCTTGAGTGTCTTCTTGATTAGCTTCTTGCTTGATCTGTATTGGTTGCTGTGAATTATTTCTCTGATGAAAATTATTTATCTGACGTGGAATATTGTTTTGCAGAAATGAATTACTATGCAGAGGAGAGTTAGCATTTTGCTGTTTAAATTTTTGAGATTGTTCATATTTTTCTAATATTTGTTGAGCGTGTGCATGCTGTTGAGCTCTTTGTCTCTTCAATCTTTGTTCTGTAACATCATCTGGTGACTCAAAATCCAACAGCTTTGATGACTTTTTTCTGACTCTGCCACTTCTTGAAATTCCAGTGACTTCTAAATCTATCATTTTAAGAAAAATGTACTTTGACAAGTAAAAGGTAATGTTTATATTGTTCTAATTTTACAAGTCAAGTGTTACTTGTCATGCTTGTGTCTACTTATTCAATTGAATGATTTATCACAACAAATGTATTGTATTGGAAAATATTTTTTCATTCAATTGAAAATTCTAATGCCATAAAATTTGTACTGTTTTGGTGTTATCAAACAATACTTTATTACTATAAACAGGTTTTAAAATAAAGATGTTCAACTACGTGCACAATATTACCAAAATTATCTCACTCAATATTTAATTACAAATAATTAAGAATGAATACTACATCTAATTTCAAAGTGCATAAAGGCGCATTAAAATTTCAAAACATAACCTAATACAAAAACAACAAAGAAAATCAACAATAGTAAACGCTCACCGTCATTCTTTAGATTTTTCGGAGTTGAAAAATAATCCATTATTCCGTGTGCTTATGCCTTTTAAAATGCATGCGTCTAAGCAATCTGCAATAAAAAATCACTCCGGCGAGGCACAAGATCGTGACGTGCTCTCGCTCTCCACTTGCGGACAAACCATCGAGCGCCCCCTCTTTTTATTGACTCACTGACATTTTATTTCGAAATAATTTTTAATGGTGCATCATTATTTTTATACTAGAATTGTTTGTTGTGTGCCTGATGACGGCGGCATTTTCATATTCCAATTCTTGAGCGTGTAGAACACTTTCGAACAAGTAGCAATTGTTATACAGTTTAACTATTTATTTCCATTCTAACCACGTGGGTAACATTATTGAAAACGATTTTTCAATGTTCTGATTGAAAATAAAGTTATTTCGAGTTGATGAACTTGATTACGAATAGATTTTTTGTAAATTATATCGTTATTCAATAAATTTTATTAGGAACATTTGATTTACAATTCGCGCAAAATTGTAGCGAATTTCTGATTGGCTATACTACTAGACTCAAAAGAGCTTCTTTTGCACATTTTTAAAATAAGTTTTTAATAAACTATTTTTCGTATGTTGATTTTGAGAACATAATAAAAGATTATGAAAATTTGAATGGCTAAATAAATAATTACAATACCAAAGCGTTTTAACAATAGATTGATTTAAAGATAATATTTATTTAGGAGATTTTATCATCACATGGATAACAGAATAACATTTCATTTAATACAGTGTGAGTTCTTAATTTAGTTACAAAACTATATATTTACAATTAATTAAATTATTCCATATCTTCTTGTTGCCATCCATCCTCATCAGACAAAAATCTCCTTTTATGTGTGGTGTTCATGTATGGTCTCAAAGCCCATTCAGTGTCAGCAGCTGCTTCTGAATCCAAAGTTCCCAACTTGATATCATACAATTTCAACTGAAATCTTGGTCCAATCTCTGTCATCTCAATGTCCTTTCCATGGATCTTCTTATATGTGTGGTGTCTAAAGACAATGTAATCGTCATGATTGGCAAAAGTAATGACTCTTTTACTGTCTTCTTTGGGTACTGGAAATAGGTACTTTAAGATGCTCATTGCCCTTAGACCTAATTTTGTTTTGAAATTGTGGAATATTAAATGTGGATACTGCTCTGACATGGGACCAATATCTGGAATATCATGACGCATGATCACATCTGACATAGTGAAACGAACTGTAGGTCCATATGGCAAATGACAAATTATAAGAGAGTCTGGTACTCCTCTGTGTTCATGTACCATAATAAAATCTGTAACATCATTTGCTCTGCACGCATGAATCAGCTGTTTTATATCATAGTTACCACGATTCATCCTTTGAGAATTTGGAAAAATAAGTCTCAATTCTTTCACAAACATTTTCAATCTAGAACTTGGATCTCGAGAGGTTGTTATGACAATCTTAGGATTTTCAACTCCAGCCCATCTGTATTCATCATCTTCATTTGATCCCAATGCTCCACCCATTTCAGTTCCCTGGGCAACTGCAAGTGTTGGACCACCATCTTCCCATTCTGCTTTTTTTTGTAAATACAGAGCATCTTTTCTAAGATCTGGATGAATAGGAACGTTTTCTTCGAGACTTCTCTTGACTTTGTCTTTCTTTTCTTGGATGATTTTTAATTTATCTTGCACGGACTTTCTGTACAAATACTCTCTTCTCAAACGAGCTTGTCTTCGTAACATTTTTAATAATATTTCCACACTACTCAAATTAAACTTACTCTAAGTTATCTCGAATTATAATTTGTATTGCTAGTTTAGTTACTACATTGTTGTGAAAGCTTGGTTCAAAGGTTATGTTTATGTCTTTACAGCAGCACGTGTTTCTCACGTTCACGTCGGTAAGAGACATTTTTTCCTTACCTTCAGAGCTGATATTATTCTATCTCAAATATTCAAATCAGTTTTTAAATTGTTAATCAAACGCAGTAATGTAGTTTTTGTATGCATTTATTCTCATAAAAATATATACAATAAATTTGTATTATTTAAAAATATTAAGAAAGTTAAATTACTAATTAACTTAATTGCTAATAAAGTCGCACAAAAATAAAAATATTTGGAAGTTCATGGAAAAGCTTCTTCAGCAACATATTTATTTTTATAATCTATCATAAAGTTTGAAAGAGCTTTCTTTGCATCCCATTCAGCCTCTTTCAAGTATCTTTCACAATATTCTAATTTCATTGTAGTCCATTCTTGAAAACGGATTATTAAATGTTTTCTCTTGTTTGGACTTAGAACAGTTGCTTCAAATTCTGTTTTTTTATCATCTTCAGTAATATATGCTTTATAATCTATAGGTTGGACTGGTACACATATATGATATTGATCATTGACTACTTTATATTCATTATCATCCTCTGGGGTTAACACAAAGAGCCGATTGAATAAAAATAATTGATTTGGTACATTAACTAATTTAAACAAACCATCTACAGATATGATAATAAATTCATCGCTATCAACCATAAGATCTATATAAAATGATTTAAATATATGTTGAGAAGCTGGTAGTTTCTTGAATACTTTCAGAATCTGATCTTCTCCATAGCGAATCAATTCCTGACTATTTTTCCCAAAAATCAGTAGATTTCTATTTTCAGAACTAAATGGTTCAAGAAGCTTTTTGCTTGTTGGAGAAGTAGGTGTACCTACAGTCATTGAATACCATGCGTTTTTATCATACAATCCTCTCATAACACTTCGATCTTTATGGTCATAAGCTGTGAAAAAATGTTCAACAAACTGTTCGACCAGTTTCCTTCTTTTCCAGTTTTTAACATAACTCTTATAAATTAAAGGAAGCCCAGGTGAATTGATTTGAATACCATCTAACTTGATTAATTTAGGACAATATGCCCTCACAGCTTCAACGTACTGCCTAGGACTTGAATAGTTTTCACATAGTGGATTACCATCCAACCAGAGTTCTGTGATATTATATGGTTTAAGTTGTTCCAAGTCTTGTATTCTTAACAAGTTATTAAATCTAAGATCCAAATGTTTGACAAACTTCATAGCGTCTAAAGAAGATAACGGTAATGAGATAAGTTCATTATTTTTTAAGCTCAAAGATTCGAATGCTCCTGAAACAGTTCTTGCCAGTTTTAAAACATGCACAAACGTTTTATTTTGTGACAGAGGACAGTACACCATATCATATATGTCTGGATCTTTATGAAATTCTTCAAGATCCAAAACTTTTGTCTCTATTTTGTACCTCTTCTTCAGCACATGCAATAAAAGTGGCTGAATATTTATTTTCAGGTCATGAATAGAAGCATATCCCAGTGTAATTGAGAGAATTAATGGACTTCCATCGATATATTGAACAATCAAACTTGTTTTACATAAAGCATCCAACGCTCTATCGCAATTCCTAGCTAAAAAGCAAGAATCATTTCCTACTTCCTGATACCTCACAGGAACCAAGTCTGCAGGATAAACACTTTTCAAAATACACTTTAAAACATTTTCTTTTTCATACCTAGCTCCTCGTACAACCAGTATATTATGCCATATATCATTCCTAGCCATTAGGTTTCTTTCTTGGTAAGTTGAATTGCTGCAATTAGCAATTTGAATGGCAGACGATGAGTCTATGACTATAGGTTTTATCGGTGCTGATGGATTGGCACCAGGTACTGTACCAGAAGCTTGCATAGACCCTAATTGAGGAATCATACCTCCTCCCATTCCATGGTGCATCATTCCCTGCATGGACATTTGAGGAATCAGTCCAATAGATGCTTGAGAGTCTGCAGGAATACTGAAGATCTGATGAGGTGGAACTGGAGGCACAACTATTGATTTGGATTTACCAACGCTTCCAATGTCTACCAGGTTTGGACGCATTGCATTTCGCTAAAATCAAAGGGAAAGTATTTTCGCGCGACTGAGTTTTTTCTCTTTGTTTTAGGTTAGAAAACAAATTGTTTTTTTGTACGCACTCTAGGCATTTTATTATAGATGCTATTATTGTATTAACCCACCCGATTTATAAATTCATAATTACCACTGCTGATTATTGCTGATTACTCAGTTGTTAGCATTGTGGGCAAACGTAACATATGAGCGAGCGTCACAGCCGGCGAGCATCAATAACAGAGAATATACGTGAGTATTTCTATATTCTCTGTCAATAATTGGTTCTCTCTGATTGGCTATCGTTCGCAAGTTGGAATTGTCGAATAAAAATTAAAAATAGTAATATACGTTCCTGTATAATTTAACAAGGTAAATTATATTTTATAATTATAAGTTGTCGCACTTCTTTGTAATTGAGTTCTTAGGTATATCGATAAATATGCATACGCTTACAAGTGGACGACTCAAGGCAATTATTTATCGCAATGGAAAAAACGCAGATGTGATATCGGTCGGGGCGCAATAGGCAACTCGATATCTGCGCTTTATCCGAGGCGAAAAAATGTCGAAAAGCTACATAAATATACACACGACGGAGCGTAACAGTACACACCATCATCCCCGAAGAGGAAATCGAAGAAAAAGCTCGGAACAATAAAAGTGCGCACAAGTCGTTCATCCAGCCGCGGCGATCATGCATGGCACAGCACGAGTCTGTGCGCGCATAGCCGGGGGGCGAAGCTCTTCCGCGTTTCGCGTTATCGGAAAAATGCGCTCGCACTCGGCCAACAATCTGCCGCGGAGGCCTCGGTAAAATATAATACTGTAATAAGTACATAGCGAGGGAGCTAATGCAAGGTATTGCGCGCTCCGCGGAGAGAGCGAGAGAGAGAGAGAGAGAGAGCGCGCGGCCGGCGCGCCTCGCCTCCTTGCCTCTATTGTTCGGACAGCGACGCGACCGTGCAAGCGCGCGATGATCCCTTTGTGCGAGCCTCGAGTCGGGCCGTCCGGACGAGGTGCATCGCTTGCGCCGCGACTCGCGCAGCTCCGGGTGCCGGGACGGCTCACCCCAAAATGACGATCGTTCGAGGCGCCAGGCTCGCGGACTCGGCGCGCGCCGGCCGACGGCGAAATGACAGGTCGCGGTGCGCGTCTTCCTGGCCATCTTCTCCTCGCACTACCGTGCGATCTGCCCGCTGAGAGTCTCACGCGCCGCGATGTAAATATTGAATTACTGCTGTACCGCTACGTCGCTGCGCGCCGCGCCATCGCTCGCGGTTATTATCGCCAACGGAAATTGCGCCAGAGATCGCTGCGTCCATTATTTTCACCTGTTATCGAATTAGATATTGGCCTTGGCTCGTGGATCGAGGAAGCCACGCCGATGAGCTGCCGCGGCGCCCATTCCGCCAGCGAATTTCCCAAGATTGCCGTGTAATCGTGGCTTCGCTTGCTGCTCTTTTTCGCGCAACCGTGATGAGGCGTGGTACACGCGAAGTAACCTTTGTTTTGGGCGTGTGCACTTTCATATCCGACAGTTTTGTCGGTGTAAAAGCTTGATCAATATACGAGTCTCGACGTACGTCGGTACAAGTGTTTCGGTCCTATGGCTTTTTATGTTTTTTTTTTTCTCTCTTTCGCGAAAACGAAAGCGTTTTGACAAGTCAAATAACGCTGCTTGCTGTTTGGCTGCGCAAGATCAATCCCCAATCGCTAAATTTAATGACGCACGAACTGTTATTTGAATAGCAGGTTTGGTCGTACGACTTCTTCCTGTATTCTAAATGACTGACACGAGATCGATCACTTTCGCTTACGTCCAATCGATCCTTCTGTACATCAACGTGCTATTCCGAAATGATTATTATGGAGGGAATTTGAGAAAACTGCTTTCTCAAATTATGCACGCGTAATTTCGACCGTTAGTTCGACAAGCGCTTCCTTCATTTTCCACTGTTTCGAGTCGTGCTCTCGAGAAAAGTCCGATCCCGCGCGCCACACCGGAATATTTGCCGGCGTCGAAAGAAGTCGAGCAGTCGACGATACCGATCGGCCGTGACGCGAAATTTCCGCATTTGCATAAGCGCGGCGAGGCGACAAAAAGCAAAAGATCGCGTACACGGGACGAGACGATCGGCGCTCGAGGGGACGTAGCAGCCTCCCGCTTTCGTTACTGCCTATGCGGCGGCGGCGGCGGCGGCGGCAAAAACGTAATTTTGTTTTTCCTCTTGCCTCGAAGTCTCGAGGCTGCCGCCACGATTACCGTGATCGTCGACGCGCGCTCGCCTCACGTTACGCGTACTTGGCGCGATCGGTGTTATTGGATCGCGCGGCACACCGGCCCGCCGAGACGAAAGCTCGCTCGGCCCGGAGAGCGACACCGTGCGGCCGCACGTCCCGCGGGAACGGACTCGGAGCCCAATGCAAACTGGAGTGCGGAGCACGGAGCGAGCGAGAGTGGAGGGCAGAGAGAAAGGAGAGGCGCACGAGAGGCGATATAAGGCCCGGTAATTACAGAAGCGGGACCGACTCTCTTTTCTCGTCAAGAGAGCTGCGAGGCACGATCGCGGCCCGATAAGTGTGGTTGTTTCAGCGGATCTCTCCGTCGGCTCGCGCGCGCTATCTCATTTTATTAGGTCGGGGCAAAGAGAGGGAAGAGGAAAAAATTAAAAGGAAAGAAAACAGAAAAACGTATTGCCGGGACACGCGCGGAGCTTGTAAGCTGCGGCGAAGGCAAAAGTCCGCTCCGCCACGCGCTCACGAGGCACTCGGCGGACGTAATACACGCGGCCCCAATTTTTTTTAACCCGCGGACGCGCGACGGAATCTCGCCGCTGTTGCCGTCCGGAGCGTCGGCGGAGGCGATTCGTTACAGCTTGCGAGCGTCCTTCTCTGCGTTCGCATCGCCGAATCAGGCTCTTTCGCGCCCGGCTCGACTTTGCCTACCCCGTCATTATAAACCTCTCTCGCTCTGCTCTTCGCCTTGTCTGCTTCGACTTGCGCTTTTATTTAACCGCGCGTCCCGCTCACAGTCTTTATCGTTCATTAAGTTTCACGCGATTTTTCATCCAAATCATCAACTTCGATATGTTTACGCTCGTGTTTGAATCGCTCGACCTATTGAAACTCTTATTATTCTGTCAAATTGAAATTATGTATTTTCTGTTACAACATCAACAAAATATGTTCGTAGTGAAACTGTCGATAAATTTTGCTAATTGTATACTGATGCATAATTTTTGTTGCTTTTTCAAAGTAGAAACCGCATTGGCATTTCGTATTGATCGTATCGCTTTCGTTTGATCCATCGTGGAATTTGAGGTCTATTGTCAAAGCGTAATGTTTGGATTGCTCGTCTCGTCGAATAAAACATCGAAGAGACAATAAACTAATGCGATGCGCGAGTATTGCTCTATATACGTATCGTATAGGAAGAAAATGTTAACTGTCTAAAAACTTGAGTGCGCTGGTGTAATTTTTTTGTACCGCACATTCTATCCGAGCATAAAGCATTTGAATTGCACTAATGAGAATTCTGAAATAAAAGCCAGTCATAACGACGGTCGGCACTTGGCACCTTGAAAAAGCAATGCGCCGGGCACGCAGTCCCCGCGGGAAAGAGGCGAAATCAATAAAATATCAGAGCTCATCGTCGCGCGCAGCGTCGCGAGGCGTATCGAGGCAGCGCCGAGAACGAGAAGAGAGCAGAAGCGCCCGAAGCCGCGCCTCGGATTTGTCATTGATTGGGGGCGTTGCGAGTGGCAGGGTAGCACAGCGCCAAGGAAGTGGCCGGCCGTAACGCCGCGGCCATAGGACATCAATACTACGGCGACGCGCGACGTGCCGGCGATTTTCCCGAGCGAGCGCGACATTGATTCCGCGGGGGTCAGGTGGACGCGCGACGCCGGCGCTACTTCGATCACTCCGCCCAGGCCGCGTTCGCCGCTTGCTTGATTGATTTTTCGCCTCCTCGCCCGCGCGCGCCTCGCCGACCAAACCGCGGCGCGTCGATCAACCGCCGCGACTGGATCGCGGATGGCTCTCCAACGCCCGCGTCTCGCGTGTCCGGTCGATCCCTCCGATTCGACGCGGACAAGGGACGGTCAACGGGAAGGGCGCGCATCCTCGGCCGAGAGCCACGGCGGCCGAATGCCTGGATTCTCGTGAAAAATAGCAGTGACGGCTCGCCAGCCTTCGACAAGGGAATGGAACATCGAACATCGATAGAGCAAAGAGGAGAGAGAGAGAGAGAGAGAGAGGCCGCGTGGCGCATGCAATGTAACGATCGAAAGGAAGAGGAGCGCGAGGAAGAAAGAAGCGGCGAGGGGCTTGCGGCCTCCACTCACAGATGGCGTCGGGATGCGCGCCGACGCGGCCGGCCGCGACGAGAGGCAACAAGGAGAGCTGCGCAGGCATAGCGAGCCCTCCGCACGTACGAGCTGGCTCTCGTTGAGGCGCAGATTTATCGGCGATAGTCCCGCGGATACACGGCTCCCCCGGCTCTCTCGCGTCGTGCATCACCACGCCCCGCGTTAAGCATAACGAGAGCGCGGCTCGCCGCGTACTGCATCGCGCATCCACGCCTTTTGCTGAGGGCAGCTCTCTCCGGCGATGGGAAACGCGAGATCGGGGGAGGAACTTTGCAGGCGCAGATCGAAGCCGCAAACAGAGAGAGAGAGAGAGAGAGTGAGAAAGAGAGTTTCGATTTCGTTTGGCGTCGTCGGCCTCATTCGCCGCGAGGACCGTCAAATATGCCACGATTAATCGCTCGCGATCGAGTTGAACGGCCAACGCGCGCGCTCGGAAGGCCAAATTTATATACATATCGAGACGCTACTGCAATTATTTATCCCCGAGTAACAATGCATAATGCATGTACGAGCGCCGAACCTTAAAAGTCGGGAGCACAGTACCGAGAAATTAAAGGTCCCATCGGCGCACACACGGGAAAAAGAAGGAGGCTCTTATACAAGAGTGAGCAAATTGAAACGATGAATTTTTCATAAACGAGCGCAAGTGGCCGGCAGCAGCAGCAACAGCAGCAGCAGCGAGAGAGAAACAGAGAGAGAAAGAGAGAGAAAGAGAGAGAGAGAGAGAAGAGGCGTACCCACTTCGGGCTCGAAAACGCGAAGGATAAGAAGAGGAGAGAGAGAGAGAGCAAGAACAATGCAATATCGCGCGATATGCAATCGGCTGCCGCTGCCGTCGCTGCTGCTGCT